CTTGCTGAGAGGAAACTCTTACTTCCAAGTTCCGTATATGATTTTCGTCGTGAGGACGATCGCCTCTGCTAGTAAACGGCGGTTTGCCCACTGAGGTTTCTCCTGCGAGGTGCTACAGGATCGCCCGGCTCGAAGAATTCTGTCTAACGGGACGGAGAGAATCAATGACAGGAACCCCGAAGGAGCGAACAAAAAGCAAAAAAGAGAGGGAAAAAAATGATCACTGCGTCCTTTCATATTTTTTCTTTTTCTTTCTTTCATTCTCATTTCCTAGAATGGATATTGCTTTTTTTAACCTCTATTATTTTGTCCTTTTAGTTTTGTTTTGTTTTGTGTTTTTTTTTTTTCTTCCTTCTGGCATTTTTGCTTCACCTTCTAGATCGGATACGCAATTCCTCCCACTAAATCTTATACATAGTAGTAAGCAGTGTTCCAGATACCAGATTTCTCCATGTATCTAAACTTTTGGTGTAACATCATGAAAATTTCCGCAGTGCAAAATCCATTTATCAGAACATCAAGTCAAGCTCACATAGAGCATGACTTTCACTATCCCTAACCGCGTTAGCCATCTAGCAGGAAACATTGTCAGGTTCCGTACGGTACCCTGACGGGGTGTCGTACGAGGGATTACCCACTAGCGGTATTTTGGTTTGAACGACACCCCTGTTCTTCTCATCTAGACGGCAACCAATCAGGGGCGCATTTCCCCACCATTTCCAATGGGTATTAATATTTTCATTTTTTACTTTCTGAGCGCTGCCCAATCGCCACGCGGAGTCAGGTTCTTTTCTCGTGTGGTACGCTATCTGAGCCTGTCCCGTCGCTCTTCGTGTCTAGGAAATGATTATTACCCTTGCCATTATTACTTTATTATAATACTAAAATAAAATAAAAAAGAAATTAATATTGTTATTATAATAATCATTTTATGACGGAAATTTCTGATTTTTGTTTTCACTTGACAGGCACAATAGGCAGTGCCAAAGATGGTCCTGTCGAATGCAAGACCACCGAATCAGGTACGACTGGCTGGGACTAGAAAGGCAGTGACAACCAACCAGAATGCCCAGATTGAAGTACATTCATTCCTCCATCCGAAGCAATCCATACATCGTCAGTACGGAGTCTACATCTATCTTCACTGTCTCCTCCTCCTCCATGATCCTTATTTACTACTCGCTACTTCTTCCCTGATCGTCCCTGGGCCTGTGTCCCCGGTCTGTCCCCTGTTTAACTCCGTTTTATGCCTTTTTGCCTTACCCGCACGCAGCGCACCCGCCATTGCCCCTCCGTTCATTCCTCTCTTCCCTGTACAAAAGAGAAAATATAGCCTGCATGCTTCTTCTGGTTGTGCGCACACAGACAGCTGTGGGTGACTCGGGTGAGCTATCAGGCATCCAGGCGCTGAACGGAGTCTTCCCTCACGGGAACCGCATTGTTGCTTCTTCAATTCGGCACATATCTTCTATTACTACAACTACCTGCTTGTGTAATTGCATACTCTTTGTGCTGAACATGCATTTTCGTCTATACTCTTCTTGGCTTTAGAGAGAGTTCAACTTTCTTAGATAGCTCGCCTCGCTTTTTTTTCTGCTCATTGACCGAATCTTTCCAGCACCTTTATATCTGTTGGCGGCCTGGTTGGAATCGACAATCCACCTCCTTTATAGTTTTCTACTGCCTTTGCCCCCCTCTCTGCATTGTCCTCTCATGATATTCCTCGCCTCTGCCACTATGGATACAGAGGACACTCCTGGGCCAGATAACGATTATGCGCAGTCGCCTTGGTTGGATATGGGCGGGTTTAGCCCTTCCCAACAATCACCACCTCTTGATTACCATGGATTTGGATACGGCATGCTGCCTTTGGAGACAGCGTACGGGGTGACTGTACCGCCCCCATACGCATCACTTCCATTGACCTTGCCATCGAATACGTGGCCCAGTATGATGGCGACTCACCCTGCGCAGCATCCGTTTCCAGAGGGAAGTGTACCTCCTATTCCTATACCACCTGCTGTATCGCCAGTCATACATAATCCACCACCTCCGCCCCCACCGCCTCCGCCACCGCGCAAGTCATCAACTAGCAATTCGACGCCGCGAAGGACACTTACTGATGATGACCGCCGACGAATGTGCCAGTATCATGAAGAGAACAAGACTGCCAAGCAAACAGATATTGGAGGTAAAGTTTCCAGCCCAGTTTTCTGTTCTAGATCACACCGACTGACAAACCATCGACAGCGATATTTGGAGTGGAACGAAGGTAATTTCTCACATCTTCTTCCCTGTCATTGCATATGGAGTAATCTTCTAACGTGTTTTTACGCCCTTCCAAGTACTGTGTCAAAAGTGCTCCGCCAGAAAGATAAGTATCTTAATCCCGATGATGGGACTCGCTCCCCCATCAAACGAGCCAAGGGAAGAGTCCCTGATATAGAAAAGGCTTTGTCAAATTGGGTGCGAAACTACCAACGTCACGGCTATTCTCTCAGTGATGAGATAATTAGGGAAAAGGCTCTGTTCTTTGCCAACACCTGTGGTAGTCCCGATGGCAAAGATAAAGTGCTAAGCAATAGCTGGCTGGAAAAGTTCAAGCACAAAAATAACTTGATGGGCTTAAAATCCCGAAAGAGCTCTTTCAGCGCCAAGAGCGATTCGGATAGCCCTACGCGTCTAAGCATCAACTCCGCGTTAGCATCTGCCATTCAATCGCCCAGCGTCCTTTCGCCAATCTCTCCCACGGGATTTGCAACACCATCACCTCTGTCACCTACCCAAAGCCAAGAGCATTTCAGGCCTGATAGTTTATCTGACCTTCTGGGAGACTATCAAAGTACGCACACTAAAAGCACTATCTCCATTGATACATCTTCCATTTCTGCGGGTGTGACCAGTCCTACATCTACAATAGTGACGGACAGCCCTTTTACCCCCGCTAGTCAATCGCGCAACTCGTCGACGGACTGCAATCCTAATAGGCCACGAAGCCAAACGTTTCCATTCATCGGCGTTGACCCCATTGTGATGTCGCCTGATGAACATCCTGAACATCTATCACCGACTGGCCTTCAACCCGTTCTACAAGAGTCGCCCCTTGCGGACGATCACAACCCAAAAGCTATTCCTAGCCTTGATACATCTTCTAGCACAATCAAGCGCAACCGCAGCAATCCAGAAATAAAGGCGAAATCCATTTATCCGCCGTTGTTTCCAAAATCAGCTACGGTTTCGCCTGTAAGCTCTCCTGGTTCTCCCACCCAGGATGAAGCTCGGAGGGCGCTAGAGTTAGTGATGAACTACTTTGAGCATCAACCTGCGGGTCTGGGGGCACAGGAGTACGTGACTATCGGAAAGCTGATGGAGAGGTTAGAACTCGCAAAATCCCAACAGACCACACTGCCTGGAGGGCTCACTCGTATTGACGAGCACGAAGATGGACCCCATCTACATAAAAAACGAAGCATTCGCAGCCTTGGTTAATATCCTCCAGAGCCACATCTCTTGAGGTCAGCCCTTACCATCATGCGAACTGCAATTGGTTGTATAACCTTTGTTCTGGCAGTCGACCAACTACAGACGATTCTGATTTGCTTCCCTTTGCTTTACCCTATACTTTTCGCTTTCTTTCCATTTGATGAAGCATGTTTCCTTCAATTCTTGATTTTCTGGGTGGCCTTCTGAATTCGACATATTGCATTCGTATGCTATGCTCCATGATTCCCTGTTTCATTAAGCCAACACAATAGTTTCTGAGGTTCGTGAGGAAAAACGAAATCAGGTGATACACATGTGAAGAGGGCAACCCCGAATGTATTCAATCACTGATACCGATCATGGTGGACGGTATGACATGGCTCACAGTCCATCTGTGGAGTCCGTTTTTGTGGTGTATGAGCTTAATGAGTTTCGAAATTTCTTTTCCTTCTTTTCCGCCTTCTGATTCTTTGCATTCTATTTCCCCTTCTTGATCTTTTTTTCCTATTGTGATGCTCTTCGGACGAGACAAACATTATTTACATTGGATCGCTCACGCGAAACTACATGGGACCATTATCACCACATTCATCGGCATTTAGGGTTTTCGGGCGGAACGGAATGATGACATGCAAAACTGGGGTCATCATTTTCCTGGTGTTGATTTATTTCATTTATTTTTATCTTTGTTTATTTTTATTTTTATTTTTTGGTTATTTCATCTGACTTCCAAGGTCCTGTGATTGTTAATATCTCACACCGCATTTCTGCGTCATTTTTTTCTTCATTTAATTCCTTGTATATTTCTTCCAATTGACGCACTGTGCCTTGTCCCTGGCGACAAAAATTGGGGCTTGCATGGGTTAACGGGTTAATTTACACCTCATTGGGCTCTCTGCCTTGGGTGCCTCACTTAACCTGCCTTAATCTCGAACCCCGCTGTGAGCCAATGTCACCTGTTAATTGTTCTGCAGGCCCTTTTTTTTTTTTCTATTTTCTTTTTAATTTCAAATATTCTTTTACCTCTTCCTGGCTCACCTCCTTAATTCTTACTGCATACCGTTGATTCCATTGTAATAATTTCTTACGTATTACCTTGCGGTTATTCCGTCCGTTGACCCCTGACCATTGAATCGCACACATTTGTGGTGTACCCGGTTCTGTGCACGATATTCTCAATGCGACGGGACATGGACAGGGGTTTGCAGGTCACATTTTGGACCCGAGGGGAACGAAAATGCATGAACCGAACAAGATCCATGGGTACCGACTAGAGGCCTGAACCCCCTAGCCAGGTTTGATAAGGTTATCAACGTATCAAAAATATTATGTTCTGTTGCGCAACAAGACTACTCATTTAGCTGAGGCAGCGCCTGTCTCCCATACTATTGATCTATGGTTTCTTATACTTCTGCCCAAGGGGACAGGGTATCATTAAATTATGGTCATTATCAGTGAGAAGGCCCTTATACTATAGTACTGTCTGCCTTGTTATTATGTCTGTCGTTATAAGTGTCTCAGTCGCTGTCTAAAGACACGCCCCTATCTTCCATCAATTCCGTGATGCTGCGCTCTGCCAGCTCAGGGAGGAGCTTCGCCAGAACCGTTTCAATGATCGAGTAAATTAAATGTTTGTTGCAATATTCATCGGCGAATAGATCCAGAATATCATTCTCTATCGTCGCGAGGAGAAGAGATCCTTCTAGATCATCGTCCGACAATAGATCAGGTGATAAGGCACAAACTGTTTCCGACGGTTGATGCTGTTCATTGGGAGCCCTGAGATCTTCTTGGCACTCAGGGGGCGGCTGTCCAATAATCATTCTCGCTGGAGCGCCCAAGAAGCGCCGCGCAACAGGACGAGGGACCAATGACAGTATGCTCACTGCGCACCTTCGCTTGATGGCAGCGATTTCGGCCGCGGAAGGGCGCTGGTCCGGCGATAAGGGAGGCGCAGTCGCGGAGATACTCGTCGTTGAGACTCTACTGCTGGCGTTACTTGCGCCAGCGGCCTCGCTAGCCGAGCTCGTTTCCGTAGGGGACGCTGGCGGTTGTACGGGCAAATGCGGAGCCTGAGCGCTATCTTGATTCGCCGTGGCCGCCAGAATTGGGCGGGAATTCGAAGGGAAGAGTGCCGCCCTGGACGCGCGAAGCAAATTGGGCAATAAGGTGGGGGTCAAGACATGATTCTGAATGGTCTCGTGAAGGAACCTAGTGGAGTCAACCAAAAGAAAAAATTTTTCGACCGGGGTTAGCCAGACACTCCAAATAGGAGACAGGAAATCAGCAACAGTCAGATTGCGCAACACAGGCAGACGGAGGAAGGTCCGGCATGGTAGGCGGTCGAACCCCAGACTGTGGAGAAGCGGTTCAGAACATCGAGGTCCTTTTCCTAGAAAGGAAGTTGTGTAACACAAAATGAGGGTAATTCATTGAGAAAAAGTCAAACAAAGACAGGAGGGCTGGCCGGGTGGAGAACTAATGCGATCGGCTTGGCCAATGTGAGGAGCTTGGGCCATCTATTGGTGCGATTAACAAGGGCCCAATGCTGAAGATGACGACAAGTGGAAAAGCGGCGAGACTCCCACTCGTCATCTCGCGCGCATCCCCAAGAGAAGGCATTCTTTCCGAGCCATACCATAGGTTTCATGAAACCGTCTGGACGCCGGTGACCGCGGCCTGGATTCAAATTCAGAATTCCCTCCCGCGAGGTATTTCGCTGATTGGCTCAATAATAGGGAGGGAAGCGAACCTCACCCTATCCATAAAATTCCTTAAAAGTCGCATGGCTGTTTTCTCAACCAATCTTAGGATGATCGCCATGATTAATTTTATGTATCATTTCTTAGCATTGATTTATGAGCGACGAACTGAATGCGCCCACTTTTCAGGTTAAGGATAGGTTGCTTTCTCATGTCATTGGTTTGGGAAGTACAAAACCAATGGCATTGTCAAGCATGTTAAAAGACATGGAAATGTCTGCCCATGACGTCTTTCTCTTTCTCTGTTTCTTTTTTTGTTTCTCTTTCTGTGTCATTGTTCGGTCGATTATGTTTCCAGAATGCCGGAGTTGCACGGAGAATGGAGTCGAGCGGGACGGAAAGGGACGGGCCAGCCCATTCTGAGTTGATTGACAGGGGGACAGACACGTTCAGGTTCTCTTCGGAATGGCCGAAGCTCCAGCCAATGTCGGGCAGGGAGTGACCAGTCGACCCCAAAGTTTCCGACCGTAGTGAGTACAGACGAAAAAAGGGGCGAAGAGTATGACGACTATCATCATTATATTATTATAATAATAGCATCACACACTATGATAATCATAGGCCCATTCGTCGAGGAGTAACTCGGCGGTAACGTCAATACGAACACGGTAAGTTACCAGTAGGCGCCGGTCACATATGGTAATGACAATACGGCTGTACATGGGCCATTCGGCGAATCAGGCTCGATAACCGGGGCAGCGAAGGATGGCCTGTGCATCCACACCCAGATCAAGTGATCGTTGCAGCATGCGAGCAATGAGCATCTGTTGCATCGCCGTCCCGCTGGCTTCTCGGCCGTCTTCCAATGACTCGTCTGAGATGCCCTGACAGGAAAGGGTACTTTTCCAGTACCAGCGTCGATCATAGTTCGGATATCGAACCGTACCGCTTCTCCACAGCTGAAGTTCCCACACCCAAAGTTTCTCCGTCTCATCTGATTAACCAACCAGTGATAAACAGCGCGGGGGACTACCGCGGGGTAAAATAGAAAGAAAAAGAAAAGGAATGATTCTCAAAGTAAACGTGCGACTCACCTATCAAGAACACTATCAGTGTCACCTAACTGGCCCGGGCCTGCCAAGATCAAGTATTGGAAGAGTGCCAGCAGCCCTCCCAACCACGGCATCCGCCGGGGAATATCTAGTAACTGCGAAAGCATGCCGTATAGTCGATAGTCGAGGACAGGACGCTTCAAAGGAGGGTTGCATGAAGCCGGTGCCTCGGTTGCGTGGCCGGTGGCAGATGGAGAAGGCGAGGATGAGGTCACTGGGGTGAATGCAACGCGAAAAATGCCCGTCACGATGAAACGTAAGGTCACGTAGGCTAGATAGCCAAGCTGAAGGATATTCCACACCCAATCCGGGACTCGTAATTGTACATTAGACGACGAATGACATTTCTGGAAGTCTTCCTTGGGGGATAGCAAACCAAACTTCTGTAACTGACTCTGCTCATGTGGTACTGCAATTGTTGCATCAATCTCATGACTCGGCCGGCTTCCCACTACGTCAAGGATTTTTGTGACACTCTCCCACAAAAACCACCCTTCACACATCCTCCCACTAACTTGATTTCCAATAATCAGGTCTGCCAAGATATCACAAAGTATTGTCCGCAAGCAGGCATTTTCTAGGTCCTCCGTTGGCAGGAGCACAGCCAACACTCCGCTCGCCAATAGTTGTCGATATCTAGCTTCATGGTCGGCTTGCTGGGTGACGGTGTGGGTATCCGTCGGGTTTGGGATTGGGAAAAGGCTCGGATGAGGATTTAGACTATGATAAATTTCGCGAATAGAAGGCGTAAGTCCGGATAACTGAGACTGTTCCCTAGCTAGTCTGTACGCTGATTCCAAGACTAGTCAGTAACGATACGGCTCGGCCGCCCGAAGAGGGCAGAAAGAGTGTTGGGCCTCAGTCTCACAGATAATATGCCCTTCAACTAAAGCTGGTATCTCGTCCAAAATTAGTTGTGAAACATCAGCATCTCGCAGTCTCTGTTCCACGGTGCGCGTACAATGCGCTATCACCTGGACCACTTCGTTGACGAGGATCTGATCCGAAGTAAATTTCGAATACCAGGAAAGGACAAATTCTTTGACAATAATGGCAACCAAGGCATATAGCTGACGGTCTACTTCGTTCGAGCTTGTGAGCGGGGGCAACAGCTCCTCTGGGGACTGTAGTGTTGATGCACTTCCATAATTACCCGTCTGGGGACATAAGACGCGTCGGATTAAGGCGTCGGTAGCCTTGTCGCCCGTCGCATCAACCTGGCTATCACGGCTAGAGGTCTTCTGTAGCCGAGGACGATGTGAAGCTTGCGAAGATGGCTGCAAATTTGCCGAAGCTGTTGACTTTGAGCTGGAGATTGTCGCCCCAGCTTTGAGATGCGAAAGCGGATGGAGCCCCGGACGAGAAGGCTCGCCGCTCATTTCATTCCAGAGTGAGTGTCTATAAATAGATTCCAGAAAGAGAAAAGAAAATTGACGTGTTGACAGGATAGCGAAAGTGGGATGTCACATCGAAGCAAGTTGGCGATGTAGGCAAGGGGGTATACAATGTCAATAAGTTCGCGGGAAGTTTCCGGGGAAGCTGCGATGACGCTGTTGCTCCAGGCGGAGATTCCTGTTTGGGCCCCATTCCAGGGCTTAGGGCTTCAGATTGAGATAAGGCCTTATCAGTTGGTTCCCCGCCATTGTTATCCATGGGTCAGCCAACTGAACAAGAAACCAAGAACGACCTCCTGAATAACCCATTCAATATCCATTGTACTATCCATAGAACACCACAATGCACTCGTCACTAGATGCCCATGTTCCCCTGTGGCTAGATTGTGACCCCGGTTGGTAGTTTCCTCAGCATATAAGCTATCTTCACTCTAGTTAGTAATGCTAACTGTTCTCAGGCCACGATGTGAGTATAATACACTTTCTGAATAGGACGGAGCATTAAGTTATATACAGGATGCTTTTGCTATTCTCCTTGCGGTCCATCATCCCTCCTTGGATTTATTGGGCATCACCACAGTTCACGGCAATGCTTCTTTGGAGAACACGACCAACAATGCTACAAGGATATTGGAAGCCATTGGGCGACCAGATATTCCGGTATACCCGGGTCATAGCAAGCCTTTCTGTAGGCCTGCAATCCATGCTCCGAATATCCACGGTATGCCTCGTTCTTTCTTATTTAAACTGTCAAAACCCCCAAGTTTCAGAAACGGCAATGATCTCATGCCCTTCTATCAGGCGATTCTGGTATCGACGGCACTGAACTTCTCCCGAAGGCTACAAGGCCCCCAGTTACAGATAAGAACCCGATTCTGGCAATGCGCGATGCCCTTCTAGCACAACCAAAAGGGACTCCTTGGGTTGTAGCAACTGGAACCTTGACCAATGTAGCATTGCTCTTCGCGACATTCCCTGAAGTGGCAGAGCACATTCAAGGTCTGAGCATCATGGGTGGAGGAGTTGGTGGGGGCTTTACAGATGCACCAATGAGTCGACTCGATGGCGAAGAGTCGAGAATTGGGAATGTTACACCTTTGGCAGAATTCAACATTTACGTACGTACAGCTGTTCTTGCAGTCTTCCTTTCAATACCGCCATTGAGCTCTCCTGCTAATCCCACTACAGTGTGATCCTGAGGCATCCCAGTCTATCTTCAGTAACCCGGTTCTTGCATGTAAGACAACTTTGATCACACTTGACTTGACGCACCAAGTCCTCGCTTCGCGCACTGTGCAGAGCCGCGTCTTGCATGGAGGCGACGACACCTCCGTGCCTCCAACAGTCCTCCGGCAGATGCTATTCGACCTTCTTGTGTTCTTTGCATCGACTTACGAGAATGTTTTTGGCTTGACCAGCGGGCCTCCCCTGCATGATCCTCTTGCAGTAGCGGTGATCCTATCTACTCTCAACCCGGTGTATGCGAAACGGCATCCGGGCCAAGTCTTGAAGTTCGATGATCGGAATGGAGAACGGTTTAATGTTAATGTCGTCACCGATGGTCTCCATGGAACTGACGTCGAGCTAGTCGGCGAGCTGGGTCGATCAAAGGTTTTTCCTGGCACTTGTGGAGTTGCTATTCCTCGGGGAGTAGATCTGGATGCGTTTTGGGATATGATTTTCGACTGCCTCAGACGGGCGGATGAGTGCAATGTGGCACGGAAGCTGGCGTGATCTATAGACGATAGAATTGGATTACTTGGGCCTAGACTATTTATTGATTTGATATAGACTAGCTACGTGAGCTTGCTTAGTTACTTAGAAACCTAAACACTTATACTTATTTGCACATTCAATGACTTAATAAATAATTGCCCTGGCGTACAATCATTCCCAGCCCGTCTATACCCGTACCGCTATGCAAGAAAAAGTGCCATATAACCATTCCAGAGTGAGAATACATTACCATTCCCGGATGCCTCCGTCTGGACCAAAGAATTCCTTCGGCTGCCAGGGCTCGGAGTTCTGCGCCACACGCCGGACAGTCTCCTCATCGACCTCAATACCGAGCCCCGGCGCAGTGAGAGCATCAACATAGCCATCCTTGACATCGAAAACACTAGCATCCTTGACATAGCTCGTGATATCGTAGTCACCGGCTTCAGTATTATAATGAATCCCCAAGCTCATCTCCTGAATGACGAAGTTAGGAGTAGCAAGATCAACCTGCATACAAGCAGCCAATGCAATGGGACCAAGAGGACAATGGGGCGCGATAGCAACATCATAAGTTTCAGCCATGGAAGCAATGCGTCGTATCTCAGAGATACCCCCGCAGTGGCTAATATCAGGCTGGAGGACATCGACACTACCATCCTCCAGAAAACGCTTGACGTCCCAGCGGTTGTAAAGACGCTCACCCAACGCAATAGGACACGACACCAGATCAGATAACTGCTTAATGCTCTCTGGGTGCTCAGAGAGCAGGGGCTCCTCCAGAAAAAGGGGCTTGTGTGGTTCGAGCGCCTTAGCCAGCTGTTTCGCCATGGGCTTGTGTAGACGCCCATGGAAGTCCAGCGCGGCGTCGAGGCCCAGCGCCTTGACTGCCTTCAGACGCTCAACGCTCGACTCCAGTACGCGCGGCGAATCCAGCCAGTTCACGTCCTCTGTGGCGTTCATCTTGATCGCTTTGAATCCCTGTGCCAGGCGGGCTTTGCCAGCTGCTTCGACCTCACCGGGCCGGTCTCCGCCGATCCAGGCGTAGACGGAGAGCTTGTTGCGAACCTTTCCTCCGATGAGTTGATGGATGGGGACATCGAGTCTGCGGCCCTTGAGATCCCAGAGGGCGATGTCTATACCAGAAATTGCGGACATGAAGACGGGGCCGCCGCGGTAGAAGCCGAGACGCCAGGCCATCTGCCAGATATGCTCAATATCACTGATTTGTCAATCTTTGCCATTGATATTTGTACCACTTGAGGACTTACTCGGCTTCGTAACCTATGAAGCGTTTGCACAGCGCATTGAGTGTTCCTTCGACAGCCTCTGTGTGACCTTCCAGGGTACTTTCGCCCCAGCCGTAGTTCCCATCCTCATCTACAACTTTGACGAAGAGCCATCTGGGGAGGACACGGAAATATTCAATGGTCTTGATCTTGGCCATGGTGACTAGATTCTTGATGGCGGGGGAAATTGGGGAAGATAACGTGGGGAACTCAAATGTTCGGCCAAGACCACAAGAATGATCAATGGGTTTAGAATTTAGAGGTTGTATAACTCTGTGAGAAAAGAAACTGGAAAAAGAGAGAAACTGCAATCAAGAAAGGGGGAAAAGGGGGGGGGTTTGTTGAAAAGAAAAGAACATGATTCATGGAATATCCATTCAATGTTATCCCACGTGGGGGGACTATAACGTCTCGGAGATTCTCCGCATCGTCTAACCGAATGATGGAACATTTTGTGGGCTATAAAGATGCTAAGGGACTGTTGGCTGGTGCTTAATAGGGAGTCTCAAAGGTCAATAGCCTACATGGCTCCGATTGCAAATTGGTACATGAGTGTGTGGTTTGGTTTATGTAAAGGGCAGTTTTTCGTTCTTGAGGGTTCGGTTCCGATTAGTTTTGTATGTAAGGTTATAGATTGCATGCGTAGGCCCTCGGAAGGGCATGAGAAGGCCTTCCTATTTAAGATTGGAGAAACCGTATGTGAAAAAACCCGCAGAAGAGTCGATTGCTAGTACTTGGTTGTACAGGGCATATCTAGTGTTGTGGCAGCGCTGGAGAAGGATTCTAGAATCCGAGAGGTGGAATCATCCAAAGCAAGACATAGTCGGTAAGGGACGTACATAGACGGCAAACAACAATAGTGAGACAGAGAATGACATCTGTTCGTGCAAAAAGTGGATCCAAGAGGTGAATACATAAAGATAGGGCTCAAATGGAATCACGTTCCCTGATACTTCGCCCGAATAGGCAATCCCAATGGAGATTTTCGGGTGATTTTCGAACCTCCAACTTCATTCACTTGATCTTCTTCTGCATCTTGTTGGATTTCTCCACTGCGTTCATCGTTTTCCACCTTCATTGTCTTATCACTATTCTAGATGTTTTCCCGCCATCTCCATCACACTGAGTAGACACTTACTAGGTTCTATGTTTGCCCCTTTCCCTCTATCTGCAGATCTTGGACATATCGTTCGGCGGACTGCGCCCGCCACCCAACCGCCTTCGGACAGACATGCCGCCGGCCAACACGCCTTTGGTAGGTTTCTCTCTGATCTTTTTCTTTAATTTTTCTCTCGCTTTGACGGTGTTGGGGAACTCCACGCATCTATTTCTCGCTCTAACACAAGGGCGTATTCCAAAAAATAATACAGAAGATGGGACGATGGAGATCTGGTTCCCGATAACGTGATTGTCTGTGCTTTACTTGAAACTGATACTACCATATCATCTCTCCTTTCAACTAACTCATGTCTTCACAGCAAGATACCCCTCATTCTCATTCTCCTCCTACCGCTTCCTCGCTTCAACAACTCAGCGTCGTCTCCATTCCTGTTCCATCTCTCCCAACTTCTGTGGCCGATAATGCTCATGACGACAACGTGAGCTTTCTGCGATCTCGTGTACGCTCCCCACCCGATTCCTCTTCGTCCCTCAGCCGCCAACGTCGTCGTCGACAACAACAACAAACCTTGCCAGAGCTCGAGGTTGATCCCATGGATGTGGATGATCCTACGGCTTTGCGCATGTCAGTCGAGATCAACCGTCGCATCCCTATCGTGCGCCGTCCGCGTGGATCCTTCAACAACAGCAATAATAGCAACAATATGCCTAACTATGAAGGTCGCATCTCTAATCCTCGTTCGCTCTACGGATGGGCACCTGCCTCCGATGACGACGATGAGGAAGAGGATAATGACTTAGCCTATGGGCCAGTCCAGGACAACAACACCATCTCCTCCTGGTTTGGCCGGCTATCAGATCGCAACCAGCCCAGACGTCATATGCGCCGCGACCCCAGCGGTCGAGATCCACATGCCTTCTTAGGAACGCCTCCGGAAACCAACCCCCAACGTCCAAGTGACTACTCTCCATTGTCGACGACAGAAGCACTGCTGCAGACGGTACGACGCCAACCGCGGTTTTCCCGGACACGGACGTTGCATAATTATCTTTTGGACCGTGAAAGAACTAGCCAGGATTCAGAGGAGAGCCGAGAACGATTGGGTGCCGCATCTACATCGCGAGCGTATCGATTTCTCCCTAGTAGCCGTGGTGAACCGCATCGACTTCTGACACACAATGAACTCCGCGCCCGGATCAACGCCCATCGACAGTTACATATGGATAACCCCCCTAGCCCCCGGTTGAAGGAAACAATCAAATATCTTGATCGTTTACGGTATTCAAATTCTTTTGAAGAAAGCCTGACTTCGGCGGCCGCGGGGGGATTCGTTCAGTTGGATTTCCTGCCCTGGGATGAGGATGATTTCATTCTCGATACAGCCTCGATTGCGCCACCGCCAGTATGTTCCTGGCTCCAGCCTGGGATAGTTTTCTTGGGTTCCCAGAGGGCTGCCAGTAATGCCAATCCCCTCTCTGCGCAGCCAGTGCCGAGTCCGCCATCGTCCCATGACCCCTTGGTTGTCAACGGCAGTGAACAAAGCGGCAGTCGCATTCCCGTGCACACAACCAGCGGTCGACGGTACATGGCCAACAATATATATAACTTAGGCACCGGTAGAGACGAGAATTGGCCCGTCAAGGTCACTATTCATGAAATTAATCTAGAAGAAATGACCCTCTCGGGCACCATGGAAGCATACAACATTCCCGACAAGACGTCGCCATCCCACGATGCTCACATAGTTACATTCCTAGAAGGAGAGATCATCGATTTCAATACGCACACACTTGAGACGAAGAATTTCAAAGCCGATGCCGAGATCGATTGTACATATTGGCGTGAATTGCAGCCGTTCAAGAACCTATCAGACGAAGCTATGACGCGGAATCTCGTGAGTCGAAAGTGGATAACAGAGGAACTATCTAAAGGGTGGATCTTGATGAGATGGAAAGGCAAGTTGCTGCTCTAGCTCCCTTCTGGCCCCCTACAGCATTGCTAACACTGATATAGAACGCTGTTTCATCACGCCCACCGATTCACGACAAGGACTCACAATTTCTGGTTTCTATTACATCTCCCTGCATCGTGAAAGCGGCCATATTGAGGGGCTATACTATGATCCGGGAAGTTCACCGTACCAGCAACTATCATTAAAACCTGAAAGTAAACGGATGGCTCGGCCATCGTACAGTTTCCGATAATCTTTCCGTTTATATCATATCGGTTTGGCGTCAGGGTCAAGGTCTTCTAGCAATTCGCATAGCGAGTCATTTCCTTTCCGCATCCCAGCTTGACCAGTTCCTTGTCAATAGTACATTTCCTTGCCCTCGCCCATATATCTCAAGAGTTTATAGCTCAGCTGTACCTTACAAATTTACATATCAACAAGTCTACAAAATACAGACATCTGAGAAAAAGAGTTTCCTTGAATCGTATATGCCATTAAGCCTATACTAGAGAAAAAAAATGAACCATGGTCCACGAACGGGGAAGAAAACCCAACCGACAGAACTGCCATAAAGATAGGGGAACTCTCCAAAAAAAATCAAAGAAATTCCCTTACAACCATCCCATCAATAGATCACCCAACCCATCATGAACCCACAATCCCTACTCCCACAGAAGACCAAATCTACTGCTCAGTCTGGAAGTAGTTAAGGAGGACAGAGCGCTCCTGGGACTCCTCACCCCAGTCCTTAACAACGACGCAAGAGCAGTTAACGACCTTGCGAGCGTTACCCTCACGGTCAAGCTGGCCTGCACACAAAAAGAAACTCTAATTAGCCACAAACCTCCCAATCAACCAAATCGAGAACCAGAGAGGTGCAACCACATACAAAGACCAACCCATTCACCAAGCATCTTTCCATCAGGAACCTTGATGAGAGGGATCTTGTGCTCGGAGCACAGGGCGATGACAAGCTTCTTGTAGGCCTCCTCCTCACAGCCCTCGTTGAGGACACACATGTGAGCCTGGCGACGATCAAGAGCCTTAGCGGCCTCACGGAGACCACGGGCAAGACCGTCGTGGATCAGGGAGATGCGGAGGACACCCTTGAGGGCATCGAGGACCGACATCTGGCCACCGGCGCCGGCGTCGGCGCTGACCTCGACCTCATCGGCGGCGGCAACGGGGTTGGAAACAGTCTCTTCTCCGTCCGACTATTTAATTCAAGGAGTGGTTAGTTTTGGAAAAAGGTCATTTTTTGGGTGATTTTGGGGTTGGGTGGTTGTGATGGGTTGTTGTCGCATTGCGTTGGCTATTGCAACACGTTTTTTTTTTTTTAATCGAAAGAGCTGTGGTGCTTGGGGGTGGAATTGGGTGGTTTGTGATAAAGGCTGATGATCGAGTGGGAGGGATCACGTACCATTTTGTCTGTATGGTGTTCTCCTTGTCGGATTATCCTCAAAGAGTGAGATTGATGTGTTGGAGTAGTCTAGTAGACGGAGTGTGGAATCGACGATGAGGTTTCTCGCCTAAATTGGGACCGTGTGCCCTATTGTCGTCTTACGTAATCAACATCCTTATCGATAATTCCATGAACGGTTAAGGTACATGAGATGCCATCCAGTTTTCACGTGACCCTCAAGCCGGGCACTACAATGAGGGGGTATCTTTATCGTTACTCCATATATTATTCGTTACAGGGTGAGAATCGATGACCGCTGGTCATTCCATTGTCTATCCAAGTCCTATCGACAGACATCACACATCAACAAGGTATCATAGTCATACATCAAGGAAACCTTCCACCTGTACAGGCTGTCCTCATAATCCGCCGGACAATATTCTTAGAACATTGAAAAAGAAAAAGACATTAGACATATGTACTTGGTCGGTGACCATAGCCGTTAGTGAGGCCTTTCACTCCATTGGGAAGCCCAGCTGTATCCTCAACATGGGAAGGCCCGGATATGTGCCCATTGGCCTGTGGGAAATTGAACGCGAGCGGCGCCGCAGGCTCCTGATCAATATGCATCTTCAGAAACTGGAGATCGAGACCATGCAGATGAGGGATATGGGGAACAAGGTCCATAAAGTCGGAGAGCTATGTGTAAGTCAGTAACCGCTCCTCCACACTGACAACAAAGCAAACGGGAAACAACGTACCTTCACCCAAAATACATGTTCCATATCGAAGTATTTTGGTCGTGTTTCGCTATCCTTCTGCATGACTTGTCCAAAGGATGAGTTCATAAATTCCGCATCATCCGCCTGAACAAGCATCCTCCGCGTAACACGCCAGAGATTCATCCGCTGTGTTGGTGTTGCATGGCGCTTCTCCCAGCTTGAATATTGTGCGAGCTGAAGATCATTAGTCGCTAGCAGCGGCGCAACTAGGTAGTTAGGTACCCATTTCTCCACGGCGACGTCCGGAGCACAGGAAGGGTCGAGTTGCCGAGTCTCGGCAGTAACAACAGGCATGAACTTCTTCAGCCATAGATGGTTCTTCGCCTGTGGGTCGTTGGACCCAACTAGATTAGCTGCAATGCGTAGACGATTTGGCAAGGCATCTCGTCGTCTTTGCTCTTGCTCTTCCTGCTCCCTGCGTGCTTTTGCAAGGCGTAACCTCTCTTGTTCGAGTCGCTTCAGACGCTCATCTTCCGCCTGTTTGATGCGCCTTTGTTCTGCCTCCTTGCGTTTGCGCTCTTCCTCTGCAGCTCTTTCCTTTTCCTCAGCAAGGCGGCGAGCTGCATGAGCAGCACGTTCTTCCTCTTCCTTTTCCCGCCGAGCTTTTTCTGCTTCCGCAGCGAGGCGAGCTTCTTCCGCCAGGCGTTCTTGCTTAGCCTTCCAGGCCTCCTTTTGTCGACGAACCTCCGCCTCCGCCTCCGCCTCCGCTTGTTCTGTATCGTCGTTCATAGGGATGTCGTCTAGACCATTGGTATCATGCCTTTCCTGTTCCTCCTTCACTGACTTTCGTTCTGCAGCTTTGTGTGATTGGCCTTCGGGCCGACGAATTGGATCTAGCTTGGGCTCTGGATGATCATCATCATCCTTCCGGCGAGGTTTAGCATCCCCAACTGCAAGTGCCTGGTCCTTTTTGAGGCCTCCGTTGGTGATATTCGGTGTTCCGTCTTCTGACAAAACCCGCCTTTTCTTCTGAATAATATCACGAGTTTGTCGATCGGGCTCCGCAGGACGACCGCGTTCGGGACTCGCACTGCTACGTCCACGCTTCAAGGGTAGCGGTCCGGATTTCATGGCAGACTCAGAATGATCAACACGGATTTTGGAGCTTTCATCTCGGCTAGATAAGGAATCGGATGAATGCAAACTTGGCCTCCTCCGATCTTGCGGAGGTCGCCCGGCAATCAATCGTCTCCGCTTAGGAGCCTCTTCTCCACGGCTAGCGGCGCTAGACTCCCCATCTTTCGACGAAAGAGGTTGCTTCACTCTTGAATCCGGACGAGAGATATCGGGTTCTGTGCCTGCACTATGAGCAGGCCTCGGACGTGGAACACTAGACTTCTCCTTCACGTAAGCTATATTGTCACGCCTCTTTTCTTTTAACGAGGCTACATCCTTAGACGCAAGATCTCTGTAGCTTGGACTTCCATTGGGCTTCCTGGGCCGGCCTGCAGGAGAAGGCGAATCTCTGCGTCCAGGCCGCTTGTTTTCCTTATCCTTGTCGCGCGCTCTACGTGGCGAGGAAACGTCCTGCTTGCGGGACTTCTTGGTCCTGACGTAATTGTCATACGCATCTCGAAGAAGGTCGTACTCGTCCTCCCAGTTTTCCGCTCGGCGTTCCCGAGAAAGTTCGAAATAAGTCCGATCTCTGTAGAGACGACGCGTGGGGTTGAATTCCGGTTGATTAAGTAAAATTCTGATAACAGCAAGGTTGCCCCGGCCAATTGCAGCTAGCATGGGTGTGTTAAAACCAGGTTTCTGAGAGCCACCCTGCACCGGGTCGGGGTCAGGAGCTGCGTCCCCCATACCGAGCAAAAGTGAAATCACCTCGTCGTGGCCACCTTTAGCAGCTGCAATCATAGACTCGGGATCAGCCTTCTGCCCCACATTGAGAATATTGGCAACTCCCACGATATCTCCTTTGGCAGCAAAAGCTTGTAAATTCTCTGGAGTCGCCGTTGTCCACAAGAGATCGTTTCGCGTAGCCTCACTTCGGACAGTTTTGCGCTTTGTTGTGGTAGCGAATGGCGGACTACGTTGTCTATTCGCTGGAGGCGATTCACGCACACTTTCAGCTGAAACCCGTCGGGACGATGTCTCTTTGTTTTCAGAACCAGCTCTCTCTTCAGAACGACGACTGGGTCTTGGGTTGGCTTTCGCATGTGCTAGTACTCGTCGAATCTCCTCGTAATCTTCACTGTCGGAAGGTACCAGGTCATACGGTTCGTCACCCTCAGCATTGACAATACGCGGATTGGCGCCGGCTTCCAACAAAAGCTTGACGACGTCCAAATGGCCGTTTTCCACCGCATCAATCAATGGCGTGTCTTTGTCAATGTTCTTAGTGTCGATCTCACAGCCAGAATCCAAAAGGAATTTAACAATAGGCGCGCATCCTTCCAGAGACGCAATCTGCAGGGGGGTATTACCGGCATTGTCGGCAACATTCAAGTCCTCTGGACGGTCGGCATGTCTGGCGATGGCGGTCTCCAATTCTTGAGCTGCACAAGCACGTGCAAGGCGTGTCCGGCCATTCTGATCGCGCTGTTTCTTATGGCCCATTGGCCTAGCAGGGGAAGCTGAAGCACCATCCACTGAGCCAAGTTTCCGAAGGTGCGCAGAAGGTAATGGTGATCCACTTGTAGATGATGACACGGACTGTCGGTCTTCCGAACTTTGCCGTGGATATCCAGTAATAAGTGGCGTTGGCGCCTTCTTCTTCCGTTGCACATCTCCAATCTGAGGACCTGACGCAGTTCGTTTGTGCACAGACCGGACTGGTGAGGCTGACCGATCCGTTGACACGGGTCGAGGGAATGTTATGCTGTTCAAATCCTTCCGCTGGTCACGAGACGCTGCAATCGGGCGAGCAGGACGGCCGGCGTCCCCCTCACCGTCAATCGTCTCGCTGAAGCTACGCTTCCTCGAGGTTCTGGGTGCGGAGGTAGTCGAAAGTTCAGTTCTAGTGGAAAAAGATTGCGAGTCCTCGGGCTTCTCAACTTTGACAATCGACAGCGGAGACACTATCCTTCTCCTTGGGCTCAAAGAACGTGGATCACGATCGCGTCCATCGGAAGAATCGCTATCCATCAACTTTCTCTTTCTCACCTGCAGGTCATTAGGAGGAAGGTCACTTTCTGCGGCATCAACATGGTCATCATCATCACGTCGTTTCGGTTCATGCTGTATGTACTTCCGTCTCTTTTCTGGTGACAGAGACTCTCGGCCCGATTGGATTATAGTTTCTGCCTCCGAGTCAGCCTTGGGGCTTGGTGGCCCTTCGCTCACCCCAGCAACAGGAACAACCTCTTTTCCGCGATCGTCCTCTCCTCTACGAGCAGGAAATGGAGAAGACCTCTTAGGAGACCGTAGACCTGAAGGAGATCGGTGGTTCACCTTGACCGCAAGAGCACTGTGTCCGGCATCCAGGGCAGCTGGCAAGGAGGAGACAGCATCAACATCACTCATAGCGGTGGCACTCGATTTCTGGGGGTTCCGCTCGTCATTTTCGGGGGCCGTGGCGAAAGAAAGACTCGTGGTCAGACACCAGCAAGTATGCGCGGAAGCTGGTGCTCGACCACGCTAGACGGTAAGAATTCGTTCGTTGGGTCGGTTCTTCGAAGACAGCGAAAGTGATGATTCTCGGCGAATGAAGGGAAAAGTACCGTAAGTCGGGATAGGATGGGAGCAGTAGGTGACGAGAGCGAGTAGCTTAAATTACTCGAGAGTTCAATCTTGCGGGAGACGGACGGAGGGGCAAGGAAGAGGAGGGAGAGATAAAATAAGATTTAGAAGGGAAAAAAAAAAAAAAGAGAAAGAAGAGATCAGTCGAGAAATAAGAGAAAAAGATAAATTTCGAGGTTTAAGGTGGGAGAGCAAGAGATCGGGGGAGGGGATTGAAGAGAGGAAGAAAGAGAGAGAAGAGTCGAAGAGTTGCGTTGAAACAGCCGACCACTCAGTTGGGTTTAGGGAAATTTCATGGTAGTAATTTGGGAAGTAGAAGCAAAGCAGCAGCAGTAGTCGTCCAGAAGCGGGTTGGTGGTAATGGTAATTATTGCCCCGGGAAACTTACCAGCCGGGGTCTTGTTTTTTCGACCACCAAGGAAACAGAAGCAACCTATGTATGCTTTTTTTCGGGCTAACTAAAGATAAGACTTTGGGTAGTAACTAGTAGGTCGTAGTTACTATCTACTAATAAGTAGTGATGGTATGATACCGTATGAGAAACAAGCCCATCTTGATTTTACCCACTTTGGAGCATGATGAGGTACTTTTCGTGATCACATAACACCAGTTCTTTTTCTTTTTCCTTTTCCTTTTTCCTTCCTCTCTCTTATCTTTGTGGCAATGGGGTACCTACAATAATGAATCAACCCTATTAAAACCCACAATTCTTCCACCCCCTCTTCTGCATCCGAACAACAATAAATACGTAATACAGATGCAGCCGCAACGGAGGTACAGGGGGCAATGTGAAAGGCTGAGTCTCAACCTGCGCGAAGGCCCAAAGGCGGGCGGGGGCGGTCAAAAAAAAAAAAGGGTGGCGTCTGAATGAATTAATTTTCTCTTGTTTTTTAGGGTGCCTCTGAAACCTGCACTTTTGGAACGGAGGTGAGAAGTGCTGGACTCCAGAGGAATCCCTGGGAGCTGCGTAGGCTATCAGACTACCCTAGGCGTCAATTTGTCCTGGTCAAGCCAATGACCGTCCTGAGGGTAACCCGCTTCCAGCCGGTTTCGGCCTAGACGGCTTTTCTCTCAATTTGGCAGACCCACGTTAGTCGCAGCGATCTGCTTATTCCTGACCAATCATAATAACGCATTTGGGCCAGGCTATGGCCCCATGTCGCCCCCTTCTCTGGTTGGCGTCTGCATGGATTATTGGACCCATCGTCGGATCGGCCTTAAAAGGAGAAGGGGGGTACTGGTGGTATTGAGGAATGTACCAATGTAATGTGTGGTGGTATCTTGTCTGTTCCGTAGTCATTCCTTTCTCTTCTACTTTATTACTTCTTCTTTTTACCTTCCTTTTTTTCGTTAGTAACATTTCTGATTTAACTTTGGTAGTTGATCTAATTCGATTTTGACTGATTTAAAGGGGGGAAGAATGGGACAGATGCAGGAGAGAAAATGTTGGTGCAAAATGCATTTGTTTACTTTTATTTTACTGCCTACCTACTATTAGTTTAGTCGACGTTACTTCATACCAAAACAAAGAGGCGACATTTAGTGCTATCTCCTCTGGCTTCTCACGACTCACGAGACCTCGGTGGGACCCAGAGGATGCCGATTATTACTTGGTTTGGGGGTTTGTTTATGATTTTATGACTGCTCATCTTGCCTTGGCCTGTGGAGTCTCGGTGGTTTTTGTTCTCCACAAACAGCAGTCGAACGTGTCTCATGGCCATGACAGAACAGGGACCATCAAGTATTGCGAATACGAGGTTTCACCTGCGGGATCCGTCCTAGAATCGCGTAACAATGAATTCCCAGCAAAACATCCCTCAGAGTGGTTGCGCTGTCCTGAATCATCAATCAATCACCTCCCCCAATCTGCCGTTTCCTTTCACTCCAACCACGTTGGGACAGAATTCGTTAATGATGGATGTGCTTCCCCGTCTCGTCGACAGGGCGCTAGCTATTGCGCACTTGGACGCGGTAGATGCCCTGCGAGCCTTCTTTCTCTTTGCATCGTGTACGGTATGGACTTGTTGACAATGACGTAGTGGTGGAACGCCGAGCATTATATGGCATCAGTCTACATTTATTGTTTTCTACGTTATTATTTCTTTTTCTTTCTAAAATGGCTTCAGAACTAAACTCCACAGATCCTGTCGGTCAGCCTGTTAGATTCCCTTCGATCGCGCTTCGTCCCTTATGGCGCTCGTGCAACCGTGAGTTTCGAGTCGGATTCTACCCCCTCTGAGCTTTCGAGCAGCTCTCCGTTATCTCACATTCTCGACTATCTGGCCTCCTTGAAAGTCCCCCACAGCTATTTCACGCAATTCTACGTTGTCTCGGTATTATCCTCCGTTTTCTGGGGCGCTCAGCTCCTGTACCATGGACAGGCATTCCAGGCCATCGCGACGAGAATACACCCGGAACACCTGCAGAGGACGATGTCAATCAACCAGATTATGCTGTGCTGGCTGTTGATGCTCGTCCAGGGGGTGAGACGGTTACATGAGTGCTTCGCCTTTTCCAAGCCCTCTTCGTCCCAGATGTGGTTTGCGCACTGGCTGGTGGGGATTGCCTTCTATCTAGCAATCTCGATCGCACTGTGGATTGAGGGGACAGGTACGTAGTTCCCGTGATGGATCCCGATTTCTGGCCCGCTAATCTCGACCGGCTCCAAATCACAGAATCGTTGTTGTCCCATAAATTGAGCCTCGACGATGTAACTGTGAACATCGCTCCAAGCCTGCGTACATTTCTCTGTCTGCCAATCTTTCTGTTTGCATCTGGCCTGCAACATGACGCCCACCATTATCTGTTCTCTCTCACGAAGTACACCCTTCCTTCTCACCCCCTGTTCCGAAGAATCGTATGTCCGCACTACACGGCTGAATGTGCGATCTACCTATCATTGGCTCTGCTCGCCGCGCCCCGAGGAGAGCTGATCAACAAGACGGTTTTATCCGCTGCCGTCTTTGTCGCAGTCAACCTAGGCGTCACTGCAGCGGTTACCAAACGCTGGTATATGCAAAAGTTCGGCGAAAACTCGGTGCGGGAAAGGTGGAACATGATCCCTTGGGTATACTAATGATGTAGCATTGATACACCTATGGAGTCTCTCATCACTGGAAGCCGGAAGTACGGGTAATATCACCGCCCACTCAGGAATTTCATCGTACTTCCCACCTTCGCGACTTTGAGCACATCCCGATACGTCAAACTAATCCTAGTTTCCCTTTCAACCCATCCGCATCGGTATCGATCCTGCTCCCGCAACAAATCCCAGTTACATATAGAGTCGGGGCCTAGCTCTTCATCCTTCGTTGTCTCCGCGATTCCATGCAAATAGTCAGTGTAGATCTTCTTGGTCGTAACCAGCAAACTTCGTCGCTCTTGCAAAACCCGATGCAGCAGCCTACAACCCTCATCATCTCGACCCTGGCCCTTCTGGTATAGATCTAGCACAATTGGCGCACCCAAGCTCACCGTGGCAACCATAGGATGATACGCTGGTCCGTCTTCATGCGGCAAAATACCTTGTCCCGGATGGTACTCGTTCACTAGTACATGATTCGGGGCGCGGTGCGGGGCATCAGCAAAGACACCTAGCGACTCAAAACGAGGGATGACAGGTGAGACGAGCCAGGGTGGAAGAGGAGAGGAGATGAGAGTGTTAGCGTTGGAGAGGGCAGAAGGCCAGGTTTGGAGACGACGGTGGGACAGGTGAGTCCAGCGGGGCAGAGGGGCTGTGGTGATCTGTCACGTATTATCACACCAATCAGTATCCAAGTCCTATCAATGGGCTATGCTCTGTATATGGCCATGATTGAAATCATCGTAGACGGTAAATGAGTGGAGTACATGTACCTTCTGTAACAGCAATTCTTCCTCCTCTTCCGTGATGAAATCCGCTACGTAGAACGCATCATCAGGCAACGACTTGACCCGTGCCGTCTCAAGATCTGCACTCATCTGGAACTCCCTTTCAGATAAAAAGCGATAAAACCAAGGAAATCCCGCCTCTCTCAACCCTTTCCAAGCGATGAGCTAGGAGCCCTCCCCCACCCATCAAATCAAACCCAAAACAAAGAGAACCTTAAGACGGCACAGAAAGTAAAGCTTTGGAAAATTATAAAAGTCATGTCGTCACCAACCACATATGTAGTTTTAAGTAAATACCCCAGTCGGCCTCAGGCACCCACCCCACCAAACGCCCCACCTCTCACCTCAACACCAAAACTGAAGATCAAATTAATTCGCCCATATCGATCTCGACCGAGCCTTCGCCAACCCAGATCTTGGAAAAGGCAAAAAAGAAACATAAAGACCAAGATAAGGACACCCTTCTCGAAAATTTCCAAAACAAACAAAATAATTTAAAAAAATAAAAACCCCCCAAAACCCAAAACCCAAAACCACATACTAAAAACAACATCCCCGCAATCATGGCGCCCAAGAACAAAGGTGGCGACAAGAAGGCCAAGGGAGGTGATGAGAAGGGGAGTAAGGGCTTAAAACCGGCTACGTCGATTAACGTGCGGCATATTCTTGTATGTATCTACTTATTCTTTCCACCCACGTTTCTTCATTTCTTGTGGGTGTTTGGTTTTGGGGGGGAGCCTGATACATATAAAACGGGGGTGATTCGATTACGTGTAGATTTGGTGTTGAATGATTTAAATATGAGATTTTTTATCTAATTCTGGTCGGTTTATTGCAGTGCGAGAAGTTCTCGAAGAAGGAGGAAGCGTTGGAGAAGCTACGCAATGGGGCTAAGTTTGATGAGGTTGCCAGGGAGTTTTCGGAGGATAAGGCTAGACAGGGTATGTGGTATTTCTATTCTCTATTCTCTGTTTCTTATTTTTATTATTTTACCTCCCTCTCTCCTCTTCTTGTTCTTCTTCTTGGATTTGGCAGACAGGGATAATTCTATGTATTGATGGGTTCGCGTAGGTGGTTCTCTTGGCTGGAAAGTCCGGGGAAGCCTTGATGGGTCTTTCGAGAAGGCGGCATATGAACTGGAGCCCAGTACCACGGGCAATCCCAAGTACGTGGAGGTGAGGACTGGCTTCGGATACCATATTATTATGGTCGAGGGGAGGAAGTAGTCCCCTCGTTTTCCCTGTTATGCATCTATAACTTCTTCCATGTCATGGAGAGGGATGGACGTTGTCAAATGAAATAATACCATATCAAAAACCGAGATGTAATTATCAAAACAAGTCTATATACATGAGCTACACAACGTTCTACTGGCGTTTTGCGGCCTTCGCCCGCTCCTTCGCTTTCTTCTCCTGTCTCTGTACCAGTGCTTCTGCGCCGATACCGCCGAAGACAAGGCCCACACCTAGCCACTGTCCGGCAGATAAGGAGTGGCCGAACCAGAAGACACTCAGGAGCATGGTCAGCATCTTCCGTGTAACAGTCACAGTCACCAGGAGCAGAGACGAGAAGCGGGAGAGGGTATAGAAGATGAACAGCTGCCCAACTGCACCGCAAGCTGCGAAGCCCAATACATGCTTCAGAGCCTCCGGGTGCCTAGAGAGGAAGGAAATGGCGGACGTTAATTCTGTCTCAGTAGACGGGGGGATGGGAACGGGAAGAATAGCATGCAAAATGCCGGTGGACGACAGATGGGGCATCACGAGGAGATACGTGGTGGTCAGGAAAGTAGAGAGAACATTCTGGGCCACCATCATCTGCGGACCCGTGAAGCGCGTGTAGGTTTGTGGGGAGCTGAAGACATGGTCTTGAGTAGTGTTCGTGAGGCCATCCAAGAGAAGATTGATAGAAAGGAGGAAGATTCCCCACATGGACGAGCCCGACTGGTTCTTCACGGCTGATGCAGCGACCTTCTTGCTTGTGCCTGGGTGGTGGAGGGTGAAAGTTGCGACACCGAGGGTGACGAGAAGAACGACACCGTATTTATACAAGGGATACCTTTTCCGGAAAATCGTCAGATGCAGAAACATCACAGGAAGCAGCTTGCATGATTTCGCAAGGATGAAGGTCAGATAGTCGATATGCGACAGACTGGCGTATCCAAATGGCGATGCGAGCGACGAGGAAATGCTGACGAGGAGCAAGGGGAACAATATGTTTCTGGTCGGAAAGATAGATGGAACCTTCTGGCCAGATGGCGTAGAGAAAAGAAGGTACAGGAAGCCAGTGATAGCAGCAAATGAGGACTGAATCGTGTTCAGGACAATCGAATAGGTGAAGCGCTCGGTAGGAGGTTCTGGTTCAGCTGCGGTTGGAGGATGGACGGGGTATGAGACCGTAGTGATTGCTTCTTGAAGGACACCCCAAGAGAGACTTGCACGACTGTTAGTTGCTTTCAAAGTACCCAAGGCGACTAGATCGCTTACAACGACGCATAGATTCCCAGGACACAAATCGCAAGTTGCGTCAAACCTGGAGTCTCTAAAGCAGCTCCATGCGCCGCTTGTTGCTTGGACGCATTGCCATTGGCGACGGGTTCCTTCGCGCTGCCATTCTGTTGCTTTGTTTGTGAAGCAGATCCCTCCGGGGGCATGTGCATTAATTCAGAGGAAGTCGCCCGTTGCAAGGGCGTTGCCTGCTTTTGGCGTGCCATGGAAATAAGCTATAGCAGAACAAGTTCAAACGAGGGACAAAGACAATTAAAAGTTCAAATAGGTAATGAAAGGAAATACTTTATGAGAGTGTAAGGAGAATAAGCATGAGACATAAAAGAAAGGAGCAGGAGCTGGCCAGAAATAAAGGGCAGCGATGATGCCATGTGTTCTTCTTTTTCCCAAAAAAGAGGAACGCTAACTTAATTTCGTGAATAATTAAATCGGATTTTCATTTATTTAAATTCCCCACTTCAAGGGAAACTCTTCCTCCACCGTTAGAGATACTCGGTACAAGGACCGGATGCTGAATTTTACCTTGCAGTTTCTTTTACCCAATTTCTAGCCAACTAAAGTAGCTGAAGTCGGTCCTTGAACCGAAGTCTACTAGCACAGATCCCGCATTCCGCACTCCACAGGCGCAATAAGTGAACGAAGGGTCGAAAAAAAAGAGAGCATCGACAGATCGAGAAAGAAAGATACAACGAACCGAAGACTAGAAAGAAAGAAACAAAAAGACAATATGACATCAACAAAGTCCACTTCAACTAGAGCACCAGACCCCTCAGCTCTCACCACCCTCATATCCACCTCTGCATCCTCCGATCCCCTCTCCGCAAGCACAATCCAAATCCTCCATAACCTCCAACACCAGCACCTATGGACATCGGTCCAAGTCCATAATCTCAATGCCTCCTCTCCAGCAGCAGGATCGGCACCAACATCTTCAGGTGACCAATCGACTACGCCCTACTTAATCTCCGGTATACCTCCGCATCGAGTCTATACACACCCAGACGAGCAATTATATCTATTAGAGCGAGGACTCCGGGCAGAAGACGTTGAGTTGGAGCGCCTGTTTGTTCTTCCAACCATAAAGAACCAACTTTGGAGTTTGCGCAAGATGGCGGCTGTGTTTGATTCGCTTCCTGATGAGGCAGAGATCCAGGCCGTGGAGGTTTCGATGAATGAGGGGGCCGGTGGAGAAAAGGCAGCCAAGTTGGCGGAATATTATGAGTATAGGAACAAGGCGCGTCTGACAAAGGAGTGGGGTGGAAAGAGGCTCCTCCTTGCAATGGTGGATAGGGGGATGGGCGGTGATGGGACTGTGGTCTACTATATTGTCCAAGAGGGCGCTGTGAAGCCTCGCCAAAATTAAAAACCCCTTCCTTTGCACGTATATGACGACGGTATGCGGCTCCAAGATATATAACAAGCGCGGCGATATCGGATCGGGCTAAGAATATCGTACGACATGAGAGGTCATGGTCATTCTCTTTGATATGCTATACAATTTGAGCTATACATTCAAGCGCTAAAACATGGGGTTGCCGTCGAACTCATTCACGAGTTTAAAACCAGACCCGTTAATTGCAATAGGGTATCGTCAAAAAATATCAGAGGACCCGGAATACACAAAATGACCCACAATTCTCTGGCGCCTGCTTATGAGCTGCCATATACACGGTGATTTCCTTCCACTAGCTCTTGCTCTTGACTGCAGCTAGTACAATACCTTTCGTACCATTCCTTGACGTCGTCTGATAACTCAGCGAACGCGCTTTGGCCCGCCCGATCCACCTGCACGGCAACCTCGTCACCGTCATCACTCTTTACAAGTAGGGCTTCGATTTGGTGGCAACGTCTCAGTTCTTGTCGGAGCCAGCGCTCCCATTCGTTCTGAAGAACCTCTCTTTCAATGCTGTTCAGAACGCGGAGGCCTACCACGAGGTCATGTCGATACATAGCCAGACGCTCACGGGTTTGCTGCAGCCGTCTGGCTGCGCTCTTCGTCGCCGAATCTCTCGGGCCAGATGTGCTAATGGACAACGGGGTTCCAACGTTCCGTATTGTTTGCTGATGGAAGGTGGCGAAGCAGTCGCTTACATTGTCGCTCGATTGCCCGAGGGTTGAATTTGCAATCACTTCATCGATATCTCTCATGTAAATAGCTTTGCTCATGACATGGTCTGGATGGATTCCCAGACGAGCCATGAAATTCTCGGCTTTCCTTTCATACCACCAATCATAGGCGTCGCGTGAGGTATAGAAACCATTAATCAGCATGCTTGATATTAATAAGGCGAGAATAATTAGATTTGCGTTTGCAGTCTTCCAGACCCAGCGGAAGAAGGCAAATGTCCAAAGCATCACGGATGAAATAGCGCTCTCGAGGAAGCTGACGAACGTCTCAAATAAAAGCTGAACTAACGTCCTTTGAGTACGAGGGTTTCGAATCTCTATCTTTAAATCCAATTCGCCTAACTGCGATACGGTGTTCTGGCGGCCGACTTGACCGAAGATGGTAATGGCTTTCTTGGTTCGGCTATGTGCGCCAAGCCTGCGCACCTGCTCGCTCACAAGATCAACAAGATCCAAAGCATCTTGCTCTAGGTCGCCATTTGCCTGTTTGTCAATAACACCTGGTGATCATTAGCAATGATGTATAAGGACCAGCTTCTGAAATGCTCACTTTGAATGCCATAGGGAGACCACAACCACTCCACCTTTGTATAGACAGCAAGCTTACTCTTACCCTTCGCGGCGAAGGTGATCACAATCTTACTGACTAGCCTGAACGAGCGCTTGAATGGAAGATGCCAGGGAGTCCTTTTATCCGTTATCACATAGCACAGGTGGTCATTAAGGACGTCTATCATCTGATAGTCGGATATGTCCTGGCCTTGTGTATGTCCTAGTAGACATCCTGTTAAGAGGTAGTTCTATACATTTTATAAGGCCGAGGTACATACCCAATATATTTGTCGTCTCGATCTGGTATTTGAAATCCCGCCTCAAATGGTTAGATTCGTTGCGAGTCCAAGGTCCTTGTTTAACATCTTCCGACGAGTCAGCATAGCCCTAATATTCTATATGGAATATTATAGCTTACCTTGTGCCCTTCTTTGGTGCAAAAGGAGCTGCCAGACAGCACTTTTGTCGCCGAATAGGATATGGAAAACCGCCTTAGGGCTGAGATCAAATACCTTCTCTGCTGCAAGATGAAGGTTCCCTTGAGGAACGTACTGGACGGGCTGTGTTGGTAATCGGAACTTCATCACATCCTTGCCATTGCTACCCTTCCTCGAATGCATATCTAAACCTTTCTCAATGTAGAGGGCCGGCCGAATATCCTTCCGTGACCCTTGGATTGCAGCATCTTCTCCAGAAAACCTTTCGTCCATGCCCACGTCCTCCCAGCTATCGAGGCTAGGAGTTCGTGTTGTCGCATCTGATTCCATTTTATTTAGAGCGCTAAAGATTGCTTCGAGCCCCAGAGGCTCGACTGCGGTCGCATCGTCGATTAAGAAATTGAGGCGCCTCTGGAGAAGCTTCAATGGCTCAAGGAAAGTCTTCACCGTAATCCGACCAGGGGTATCTTCGCCAGGCTTTGGAACGGTGTGGAAGAACAGAAAATCGGAGTCTCGTCCAGCAGCGGCCGTCACCTCTTTGATGCTCTCCAACGAGACACTTGTTGTCAGTACGAGCCCAAAGTAGTGGCTATAGAAGTACAAGTCACGGGTAGTAACATAAGCTCTGCCAGGAAATTCTTGATGATCATTCATAGCATATGTAGCTCGAAACACCATAACCAAAGGCTCCTCCCTCTTAACGTTTGGGAAAAGCAATCTGAATTGGGCGTCTTGGATCTTGAGCTGCTGCGGATAGTAGCTCGGATACTCGTGCGTAACACCCAAAATTGCTCGCTGCACTTGGGTGGCATTATTCCCGTCCAGGCTAACAGTCTGTCTGTGGCGGGGTCCAGACTTCTGTTGCTTAGCCGCCATAGAGCCACTAGGAGTATTCGCTTCTGATGATAAAACTTGTTTCGATGAGCCATTCATCAACGAGGACGGCTGTTGTTGAGAGTTTGCATCTTGCTCTGCGTCGGAAAGTCCACGGTGTTCAAGTTCAATCCTGTTTACGAAACTCCAATTAGAGCTACCCCATAAGTTTGCCATCATACCACTAGGCATGCCGCCAGTCTTATCAGTATGCCCCAGCCCGATTCCTCGTTCATTGCTCACAATAACAGCTGCCTTGCTCATACTTGTAGGAGCAGGGGGATTTGCTAGAGTTGGGGGTGCGAGGGTTGTGGGAGGGTCAAAACGGTTGGACATACTGCGCCCTCTACTCGCGTCGTTATCTGCTACACTAGAAGGTAGCGCGGTACCGGAAACGAGCGTATTATGACTAGCAGAGATAAGGCTGGCTATTCCACCGCTCGCACCCGGTATGGAGGTAGACGGTTGAACATTGTTGTTTAGTTTGCGGTGGAGATCCAATTTCTGAATAATTCGATTTGTGTGTTCTCTGGGGGAATTTTCAGGTTCAAGACCAGTGAGCCGCCGGGTGATATCGCTGCTGTTGCGAAGAGAGCCTGGGTCTCGTTCTGGGAGAGGAAGCATCCCACTGCGATCTGATGAATGCTGTTCATCGCTCGAGTGGGGCGTTAGAGAATCCGCTGGTTCAGCAGTGAACTCGGGAGCTGGAGGCTGGGAAATTGCGAAAGCTGGATCTTGGACAGTAACTTTGCCGGAAACCGAAAGGTCGGTGCTGGCTGGGTTTTCCAGGGCTTTCCGTTTAGCAGCCTCGAAAGCAGAAATCCACTCCATCAGTTCCCTTTGAGTCTCTGCCTGGAGCATCACACTGCTGCTTTTTGTCTTCACCTCAAAACAAAACCGCCGTTCTTCTTGGAATGCCGCTCGGACACTGCAGAGTAGAACACCTATTCTTTCGCTTTCTTCAACGCCTCCAGTTCGCGGACCCTGCACAAGACAACCAAAGATGCCATTCTTTAAGAAGATCCAGCGCCTAACCCAAGTGGTCCGTGTAGGCTTGCCATAAAGAGTTCGCAGGTACACCCACCCCTGTTTTTCAGGTCTCGCTTCTTTTGTCATGCTGAGATTTGATAGTGGACGAGACCCAAGATAAGGGACAGTGGATATAGAATAGTCGTCAAGTTCACGAGACGGCCTAGCCACTGTCTCCGCCACTTCTTCAATCTCTTTCCTTGCGGAAAGTAGCTCGCGCTTTGAAGACCTTTCACTTGCATCCATTTCAAGAACCCAGCCTTTTATCCTATCCATCTCATGAGCGAACTTGGCAAGGCTTGCGCCGTTTATTAGGTGGAATGTCCTAAACTCTCGCCATTGATCAAAGGACACGCCGATTAAGAGCCGGTCAAGGCCATTCCGCACCTGGGGAGCTTGCACGGAAAAATCCATCGACGCCTTGATATAAGCTTTGCGAGCCTCATGAAGTTGAAAGGCATCTTCTCTCAGAGATGAGGGTTCCTTCGACTTGGATTGCGCCGAATATCTGGATAGAAGGTTGTCATAATGTTTTTGTGTCTGATCGAGCACTCGGCGGGTCTCCTATGGCGGGGTTAAATACTGATTATCTGAGGCTGTTCGTATGTGATATTGTTACCTTGAAGTTGCGCAAATCATCCTGAATAAAGACTCTGATAGGTTCTGCAACCAATATCTCAATCTTCTTTGAAGTGGATACCAATCCACTCCACAAATCCTTCGAGCTGTCGCCGCACCTCTTCATTGACAACAACGTATAATCATGGTCGAGAGCCGCTTCTGAGACGGCGAGGGGATGTGTAGAATACGACAGAAAGGTGCTGACTATGCCCTCCATGGCTGCTAGCTCTGTAGAGAGCTTTGAAGCAGCCTTCGCGTAGCCATCAAGCCATCTTTCAAGATACTCAATTTGGTCGGAAAAGTGTAGTGCGGTGGCACGGAATGTCGGCGAGTCGAGAGCGGCCTCCTTTAAGCCAACCGGGCTTTATCGATACTGTCAGTATAATTCATTATCTCTTATATCTGTGGAAACGCATTGCCCAGACAACTCACACGACGCTGACGAGCTTCCCGACCTGGGGCACAGGGCTTTGTTGCTGGGTCGACATCTAGTGTATATCGCCGGCCATACACTTGACGCGAGGAAAGGTAGCGATGAGGACACACAAACAATGGTGCCCCAATCAGTCAATTTAATAATATAAGGGGCATTCGAAACAAATAGGGGTATGGGTCAGAGAAGGAAGTAGAGATCATATAGTCCGGGAGCTTGGAGCGAGCGCCTCCTCCGTCGACTCCATTCGGGGATTGCCCAGGCGCACGAATGATTTAATTGGCTACGTCAGTGACTTGTTTTGCAGCCTAGATCCTCAGGCATAGTGGATCTCATATATTAAGGCGGTGAGATTTGGTGGCTTTTCTGCCGCCCGCTATTCACTTTTTTTTTCGGGCGCATGCGGGCTTTGTTGAACCAGCGTGTTTCCCAAGTGCATTGCCCTTAATTTTATCAGTGCTTACTGGACGCAAGGATGGAGCCACCTGCGAAAAGGTCGCGGAAGCTTTTCGATGATGACAGCTCCAGCGATTCTGGAGACGAGTCCGGCGGAGTCCCAGTCAACAATGCAGACACCTTCAAAGTGAATGAAGAGTATGCCCGTCGGTTTGAATACAACAAGAAGAGAGAGGAAGTACAAAAATGTATGCTCATATAGCTTGAAATCCTATGTACTGAGATAAGCTAACTCGGAGAATGTCTACAGTGGAATCAAAATTAGGCAAAGGCTCTGCCTTTGGGAAACGTGGCGACGATGAGTCTGGCGATTCGGACGACTCGACTTCTGAAGAAGAGGACGATGACGGAGAATTGGCTACCGAAGCGCTTGATGCGGAAATTATGGCGACCATCAAGGCGATCAGATCGAAGGATCCGCGTCTGTATGACAAGGAAGTAAATTTCTACAGCCAGGTCGATGAAAACGGCCAGCCAACGACCTCTGAAAAGAAGCAGAAACCAATGACCCTCAAAGATTACCATCGAGAGAACCTATTAAGCGGTGCCAACTTGGCGGAGGATGATACTTCCGAAGCTCCAAAGACATATGCGCAGGAACAAGAGGACTTGAAGAATGCCATCGTCAAGGAAATGCATGCGGCTGCCGACCAGGGAGATTCATCAGCTGACAAGGAGAGTGACGGCGATGAAGAATTTCTCGTTGCCAAATCAGCCCCCGAGACTCTACCGGCCTCTAAAAAAGACGTCAAGCTGGACATTGAGAACGCAGACAAGGATCCAGAAACTTTCCTTTCCAACTTTCTGTCATCGCGAGCATGGATACCTGCTGGCAAGGCAGATTTCCAACCTCTCGAGTCTGATGATGAAGATGATGATCGGCGGGCAGAGGTATTCGAAGAAGCATACAACTTCCGCTTTGAAGATCCTAGCAAGATGAACGCAGCGTTGATTACACATGCTCGTGATGCCACAAATCAACAATCAGTCCGCAGAGATGAGAAGAGCAGTAGGAAGAAGCAAAGAGAGGCGGAGCGATTGAAGAAGGAAGAGGAAAAGAAGCAGCGTGAAACGGAAAAGAACCGACTACGGAAACTAAAGATGGAAGAGCTTCAAGAGAAGGTCAACCAGATCAAGGAAGTCGCTGGCTTTCATGCATCTAAATTTACTGACGAAGAATGGGCCAAGTTCTTGGATGATTCCTGGGATGACAAAAATTGGGAAAAGGAGATGCAGAAGCGTTTTGGTGAAGAATATTATGCCGGGGAGGGTGAGGGCAAAAGACACCCAAAGAAGCCCACATGGGATGATGATATCGATATCAAGGATCTAGTACCCGACTTTGACGAGGAAGAGAACCTCGACGTCCAGCAGTCCGATGTTGAGATGGATGATGTGGACGACGTCGAGGGCGATGAGAACGCATCCAAGAACAAGAAGAGCAAAGCACAGGAGAGGCGGGATCAGAAGCGTGAAGCTCGCAAGGATCGAATGCGTATTGAAGAGGCACTGGATCGCAACCTGGACCTGGAAATTGACCTCCTCCCTGGTGCATCTAAGAAGCATAAGGGAGAGTTCCGTTACCGTGAAACATCTCCCAATAGCTTTGGCCTGACCGCACGAGACATCTTGATGGCCGATGATTCGCAGCTCAATGAGTATGCTGGATTGAAGAAACTTGCTTCATTCCGTGACCCTGAAAAGAAGCGCCGTGATCAGAAGAAATTAGGCAAGAAAGCTCGGTTGAGGCAGTGGCGTAAGGATACATTTGGCAACGAAGAAGGCCCAGAGTTTGTCTTTGGTGGTGAAAGAACGGCTCGTGGGAAAGAAGATGGCACTGATGCCGGGGAGGTCGATATCCGGGAAGGAGAACCGAAAAGGAAGAAGAGAAAGAGGTCGAAGAAGCACTAAAAGTGCCTGAGAGCAAGCTTTGCTTATATTTACTACTGGCATTGGAGTTCCATCTGCATCCGGAACCGTTAAACCCTTTCATTATTTGGAGTTACTTTTCTGTACCTGTGGGCTTTATCAAAAAGAATCGGAAATCATGAATATACCAAAAGTAGAAAGTTTGCACGTGAATGGCCCTCCATTCGATATGTAAATTCATCTAGTTCTGCGAAGAGACCAGTATTACTCCGTATGGCATTTCTCTATTAACAGTGATTATTGAACTACGACCAACAAGTTTAATTCTTCGCGTGTATATACTAGTAGGTATATCCAAATCCATTGCCTACTCTGTATCCGATTGAAGCTGTAGCATTTGGCTCTCGACCGCCGGAATACCGAGCGTTTACCAAGTAGTATCCGAGAGGTGGCAATCGGGCAGAATGAAGGATTTTCCTGAGTCTAGAATCGGAAAGGAAGTGGCAAGTTCTATTCCTTGACGGAGGAAACCGATTCCTTAGACCTGGGGGCTCAACCCCTACTTGCCTTGCTTAGCCAGTCAATATTATAAGCAGGATGGCCAATATTGTTGTTGATGCTGCTGTTCCTGCTATGAGTGAGCATTCATAACCAAAGGCGGAACCCCATGTTCGGTGGGTCTCCGTTTCAACGGGTTGAGAAGTTTTACACTAGCTTTGTTGCCCTGTCATTAAAAAGGAATGGCCAAAAAGAATTTTTTTGAAGGGAAGCCGTGTGGATCCGCATGGAACCGTCCGTATCTGGCTCTGTCGCATTATCTTTGACGTCGTGTCTTTGGACATAATGGGTATCTAATATTGAAGTCTAATAATGAATCAATTGATCATGGTACGGTGTAGAGAGGGAGTAGAAGAGTAAGGGAATAAAAAAATTTCACCTCTCGTATTGACAGGTCCGAAAGCTTGAAGGTGGAATTTTCATGGACACGTATGTATCAATAATACCTAATAATATCCGAGGTAGTTTGAGGTACAGTACGGAGGACACATGAGAAACCTTGGAAGTAAACTAAGGATAATATATAACTGAAAATGAGGGATTTAGCCATGGTCAGCCCTGCCAGCCAGAGAGGCTGATATCAAAGATATCGAAGCTTGAACAGACAGCAAATAGGAGAAATGGAATGAATACAACTAGTCCGGAGTATTATTCAAGATGTCTAGTGCTATTCAAACGGTGTATGAACGCCATGGCAACCGATAGCCGGCGACGCACACGATCAAGTCTACTCCGAAGCTGCAGATACACAATTACCAATCCCGTACGGTTCTTTGGTACATCGAGATCCAGTGATCGTCTTTAAATTGGCTAGTCTAGTTTCCTATGGTGTATGGCGAAAATATAACTCAGTCAAAAGACCTAATCATGCCGCTTAAATTTTTAATTTGCCATCGGATACTCGGGACCAAAGGAAAGAAGGGGATTTCCCCGTGTGGGTGTGGGTGAGAGTGTCTGTGTTGTGAGCGTGGGAGCGGAGAGGCTCTAATTGTTTGTTGGTTCACTCAGGACGGGGAAATGGGAAGAAGCAAGAGAAAAAAAGTTTCCCAGGGAATATGGAACCTTCTCACCGTACAGTATCAGACACCCTAATCGGTATGCATCCGAAAATAACCAAAAACTGATATCCCCTCCTTGAGACAAAGGATATAATTATAGAAATACGATTTCTTCAACATATGAATATATAAAAAGAAAGGACCAAATAGTTCCAGATAGCTACGGAGTATGGAAACTAAATCGTCAGGATTTTTTTCCTTTTCTTTTTTTGGTCTCATTTCGGCGGTATTGAGAATTACAGAACCAGTCGGAATGGTTTCTGGAGCGATCGGGAGATATCGGCTCTGGTTGCCTGGGCCAGCATTAGCGCCGGTTCCAGTTTTTTTTTTTTTTTCTCCCTGGACTGCCGGTCGCTGCCACAGCGAAATTGGCCAGAGAATCCAAAAGCGGTCTTAGCGTCTCCGCTCGCTTCTTCCCGCTTACAAGAGTCTTCCCTCGCTATTTTTTCCTCCCTTCCCCTTCCTTTCTTCTCTTCCTTCTTTCATCCCCTGTGAAAGTGTCCTGTTTCCTTGACACTCTCTTTCCATCTCCTCTCTTTTGTGTTTAATTTTTGTTATTCACGACCGTCATCATGGCCCAGGGTGACGTTAACCAGGGCGACAAGTCCGTTTTCGGCATGCCCGTAAGTTACTACCATCACGCCGTTCTGCTTGTCAAATCTCCGTATCTCGCGCTTCCAGGTCTCAATGGATCGTACTGCACTTGCTGCATTGAATCGACCATCGCAGCCATGTGGGAATATGAGATGCCGAAGATTTGACGGGAAGAACATGCCATTGTTCTTGGGATTGCTCGCTGACAGAATTTTTCACAACAGGGATTCGTTGTCGACTTCCTGAGTATGTTTTTTCTGAACACCCCTTGATCGATCAGCCAGAGGCGAATCGACCAATTCCCATCAAAAAAGAGATCAGAGGATCCCTAATCCCGAAGTCAACACGTACTAACTGATTTCAACAGTGGGTGGTGTTTCCGCTGCCGTCTCCAAGACTGCTGCTGCCCCTATTGAGCGTATCAAGCTCCTCATCCAGAACCAGGATGAGATGATCCGCGCTGGTCGTCTTGACCGCAAGTACAACGGTATCACCGACTGCTTCAAGCGTACCGCCGCCTCCGAGGGTGTTGTCTCTCTCTGGCGTGGTAACACTGCCAACGTCATCCGTTACTTCCCCACCCAGGCTCTTAACTTTGCCTTCCGTGACACCTACAAGTCCATGTTCGCCTACAAGAAGGAGCGTGATGGATACGCCAAGTGGATGATGGGTAACCTTGCCTCCGGTGGTGTATGTATCCCTTAAGACCGCGTGCGAAATGAGCGATAGCTAACAATTGATATTAGGCTGCTGGTGCCACTTCCCTCCTCTTCGTCTACTCTCTCGACTATGCCCGTACCCGTCTTGCCAACGACGCCAAGTCCGCCAAGGGCGGTGGTGACCGTCAGTTCAACGGTCTCGTTGACGTCTACAAGAAGACTCTTGCTTCTGATGGTATTGCCGGTCTCTACCGTGGTTTCGGTCCCTCTGTTCTTGGAATTGTTGTCTACCGTGGTCTGTACTTCGGAATGTACGACTCCATCAAGCCTGTTGTTCTGGTTGGTCCTCTTGAGGGTAACTTCCTTGCTTCCTTCCTTCTCGGCTGGACTGTCACCACTGGTGCTGGTATCGCTTCTTACCCTCTTGACACCGTTCGTCGTCGTATGATGATGACCTCCGGTGAGGCCGTCAAGTACAACTCTTCCTTCGATGCTTTCCGCCAGATTGTCGCCAAGGAGGGTGTCAAGTCTCTCTTCAAGGGTGCTGGTGCTAACATCCTCCGTGGTGTTGCTGGTGCTGGTGTCCTGTCCATCTACGACCAGGTCCAGCTCATCCTCTTCGGAAAGAAGTTCAAGGGTGGCTCCGGCTAAGCGATTGATTAAGTTCAATTCGTTTTTGGATGTGAATTCAGTGGGGAAAAGGGGGGGATCTGGCGTAACTGCCAGATGCTGAAAATTAGAGATATGCGTCAAGGAACTGTGTACTCTTGAGCATAGAGCAGTGTGATATTCCCTTGTACCAGTTGTATTTTACTGTCTGCAAGTTTATTTTATTTCCTTTTCTTCTAAATATGCTTATTCCACAGTATATTATGCGATTTCCGTAGGCTGTATTTTCGGCCACCCTGAGCGATTGAAAATTCTGTAAGGCGGTCAGTTACCATCACATGACAGCTACCTCACGTGGGCCCTCCTTCCTATGACGTCTACTGCATGGAGCTACAATTGAATAGTTCTCTAGCTCCCTTGTGATAGCTTCTTGCTCTAGTCCTCTTCAAACATGCTGTAATTTGCGATATATTAACTATCCCCTACAGTTTCAATAATGACCACATCCCCAACCACAGCTGGGGATAACCCTGGCACTTCATCCTCCTCAACCTCATCTCCAGTTCCAACCTCCAAGCAAGACGACGGTGAACCACCAACCACCTCAGCAACATCGACCGCACCACCTTACTCCCCAATCTACGCCACAGCCCAACCGGCCAGTCTGCCTTTACACCCAGTCCCAGCACCAACCGATCCCCCAGCAGCACCTATACACCAACCCCCAGAACCGGCCACCACAACTAACGCCGCGACCACAACTACTAATACCTTACCTCCACCCCCTCAACCCGGCGCTCAACCACATCCTCCTCCACCAGAAACTCAACAATCAAAAGACTCCTCTCCCTCAAACCCTCCAACCCCCAAACCAGCCGACACCCAACAAGCACAATCACCAATCGCGGCAAGTACCCAACCTAACCCTACCACTCTTCCTCCTAGTACTATCACTACTACTCCCTCCTCGTCCAACACCAACCCAACCACCCCCAGATACGGCTACGGCTACAGCTCCTCCTCCCCATCCCATCTAACCCAACGCCACCACCACCAATCGCACGTCCCGAATTCAACAACGACTCCCTACGCCTCCCTCTACCAACCGCCCACTAGTACAACCAGTACATCTATCTCGGGGCCTTCGTCCCAGCTACCACTCCACTTTGCAACGACCAATACAGCGGGATCGACGGGTGAACCAGGGTTCCTGGACAATGCGAAGGCGTGGCTCTGGAGCGCGGGGAATAAGTTGGCGGAGGTGGAGGCGGAGGTTTGGAGGAGGATTAATGATGCTCATGATAAGTAGGTTGCGGTGATCGTGTACTTGTGGGGATGAGGATGATCTACTAGTAGTAATCCGGGGGTGGGGGATCCTTACTGTGGAAATTCTGGCCATTAATCGGGATGGGTGTTTTATTTGGTTTGTTTGGAAATAAATCTCTGGACCCAGTGCTAGTACTGTTGCTTTGATGGGATTGGTTGGGATGGATGTAGTTCTTTGCTTTACTGTGACTTGTGCGTTGAGATTATTGGTTGCTTATATTAGTTTATTCTTGTGTTCTAGGCATGCAATGGTTACTAGGATCAATAATAGAGCTATGGTGTTAAGGGGCAGGATCTATATCACGTAGCCAATAATATAGGGTCGGTGGAGATGTGGAGCAACACTCACACGTTCATCCGATGATCTGATATCGGGTTTATCTACCTGGAATTGTGGAGTGATGAGGATAACAAGCTCTCTTATATATGACTTGTCGCCGTTGAAGGCAGACCTTGATTAACTCTATTTAATATTTCCATCACCGCAGGGCTTGCCCCCAGTCTTGGATGATGCCATCAGTAATTTCGGTACCTGCCCAGAATCATATATGGACAATAAGTTGAGATGATACAACTCGGTATGTTATAATGCAAAGCAGAGAGCAGAGATGTTCGCCCGATCATCTAGGCATATGCAATGAACAAAGGGTAGCAGGATATTAATCGAAGTCACTGCAAAACCCACAATTGAACAAAAAAAAAAAAGAGGAATGAATGAATGCCATGTAGGCATAATGCAATAACTTGCAGTCTCCGCTGCAAAGTTTTTATAAGAAAATACCATATGAACGCCAGTTCAATTCCAAGTCCCAATGCATCATAGCCAGCACGTCGAACCGGTCGAGCCTGCTGGCACGTCCCTTTGAAGGGCAAGAGTCGTAGAACGTAAAAAAATATGCTGGAGTCATGGACCAGCCACGGAGCTCTGAAGTATGAACGCAATGGGCCATAATCTGACCGGTCCTTCCAAAACGCCCGTCCATTCACATTACATAGAACCAAGACGCAGAAGAGCCTCCACTGCGGCGCGCTCTTGGGTATCCCCTACCATGCCTTCTGGGAGGGAGAAACCAAGCTGCTGAATAGGGGGCTTGCGCGGCGCAGATTTCGCTAACGAGGATGCTGCAGGCCCACCACCTCGCAGTTGAGGCGACGAATGGTGTCCGTTGACGAAACCACCTCCGCCGTTCAAAGACCGCGCACGAAGCGCTGCAGCGCCTATTTGTGCCCAATCCTCTTCGTCGGTGACATCCTCTTCACCCCAATCCTCATCCTGGACCTCATCTTCCGGGGCCTCAGAAGATGAACAGTATTCATGCTCGTTCCCATCGAGAGACATCTTATCCGCTTCATGCTCCGAGATAGGCCCACCATAATCCATCTCTGTAAAGGAGAAGACAGCCGAGTCGCCCGTTAAACTGGATCCATATGGCTGCAGACTGCCTCTCTTCGCAGGAATCTGTATGCCTCGTTGGGAGAACGAATTCGAGAAGCTGGATGGTGGCGACAAGTTCTGCTGCTGCACATCCCGCGAGGGTTCGCCACGACGTTGTGCGTCCCAACGACCCCATCCAACTTTCTCGAAGATAACGTCATTTGCAGGGCCACCATTCCTCTCATCATTGCCTCTACCCTCCAAGGCCGCAACGACCAGTCGTCGGGCTTTAGCAGGGGGGATTCGGGAGAATCCCGGCACAGAAGTGGTTAGGTAGCCCATGACATGGCGAATAGCAAGGGGACCGTGCTGCAGCAAGATCTCCGGTAGGTGATACTTGGCGAGCATGCCAGGGGTTATTGCCCCGGCGCTTTCAAGATCACGAGCGTCCGAATGATGCTGATTCTGGCTGGTTGCATCGGCGTCGCCCAAATCAATATCGGAATCAACGTGTGATGTGGCAAAAGGAGGAGATGCGGGCTGTCTCACATCCTGGCCCTTGAAGGCCTGGGGGGCAAGATTCGGAGAGATGGAGTTGGGGGGAGTCGGTAACATGGTAGGATGTCCCGAGCGAGAGGAATCGCGGCCACCAGAGGTGAAGCCAGAACGAGGTTTGGGAATATCAACAGAGGCCGTCTTGCCAGCAAGCGCCATCGCAATGCTAGAGGTAGTTGTTTGAGCAGCCATGATGGGAAGAATGATGAATATTATTATTTAGTTTGGAAGTTGTGGTGGCTAATCTGTTATCACATGAGTCAGACGAACAAATCCACCAACCAGAAGACACGACGGGGGCAAAGAATGGAAGAGATGCTGACTGGATACCTAAAAAACTGGGCTGTGCTTATGTACAGAGTATGTACAACGGGAAACCATGGAAAAGTAGAAGACCAAAATGTTGGAACAAAGACGAGAGGAAAGAGGAAGTTGGAAAGTAAAGTAGGAGACTTACGGCACACTGGGTGAAGACTTGACCGCAGAAGTAGAGATGTAGCAATGATATGATACGTCAGGGCAGATGCGATGCGACGCGCTAGTTCAGATAGTCTTCTTTAAGGTACGCGACCGTCGGAACCGAAGAGTTCAGGAACGAAGTAGAAAAACCAACACGTAGAATGGTATCTGATCCTTGGTGGTGGTTTGATCCTAGAGAGGAGAGGACAAGTGTGATGAAGGGAGAGAGAAAGAGAGAAAGAAGGAGGGGGGAAAGTAAGGAGCAGCCCGTCAGGAATAATAGTACGAATAATAATAAAAATAATAATAGCAGCAGTCGTGGATGGAATGTCAAGTCAGGCGGCCACAAGAGTGACTGCCGGATGATCAGCAGGCAAAGAAGGTACGGTATGAGTAATACCTTGAACTTCCGGATCCTTACTCCTATTATGGGGTGGAAAAAGGGAGGTACGGAGTAAAGGGGAGAGGGGGGAAAGTACGGAGTACATGGTTTAAAATGTACTGTACATCTTGTAGGCCAGTGCGACCTTCTTATCTTTCTTCTACCTCCATAGTCCCCATACTATAGCGGTAACATTGAATACATGGCGCCGTACGAACAGGAGCCGTCTATCGTATCGCGTGGGCCTGTTGATTGGCTGACACTCCTTGGGCCCGCCTCAGACAGCGCCGGGACCGTCCGGAGCAACCCAGACTTCTCCGTAGTATCGTGCCCTGCTGTATGGTATTTTACACACCATGACCGGCTTATCTCTCCAGTTTCTTGTTCAAACCTCAATTCTCACACACATACAAGAATAAGAAAAAGTAAAAAAACAACCTAATAGAAACTAACAAGGTACTCTGTACTCTTTGTGCAAAGTATCCGGTACATACATTTAAATACATCTAAGTACTCCGTGGTTGTATACCACGTCATCTCTAATACCTGAGAATAATTCATACTCCATTCAATGCTCCACTTCCAAGGATACCATCAAAAAAGGAAAAAAGAAAAAAGTGACACAATTGAAAAGTATGACGATGTCGTAGTCTCCAAGACTCTATACAAAATTCCAAGTGTCCTTGGAACACCGAATGCGCTCCACTCGATTCTAACCCTCGGATACCGGATCGACGAGCATATCAAGATGCATACCTCCTGCTCGTGCACGAAGTTTGGTCGCATGAGGAAAGCAGAGCGGAACCCTATTCGATTCGCGGCACCCGATAACTTTCCTGGATTGTCACACGTGGGTGTTCATGTCTAAAACCGTTGACTGGTTGGCTTCTTTTTTTCTTTTGCCTTTTCCTCTTTTTCACCACCCCTCCTTCTTACTGCACACACTAAGTCTGCAGCAGCAAGAAGATCGTGGTCATGCAACGAATGTGATCTTGGTGTCTACTCTAATTTGCTCCAGAGAATGTAACAGAACGCTTTGCCAGTTGCAGTATGCGGGAAACCTTGTCCAGGCACTGCAATTTGAGAGGGTGAGCCATTTAAATGATCTAATCGTTCATTGGATTGATTGACGGATGAATGCAACTTGGATCTCCGTTCACCGGTAATGTATGTACGTATGTATCTGTACTAATTTTCTTCCAGGGCCCGGATGTAATTTCCAGGATCTACTGCGCCATCTTGATTTCGAGGTGGGGTCTTGAAGGATCTCAGCTTATGTCGTCACGCCCTTTTTCCTCCATAAAGGCATCATTGCCGACCTTTTTCCGCGGCTATTCGGCCCTTCCCCTCATAACCTGGGGGTTTTGAGGGGTTAAATCCCCCCATTAAGTATATAGCAAGTTGGAGCTGGTTAGAGTATCTGACATAGCACATACAAATCGTCAGCAAAATTGTAAGCCATTGAAGTGTGGGGGTGGGGTGTTTTGTGGTGGGGGGCCATGTATGTATGTATGCGCACTTAGGGCTAACCTCTCATTGATCAGTTAGTAATCAGGCACGGAGACCGGCTATTCTATCCTGCAGCGATGTTGGACTTCATTGAAGCACTAAGACTGTTCGTTTAAGTCGAATTGAAAAGCATCTGGCCTGATTATTCGCAAACCCGCGGAGGCCGGAACCCAACGCAGGTCGGAGATGGAACTTAGGGCTGCAGACAATATCTTGGTTGAATCTTACACAATAGGTTTTCATTGAAATCCAGTCTGTGATCCCCTTTGCTTCCACAGCATTTCCGTTTCACTCGAGCAAATCATAGGTTTCTAGTGTATTGGACCCACTCTGCAAATTCATGAAGTCTTTGACAATACATTACTTTCTATATTTGCCTTACGTATGTGGTTTTCCAAATGATATTAACTGGGGTGATACCAGGCACGTTCGGCCGTCCAACCGAAACTACCAATTGGCAGGACCATGGTCTAGGCTGGTACTATATTTACTACTATTATACACATCAACAGAAATAGAGAAAAGCCCATGTAGAAGATCGTCCTAAACATCTCTCTTGATCAGGTAAACGCAGACATTTCGCAGACCTGCTCAGTCTGCCTATAATCAAGAAACCTTTGGGTTGCTGTCTTCCAGACAGGTCATTTGGCGGATGGTCTCAGCGACGCCACATATCTGTTAAGGGCTCGATCGAAACATTCCTCTAGAACTCCAGCGTATGATGGGCCCAGGACAACGATTACGAAGGCCAACGGTATGACTAACGTTACTAGCAATTAGTCACAGCTAGTTATCCCTCTTTGTTCCCTTAGATGATCATTGAAACTCTCCAAGAAAAAGGATATATTCTATCTAAAGATATCTGCTCATACCTCCACTATTGTTGCAAATATATATATTTTCTACATGCCAAGTAGAGATACAGAGAATATTACGCTTTTTCGTAATGGGTCTCCATCCTTTGCAAAGGTAACCCAGTGCCTGAAGAGACATATGTTTACCTCGTTCATCAGGAGGTACATCATAATCGATGTTTATTGAACTAGGGTGATTGTTTCTATACCCTGAGAAACTGTGCCTTGGGCAACTATGCTTATATCAGCGCGTTATCTAGTTATGTATCGGGTTCCGATCTTATCGCCTCACATCCGAAAGGAACTCCAGACCCACCGCATCTTTCGGATATCAACTTTCTTTGCGGGGTTGGTCTCATTCTACATAAATGACTCTAGGCCATTTTCATTGTTGTTTGCCTCTAACTGGCAAGGTAGGTGTCCCGCAACATGTCTTGCAGGTGCCGATCTGCCACATATACAGCCATCGGACGTCGCCTCGGAATTGACCTGAAGAACGCCCACGACCAGAACCTATCTTCCGAAAGGCGAAAAAAGTAAGTCATATATAATATTCTCCGCATCCCCTCTACCGTGGGTTGGTTATAAATCCTTGCCAATAAAGTACTATATATATCTAGTCTTCTATAATTTTGCGTAGGCTTTTTGAGTCGAAGCTCCGTCTTTCCTCTTTGCGAACTCCTTCCCATTAACTATTAGCAAACCAGGCATGGGGAGTATGTATTCACCTGTCCTTGAGACAGGGCGCATCTTTTCTTTCCTTTGTGATCAAGCCGAACGTCTCAATCTTCCCTCAGAGGTGGTGAGAAACAAAGATGCAGTGTCATTCAACTCCGCTTACGATGAGGTCTACTTCCCAATCCCTTTTAAGGAGACAGAAACACTGGCTGCCCTGAAAGGAGTCGAAGGGTCAGTGGCAGCTGCTATCGCAAATTTACGCTACGGATCTCAAAAACGGAATGTGAAGGTCAACCTTGAGCGAGCTACAGCATTTGGTTGCCAGGCATACATGGCTAAGGTCGACGGACTGTCCAAGCTAGACCCGGAGGTCAAAAAGAAGTTGAAAGGTTGGGAAGATCTAACTCTGTGTAGAAGTATTAACTGACTAGCTTAGATACCGACTTTCTTGCTGCGCAGTCTAATGGCTACCGCCGGATGTCTGCGAATCTATACAGGACCAAGAAAGAGGGCGAATTCTTCCATATTCATGGCTCCCTCGAGGCTACGACGACCTTAAACATGATAGGACTGGATGGACACCGTCCAGATTTGACGGATTATGAAGAAATTATCAAAGTTATCGAGAGCCACGTGCAGAAATACACAGCCGAAGAATTGGAAGCAATGAACAAGGAGAGAAGACAGGCTGGTGTGACGGCATTTAAATACGAAGATTTTCTTAAAACTCCACATGTATGCAACACTCTCTTTGCTCATTTATGCTTATCGTTCTATGTACCAATGATGCTAATCGCGTGTGTTTAGGGTGAACTCAACGTCCAACAACCCCCGTGGAAAGTGTCCCGTCTGGGTGGTGATATACCTCCCACAGCCTTTCCTGCTAGTCGCAATGGGAGCAAGAAGATCCTCGAAGGAATTAGAGTCCTGGAGCTCTGTCGCATTATCGCCGGCCCTACTGTTGCACGGATCTTGACCGAGTACGGAGCAGATGTCTTGAAAATCACTAGCCCGAGCCTCTCAGATGTGCCATTCTTCCAGGTGGATGGTAATATGGGCAAACATGCTGCTGATTTGAACCTAAAAACGGAGGAAGGAAGACGTCAGTTTGAAATGCTTTTGGCCGATGCAGATGTCGTCGTCGACGGATATCGCCCAGGTGCTATTGAGAAACTGGGCTATGGTCCTGACGCTCTTGCCTCATTGGCAGAGAAACGTGGAAAAGGGATCGTATACGTAAATGAGAACTGCTTCGGATATGAGGGAGAATGGGCTGGGCGCGCAGGTTGGCAACAGATTGCGGACTGCGTAGGTAGACCCAAATTCATTATACTTGTAAAAATGCTTACACAGACACTGCAGGTTACCGGCATTGCATGGGCACAGGGACAGTTCATGGGTCTCTCGAGCCCTGTGGTTCCTCCCTTCCCCATCTCAGATTATGGCACAGGCTGCATGGGTGCCATTGCAGCATTGACCGGCCTCTACCATCGAGCGAAGAATGGCGGCTCCTACCATGGTAAAGCGTCTCTGATGCACTATGATTTGCTGCTTTTTGCTGTTGGAATGTACCCCGAGGAGGAACAGGACAAAATGCGAGCTGCACTGCCCCAAGAATTCTTCAAATTGAGACACTGTGATAGTGTGGACCGTATCTCATCGACTGTCTTGAAGATTATGCAGGCTCGATTCCCTCATCTCTATGACAACGAGCAAGACGCACTCACAGAGAAATGGTACTCCAAGGCATACAACGCGGATATTGAAGTTGTCCGACCAGTTTGTGAAATTGAAGGCGTTGAGAACAAGTTTGACAGGGCGTCTCGACCCAACGGTACCGACCGGGCGAGCTGGGAGGACTTCAAGGTCTCTGAAGAAGACTACAAGGCTTAATCGGCCTAGTTCGTATATAGCTCATACAATTTGTAAATCACAACTATCTCACCGCAAAACACCGTCCACAAGAAAACAAAAAAACTAGTTAAACTAGCAACAATTAAATACCACACCTACCCTCAAATTCCCACCCAAACTTCTAGTCCCCCAAATCCCACACCCACACCCACACCTCTTAAAACCAGACCATCGGATACCGATCGGAAAGCCCTACCTTCATCGGCCCGAAACAACCGCTAACTTGACATCACCAACCAAAGCATATAAACATCGTAGCTAAAACATAACTATCTACTACTCTATAGACAAATCCCATAAATATCCCCAATTATCTCCATCTAACTACAAAAACCCCCAACCCACCAACAAAATGTCCTACAATCTCACCATAAATCCCATCCTCTCCCCGCCCAACAGCGACTCCCTGATCTCCTTCCTAGAATCCTTCTATAAAACCAGCGACACCGAGTTCCTGCACGAAAAATACGTCCAGAGTTTCACAGAAGATGCCACATTAATCATGGGGTCGAAGGTCGCAAACGGATCTAAAGGTATGGTAACTGACGCCCCCAGGATCTATCTACAAGTACAGTATACGGATGTGGGGATGTTCAGCGACATAGACTAATAATGTATGTGTAACATGTGTAGAAATCCTTAATCTGCGACACGGGCTCTGGACGCATGTGAAGTCGAGGAAGCATTTTCCGACGCGGGTTTATTTTGGGGGAGACAGGGAGTTGATGCTTTATGGGACGGTGAGGTATGTGCTTAAGGCGGATGCGGAGAATGAGATTGAGGTGCCGTGGGCTGGACGGGTGGTTTTTGATGAGAAGGAGGTGAAGATGAGGTTTTATCAGGTTTACTTGGTGAGTTTTTGATATCTCTCTTCTTGTTGTGAGGGGGAGCGGCGGCTGATGACTTGAGAAATTGTAGGATCCTACGGCGCAGTCGGGGAGATAAGGTGTAGATCCATCGATCGATCGATAGACTAGGGCTTGAGTGGTAGTTTGTACATATCTACGGTTGTTTTTATATAACCTACGCTTACGCTCCCGTATGCCAATACTTGAATCCATCAAGTTGATATCACACGTGCTCTCTATTTTGGATCTGGGGGAAACAGGAGATGCTGTCGAGTCGGCTGAGGACGAGGTAATATGTTGTGAAACAAGCAGAGAGATGGGATGTCTTTGGGTAGTCAAAGGTTGGTAGATTCTCCGTAGTAGGCCCCCGAGTCATCAGGAAATTGAACATTGTAATATGCAACAATAAAGAAACTTCATTCCTCTCCCTGAGTCCATAGCCATCAATCCCACTCGATCCATGCCGACGAAGCGTACTCGACCGTTTTTCACCCGATTTTTCTCTCGGAGGCTTAAAAGCGAGAGGGAAAAAAATAAGGAAAAAGAGGCAAGGCGGAACACATCAGGACTTTTTCATTATTTTAATCGGAGACTAATTTACTCCTCGTCCTCCTCATCGTCAACGGTGGTCTTGGCGATACGGTCAAGATCACGCTGGCCGGACTGGGTAATGCGACGGCCACCCTTGTCCTCGTCGTGCTCGAGGACACCGATCTTCTCGAGGGACTGGATGACCTTGCGGTCAACGGAGCCGGAGGCATCGACGTGGTGGTTGGGGCGGGAGCCACGGTTCTTGACGGAGCCGTGGACCTTGCGGAGGCGGCCAACACCAACGGTCTTGCGGAGGTAGATGTGACGGGCGACGGCAGCGGCACGAACGTAGTACCTAGTAATTGTCAGAGATGTCGGAGCGTATGAGAGAACGAGTTGTTGGTTCAGTCGTACCAGTCAGCGTCCTGGGGAGGGAGCTCGTTGGAGCAAGAGGTCTTGACAGTGTCAACCCAGCCTGCACATAATATCAGTTTCCGATCGGCCGTCAATCATTCCAGTTAAAACAAGGTTACGAACCAGGGATGGGGAGCTTGCCCTGACGCTTCAAGAACGCAGAGTAAGCAGCAATGAACTTCTGCGCCTGTAGTCCAAAAATTCGTCAGTATATGTTCTTTACTTCATCCAATGCAGTAATTTGTGTTCCTGAAGATCCTCTTGCAGTTTTCGGATATCTGAAACTCGTAATTTGATGCGTATATCGGTGGCGCTATATGTCCTACACATCCCAATCGCAGATCCCATCAATCGATGCTTTGCGATTCGATTGAGACATATCGTTGCCGTTCACGTAAACGATTGTCCACAATATCCCAGCTTATCCAGAATACCCCAAGATTTCTGTCCCACAGCCCTGAACTCGTAACACTTGTCCTTCGTCCGTTTCCCCCTCTTCCAGATACCGGTTGCCATATCGACTTCAGGAACACATAGGTGTAGGTGCAGGGGGAACAGGACAACTTACGTCCACATCGCGAACGGTGACACCACCCATTTTTGCGACTTTGTACCTCGAGCGGGAATCGAAGGTGAACTGGAAAGGGGGGCGAGGTGAGAGGATGGGTCGTTGTCGTCGTTGGAGAGTCGGTCGGTCAGATCAAACCTCGAAATTTCGGACGGACAATCACGCGGTTTCTCGTTGTGGGTTTGTGGGTGACTAAGCTGGCGTGACCCGTATCGGGATTAGCGTAACCCTAAAAATGTGTGCCTCAGGTGTGACTTTCCTTGCAGATTGGTGGTTCGTAAAACGGGAGCGGCTAAGCTAGTCACTTCTATCTTCTAGGCTGGCCGTTGGTGAGCTTGTAGAAAGGGAAACAAGGGGAACCTGCTAAGCATTCTTCCACAACTACTCTATTCGGTGCGTGGCCGTGTTTAAGAACAGGGATGGTCGGTTATACAGAATATAGGTACGGCAATGAAAGAAAGGGTATTTATTATTATCACGAGCTACTGTACAGTCTATCAAATACGTAGTTGTCATAACTCATCATTACACCGTCCCAAGCCACTCCAGCTAAACGCCGTATAACCCAAGCAAACGAAGAGAGAAGAAAACAATAACAATAGTGAAAATAAGCGAGAGGGATAAGAAAAGGGGGAAGGCAAATAGTAGAAAGACGGAAAGGAAGACCAATCTATCTTTTAAAGAGTCGGTGCTCTCTTAAGCCCAACACAGTATCGCACAAACAGTGTATCAATAAAGTGTCCATGTCGAATGCCTGGTGGGCGACGACTTTCAAACTCGTCAATGGCTTCTTGTACGCTGAAACCACAACGTTCGATCAAATAGCAGACAATCAAGAAGCCGGTCCTATTATACCCGTAATGGCAGTGCACTCCAACTACAGGACGCGGAGTCTGGTTGTTGCCAGACTTCTTCATTTTCTCGGTGATCTCATTCTGAAGCCTGTCAACTAAGGCAATAAAATCCCGAGTCTCATCTGGTGTTGGTGGGATCTTCGACACGGTAGGATGCTTGTGGTAGTGGATGCCCCCCTTTTCCAACGAGGCCGGGTTGTAGACCGGGTTTTCGTAGCTAATATCAATGACTGCATAAATTTGGTCACGGTACGCCTGCGAGAAAAGCACTGGATTATGCTCCTCATCAACCTCTCGTAACATTTTGAGCGCGACAAATGTGTCGGACATGCGCTCTGAAACAGGGGTGACTTTCTTCCACTTGACCAGGTTCTTGACGTCCCACTTGCCTGACGTATTAAGATATTGCAACTGCCACCCGAGACTCAGTCGGTTATCAACATGCTGCTGAAGGAAGTCTTGGATGATGCCAGCTAGGGTGCGATATGTCGCGCGATCGTAAAGTAGAGCATGGGAAGCTGGAGCTGGCAGAATGACTGTTTTGACGGAGCGTTTAGCTTGAACTGATTTCTCTGAACCAGATTGCAAGTTCTTCTCATCCACTTGAGGCTCAACACCGAACTCTTCTTCGTTCGCCAAGCGACTATAGGGCGCAGGTGTTTGGTTACCAACTCGAGAAGCATCAGGGATAGTTCTGCTACCATGGCTACCCTTTTCGATCGTTGAGCTTTTGTCCCCGAAGAACTTGAGAATCTTTTGCAGTTCGACGGGCTTCGTTACTGTATCAGATTCGCCGGCCACAAGTAAAACTGGTGTCCTCACTCCCACCCAGATCTCCTCTCCTGGAATACCTCCGACAGGCTTTCCGTCGACATTGTTGTATGTAGGAAGAGTGCCCCAAGCCATGCGTCTCCACACAGGGGTTTTGCTCTGCTTGTTGTACCGCACTTGGAGACCTCTTGTATCGGGATCAGCATCTGCGCCAACGAGTCGATTGACACTAGCGCTCGTCAGCCCGCCTCGTCGATCCCAGTAGCGCCAGAGATCAAAAACAGGGCCTGGAATATGGAGCAGACGCCGGAAGGACGTCACTTCCTTGGAAGACGGGGGAGATGCTCGAGGGCAGACAGCAATGAGCCCAAGAATGTGCTCTTTCAGGCCGGGTCCTATAAGAGAGGTGGAAGACGCCAACATCGCTGAAAGGGAACAGCCCAAACTGTGGCCAATTAAAACTATTCCCTGGCCTGCTTCCTTGTCACGGTGTTCTTCGATAGCCGTGGCAAGCAATTCTGCAAGTGCCTCGACCGTATATGCATCCCAGGAGGTAGGCTCAAAACTCGATAATCCGCAGCCCGGGAGATCTATCCCAAAGCACGGTCCGACATTAGACAAGCTTGTCAGCAGATGATTGAATTGGGCCAGGGATCCACCCAGCCCATGCACGAAGACAAACAGCGGGATTGGAGATGGTTTTATCGGCAACTTGTCCTTTTGTGGATGCGGCCTATAAAATGTCCTCACGGACGGATATGTCGCAACAGATGTAGTATAGGAGACATAGGTCGAATGTTTCTTGAGGAGGCCCGGGTCTGTGCTTTGCGCTATTTGACTGTCAGAATTGTTTAATCGCAAGGTAGAGCTAGGGGTGCGCAAACCGTCGTCTGGCTGCTCGCGGTGCTGAGGCTCCGCCTTCTCCCCTGACAATCCGCTGACTGTGCCATGCCGTAACGAGCCACTGCTATCATATCCTTCATCATCAGACGAGGTAATGGTTCCTGCAGAAGTCTTGGAGATATTTCGTCGTCTGGCACGGCGATAACGCTTCTTCCCCAAAGCCCGTCTAGAGGCCTTGCGCCGCAGAATCACAGACAAGACCCCGCAACCAGCCATGATGATAAAACAGGTACTCAGAAACAAGGCTTTGGTTGAATTCAGGGCTCCATCACAGCCAAAGCTTTGAGAAAGGCGTGTGAAAGAAAGGAAAGCACCCGAGTTGGTAAAAATGGAGTAGATAGAGTCCCAGAAACGTATGACAACACCAAGGTCCGATACACCGAGACGAGAAGTAATGGGAAGTGCTGGCGAATCAGTCGGCCCCATTGCGACAAGGTTTGAACTTATAACGATGCCGATCCAGCCCAATTGAACAGCTCCCCCTTTCTGGACAGAGTAGTCATTCGTTCACCGTTTCTCAAGCCACGGTGTCTAGCGCCAAACAGCTCACCCGGACGATCCTTCTCCAGTGTACGGTGGATGTGTGTTCTGGAATGCACGTCGAAATCTACACGAGATGGAACGGCGGAACCTCTTTGGTGGGAAGATTGGTTTAGCTCAAAAGTGAGGCAAATGAGCGGGTCAATCCAAGCAATTCGCAGTTTAGGATGGTGAGACAAGTCCAAATTACGTTTTAGATCCCTCAGAAGTTCCTCTGATGTAAGGAGAGACCGCGACCCGACGTTCTTAGTTTGTATCTAAAGTGCGCCCCCAGCGAGTAATTGGACCAATAAATGATGAGCATCCACCACGTTGGTCTTCACGGTATATTTGGGCGCTCCGGGGAAATCTGGAAGATCCACAGTTTGAGGCAAAGCCAAGAAAGGAGCGACTATTGTTTCTCAGAGGGAGTCCCAATGACGAGTTGACTCTATCCCGGGAGAGACGACACGAAAGGAGCTCCAGATACAGGTCACACGAATTTATGGTACGTTCCAGGAGATGGGGGGAAACGTGGGATATTTGCTACGATCAATGGAGCGAATCGTTAGCCAGAACTAAGGATACCTGAGAAAAGAATTCGTACGGAGATAAAGTACAAGCGGGTACTTTGTGTGACAAACAACTTGAGCGTCTCACTTGAAGAAAGGAATGTGAAAAGGGTCCGGCCCCGTGCGATGTAGCTCCCTCTGGTCAAGGGTCAAAACATGGGAAGCGATTCTTTGCTGAAGAACTGGTCCTGAGCTCCCAATGTTGGCGCGAAAAACACACTGCCGGCCTGTCACAGGCTCGGAAGGAGCAGCGTGGAGGATCGGCGAGGATGAGTCATCCGTCGCTGGCCACTTATGGCGTCAGCGTGCATCTCGTGGCTCAGCTAAGCAAGGCACGTCATTGATGCCCATAAACAACTGAAATAAATCCTCCTCTTTGTGAATAATTGGTGCCATATCCAGTTATGAGCTCTTTGATGTGTGTGTATGTATGTATGCGTGTGTGTGTGTCATATGATAGGGTGCCTATGCATGTATCTGATTGATACCCAAGTGGATCACAACATATTCAGCTCAAGAAAGCAGTTGTACAAAACAAAAACTTAATTATAGTATTTATTGCCAAGTAATATGTATATAGAAAGAAAAGTCCTAGAAGAGGTCCGTCATTGCGCCGTGTGAAGCGTCCCCAACCAGCCGTGCATATTTGGCCAACACACCTCGTGTGACATGTGGTGCTGGTGGCTGCCACTCCTTCAGTCGTTGTTGAATCTCTTCATCCGAAACATCCATGCTGATTTTATTGGTTTCAGCATTGATGGTGATCACATCTCCATCACGGACAACGGCGATTGGTCCTCCTACCGCAGCTTCGGGTACAATATGGCCTACAATGAACCCATGACTTGCCCCTGAATATCTTCCATCGGTAATCAGTGCCACATTGGTAAGCTTAGCTCCCATCAGTGCTGCACTAGCCTTGAGCTGCTCCGGCATTCCAGGTCCACCCTTAGGGCCTTCATAGCGGACGATGATGACCAGATTCTCGTCCCGGGGGATTTTACCATGATTAAGGGCATCGTTAAGCTGGTGTTCCTTATCAAACACCCGTGCCTTTCCTGTGAATCGGGTACCTTCCTTGCCGGTGATCTTAGCCACAGCTCCTCCGGGAGCTAAGTTTCCGCGAAGGATCTGAAGGTGACCGGTTGCTTTAATAGGATTGTCTAGAGGACGAATGATAACTTGGTCATCCGGCAAAGATGGGAAGGATGCCACGTTTTCTGCCAGAGACTTTCCGGTAACCGTCGGAATATCACCGTCGAGCAAGCCCGCTGCAATCAACAGCTTCTGGACAGACGGAACACCTCCAATATCATACAAGTCCGCCATGTAGTATTTTCCACTCGGGGCAAGGTTGGCAATGAATGGAATCTTATTGCTGACCCTCTGAATGTCATCCAGAGTAAGTTCCACGCCGGCCGTTCGAGCCATGGCAAGGAAGTGGAGCACACCATTGGTGCTTCCTCCAAGAGCCATCGTGATAACGAGGGCATTTTCGAAAGATCGCTTAGTCAAGAGATCACGGGGCCTTATGTTCTTCTCCATACAAACTCTGATCGCTTCTGCTACCTTAACACACTCCCGCATTTTTGACGGGGATGTGGCGGGGGTGGAAGAAGACCCAGGTAGCGACAAACCCATCGATTCAATAGCTGTGGCCATTGTATTCGCAGTAAACATACCCCCGCATGCGCCCGCGCTGGGACAGGCATGTCTCTCAAGATCATCCATGATCTCATCCTTGGTCTTGCTGGTGTCTCCACCATCGTCTGGTTGACGCAAAGTATCATATGCATAGGCACCAGCGGCTTCGAAGCAACTTGAGACGCTGATTGGCTTTCGTAGAAGGTCTGAGTATCCAATTTGGATCGTCCCTCCGTAGATCATGATAGATGGCCGGTTATGTCTGGCCATACCCATCACCACTCCTGGCATGTTCTTGTCACATCCAGGGATGGCAATGCAGGCGTCGTGGTACTGAGCACAGGTGACTGACTCAACGCTATCTGCAATGATTTCACGCGTCTGAAGGGAGAATCTCATGCCTGTTGCACTGTCAAATGCCTCTCCAATAAAGGTTCAGAATTTCTCCTATGTCACTTACCTTCACTACCCATGGTGATCGCATCTGAAACTCCAATAGTGTTATACTGCCATCCAATCATACCCTGACCCTCGACCGACTTCTTCACTGTCTTGCCCATATCCAGCAGGTGCATGTTACACGGATTTCCTTCCCACCAAACAGACGCAATACCTACCTGAGGACTCTTTGCCATAGCATTTTGATCGGGAACACCTGCAGCATAGAGCATTGCCTAGTGAAGCTGTCAGCACAGTCCAAATCAAACAACGACCGACGGAGTTTCGAAGGTAAACACCAACCTTAGCGCCAGGGAAATCATGGCCTCTGGTAATAGTTGAAGAGTAACGATTCAGCGCAAGCGTTCCATCCTCATGCTTTGTACCCTCCGGAAGACAAGGGAACTCGATGTATTTGGCTTCCCCAAAGGTTGAGGAGACCGCGGGGTTGGAGGGATCCATGGTGCGCGCTGAACAGCTCCGGTGGAGAATACAGTTGAAGACTTCAAGACTGTTCAATGGTCCTATGTCCCAAAGGAAAGGTAGAGATAGATGCTACGGCTTTATGTAAAATGTAGAGAAAAACGATAGGTTACTGTGTGGTGGGAGTAAGCCCCCTCATCCGATAACTCGGAGTTGACGGGACGTGCCCTCCGTGAAGAACATCGGCGACATGTCCGTTGCGGGGGTTGTTGGATAATCGGAATTGATCCTATTAGTTGTAGTTTCTGGGTGTATTCATAATTGAAGGCGATGATTTGATGAAGGTCTCGGGTAGGAAGTGGGGAACGCTTGATTTTATTATTGGCGATGGTGGATTGCTGACTGCTGGATGTATATACACTAACTATGTACGGAGTCCTACTAGTACACTTTCGCTCTTAGGTATAAAAATATCTATTGACGATTCCCAATTCAGTGGAAAGACTGTTGTACATACTTCCACACTTGATTTTAAATAAGCCACAGCATTGATTATCCCGAAATCCCGGAAAATGCCGTCAGAAACATAAGAGTTTTTGTGGATACGTGTACTCATAACAAATCCTGGCTAGATTCCATGTAAGAAAAGGAGGGGTACCTTCGATGAAAGCTGACTTCTAATAATAAATATAAGTAGCCACGTAGATTATGCATAAGGATGGAATGATTGGCATCTGTTATCCTGCCTCCTCATCCTAATGTGTGTTACCCACACCATCCCTATTATTCGGCTTCCCGATCAATCGTAGACCACTGGCTGGAGTGCTGTACTGCTTCATCTGACATTGAATCTTGCAGTAAGCTGGATTTCTCAACCGAGTCATCCGCCCCCTTCTCTAACTTATCGTCGTTGATGCCAGCATCATGATCTACAGCAAAGCCAACAATTTTCCCTGAGCTTGATTGGGGGCGAGCCTCTTCAAGAACATCACCGTGCCAGGGTTTGCATTTCTTGATAATCTCGCCGCAGCGGAGACAGACCCAACCCTCTCCTTCTTCTCCCTCCACTTTCTGCACCAGACAGACAAAGCAGTATACGCAGCCACAAGGCATTGCCTCGTAAGGGTTTGTGATGTCCATCTGGGCTGATCCTAGGATTCCTCCAGAGGCAGCCGACGCAGCAATCACTTCACTTTCTGTTGCAGACTCTGGATTGCTCGCTTTATAACATATGGCACAGGTTCTTTCAGGAAGGAAAGCTAACTCTCCTTGCTTCTCAGTCTCCTCGTAGTCCCCATCGCTAGATTTGAGGCTAGAAATTGTTTTCCGCCACGCCCGGGATATCCATCGTCGCCACCTACTGATCCCAACAAGTGGCAGGAGAAAAAGAAGGAATTCGGTAAATGCGTGCCACACAAGTTGTCGATTCAAGTATTCGAAAGATACTTCGCGGCTTGCCTGTGCAGAAGGAGGAGTAAGGCGTATGCGGAGGATACGGTCAACTAACGTTCGGTATCGGCCGTTGGCTAAGAATACAAGGAAGGAAATAAAAGCTGCGATCGAGTGTGTCGTGGTAACGAGGTCCGTCATACGAGCTAGCATCCGCACTTCCCGCGATGGCTATTGACGTGAGCATAATGTGTAACTGAAGTGCCACTATCAGCACTCACCTCTTCATGGCCGCCCTCTTGGTTAATTAACCAGCCCTCCCATTTTTCCCAGGCGTAGCGACCTCCAACTGTGAGAAGGCCATACAAAGACTTTTGCCACCTCGTTGGAGCTGAATGAATTGGTCCCTTGCTACGAGTGTCTACATACTTCAGGTTCTGTAAGGCCGCGCCGTAGGATGCGTCATGATCCCATATCGAGAGCTTAAACAAGATTGCACGTAGAGCAAACTGAACTTCATGAGACCAATCCTCTCGAGCTTGGGGCTAGAATAATAGAAAGTTAACCGATACCATCCAACGTACATTTATAGCGATGATAGAGGCCTACCCCGAAATATTTCAAAGCATTCCCGACTTGGCCTTTCAGTAATCCAAGTAATTCCTCATCCAAAAGTTCGGCATCAACCTGCCCCACACGGAAGGCAGGTCTATTACCATCACGGCCTTTTATCGTATTCCATAAAGAGAGACCCGAAGTAGGTATTCTATTAAAAGGATATGGGAGCCTTTGGAATGCGGGATGATTGACTGGAGACGCCCGCTGCTGTTCCGTAAATCTGGCGCGAGCTTCGGCTTCGCGGAGACGGCGACGTTCCAGAACCCGCTCCTGAGCTGCAGCAAAGTTTGTCGAGCTCATTGTACAATCATGATGCTTCGTCAGTATGAACCGTGTCGCAAAGGAAGTCAACGACTTGGAGGGTAACGGCCGCGGTTGCGGAGGCTAATGCGGTCGGTCGATTCCCCAGATCGGACTTCGATCTGCCGAGGTCGAAATGTACCACGTGATCGTGCGCGGCCGTGATGAGAACAGGAAGATATACGTACAATCAAATGCCATTGTATGATTGGTTGAGATTGTTGCTTATATATCCATTAAAAGGGAAAGAGGCTTCGGCCCGGGATATTGAATTTATATATTGAAGATCCTGCACATGGCTAATTGAACGGATCAAGGCGTGGAACTCTTAAATTACTTTGTGTTTATAAATATTCCAAAACCAGTTGAGTTTAAAATTATGTTTAGCTTTCTATATAGCTGAATTAGTTCAGAATATATGCTGAGCTATGATATTTCTACCTTATGTGATCACGGTAGCTGCTAAAAAGTGCCACTCACTGCACGGAGTACTGCTTTGTACTAGGAGACGTCTTTATTCAGGCCCATCATTCTAGAGTCGATGAGGGTAAGAAGATAAGTGTTTAAGGATCACTCGGAGATGGGTCATCACTATACGTAGGGCTTTACCCGGTAATTTATACCGTTCTGCCATAGTAAAGAAACAAGGATATCATAGACAGCCATTTACTAGGCCGGTGTGTATATAATATTGGACTGACCTTTCCGTACCGCCTCTGTTTAAATATGCTACCATAAGAAAGACCACAGGCCACGTGCAATTCAACCTAGAAGGGAAAACAATGAGACAAGCCCAGCAAAATAGCCATGATGATTGATTTGTATAGGAACATTAAGAGGGCTGCCCAGCATACCAAGACTTTACTAATAATCTTATCAGGCATGTCGGCTGCGGCTGTCAGCCACATATTTCAACTTATATGTCATAATTATCGATTAGATATTAACAATGCTAGCGCATGTATTCCCCGTGAAGAGTGAATGACCAGAAGAATAACCTATAGTTGATCATGCGGTATTTTGGTGATAACACTTACATCTCTAACCTTGGGGGGAGGGTTACGTCCATTCCGACTGAACCGGACAAGATGGCTAACGAATTGATTTGATACTACCTTCTTATCCTAGATGCACTTACTTCTCCACTCCCACGTACAAGGGTACTGAGGTTCGAGCAAATTGTCGCTTTTCGTCGTCGACCAGAAGATGGCGCACGTGGGGTCTAAAGGACCTCCGGACTTTTGGCCCCACCGAGGCCGTGGATAAGCATTCGCCCAGACCTGATTCCATGCCCCACCGAGGAACGGGTCTCTAAATTATGTATGAATTTGTGTTTGAACTGCAAGGGGTTTCTTTCTCCTTGGTTCCCAGGGCTGTCCCCTCCGGTAGCCAATCTGAGCCTAGTTTTTTCAAAAGAAATACTAAGCGATTCAGCTGTTGCCTGCGCTTCAATTAGCCGAGATGACAATTATCGAATGAGACAAACTTCTCTGGCCTCGTGATTCCGAACACTCGACATCCAACGGTCTCAGTGGATACAACCTGACAGTAGCGCAATATATTGAACTACTATCTTTGCATACGCCCTACCGACCTCATGCGTATGGCACATGGTGCCATGCAGTGGAGATTTCCTCGCTCTTACCTATAAAGACAGGTGATCGCACTCTCTTTGCTGATCATTCTTTCCATCTTTCCTTCTGTATCTGGGCCAGGGACGATCTTTCGACAAGAAGAGACACTTTTAAATCCGAAAGATGAAGTCCTTCATTACAGGCTTGGTCACGGCCTCCTTGGCCTATGCCCAAACCGCGAAGGAGAGCGAGCCTTCTCTCTCGGATATCCAAAGCGCTGCGGCTACCACCGAGCCATACTCTCCTGTATCTAATGTGACTGGCTTGGCCTTCGACAAATTCTATCAAGTTTGGTTGGAGAACATCGTGAGAGGCACACCCTGCGCTTAGGATTCCCATTCTCTAACACACATCTCAAAGGACTTCGAGGATGCAGCCGCAGATGCGAATATGAAATGGTTGGCCACGCAGGGTATCACCCTGTAAGGTGCCTTGACTAGAGTTGTCTCAATTATCGAAAGTTCTTACTGATCGTCCAAGCAACAACTTCTATGCAGTTACCCATCCCTCTGAGCCAAACTACTGCGCTTCTGCCGGAGGAGACACGTTTGGCATGGACAACGATAATTTCAACCAGATCCCGGCCAATGTCTCGACCATCGCCGACTTATTCGACACGAAGCATATTGCCTGGGGAGAGTATCAGGAACATATTCCTTACCCTGGCTTCCAGGGATACAACTTCTCCAACCAAAAAACTAATGCCAATGATTATGTGCGAAAGCACAACCCGTTGGTGTTGTTTGACTCGGTCACTAAGAACAGCACTCGTCTACGCCAGATCAAGAACTTCACTAGCTTTGAGGACGATCTGGCCGATAAGAAGCTCCCTCAGTATGCTTTCATTACCCCCAACATGACCAACGATGCGCACGATACCAACATTACCTTCGCCGCCAAGTGGGAACGTAGCTGGGTCTCGCAGTTGCTCGACAACTCCTATTTCATGGAAAACACTTTGCTTCTCCTCACTTTTGATGAAGACGATACCTACAGCAAGACAAACAGGATCTTTAGCATCCTCTTGGGTGGTGCCATTCCTGACCACCTTAAGGGTACCACAGATGATACGTTCTATACTCACTATTCGATCATCGCTTCTCTGTCGGCAAACTGGGGTCTGCCATCTCTGGGTCGGTGGGATTGTGGTGCCAATATCCTTGAGATTGTGGCTAATAAGACCGGCTACGTCAACTATGATGTTGATACTACCAACCTTCGACTCAATGAGACATACCCTGGCCCGATGTCCGCTGGCGAGTATTCTAAATTCTCACCGGTGTGGCCTAACGCCTTGACAAGTGGCAACTGTTCAGCTGGCCATGGAATTTTGAACATCGTCAAGGAGACCTACAAGGGAACCACTGCGACATACAACTATACGAGCCCCTTCCCATACGATACGAAGAGCGGGTACAACGTCAAGGTCACCGCGACTAAGAAGAGCACTAGCAACAAGGGGTCTTCTTCCTCATCGATCCCTACCCCCAACACTGCTGTCCCCTTCGTTTCGCCTACTGTCGGGTCTGTTTCCGGTTTGCTGATGGGCCTGTTCCTTGCCCTTTTCTAATGGCATTGTTATGCGATATATCTCTATATATGTGTTCTAAAGCTGCCTATAGGCCTGCCTTGAATGTTCTATGTTGCAAGAAAAAGAGTGTTCATAATGACTTCACGAGTAATGTCGTGAGCATAAAATTTTAGGTTAGTAATTATGGAGGTTTGCTATTTATGTACACTTTTGCCTTTTCTTCGTAGCTTTCGACATGTCTTCGCTGGGAGTTCACCTAATGTGTGGATTGGTTGATTCAATACTACGTAATGGCGGCAAACATTAGAGAGGTATGACCGTGTGTATATGGATATGTATATAAATGCCATGAGCTTTACTATATAGGCTCCATATCCAAAAGTAACAAAAACAATAGCAGATGTACCTACTAAGAACTTGTACTGATCAAAACAGCCTTTGTTTGAAGGAAGTTATCCAAGCCTTCCAATATACCCTCTCGACCTATGCCACTCTGTTTGTATCCGCCAAACGGCATATCCTTCACAATAGTGGGGCTCGTGCAGTTAACACCGACGGTACCAGCTTCGAGGAGCTTTGATAGCCTCACCGCACGATCGATATCCTTCGTGAAAACAGAGGCATAAAGCCCGAACTCGGAGTTATTAGCCCGTTCAATCGCCTCCTCCTCTGTCTTGAACGTATTAATCGCCACAACAGGTCCAAAGACCTCCTCTTTCATGAGCCGGGAGTCCTCAGGGACGTTCTCAAAAACGGTCGGCTTAATGAAGCCATTTCCGGCGTCGCCTCCCATTGTGAGCTTCGCCTCCTTCTCGCCAATTTCCAGATATGACTTCACTCGTTCGTACTGGATGTTGTCCGCCTGCGGCCCGTGAGTCGTCGTCGGATCTAGTGGATTGCCGATGCGAGCCGCACCGAACTTCTCCTTGAAGACTGCCAAGAATTTATCTGCAACAGACTCCTGTACGTAGATGCGGGAGTTCGCGACGCAGGTCTGTCCGCTCCCGAGCTGGATGCTGAACTGCGTCTTCTCGGCTGCTTTTTCGATATCCGCATCTTCGAAGATGATTGCGGGGGATTTGCCGCCTAGTTCCATGTGGACCACTTTCATGTTGGATTTAGCTGCTGCGATTTGGATCTTTCGCCCGGTGGCGGAGGAGCCGGTGAAGCTGAGACAGCGTACGTCCATGTGGGACGCTAGGGCGCTTCCGGCTGGTGTTCCCAAGCCAGAGAGGATGTTGATGACGCCGGGTGGGAAACCGGCTTCCGTAATCAATTTGGCCATGAAGGCAGACTGTCCCCGAGCGTGTCATTAGCGAGGATATATGGAGGGAGAGGTGAATTGCCGAGGCTTACGGTTAATGGTGCCTTCTCGCTGCTCTTGAGCACCACGGTGTTTCCGGCAGCCAAAGCAGGGGCAGTCTTGAAGGCGAAGATTATGAGCGGAGCATTCCAAGGTATGATAGCACCAACGACGCCGTATGGCTGCTTAAGTGAGATGTTTAGATGTCCAGGGGTGTTCACGCTGCTAGTTCCCTGTGCTTGCCAGCCGGTCTCTGCAAAGTAGCCAAAATTGTCTGCCGCTAATGCGGCATCAAAGAAGATGGATACAGGCTTACCCATGGAGATGGACTCTAAGCGAGCGAGCTCGGGAGTATTCTCGCGAATCAAATTTGACAATTTGCGCAAGTAGACACCCCTGGCATCTGGTGTGAGGTCTCTCCAGGCAGGGAAAGCGGCTTTAGCGGCTGCCACGGCCTTGTCCACGTCTTGCTCGTTTGCTTCGTGGACTAAGGGAAATGTTAGTGCGTGCTATGGGTAGTTATACCTTGCAGGATAGGCAGTTGATGAAGCAACTTACTGTCTGCAATTGGTTCGCGCGTGTACGGATTGATCAACTTGAACGTTTTGCCATCCGTAGCTGATTGGAACTACATGCATGGAAGGAAATCGTATGAGAAATGAAGCCTCTCAGCCATAATGCCAGGGATCAGCCTTACCTTGCCATTGATAAAAAGTCGAGTCTCTAACGGCTTTTGGGAGGCAGTTGCTTGGTCAGCGGTAGTAGACGACATGTTGGTATATATGACGTGGATGTAGTTTTGAGTGAAGAAAACGAGCTGTACAGGAGGGAGGGGGAGGATGACTTTATATGTCCTCTAAGCCTAGCAAGAGAGAGTAAGACTCGGATCCGGACATAAAGTCCGACAACAGGCTCCGACATATAGCACGCATCATCATACGAGTGGCATTAAAAATCACCGTGCGAGGAACAGGGATTGGTTAGTATAGAAGCGGGGTAGTGCAATTCGTTGAATGAGAATATTAGTAGTGCTTTCTTCGCAGCTCTGTGGAGTCGACTGTAGACTAGACTAAAAGAATTCTGATGAGTTGTGAGCCTAGGCTCCTACTAGGGGCTTATTGGAACACGACGGGGCCAATGAGTGATGCCTCCGAAAGTGGCGGGAATCCGAAGTCAACAGCGGCTCAAAACAAGTACCCAACATGTCCCAAGCTCCAGATAAACCTACTGGAACGCTTTCTAAGCAGATAGTTGGCCTAATGATGATGTTGGTGTGGGTTTGGTTTTAGTTATCATAATAGTGCTGAGTGAGATCCAAAAGACGACTGTCCTTATTTCGACCAGGTGCCTGTCAGTAATTGATCCACTCAAAAATCTAAGTGATCTACTAAAATTAATTCCTTTAAGAGTAATTCCAATCATAACAAGAGCTTGACTGAGTGCTTTAGATGCTACGGAATGCTAACTGGATCCTAACACACACATGAGGCGGAGTTCAGAAGGTCACGTCATATCATTAAAACAACGTTATAATATACAATAAGTCCAGTAATGCAGGAAATACTCTGAGGCCTCTCAGGAGATTTTCCGTAAACCAATGATGTATCTACCGAGAAAGACCTTGACGCTTCAAATCTTGAAGATTGAGCGTGTCTTGGTCACCTGGACGGCGTTCAGACTCAAGTTTTACTTTGTCCTCAGGGCCTCCAACACCTTCATAGTCGCCAGCGGGCGCCAGTCTACTCCTAGTCAGTTTATGATCCGATAGTATGGGATATGATTATATAACCTACCTTCCACGAGAGTCTCGAGTGCCTCCTTCGTCTTCAGGAATGGGTTTCCGATTGCTCCCCGTTGCGCCTGCCTCTCGGCCGGTTTTGATGCCCGTTGCTTCACGGAACTTTTTGTCAGCCCTTTCGTCAACGTTGGACTCAAGAACTGTGCCATTGTTTAGCGCTAACTTCAGTACAAGAGAAGAAAATCCACATACCAGAATCACTCTTCGGTCCAAGACCCTGTTTGGCTTGGTAGGTGTTCAAATCCTGCTCGGCGCGAGCAGCCATACGAAGATGCTCAGACTCAGCCATTGTGACTCGTATGTGGATATGCTGTAGAAGTAATCTGAATATAGATTCAAGGTTGTTTCAAAAAGAGTTTTGTATTATTTTCTGGATTGTATGAGAAAGACGCCACAGATTCCATCAACAGCGGCGACGTTTCTAGCTATATACCCATGACTGAAAGCCCATCAGGAACATTGGAGAAGTTACATCAGAATACATCACCAATATGTAACCAGATATTGCCGGAAAATATGGTTCCCTTTGCCAGAGTAATCGATCCACTTGGGATTTAGATTCTGGCAAAGCGAATGCTTCTCGATCACAGTGATGATGTCACGCAGCCAAACAATTACATAGCCCTAAGTCACTGTTCACTTATAGTCTAGCGTCAGGGTCCAGACCTAGGGCTGAATCGGGAAGGAATAACGATATCCCGGAGCATCCCGCTAAGGCGGGGAGCAAAGAATATGGTCTAACTAGTAATGTATACAGACAACGGAGCTCTCTGCGTGTTACTTCTTCCATCAATAAAGATCTTCTAAGATTGGTCAAGAGATACGATTTCAAGAACCAAGTCAGCCTCGCATTCTATGGTGTCTTAGTGCCTTTCAGGTTTCTGTCTTGGCCGATATTGGGTTTGGACTCAATTGCCTGATAGCTATCTATAGCTTCCCCCTCCAACCCAAGCCTTTAGCCATTCCTTAGTATGGCTCACGTTGTCGAGTTGCAAGGGGAGTCAAACCCCTTGACTCCACAGAATGTTCTCAATGTCTTGGCTCTCGCCGCGAGCTCGACGCAGCAGCAGGTGCAGACCGGAACTCAACAATTACAGAACTGGGAAAAACAGGAGAAGTACTATACCTTCCTTCAGGTAATATCATGCCGCCCCACTCGTGACTCTTAACTTTTGCCTGAACTAATAAGAAGTTCTTCCTATAGGATGTCTTCCTAGACCACTCCGTGCCCATTGAAGTCCGTTATCTTTCCATCATTCAATTGAAGAACGGCATCGATAAGTATTGGCGAAAGACCGCGACAAAGTATGCGTGTACAATTGTTACTGAAGACTCCTGGAAGAACTAGCTTACTGATACACTGTTAGCGCCATCAAAAAGGAAGAAAAGGAGCAGATAAAGAACAGAGCCCTTCATGCCGGCGTTGTGGAGCCTGCAGCCCTTCTAGCTTTGCATAACGCATTAATGATTTCTAAAATCATGCGCTATGAGTTTCCCCAAGATTGGTGTGCCCCCATATTACGTCGACTTTAGCGACGGTCTTTCTAACAGTCATATTAAGGCCCGATGGAATCACCTCACTTATAGCCTTCCTACGTTCCTCGACTCAGCCCGGCGCCAACCCGCTGCAGTTGCCCCGAACTCTTATAATTATCCTGCAGATAATCAAGGAGCTATCAACGGCCCGATTGCAAAGAACACGAGCCAACCTTCAGTCCATTTCTCCAGAGATATTTCATCTCCTGGGAAGTATATATGTGGATAAAGTGAATAAGTGGGCTTCGCTTTTAGAGCATGGTGTTACTGACGAAGGGACATTGTTGGAAAACCTTGAACAAAGTCTAGTATCTCTCAAGGTCATTCGTCGCCTTGTGATTGCTGGATACGAACACCCTAATCGTCATAATGAAGTTAAAGACTTTTGGCTCCTGACTCATTCTCACTTCAGTCGATTCCTTCAATTTGTCAGCGGCTCTGTCAGTGTACCGGAAAATGTGCAGAAGGCGATCGAGAAACATCTTTTGCAGTTATCAAAGCTCCATGTCGAGATGGCCAAAGACCGGGCTGCCTCTTTTGCATTGCTACCGGAGAGTATTCCCCTTGTCCACTCATATTGGAGTCTAGTGGTTAAATTAGGGGAGAGCTACGGGCAGCTGGGTGAAGGTGGTGAACAAGATGGAAAGTCACTGATGGAGAAAACTGGACTGAAAGCCCTCCTTCTGATAAGAGCTTGCTCTAAGATGGCATTTAACCCTGCGCAAACTTTCAAGTACCAAACTCCCGAAGATAAGGAGGAGAAAAAACAGTCTATCGAGCTTATCAAGTCCGAACTGTTTACCCATGACTTTGTGGTCAATGTCATGGAATTGCTTGTCACACAGTTCTTCAAGTTCAGAAAAAGCGATTTCCAAGAATGGGAGGAAGAGCCTGAAGAGTGGGAACGGAAAGAAGAGGATGTTGCTGACGCTTGGGAATTTTCTATTCGATCATGCTCGGAAAAGCTTTTCCTTGACTTGGTCATTCATTTCAGAGATCTGCTAATTCCTCGACTCTTAACCGTCTTCTATAACTTTGCAAGTAAGTAACTGGTGCCCTAAGGGGTCGCTGAAATCCGTTGACAAATATATCCAGGTCCTGAAAATCATGATGTGTTATTGAAAGATTCACTATACTCAGCGATTGGGTTGGCGGCTGCAAGCCTGGAGCAGCATCTGGATTTCAACAAATTCTTAGAGGCAACTCTCGTCCCGGAGGTACAGATTCAAGAGCAAGGCTATAATCTCTTAAGACGGAGGATTACAATCCTTTTGGGCCAGTGGGTCCCGGTCAAGTCGAGCGAGCTGAACAAGGATGCCATTTATCAGATCTTCCAGCATCTTCTTAGCAAGCAAGACCCGTTGAATGACTTGGTGGTCCGCATAACAGCTGGAAGACAATTAAAACACGTGCTTGATCCTTTCGAGTTCTCCCCCGCCGGATTTATGCCCTATGCTCCCTCCATCCTCCAAGATTTGATGTCCTTGGTTCAAGAGGTTGAGCTCTCTGAAACTAAGATGGGGCTTTTGGATACAGTCAGAATGGCTGTAATCAAGATGGAAGATCATGTATGTATTTACCTGCCTTGCCATAGTTCGATAGGCATGCTAATGATTCCCTAGATTACCCCGTTTTCAGATCAGATCCTGTCGTTGTTGCCCCCGCTATGGGAGGGTTCTGGGGAGGAGCATCTCATGAAGCAGGCTATTCTTACCTTATTGTCATCCTTGATCAACTCTCTTAAGCAAGAATCCGTGCGATACCATTCTCTCATACTACCTCTCATCCAAAACTCAGTGGAACCTGACTCTGTATGTCTCACCTCCTCCTGGTGAAATGGTTCGTGCAAGTATGCTAATTGTCGCACAGGAGACATTGATATACCTACTAGACGAAGCACTAGATCTTTGGGGTGCTATTTTGACGCAAACACCGGCACCAGCTTCTCCAGAAATTCTCTCTTTAATCCCGTCCCTTCTTCCCATTTTTGAAGCTGCCGTCGACAGTGTCCCGCAGGCCCTTCAAATTGCAGAATCTTATGTCTATCTTGCACCGCAAGAGGTGCTGAGCGACCGAGTACGACTTCCTCTCCTCGCTTCCCTCGAGACTCTTTTGAAATCTACAACACGCCAGCGCCTCGGCGTCGTGCCACGCCTAGTCGAGTTGATGATACGTGGCACTGAGACCGTGGATGGTGGTAGCGAGAATTCATACAATGTCATTACCCGATCGCTCCTCGATAGTTCTTTCCTACCAGCTCTCCTGGAAGGCCTCTACTCCGCCCACGAGGCCAGCCAAACCACCGGCCCCAATAGAAAACAAACACCTGTATACGGCGTCGTTGAGACGGACTACTTCTCCGTCCTTGCCCGCTTAGCCCTGGCACATCCAAAGATTTTCGCATCGGCCGTTTCTGCCGCGACAGGGACATCTGAAGAGCAGGCCCTTACCTGGATCCTTACAGAATGGTTCCTTCACTACGACAACATTGGCAGCGTGACACAAAAGAAACTCCATGCTCTTGCGCTTACCCAATTGCTCAATCTGAACGGCCCTGACACACAACCACCATCGTACATACTCAAGCACCTCCAATCATATCTCAACATATGGACAGATATCGTTACCGAGCTCGCCGAAGGAACCGAAAGCGAAGGCGACCCGCGTGCTGGCGACCATCTGATATACTGGAATGCTGCAGAGACGGGCAAGTGGGACGAACACGAACCGCCCGAGAACGAGCGCCGGCGTCACTGGGACAATTCAGACGTCCTTCACAAGATTAACATTCGCGATTTCATCCGGGATCGACTGCGCTCTTTGATTGTGGGATGTGGTGGTGAACAGCGGTTTCAGGAAGAGTGGCTTCTTGACGTTGATCGTGATGTCGTTTCTGCGTTTGGGGCTCTCGGACTTTTCTGATATATCTCCGATAACTTGAACCTGATTTTCTTATTTGACACCTACGAGATGGTCTGTTGCCACAGTATACTACACTACACCTGCATATACACGCGGCCCCCGCTATTTGCAGGAGATTTATGATCATAACTCCAGTCGGCAAATTAGCACAAGTTTATCCGAGTGATAGGCCTGTGATGCATATTAAAATGTCGTTGCAGAAATGACTTATGGTGTTCATGAAGGGAAGGGAAAGCATTGCATACAGCATCAGTTCTAGTGATATTCCCTTAAGCGTATTACCATTAGATAAATAAAGCCGCAATTCCTTTCTGAATTCAGGATCTTGTTCAACTTCCCTTGGAGTGCTACGTTATGATTCTAATTTTAATGATTTTACCTACCTCAGATCATTGGACATGGCTCGCAAGTCAAGTTCTTTTATTGTCGAGCAGTAATGTGACGGGTATATAAATCATGCCAAAAAGGCCTCTAGTTGTTGACTGCAATATTCAAACCTTTCTATGGAACATGATGAACCAAACATCCGGGCATAGCTCATTGCACAGCACGTCAAACATACAATCATCAGAGACTTCCACCGGCAGCTCCTACGATCTTCAACCCACTAGCACCGCCACCTCCAGGGCCATCAGCCGTAGTCGAATATGCAAGCCAGTAACGCGAGGGATGCCATGCAACGGCAGGAATGCCTGAATTCGTCCCACCGCCCGTTGGGACAGTATAGACGCTTTCGCCCGTTTCGGCATGGAAGATCTCAATTCCATTGCCGCCGCAGCCTACTTCATCACAGGCACCACAGATGAATCTCCCGTCGAAGCTCCAGCTCACCCCGCGGACGGCCCCGCCGTTGTTGCTAGACACGGTGCGTCGACAAATCCAGTCAGTCGTATCCCAGAGAGAGATAAGGGCATCACTACCTCCGACGGCGAGATAACGTCCCGTAGGTGCGAAGGCAATAGATAGACAAGCGGATGTGTGGGCATTAAGGGTGTGGAGGACGTCGAAGGATGGGTACGATAAGACTTTGACGGTGCCTTCGCCAGTAGTTGCGAAAAGGTGAAGGTCAGGCGAGGTTGGGATGGAGATGTGATGAGAGAAGGTGGTTGCGTTTGTTTGAACGGGCTGGGGGTGGGAATCTAGCACTTTGTAGGTGGTTGGACCTGTCTTTTGGGATGAGGTGTTGGTTATTCCGGTTTCGAGGACGGTTGGGGTAGATAGCGATTCGATGGATATGGGTATCAAAGTGTCATCCTAGGGATTAAGTATACCCCAGTCAGTCCGTGTTTTGCTTCTTGTCGGACCTCATAGTCTGAAGAAGCTTATGCTCACCTTCCTGCCAACAACCATCGTGCTCCCATCGGCCGACCAAGACAGGGTAAAGGCCTCGCCGCCAACATCTAGTCGGCTCACACACGTCTTTGAGCGAACATCCCAGAAGCGCACAGTACCATCTGACGAACAGCTGGCGAGCTCCGAGTCTCGAACAGGGTTAAATAAGACTTTCTCGATCCCCGCGGTGTGGCCGCGGAGATCAGTGGAGTATTTGACTTGTGCGCGCTCAGGGTTCCAAATTCGAAGGGTACGGTCTGCTGAGCCTGTAGCTATAAGCTGGCCAGTAGGGTTCCATGCTATCGTTCGGATACTGCGAAGAAAGAACAACTATTATCAGCTTGAACATATCATTGGAGGTGTTGTGCAGCTGCAACAGTTTTCTTCAACGGAGACACACGTATGAGATCCGGGCGATCGCGCAATAGGATCATTATAGCTCTGAGTTTTGAGGCTTCCGAATGAGAATGCAAACCGCTCCTTGGGTAGTAGATTGCGGCGGGGAGGTGCCATTGCTGGTAGCCGTTGTTCCTGCTGGCGGAGTGATGATGGCGGCGACGGGAGTAGTAACCCACGTTGATGCCCCGAGGGGCTGTGGTTGGCAGGGTTAAAATGAACTTTCGCGAAAGGGAAGTGGGAATCTACCCGGGACTTGCGACCACAGTAGACAAAGTACTAATTGCGTAGAGAGGATATTCGTTTCGCATCAGCTTTTGAAGTTGCGGCGGTACTGATAATGAAAGGCAGATGGTCGATCATTCATGGCAAGCTGATCGGTGCCTTAATGCCTCAGGCAGAACATCATATATGGCCAGTTTTGCGCATCCTTGATGTTGGTTAGTGACGATACAGAGTGACAAGCTCCAAGAGTTAAAAAAGGGCATATATACCTATACATAGATATATACCATAGGGAACCGTGGAGGGTCGATCACTAAATTATTGTTCGGTATGTATTCCGATGACATCGATGGTCGTTGCATGAACCAATTCGATGAAACATTAAACCAAGAGCAAAGTAGAAGAAAATGTGAAAAAAATATCTGCTTTGAGGAATAACTTCTGATCAAACCGCTATAAACATGTTTGAACGCAATTGATCGTAGCTTAATGGGAATGCATACTGTAGGTTTATGACGGGTCCATTGTCCAATCAAGTGACGCCCGCTTTCTCATCGCATCCAAAGTGATCAAATTTCCAATGACAAGGCTTTCCTCATGAACTACAAACACGACAACTCTGAATGTTCTCTCATTAATTTAACTTTAATTCCTCAAATGTAGGTAAATCCGTATCTGAAAACTGAAATGAATACCTCGTGATCGATCTTAAGATTAACAGCCGTTCAACAGATTCCACCAACCAACCACAGTGTGCCATTGATTTGATATCAAATACCCCGAATATAGGGCTACATACATCATATAAGCCAAGAATATAACTACCATGTTTGATCTAGAAGACGACGCGTCAAGGCGGGAAAAATGCTACACTACAGTGGCTCAGCTGCCCTCCTTCATTGATCCTAAACAACCGCCTATGAAAAAACCGCCTTTTTCAGCCATTTGGGGGCACCCGTTTGTGCACACCGTATGTTTCTCCTTTCCATTCTCTAACAATCTCTCTTGTATAAGTTCTCTAGTTGATCAGATATGAATAGGTTGAAGTTATTTTACCAGAAGCAACCTACCGAATCATTCAGAATTCATTAGATACAAAGCTTCCTAAGCTGCGATATGCTAGAGTGTTCATGTCACTTTCGTCTCTACTGGAAGGAGACTTTTTCAATACTTATATCAAAGCTGGTACATAGATCCTGGTGACACTGGTTCTCCTTGATTTTTTGAGATGCATATCGATACTGCGGGTGAGACATGTCCTAACTACTTTACAGGAAATATTCTTATGATATCTGAGGGGCGCTCTGGTTCGGATAACGTATATACTCTCAGAGATGGTACGGTATACTTCTGAACGCAGTGTCTAACCGATGACAGCTACAGACTAACCTACCCGTAGGGATCCTGAAACTAGAACTTGGAAAAGAGATATTTGAACGGACAGGTCTAACAGGGAAGCCCATCCGCAGTGGAGGCAGGAAACATGTCAAGGAAAGATATCGTATGTGTCTATTCGATTTCTTCTAACCTTGTTCAACATGCTCACATGTCGCAACAGTTGTGGAAATCAACCTGCGGTTACCCTCAATGCTTCACGGCAAGAAAGGCTTTGAGAGAATAGCTTGGGCATTCAAGAATGTTCTCGACCACTCTTTAGCGTGGCTTTTCTATGACCTGGCGTCGGAATCGAATGGTGTTTCCCCCGGTATACGATCTTCCCACTCTTTCAATCTCACCGTTGTTATTCATATCCTAATTTATGACTAGACGATTCCTCCCTGAAAGGAAACCACCCACACATTCTTGACTGCGAGCCAGTGCGCACTGTTTACCAGGAAGTCCTCGTTCCAACCTTGAAAGGATTGGACTCCACCGAAACAGTACTGGAACAAGAATTGAGAGACCACTGCGATGAGATCTCCGAATGGTTGGCGATGGTAACACTCGGATCTCCACGAGTATTGGCAAGCGACGATGTAGACCCGTACCTTTGCCGCTACAGTGTGCCAGATGTGGACGAAGCGAAGCCTTCGGATATAGTCAGCCTGAAATGGCATGGTCTTCTCCCTCCGAAATGGATCATGGAGCTATTCCTCACTCTACTGTATGATACTGATACCCCTTGTTAGTTCGTTAGATGTTAAGTATGCTGACTGCTCGCATTCTCAGACGAGATACCCCTCAGAAGGATTCCGAAGCCTTAAACTGGTTTGCTTTCTCCGCGAGCGCTCTGGGCAGGGAGGCTGTAGAAGGGAAGGATGGCTATACTGTTCTAACACTGCCCTCTGTGGATGGAGCTGATAATAATGTGCAGAAGACCTCTGACACTATATTTGAAAGTGGTCGCTCGTGTGTTTGCTGGGAGCACGTTGGTGCCTCGGTTCTCTAGGAATGAAGCATATATCCCGTACTGCTCTAAGCATACAGTTATATATCCACATGGTATTCTATGCACTAGTAGGTAGCTACCACATGGTTGCGCCAATAACCTGTCTTGCCTCGTTTGCTATAAAGACTAAGTTGGGCTTCAACAAGACTGGAAAAATTGCCGATGGCATATATAAAGACAGCCATGAATTGGTACAATGAATGTCCAAGATTGATGTCCCAACTGCTCCTATCCCTCCAAATCGTGGTCCTGATCCCGCCACATAGTACACAAGAACTCCAGCAAAACAATAATAACAAATAGTGGAAACATATCCAATAACGTCATAAATGGCTATAATCATCCAATAAGGTCGTTCACCACATCCTGAAGCACGGGTCTATTTCCAAGGACCTTGCTACCACTTAATAGCTTGGCTCCCTTCTTCGCTGGCTTTTTGAGCCCCTGGGGGGTTTGTCGGGGTTGTATCGGACTTAGAGGGCTGCGGCCCTTTTTTTGAGAGATAGAATTTCTCTTCGGACTGGGGGTCGGCCTCTCTTGTGATTGGGGTTGTGTATGGACAATGTTGTCAGTTCCCAAGACGTGGTCATCTATAGCGCCCTTGGGTAGGTTGTAGACCCAGCCTCGCTCTTCTACTAGCTGCACATATTTGCGTAGTAGCTCATTGCCGTCACGAAGGGTGCTCTTGCTTCCAACAATAAGAAGCTTTGTTCGTGCTCGGGTGAACGCAACGTTAACGCGTCTCCAGTCACGGAGAAGATCGCCGACATGGTTTTCCGAATTGCTCCGTACGCAGCTGAGTATCACGACTTCTTTGTCTCGGCCTTGGAATTTGTCTGCGGTGTGCATCTCGAGAGCTGGTAGGTGACGACGCAAATTCTGTTTTAGAAGCGAAAGTTGGCTGCGATAGAATGTGATGACTCCAATATTTCGTGCAGGTATGCCACAAGAGATGAAGGCTTCTACGAGCTGGGCGCAGAGGGTCGCCTCGGTGGGGTTGACAATTCGCGATCCGTGTGCTACATCTAAGGCCGGTATGGCTAGAGTATCTGTGTTGACAAGGCGGGTTTTGGCGGATGGGTCGACCAGGTCGCGGAGCCAGCAGCGACCCTGACCTGTGCCCAAACACAGCTGCCGTTGCCTTGTGTCCTGTTGAGAATGATTAGTATGAAGACGTTTAAGACCACCAATATTGGGAACCTCCAATAAACGCGCTGCGACCTCTTTGGTTCCACATTTGAGTTGCCCGGAGTAAATGAGGGTGTTTGAGAGAAGCATAATGTCCTGGCACATTCGGTACTGATGCTCGAGGTTGACGACGGATGTTGGGTGGGAATCAGAAAGTAGTTTGAAGAGACTAACATCGAGGCCCCCTTCTTGAGCCTCTTTATTCTGCACAAGAGGTGGCAGTTGGTAGTGATCGCCAACAAGGATGAATGTCCTTGCCATACGAATTGGACCTAAGCATACCGGCAAGGTGATCTGGGAGGCTTCATCAACAATGCAATAATCAAATATGCGCTGACTGAAAACGCTGTGGCCGATTCCGAGACAGGTTGTTGCGACAACCTGCGAGTCCTCGTATGATGTTTTCAGTTCTTCAATTGTGCTCTTGGGAACCGCCGCGAGGTCGGCAAACAGTTGAACCTCAGGATGCACTTTTGCTGCAGCCCCGACCCGTAAGATCCGGATATTGTCATCTCGAATCTTCAAAAGTATATTGTCAACTGCTGTGTGGGTATATGAGGTTAGAAGCACACTTTTCCCTTGTGCTACTAGGGCACGAATGATGTGGGCTATAGTAGTCGTTTTCCCTGTACCCGGCATTCCCAATACCAAGGCATAGTCATGAGCACTCATTACTTTATCAATAGCTCGTTTCTGATCAACGTTCAAGCTTGCCGTGTCGGTGTCTGACATTTTGTATGTGGACAATGTGGGCTTGAACGTGGGAGCAAATCCTTCGACAATCAGTCTCCTAAGATTCTTGGCTTGGAATAGGTCTCTTTCCATCATAGCAACCAGGTTTGCTCGAACAATAGCCAAGCCGTTACTGAACTCGTCTTTATCCAGTCTGTAAATGATCTCTTCTTCTGATTCATCTAATGAGTTCGATGAAGTAGCATCGGTACCAGGGATTTCCATTATGCCCTTGAAAGATTGATTTGTCTTGGCATCGAAGCCTTTGGTCTTGGTTCTGGCGTTATGTAGTCGTCGATCTACGGCGACAGAAACCCGTTTGGGACTGACTTGCACGACATAGCCATTTGCAAGGGCAAAGTGGCCCTTTTCATCAGAGATCACAATCGGCTCCCCAACTGTGAGTTGGGACTCGGTAAAAGAGAAAGAGGTTGTTGGTTGTCTTTTGACAAAGGTATAACGATAGCGATTTATCTTTACCCCATCAGTGTCTTCAAAGGCTGATCCTGGTTCGATGACAATATTGCCGAAGCATCGGCCCAGCGCCTCGCGTTCGCTGCTCAGAAGCGTCCAAAGCTCCCGCTTAAACCTCATCATACTTTGCTCCTCCTTTGTAAGCAGATCATCCCATTTCCGAAAGAAATCACGATCCTTGAGCGTCAAGTGGTCCATGGCCTTTACGAACTCGTCGCCGAGTCCACTCGATTTGCCATCGCCATCATCAACCAATTTGTGATAGATAAAACAAGGTGTCTTCGAGAAGCATCTATTGCACAATGCTTGCTTTTTAATCATGGGTGGCAATTGCGCCCTCCGGCACATATAACCAGCTACTCGATTCCGCGCTTGAATCATCTGGAGGAGCTCATGACGGATGCCGCGAACTCGGAAGATTTTCGACGTCTCAAGGTAGTAGAGAAGACCGAATGTAACATCCACATCTGGTAAAACATGCCAGGTCAGCATGAGCACAAAGAGCCCGTAGCAAGGTCCAAGCTCACCGTAGCGATCAGAAAGCAACAGGGTGTAAAGAGCTGTTTGAGCTCTATGGGCATAGTTTGTGTCTCTGTTACCTGTCTTAAGCTCAAGAGGCACGACCAAATTCTTATCGATCTCGCCATCATGACAGGAAACTTGTACAGTAGCGTCGATGTTACCCTTTAGCCCATACATTGGAGACCAAATGTGCTCTTCAACTTCAAGTAGCTTGTTGATACTCAAGTGGAGCTTAGAACTATTTCGATCTTCAACAAGAGATTGCGCCTATTGTGAATGTTAATGAGTGGCCGTTGCAGATTGTTGTAGGTTCGGCTCACACTTGGCTTTGCCTGGAGGAAAATGTCCGCCCAAGTTCTCAGAGCTGGAATTTTGCCCATCACATATTCTACAGCTTCCGGAATGCTCATGCGAATCAGGTACAGTTCCTCAATATGCTTGACAACAACAGTTTCAACTAAGGACCTCAGTGAAGCGATTTCCCATTGATTGGCTTTCATTGCTTCTTGGAAGACCTCATGGAAGATATTCCCAAATACTTGGGGTTTACCTATGTCCCCAGTGTTTTTGATACGATCCTGAAGGACTGCTCGCCGTTGGCAACCAATCGAATCCGCGACAACTGTTGCGGAAATCAGGTAGTCCGGGTGAAGAATGATCATGTTGTAAGAATCATTGACAATGCAACGGCCGGTTGTATTTAAGTCGCCTATTAAGTGAATGTATGAATCCTCGGAGCATGGGCTATCAAACCAAGATTCCCGTAGAATAACGAAACCCTTCTGGCTGGTTCTTTCATCTTGTACACACAACACCTGTTTACTTTGTTAGCTTTTACCTGCCAGCCTTATAAAAATATGCGACGGCAGACCTTCTCTGGTTGGAGGCGTCCTTTTTCAGTGGTATAGGTAGACTCGGTAATAGCAACAATCATGTAGCGCTTGATGGCCTGTCGACCAAAGTTCTATTTATAATTTACTTAGCAAATACCTAGTAAATATACCCACTAAGAATGACAAACATAGTTGGACCCATCTGCGCCTGTCTGCGTCATAGTCTGTTCGATGGCCTCCATGTCAAACTCATCATCGTCAAATTCGTCACTAGAGGATTCTCCCTGCGGCCTGCTCACTTGGGCTGGCTTCATTGTTGCCATCGATGGACTAGCAGCGCCACTTCCTGAGCCAGATAGGTTGAAGGCCAGAATATTCTGTGAAACGGGCCTCACTACCTTCGTGCTTGGAGCCGCGTCGCATTCAGCAAGGATATCATCAATATTATCCGAAAACTCATCAAATTCGTCGTCATCAAACTCAGCAGCATCGAGGGTATAACTGCTTTTGTTGTTAGCTGCTGCTTCTAGTTTTGAAGTCGCCGCATCAATATATGGCTTTTGCTTTTCCTGAAATGGGTTGTGAGTATCAGTTGGAAAGAGTGCGATATTTCTTCTAGCATCAACTGCTCCTGGTTCTCTGTCATGCTCAACGAATGGGTCCATAGAGGCTTCTGCAAGTTCAAGAAAATCTTCATCAAAGTCATCATCACCAAACTCAGACGAAGAGTTCTGCTTTTGACCCTGGGACTCCGGGCTTATCTCATCGGCTTTATTTCCTTGGTTTGCTTCCAACGACGCATGACGGTAAGGCCTGTCTTGTATGGGAGATGCTGACCGACGTTGTTGGACGCCTCTTCGTCTAGGCACAGGCGATGAATCAGATGCGGGGACTCGAGGCTTCGGCGACTTAGGAGCATTCCGGAGGCTTTTTTCAATTTTTTCCATGAGGAAATTGATCTTGGATGAATTGATACCACCAGAATCAACGACGTTACTTTTCGTCCGAGAAAAGATACTGCGGCCTGCATCAGTTTTCTTGCCCTCAACTTTTCTCCGTTTCGCTTCAGAACTGGGCCATTCGGCATTGCAGCTATTCGATCGTCTTAAGCCAGAGGAATCGCGACCTGTCCTAGCCGGCGCTGGAGTTTGTGGAGAGGAGGATAGGAGGTATGTGAAGCGAGGTTGTGGCAGAGTTCCATTGTTGTTAGCTGTGATTTTGCCCACATAGTTGTTCCATAGCTCCGTTGCGAGATCGGTTTGCGGAGTCTTTAGAAGCCCTTGGAGCGACGACTGCATGTCATAGGACCCTTTGTGTGCGCCTTTTGAATTCTCCGCTAAGGGCGAGCTGGTCGGGGTCGAGATATGCCGGCGTTTCCTGTCTTGCGTTGCTGGTGTCTGAGACATCGTGTCCGGATTTGAGCTCACAGGAACATGCTGCCAAGTGACATAGTCTTCAGGAGTAAACACTTGCCCTGGGGCCTGGCTAATGGCATCTTCAGCATTGCTAATAAGGTCCGCTAATGGAATCCTATTGCCGGGAGTCTGAGGGCATTCCTTGGCTGCCTTCGAATCCGATATATCACCTGAAGGTTCTACTCTGCTTAGCTCAGGTTGTTCTGTCCTAGCCACACCATTCAACCATGAATATTGATTTTCCTTATTCGTATGCGCTGATTGGAGGGGCGATTTAGTTGGCGATTTCTTAGACTTCTCAATACTTGTCTCATCTCTGATATACTGAAAAGCATTTAACTTCGAGCGGGAATCTGAGGAGATAGGGTACGAATTGGAGTTCTTATTAGTGGAATTCATCGCTGAAGCTGCTCGTCTTCTGTACGAGAGCAACAGGGCATCTCGACTAGTCTTAAGTGGATATAGTTAGTAATGACAAGCGCGTCTGGTCTGCGGAGGAGATATACCAATTAGTAGACGTGATGGGTAACGAGTAGAGAAACAACTATCGTTATTTTCCGGTTCTTGAGAAAGTGTTCAGGAAAGTGACATGCATCAATCAAAGTCAGGCTAGATTTGTGCCTTGATGCATCGAATCTCCAGTCAGATGCAATAAGGGAAACGCTAGAACGCGTCGCGCATCAGGACTACTGCCTTAGGCATAACGTATGCCTTGGATTGCAGGCATTATATCGGTATGCGAACTGACCCGATCGAGACTAGCGCAATGACTCTATCGGCCTTTTGCGGCTTCTGAACATCAACCGCTGTTCAAACCGTCACCCCTCCAACTTAACGCCCCCTGCGCCTTCAACGATAGCGGTCGGATCAGGAATTGATCAATTGGACCGATTATTATCATCGCTGGTCGAAGGAATCATTGGATTTAACGTCCTCACTCGACTGTCCCTGCCTTCTCAGATCTGACAGGGGCCTCAAACCGCCAACGCCTATCTTTTATCATCGATTGCCTCAAGGACCAAGGAATTTTCTATATTCTCGACTTCTCTCTATAGCCACAATGTCTGCTCGTCCTTTGTCGCTTTGCCTCCGCGCCCGCTGCCTGCCCCGCAGATCCCAGAACATCCAGGGTTTCTCAACTCGTACCAACCTCCGTGCCGCTGATCATGGTGATCACTACGACCCTCCAACCGGGTGGCTTTTCGGTGTCAAGCCAGGCCAGAAGTATGTGAAGGAAGGCTGGGAGAACATCTGGTACTACGGTTTCATTGGCAGCTTGCTGGTTGCCGGTGTCGCATATGTCTACAAGCCTGACACTTCGTACGTCAACCCCTTGCGCTCCAGCTTGTTCTCAGCAAGCTCCCCTTAACCAGCAGATGTTATTATGCTATCTATCTAGAACAAATGATTGTTTGCAGAACTGACGTTTGGAAAGGATACAAACATGGGCTCTTGAAGAGGCACGACGGAGGCTGGAAGCCGAGGGTATCTTGGAGGATCCCGAAAAAGCTCAGAGGAAGTAAAAGGACTTTTGTCCGGTTATTTCCTTGTACATTGTACATAGAGCGGTCGGACATGGAAAACAATTTCGGATGAGATGTTGTACCTGTGCCACCAGACACGATTTGCAGGCCCGGTCTAAACAGGTCTTTTTATTTTCTCCACCTTATTCCTTTTTATTCTTACATTCTGCTGTACTCTGTCAACGTATATTCCGGGATGCTTTCACCGATTGCTTTAGAGAGTTCAGAAACCAGGGAATGCAACATCCAAGTGCAAAAAGTGTTCTATCTATCGACTAGTTCCATCCTTTGACTTGATTCACCGGTAAGCTAGACACAGAGGATATTTACCCTGCCCTTGCCGTCTAGCCACTACTCCAACCCCTAGGCGGTTATATTTCTGGATATATGTCCGTCCTTCTAAGTAGTGGTATCTCTCTCCTGACCTTCGCTAGAAGGTTCAAATCTATATCCGCAATGGCGATTTGCGGCTCTGTGTATTCGTCACCAAGTTGGGCTACAACCTCTCCCCAGGGGTTCACAATCATGGAATAACCGTAGCTTCTTCTCTTCTCATTGTGGGGGCCCGCTTGTGCTGCTGCTATCACATATGACTGGGTTTCAATAGCTCTAGCTCGTAATAGGGTTTCCCAATGGGCCTTTCCTGTGGGGATTGTGAATGCCGAAGGATAGACGATAAGCTGAGCATTTTGTCGTTTCAACGCCAGACTGATCTCAGGAAAACGGAGCTATGGGAGGAAGACATATGAGAGGCTGCTTTTTATAATGGCGCTTAATCCAGACACTTTGACCACCTACATCGAAACATATGGCTAAGCCAACGCGTCCAACCGGAGTATCAAATGGAGTTACAATTTCCATTCCTTTCTCGACACTCCTGGATATCAAAGTGGATTAACTCTCTTATAAACCTCGGTGCGTACGTTCGGGGATAACTTACGCGCTTTCTTTAAGTACTGGGCCGCCTTTAATGTCTACATCAAATAAATGGACTTTTTGATAGCGTTGCGTTATAATCCCCTTATCATTGATCCAGACAAGTGTATTTTTGACTCTGCCATCCGGGGCGGGTTCATGAATGCCGACATTTATGTGCAAACTCGACTGCTGGGCCTCTTTCTGTAGACCTAATACAAATTCGCTATCATGCACTGAGCGCACAAGTGAGACGGACTCTGCTGGTGAAGACGCAATATAGTCTGATGCTTCAGGAAGAAATAATGCCTGGTCATATATTAGTTGGAAATCCTCCAAACGCTGGAATTTTAGTTTACTTTAGCCCCGGCCGCGACTGCTTTGCGCACCAGTATTTGACACTGGGCCAAATTCGCAGTCATGCTCGCGGTCGAGCATAGTTGCCCCACGGCCTAGAAGTTAGTAAAGAACTATTCGCTCGAGTGCCTCTTCTTTCACTTGTTGCCCTAAGGGGTGCTTACTGCAATGACCATTGCTGCTTATTTGAAACTTATATTTTGTATCTCAACGAAATCAAATCAAATAGAGGGCGACCTATCTATGGAGGTTTAAGGTGTAGTGAGTGCTAGTGAGGCACGATATCGGGCTGATAAATACAATCAGTGACCTATCGGGAGACTTTCCCGTTTTGGGACGACATCTCAACTACCGCTTCAGCACGCGGAACCAAATCTGAACAAACGTCACGGACTACACCAGCATCTTGGAAACCAGCTTGTGATAGGAAAAATACCTGGCTCATCAGAAGTCAGGTCACATAGTTGGTAATATGAAGAGCTTACGAAGAGATTTCTCCTCCGACCCGCAGACCGCAAATGTCACCAGCAAAATCTTCGTTAGGTCGACAAAAAGTGGAAAGGTACAAAAGATCGTTCGTGAGCTCTACCTAAGGCAGGACATTCCTTGCTCGTCGAAGTTATGCTTGATATGTCCTACGGTTGCTCCAACGGATGCAAATGGAAATAGTAAGGGAGATTGACTCTTCGTGATCTTACTGCGTTTCAGTGGCTAATGCGACATAGTTGCGCCTTTCGTTCTTTCAGAGCACCCCGCCGGCACAACGGCTTTTCCTCGCGGCCATTATCTCGTCCCCGATACAAACGCGCTGCTGAATGGCATGGATTTATTTGAGCATACCGGGGCATTCTACGATGTGGTCATCCTTCAAACCGTTCTGGAGGAACTCAAGAACCAGTCTCTACCCCTCTACAATCGCTTGCTTGCCTTGATTAAGACCGATGAGAAACGTTTTTATCTTTTCTTCAACGAGTTCCGGATGGAGACACATGTCCGCAGAGGGCCGAATGAATCAATCAACGATAGGAATGATCGTGCCGTCCGTGCTGTAGCAAAATGGTATACAGAACATTTGCGAGCCACCGCGAAAAAGGGAAAGAAGGAGAAGGAATTACCTGCTATCGTCGTTATCACGGATGACAAAGATAGCTTGCGCAAGGCGAAGGACGAGGGTGTGATAGCTCTTTCATTAAGCGATTACGTTTCAGGCTTGGAGGATTCCAACAGATTGCTCGACATGATCAATGAGTCAAGGGAGCAAAGAGAGACTAAAGGTGCACGTGGAGAGCTTTTCTACCCAGAGTACTATACCATGTCCAAAATTATGACAGAATTGAGAGCCGGTACCTTACACCAAGGTGTATTCAATGTGTCGCCTTACAACTATCTGGAAGGCTCCGTCAACGTCGCAGCGTTCGATAAGCCTCTTCTAATCCTGGGCCGTGGTAACAGCAACAGAGCCATCTCTGGAGATGTTGTTGTGATAGAAGTGCTTCCCAAGGATCAGTGGAAATCTCCCTCAACTAAGATTGTCGAGGAAGAAGCGGTAACCAAGAATGACAACCCTGATGCTGAGGATGTTGAAGCTGTGGTCACAGAAAGGGAGCGCAAAGCATTGCAGGAGGAGGTCAGGCAAGCGCATGGAAAGAGCACGGAAGGAAGGCCTCAACCGACAGCTAAAGTTGTGGGCGTGATTAAACGAAACTGGCGGCAGTATGTCGGGCACGTTGACTCAGGATCGGCAGGCACTCAAACCAGCGCTGGTCGACGACAGCAAAATGTTTTCGTTTTACCTATGGACAAGCGGGTACCTAAGATTAGGGTCCGCACCAGGCAAGCCTCCGAATTGCTGGGTCAACGAATCCTCGTCACAATTGATGCATGGGATCGTGATTCTCGGTATCCCACAGGACACTTCATCCGGTCTTTGGGAGAGCTTGAGACAAAGGGAGCTGAGACAGAAGCCCTGCTACTTGAATATGATGTACAATATAAGCCCTTCCCGAAAACCGTTCTCGATTGCCTTCCCGCAGAGGGACATGACTGGAAAGTCCCAGCTAGCAAGGAAGACATCGGCTGGAAAGGCCGCAGAGACCTCAGGGATCTTCTCATCTGTAGTATTGACCCCCCAGGCTGTCAGGATATTGATGATGCTCTACACGCACGACCTTTGCCCAATGGCAACTTCGAAGTGGGCGTCCATATCGCGGATGTATCGCATTTCGTTAAGCCAAACAATGCGATGGACCTCGAGGCGAGTGTCCGTGGAACAACAGTATATTTGGTCGACAAGCGTATTGATATGCTTCCGCACTTGCTTGGTACCGATCTCTGCTCTCTCAAGCCTTATGTGGAGCGCTATGCTTTCTCTGTTTTGTGGGAGATGACCCCTAATGCAGAGGTTGTTTCCACTGACTTCACAAAGTCGGTCATTCGTTCTCGTGAGGCCTTCAGTTACGAGCAGGCTCAGATGCGCATTGACGATCCATCGAAGAAGGATGAACTGACAGAGAGCATGCGCACTTTGCTTCGATTCTCTAAGATTCTCCGCCAAAAGCGTATGGATGCAGGTGCTCTGAACCTCGCCTCGCCAGAAGTCCGTATCGAAACTGATAATGACGAGGTTGGAGATCCACTTACGGATGTCAAGACAAAGGCTATGCTCTCGACCAACAGTCTTGTGGAAGAGTTCATGCTTCACGCTAATATCACGGTCGCAGCAAAAATCTACAGCACATTCTCTCAAACCGCTATGCTACGACGACATGCTACCCCTCCGCCGCAGAACTTTGAAGAACTCATCAACCAGCTTTCCAAGAAGCGGGATATGAGACTTGATGTTTCTAGCTCCCGCGCTCTCGCCGACTCGCTAGACCAATGCGTTGACGCTAAGAACCCCTTTTTTAACACCCTTGTCCGCATTCTCGCTACTCGTTGTATGACATCTGCAGAATATTTCTGTGCAGGTGCACATGCTGAGTCGGAATTCCGCCATTATGGTTTAGCCTCTCCCATCTATACCCATTTTACCTCACCTATTAGACGATATGCAGACTTGTTGGTCCACCGACAACTTGCATCTGCCATTGGATACGAAGGTGAAGACGGTCGTGCTGTCGTAGAGGGTGTCATGACACGCAACCGCCTGGAGGACATCTGCCGCAACATCAACCACCGTCACCGCAATGCCCAACACGCTGGCCGAGCTAGCATCGAGTATTACGTTGGCCAGGCACTGAAAGCGCGCGGTGAGAAGTTATCCGCCGACGGAGTGGACGGCGGCATCGAAGAAGATGGCTACGTCATGCGCGTTTTTGAGAACGGCGTGGTGGTGTTTGTTCCGCGATTCGGCATCGAGGGTGTCGTCCGTCTGGAGGACTTTGTGCTCAAGGGTGATGCCTCCCTGCGCTCTGTCGAGGAACGACGAGAGCTAGTGGTACGTCGAGAGAGCGAATTTGACAATGAGGAGTACACTCTTCAGGTCTCAGATAAAGGCCACACTGATCGAAGTATGAGTGTTGGACTTTTCCAGAGAGTCAAGGTCAACGTCAGCTCTGTGAAGGAAGAAAGTGGCCGGGGTGCTGGAAAGAGAAGGGTGAGGGTATTGATATTGGGAGCTCAAGATTAAGAACAAGTAAAAAGAGAAGAAAAAGCACGTCTAATGATGGTATTTTGGTGTTGGTCATAAGATGAGATTATCTGGAGTCTAGTGATTATCAATAGGTCATGTATTACTGTCTGATCCATGTATATCTTCTTGCATTTACATTCATTAGACTGGGATAATCTCTATCCAATTGTTTTTGCCCCGGATTTCTATGCTGTCACACTCTTTTCGGTGTAGCCATCCCACGCAGTAGTGCAATTGGCGACCAGAGCTTAAACTCAGGTACAGGATTAGGTGTTGCAGATGCCACTGCTGGCTGGCCATAGTTCTCATCTTCGATCCCATGGGAACACTCCACCTTAATACCGGCGTTATTGCTGACGGCAACGGTAGCGGACGACTTTAGTAGCGTTTCCCGTTCAATGTCTCTCACTTTCCAACCTCTCACCACCCACAAACATAATGCCGCACCAATGTACATAAACCCCGTGAAGATCTGAACCCTCAAGTAAACCGAATCCTTGGACTCATTGTCCCTCAAGACCAGCGCAATAGCCTCAGAAACAGTCGTAGGAGCCACCAGAACAATCCATGTAATACTAAGACCACTAGGCAGGTCCCTCAACCCCAAAATCTCAGCAAGCACAGGCGTAACAGTCGCCCAGTACGTACCAGCCACGGTCCCAACCAGAACCGCAAAAAAGGACACAACACCCATGCTACGCGCAAATATCCAAATAACTAGACAAAACAGCCCACAGCAGAAGGAAAGAAAAGTCGCAATATTGATGCGACCGAGTTTATCACTGAACATGCCGACGAAGGGTCGCCCTAGGCCCTGGCCGAGATTCAACAAAGCACTCACAATACTACCCTGGTGGGACGACAGGCCGACGGAGAGAGCAAAGTTGGCTACACTGAACAGGATGGCGACGTAGCCTAGCATGCTCAGCACGCCCCAGCCGAGGAAGAGGAGGAACTCGGGGCGCTTGAATAGGGGAAGGTGGAAGGCTTTGTGGCGGCTGCCGACATTTTTGTTGCGGTCTTTTATAAGGTTTGCGCAGACGAGGTTGACCACGCAGGCGATTATGCCGAGGATGCGGAACGCCCAACTGAGTCCTAGACGGGGGATCATGGCGCCTACTGCCAGGGAATAGATTAGGCCGCCTAGACCGGACCCGGCGGCGTTGATGCCCATCGCCAGACTTCTTCGGCGCTGAAACCATTGGGGGGTTATGCCCACGCTTCCAACGAAGAGGAAACCCATTCCCCAGCCGAAACAGACGCCTTGGCTTAGGAAGATGTGCCATCTTTTGGTGGCGAAGGAAGATCCAATTAATGAGAGGGTCTCGAAGAAGACGCCCATGTTTAGGACGAGTCGGATCCCATAGACATGAATGAGGTGAGTGGCTAAAGGAGCAACCAAGAGGGCGCAGGAGATACTCAGGCCGCCGGTGAAGGCGTAGGAGAGTGCAGAGGTATTTGGGAATACATCATGCGAGAGGTAATAAGAGAGAAAGACTCCATAGCTCTAAGCTTCGGTTAGTGTACTCCGCGGTTTTATGAATAACTAACTCTAGAAGACTAACACTGTTGATTCCCCATGTATGTGCATTGATCCAGAAGACGCAAGCAACACAAACCCATCCATAGCCACCGTCTGGGGGAACATCACGTTGATATTTGTCTTCTAGGACTTCCGGGGCTGCAGTTTGCTGCTGCTCTAGCTGAGATGAAGAGTCTTGACCTAGGTGCTGACTGTCTTTATACAGAGGGTCCTGCGAGGCCAACTCATGGTCATAATCGCGCGAGCGGATTATATCAATAGGAGTGTTATCAGCCATTCGCAAGGCGTAAGCCAATGAAAAGGGTATTTATGATTTGTTCTCTCGTTTCGCTGGTTACACCGTACATGGGAGGGCATTACTAGCCTCAACAAGAGTGTCCACTCGAAGAGATAGGAACAATACGAGGTGGAAGTGGGAATAGTCTAAGGAAATTAAAGGGGGGGTGTTAAGCTGATAAAGGCCGAAGCTGATGTGTCATGGATTCAACGACTAACACTTATGATAATCTGTCAGTCTCATCCTTCAGACAAGGAATCCTTGGGCCACGGTAATGGGCCCGGCAGTCCCAAAGACCATCATTGGGCTGATTGAATTAAATGAGATCGGATATAGTGCCGAGTAGCCGGTGGAGCAAAGCTTGGAAGTTGGAGACGGAGGGAAATCTGGAGAAAGTTGGGGTATAGATTTAACCAAAGAAATGGTCTGTCTAGCTCCAACGCTGAAAGATTTATATAAAGTTGAGTAGAGATAATGATGTATCACAAGGATTTTAATTATATAGTGAACCACCTGGATTGCTGTATATGTTCAATCTCATACTTGACAGCACATAATGCCCGACCTGTAGACACTCAGGGCTTAGGGTTGAGGAAAGAGTAACTTACTGAATCTCTGATGACTAAGCATCCCCCCGCGTTGCCTTTGCGACCATGTGAACCGATGTTTGGATAGTTTGCATCAGGGTTTGTTATTGTTGTTTCTCTTCTTTGCTCCCCCTTCAGTCACTGATTGCCCTGGATTCATAGCCATGTCGGACTAACCCTTCAGGAGAAGCATTCAATTCAGTTTAATTCAATTAACTTCAATTTCCAGACTAACAGATTTAAGCATACCTCTTTTGCAATGAGACTCAATCTAATCATCCCAGCGGGGCTGAAGAGATCTTGCTAGCCCAACCTACCCACCCCAGCCACCTTCTGGAACATTATTGGCTCACTGATCAATTATATGAGAACTGACTTCATAGCTCTGCGTCCTCGAACAACGCATCACTCACTCATTCGGATGTCTCCCAAAATCTCATTCCCCTAAAGACATTCTTCTAGGCCAAACACCATGCATAGACCGTATCTGCACCATAACAAGACCAAAGATGGCCAACGCCAGGTCTCTCCTCCCGGCCCATCTTATATGTCCGATAACCAGATCGGTAAGTCTACATGATTAGCTGCGTAATGACATTCTTCAGTCTGCAAGGTTTTGACGGTGTGATCAATGTTGCCTTGGAACTTATCTATTGGATACTAACATGTGACTATCGTTTTCTCTGGTGCAGCAAGTTATCTTAAGGACCTTCGGACAAATCGACCAACACGTCCAGGCGGTTCGCGGCCGCTCCCTGCGAAGCCATCTGAGTCAATTCCTAATCCCCGTGAAGACCTACCTCCACGGGCGGCATCAGCAATGTCTTCCTACTCGTCGAGGATGCCGTCAACCACTTCAGCGGCCGATAAGGAACGGCCCCGCGCCACCAGTTCCTTATCTAACCATCGCCCTACTTCCTCTCGAGGATCCGTAGGGAGATCGACTGGAAGACCGCTGGTGCAAGAGCCCACAATGGTGCCCGTTCGAAAGAACGTCTCGCCAACACGAGCTTTCTCTCGCCCTAGCCCCCCGTCTCCGAATACAGCGTATCGTGAAAATCATCAACGTCGATTTGAAAGGGAGGAGGCCCGGTCCTTGCGAGATGCACTGCAGGAGATGGATATCCAAGATGACATTCGCATTCACCATGCTGCCCAGGATGAGGCCACGGAACTAGTTTGGATGCACCAAAATCCTGGGCTGGCCTTTAAAAATCCATATGCGCCATATCGCAACCCTGATATAGAGAAGTCCAGTCCAAGAACGGAGAGAAGCAGCACTTTACATACTCGCAACCTAGCTTCCAGAAGCCCCCAGCGGGATAGTTACCGTCCAATGTCAGACCACTTTCCAGATTCACCCAGCAGACATTCTGAGCAACAGCAACCTACCTTGGACGAGCAAAATTCTAGCCCTAGAAAGAATGACACACTACGAAAGAGCCTCAAGGTTGACTTTTCGTTACCCCAAGATGGAAGCCCGTCAAAGAGAACAAGCAGCGGCTACGGCTTGGGCCTCGCGTATGGCAGCAATGATTCGTCTAAGGGTGTCTTCCGAAACCCCAATGACTGCATATATGAAGAGCCTGGGGAGCCTCAGCGAACGGATAAAGATAATCGTCCTGATTTTTCGAGATCTGATTCATCAGCCCTAAAAGTTAAACCGCGTAACTCCCTGCCTCGAGGCTCGCGGCCACTCTCTGGCCGATTCAGCAGCCTTCCGTTCGTTGATAAGCTGTCTCGTTTTGAGTTGCACAAACATCCTCCAACTCAGTCAAGAAAGCCCGAGTACAAGATAAACGACCCTCTTCCCCAGCCAATTGCGGACAATGAACAAGCCGTCCCAACAAAAGATGGACTTGAAATCCGAAGTGACGATATTCGAGCAGCCACAAGTAAAAAACTCAAAGATCGGAGTACAAAGTTGCCCATGCCATCTGCTGTAAGTGATCGCGTTGGTCGACCCATTGTGAGCTTTGATCCCTCCTGGAAGCCCACCGAGGCCCAATCTCTGGGGAAAGGAAGCAATGATGGAACGCGTGAATCAGTTTCACCAACACCTCCACCAGCAGCCGCAGCTCCTGAAATTCAAGTGTCTGAATCTCCTTCTATCCCCGTGATCAACCTACCAGATGACAAGCCGCCTACTATCTCTGAGATGAGAGCGTCCACGCAAGACGATAAGGATAGCACCTCTCTCTCAACCTCGCCTAACCGCAGCCGGCGCCCAAATCCATTTCAGAGGAAATCCCCGTCCTCAGTTAAGCAAAACCGTTGGCTATCAACCTACAGTCGCGCTGGTGTTCCCACGGCGAAGTGCGAGTCCTGCACTCTTCCAATCTCTGGAAAGATTGTCACGGCTGCCGGGTCACGATTCCATCCCGAATGTTTCAGCTGCCACCACTGCCAGACACCGCTCGAATGCGTTGCCTTCTATCAAGAGCCGGAAGCTAAACGCCAAGAACGATTGGCAACCGTTTCAAATGATGAAGAGGCCCACTTGCTGAGGTTCTATTGCCATCTGGATTTCCATGAAATGTTCAGCCCCAGATGCAAGAGCTGCAAAACCCCAATAGAAGGCGAAGTAGTTGTAGCGTGTGGCGCTGAATGGCATGTCGGGCACTTCTTCTGTGCCGAATGTGGTGATGTACGCCCAATCTATGAGCCCTAAGCACAAAGTGTAAGAACCTAACTAACATCTGTTTACCCAGCCCTTTGATCACGAAACTCCGTTTGTAGAAAAGGACGGGTTTGCATGGTGCCTTCAGTGCCATTCCCGGCGCACTGCTCCCCGATGCTCCGGCTGTAAAAAACCAGTGCTAGACGATGTTGTCATCTCGGCAGTTGGTGGTCAGTGGCATGATGAGTGTTTTTCCTGTCACGAATGCGGCGCTGGATTTGGACCGGATGGTCGATACTTTGTCCGAGAAGGCGAGCCCAAAAGAACAGCAAAAGGCCGTATCATTGGTGGGCCGGTCCAGTTGCCTATCTGCGAACGATGCGAGGGCATACGACTAAAGGCATCGCCTTGAATTCGATAGGAGTCAATTGCACAAAAAACTCCAAGACGCAGAACTACTTAGTGGTTACGATATGCATGCTTAACGAATTGTTATCGACGTTTAAGGTAACTGTTGGAAGTAGAGTTCCACATCTGTTTTCTTTTTTGGATATATCATTGCATTCTTATCAGGTTTATCAACGGCGCATTAACTACTGCATATGTAGCAAGCGGGAATATGTATCGTCTTTAGGTCGTGTCTTCCAGTTGGTCTTATGCCAAATTATTGTTTTCTAGATGCCACCGAACTATCTTATGTCTTGTATGGCCGGGGTCGCTTCTAATTGATTTTCGGGCCAATAGGATCTTGCAACTGAAACTAATATACATACATCATGGCTTCAAAAGATCTATGTTCGTGGCTAGAGATAACATAGTAACATCAAGCAGTCCATTCAGGATCAGCCTTGCGCCGGAAAACAGCCACATACTTGTTTCCCTTGTTCCTAGTAACCTTTTTCCCTTCCTCCGTCGCCTCCCTCATAACCTCCACACAGGGATCATTAGCCAATTCCTCCTCAGACACCCGCTCAAACAGATCCTTCACTCCCCCCTCAACCCCCTGCCGCTCCCCCTCCTCCCGGAAATGCCTCAGCACCCAATGATGATACTCCTCCACATCCGTAATCGTATACAAAAGCCCACCAGGCCTCAATGCATAGGCATATTCGGCATTCAAATTCTCCGAAATAATCCGAGCCTTGTGCTTCTTCGCCTTAAAGTGCGGATCCGGAAAGCAAATAAAGATCTTCGATAATTGGTGTCTGCGGAAGAAATTCGGGAAGAACTTCATCGTGTTGCTGCGCAAAGCGCTGATATTCTGGTATCCGCCCGCGACAAGGCCAGATGGGTCGGGGGTTGGGGCTGATCCAGAGGCTGCCTCTGCCTCTGCATCGGCCGTTGGTTCGGTGGGGGTAGAGGGAGCCGCGGATTCGGGGGTTTGGAGTTTCTTTTGTTGGATGCGGAGGGCTTGGACGCGGTTGCGGACATATTCCATTACTTGGGTGCGGATTTCCATGCCTTTTTTAGAAGGAAAAAAATTTGTCAATTGTAGTCCCATGCATTTACCATATTCTATCTAGTTGGCGAAGATAGAATGGAGGACTGCACGGGGAAAACGTACCAAGCATCAGGGTTTCCGGTAGCAATGGCGCGAGGCCGACGAGTAAACCGCCAAACCCGCATCCGATGTCCACGACTTCGACATCTTTCAGGAGTTTCCGGGCGCCCGCTAGATTCATCTGTTTCGGGTCGGGGTTGACGTATGCTGGGTAATGCGATGACCAGTCCATGTGGGCTGGGCTGAGGGGGCTAGTTCGCTCAGTTAGCAAGTTATGGACCCTAGGGAACTGTGGTAGCGAGTGGTAGAGCTACGTACTAGTCCAACTGATGGTCTGAGAAGGGATTCGCGTGCGCACGCTGCCGGTAGAATTTCTTCTGGGGCAGTTTGACATTGCCGGGTGTTTCTTTGCGGGCGGCTGCGGCTGCCCTTTTGATGTATTGTTCGCGCTTTTGGCGCTTGGGTGGTGGTGCGGACATTGTGAGTGGGATGGTATGGGTGAGTGTAAGTGGTGGTAGAGGGTTGTAGGGAGACGATTGATGAAGCGTTGTGGAGGTGGAGGTGCTGTTTGATTGCGATGCGATCTGTAAAGTGCGGAATTTTATCTCGAGCTGGAGTTAAGGTTCCGGAGATAAGTCAACCTTATCATCTACATTCCTATACTAGGAATTTCACATAACTGAGGTTTTTTTCTTAGATATTCTCAAACAATTCAGTTGTCTAATTAGATTAATTAACCTTAAAGAGGAGGTTTCCGTCAAAGTATTTTCTGTAAGGTAGCCTAGAAATCTTCTAGACCTTGTTATAGAGCACTCTAGGGTACGCTTTACAGTATGGCTACAGACCCAACTATTCTTGGCTGCTTTTAACCAAGGGCATTCTACACCTATATATATGGGCGTATTAGGACCTTTCCTCCAAGGTCATGCTTAGTATGCGTTAGTCTCTTTGGATGGTAGGCAACTGCCTGAGCTTCGGCCGTCCATTTTTCGGCATGGATTTTTAAGTTGAGTTTGCTATCGAGTCAGATTCCGAGCTATCTTAAAGGAGTTTCTCCGCCGCCCGTGGTGCATGACGGATTTATTTTGGCAGTGCCTAGGGGGAAGTAAGTGTCTTATGTCTTGCCGGGGTTGAAGCATGCTCTGCTCGCTGTGTCTCAGACAACGAGCTCTCTGACGTGTTTCAATACCTTGCGCGTGGTCTCTTCGAGGGTCCAGAGGGTGTCCGCGTTATTGGCGTAGCCGAATTATCCTACAGGGTTCCCTGAGCGGTAGATCTGTGTAAAGTAAGAACGGGATCAGCGAGGCCGGCGCTCTTTGGAACCCTGGCGGAACGATCACTTATGAATGATTCCACAAAACGAGCGAAGCTTTCAGGCCATGCTTGCTCGCGTAAGCATAGTACTAGCCTGCTACGCATGACCGTGCCAAGTGCCCCTTTGATACCTAGAGTGACTAGTATATCAACTTGCTTGTTGCCCAAGGTCGATCTTCCTTGCTGTGCACGGATCTATATTCGTCAATGTCTCTGCATTACAAACGAACGAGCCATCGAACAGACACTTGCGCGGGTTAGAAGTATAAGACACGGAGAATGCAGATAGTAACGAAGCAGAAATAATCCCGAAAGCAGCGCGTTCAATCGTAGGGGAGAGCATATTGCGCAGGCTAGAATTCACAATCTATTATAGTCACCAAAACTGTATGATAGCGGCCGCCAGAGTTTTTAGCTGTTTATGCCGGCCCGATGCGATTATGTACTAAAGTGGAATATGGTTTGCAGGGCACCGCTTCTTGGCAAAAGAGGGTAATTGCAGTGAACAAAGGGGACCGTCTCCAACTTAACTTTGAGTAGGTGCGTAGATCTAGTTACGACCATCTCTGTATCAAGCACTTTCCTTTTGTTTACTTGGCGATCTCAACACCATTGGTGGCACCTAAGGGTACAGAGTCAGCCTTAGTCAGGGGAGCCAAGAAAGTAAGCAGACATACCAAGAGCCTTCTTGATATCACCGTAGATGGCGAATTGACCGGCAGTAAGACCACCGATCATGAACAGACGCGTAGGAAGACCAGCGAAGGAACCGCGAATACCCAGCTCTCCAGCAATCTTGATCAGACGGGAGAAGGTGCTCTCACCAGGTAGACCTTTTGTCTTGTTAATCTTGGACAGCATTGTATCAGCGGGTTGAGAGACGATAGCAGCAGCGAAACCAGCAATAAGACCAGACCCCAGGTTGACACCGGTCTGGGCACCACTCGACAACTTGGACTTATCAAGGCGAGCGAAAGTAGCTTCGGCGACCTTTTCGTAAACAACAAACTTAGTTACCGTGTAGGGAACCCTGCATGTTCATATCAGTTTTGCTTTTTGTTTTATTGAGCTTGGTATCAAGATCAACGCACTGCTTCAAGAGGATAGGACCGAAACCACGGTAGAAAGCACCAATGCCCTCGTTCTTGAGAATCTTGCCGAAACCACCAATCAGACCGTTGGCAAAGCCAGCCTCAGAGACAAGACGAATACGGGTAGCCTCAAGAGGGCAGAGAGCAATCGAGGCAAAGAACTCAGCGGAGGCTGCGGAGACAGAGTAAACGGCAGTACGGTTCTGGCGGGCCCTTTCAAGACCGAGGATGTTGATCGATTGCTGCTTGAAAAACTCATAGCCGCCGAATTTAAAGGCTCCCTGCATAAAGTAACCAGCAAAGGTTGGGCCGGCGCCAGTTAAGAGAGCACTGGCGCCCTCATTTTGGATGACTTGACGGAAACCGCCAATCATACCGCGGTTGTAGGTGGTAGGGTCGAGTTGAATCCTGGTTTTGACGCTATGGGGCTGTCAGTAAATCGTGAGTGCTAGATAATGAAACTGAAGCAGATGGACAACATACACATCGACTGGAGTGAAAGTGCCGTGAGTAACGGAACAGCACACGGCACCAGCAAAAGCGAAGCGGGAGTAGAGGTCAAGGCCCTCAGGCTTCTTCTCCTGAGTCAAGGCAGCCATTGCGACGGGAAATGGAAAGGAAATAGAGTGAAGTTGGGAGGCGAGATGTGTTGGTAAGCTTAGAAAATAGAGTAGAAAATTGAGAGCAAGGACTTGACAGTCTGTCTACTACTTACGGATGGGGGCGGGATCATTCACTAGACCTTTTCGGCCTGTTGGCCCCCACGGTCTCAATTCGAAGTAAGCAGCTGGCCCGAACGGCGTGGAGACTGCTTTGGCGATCCGATTGAATCATCTGCTCTCGAGACTTCTGGGAGTAGAATCACCCTGGAAAGTGGTGTCCTCTTAGGAAAGAGATACCTTCTTCGAGACTTACAATATGCTCGACGAAGAGTCCAATTTATCGGGGTCTATAAGTTGACAAGGTATACAGTCTTATATCCCCACATTGAAAGCTGCGATGTTTTTAATATGGACGCCGCACTTGCAGTCATCTGACTGTTTGATATCGGAACGTCGTGGGGCCTGAGGACCTTAAGGCTGAGAATGAGATAAATCTCTACCCCGTACAAAATTTAATTCCATTCCTATCTCACGTTGGACGGATGGTATGATTCTAGTTTTATTTTTTAAACTAAAGATATACTATCTATATAGTATTATATTTTCTATATAAATATGAAAATAGATATAGTAACTCCTTAATTCCCGCGCCAGGCCCACTCCTTGGAGTGATTTTATATACTAGCAAGGTGTATAAATAACACTATCGCGGTGGGCCGCAGCCACATTAAAAGTCTTGGTGCGCACCTCTCGAAATGACTTCATCTACTTTCATCACTATTTATTTGGTACTTGGAATTCTTAATCAACTACCACTCGTTCCAAATTCAAAGATTGGCCCTTCACCGTACCTAATAATAAATATCTAAATCATTCTATACCTCTATAAATCCCTACCATGGTACCATTGTCATCCAACTCCACTACTAACTAGCAAAGAGCGGAATTACTCCAACACCAACAACTCCCCCACCTTATCAACCCCTCCTCTCTGTAGGTCAACATCCAAACCCAGTTTACAAATATACAAAATTCATACTAACCCAGAATCCCCCAGTCCTAAATAAACAAACAACCAAACAAATACTGAAAAAAAATGTCCACATCCAACACTCCTCCCTTCCAATTCCCACCAACCTACTCCTTCCCCCCATTCTTCACCCCCCAACCAAACAGCACAACGCGACTCTCTCAACTCCAAAAATGGTCCTCATTAATCCAATCCTGGTGTCGCCACCACCGAACCTACCGTCTATCCCTAATCGAAGCCGTTGAGTCACCGCTTTTCCATAACGCCGCGCTGCGGAAAGGGATCCCGCTGTCCGAGGCGCGGAATATCCTGGACTGGATGGCGGAGAGCGAAGAGAAGGGGGGAGGGGGTAGGAGGGCTGAGTGGATGGATGGGGCGAATAAAACGGTTGCGTGGATTTGGTGGAGGAGACCTGAGGAGTGGGCGGGGATACTCGCGGATTGGGTATGTTCCCCTCATTCAATTGGGGGAGTTGTATGCTGATGGTTGGTAGATTGAAAATACGGGGCAGAAGAATGTGGTGTTGACGGTTTATGAGTTGGTGGAAGGGGAGGCGACGATGTCTCAAGGTATGTCGTGTTCAGGAGGGCGTTGGCTGATTTTGGATGGAGGTTTGCTGACGCTCTGTAGAATGGCATGGGATGGATGTAGACGTTATGATGAAGTCGCTGAATGTCCTTGTGAAACGAGGCAAGGCCCAGGTTTTTGGAAACGAGGGCCAGGAAGGTGTGAAGTTCTTCTGACGAAAGCATTTATCTAACGCAGGAGTTGAGTCCATGGCTATTCATTAAATCGCTCGGAGGCGACAAGTAACTTCTACATGATAAGATCCAGAATATACACAGATGAATCATCTCGCAGGTCAAGAACCCCGAGAGGCCCAGAAATATGCCTGGCCAAAGCAGATGCAAAATCGGGCTACTACAACCTCCCTAGCGCGCACCTAGACACTGGCTTACTCCTCCATCTTATCCGCCATGTCTTCACTGAGCTCGTACCCATCTGCTGCCCGCAGCTCTTGCGACATGGCGATGTCAAGAAGCCAATCCACGCGCACAATTCGCGGCGTTTTGCCAAGGCCCTCAACCATCTGGCGGAATCGCGGCCATAGTCTTTGATGGTCGGGTGCTACACTGCTGAGAAGGTACAATTCTTTCCGGCCCCGGTTATCATCCTCGGCGCTGTCGTCTTCGCTTTCTTCACGCTGTGTCTGATACGAGACGCGTCCGCGGAAGAGCGAACAATTTCCTCCATTGGTGTCGACAATGGATTTGAAGGCCTCGAAGCCCCCTCGGATAGTCTCGACACAGTAAATCTGATATCCTTGCAGAAGCTTGTTCTTATTTTTCTCAGCGTTTTTGGTGGACACTTCTAAAGAGAACCCGAATCGCTTCTCTGCAGTTTCGTCCTCCAGCAGGAACTCGGCGGGATCTAAGAGCTCGTTCTTTTTAAGGCACGATGTTATGTAATCGATGTTGATAATCATCGGGCTATAAGCGAGTGCATTGACGAATTTAGGGGTTCGAAGTATAGACGGGGCAGCGAGGTGAGAGCACTTTCGGGCGTCTTGGACAACCTGGATTCCAAGTTCTCGAAGTTGTCGCTATCTTCTATTAGCTTCTGCTACGGGTAAACGAGCTCGTAACATGAGATCGGGCTTACAAACCTTGTCTGCATCTTCTTTCTTCAAGTTCCCTACCCACTTCTGATACCCCGTAATCAATAGATGCATTGTCACTGTAGGCTTTGCTTTTTTCTGTCTCTTAGCCTCTGTTGCTTCATCTTCATCACTTTCAGCCTGGGGTTCAATTGATCTTCGCTTCTTGCCATTCAACGTAATTCGGTCCTCATCTGTCTTTCTACGGCCCCCGTAAATCACTCCACCAACACGCTTCCTTTCCTTTTCGTACAACGCAATATCCGGCGCAATCTCATGAAGACGGGCAGTTGCAGCTTCTTTGGACTTCCGGCTGCTTGTGGACGACGGGGTATCGTTTTCTTTGCCTTCCGAAGTAAGTCGGGTACGTGCAGGCGTTTGTAGCTTCCTGTGTTCTGAGAGCTTCCGCGACTTGCCTGCTGGAGTTACATTCCCAGCCTCAGAGACGTCCCCGTCTTCTTCTAGCTCTTTCGCTGGTGGTGGTTGCACGGAAACTGCTACCTTACCGACTGCAGCGTTCTGATCCTTTTTCTGCATAGCGCGACGTGGACTTGTGGGAGCGTGGGATTTGTGTTCCGACGGGTAAAAAAGGCTTTCGAGAACAGGCTTGTCCAGCCGTGTTTGACCGACCACTTCACCTAGATTGGTCCTCCGAGGAAAGTGCGTATACCTGGGGTCGGAGACAGGTTGTAGCTTCCATTTTGCGTAACTCTCCTCGAGCCACAAATGATTGACCACATGCAGTCCCCATTCTCTTGCTGCGGAGCATTTTTCACTGTTTCCATGGGCGGTCACTAGATGTGTGTTGTCTTGTTTCAAGGTCTTGGTGCATTCTGCGCCTGATGCCGCTACCAAATTCTCCAAGTAGGCCCTAGCTTCTCCGACGTAATTGGACAGACTGATTTTGAATCCCTCAAATCCTGGGATCGGGGTGCGTGACACAGGGTAATGCAGTAATCGTCGAAGGGGAGAAGTCCATGTGTTGTATGTTATCAAATGGTAAAGCCAAGATAAGTTTCCAACCTCTTTATTCAGTCTCGACGCCATGCGGTACGCAAAGCCTTCTCTGTAACGGCATACTAGAATGTCTGCTCTGGAGACGTCAGATATGACAGTGCCTCCTCCTTCTTCGATAATCTGCGTGATCGAGTCTAGCAAATGCGAGCCAATTCCAAGATCTGTGGAGAGCATGACCTGCTTTCCTTCAAACACATCCAGCTTTGGTCGAGGTGTCGGTAGTGAAGTTGGCTCAGCTGTAGAAGCTCCAGCGATGTCTCGATTATCTGTAGAGCGGATCGGAGCGTCAGGACCTGCACGAAGTATTTCCGGGTTTGGCAGCGTATATGGGCGCTCATCGATTCGTCGTCCAAGCTTTAGACAGTCATCAAACCTGACGCAATAACCGGTCAACCAAATATTCCCATGTTACGCCACCATACAAACACAAGACTTACCAATGCGGAAGTACTATCTTCGCATTCAACTTTTTGGTAAGTGTAACTTGAGACTTATCGGAATCCGTGGTTAGGTCGACTAAGTGAGAGACCAGATGGGTTATCCTAGGACTGTAGAGTCCGCCTTTCGCCAGTACACCGCCGATAATCGCATCCTTATCGCCTTCTGGGATATCACCGCAAGTAACCACAACATCGTTCAAGAACAATCGGGGATCGGGGCTATACTGTCGCGGATTTGCTAGTTTTCTTTTGTTCATACAGGCATGCAGCCATGTTGGTTTGACAACAGGGATCAAAGCGTCATTGGCAGCATCGAACGTCGGGAAGTCGATGGTGGATGATATAAGATGGGTAAATTCATGTAATGGTGGAAATGCGGCTGGTGGTTCATAGATGACGGATTCACCACCCTGCTCCTCGAGAGTTGTCGCAAGCTAGTGGGTAAATGTGTAAGAGCCTAATGTGTTTCAAGTGTCAAGAAAAGATAAGTCAGTGCCTACCTGTTGCGCCGTATCGGGACTGAGGTCCTTGGAGCATATTATACAGATCTTGCACTGATCGAAGAGCTGAAGCCCCCCCTGGCGGTCCACCATGGCGGGAATAAATGATTTTTTTTCCCTTCCTCTTTTAATATGAGGGAATATGACGGTCAAAAGAGGGGGTGGTTACGACAAAGCTGACTGACAGCGGGAGAACTGTGGCAGCGATTGACACATGATGCGATGCGATGCGACGCGCCGACGCGCCGGCACGACACCTGATCACGTGCGGGAAAGGAGTTTACTTTCTTTGGTTATAAGTCACGCATGCATCATCAACACCTCGCTAGCTACTCCCTCCTTTGTCTTCCTTGACCATGGCCAGTCCAGTATAGCTGTGGCCATGCTATGTGATAGATATTGACGGTCGTGGTGATACTATCTAAGCCATAATGACATGCTCAACGTTTTCCGAACCACGTGGATGACTGGATTTCACGTATATCTTGGAAGTGAGGCCTAAAAATATTATTGGTAGATTTTCCGGACTTTCAGGGATTTTGACAGCTGATACCCAGGAAAATTTAGGCTTTGTCGGTGTATAATAATGCAAAATTGGAAGAAAAGGAATGCCCGGCAACGCTTTTCGGACCAGTGATCTGACCACAGCGATGTTCCTCGGCTCAGCGACCCAGTTCACGGCAAAGTGTCTTGCACGTAGCTCCGTTACCCCAGACCTAACCCGAGCTCCTCCACATTTAAAGCCCCAGTCGGGCCCATGATGGCCGATTCTGTCCTAGATCAAGACATCTGAAAATAAATTTATACCTATGCGATGCCTTCCCCCGCATATTCCAGCCCCTTTCGCATCGTTGACCATGTGGTCCAGTGTCAGCATATTCGGGAATATCCCGCGGCGATGTCCAACGAACAGGAAGATGAATTACATTTAGCCGTGAAGCAGTATATTCCTCTAGATAACCTAAATCCCCGCCCGGGCGATGTCACTATTCTTGCAGCGCATGCCAATGGTTTCCCTAAGGTATGGTGTTCAATCAACAAGGCGTTTGGGGCTCATTTGGTAACGAAACCGTAAGCTAATCCTTTTTATCAGGAACTCTATGAACCACTCTGGGAAGAACTACATGCCCGGTCTAAGGACAATGGCTTTCGTATCCGAAGTATTTGGATAACAGACGTCGCGCATCAAGGGCAAAGCCATGTAATCAACGAGAGTCTCTTAGGAAATGACCGTACGTAACCTGGTCGCCCCTACTCGATGCTACGGTCAAGACGGGCTGCAAGTATTTTGAAGACTGACACATGACGCCAATAGCTAGCTGGTTTGATCATCCGAGAGACCTACTTCACCTCGTCAACGTAAAGCGCAAGGAAATGCCTCGTCCGATCGTCGGAATAGGTCATAGCATGGGCGGCGCACACCTGTGAGTCTTCTGCAACCCAGAGCCCCGCGTTGGTCACTGACGAACGTCGACCACCACAGTGCGAAACTATGCCTGATGCATCCTCGGCTCATCCATACGCTTGTTCTACTAGATCCTGTAATCCAACGCCAAACGACACAATTAGATCCCTTATCGAGCGACAATGGAAAAATGGTCATAACCAAAACCACCCAACTATCCACTTATCGACGTGACCTTTGGCCTTCCCGCAAGGCTGCTGCGGATAGTTTTAAACGAAGTCCGTTCTACCAAGCCTGGGACCCCCGCGTTCTCGACCTCTGGATTCAATACGGCCTGCGGGAGCTTCCCACAGCTGTCCATCAACTTCCCAACGAAGCATCCAAGGAAGGCGAACAACCTGTCACCCTAACAACACCCCTTCACCAGGAAGTGTTCACCTTCTCACGTCCCAACTACGATGGGCCCCCGGGCAAAGATGTACCGCTAAATCGAGTGACTCATCCCGACCTCGACCCCAACCATGAGGGATCCTTTCCATTCTACCGCCCTGAGCCATCGCGTATATTCGGAGAAATCCCACACCTCCGACCTAGCGTTCTGTACATATTCGGCGGCAAATCCGACATGTGTCATCCCGCGATGATGGCTGATAAGCTGGCCAACACCGGTGTAGGGGTGGGTGGTAGCGGCGGGGTAGCTGCTGGTAGAGTGCGCGACGTCTATCTTGAGGAATTCGGACATCTTCTTGCTCAGGAAGCACCCACTCAATGCGGCGAAGCGGCCAGCAAATGGTTGGGTCAGGAACTGCAGCGGTGGCGAGAGGAAGACCAGGCTTTCCGCGAGCAGTGGAGTCGAAAATCGAAACTCGAGAAAATCACGATTGATTCGCGCTGGAAGGAGCACGTCCCAGCCCCAGTGAGGGCTAAGGGTCCTTCCAAGCCAAAACTATGATAGAACAACCGCAGATTCGACATATCGCTTATAGAAGTTACTGTGAGATATAATACGATCTTCATTTACCTCATGCTGTCCTCTATGGTAAGGTCTTGGTCAGGCTAAAACTAATGTCTATAACGAATAATCAAAGAACATCGATCCTAGGATAACAGCTCGGCCACCGCGCCTTCTGGCCACGGCGCTCGCTCAAAACGTAGCTGGAATATAAATAGGATTAGTAAGAAGCCGCACTAGTTTAGTTCGATTTCTTGACCGCGCCGTTTTCTCTCTTGTCTTTGAAGCTACTACGGAGGATTTCAGGGAAGTTCCAAAAATGCGGCCACCACAAGCGATATTCCTCCTGTCGTTTGTTCAAGCAGTGACGTAGCCAAATGCCCCAGATTATATAGAGATATGCACCAATGCCAGTCATAACGTGCCTTAATAGCAGAACAATGTTAGCGAGCGTTCTAAAGGCAATGAGCCGCAGTAAAGCAAGAAGGATGAAAGATAAATGAGAGCATACCACCACCCATGACCTTCAAGGAAAAGACCCCACGGAAGCCCTACTACCCGGCGCCATCCGCGGATCTTAGTGCAAAAGTGGTTATCCAAGTTCCAGATAAAGAAGCCACCAAGGAACATGCTCAGCCCGTATATAACCATAAACCACATGGTCTTCAGAATCCTCACATCCCGCTCATTCTCGTAGTGCTGTTGTTCTTTGGAAAGAACAGGCAGCCCGCGCCTTTCGCGCGCTAACCGGTCCCCCTCGGTGGAGTGTCGCCATTTCGGACGAAGGGTTACCTCCATGGTATACATACTCCGCAGGACGACAACAATGGTCAACAGAGCGTATGCGTTCTGGTGAAATACGGGGTCCTGAAGGTAGTGGTAATACAGAGTAATGAAGACGGCCAGACCGGTCAGGGCAATGGCTAGGAAGATACGGATGCTGGTCGATCTCGAGTAAGAGAAGGACGCATAGCACATCAAACATGTAGTGTAGATCATGGAAAGTTCATCGATGAGCTGCATGGGGTCTGTACAAGAAATTTCAGTTAGTCAAGTCCACGCCGTAGATAGCCCCTCGCAGAATGGGTATAGATATATATCACTTGCATTTCAAAGTCGAATGGAACAAGAAACTCCCCGTTCCGACCACGAGATAACCGTAATACGCCACTTGAAAAATCGTATCATGTCCATGGCGCCTACAGCTGCGGAGCCCTTTGACACCAAGCCACATAAACAAGAGGTTTGTGAGAGCGTTGACAATTTCGGCGGAGTAGATAGTCGCATAGTAATCCTATGTTAGAGGCTATTAGTTGGGAGGAAAAGGTATATAAATAGAAAATATATGAAAAAATGGGTTGCGCACCTCCTCACACCAATTCAAGGTCGACGTGACGGGGCTCCAATACCCAGCCTTAGAAGGCGGATATGGAATGAAGGGTAGGGCAGGCCACACAGGCATTGCGGGCAGAGACAAACTCCGGCTGGTCGCGGACAGTTGCCAATCTCTGTACTGACAGGAGATTAAAGGAGTTATAAGAAAGAGTGCATCTCAGGTAGAGTACAAGGCAGGGAGGAAATAGAAAAGGGATGTACAAAGGAAGAGGCGTCGACTGGCGTTCGCCCGCAGCAAGAGTTCCTTTCTAAATTAACTCAACACCCGTTTGGTTCATCCAAACCCGTGACGTCGACATGGTACTAAGTAAGCATCTATCGCTGTCAATCCCGGTTTTCAGAGAGCCGATTGGTCAGCCTGTACCTCCGCACACTACCGAGAATTCCATACACACTTGTAATTTTGCCTTGGGAGGATGCATGCGGTCGACCCGCTGACACTCACTTACACAACTGCAGTTATAGGTTTATGCGACGGTAAACGAAGTTTTGCTATTTGATATCTCATTAAGGTAAATCCAGTGAAAAGTCATTAAGACACAGACTCTGTTTGAAAATTGTGTTTCGTCAACTGGAAACTATCTTTCAATTGGCAGGACCAGCACGTATACCTCGGTCCATCCATGGGTAGGCCATCTCATTTATAGGTGGAGTCGTAATGTTTCGTGGCTGACTGCATGCGGAGGAGATTAGTTAGTACACACCAACGAAATACCTCATGTTCCAGGAACGCAAATACCGTTTGGAATAACCTAAGCTGTTGTATTGTATCCATGTTGTACCAGTACATTTCATCGCACCAAACTTATACGGTATGGAGGTACCGGAAGTACACAGCGTGTGGCCGCCCGTGGCTGTCTCCGGCCAATCACAATGCGACCGGAACGGAGCTATGATGACTTCACCATCCGTGATTATTCGAGAGGAAAAATACTTTCTGGAACCTCACATCGTACCTGATCTGAGGAGGAGATCTCAGGTTTGACCTGTCCAATCCTTCGTTTTCCATCTTTCTCCGCCTTTCTTGAGATGCCGTCTCTGTCGCTACTTACGTGATTGTGACCGTATTCCGGTCTCTCGCAAGATACTCGCCATATACGAAATAGCGGTGTCCATTGCGGATGAATTAAATCGGCTCTGATACTCGCTTTTTGATCAATTCTCTAAGCGCATATAAACTTCCACTCGCGAACTTTTCAGGTTGGGCCTGTAAGTATACGCGCAATGTCGAACAGCCCTGCCTATGCAGTGCCGCAGGTGAAAAATACTTCCGCCACTACAAGTATGTCCTTTTGCAGAACTTTTTTTACCCATCAGAGGAATTGCTATTATTATTTTTTTCCCTTTTAAGTCGCTCCTAAACCCATTTGGCCCTGGCTAACCTGCGGGTAGCGTCAAAAACTACTTTCCATTTCGCCGCTGGCCTTTGTTCCGGCCTCAGCTCTGCAATTCTCCTACAGCCAGCAGATCTACTCAAGACCCGAGTCCAACAGTCCCAGAATGCCGCTCTTCTACCGACCATAAAAGCCATCGTCTCATCTCCGAATCCCATTCGCGGCCTATGGCGCGGAACCCTTCCCTCAGCACTCCGCACAGGCTTCGGCTCAGCGCTATATTTCACAAGCCTCAATGCCTTACGACAAGCTTTAGCGCATACCGCAGTCCCAATCGCTGTATCTAGCACTAACGGAAACGGCCAAGCCGCACCGTCTTCGTCTGCTCTTCCAAAGCTCTCGAACTCAGCCAATCTTGCCACAGGGGCGGCCGCTCGTGTTGCGGCGGGATTCGTGATGATGCCTGTCACCGTGCTTAAAGTACGCTATGAGTCGAGCTATTACTCATATGGCAGTCTGTATAGCGCAGGGCGTGATATCCTTCGCACAGAAGGCGTGCGAGGACTCTTTGCTGGGTTTGGGGCAACCGCCGCACGAGATGCTCCGTACGCAGGGCTCTACGTTCTTTTCTATGAGCAATTGAAGCGGCGTTTAGCGTCGTTAGCTGAGTCGAAAGCCGGTGACCAGTCACTAAAATCATCCTCGTCAATTAACTTTGTCTCGGGAGCTTTAGCCGCTGGTCTTGCTACTGCGATTACGAACCCGTTTGATGCGGTCAAGACTCGACTGCAGCTTATGCCGAACAAGTACGGAAACATGATGCGAGCGGTTAAGATGATGATTCACGAAGATGGCGTACGGAGTCTGTTTGGTGGCCTGGGGCTGCGTATTGCCAGAAAGGCACTAAGCTCAGCACTCGCCTGGACCGTATATGAGGAGTTGATTCTCCGCGCGGAGAAGCACTGGGCAGCAAAAGACTAAGTGCTTGTATAACCAGTAATCTGCTTCTTCTTTTTACTTGGGCATTTGCTTGGGAGTTTGGCTTGGATCATAAAGGAGTTTGGGTATATATCGTGGCAATCATCATCATTGTATCATATATAGGTGCGATCATATCATCAGAATCCCAACTCACGACAAAATAAAATGAACATCAACATGGAACATCGCAGGTCCAATATAGAAGCAAATTTACGAACAACCAAAAATGCCGGTATGGACAAATCCAAAGCCGCAAAAAATCAGAAAGAGGTATCATTTGTGTTTCACAAAACAATTCGATCAGTTGATCAAGTAAAGATCCATGCCCGCCTACTGGGGCTCTTCTTCCGTACCAGATACAGCTTATCTTTCTTCTTGTCATTGACCTTCAGCTCGGTCAAGGTGTTGGAAGTCTGGGTAATGAGTTTACCCTCGCGAAGTCGCCGCGTGTGATCGAAGAGCTCTTCCTGGAAGTCTTCTGAGATCCACTGTTTGATGATAATGTAGTTGCTATCGCGCTGTTGACGGTAAGTCAGCATTGCTTACCTCGGAAAGGTCAAGGTTTTCGGAGTACTCACGTCATCCCAGTCCCAGGGCAATTGATAGGCCATCAGGGTGTCAGGTAGGAGATGTTTGCGGTGGACCTAAACAATGATATTAGTTGGGTACGACACGGAAGCATTCGCAGTTCGGCGGCATACCTTGATCCAGGTCGTCCGGCGATGTTCTTCCCTCTCCTCTTCATTGTCACTCTCTTTCTCCTCCTTCTTTTCCTTTCCCTTCTTCTTTTTCTCCTTTTCCTTCTCCTTCTCCTTCTCCTTGTCCTCCCCTTTGTTCTTTTCTTTCTCTCCCTTCTTCTTCTTGGTGATTATCTCCTCAATTTCTTCTTCCGTATACCCGAATTCAACTCTCAGTCGATTCCTAAATTCTTCATCGCGTTTCTGCGCCGCCAGTCTCTCGGCATTTGCTCGCCGTTCCTCGTTTAACTTCCATTCTTCGATGGCTGCTGCTTTCATCATAGCTTCTTTACGATCCTTTTCCTGTTTCGCAAGTAGAGCTCTCGCCTCCTCATCCCGGATCTCTTTCTTGATTCGCTCGCGCTCTTCCTCCTCCTCTATCTTGCGCTGAAGTTCTTTGAGCTTCTCCTGGCGCATTTTCTCTTTGAGCTTCTCACGCTCCTCTTCCTCGTCTATTCTGCGCTGGAGGTCCTTAAGCTTCTCCTCACGGAGCTTTGACTTGACGTCTTCATCCTCCCTGGCCCTGCGTTGGGCTTCCTCGAACTGGCGCAGCTTGTAACGATGTTCCGCTTTTCGCTGCTCCTCCTCCTCCTCAATCTTGTGCCGTAGCTCTTTGAGCTTCTCCTCTCGCAATCTCGATTTAACGCCGTCTTCCTCCCTAGCATGGCGCTGGGCTTCCTCATATTGACGCAGCTTCCAACGATGCTCCGCTTGCCGCTGTTCATCCTCTAGACGCTGGTTCTTCTCGTACCTCTCAAGTCGTCTTAGTCGCTCGCTGATCTCCTCTTCGTACAAGTCCTCTTCTTCCTTCATGATCCGAACCTCGCGGGAGTCTCGTACATCCCGAGCCTCAAGGCGATGACGCGCCAACTCACGCTCTAAGCGCTCAATCTCCTGCTGCTGTCTCAACAGCTCCAGATCCTGTCGATGATCATTCTTCTCCAGCAGCCGTTGATCAATCACCAGCTCATAATCCCGCTGCTGCCGTGGCGAAGCCTCCCGCGGAGAACTGGCGGTGCTGGCCCGAGGCCGTCGATGAGCCCGCAGGAGGGTCTCGTCCTCCGACTCATAGGGGTCAATGTACGTCTCCTGGTGCTGGTCCTTGCGGGCCCTGTTGGCACTTCTGTTGGAACCCTTGTTCCTCGAGTCATTCTTGATGTCGACGATGACAGCTGGGGGCTGCGGGGCACGCTCGCGAGACCGTCGTCGCCGGGCGCCCGTGGACGCGGACCGGTGGATGTGCACATCTTGCACGACGGGGCTGAGATAGGCGTTACTGGCGCGGTCGGGGTTGAAGCGGCGATCGGGGCTAAAGCGACGATCATCGCCGTAGCGATGACGGGAGACGGAGCGCCTCCTGAAGGAGGTCCGTCGGCGGCCGTTTTCCATAGAATAGTCCGATTCTGAGTAGTCGGACTCGGAATCGGTCCAGGGGACGATGTGGTGGCGTGGCATTTTGGGGGAAGTATTGTATTTGTGCTTTGTTTGTGTTACCCTCTTCTTCCTTTCTTTTTTCTCGTTTCGGTGGAATCAATTTGGGGGGATTGTGTTTGTTCTTTCTCAGACTAAGATGACAGCTGGGATGAAGCGGGGTGATTTTTGACTCCAGGGGAGACACAAGAAAGTGACGTAGTGTAAGAAGCAGTAGAATATCACTTGGCAAACACAAGGTCCAAGGAAACAATCGATAGTGTGAGAAACCCTAAGAGAAAAGGGGAAAAAAAAAAGAGCAAGGGAAGGGGGGGAAAAAAAAGAAAAAGAAAAGAAACAAGGAGGGGTAAGATCCCAAAGCTCTAAAAAGTAAGAGAACAAAGCCGAGAAGAGACGAGAAATATGGAGAGCCTCAGTGGAAAAGAGAGGAAAAAAAGGAAAGAAAACGAGACCAGCCCCCGTGCCTCGTAAACGCGGTCCAGCTGAAAAGTGGGGGACAAGAAAGGATTCCTTGAGTTAAGTTGTGTCGTGATTTAGTATTGCTGGGCAGGAATCATTCACTCATTGGACTGTCTTGGGCTTTTGGCGTCAGGCTGAGCGGCGATCATTTATCATCGGGTGGCCACTGACTGGTTACCTACTGGTATTGAACCTCAAGGGAAACGGAAGGATTGGGACTTCTAGATATCTATAGAAATGCCAAAATTATCTGAAGCCTTTTACTACGACAACTACTTCTAGTTAATTCCCCCTACCTACCTGACCCAGACTATCAATGATACCCAGTGGCCTTTCCCTCGGCGCTCTTCTACAGCCCTAAGTTAGTCTAGCGTAGCCTGAGGCAACCTGACCAGCAATTCTGCAGCCCAGCGGCTATGTGAAACAAGGTCTGTGGTCCCTTTGACACGCCTTATCAAACTAGTCTATGTAGATAACCAGGAACGAATGATTACAACGGTCCTCAACCAAGGAAAATAAGGCGGTTAATCCCGCGGAGCCAGAGCTAACTTTGATCATCCATTCATTCTCGATTTTATCTTCGATCGATCTCCTGATAGATACTATCGTGCGTGACAAATGGATGTGGTTTGTAGATTTATGTTTGCCTTCGCTCTTTCTTTCACATTGCTTTAATTCGAGGAGTCATGCTGATCTGTTGGATTTGCTGCCTGATACACATGACGTCGAGAAAGTCAGCCTTGTATCGGGTGGGTGGGTCACTTAAGTACTTCTTTGGTGCTAGTGAGGGGATTGGGTAGGCGTTAGGGTTTTCTTTATTCTTGGACACTGTTGATTAATATCCTACTGATGTAGGCTTGTACCTGCTTAGGTATGTATGCATAACTATACCTAATATGTAGATATATAATAACTATTTTGTTTGCTTTGCATGATGCATTTACAGTATAAATTGTACAGTACATCCCGCAAGCACCATCATGCTGTCCGGAATGAATGCAGCCTTGTCACGCTTTTATCGGTAGAGCTGGGGTTACTACCATTGTCTTGATATAGAAACCTGCCATACAGCATGGGGAGCTAGAGGTATTTGAGATCTTTATTTTATGTTTTGGTGTTATTCTAAGTTGGAATGTGCTAAATGGCTGTCATTTGTCTTACAGTACATCTATGCGGAGTTTTTGATTGAGTTTATATGTGACTAGCCCCGTGCGTATGCATGTACCATATCCTCTTACTCTCTCTCTCTTTTTTCCCTTACTCTTCCTTCTTTAGAAAGAGATAGGGGAAAAAAAGCTTATTTCTCTTTCAGTTTTAGCAGGAGTCTTAACTAACCCTAAATACTCGAGATGCGAGGACAGTTGATGTACAGTACAGCCCGCATATCTCCTGCAGATAGAGTTCCTGAGGTGACACTTGAGATACCATGGGACGTGTCGGCGGACATCCCGAATGCTATCATCCTAGTCATGGCTTTCTTTACTTACTTCGTGATATGCCAGTACCGGACTTTTTTTTTGGTGAGGATCTTAAGTCATCTTGCTAATCACATGATGGGGATAGAAGGCCTGTGATGTGGTCGTGCATGTGACTTGGGGATCACGTATATAGTATTTCTGGGTCTCTCTCTACAAACAGTCGTATCTATATGTGAGATGACTTTTATGTCCTCTAGTGCGAATGCTCAGTGCCCCATCGTTACGGTTATTAAATTCGAATTCAAGGTCATTCAGTGGCAGATGAAAGAAGACTCCCCCAACCCAGGAACTCATATACAACACAAGATACAAAAGAACAATCGAGACAAAGATCGATTAGAGTAGTGTAATGTTTTTTATCCTGGTGATCGCATCTGCGGGCAATCAATGAAACAAGAACTTGAACATACTACTAGTAGTAGGCCAAGCTTTAACTCCCTGGATCAACACCAACAACCAACCAATAGCACTCGCCAGGCATTGGAGTAGCCGATACGCCAGCGACTGGTCCAGCCAGTATGTATCACAGCCAAAGCACCGTACGTTACCTGAATACTCTCGCATATCCAAGCGCTGAGTGGTTTCCGCACAGCAGCATCACAGCATGTGTAACGGCATACCTCGTACTTAAAGTCGAACAACACACTCAGGCCCTGATAATAAGCGCTCCATGTTCCCAAACCCCCTTCTTCCTATATCCCACCAATCCCCATATTCAGGGTGTATTATCAAATAACCTCAAAGCCAGGACCCGCGCCAAAATCCCAGCTCAACCCCACCCCCAGATCAAGCCTTACCCCCAGACTTCACAAACCGCTCATAATGCTCCATACTATTCTTGTGCGTCAACTCCAGCGAACTCAACTTCTTTTCCAGCCCCGACACCTCCGACCTAAGCTCTGCCTTCTCAGCCACAAGTCGCTTATCAACCGTTGACATCGGAACGCCCACAAACCTATAATAGCATCGCGAAAAAAATGTCAGCGCCACGTCTCTCGATTTCAATGCCGGGTCCTAGCAAAAAGCAGGTATGGTATCGTGAACACTCACATCTTCCCTACACCCTCATAGATGCGCGTATCCTTGGGCAACGAGCTCATCTCACTAGACGTCAAGTCTAGCAATCTGATAGCTTTCTGTTTTGTAGTCATTTGGGCCTTGGTCAGGCCAATTTGTTGTTGCGAGGTGATGATGCGGCTTTCGAGTTCGTTGAGGAGCTGGTTTCAATTGGTTGTTAGCTTCGGTATTTGGTTGGTTGGTGTAGCGGGGTATATTATGTACCTTTTGTAAAGCTTCGTTGGGGAGAGACATTTTGATGCGATGGAGGAGTTGTATTAGGTATGAGGGGTGTGGTGAGGGGTGTAAAGCGCGGTCGCGGGACGTTTAGGACACGTCTGATTGTAGGTATAGTTGTTTATTGGGCGTTAGCAGATTCGGTGAGGTGTGAAGGTTACGTTTCTGGCCGGCTTGGTGAGGGTTTGGAACCTTTGTTGTTGTATAGAGATGTTGGAGCCTTGGGGGTGAACTTATCGGCGGCCAGAGCTAAAGTTGAGCTTGACTCCGCTATCCGATCGGCGGGAGTTTTATTGCCTAATACGGATATCGTGTAGGGCTTAGGGCTTATATTGATAATGTTATTTTACTGGCTACGTACACTTCCAAGCAACTGCTGCTGAATGTACAATATGACTGATGCCCTTATGTCAACAGAACTGACTGGTAATCTTTTGATAAGGACAAAAGAAAAGAGAAATAGTGGTCCAGTACTGAGGGATCGCGACTCGCATATATTCAGTACATCATAGAAGCTCGCATCTTGTTATACTCCGCCTGTGTAATTGGCTTGTACTTGGCGGGCTCTTCTTCGCTCATGCACGAGGGAATGCATTCAATTACAGAAGACGGGTCTGGAGATATGAAATAGGGAATCGAGAACCGCTCGCGCGTCATCCGATTTGGACCCTCATAGCGATCAGCGAGTGGGGGCATTCTGACCCTATGGTTTGTGGACTTGAGTCGGTCTATATGAATTAGATCTATCATAGTCGTGATAGCTATGAAAGGGAAAAGGATACTAACCATTACTCCACATCTGCAAAAGATCACCAACGTTCACCACAATGGCATTCTTGATAGGGGTTGCGGGGACGAATTTACCTGGCCGAGAGACGTCTTCAACCTCCAGGCCCCCGCAATCGTCTTGGAATAGCATGGTCAGCGAGCTCCAGTCAGTATGTGCTGGACACCGGGCTGTCCGCTCTTTCTCAAGATCCTCAGCTGGGACTGGCAAGTAATGTAACAGACGTAGCTGATTGCCATGGCCCGAATGTTTCTTGACAAGGTAAGACTCGTCCTCTAGACCCAGCCCAACGGCTAGAGCGCGGAACAGCTCCTCACCGACGCCCCAGCACTCCCAATAGAATTTAGTCATAAAAGCCCTAAAGCCTGGGAGCGTCTCGTCGGGGATCCATTGGTTAGGCTGATCAGTGTGCTCGTCGCTCCCAATATCATATACTTCCTATAATGCTATAAGATACAGCTCTTGCCTTCTCCTTTCTTTAACATATGAATACGGTATTCATTGTTAGATGGGTTTGAGCATACTTTGACGTCTGGTATCTCTCGTAACTTCCTTCTTGTCTCCTCATCACTTTCATTGTGCATCGTCTGGGAGACTTTCTCCAATCCCGGCCATGAATAGCCCCGGTGCACCGCCCAACCTTCTGGATGGGGTGCTTTCATTTTCTCCTCTTCAGGGAGATTGAAAAGGCGCTTGGTCCAATGGAATGCTTCATCCAGGACAGACTCCGGGAGGGAGTGGTTGATAATATAGACAAAACCCACGGTTTGGAAAGCTCTGACAAGTTCTTGTGCCATTCGTAACCTGGCACCTTGGTCTTGGGTGTTCTTCCAAGACGAGAAATCCACTATCGGGATTGCCATAGAGGCTGAACCATCTTGTGCAGGCATATTGGCTTGAAAACTGTGGGTTTAATATATGCAATAATTAAGTTTTGATTTACACCAATTTCAGTAGATGGACAATTGTGGTGCGGTCAGTTTATAGATAGTGAAAAACTGTAATAGTGTAGATGTTAACATGATGACATTCCCCTCAGTCACATGTCCTATATCCTGCGACCTAGAAGACTATGTTGCATGCTCTGGTTTGTGCACAGATACCTATCTTTTTTTATTTTCTGGGTATAAAAAGAAAAAGAAAAGAAAAGGGATAACTTATCGAGCTGAGGCTCCAGGTGAAAAAGAAAAAAAAAACTAGATGCATTAGCTGGGAGTCGAACCCAGAGCTATTGCTTGGAAGGCAACAATGTTACCGCTACACCACTAATGCTTGATATAATATAATGGTTCTTATCACCTTTATATATCAGAACTATTATAAAAATATCCTCCACATCCCTGAAAAATCCATTAACTCAGGACAAACGCCTTGTCTGTAGTGGAAACTAGTTTAACGAGATGGTACATATATCAGTCTCTCCGACATCACTCAAGGCTCTTACGGAATGAAGTACAGTTCCCAGCTACTTGGGCATCCATACCCAATAGAAGATGTACCCATTAGGTCGTTTCTTTAATCCAACCTTTCATACGCAAAAGTCTCAGAAAGCTGTACAGCCTCTATTCTAACTCAAAAGGTGTTCTCTCGGTAATCATCAGGAATTAGAGGGACAGTTCTCCAAAAGTGGCTTCAAAATATATTCGCATACAGATTTCCTGAACGCAATATCACCCCAAGTAGGCGTTGCACAGCTTATCGCGAACGTACACTCAACGCATCTCGTAACCACCTCCAGATAACGCTGGATAATATGGGCCATATTAAAGTAAAGCCATTTACTGCGACATCATATCGACTACCGAAGTCACTTTGGACATCCCAGCCTCCCTCAGCGGCATATGTCTCGAATGTTTTGGGGTGCCATAATTCCAAAAGTCTAATACCAAGCTCAAGCATCGATCGTTTCGGATTATAAACACCTGGTGCTGAATCTTTAGCACCGTAATCAGATGTCTGACGGATAAAAGGCTGGGGCATATCCATATGTTGGTCTCCTCCTCTGTGCATAAGTGACTTATCACTGCGCGTAAAAAATAGCGCTGTTCCAGTAAGCGGAAGCTAAATCCATAGAGTGGCATGCAGCTGCATAATTGACGACGCGATGTTAAATGAAAGAGCTAAGCGCTGGTTGAGAGTCCACTGGATATGTGAGGATTGATCCCGTTGCCCCATGCTCTGAAGGACTTGCTTTAGTGAGATAGTATTCCCTTTCTCATTATTAGCATCTTCAAGGGCTGCGCAATGGGGTTCTATGATAGTAACAAAGTCTTCCGCTCCGAGAAAGATATATGTCGAGAAAGATTTTATGATCCCTCGCCTGGGTTATTGAGAGACAGAGGTCGCCTAATTTCATCGGAGGATCAAGTCTTTCAGTTGGAAAATTGATAACCACCTTAGTTTGTTGCATTTTGGACTTAACGCTAATAATTGGACGTACATGTCAGCTTTAGGAATAGAGTGAAGAGAAAAGCATAAATAGGCACCCGATGGCTAGGCTAGCTCATCTTGTATAGCAACTTTCCAATTCATCCTCCTACATTTTCACGTCCGTTTTGTGCCTGCTATCAACACGCTTTTGACTTCGCTAGGTGCAAACTCCACTGTAAACGCTACAGATGCGTTTTTGAGGCCAACATGTTTCTTCCTCTCCAGAAGCGCTGGCCGGCTATGAAGAAAGGACCCCGTCTCATGTTGTGGGTGACAGCTTACCATATATCCAGCCGAGACTGCTGAGTATGAGGTGCTTGCATAAATACGAATAGTATGGAGGCTCGAGGCCAGGCGTGAAATAGTCCTTGATGTTGGTTGGACACTAATATCTGCTTTTGCTACGCTAGCCTCCCGGATTCTGCGCAGTGTAGCAGTGGTCTCATTTAGATACCTGATCAGCTTTTCGAGCTTATTCTTTTGCAAGATGAACATTATATTCTTCGTGGATTCATATTGGCCATTCTCTATGGGGCCTTTCTGGATAAGCGCTAACAGATTTCCCTGGTAGAAAGACGGTAAGCCTTTGAATTTCGCCTGAGACAGGTATGTGGGAGTACCTGCGCTTTAGAGGATATACCATTGAGATTAGATGCCAGATCTACCAGAATATGCTGTCACTGGGCTACAGCTCGTTGGTATGGCACATACCCATCGCCCAGATAGCCATGGACAGCATTAGCAATTTCGGGGTCTTGTAAGAGAGCTGAATTGGGTTGGCGGATCAGGTCATTGATCTACCCCTCTTCTCAATGTGTGGCGCAAAGCGGGATATAGAGATCTGACTCAAGGAAAAATTAATAAAAGATTGTCACAATTTGCGTTGATGCCTGCTCTCTATAGGCTACCAGATTGACGAACTCACAGTACGAGAGGCTTTGAGTGAGGAGAGAAAGAATTCGGATGAGAAATGGGGCACTGAGGAGCTAATCCACGACGATGACCCTGAAGAGGAAGACTTCTCTTCATACAGAGATGAACCACCTACTAGAGCATGTTTCACGAACAACACTACGACTATGGATAGGCTCTACCACCCTTCATTCAAAATCCAAAACCCAGCGATGCAGACTGGTATTTCCAAGGCTCTGAATCTTAGTTAAATGGATCCAGAGATTGGGGTAAACCTCATTGACGTATATGCATCATTCGACCATCACCTCGAGTGCTCGCCGGAGGCAGAAATTTCGATACTAGAGAAAACGCAAGCATAAATATGAGACATATTCCTAACCAGCTAGAAGGAAGTTGAACCTCCAACAGGATCATATTATTGAGATGAAGCGTGGTCCCACTGCCTCTGGGCCTCGATCTGCGCCATCCATACCTTCCACGGCCACATGGCAGAACCCCACTGAAATTAATTTAGGGGATGATTCTTCCATCATATCGACGAGGACATCTCTTGTTTTAGCCGAGAAAGGAGGTGATACTGCTTCGATCCCGCCACCACCCACGATTGCTCTTCAAGCCAAAGAATTCGATTGCTCATACTGATTTATGATATGCCGGCGTAAAACCAGCACTAAGAAAACGTGGGAGTCAGTATTCACCTTTACCGCCAGTGATATGCAGATTTACCTAATCTAGAACACATATATTCCGCAATCCACGCCCTTACGTTTACACATTCGAAGGCTGCAGAGAGCCCGACCAGCAATACGACACCCTTAACGACTGGATGGCCCATGAAGCATCAATCTATGAGTAACTGCTGACGCTCGGGGCCAACAGAGACATAAGCACGACTATCCCATCTGCCTGGCTTCGGATGCCAGCCAGGGGCATATCGCATATCATCTCCGGTGCATTTTATGCTTCTCGCTACTCCGATCCGCCGACAGTAAAGATGACTTTAAACTGGACGGTGCGCTATCTCGCCGGGCTGAAGTTGTATCCAACAGTTCAGACCGGTCATCATTGGAGAGTATAGTGTCTTATGGGAAGCTTGGTCTGAGAAACTTCCAGGCATTCGAGAGCAAACCCATACTGGAGTCGATACTGATGAAGATGATGTCGCTGCAGAGGAAAGTACTAAATAGGTAACAGTCTCGGAAAAAGGAGAACCTCGCGATGATCTTAGCATCCCGGAAAGCCGCCTGGGTGTGCTTATCGGCAACCAACTAATACTGATCAACATCTTGGGTCTTGGTACGTAAAGCATGATTACTACTGCGGTAGACATCTATACTGATGACCTCTATACAATCAAAGCTCTCGACAAGAGGTGCCTAGATTCACCCCAACTCTCATTTCAGCAAAATGAGATAATCATTTAGCTAGACAACACCCCAATGTTGTTTCTTTGATTAAAATAATAGGTTCGGACGATTGTTCATTCATTGGTACGGAGCTTTGTCCCGAAGGTCACTTATTTGATAACATCGTCGTGAAGAAAATATACGTGGGCATTGAATCTTTGGTTTAGTGAGTATTCCTCCAGACCTTGGATGCTGTTCAGTTCTGCCATTCCATTTTGGTGTATACCATCGCGATCTCAGCCCGAAAACTGTCTAGTTACAGATCAAGGGATAACTGTTAAACACATGGATTTTGGTCTTGCTACTACCAACACCTGCTCGTCAGACTTTGGCCGTGCCTCTTATTTTTACATATTTCCAGGTAAGTTGTTGTTTGCCTCTTCAATGAAAATGGCCATCACAATGCTAACTCGTCTCTTAATTGCCTTGTAGAGAATGCTAACAGACAAACAGTGAAGAAGGATCATTCTACGAATCGGCTCCTAGTGATGACTGGAGCCTAGGTGTTATTCTAGTCAACCTGACTTGTGGCCGCAATCTATGGAAGCGCGCTTCGGCTGATGATAAGTAGCACTTTCCGAATTTATCGGAAGGACCCATACTTCCTCAAGACAATCCTACCTCTATCCGACGAGGTTATTCCCGCCTTGAACCGTATCTTTGAATGCGATCCCAACAAAAGGATCACAATACCAGAGCTACGCACATTGGTTCTGGAATGTCCCTCTTTCACGGTACCCTCCGAAGGCTCATGGAATAAGTACAGCGAACTCTAAGAATTTCTGCTTTCCAACGGTATGGAGTTTTAGTGATTGAACGTGTTGGCTCCGATTCAAGCAGCCTTTGTGAGGGCAAACATAGATATGCGATGAATTTCCTGCGCAGCAGCATAGAGACACACACAAAGGAACATTAGATAGTTATCCCTATTGGCTAAGACAAAACCTGGATATGACAAGAGAGGAACCTGTTATAGTGGAAAGCCAGACAGGAAGCGAAATACTCGTTCAGCGCAATGCTACACCTCCGACATTAATTTTTAGTAGCGTATGTCGCCACAATTTTTTTCGTTATATAGAAGTGTGAATCGGATTTCCCTGTTTCGCATTGAACTGTTCTAGCTTCAATCGTGTAGATACTCACACTTTTATCAGACGGTATAGCCTGGCCACGCTTGCACTGAATTGGCAAGCACCGTACGAAATTGCAGTCAGGATTTCGGGCACGTTCTAGAAGGGCAATGCAAAAAGTACCTGTATGAGATTTAAAGGTAGAGACTATTCACCGCCCTTCAAGTTGTCGTGCGTATGATCAAGGTGCATACTCACGTGTTGTCTTCGTGAAAGCGGCAGTACTGTGAGGGATCCATCTTGTTCGAAAAGACGAACATGTTTGTAGTAGACGGAAGATCCGATGGAGGCCGGATCGCATATGGGACCACGATGTGGAGTTCTAAAGTGGTCTAGATTACGGAGAGAATGTCATTGTTGTGCGTGGCGTTTGGATGGAAAATCATGGTCCTTCCGGGCCGCCTGCTGGGAAGGCTCTGGATATAAATCTTTATATCAGTTCGTATTTGGAATGAGCAGAAACGTATTAGGCATAAATTTCAGTCACTAGACCAACAATAGTACCTTCTGTAGCTACGATTGCTTCCCAGAAATGAACGAGCGGGGGAAAAAACGTATTCGAAATAATCCAGTAAAAGGAAAAGTGAACATACATTGTCTAAGGTTTTAGAAGAGAGGGATTTCAACTCGTTAATCATTGGACTAACAATGTTACTTGCTGATGTAACTTTTCTTTTCCATTTCTTTCTCCTTCTCTTTTTTTATTTTATTTTTAAGGCTGCAGTAAATGTATTTCGTAAAGCGACGCACGTTGACATCAAAGGTCTATATTAATAGTTGGAGCAGGTGGTTGGACAATGGTGGACACGCGGTTGCTGTGGCAGGGATCCTGGTGGAGATTGCGCCTAACTGTACAGCCCACAGCCCGATGCAGAATACATCATCCACCCTCCTCCGGTCACCGGTACTGTGGTGGACCATTCTCGAAGATATTTGGAAGTGAAAGTTAGCTGGTAAGTTGTACTCTCATACTATTGCCATTTCGTTGACCTGGCCTCGGAGTCCTACAACCGCCTACTAACACACACTTGCCGCTTTGAGTAGTTTGTTGACCGCACTGCATAGACTTTTCTGCTGTCGCATTCAACACAGCACCCAACATTAATCGATTTGACCACCCCATCAAGAATTCCGATTGAGTCCCGAACCCAAAACCGCTATTGGGGTTTGATATACAATCTGGTGGGCGGACTCTAGCCCTTGGCCTCTAGAATGAAGGTGTCTGGGTGGATCTCGGCCGCATTCTTTGCCTCGACCGTAATATCGATAGAGACGCTACCATTTTCTCCTCCACAAGCCGCAGAAGCAAACAAGAGAGCATATGAAATCCTACGGATATTAAAGCGGGCTGACAACTGTCCGGCTGGGTACGACCCATGCACCAACATGGGTAAATCCGACGTTTGCTGCAGACAAGGTTCCATCTGTTCTCGCGACGCCGCCGACAATATCGCCTGTTGTCCGACTGGAGCAAAATGTACAGGCAGTCTCACTGGAGATCGCTCTCCTAGCTCGACCAGCTTTAGATTCCCGGGAACCGCCACAGCTTCTCTGACCACTTCGGGGCCAAACGGCGCGACTATTACTGGCTCGACAATGCCAGGCGCTTATCCGTTTGTCTACGTTCCGACAACGTTCCCTAACGCCGCTGTATGCTCTTCTTACTACTCCTTGTGTCAAAGTGAGTATACGGGCTGTCTCTCAAGCCTCGGAGGAGGCTACGCAGTCACCGTGGCAGGTGAAGGTGGAGGGGTAACCCGCGCTGGCGGCGGAGCAGCTGGGGCTATTTCTACCTGTTCTAGCTTGAGCCTAGACGCCTGCCATGGCCTCAATCTGGGATATTGCGACACGCATGCTACTGGCACCGGGGACATGAACGGGGCTCCCCCAGGACGAACCTCTAGCCTGGAGGACCTCATCTTTGGCATGGTCATTGGCGTGGCTGGTATGTTTATCTGATCAACGTTGACGCTATTACGTTTTCTTCATGGTGGATATGCGATACGAAAATAAATTTTTTTGTTCCTTTTTCTTCTATATGTTACAACAGAATGATCTCCTGGAAGTTGAACGAACGGGATGACTTTCGCGCACATACTGCATGTAGGCCCCACTGCTACATGAATGAGCTGGTATGCTTTGGTTTCAGGAGGGATGACAGGGTGATTCAATGATGTTATGTTCGGGGGCTATGCTAAGATGTAAATCTACTGTTCTTTGGCGTCTGTGTATGTACATATCTACCTAGGATTAGGGGACACAAGATCCCAACTCGGATAGTTCGATGACCGGAAAGAAACCGGATGAAGTCTTGTACCAGGTACTGAAACATGTACAAAGGTACGGAGGAGCAGCCACCACACCGCTTCAGTGGAATAAATAGCACCCATCACTTCAAGATACGTCTAACGTACGCTCGGCGAGCGCTGATTCCATGCATGTAAAACTAGGCCAGTAAAAAGGCTAGTCTGGACCAGTGTGGACGGCATCAGATAAACCTTCCAAGGGGGTGCGTTGTGCCTGATTCATCCGCTTTGTTGGCAAGACACTAAAGCGGGACGGGACAACACACAGGTACAGATGGAGTCATCTACTCTTCTAGCTCGTTACGAAATGTTCCCGTCTGGAATCCATACCTAAGGTATGAATCTATGCTCGGTACTATAGTCTAGATCTGTCGAATGGTAGTGGGGAAGAAACTTCTTTTGCACACCGACTCGAATTACTCAACAGGGGATTGAGGCCAGGTTTCATCGTATGTACTGTATGCTGGTAACAATGCGGAATTAGTATGAAACTGATGTCAGGGACGGAAGGCAAAAAGTGGTCCACAAGGATAATGATTGATTTCGTTTCTCCAGCTACAAGACTGTAGCACCAGCGAGGGGCATCCAATGCGATGTGATGATAAGATCAAAGACCAAAAAAGGTTCCCCAACCTCCTCTTTCACATTGAAGGGGGAAAAAAAATAGAAAATCTCTATCAATGATTTAGCCTTAATCTTAAGATCTCTTTTCAAGGCGATTGGCTGTTGCTTGTGTTTAGTGTAGAAAATCCTGGTGGTTGGGTTGGGTACTGAAGTATACAGGGAGGCTGGGAAAACAGGGCTTCAAAGCAAAGCTGACGGTCACTTACCGTCTCTTCCTCACCAGGATTACCTTACCCCCCTCATCCTTAACCCCCTCATTCTCTTTTCTGTTTTTTTTCTTTTCTTTTTTTTCCCTCTCTCCAAATTTCTACTGTAGCTGCTTGTGAGGCTTGAACATTCTTTCTGACGTGATTACAAAGATTGAAGAATTGTTGTTATCCTTCGTTTTATGAAGCTCTTATCGATACTGACCCATACATACTTACTCCGGGGTGGCCAGTATTGACATCGCTCGTGGTTCTCGGGTCTGGAGAGGGAGATCAAGGTTGACAGTCTGCTCGTGAACCCCATCATAGATATCTCCGTTCACTATGCACAATTCTCGCATACTACATTCAGTGGTATCCATACTGACCCTACTGGCGCAAGCCCAGCACTCTTCTGCTTCCCCGTTGGAACTTGATGAAGCCAACCTCGAAAAGCGCTGCGAAAATCCCTGTGGGTATTATGGCCAACTCTGCTGCACGTCTGGCCAGACGTGCAGCACCAGTAGTAATGGTCAGGCAGTCTGTGCAGATGCCTCTTCCGGCGGCAGCTGGCAGTACTTTACAACAACCTTCGTCACCACGGAAACAGACGTGTCGACAGTTACTTCTACATGGAGCAGCTATGTAGGACAGACGACGGCCGTTGGAGGCGGCTCAGGGAGTTGCAAGGCCGAACTTGGCGAAACTATTTGCGGAAAGACCTGCTGTGGTGCAGCCTATGTCTGTACCAACAACCAATGTGTGCTCGGGAGCTCTTCAATCTGGGCCACCGCTACCGCTACACCTCCCGTACGAGGCACAAGTGCATCTACTATCACGGCGACTGCTTCCGCGACAACTACACAGGGCTTTGTCGCTCCTGTTGGCACCGATGGTGCCACACTGATTGGAGAAAAGGCGCCAGACAATGGAGGGCTAAGTGGTGGCGCAATCGCAGGTATCGTCATCGGAACCATCGCTGGTGTCTTTCTTCTCCTGCTTCTTTGTGCTTGCCTGTGTTGCCGCGGTGCCCTAGAAGCCTTGTTTGCCTGCCTGGGTCTCGGTGGGAGAAGGCGAAGAAAGGAAACGACATATGTGGAAGACCGGTATTCCCATCATGCGCACGGTGCACCGCCGCCCGAGCGGCGTACTTGGTTTGGCTCCCGTCCGTCGGGGCCAGCGCCTGCCCCTAGAGAAAAGAAGAAATGGGGCGGTTTGGCGACACTTGGGATTATGTTGGGCGCGCTTGCTCTGTGTCTGGGACTGAAGAGGCGCAGAGACCGCGATGACGAGAAGAGCGACTACACTTACCCGAGCTCATACTACTACTCCGATTATTACACGAGCGCAAGTATGTGTCTCCTTCTTTTTGCACGGACTCTTACACCGTCCTTACTGACTGCTTTATAGGTAGTGCAAGTTCGGATAGACGGACAAGAGATACTCGGCGGACGAGGGACACGAGGCAATCCAGGAGATCTCGCGCACGCTCAGGACGATCATGATTGATGAAATGACACAATGAATCAACGAGATTTTCAAGACCACAACTTCGTTAATGATCCCAAATTTTTTTTTTTTTTTTTTTTTTTTTTCGCCACGGTTGATTTTTAGTCGAGCATATATGGCGCTGGTTGGCATTTTGTATGTTGTTTGTATCACCATGTTTGGTCTGCCTCGAGTGCGATACTTTTATTTGTTTTTGGACACTGGTATGTATGATGACGAGCTATGTTTTTCATGTTATAATGACCTTTTTTTCCCTTTCTCATTCCGGGTATAATCTGACGGGTTTAACAAAAAGAACGATGTAAATACGAAACAACGCAGTGACAATTAGTGTCATCTAGCTAGAAATACCGAGCAATAAAGAATCTTGCTTAAAATCATGTGGACATGTCTATTGCATGGAGGCGCTGGTGTCGGAGTATATTGAGCTCAGACCAAAAGATACAAACGCAGGTCCAGGCCTTTGACACAAAAAGACTTAAGAGGGTCGAGGATTGCATATACTTCCTGTACTGTGGATGGTGGCGTAGTATAGTAATAGTACTGTCGAGTCTAGCAACGTCTCGAGGCAACCTCGCATTCGTCATTCGACTGCTCAAGACCAATAATACTCGTGCACCTGCCGGAAGAACTCGTGCGACAATCCGTGTTAACGTGTAAGGCGGCTAGTAAGATGATCAATAAGAGGTAGGCTGTTTCACCTTAACTTGAAGCGAAAACGAAGAAAAGTAAGCCCTATAAAAGTGAGATTGTCTTGAAAAGGGTCCGAACGCCACTATGAAGGCCAAACGACTTCGAAAGGCAAGAATGAGAGAAGAAGATCGAGTGATTCAATTGAGATATGGTGAAAGCGGGCCGCGCGCACCGGGTTTTTAAGTCAAGTTAATGCACGGCCGGAACTTGCGTTCTCCCCGCCTCCCGTAGTCCGGAACTTCCTCGACTTCTCCATCCACATCGCTCACACTTCATTCTTCAACAACGCCAAATCGCACACTCTTACGTTCACCCCTCAAAGCAAACAACAACTACAGAAATTTGTTATTCATGAATTTAAATTCGGGATCAATTTCCTGACATCGAAAACCTTTCCCCTCGACGTCTCATTCCTTGTATCTCTGCCTCCGGTCGCTCGAGGTGTCACCACTGCACTCCTGAGGATTACGAGTCCCCGATCCTTCACCAGCCCGTCATGCTCCAGACGCAGACCCAACACGTTTTCTCCCATCAGCATCAATACCCTGCTGATCCATCCTGGCTGCAACATCAGCAGCAACAGCAGCAGCAACAGCACCATCAAGCCCAGCACCACCCGCACCAGGCCCAGCAACAGCATTCTTCCTTGGTGGCCCAACAGCATGCCCAAGTGCAGGCCGCCGCCGCGGCTGCCGCCGCAGCTCAACAACAGCACTATAATCGCATCGCTATGGCCGGCAACCCTGGTACTGGAAACCCAGCACAGGGTGCGGGTGCTGGAGGGTTGAGTGGGGATGGCGCTCTCTCAGGCGCAGTATCGGTGATGGATGGTGGGATCAGTGATGAGAACCGCAAGGTTTTTATTTGGGTTGCTGAGCTTCTTGACCCGAATCGCAGAGAGGCTGCTCTCATGGAACTAAGTAAAAAGCGAGAGCAGGTTCCTGAGTTGGCGCTTGTCATTTGGCACTCATTCGGTATGAACTCTTCGGACCCCACTCTGAGTGTGCGACTTGTCGGCTCTTGGATACTAACAATACTGTTATCGCAGGTGTTATGACTGCTCTGCTCCAGGAGATCATTTCTGTATATCCCTTGTTGAACCCTTCTCAGTTGACTGCGGCGGCTTCAAATCGAGTTTGTAACGCACTGGCTCTGCTACAATGTGTCGCCTCTCACAATGAGACTCGTACACTATTTTTAAACGGTATGTAACAGTCCGTCTTTGTCTCCACTCCCTGCTGGCTGACCGAAAATGCTCTTCCAGCTCATATTCCACTTTTTCTCTATCCTTTTCTCAACACTACCTCAAAATCTCGCCCGTTCGAGTACCTTCGCCTCACCTCTCTCGGTGTGATCGGAGCGTTAGTCAAGAACGACTCTTCGGATGTCATCAACTTCCTTCTCACCACCGAGATTATTCCGCTCTGTCTCCGTATCATGGAAACGGGCTCCGAACTGAGCAAAACAGTCGCTATCTTTATTGTGCAAAAAATATTACTAGATGACATAGGTCTTGCGTATATCTGTGCGACATATGAAAGGTTTTATGCTGTGGGGACGGTTCTAAGTAATATGGTCACTCAACTCGTGGAGCAGCAGACCGTAAGGCTTCTTAAGCACGTTGTGCGCTGCTTCCTTCGGTAAGTTTCAAGGCCATGTCTGGCCCCCTGACCGGCCCATACCTTGCAGTTATGAGCGTTTCCTGACCATTTGCAGCCTGAGCGATAATAGCAGAGCGCGGGAGGCCTTGCGGCAGTGCCTTCCCGAGCCTTTGCGAGACGCCACCTTCTCCTCTGTCCTCCGCGATGATGCAGCCACAAAACGTTGTCTTGCACAGCTTCTGATCAACCTTTCCGATAACGTGTCCGACGGCGCCCCAGGTGTTGCTATGTAAAAAGTCGAAAAGCATTGCTTCCGTTTTGATTTACTTGGTATATTTGACAACCTTACGATATGCATGGGACGGTCTAAGGCGAATCTGGGTCATACGGCGCAAATTTGTGAAATGGCAAAAATAACGGTATAACCAAGAAGAAAGAAAAAAGACTGGGAGAGGAGCACCGGAACATTGGGGGTTGGGGATTTTTCTGTGACCACTATGTAACAAAGTTTGCTATTTTTTCCTTCTTTTCCTTTTTTTTGCTTTTTTTCTTTTTCTTGTCTTCCTCATGGGTCTGCGATTTTCCTCCTTTATCCCATTTCGGTCATAATGATATAGGCTTGTGCGGTGGCGTGGATATGGATGGCGCTATCTTTTCTGTGCATTTTGCTACGATCCCTTTCCTCATTTTCCATCTGAATGAGATAGACTCTCTTTGAGCGAGATACCAGAATCTAGGTTTTGTTTCATGCGTTGGGATTGTATGTACGGGCGGTTGAGTGATGTTCTGGTCTGCAAATCCTGAAGCATGGTTCACTTTTCGCTATTTTCTTTTCTTCTTTTTTGTTTTTATTTTCTGATTCTTATTGCCATTAATCAGGTAGAAGGTTACCTTGCATATATTTGGTCTATATTGTTGCAAGATGTTTGATTGCAGGGGAGCTTCAGTAAAGTAAATAGCCAGGCTCCTTACGTGGCGAACATATTAAATAAAAGGACCCTTTTATCAGAGAGCTCGCTAAAAATCACCTGACGGGCCGAGGGTCTCGACGCGCCCCCGTGAGCTCATCTCCAATCTCGCAGACACGCCCAAGTCCCGCCCTGTGTTCCGCCACTACTTCTCAGTAATTTGTTCCGATTGAGCCTGAACCCCCCTATAATTTTTCTCGCGTGTATACACACCGTGATTCTTGTCCCCACAGAAAACAAACACCACTGAGCTGTGAAACCGTGGTTTTTGGTATTTGATCTTGCGCTAAGGCGCCGTTCATGCGCTCGAACCGCCGACATGGTATCGCGAAAGCGCACCCGTTCCGAGGTGGACACTGCTCCGGAGCAGCCACCTGAAGAGCCTGGTTTGCTGCACCGACTGCGAAATTCCTGGGAGTTTGCAAACCTCATGCAGTATATTGCCATGTTTGGAAAACCTATGAAGATTGATGAGGATTTTGGAATTGAAGTATGCATTCCTTCCATGCTCGCATCTATAAAATAGCCCTTTCCTCCTTCCTTCACTTTGTTTGTCGCGTGCGGTAGAAGCTAATATCTTCCCTTCGCGCTGTCTCTCAGGATCTGGAGAACGAATGCCTAAAACCTGGTTCTTCCGAAAAGCTTCTGGAAATTGGACTCTGCTTGCTTAAATGGGTTTCGTCGCATCGGGGTCTCACGTACGTGAACGGACCTCTTACTCCTTTACACCACGTGAAGTACTCACATAGGACGTTACTTTCAGGTTCGATAACTTCGATGAATACACGCGACGCCAGTACAATGCTAAAGCGCCTCATCTCCCTAACCCGTTCGGCTATGATGAGGTTCCGAACAGGTTCTCCGATTTTGACATATTCTTGAAGCTTCGTGTCCTTCACCAGCTGACCGTATGGACATTTTGGAATCCGGATCGCATCCGCGATAAGATGCCAGAGCAAAAGGAGGCGGACCAAACACAATGGGTGAGTATGCTCGAAACGGGATTGTGCCTCACATGTTACTGATACCCTACCAGCGCATTGAGGAATTAGGGTATGATCGCGAAGGGCGCTACTATTATATTCTGGACGATAACCGGCTTTACCGTCGCACTGATCCTCCGATTCCCCTTCCCCCTCCGAAGGCTGCCAAGTCGAAGACAAAAAGAAAAAGCGCCCGCGCTGTGAGAGCGTCGAAACGAAGAAAGGTCTCGGAAGCGGCTGCGGCTGAGGAGTCCTCGGATGGGGGCCATGAGGATATCAATGGAGATGTTCCGGAAGATCCTTTCAAGAGAATGAAGTGGGAATGCATTGCCATCACACTAGAAGACTATCGGCAGTTTCTGGACTCAATTCGGAAATCGAAGGACCCGGACGAGAAGATCTTGAGGGACCGCGTTGAGGAGCAAGTGCTGCCTGTGATTGAGAAAGAAGAGGAGGCGCAGGAGCGACAGAAGGCCAAGCGTGAAAAGGAGCTCATGAACTTGCAGCTGCTGGCTGGTGCCAAACGGTCAAGCCGAATTGCCGGAAAGGCTGAAAAAGAGCGACAAGAGCGGGAAGCTGCCGAAGCAGCACAAAAGCGCGAGGAAGAGCTAGCGGCGGCTCTCAAAGAAGAAGAGAGAATAAAGAAGATGGAATCAGACAGACGGACGCGCATCATGACTCGTGAACAACGTATCAAGGAGCGGGAACGCAAGCGCATCCTACACGAAAGTGAGCTAGAGCGGATAGCAGAGGAGCAAAAGAAACTCGAACGGGGTGAAAGCAGAATCTCCGAAAGACAGTTGAAATCTGAACTGGAAAAGCAGAGGAAGAATCTGGAGGATCTTTCCCAGGAAGATGAATGGGTCTTCGATTGTTCGGGATGCGGTACGCATGGAGAAAACCTGGTATGCTACTTTACGCCGTAATATGTTCTAGGATAGCTTTGCTAACCCTGGATAGGATGATGGCTCACATAGCGTTGCATGCGAGAAGTGCAATGTGTGGCAGCACAGCAAGTGTCTTGGGATTCGGCAGCAGGAAGCCGAGCGAGAAGATTTCCATTTCGTCTGCAAAGATTGTACGCGGCGAGAAAAGGAGGCAATGATGCCAAAGATCCCGCCATTGAAGTTCCGGGTTGGTTCTTCACCGTCTTCTGATCAGGAGAGCAAGGACGTCCAGGCCACAGCCACTTCTGTGCCATTTACACTGCCGCTGAACGGGTTACCATCTAAACCTGTAACGCAACAATCACTGCCTCCTCGCAATGCACCTCAGCCTATTCCTATGTCACCCGAGCGCCGGCCACAGTCTGCCCATGCCGCGTCTTTCGGCAGTCCTCGAGCTCTCTTCTCTCCATCTAAGGGTGCCAATGGTTATTCACCCTCTAGGGAAGCACCCCTGAAGTTACCATCAATCCAACAAGCAATGCACCTACCACCCAATGGTCGTGTCTCCTTTAACGGCGGCTCTTTCCATTCATTCCACTCGCAACGGCCGTCATCCTCCCACGCCACTCAAAGTCCAACTCTTCCCTCGCCTATCCAGAACCGTCCCTCGATGTCTCCTACTCAGGGCAATCGCGACGTTGGTCCCCTTGCTGGGTTCCCCCCTGTGCCATCATCAGACAACGCAGCCCCATGGACGCCTTACCGGCCACACCAGGCTCCGCGCCGGGACAGTGGACACTATGCTTCCTTCTCTTCGATCCATGGAGGGCACCCGTCCCTTGCAGCTACACCCAATGCTAGCCAGTCGTCGCCCCCGCAAAGTTCGCATTGCGGTGTTGCGCTATCAGGCATCAGTCCAACTAAGCAATCACCTCGCCCTGTTACTTCTGGGGGTGTAGCGGGTGCACCAGTTTTACCTCCCATCCAGAGACTTGAGCCGAGTCCCAAGTTGATGGGGCGAAGTTCTCCCGATGCGCCCATTCCACCACCAGTAAAGTGTATGACACCAGAGCAAGAAGAGCGCAGACAGCGTGAAAATGCTATGATGCTTCATGCCCAGTCTCACGCTCCCAACAGGCAACATTCGGCGATGTCGTCTCCGTCCCTAAACCGCATCCCGCCTCTAGGGCCATCTGCACTGTCACAAAGACCTGAATCATCGTTTCAATCCTCGCCCGGCCCGAAGACGGAGGAGTAATAGAGCATTGGATTTAGCCGTTATGTGTAGACGCTCCTCTACCTTCGCAATAACTTGTTAACTCTCGAATTGACCTAATTGCTGAGGTATATTGACCATTTTTGGATTCCTAAATCTAACACATACCCTTTCTAGGTTGACCGAGGAAGGCTCAGTCACATCGATTGACGTCGATTTTGGGTTGTGAAATCTACTGGATCGTGGTGGGCAGTGTTACACGGTCAGCGCAGGTATTTTGCTGTGATGGCGAATGTCGTGAGACCGGATAATATATCCCCAGCAAATGAGGTCAGCATCAACAGCGTACAAAATATTCATGAATATACTGTATCGATAGTATGCTGCAGGACATTACTCGTGACATTTACACCTTTGAGATCGCCACGAGTTCTTCAGGATTGCTTTATCTTTTTGTATTTTCCTGGAACGGTATTTACGCCTCCTCGTCTTCAGTTGGACCCCCCTGGTTTGCATCTTCCATGGGTTGATGGTCTATTTATTTTACACTTTCTACGGAGGTTTTAATACTTGCATAACGGGTTGGAAACGGAGCTATCCCTTTCTTTGTTGAAAAAAAGTTATTCTTGAATACAATAGGGAGGATGGATGGGCGTTTAGCTATGTGAGGCTCATAGAAGGGATGGATTCTATTCAGGGGAAAAAAAGGGAGCGGACATGGGCAGATAAATCTCTCCGGGGAAGAAATAATTTGGACGATATTAGAACTACTATAGATTAGTAGAATACTAAGAACGAAAAGAGAAAAAAAACTTTTGTACACTGGCTTCCGACTTGATTGGGATACAATAGCGAGGATCCAGGTAGATTTAGATTGGGGAGAAAATTTGAATGGGAAGTGAAGTATCAATCACATTGTGATAACCCATGTCCATGTTTAGCGCCGGCATATGCCGCCCTCTAATACGCCAGTATACACACCTTGCATCAGGCATCCCAACCCCTTGAATATTCCTGGATCGAGATTGCGAAGCTCGTTCACAGCTCCGTATGTACATACTCGGGGCCTTACCGATCCGATCTGCCCTGTCTGTTGAAATCAATTGATTGTCGTGAATTGATTTAGATTGGATTGGATAGTTGCGCATGCAAACGGAACGCCCGCATCAACAAACATGCATGTATGTACATACAAACAAGATGGATCACTCCTAGCAAACACAGATAGATATAGGACACAGGGATCGACTCAATCTCTCCATCGTTCAAACAAACCTCCCAACAAAACAGTCTCCCAAGTGAAAAACACGAGAAAAACAAACAACAATCGAAAACCACACAACCCAATTAAGACATTTTTCCAAATCCAAATCCCAATCGCAATACCATATGCATGCAAGTATGTACCGTGCGTACCCAAAAAAATTCCATAGACCGAAACCCCCAGTTCAAATCCCGAAAGCTTAATAATCGATTAAAAAAAAAAAAAAAAAAGACCACGCGTGGAGACAACACTAGACATAATGACACGAGTCAGGGACCGCCGACTCTAAGCGTACCGTACCTAAGTACTTAGACTTCCAAAGTTCCCCCAGTCCTTGCAACATGGAGCCTTTGCCCTCCAGTGGGGCCCGGAGAACAATAGCTGATATCCTTGCATTAGGGCTGCCCAATCATGGGGACGGGGACGGAGTATGACCCAGAATTGTATGTACATTGCAGGCTTTAGTACGCTGTATACTTTAGGAGAAACCAGATGCTAGATTGTAGTTAGATGGCATGACCTGACCTGGACTACGGAGACTAAGTACCGAAGGTAGGGTACAGATGTCAATGTACGGAGTACTCCGTACGGGGAGGGGAGTCCGGGTCATGATGATCAGTGGAGGTTGGGGTGTTCGGTGTCTTGGTGGGTTGTGGGTTACTAGTTGTCCAGGAGGTGTCTATCTAGACTTCTAGAGTTAGTAGGAAAGGAAAAATGGAAGTATGGATCTAATAGGCAGTATAGCATGTTGTTCTCTCAGTGACAGTTCGAGGCTAGTAGTAGGGAGAAGAGGATCCATACTTTGCTACTAACTTAACTACTACTTAGTGGAGCTGGGGTACATTACCTCACTAGTACTATTTGGAATTAGCCAGACGCTTACCTGGAAAGGGCAAATCCGGAGACCAGGAACAACCACGATTGGCCGTATTTGAACGCAACCACTGAATCAGCGCTGTGAACTCTAATTATTCGAGAAGTACAGGGTAGTAATAGTAGTAGTAGTTATAGTATAGGAGGTAGTACTCCTGCTACTTAGTAGATACGATCGGGTATCGGAAATCTTTTTCGCCGACCCCGATGTTCATGTTCATATTCAGGTTTCTATTTCTTCATGGCGTTTCTTTTTTTTTATAGGGCTACTTTTGGGGCGTGCTCACGGGCGTGTTCGGCTACTATTTCTCAATTTATGGGTGTATGTTCCATGGGAACAGTAGCAATGGGGGATGAGATTTACAATCGGACTTTTGAACTACGATGCTTGATCGCAGCGTGCCCCTCGTTCCTGATATGGATCACGATCCTTCGGGACTTTGATGCCTAATTGTTGGTTCCGAGTTCGGGGATCGAAATATCGGATGACTTAAGGAACCACCCCTGGTAGACTGTATAGTATGTATTGCCACTTACGTAGTTCAAGTGGGGGAGCTTCGATTTGCTTTTATTTTTTTTTAACATGCAGTGAGTCGTCGTATCTGGACTATCGCAAAGTTTCTACCAGTTAGATCTCTGGCCCTTGATACTTAAAATTAAGGAAGAGTATTTCCGCGGACTTGTCATTTAAGAAGAGAATTTAAGACTTGGCGTGATCCTTCTCATAGAGTTTTCTTTTCTTCTTTCTTTCTACATGTATATATCGATTTTTCTAGTGTTGGGAGATGATGTATAGAGCGTCTAGGGGCGCGGGAACAGAGACCAGAGGGATTTTTTTTTTTAAAAAAAAAAAAAAAGGGAAAGAAAAAAAAGAAAAAAAAGAAAAAAAAATTAGGTAGAAAAACAAGATCAAACGCAAGAGATGCACGTATACTGGGCTATCCTGGAAAAAAGTATTTTAAATCCTATAGTAAGTTAGCCCGTAATACCACGGGTGGACTTCCGTATGGGTAAGGAGCCACGATATGGATAAGGATTACTTTCGGATGGCCTGAGTCTGTCTAAGGTTTTCACCGGATGTCTAAGTCTTAAGAGTATCTTGACTCTATTCTCCCGGAGTTAGAACTCCGACTGGGTTGGGTAACGTCATATATCCAGCTGATGTTGAGGGGAGTGGAGCCTCCATCTTCTCTCCCTGTCTTTGTATATGGATCACCGTTACGAGGAGCCCTCCCATGAAGTCAATATACTATGTTTTACTATTGATGAAGTGGGAAATGTCGATTACACGGTATCGTACCAGATATGGGAGACTAATCAGCGCCCCGTGACAGGTGAGCTGTCATGTTTATTTTTATTTATTTTTTTTTTCACACCGTTTAACGGGGGCACAGATGCTGTCACGTTGCTTAATTTAATTTTAGTGTTCCCGCGATTATCGGTGACAGAACCCGCTTGGTCCGCTCTTTTTGGAGATTGGTCATTGGTCTAGGTCGATATTTTAAAGTATGGAACCCGATTTGATCCGGCCACTCAGGGGGTCGTTTGTCGTGAGGGCCTGCAATTCCTGAATGGATAGGTCCCATTGGTTGCTTTTCTCCCTCTCTGTCTCTCTCAAGTCCTGCTCAAAGGGGTAATTGTTGGCCATGGTAATTTATATGACACTAATATGTTTATCGTCCTATAGCTAGGTAGGGACAAGATGAGTTCCTTGACATGGCTATTGATCTAGAAGTCCAATTCCCGGCATATTAGCATTCGCTATAATGGAATAGTTCAAGCCTTGGGTTCTTACAAAGAATGGTATGCAGGTAACTTAATGGCCCTGACAAGCTACTTGCCTAGGAACTACTGTGCACTGTTGACCAACATATTCCCATGGCCCCTCTGTAGAGAACAACTTGTAATTTGAAAAAAAAAAGGGTTGCCGCTGTGATCCGCACATCGCATACTCAGTTTGTGAGGGAGCTGGACTAATACTCTCCGCAATAGCCGCGGGGCACAGGCGAAAGCAAATTGAACCAAATAGAGTCCCATCTCCGACCTCTCCTAGGCCTCAAGACATAGCGTCAGCTACTTGTACTGGGTGGGGATTTGGTATGTGTTCGATGTAACCGGCCCCGGGCATGGCCGGCGGAGCACATGGGGTCAGATAGCAACGCAAAGCTAGTCAAGAGGAAGCAATCTTTCCAGGGCTTGGCTTTCTTATCTGCCCGTCCCGGTCCAGGCGTCAATTTCCACTGGAAGCATCCTTGGTCCTGCGTACAGTACACTCGCCGGGGAGGAGGAGGGGTGATTTCTCCTCCTATGCTAGTTAGGGTAGGCAGCAAATATTGGAACAGTCGCTATTCCGCGAGCGAGGTGCTTTCAAACACGTACTACTCTGGTTGAACGGACTCTATTTTCATACTTTCGACTGGGTTGAACATATCCAATACTAGTAGCAAGGACGGTACTACCGGTGGATCCGTGGTCAAAGGCCCAATGGCCAATCGGTAAACGCCGTAGACGACAGTCAGGCCAATAGCAGGAAGGGATAAGCGCTCGCCATTCACAGAGCGTATCGGCGTGCTATATCGTGCATGGAGTCCAATCAAACCACTGTCGATGGAGATTCCAAGGGCAGGTGATCGATATGGTCGACAAGGATGTTACCTAATCAGAGCTAATCCACCTCACCTGAGGTCGAGGTTACTTGCCTAGAGTCCCATAGGGTATCTCGCTCTAGAGGGCTCAAAAAAGTTCGGGCAAGTGGACCGTAATCGGGGATACCAGCAGGGAATGAGACCCGCCGGTTCCAGTGTTCAACCGTGGGCCAATCCCTGCGTCAGTGCTCAGTGCTCACATCTTTTGGCTAGGTCTAGACTTTGTTGATTAGGGTCTGATCTATATAGGGATAACTGGCCTGGGCGTGTCTGTATCGAATCAGGTGACAGTCAACTCAACTCAGACATTCCCCAGACTATACGGATTGGTACATCCTCTTGATGAATGCTCCCCTCTGTGCGACATGATGTCCGAGTAGAGGCCCGTGGACTGTGGTGTATATGTTCTGTGTTACTTGACGGTCTAATCATAACTACACCTTCAAACTTAGCGTTCGGACTGCGCTTGACTAGTAACGTGGATACCTGTTTTCCGTCACGGACTCTATACCTAACGGTCCAAGTTTAGTCGGAAAATGCCCCACGCGAGGCATGCTCATTTGCACCAGTGACCTCATGCAGAAGTCAAGCTGTTGGACACTGCCGTGCGGAACCACATATCATATCACTACTGAAGTTTGGGGGCGCGGGGTGTTGATCCTACGAACCAAACCCTTTCTCTCCCGTGCGACATTTCGAGTTAGACTATCAGGGACGCCCGACTTCCTGCTTGACAAGTGGCACTGCATATCAGTTCACTCAACTGAGTCGGCCAATATCCTTTGCCTCGGAAGCCAATCTGTTCGCGTCGACCTCACCTATCCTGCTGTGTAAGTTCACTATCAGCCAATCACCGCCAGATTCCCGGTTTGGTTATTACTTGTCCCACGTTCAAGTGGTTTAGGTACTATGCGTCCTCTCACCAACTCTTAGGTAGAGCTCGTTCGAAATAGCCTCCAACATACAGAGGTCTGCAGCCGAGTTTAGCGCAGTGTGCATCGAATGCAGGTATCGTGGACATTTGACCAACAATCCTTATGTTTGCACCACGTTTCGTTGTCGAGCTTCGGAAAGGGGTTGACAGTATAGCTACGTCGTGGTATTGTCCGGTGACACAGCAATTATAGATATGTTTCTATAATCTGGGATGGATCTTGACAGTTGCATGACTTTCCATCGTGAGATGATCACCAATGACAGAGCCAGATTCTACCAACCAACAGGCTGAAATTGAGTCACCGTGTGAGAGACGTGGGAGGGAAAGTACGGACTCGCAAGTGGGAGCCCCTCCAGTTCCATCCCAAGTCCGATGAGGCACTAAGAAGCAGTCGATCCATCGTTGCGAGAGAAGATTTGACGGTTTCAATCCCATGTGTCATTATTTCCTAAAGAGAGTGCGCCACTAGCTTGCTCAGAGAGTGCTCATTGCTCTCTGAGTACTTTTAATTTCTCCCACATCCCCACGTGGATTTGAGAGTCCACGGTGAGGACGGGAGGTTGACGTCCGGAGGCAGTAACCGTACCGTCGAGAACGGCCTTACCATTCGCGCCCGCACCACCACGCATGGTTCTTTCAACTCTCCATGTTCTCACATTCTCGCGTGCTCCATGTTCTTTTTTGTTGGCTATTGTCATGTCCATAAATAAACTGACAATAAATAACACGCATGAAGAAGTTATGAAACATGCGTGAGGCAGATAAAGAGATGCAGAAAGCAGAGAGTAGCGTGGATATTATTAGATACAACGCCCGCCGGATCCGGCAACTCGAGACGTTATATCGCAGAAACTTAAGAGGGCCTCTAATCTTTGAGTGGAACACTGCCGTCAAGGTCAGTGAAAATAGTAAGCCTCGGTCCCAGTCACCAGACTCGAAGTTCAGTCCTGGGGCGTTTGAAACACGAGCCTAGCCCACTCTGGACAGGGCACAAAATCCAACAAGGGACAAGAAAGAGAGACAGAGAGAAAGGCCCGAGATAAAGCCTCTACGGATTCGGAAAGGTTGGTTTCTTGGCGCAAATCAGGTAATTTTCCAGAAGATCGACCCCGAGGCGGCTCTCCTGGAGAAGAGTTAGTGCTTCAGGGCATCCCTGCAGTAAATCCTTTGCGGTCATTTCGAAAAGCTGCAAGTAACATCATTGCGACAGAGAAGGTGATAGGTCAGGGTTACGCAGCCCGTTTTTGAGGCGACGTTGTGTTGCTCCGGTTGATAATCAAGCACCCGCAGTGCCACTGGGAGGGCCCATGATCGAGCTAGGAATGGATAGATTCAAATCGTGGGCTCGTTGGGATCGTAATTCCACCCCAGCAGCCGTCCGCAAAGCTCGATTGCGTGCATATACTATAGGAACTCACCGACACCGATAAGGTAATTCAACGTTTCCATGGACGCCAACACGGCTTCCATTGGACTTCTATGGCTTCGACGGACCATAAGATCACACCGGAGGAACAAAGAAAACCAACTCGAGCCCCTGAAGTTCCTGCGCAAGCCATTCCCCTCCGCCAAAGTCAATCCTCCCGCCTGACGGCGGTAGATCATCGTAGGGCACCAAGTAAGTTTGGTTACTTTGCGCCTCGCTCGAATCCAGCCAGGATCTCTATGAATTGGAGTTCAATTACGGATGGATCTAGCAGTGGACGGTCAGTATTATCTGCATGGGTGTAGTCAAAAATAGCGACCGACATACCACTCTGAAAAGATTCTCGAAGGGGCGCGCGACAGAGAGAGAGAGAGACAGTGCGTGTGTGTACGTGTGTGTGTGTATGTGTACATGCGGGAGCACTAGCGGGCGTTGTAATTGAAATATCACTCTGTAAATTGGTACGACACTTGTATGACTCCATTCGCCACAGGCAACTGTTCATCGAGGTTGGGCCCAATTTACCAGCGCGAAGGATCAAAAGCAATATCATCATTAGTTAGATCCAACACCAACATGGGAACTTGCCCTTGCCCCTTGACCCCTGCCCACACGTGACCGAAAAGTATCCAAAGGTCAGGAACGCCCATGGAGGCGTTTTCCCTCATTCATCCACGGTGGGAAAATGGCAACCAACCAACATTCACGGCCAAGAATATGCACATACTATGCAAGCTGGGTGGAAAGCTGTCATTTCTCTCTGACCCAAGCCTCAGGGGGAATCTCAGACTGTTGATCATAGATAAAGGCCACGCTAACCTGGAAATGGTAACATAAGTGGCCCGCGCTAAGTGTAATTACTATTTAGTACACGGTGGGGCGATTTGGATGCGACAGTGCGCTAGTGGAAGGCTCCAATGATCTGCTTTGTCTTAAGAAACCGGATACTTCAGCCCGGCCAACGGTACGTCCAATGAACGATCGTGTGGCGTTGTTGTTGTTCTATGTGATCATACTACTATCCCGTACTTTTCCCATCCTGAGGTACGTCAAGCGTCGAGGCTTCATTACATTCCATATTACTTCTACTGGAAACTCAATTTGGGGGGTTGAGGGGGGGGAAGGGTTTTCGATTCTCGACCACACAGACAACCAGGTCTAAATCGGTAAGAAGTTAAATTAAGCTAAAGTGAGCTGAATCAGTGTCAGGGATCTCAACCAAGGTATCAATATCATCTTTTTGTTAGTACTATAGCTGCCCATTTCCTAGATCGAGACCCATCGAGCGAGAGAGAGGTAGAGTATTTAGAATGAGATGGAGATCTTTTTCTTCTATAAGCCCAGGAAATAACATATCCATAATTCACCTTCACTGATTCATTCTTACCTCGAGGAGAAAGCGTCAAGAGGTAAGAAACGAGAGACAAGAGACAGAGACCAGACAGTAAACCCCGTTTGGTTCTGTTTGGAACCACTTCAAACATGGAACTGCCAGTACCCGATCCCGCCCAACAGATCTTTCCCCTATCAAGCTCTCCCCTAGCCGTGCCCATCGTCGATGCCCATCCCTGTGATAGCAAGTCCGGTCAACTAAGGTTCTTACTAGCGATGATCTACTGGTTATGCTGTGGGGAAACCAATACTGCATCACTCTTATCTACGACTCCTCTGTACAAATTTACTTCTGGTGGATACACACACACAACGTGCGGGAAGGATTACGTGAGTCCCGTGGTTTGTATTCCCACGATTTACTTTCCACGAGCTGCCTTTACCAGATGGGGATGAAGGGACTATCCCATGTTGCTACTGTATATATTTTTTCGGTAAATTGGTCTTCCATGGAACTCCTATATCGGCCTCTGATACTCTACTTCCTCTTACACACTCTCTATCCCTCTCTAGGTTCTAACGGGGAAGGAGAGGCAAAAATGAATGCCTTTGAGAGGATCGGGAGTAGTTCCAGACTGGTCTGTCAGATTTCTTCGTATCCCTACCAGTGGAGAATCTGACAAGTGTGAAATTAGAGACAGCAGAGAGATATAAACATGAAGGAGGAACTAGTGGATCTCTCGCTTTCCTGATTTGACGAGGGCACCCATCGACTGGGGTATTCCAAATTGACCGAATTCCCGTGCTGCCATGGACCAATTCAATTCCGTTGGTCAATTCACTCGCCTACGGGCTCCGACTCTATACTGCTGATAGGTCTACCCTAGCTGCCTAGACCGCAGCCATCGCTCGGGGAGATTTCCGGAATCACAGGCAGCGTCGAGAACGGCGTACGGCGCAGAGAGGAGAGGTTGTAGGAGGATCTTACGACTATAGTTAGGTAATGAATATCCTGATTCTGAAGGGCAAAAAGACGATTTCTGTGCAACAATGCCTGGACGTTGGAGTGGCAGCAAACTCTAATGGCCAGCCCACCCTCCACACAGCTATTATTACATCTAGTAGATGCGTTGTCTAGTTCTGAAACAATCTCCCTGGTCGACGTCCCCTTCACCCGCACCCGGAAGGCAAGTCTGCAACATCTACATCTCTTTCAACCATTGCAAGATCTCAGATACAATTTCATGGATGCTGAAATTGGCACAAAGGAAGCAAAGAGCAGAAGGGGCCGTCTTGGAAACACTGGTGTCTTTTTTTTCAGGGGACAATATAAAGAAGGGGAGACCTGTGAGAGAAACGTGCACATAAAAAAGAAACCATCCTTTTTTTGAGGGTGAGGAACCAACATGATCGATAATTTGATCCAATAAACTCTTCTTTCAGCAGAATAATGTAAATAAAAAATATCAAGAAAAGAGAGAGGCCAGGGTAAAGAAAAAAAAATAAGAAAATGTGAAATAATAATAATAACAAAAAAAAGCCATGTATCAACAAATCACCTGCACCTATGTCTCCTCAGACCCGACATACTGGAACAAAGACCGCACCGTCACTCCAAGAGGGCAATCTGGAGATTGAGAGTGAGAAATACTATTTTATTAATATTTCAATCAATAATAATCAAAGAATAAATAAAAATGGGGGAAAAAAAGAAAAATTAGACTAACACTGCGGCCGCCCACCGCGTACAGTAACTATTCTGCGTCTTTTTTTTGTTTTTTTATTATTACTTAGTTCATACTATTATTTTATTTTATTTTATATTTATAATTATTCATTTTTTCCAATTTAGCTTGCCTTGGGTTTCAGCCGCCGGTCATGACCTATGGTTAGCAGGGACCACCATCCAGAACGGCTCTCTGCAACATCATGCGTCCTGCTGATATCTTTCCCTTAACTTGCCGCTCTTACCCCGTCCTATCTTTTACTTATATCGTGCGGTCCTCCTCTGCAGATCTTCATACGGTAAAGCCCATCATCGCATTCAATCCACTCTTGCCTTGGTGGCTTCTTGCGTCCTCTCTTCACATAACCTTTCTCTCCCTCCTCTTCCTCCATTACTCTCTCGATTCTGTTCTTTTGTCTTGGATCGTTCCCCCCTTTTTCTTTCCACAGCCGACCCCACTGGTTGATCGATAAAAGGACTGCGCTGTCCCTTTGCTTTCGTCCTCCTTAGGATCTCCCTTGCGGTCCATTGAACGGCGACACCCCTCAGATGCTGGGCATACTGCCAAGGAAACTCCAATTCCCCTACTGATTCATTCAATACGCTCTCAACCTTCCATAACTCTTGCAACCTCCTTCAGGAGGCTGTTCTTTTCGTATCCAACAGCTTCCCATCTACCCCACTACTGGTCTGGAAGACAGCTTCACGACCAAAGTATTCCAACATCGGACAGACCAGGAACGAGATATCTGGTTCTGTCGTAGACTTCCCCTCGCAAAGTGGCTTCATATCTTTCCTGTTTCAGGTCTAAGGGATTAACATTTTTCTCTGCCCTCAAAAACAACATCAGCGTGGTCACAGCGAGCATGGTTCGCGGCCAACTGCCTTCTCCGCCTCACTCAGACGGGCATCCCACTCCTGAACCTCACCGGGAAGGCTGCGGAATCATCCACCCATTGTACGCACACGACGGCCTACTAGGAGCCGGTATTCCCATGGACCATACACAGCAGGCCGTGGTAAGCATCAGGAGTTAGACTGACCGCTCGTTCCGCCACGCTGACTTAAACCAGGCTTTTGAGTCGTCGTCGAACCCCGTGCGGTTTCTTCCCAACGGCTACATGCAACAGCCGGTAAGTACTGTACTGATTCCTTCTCTTTATGACTGGAAATCGATCTGTTCTTGAGCTAATTCCGACACAGATGGTAGCCCACAATATGCAGGCCAACACACCACCATCCACCTCGGATGAGTGTCATCGCCCAGACCGGACATCATCTACATGGCCCCAGAAACCTGCCAATCGCTCCAAGGCCAGGAGCGGGAGAGGAGCTGGAGGTCGTAAAACTAAAACACTACACGCCAGAGACGGCCCCTCATTACCCGGCCCGTTGAGTGAATTGACCAAGCATCTGACACATGTTCCCATCAGAGACATGGAAAGTTGGGTGCATCGACCCATTGGGGTCCGCCGCCAGGAGGTCGCCAAAAGGAATGGCAAGGTGGCTAGGCCCATGAATTCTTTCATGCTCTACCGGTCAGCATACACCGAGAGAACCAAGAAGTGGCTGGGACAGAACAACCACCAAGTGGTGTCCGTAGCTGTTGGCCACAGCTGGAAGATGGAGCCAAGAGAGATTCGGGATAAATTTGAAGTCCTGGCAAACATCGAAAAGAAGAACCATGTGAAGGCGCATCCCGGATACAGGTTCTCGCCAAAGAAAGATCATAGAAGGGGGGATGATCGTCGCAACAGCCGCCTGGATAACACACCTGATTCCAGTCCTGGCTTGGGCCAGACGCCCCGTACCATGAGCACTTCGGAGATGGAAAGCGGATGGGCCAGCCGTGACTCAACTCCTCTGGGCTTCATGGAGCACGGTATGCCTGCTGGTTACCTCAGTTCTTCCTGGCAGACAACCAATCCCGGCCGGCCGGCTCCTGGCATGCTGCCCCCCTCCCCTCCAGAGCCTACCCAGTACCTCCAACAGTCAATCCATCATAGTCTAATGGGCTCCCGTTTAGAAGATATGCGCTTCAACAGAGTTGACATGCAGGATCTTCAGTATTCGTCCTCAACCGCCTTAGCTGGCCTACCAGGGGCAGCTCATCATGAGCTTCTTCAGCCCCAGACCTCTGTCTCTGCGCCAGGAGCCGGTGCCGACGGACAGTTAGACCCACAACTACTCGGATTCCAGGGCAACTCTTCGAATACCAACGGAGGAAACCAGGCCTACAGCAACTCTCACTACCATCCTATGTGGCAAGAGTCGCATGCTAACACCGGTTACGTTGCTGCCTCCTCGCTGCCGCCGGCCACGGTACCTTATGTAGCCGGTGCGGCTTTCACACCAGGTATGCAGCCGATGGTGGATAGCCGCGAAGGATGGGAGTCCGGCCATGAAGGGAATATGGATACGTCCAGTACAGAGTTTGAACATTGGATCAATACTCAACCGGTTACCTATTAGGGATGACAGATATTTATTTTGAAACCTGTGATGGACTTTGACGAAAGCGACGAGCTAAACGAACTTCTTGGTGGAGATGTACGTCGTCTTTTGTTCTCGGGTTGACCCCCTGTTTGAAATTGAACATTTGTGATATCGGAGTTTCGAGGCGTACAAATCTGAATGATCCGGGCGATGGTGGTTTCATTTGTTTGTTATTAAGCTACTTTCTTAATCTTACTGATATTGATTCCCAAGGGAGGCAAACTGTTGGGTTCCGAGCTTGTATGATAGCTTCTTGTCATTCGTTTACTCCCTAGAGTTGCGGCAACACTTGTGATTCAGAGATACCAATGCATCATCTCATAAATACAATCCGTGCTTCTGAGAATGCGTAGTGGTCGTTGTCTTGGCATTGCTTTAGTGGAGTGATCCCAGTGGGATCAGGTTCTTTTGGGCTTAAATGCGCGTCAAGGATTGGCCTAGGGAGAGGGGTACGTAGGTGTCTTGGGAGCGAACGATTAGAGCATATCATAAGTAATGATGGTATATAGAGAGGTTTTGCGATATTCAAACGTTTAGTTTTCATATCAACAGCAAAGTATTATGGCGATGACAGGCCTCGTCAAAAGCATCTCAATTGCCATCCTTCTCTATTTCAATATCTTTCCTTTAAGAATGCTTCATGTCGATTGCAATTGTATAGATGAGAAAAGTCTTGGCGGACGCGAAATAAAGAGGCATCACGTGGACCCGTGTCGGAGATAACGCCGCAAGTGGGCTGTCATTTTCTACTCATCAATTTTATACTTTAGTCTCCAAAGCGTACGAGAAGAGCTTACCTCAATCGCGAAATCGGCAAAATACGCGCGGTGTACAACCTACGCTCCCCACGACCATTGTGAACCGTACATCGCTCCAAGACACCCATCCACCAACAACCAGCATCCACCAGCATCATCTACAACCATACATAACCTCATATAACCAATCTCACAACCTCACGACACCCTAAACGACCACCGCCATGTACGGCGAACTCGGCAACAAACTCGTACCTCACCCCCGCAACACATCCTCCTCTCCTCTCCTCCCCCCCTTTACTCTACTAACAAACAACCCAAGGTCCAACACGCCAAACGCACCCAATCGCTCGCCCACCTTCCTCCCTACCAAACCGAACTCGTCCGCGCCGTCGCCCGCGAAGTCCGCGACCTCGACCGCGACGTCAACCACCTCCTCGCCCCCTTTTCAGGCTCCTTCAACCCCTCCCAACAACCCGCAATCGCGTGCGCCCTTCTCGTCGACCACCTCTGCATGCGCCGCAACAAACGCTGCCTCCTCGCCTACCACCGCGTGCGCACCGAGAAACTCGAGGAACTCTGCTGGACCGGCATCGACGTCCTCGAGCAGCAGCTTCCCCCCGCCGCCGAGGATGGTCCCGGCAGCGGACAGCACGTGGCGAGCTCACAGAGCGGGAACCATAGCTCGCTGAGTCCGGAAGAGGAGGAGTATTTTCGTCAGTATAGTGATATGTTGGCGGCTTATAAGGGGCAGTGGACGGATGTGGATCTTACCGGGGGTTTGGAGCCACCTAGGGATTTGTTTATTGATGTTAGGGTTTTGAAGGATGCGGGGGAGATACAGACGGAGTATGGGTACGTTCACTACTTTTCTTGTGCTTGTTTGTGTGTGTGTGTGTGTGTGTGTGTGTTTCTTGGGTTGTGGTTGGTGTTGTGGTAGTTTGGTGGTTTGGTGCTAACTTTTGGATAGGGTTATCAATTTGACGAAGAATAGTCAGTTGTATGTGAGGCAGGGGGATGTGGAGCGATTGATTGCGCAGGGTTTTCTAGAGAGGTTGAGTTAAGCGCATGTTGCTTTTATTGGACTGCTTGGTTTGAAAAAGTGCGGTTTTTGTGCTTGTGATACCCATTGGATAGAGAGACTAAAATATGGGCGTTGTGCGACGTTTGTTTCTGTTTCTCTATGATTGAACATACGCTCAAGGAGTAGTTATTGCTGATGCCCTGGGACTTCAAGGTCTTAAGTATTGACAGACGTATAATATTATCATTTTTTACTTTGAACAAAGTGATGGCTACATACTATGACCGTGCTATATCATACATCAAATCTCATCAGCCCAAGCAGCGACATTGAGATGAAACCCCTTCATAACAGCAACCCTCGCCGCCTCCTCATCAACCATCGCCTTCTTCTTTTCATCCATAAGCGCCCCCAATTCCCTAACGCGCCTCGCCACCTCTCCCCACCGTACCCTCTCCCCCTTCTTCTCCTTACCCTCAATATCCGGAACCACGAATACATCCTTCAACTTGCCCCCTTCCTTCCTCACAACCCCATCAACAATAACAGTCTCGATATCCCGAATCGAGCTATGCAGTACAATCGCCGCAACCGGATCCCGATCCGCAGCAACCAGCATCCCCGGCGAACTACCATCATAAATCACAACATCTGCCTTCTTCCCCGTCGCTAAGCTCCCAATCTCACTCTCCATCCCGATACATCGAGCGCCCTGGATCGTCCCCAAATTAAACACATCACTCACGCTGCTCCCCACATCCTTCGCCCACTTGCTGTGCGCTTCGAATTCCTCGTGCCGTCGCGCCCGCGCCCACTGCAGCACCGTCGACATCTGCGTTGGGATGTACGCCGTGCAGACGCTGTGGCAGTCGATGCCTAGCGATGAGATAGACTGGTAGTCGGGGTCCAGGCAGATGGGGTTACCGTGACCCATTTGGAGCTCTGTGACAGGCGTGCTGGAGATCTTAGCGCCTTTGGCGCGGATTAGTTGCGTGTGGCCGGGTTGGGGATTGGTGTTGTGGGAGAGGAGGATGTCCGGGCCGAGGAGGTCGTGGGCGTCCAGGTTAGTCGCTGCTGATAGGGAGTTTGGGGCTGGGTTGTGGGTTGTGTTTAGTATGCTATTGTATTTTGGAGTTGGGGGTTGGTTGGGGGTACGTACCTCCGAATGCGACACCGTAGACGGAATGCGATGTGATTAGCTGCGCCCCTGCATGCCGGACTCGTCCGTAGACTTCCTTCAGTACTTCGCCGGGGAGGTAGAGCCCGTCGAAGGCGAAGCCGAGGCGGACTCGGCCGGAAGGGCCGAAGGGATTCAGGATGGCCAGTTGGTCGAACGTTTCCATTACCCATGGGGCGAGGAGGTCTGGTGAGAGCTCGAATGTGGGTGTCCATTGCGCTACCCGGGGGGTGGGGCAGTATGCAAAGATGGACCTGATGCCGGAGGAGATGGTTGCGCGGATGGCTTCTTTGGCTGTTTTCGTGTTAGGGTCGTGGTGTATCTGGTTGGGTTGGTGGGTGGCTTACAATGCTCTGGGGAGTAGTTGATGTGGGCATGGTCCACTACGGTTGTTGTGCCGCTGTCGAGACATTCCAGTGCGCCTGACAGTTGGCCCCAGAAGGTGTCGTCGGCCGATAGGAATGAACTGGCGAAGTTACCGGTGGGGAAGTAATCGAAGAGAGTGTGGTTTGGGTGCGTGGCTTTGAGACTGGTCTGCCATACATGGTGGTGGGTGTCGATGAAGCCCGGCGAAACGATCTTGTCCGTGCAGTCTATGACCCTGGTGTCAGATGGTGGGTCGATGTTTTGGGCGATTTTAGTGATTTTCGAGTTCTCGATAAGAAGATCTTCTTTCGATGCATGCACAACGTCATTAGCGTCGTGGAGAAGAAGTGTGCCGTTTTTTAGGAGGATTGAGCCGGCCATGTTGGTTTCTATCCTAGAGAGTGTCAAATGTGGATCGCTCGGTATTGAAAAGTTGGTTTCAATGATCCTATTCAATTGGTGGTCAATCGTATATCAACTGTGATGTATAAGTATGCGCCTTGTTCGGCCTTCGGCCCTTCGGATCGGCCGTGAAGAGTCTTTCATTACTCATTCGGCCCTTTGCGGGGGACCTTCAATGTGGAGATGATAAGCAACAGTGAGACGTTCTACAAGGGCGAGACCATATGGCCCCATGGCTATGGTATCGAGGAATATTCGGCAATATTGATTCAGAGCTTGGTTCGACTGATTTTCCCTGAATTGAACTGAGTACTGAATGTAGTTGGCTTTATCCACTTCTTTCTCCGGCTCTTAACTCCGAGACCCACTTGCCCTAAACTTCCATTTTCAGACACTGGCCAACAGTCATCCTCATTGCATGATTGTTGAAAAGCCAATGGTCCTAGGCGGAATTGAGATGGGTCGCTGTGAAAAGCATCTCGATGTAGCCGGCGATGATAATACTACGCTTACAACGACGATGTGGCGAATAGCGAACACTGGGGCTACGAGTATAGAGCCTATGAAGGCGTCTCAGTAAGGTTAGAATAAGACCCGCACAAGTCAAAATATACCATGCCTGATTGGTTACACACTTATCAGAACACTCTGGCTATGCTGTAACATATCATGAGGAACGCGTCGTTTGAGCGAAAGGACTTAGTTCAAGACGATAGTATTCAACCTGAGAAGCAGGCCGACCGCAAAAGGAGCTTCTTGATTATGAACAGTTCAACGAGATTATATGAACAAGTCATGTATCAATATTCTAACTTTTTCGAACTGAAGGCAGTAAGGTCTTGCCTATCGGAAGAAAGCAGTTTACGAACCGATGGCAGAATACCAGAGATGGTTTGGTTTGAACGGTACCATGCGTGTTGATTGCTTCATCAGATACTTCCCTTCCATCTCATTCGACGCGTCCCTCACACAGCCAAGCGTCTACTACTGGTATCAACCACCATAGAACCCAGGAGCTAGCCAGGGTCACAGCTCCAGTATCCTTGTCATCGTCTTTCGGCAGCCGATAATATCGTCATAAAGCTATTTGGCTGGGAAGGTAAGATCAGTCATTGGCACAGATCAGGGCTTTTAACCTCCGATGTTTGGGTCAAGTCTGGTTCAAGATATGTCTTTGTAAACTATAGCAGTTGAGAGCCAATGATCACTGGGCAGTAACGTTGCCATATAATCATGGGGTCCTGCAAGATCCTTAATTTGGCAATAGAACGTAACGAGGGAAGTACGGGGCCTAATTATATCACTTGATAGTCGGATTAGATTGTCGCGATGCTCTTCGTAACCTTTACGATGAAGGCAACGGTCCCATGTCAAGTCATAGACTACCCTAGCTTATCTGATTTGCGCTGGTTATCTACATGTGATATGTTGATATTTCCAGAACCATGTTCAATAGATGCTCGAGCTCCCTTCTGCCAAGCTTCACATTTGAAGTGGCGAGGAGATGGCCCCCAAGGTGATTCGACATGATAGCTAATGGATCTGTGGGTTCAGTGTTTTAGACGAACACTCCCTCAGGTCACCTGTCTTGGGGATATAGAGGTGGAGTGCTAGCTCAAGCACCACAGCCTTTTCAACTTGGCCACGGTGAACAGAAATGAAACTGAGCACGCAAATTACGGCCATTACATATTTATACAACATGCATTGGAAAATTGGACCGACATTCAATTGATGTAAATCAACTTGGAAGAAGGCTTCTTGGGACCCTAGAGGTAAGGGGTGAATGGTCGATGGAGAGTATCGCTTGCTCCCCGGCCGTAGCTTGATTCTCAAGAAGATAGTAGTGCAAGTCAACGTAATATGCTGCAGCTAAAAGCTGGCCAATGGTTAGTGGGCCATATCAATCATGTAATTGGTAGGGAATTGGTTACTCAACGGATGGGCATGGAGAGCAGCTAAGTCGGTAGATGCATGAAGCTTCGGAGGAAAAGAAGCACAGACCCATGGGGGTAACCTATCATATGTAACCTGGGTTCCACATTATCTGAAGCTTGGGTTCACTCTTCGATTGATAGATATGAAAAAGAATCAAAGCTCCAAATAAATCAATCGATGACAGCCAGCTATCACCAATCATTACATAATGTTCTATCAGGGCCCCATTGCACTATCCCCTTCTCAGATAGTTCCCACGCTAAACCCCAAATGGACCCGGCGATAAGTCCACCGTGATAAGAACTTTTCTTAGTCAATGCCGATAACAAGAGCCAAGTTCCACCCCTCCGGGTTCCTGTCCATGTTTCCCCTCGGATCTATTACTACTCGTGGGTGAATGACACTTTGTTCTTCAGATGTCTTCTTCCATTTACTTTTCCCACATCCCCGGTAACCTAAACAATGTCAATTGCGCCTGTGGTCTGATTGACACTTGCGTCATCTAGGGTCACTTCTTCTCCTCACCCAGTGTTTGGGCCCGCCCTCCCACAACCAAAGAAAAAGGTTTCGAAGACTGCGGGGATTCCTGGTCTGACAGGAGTATCGATCGTTTCAGCCCACTTGCATTGACGACACTTACGCGACTCTGACGACGACGATGGGTGTCTTCCGCCCACGAGGCCGGAGCGATTCTCGCGTATCCGGACTGCCTCTCCGCCGCTCTCTATTCGTCGATGATGAGGCTCCAGATGTGATTGAGGCCCCTGTCGAGCAGGCCAATAATGGTAGTCCTCCGAGAACACCTTTGGGGATCGAGCCCCTTGTATCTGGCGGGACAAGCCACAGAACGCCAAGTCGTTCTTTCTACCATCGATCGTTCAACAGTACAGCAGGTGTGAAACAGGAAGCTTCCCCATAACCACAATGGCTCCATTGGAGAGTGTTATTGACTGGTGATTTAAAGATCCCGCTCCTTATTCGTCTCAAGGTCTTCGAGAGCAAACCGCTGAACTGGCATCTTATGCTTTGTCCCTCAATGGAAGCTCACTTCCCCAGGAACGGAATACGCTACCACCGTCACTCGATATCTTTCACCCGATCCAAAATATAGACCTCTCTTCGTCGCCCACCGATACTGTAGTCCCAGTTTTAGACACCGAACCTTCCGTCGGCCCTACCGCTGGTTCGTCGGCCTTGACGGAGATGATCCGCAACCCTTCTGACTCTCTGGACGGTGCCGATGGTCGGAATAGCGCTATAGACCAGAATGGACTGGGTGAATGTGGAGCTTCCGTGGGGAGTTCAGGCGCGTCGTCCGACATACGTGAAGCTCCTATTACCGATCAGACGTCCCTACTGCCCAAGTCACCGCAGACAAAGCGTCTCCGTAGTTACGGGGTTGCCGAGGACGTTGAGAGTCAAGAGACTATAAGGGAGCGCAACCCGAGTGCATTCCATCAAGCGTTCTCGAGTTGTACGGTTTGCCTTCAAGGGTTAGTGCATCCAAAATCATGGAATGGGCGGGCAGTCTGGGAACAAGGTGTCGTCCGTCCTGTTAGTCTACTGCCTTCGGTATTCCTCGGCCTTTTGCTCAACATCCTTGATGCTCTATCCTATGGAATGATTTTGTTTCCACTTGGGGAGCCAATTTTCTCTAATCTTGGGTCCGACGGCATTTCCATGTTCTACGTTAGTACTATCATCGCCCAGCTGGTCTTCTCATGTGGGGGATCAATCTTCCGCGGTGGGATTGGGAGTGAGATGATCGAAGTTGTTCCCTTTTTCCATCAGATGGCCTTCACAATCCTGGCACGTGTGGGCCAGGATAACCCAAGGTCTGTCATCGCAACAACAATCCTAGCATTTTCAGTCAGTTCTGTCCTGACCGGGTTGGTATTCTTCTTGATGGGAACTTGTAAATTAGGATCCCTCATTGGATTCTTCCCTAGACATATCTTGATTGGGTGTATCGGTGGTGTGGGGTTCTTTCTCCTGCAGACGGGTGTTGAGGTTTCCGCTCGACTACCGGGATCGCTCGAATATACCATCCCTACTCTGGAGAAACTTTTCCATTCAGACACTGTTGCCCTTTGGATAATACCCTTGCTACTTGCAATCGGTCTCCTTGTTTTGAAGCGTTTTGTACGGTCTAATTTTCTGGTTGGTGGCTACTTTATTGCCGTTGCTATCCTTTTCTATATCGCCAAATTGAGTGCCAGTGTGCCTATGGATACTCTACGGGAAAGTGGGTGGGTGTTCGAAGCGCCATCATCTAATAACCCATGGTGGCATTTCTATACACTTTATGGTGAGTACGGCCACAACCATTTGATCCTGTATTTCTGACGATGTCAGACTTCGCTGCCGTCGACTGGGCTGCCTTTATTGATACTATACCGGCGATGTTTGCGCTTACATTCTTTGGGGTCCTTCACGTTCCCATCAACGTTCCAGCGTTGGGCATATCGACTGGCGAAGATAATCTGAATGTTGACCGTGAGCTTATGGCACATGGAGTGACCAATGCTCTGTCAGGATGTGTTGGCAGCATACAGGTATGTTTTTTGCCCCTTTACAGTGTTTATCACATGCTTAACCCCCATAGAATTACCTTGTATACACCAACAGTTTACTTTTTATCGACAGCGGTGGAAATTCACGCTTGGCAGGTGTCATGCTTGCTACTGCTACTCTGGGAATCCTCCTCGTTGGGCCAGTAATAGTCGGTTTCATTCCAGTCATGGTTGTGGGAGCACTCATTTTCTTACTCGGTATCGAATTGATGGAAGAAGCGCTAGTTGATACCTGGGGGAAATTGCACAGACACGAATATCTAACAGTAGGCGCTATCTATAATTTCTATTCCGTTCTGTAAACTAACTTGGCAGGTCGTCATAATTGTCGTTACCATGGGCGCTTGGGACTTTGTCGTGGGCATTTTCGTCGGTATCATCCTAGCGTGCCTGAGTTTCGTCGTTCAGACATCTCGCAAATCTGCGATTAGGGCGACGTTTTCCGGCAAGACTGCTGGCTCAACTGTCCGCCGGCCTCCGATTCAACAGCGGTTCTTGAGAGAAGCAGGACAACAGACACTCATTATCAAACTTGGGGGTTATCTATTTTTCGGAACCATTGTTAACGTTGAGAATACAATGCGGGGTTTGATTGAAGAGGAAGCGTTTAACAAGCGTCCTATTCGATTCATTATTCTGGATTTCTCGCGCGTGTACGGCATTGATTTCTCTGCCGCCGAGGCCTTCACACGTATCAATCGCATTCTGCGGAAGCGGAACGTGCTCATGACTATTTCTGGATTGAATATGGAAGGGGAGGTTGGCAGGAGCCTTCAGAATGTGGGGTTGTTCGAGTCCGAAAATGACGTGCAGATTTTCGAGGACTTCAACTCTGCGCTTGAGTTCTGCGAGAATGACTATCTAAAAGTCTTCTACAGCCACCGTGAAGCGTTGCTCAAGAGAAAGGATATGTCCTCGGCATTCCTAGAGGTACCCGGATCGCAAGGCCAACAGCATCTCCATGACAGTATAGTGAGCTCTCCTCGTCATAGGTATCTCCAGCAGGCAGCCACTACGACTCTGTGCGAAGATGAGACAGCCGTGGTAGCCCCAGCAGCATGGGCTGCCATGCGACAGCCTTTGCCCCTTTTACTCCAGACATTCCAAGGATTAACTTTGCGGAACGAGGATTTCTGGTTCCGGGCCTGTGCCTATTTTGTCCGTGACACCTACGCAGCGGGCACTGTATTGTTCCAAGAGGGCGACGTGCCCAACGCCTTCTATTTGCTTGAATCCGGGATGCTGCGTGCGGAATATGAGCTGCCGCAAGGGCGGTATTTCGAGCTGATTGTCGCCGGACGGCCGTGCGGAGAATTGCCATTCTTCAGCGAAACCCGACGAACGGCAACGGTTAAGGCGGAGCAAGACTGCGTCGCATGGTGTTTGTCTACGGCCAAATGGCGAGATCTAAGGGAGCAAGAACCCGAAATTGCCCGGGAACTGCTGACAGTCAGTCTGAAGCTGACCACTGAACGCATGGATAGCATTACTTCGTAAGTGATTTCCGCCTTATTCGGCACTGGTTTTCGGCAACACTAACCGGGTTTAGTTATGTTCTTACTATGGCGGCTTAATGGTGGCATCGTACTGTTTCTCTGAGCATGCTTGGGTAGGTCAGGTGTACAAATTTGTGGCATTATACAGCATCTGGTTGGTGAAACTTTGAGCGTTATATTTGAGCATTTTGCATATGTGATATACATAATCAAAGACTACTGCGGAACACGTGCTCCTCTGGCGATGATGCAAATCATGCAGCCTGCACATGATAGCTGACACGATAAGGCAAACTCGTGACTTCCGTAGACCTACCGGCTAATGATTGTGTCAGATCACCCAAATTTTAGACAGGTCGTAAACCTGACACTGCGTTGAGCCCACCTGTAAGGGATAGATAGAACCATAGTGTAAAATCTTCTGGATTTGTTTCAAACCATTGAGTGGCTGAAATGAGGTCCATCCAGGCTGCGGGGAAGTCTTTATTAGCAGGGAAAGAAGGAGTTACTAAGATAGGCATTCCGAACAGGCAATACATAGGGAATGGCGCAATCTTGATATCAGATTCTATGGAAATCGGTATAAGGATGACCATTTATGATATAACCTAAGCCGACCTTCCGGACAATATCGGAATCACAAAGGCACAGCACATATACCTAATGAATTCGACTCCGTTCTCATGCGGAGTACGCCATTTCCCCCACCCATCTATGCTTTACTATCATAATCTTAAGAGAACCACAACCATATACCCAACGACCCAAAGAGGAAAAAAAAAAAAAAAAAAAAAACCTCCCAAGACTTGATTCATTTCCAAACAATCAATGTCTGATACAAGCTGAAACGCGACTAATCCACCGGTCAGGCATCGACTCCCTTCAACGGTCATAGACACGTTCGGAACCTGGGAGAACATGAGCGACCCTCGTCCTTGTTCAATGGACCAGGATAGACACGGGCCAAGGACAACGATCATCAGATCGACAGTGGCCTGATTGGCTGGATTGGTATCGTCCGTTGGGCTCGAAACGGTCCATAATAGAAAAGGGGGCAGTGGATGAGACTAGTAGGAAACTAAGTTAACTTAGTTCCCTATTACTAAGTACCAAGTTACCCAGAGGTACCTTGACTTCTTAGCTTCGAAGCTGAGCTTGGGTAGTACTACTCTGAAGGGAGTAGGGGGTTAGAAAGTTTTTTTTTTTTTTTTTTTTTTTTTTCCCTTTCTATTTAATATAGATGGTTTTATCTGGTCGCCACAAAATTCAATTTAAGTAAGGTACTTATTTATTTATTAGTTATTTTGTGAAGGCAAACGACGAGGAAAACTTACATATGTGACTATTGTACATGTATATATGTATGTCGCTGAAGAAAATCAGTGACAAACTCATACTACGTACTATGCGTTTCCCCCTCTCGCGAAAAGCGACATCGATCCTCCCTCCTGCAGGGATGGCTTGACACCAGCCGAAGGGAGCCAAAAGAAAAATGCATTGATAGGGCTGCGACAAACATTCCTGCGCGACAATAGTACCGCACCGAGTGGGGGTTCTTGACTATGTTACCCACCGTAGCGCCTACAAGACGATGCTAACGAACCATTTTTTCCTAAAGCTGGCTGTCGATTTTAATTTATAGGTAAATAATCATCGGCCGTCCAATTTCAGTTTTTTTTCTTCTTTTGTTTTTCTCTTCTCTCGCTAGAAACTAGACCAAACACTAAATCCCGAGAAACAGATAAAATAAAAATAAAAGGAAGAAAATAAAAAGGAAAAATAAAAGTTGAAAAAGGAATACCGTGATAGGGGTTCTACGTTCAAGAGGATCTGTTCCCTTTTCCCTTTTTCTTTTTTTAACTTCCTTTGGCTTCCTTTTCGCTTCTCTCCACATGTAATGGTTGGATGGACAGGAGTCCTCCGTGTTAGTATTTAGTTCCATTGCGAATGGATTGGACCTGGTTCCAATTCTTCTGCGATTGGCGTCAACTTAGCCTCTTATCGTTCCATCACCAGTCAAACCTGGTGAAGGAGGGGGTCCTTTTCTCTTCATTGGATATGCGATCCGGTCACGGGGTTGGGGATGAGATGTCGAGTCGCGTGGCCAAATATACTTTCTTTTACTAGGTCTTCTTTTGAGTATGTTGAATTCAACTGTGTTGCCTCCTTCCGGGTTAGGCGCTTCAGGGTGAATGAACACTGGTTAAGGGTTGAACTGGCGCATGGTTGGTTGGTTGGTAAGTGCTGGGTGGTAGCATATTAGGTATATGTATTATGAACGTCATGGCATTTCAGTCCACGGGAAACCAGAACTAGGGTCAGGATGGGATGGTACATAATTAGGTTAATTTTGGGAAGCTAAACTAAGCTAAGTCGACTAAAGTGGAACGCGGAATTGGTTTACTTGGTTAGCTTGTTTGTGGGAAATTTTCTGATAATCGAGATCATTTGGTGGATCCTGTTTAGGTCTATGTATGACTATGACCTGTGGTGGTCTGGTCCTTTTTTGTATTTTTTTTTTTTTCTTGTTTTATTCAGGGATGTAAAGTTGGGAGATTTTTATAGGACCGTTGCATTGCAGGGGGGAAAATAGGTACATACTACCCATACATACTTGAAATCAAGGAAGGCAGGATAAATTTCCGTCGTGCGATTGACACAAATGTATTGATTGGTATGGGAGTCAAAAAGCAATTATTTGTTGAGGGTGTTGTGGCCGAAGGATGTATTTTTCTTTTTCTAATTTTTTTTCTTCTTACTTTTGTTTTCAAGTATCTCTCTCTATCATGAGAGAAACACGGACCATATGACTCAAAGTAACACGGTTCAACCACCAGTAACCCACTCAGGTTGATCTAGAAAGGAGACTCTATCCATGGTTCAACTTCCGAATGGGTGGCTGGAGGTCCCACAACGCGGTGAGCAGATGACATGATCCAAAACATTGGACCTTGGGTTATGGTTCGATGGTTGGTGTTAAGATGTTCTTTTCCCTTTCTTTCCAGAACGAACTTGCACTAAGATGGGAGAAATTTTCGCACGTCAACTTCTTCTGGAGGGAGAATGAGAAGAAGCGATCGGTAGTTAATTAGGGCTACTACCCGTTAAGCTGCAGGACCGGTAGGGGGAGAAGCTACTACTCTACACTTCAAGCTAGCTGTCATAGTGTCGCTCAGGTCCCCGAGTCTCATCTCCTTTTTGGACCTCCAGAACTATAGGGGGGTTGCTAGTTCATGTCTATCTTTATTCTCCCATTAAGAAATTTTTTCAACTTGGCGGAATTTAGTTTCTGATTCTAGACTCAAACCGGCAAATTTGCCATCATAGGAGGAAGTACCTTCAGGACGCACATACTCCGTTGTACTTTTGGAGTACTGCACCCAAGAAAAGAGAGATACCAAGATATGTATACTTGTCACTCATTCTTGGATCTACCTATCAAGCTGTTCAGTCCGAGATGGGCTTCCCGGGAATCAACCGATGGTACCTCTTCATCATTCCTCGTCACCTGCAGAAGTGTTGTCCGGATGAAGAGCACCTGATACTCGAGTACATCGCATCCGATGGGGCAACCCCTGATTCTGAACAGACCATTGGATACAAGGAAGAAAGAGAAGTGAACAAAAAGTAAATTTATTACTGAATTGAAAACAGAAATTAAGTGGAAGCAAATCAAAATTAAATATTTTATTTTTTAATATTTCTTTTTTACTTCCTCCGTGTAAACACTCAAAGCCCCACCAACTTCTTTTACTTCTCTCTCACTCTCTTGACTGTACTGTATTTTTTTTCCCTTGTTGGCCGCCCTGCAGCTCCTTTCCCTTTCTGGGGATTCTGCCCACACCCTTTCATTATTTTCTCCCTCCTTTCGCCCCTTCTCCTTCTTTGTCCTTTTTCCTTCTCCTCTTTCTTTTTCTTCCTCTCTTCTCTCTCCATTCCATTCTGCTTCTGCGCTTAATCCCAGAGCAAACCACTTTGTTCTCTTCTTCCCCCAAACCCTTTACCCTTCATTGTGATACCCGAGCTCTTCAAGCCTCGTGCTTTGATAGCTCTTGTTTTCTGTTGAGATACCCCTTAAGATACCCTACAGGACCGGACTCTTTATTACGAAGCTACTGCAGCTTCCATTAACAACTTTTAATCTCATCTCTACTATTATAATTACCACCTAATCATTACCGACGACATGTCTGACGTCCAGAAACCTGTTGAGGAGACCCCTGTCGCCGCTCCTGCCGTTGCGCCTGCCGCTGAAACTCCCGTTGAGACCACCGCGACTGAGAACCCGGCTGCGGAGGCTCCCAAGGAAATCCCCACTGAGAACGCTGAGGCCACTCCCACTGCCACCGAGGACAAGAAGGACAAGGCTCCTGCTGAAGAGCCCAAGGAGGAGGCTAAGGAAGAGGTGACCCCCGCATCAGAGGGCGTGCTCGGTCACAAGGCCCCCGGTCTCGTCAAGTAAGCGCCGCATGTCACAGTGCATCTCCCATCCAAGGTAAACTAACCACGTGCACTCTAGGGGTCTGCGCTTCTCCAAGCGCTTCTTCTACTTCAGCGATGACGCTGTCGAGGCCAAACAGCTCTCTGCTTTCCACCAGAACGAGAAGCCCGCTGTTGCCAACCCCATTGCTGCCTGGGCTAGCCAGACCGGCAAGGGTCTTCTGTTCTTCACCAAGCGCGCCGAGGACAAGAACACTCCTACCGGCATCTTCAGCCTGGTCAGTATATTACTCGGTCTAGAAGGGATGTAGAATACTGACATTTTTAACAGGCCGATGTCACGGATGTCACCAAGGAGGGTTCCAGCGAGTTCATCTTCAAGGTGAACGGCCACAAGCACACCTTCCAGGCTGCTAGCACCGCCGAGCGTGACAGCTGGGTCGCTGCCCTTGAGGCCAAGATTGCCGATGCCAAGGCTGAGAAGGAGGCTATCACCTCCAGCGAGGGCTACAAGGCTGAGCTTGAGAAGCTGAGTAAGTATATATAATTCGTAAGGTGGCTACTGTAAGAGTCTAATATCCAATAGGCGGACCTGCCGTCGCCGAGCCTAAGAAGGCCGCTGAGAAGCCCGTTGAGGCCAAGGAAGAGGCCAAGGAGGAGGCTGCCCCCGCCGAGGAGAACAAGGACAACAAGGCCAAGAGCCGTTCCCAGTCTCGCAAGCGCGCCAGCATTTTCGGAACTCTCCTGGGCAAGAAGGAAGAGACTGAGGAGAAGAAGGAAGCGGACAAGACCGAGGAGTCTAAGTCTGCTGAGGCCGCCCCCGAGGCCACTGAAGCTCCCGCCGTTGCCGAGGCTGCTGAGGGTAAGTACCGGGGTTACGCGACTTTGATTATCCCAAGCTAACTTGACTAAAGCTCCTGCTGCTGCTTCTGCCGCCGCCGCCGCTGCTCCTGCCGAGCCCACCGAACCCAAGGAGGAAAAGGAAGAGAAGAAGGAAGAAGAAAGGAAGGAGGAAAAGAAGGAGGAGAAGAAGGCCAAGCGCACTTCCCGCTTCGGCAACTTCTTCCAGAAGGTCACCAGCCCTTCTCACGAGAAATCTGAAAAGGAGGCCACCGCCCCTACTGAGCCCTCCGCCGTTGCCAGCACTGCTCCTCAGCTCGACAACCCTGTTGAGGAGGCTGCTGTGAAGCCCATTGAGCCTGAGGCTGTGACTGCCCCCGCTGAGGCCGAGGCTGCTAAGGATGTCGCTGCCCCCGCTTCCCCTGCCGCTGAGACTCCCAAGGACAAGCGTCGCACCTCTTTCTTCGGCAACTTCGGCAAGAAGAAGGGCGACTCTGACAACGAGGCCGAGGGCGAGTCCAAGCCCAAGCCCAACAAGTTGGGCGGTCTCTTCCGCAAGCCCAGCAAGGCTGTGAAGTCGGAGCCCAAGGAGGCTTCCACTGAGACCGAAGGCAAGGCTGAGGGTGCCCCCAAGGAGGCCACCGTTCCCGAGTCCGCTGAGGAGTCTAAGCCCGCCGAGCCTTCCACCACCACTGAGGAGGCTAAGCCCGCCAACGTCTCTTCCACCTCCGCCCCCGTCCAGGCTGCTGCATGAAGTGCTCCTCCAGGACGTGTCATTGAGTATGAGAACTGGTGGGATCAGTATGGAGTACATGTTTAGTGTTCCTACCCGCCAGCGATGAGTACTTCCAGTCGCATAATCAAAAAAGGAAAAGAACGAATTATTAGTAATTGTTGATTGTTATCATTTTGTGTTGATTCCAGTGTCACTGCTTTGGTACCTTGCTTCGCAGCGAGGATCTTGCCAAATTGAGTGTCAATGATACCCTCTGCTGCTTTGGCGGTCATTTCCGGCTCCGATGTTCGTTTCGCGTCTGGGTCACATTCCATTCCTTTATGATATCCGTTTCCGCGAGGATCCCTAATTTGGCCTTGCGTGCGTTCATGTTGTGCGCCGTCCAAACTAGATTGATACCACTGCTGTTTGTGTTTTTCTTAGTTGGTTTAGTCTGCTTGCCTTAACCGTTTGATGCTTGTACTTTGATACCCTATAGGGAGGAAGGATGGTCCGTGCCAGTGCTGACTCGCATTGCGCCAATTGACTGAATCGTCTAATGACATGGGCCCGGCTGGTTACATGGCGCGTGCATGCGTCATGTACAAGCTCACAGCATCATAGGTAATAGCTAATAGAATCCATAATTGTCTTTGTATCGGCTGTTCCCTGTAATTGATCTACGTATCGTTTAAGCACTTTGCCATCCCAAACAGGTCCGCGTCCAGCGAGTGGGTGATCGTGGAACACTTCCGATTCGAGCTCCATTCCACGGATCTGCGTCTTTTCACTAACCCTGACATGAGAATGCAGACTAGGATTCGGGGTGTACCTTAATTTATTGAACATTAGGGTCAGCATCCGTATTTGGCACTGTAAATCTGTGTCTTGGAATGGATGACTTGGTCCATTCCAAAGGTCCTCAGGCAACTGATCCACATTCCAATAATCCGACTTAGTTCCCTTTCGCAATAGATCCCATGCTTCCTATATTACCTCCTTCATAGTTGAGTGTTAGCTTACAAACATGTCCATGTTCTTTCAATAGTGTCGTGCACGGTGAGTACCTTGGTGCAGTCAATGCTCTCCTCCACTCTTCCCTGCGGAGTAGAGCCTTTTTAGTATTAGCTTGAGGATCCCAATGTTGTATGACTATGAACCAAATTGTCAATGATCTTCGCAGAGGTAATGCCCACTAGTTACAAATATACGCCTCTTGACTCTACCCTATTCGAATCAATGATATGCTGCTGGGTATTGCGGTAGAGCTAGCTGTATATAACTCTGCTGCGGTCTAAGATAAGATAGTACTCTAGCAGTATATACGACTTAGTACCCAGGAATCTTTCTTAGGGGAAGTGTGTCTAGTCGTATAAGAGGAATTCTTCGCTTTTCCCTTGACCATAAACCAACGTTGGCTGAAAGTCTAACCTTGCGCCTCAGTACATTCAACAATACGACTGGTACTTCGTATTCTTTTTGGCTCGTGTTCGCATTATATGTACGCACCTGACGAGCGAGCACGGATATCTGCAGATCTATTTTGGGGGCAGACGTGCTGCAGGTAGTATGTTGTCAGTGGCTCCCTCAGGGGCTTGGACTATATACATATATCGCACAGGTGTCCAGAACCTTGGACTAGGCCACACGGCGTTTTTGTCTTTTTGTTGTGTCTTTGAGAGAGTGTCTCATATCCAAGTATTATGGGTATATGTGATGTTGCCTAGAGGTCGTTGAATAGAGAGCAATGGAGTGATGAGAGATATATCAAAGACGTTTATGATGGGTGATGTACAAGTATGAGTATTTATGTACAACCTACATTGGTCCTACAGATATGAATTCGACTCCATGTTTAAACATATTAATTAGATAGCTGCTACATCTCGAAGTATAAAATCCAGTATATATATATATACGAAGTTCACTTTGTTATACCTACCACCCATACGCAAACGCAAAACACAAATTCAACATTTACAATGAGTGAGGCACGAATACATTGCAATACTCAATACTGATATCAATAATAAGGCAAGGAGCACATGACCTGGAATCTTCAAGTTTCTGATCCGCTACATCAGATGACTGACCAGGCTCCATCTATATCTGGGCTTACTAACTACTAGTATGCTAGATCTATCATGAAATAAGAGTTAGATTCACTCAATGATGACCGCATCCCCCCTCTAGCATCGATTAAAAATCACAAGCAAAAACCAGTCCAGACACCCGCAAATTTCTCGCTAGTCCGGCGGATACGCCCGGACTCCTTCCGACATAAAAAAAAATCCCGTACCAAACAGTCGAACTCTTCGGCGCGACGAGCGAGTAACTCGGCTCGACTTAGCGTAAATATTGAATATTCTTATCTGAGACCCGACACATGGTCAGGTCAGCCACCCCCCCTTCTCTTCTCTCTCGGCGTTTGTAGTAAATAGCAGAATGATTTAAAATTGGATTATACGGAGGGAAGTAATTAATCTATTAGAATTGCAACGTCGGTGAACAGTGAACTCAACTAGGTTGCCTTGCTTTTGCTCGGAGTAGATTGGGATACTCCGAGATTCTGGTTAGGGCTGATTTTTGGAGGCGTTGCAGAACAAGCGATTTTAGAGGGGTTTTCCCTTTTTATTTTTATTTTTCTTTTCTTTTCTTTTTTTTTTTTTTGCTTTCTTCTTTTTCTCGAAACATTGGGAGGGTCGCTTTTACTTTTCTCCAATTTCGGGGATGATCGTTTTCGTGGAATGGGGACTATTTCTAGCTAGTGTGGCTTTTTATGATAGGGGATTTCTTGTCGACGGATGAGTGTATTACTATTTGGCTCTGATCGTGCATTCTCAAAGAGGAATACGGAGGAGGAAGGACAGGCTAGGGAAAAAAAAATCTAAATAAAAACATAATGAAATAGAAAAAAAGGCTGAGACGGAAGCCTGAATTGGGGGGCCTGATAGAGTTTCACGCCCTTCGACCAGCGGGGAGAGAAAAAGGGAAAGTGATCTCCACGTACATTATTAATCCCCTCAAGATCCCCTCCCCTCACTCACCATTCAGATGGTGAGAGAGAATTCCACTAAACCTGCTCATATACTTCTGGCATCTGCACCTGCAACAAGTGCGGCTCAGCCCATTTGAATAGGAATGGTCTCCATCTGGCGGCATCCCAATGCAGACCCCGAGACAGACTTGGAGAGAGGCTGTGAAAGGATGCGAGATCAACTCGTCGATGCCTAGCCTCCTAGGGGAGACGCTGATTGGACAATGGATGTAAGCAAGACTGGACGCGAACCGGTTTCATCATCCACATCATCCTGCGACTTGACGCTTAGACTATTGTAGCACTAGGTTGATATAGTAGGAAATTGCTACTTAGGAAGCGGTGGAGAAGTTGAGCCGATTACGAGGGTCGGTACCCGCTGCGAAACCTACAAGTGACTTCCGCCTACTGTGCATTTTTTGCGTGGCCAGCAGGTATTTTCCTCGTACCGGCCCCAGGCACCGCAGGTGCCTGGGACAACCGGGCATCCACTGCAGGAGTCCTGCGGGCCAATCAGGGAGGCTCACTCTCTATGACTCACACATGCTGACCGCGGCTACTATGGGGCTATCTCCGATGAGGTTAGAGCGACAGGCGGGGCGCCAGTCAACGGCGATTGGTCCCTTGTCGGAAGAAGGGCGCACACACTGCGTTTAAGAAGTGCCTGATTTCCCGTCGTTGCCTTGCGCCTCTCTTTTCCAATTTTTTTTTCTTCCCTCCAACATCTTTCTTTCCAACCACATCCTTCTTTTCCTCATTATATCCCATCCATACTGCCAACGTCGTCACCATACAGCCATACATTGAACAAAACCTAGAATATCAAGAAGCGTTCCAAAATGGCCTCTTTCTAAATCTTTCCCAAGGAAAGAATCCGTCTTTCTCTCGTGAGACAGACATCATAGATCCTCAACGGACTTCGTCTTTTACCAATATATCTTCCTTTCAATCCTCAGAGTCTCCTGTCCCAGGACCTCTGAACTTTAGCACCATCTCGGGTAGCTCAAGTTCTTCCCCCAACAACATTTCTACGTTCGACTTTACGTCGTTCACCACGGATAACCAACAGTCAAAATGGCTCCCTCCACCCCCGCCCTCGCAGCCCACGGCTCAGAATCTGAATCCCAACGACAACAACAGTGCCAGCTCCCTACCAGAGGACTTTGTGCTATATCCCTCCAGGGATTCACGTGCTCCAGCACCCTTGAACACAACCCCTAGATACCCCGCGTCTCATCCATCTCTGGTCCGCCTTGCGCGCCTTTCTCGACGATCCCCTCTTAGCTTGCAGCAGCAACTTCAGCAGCAGCAGCTCTCAGCCTCGCCAGTACAGGTTCCTCGTTTGACCAGACTTGCCTCGCAGTCTACCGGGTTCCATCTGTCTTCGTCTCATCGGTTTAGTCCCTCCACCAGGCAGCACCTCTTGCGTCACCAAGCCGCGTCCGTTGCTCCGAATTCTGCTCCGAATTCTGCTTATTCCAATCGCCCGCCCGTTCCCCTATTCAACAGTCCTCTCAACTACCCCTATCAGAAACGGCAACAAAGCCAGATTAATCACCGTCGCATAATGTCTACCCCCAATATTGCTCAAGGTGAGCTTGCCCTGCGCTGCGATCAGTCTCGAGGAGCACTGATTAATGTGCCGGTAGATCTCCCTGATCTCTTTGATCTGCAGTCGGACCGCTTTGGAGACGACTTCGTTCCGACCACGGAACCGACCATGCTCTCCCCTCAGCAGATGACCGCCGGCGTAATGTCAGGTCCTGACTCTCTGGCGGAGATCCCCTCGGGGACCGTCTCGCCGAAGGATCTGTTCGTGGATGCGTCCGCTCCGCCGTCGGCCTCTTTCACCGATCTGAGCACCCCCTCCTTCGAGTCTCCTGGATACTTTAGCCAAGATACATCCCCCATGTTCGCTACGGACATGGAGCTGGGTCCTGGAGTCGAAGAATGGGACTCTCTCTTCCCTTCTCAGGATGGCTTCTCCCTGGGTCTGGACTCCACCACCCTGGATCTCGCTGCGGCGTTGTCTCAGCCCAAGGCTGACACTTTCCCGACATCCCCAGCCGTCCGTTCCACATCGTCCCGTGCTCCCTCTCCCGCCTCCACGCGCTCAGTATCCAAGCCCTCCACAGTTGCTGGCGTCAATGCGCGCCAACGGAAGCCTCTGCCTCCGATCAAGTATGACAACTGTGATCCAGTGGCCATGAAGCGCGCTCGTAACACTGAGGCGGCTCGCAAGTCGCGTGCCCGTAAGCTGGAGCGTCAGGACCAGATGCAGCGCCGGATCGATGAGTTGGAGAAAATGCTCGAAGAGTCTCAACGAAATGAGCAGTATTGGAAGGCCCTGGCTCAGAACAAGGTCTAAAGGATATTAAAAGCCGGTTCTTTTTTTTTTTTCTACGCGATGTATCGTGCCGTTTCTGCTAGCTCTGTTTTGAATGGGTTTCTGCGGAGGGCGGGGGCTTCGAGCCTCTCGTCAACCCAGATGCTGGAAGCGCTCAGCGCCTTTTCAACCGGCTGCTGGTCTAGTGACTTCCGGCAGGTTAAAAGTTTCTATTGTCAATTACCACATGGTCTCGTGCTCGCACGTTCCGACCGCTTGCTTTGTCTTATCTCTACTTCTCGCCGCTTTTGGCTATACACGTTTTGCTCATTGCCCCTGTTTACTTATCGGGCTTTGGTTGCTGTTTCGTTTTTTTTTTTTTCCGACATAGCCGGTTCTGATGTCTCCTGTGCAGCAGGATTGACTCGTGGCTACTAATTCTTCTTCGGCTGTTTTGATCTCTTCATTGGATTCTTTAATGCAGGTGCTGTTCCGTGTATTAGATTGTCTACTGAATATATCAATATTGCTCATCAAAATTTCCTTTTGTAAATTCTTCGTACCCTGACATAGATCATCTAGAATTCTTAGACCCGTTTCCTTATCGTTCGAAAATATACATATGAAATGCAGAAGAAAATCTACATAGGATAATCCCGTCTATAATCTATGTAGAATATGAATATGAAACAAGAACCCAGCTCAGACTTGCCTTTTAAAACTTCACGGTCCTACCCCTCTTTCCTTCAAAATCCATTCGAATCTACCATCCAGAGCCATACAAAGAGCAAACCGACACACAATCCCTTTAATTCACAAGACACACCCCCCCCTAGCCACAAACCTGTTCCCATAACCCGCCCATTGCCATTTTATGTAGCACAGGTAGAACCTTCCAGTCCCATTATTGCCCTAGCCCTCCCTCTGACGGCCAGCGCAGAGGGTACAACAATAATAAGATGGCGGTGTCTTTCTGTGCACAATGGCTGAGTGTGAGTTCGGAAACTGGTGGGCTGGATGAGTAGTCTGCGATCAAAGGAAATCGTATGTCGCCCGATGCTGGATGAATGGTAGTAAAGGGGGTTTGAGGCTAGGTGGGGGATGGGCTCAGAAGTATCTGATCCATGGGTTTATCATCACTGCTGGGTTTAATTTTGGTGGTTGTTTGGGGGGAGAGATTGTATGTTTTGTTCAAGGGAGAGAGGACGGACAAGGAGTGTCGAAAGTTGCAGAGGTTTTTTTTAGCTGAGGGCATCGGTGCCTTTTACTCTACCTTTTTCCATCTTTGCTGTTCGAGAGCCGAATTGGATGGCGCGTTTCTTTTCTCGCGCCACGTTCGACATGCCTAGTTTCAGGGCTACTAGGCGGAGGGCTCTCTTTTCTGGGTCGATGCCGGCGCTTGATCCCTCCGGGTTGGGATCGGGGAGGCCGAATCCGCATTTCTCCCAGACCGGGGCTTGCACAGCCCAGGAGACGAAGTTTTCGTCTAGATATGGGAACCGAGCTTCGCGGCCCCAGTGTGCTATTACTCGGTTGTCGCGGCCGAGGTTGCGCTTCCCGAGACGGCTGACGTCAAGGTCAATCTCGTCGATGAGTCCCTCGAACCCACTGCGCAAGTAGGCTATGCCATGTCGCCCGTATCCAGCAAAGAGCTCATCGGCTCCAAGGCCGGATAAGAGTATTCTTGCCGGCGTCGTATATGGTTTTGGTTCGGTGGAGCCTTGCTGGCTGTCAAGTGCTTGGCCTTGTCCACGTGAGGCGAAGTACAATGCACATGCAATAGATAAGTCCATTTCGGTATTGTGCGGTCTCATCAAACGTTTCACCGTGTCACGATGTGCAACCGTCTCCACGTAAGGTATATCGATTGCGACAAAGCGCCAGTTGCGGTCGGGACAGACGGTCCGAAGTTCTGCAAATGCTGCGCGGCCAGTGATGCGGTCAGGACAGTTTTCATACACTAAGCCTGTTTTCGCTTCTTTGCTCATTGCAGCTGCTACACGTGGATTTTCGAAAGCGACGTTGAGCAAGTCGATTGACTCGTCGCTCGGAAGAAGTTCATGCGAAAGTCGAGCGAGTATAGTACAATCAAGGCCCCCAGAGAACAGCACGGCAACCTTTGCATTGCTTTCCGTAGTGAAACTAGGGGGTTCTCGCACATTATGAACTCTGAGTGTAAGCGATGTACGCAGCCTTTGCTCAAGGTCATTCACACAAGGAGACTCAACACTTAGTTGAGGGGGAATGTCCTGCGGAATGGACCTATTCATGGGAGGAATAGGGGTTTTCTGCACTTCTATGAGTCTGGATCTTAAGACGATGGTCAGAAGGACACACGTACCAGATGGCCAGGAGAATCTATGTCCTCCCATGGTAGTGTTTGTAAGCTGCTAGGATTGAAATGAGTAGTACTAATATCGGATGTGGGCGAATCTTGAAAGACAGTTTGTGTCAAATCAACCATGTGCACTCCCGTTGTGGCAACTTCTTCGAAGTGGGTGGAAGATGTCCCGTCACAGATACTGCAGATCTTCAGAGCCCCGGTTTCATCGAGGCCTTGAAGCAGGGACCGTCTCCCAAGACAGTCCCTGCTGAAGTACAGTTTCGCATTTACAGCATCATAGAACACAAAGGAAAACGGCCCGGAGATGCTACTGATAACATCGATAATTCTCTGAACAGAACCTGCATCATCAATGGCATTTGACGGTTCTGAGTCGTACGGTGGCCTCACAGCTTGCAGTAGTAAATTAAAGATCAGTTGGGTATCATTACCTCGAATGGGTTCCCCTGCTACCTTCCAGGCATCACCATTCCAGCAAAATACAGATTGAGTGACGGTGTCCACAAGAGGCTGGATGACGATATGGTCACCTCTTATCGACAGAACTGTCGACACAAAGGTAAGGAAAGTCCGTACGGTCCTTGTCTGGTTTGTGTTGGCATTCCGCTGAACTTGATGAACTTGGAAACTATCGGGACCTCGTTTGCGCAATAAACAGCAAGTCTCCTCGTTAGGCAGCACGGGCTGGGATGCGCTCAAGGAGAAAAAGATGCCACACATGGTAGCATTGAGGTGGTTGTGTTTCTCATAGAAGGTCCAGGTGAAGTAAGTAGAAATGAATGAAATCGCGCCGGATATCGGGAGAACCGAGACCCCGGCGGTGACGTGCGGGTCCAGTTATGTTATACTCATACTCTCACTCAACACTTGGGATGATATTCTGACAACTACCACAAGTGCGTCTTCGGAAATCCACCTTCGGGATCGGCTTCTTAACGTCACTGGCTGCTGTAAGACTATTTCCGCCGCGTTCCGCTACACCCGCTATCTAGACATCTGTTACCCTGATCCTTGACATCCCAGAAGCCCGCCTCGATTTGGATGATTCTCTCATGATGCCCTATGCTCTTTTCTAAATTGCCGTTACTTCAGCGATTCCTCTTATTTAATTATTAGTGTGTATGCGGGTAGCATATGTCTGCCACAGGACCCTCGGATTCCCCAGCTCCCAGTGGACAAGGGGATATCTCATCGAATTCTCACGATGAGGGGCAACTATTAGAACAACAGGTAACATCAGCGAGTTCCGAGCCAGTCGCAGAGTTGCAGAATGGACCTATTCCAAGTGAGGCCAAGGATATGAAGCAGAGCGGTATGGAAAAAGATATGCAGAATACACCACAAGGCGTAGCGACAGGGCCCCCCCAATCAATACCCACACCTTCAGCTGTCGAACCGCCGAGTACAACACCTGTCCAGCAAGATTCGCTCTCCGGCCAGTTAAAGGGATTGTCGATTTCCACAACAACTTCGGATCGTGTATCATCTCCAAACTCCGATCGGCCCCCTCCCCCGCCGGAGAAAGACGATGCATACCTCAACAACTCAAAACCTCGAGCCGCGCTTTCTTCACAATCACCAACAAAGACATCTTCGGAATGGACTGAGAAGGAATTACCGGAAGTACCTGAGCGAGGAAAGAAGGTTGATAATGGCGGGGGTGACCGAGATGACGTTTCCCAATCGGAGATTCAAAGCATCATGGATCAGTTCCAGGATCATGCGCGTGGCGAAAGTGAAGAGCAGATCATGTCACCTCGACTGGAGTTAGCCGAGCAATTCTTTGGTGGCCAAAGCCACTTCCCCCCTCGGCAATCAAGCCTTGATCAGTCAAAGGTGGCAGGAGAGAGTTCTCAGGCTTCCAATGTTCAAGCAGGAGCGACAACTTCTTCTTTCGAGAAACAACCAGTATCAAACTCTAAGAGCGGGCAAAGGAGATCTGTTATAGAAGAGCCGGCACTAACACGGCGCTCTTCCACTTCCACTTTACCTCCCCCGCCAGAACCAGAGCCTGATCAACCTTTCGATTTTCATCGATTTCTAGAGCAGCTGCGACATCGCACTGCCGACCCGGTGGCCAAGTTCCTACGCTCTTTTCTCCATGAATTCGGAAAACGGCAGTGGATGGTTCATGAGCAAGTTAAGATCATCAGTGACTTCTTGGCTTTTATCACCAATAAAATGGCAATGTGTGAAGTTTGGCGTGACGTTTCGGACGGGGAGTTCGATAACGCCAAAGAAGGAATGGAGAAACTCGTCATGAACAGGCTATATTCTCAAACGTTCTCTCCAGCCATTCCTTCCCCACCCACCATCCCAAGAAGTACAAGCCGGAGTAAACGAAGAGAAATGGAGAGACTTCATGGTCCTTGGAGACGCGGCCAGCACCAGGAAGATATTGAGCGAGATGAAGTGCTGGCCCAGAAGATCCGGATCTATAGTTGGGTACGTGAGTCACATCTTGACATACCACCAGTGAGCTCGCATGGCCGTCGCTTCTTAACTCTTGCCCAACAAGGTAAGCGAATATTCGCCCTAGCTATTCAAGCACTTCTGACGTTAATGATAGAACTTTTGAAGATTGGTACCTACCGGGCACCCCGCGATAAGGTTATCTGCATCCTGAACTGCTGTAAGGTCATCTTCGGTGAGTGATTACCTGGTAATGATAGGTATGGACATGGAATACTAAGAATACTACAAGGCCTACTAAGGAATTCAAAGTCATCCGATACGTCGGCCGACTCATTTGTGCCACTTCTAATCTATGTGGTGCTGCATGCCAATCCGGAGCATTTGATCTCTAACATTCAATATATCCTTCGCTTCCGTAATCAAGATAAGCTTGGAGGCGAGGCTGGATACTACTTGTCCTCTCTGGTAAAGCATACAATCCACAATCTGGCTGACTGGCTTGGGTAACTAACCGAGATATAGTCTGGAGCCATTCATTTCATTGAGACGCTGGACCGTACGAGCTTGACTGTGGACGACGAAGAGTTTGAGCGAAACGTTGAAGCCGCCGTCTCGGCTATCGCCCAACAGAATCGCGAATCGGATACGCTAGGGCCGAAGTCGACAGAGGGTTCGAGCCAACCGGCGCAATCTACACCACGATCTTCGGTAGATGTGCCGCGGGGCCGGAAAGGGCCAACGCAATCTAGTGATGAAGACTCAGCACCAGTAACAGGGCTTTTGCGAACTATCCAGAAGCCGCTATCTACCATTGGGAGAATCTTCTCGGACGAACCAGACTCTCCGGAAGAACGGCAGGCGCAACCAGCGACGGCTTCGCCGGTCAGCCCTTCGCCACGGCTTAATCCGAATGTTTACCAGCCTCCTCGTAATAGTGGCGAGGAGCGACCGTCCGGCGAAAAGCCTCGTAATCCATCGCAGCCACGGCGTACGAGGGCTTATGATGCTCAGGATGCTGCTGCCCGTCAGGCTAGTGCTGAGGATGCGGAAGCACGGAGGATACATCGTGTTGAGCACAACACTGTTGTAGAGACACTGTCGAACATGTTCCCTAACCTAGACCGCGACGTGATTGATGATGTTGTTAAGATGAAGGAGGGGAGGTAAGTTTCTTTTCTACTACTCCAATCCAGATGTGAAAAGAAGGTAGCTTACATAGTCTTACAGGGTTGGTCTAGCAGTAGACGCATGTCTTGCTCTGAGTGCCGAGTGAACTTGGGCGGGGCTAATCGGTAGTAGCATAATTACTAGAGTGGTGCATTGCCCTTGCACTTTTCTTCTTCATGATAACTATGTAGCAGTAGCTGTTCATGTACCTATTGCGTGCCTCAAATACGGCACCTACATGTATTAAAGGATGGTCATAACTTGCTGTAGACAGCGGTGGCTTCAATATATTTATTATGAAGATTATTGTTCTAGTAGATTATTTCCATATAAATTTAGGTTGATATGTGCTAAAGACAGTGCTTGTAAATTGAACCAATATTACGGGATCACCTCTAAAAAACAAACAGCACATGTGATCAGGACAGACAGACACCTGAGGTGTCCAACACTCCGTTGCACAGGTGACCAATCATATCACGCACCACAGCCTCGCTTACACTAGCGTGTTTTCATGTGACTCCACCCATCCTTTAAAGGCTTGCTCCCCCGTCCATCTTTTGGAATTTTTTTTCTTTCTTTTCTTCATACTTACCTTGTTTGGGTGGCTGCGATCAAGAAGGCGGTCCACCACGAATTGGTCCCTGCATTGCACAGCGCGGCGGAACAATCCGTTCAACGGCCTTCGGGTCATTGACAGGCGTATTCTTTGGCACTCTTCTCTCATCGAGAGATCCCCTTTTCATCAGTGCTTGGGCTATATATGCTTGAGGTTGGAGAAGAGGTACCATGTAGACATATTCCCGGTCTTAGAACTATTGAAGCTCCGGTTTAAGTAGCTCTTGGCTTTTTACTATTAATCGTCGTACCCACATGACATTCCCCCTGGGCGCCCTTTATCGGTGACGTCATGCGCTATTGCCACAATGTTCGTCTATCTTACCTTTAATATATGAACAACATCACCCCACCCAACTTTCCTCAGCTATCAATATCTTCACTTCCCTTTTACCCAGCATCATTCTTCTCCTACCCCCGTACTTTATTTAACCTTTTTAATCATCAATCAACACTTATCATTATCACCAAAATGCCTATCCCTGTCTACAACAGCGACCAAGACCAAACGAAACCCACCACTAGCACCGCTGGCCAGGCGTCGCTTGACACCCTATCATCCACAAACAATGGCGGCGATCGCGTCCTCGGGACTGCATCCGGTGATACCGTCACGGCACCCGGCTATTCTACGTCGAATGAGGCGCCTCTGAGTAAGGAGGAGGCGGATCGCTTGTACGAAGAGAGGATGGAGGAGGAGTATGCGAAGAGAGAAGGAGGTGCTTAATCGACTGTATCACAAGCATATATGGATGTATATATTATTATGAATAGGAGTTATGAAGGCATATTGGACTGTTACAGTGCCACAGTTGTTGTTCGAGTATCCCAGCCGTATATATAAAAGAGCCCCGCATCTATAGAATGATCATAAGATATGATGTCAAAACGATCAGGTTGGTGATCCTATAGACCTATCAAGAAGGCATATTTAGGTGGGAATCTCGAGCCTGATTACCACTATATAGTATCCAACCATCCACATGATTTCGCAAAACACCTATTCAGGTGCCTGCGATACCAGGTAATTTTCATGGGCGTATTCAATACAATCCTTAGACTGTCATGCTGACTTTCTGCTGGAAACTTCTTGATGTGTCAATCAATGTCATTTGTTTACTCCCTTGAGCCTCCACGGCTTGCTTTCTCTATCAGTCGTCGGGAGTGGGATAGATGTCCAAAAGGCGCAGTTTCCGACCCGTTTGGGTGTGCTGATGGGCCACAATTTGGAACCAGACACAACATGCACCGAGATCTTCTCCCACAATCATCCCTAGTCTGACATATAGGAAATAAACACACCCCTTAAAAGAAAGAGCCATCATCTTCAATGCGCATGGAATTGAGGAAAAAAATCAAATAAAATCTGTGCCCGATGGCCCACCGGGCAAAAAGGTACAAAGAAGCTGTGCCCAGTATCCACCTTCAAAGAAACTCATAATTAATTAAGGGTCCGTTAATACTGCGTATCGTACATAAAGACCTTTTTGACTACCGCACTTGGTCTACCGAGTAAATCTCCACTTTACTCAATTATTCCGTACCGTTATCATGAAGAACCTCTTCTACTATGTGGTCATTCATCTCCTACTTTCTGTCAGTCATGTAGCCGCAAAACCTGCCGATATTAATACCAATCCAAGGGATGGGTCGTGGCCATTGCTAGAGCCAAACGTGACGTGAACCCTAAAACCAGGCAATCCAAGCATCCCAGTGTGGAATCACCCACCATTCACAAGCAGCCGACTACAGAAGTGTCCGGACCAGCGTTAACCCCTTCTCGAGTGGTAGACCCTTCTCAGCAACAGCGGCAACCATGGCAACAGCAGCAACAGCAACAGCAGCGGTAGCGGAGTCCATCAAGTACCGGGCCGCAGATGGCATACGTCACAACTCTCAGTGGCGTAAGTCAAACATACCACAAGAGGATCACAATTGGTCATTAACTATCTAAAGTTATGCTATAAAGGTCGATGCAGGACTGCAAAAGGATTGAATATAAAAGGGTTTGGCTTCCTGACAGAAGTGAGTTTGGCGCGAAGTGTAAGGATCAATATGCGGTAAGTGGCCTCCTGAGATTATACCTATTATTGTCAGAGTTGTACTAAATCCGGCAGTGCCCCTCAGGCCGTAAGCTCAAAGGATGCAAACTCGATATAAACACCACAACTGGTATCCGACGCAAATCGGCAAGATGCGGTTTTCCATACAATGAAAAGTTCTCAGGGGCACATTGAACAGTTCTGCCTGGAGAGGCAGGGGTGCGGTAATCTGCTGCTGGCACCTAAAAGAGCGCTTCCAATTGTCTTAAAAATATTCGAGTCTGCTGTAGGATTGGGATTACAATTCTTCTTTAGTATAGCCTTGGTGGTGTACACACAGTATCTCAATCCCTTCTCGACCGCGTTGTTTCAAAATTGCGTATATAAACTTGCGGGGTGCGTACAGGTGGTTTACGAGAAAAGCGGTATATTCTGACATTCGGCTTTCAGGCTTTAATTGTTTGATTAAACCGGATTTATGGATGCAATGAAAACAGGAACACGAAGAACCGACAAATTCAAGAGCTCCAGATGTGTGCCTCGTTAACAGTACGGATAAAAAAGCCCCTTCTCTTCTTTCTGATCGTGCCCTAAAGTAAAACCATCATCTCTGCTAAACGCGATGCTACGGGAGGCTTTTACAATATTGTGTACCTGTGGGTAATTATCACTAGTACAATCGCCCATATTCTGTGATACCAAACCAGCAACCCGCCTCACAATCGAATCTAAGAAGGCTCGCTGGGCTAATATCATTCAACGCTGGCGGTGCATCTTTAAGGTGGTTTCAGATTATAAAAATGCGGCTGCTCTCCCCGAAATCCCTCTCGTCATAGCTGCAGTTTGGTATTGGACAACGAAAAGTTTACTTAACCTGATCATTTGGACGTACATCCTTTAGATGATCTGTTATTTAATTGTTGAGAGTGCACCTGTTTCAAGTGATTCTTCAGGGTCCAGAACCTGTCAGACAAGATATTATACTTCAGAGACATGTAATTTTGTATTACATTATAAGCCCGAAGTAAAACCCCAAGATAAGGTCTTAGACATGCTCGCGGAATACATTCATAAGCTTTACCCAATGCGCTTGTCGACTCGATTACTCGCCAATTTAAACTGCGCTAATAATTCGTTAAATGTGAGACTGGCTCGCATGCTGTTGATCCCTGCTGAAGGACCTAATAAAGGCAACTGGGCTTTGTGAGAGAGCATCATCAGGTCTGTTAAGCATTCCTGTAGTAGTAGTCAGGTCGGCAATATACCGGTCTCGGCGTCTCTTGCAGAAGCTTCATGTTCGTTCCACCCTCATAAGCAGATTTGTCGTCAATTTACTCAAAAGTTCGACTGACACTCGACAAGCCTCACGCGGCGGTCTATACCTAACACCCAGCTATATAATGTGTTTAGTGAAAGGTTGGGACGTATCCGCCACAGATTCGGTCACTCTGGAGGTCTATTGTGTCCACCTAACTGGAGCCAATGTAGAATTTGGTAAACCCACGCCATGTTACTGTAGAGGAATGCCCTGTCATCTTTGTGGCTATACTTTAGGCCGGTGAAAGATTCCTTGGTATGATACTTATATATCCCCGACTGCGTTATGGCGGATTGCCTGCGAGCTTGTATAAAGTAAAAGATAGCTTTGCTAAAATAGCTACCCATAGCATATTGTCCATAACCAACATCCTAAAAGATGACGAGGTTGGTGAGAATCAGAAGGTGCGTTTTCCTACTACGAATTGGGGGATTTACGTGGAATCAATCGTAGCGAAGGGCTACAAGCCATCAAAGAAACTTATCCGAAGGCACTCGATTGTCCTTACACTGATTTGATTTACTACTCCGTACTACCAGTAGTATATAGGGTTGAGCGGAAATGCGGGTGCTTACATACTCCCAACACTGAACCCCCCCCCCGCATGTGGGTAACAATTGTGGTTGGTGCTGGTGGCATTGTCCTTTTTTTGGAATATTAGATGAAGACTGCAGGTAGAGCACTCACATATAGGTACCTTAGTGCGCGTAGTCCTTCTGTGGTAGTGTGTACCTATTATGCATTTAGAGGGTTAGCCTTTGGTGCTAAGGAGTACGAAGTATGGATGAAGAACATATGAGATGAGTGACAAGAAGAAAGGGGGTAGGGTAAAAAAAGAAAAACAGAGACACACCACCGAATGAGAAAGTTTATTCTAATAATCTTAATTGAAAAAACATTTCTGTATGTAAAGAGAAGAAAGAGAGTAAAGTTGAAGTGTGGTCCGAGTGGTACCTCGTATTCTCCATAGTCGATGGTGCTATTGGCTCGCGACTCTGCCAAGTGGTGATTAAACCACGACAAAATTAGGGGTTGTTACTAAATAAAATGTGAGAGACTCCCAACTTTCTTTCTACCTCCTATTGGGTTTAACGCGAACAGCTATAGACCCAATGTTCTTGTTTCCTCCTGATGCGATCTAGTCCCAATGGGCTAGTCTCGACGAGAGTTTATATGTCCACTGAAAATCCGAAACCCTAGAACCTTCATTTCCCTAATACGAGAAACTGAGCCTCATCCCACTACGCCAGCCCCTTTTGGCGGTGGATCTGCATCGATCCGCGGAATAGCATCTCCTGGGCGGATTTTCTTTGGTCCCTGTGCCGCGCACCTTGAAAAGTCTTCTGCTAGATTTAGAGGGCTCGGATTGAGACAGGTATTAGCGATGATAATCTGGAGTCTAAACACGAGCAGTAGTCCCTAGAATCGTGTTGATCACCACTCGTTAGAGACCCATAGTGCGAGAGAGATACTACTTCTGGAAAAGCCACATGAGGGCTGAAATTGCACAGCAGCGTGCGTTCCACAGTCCCACTATGATACCCCATAGGTATATAAGCCATATCGGACACTCACTATTGAGAGGGTGATCTTTAGGCTTTTAAAATTCATTCACTCCTTTCATATATTCCAGTTGATTGAACATACATTATTCTTTGCTCAAAGCAAGATACTGTTCATAATATATTTTCCTTTTTTTCAACGCTCCTTGCACCCTAGAAACAATGCATTTCAAGACTCTTCCCTTCCTTTTCCTGGCTGCCACGGCCCTGGCTGCTCCTGAAGCCCAGCCAGCGGACTCGGACAGCTACCAGTCCTACATTGACCAGCTTGACAGCCTGTAAGTGATGATGTCCGATCAGATGTCCAGAACAGACACTAACCCGCAACAGTGCTACCCAAACTGATATTCCCACCGACTTCAGCATGCCCACCAACATGCCCTCATTCAAGGCGCCTCCCCCCTCCATCATGTCGGTGATCATGACCGCCGTCCCCGCGTCTTACCTTGAGGGTCTCTCCAACCCTTCTTCTCGCTCTTCCATGTTCAGTGAGATCAGTGCCGGCCACTATCCCGACTGGTACAAGAGCCTCCCTGGTGATGTCAAGACCTACATCTCGACCGCGTACCAGACCGATGCGAAGGCCACTGGTGCGCAGAAGACTGGTGACTCCACTGTCACTAGCGGACCCAAGGCGACTGCTACCGGTGGTTCTGACTCTGCCTCCAAAACCTCTACCTCGGAGGCTGGTGCTGCTCCTACCGGTGCTATTGCGGCTGGCTTGGCCGGTGCTGCTGGTATCCTTGGTCTTGCTATTGCGCTGTGAGATGCTTTGTATCTGTTCTTACCAGCCTCGCCCCATAAAAGGGAGATAATTCTTTATGATCAATATATTGTGACATATATCTCATCCATAGTCATATATTAATGCACTCTTACGTCGGATTGGCATGACCTTCATTCTTTAGAGATATCATTATTCTTCCTGATACCTCATGTAGTTCGACCGGCAGAGGGCGACGTCATGTTAGGGCTCTGACTAAACGTGACCGAGCTTAATAGTTGCGATCATCCCTAAATTTCGGCATATTCAAGCAATGTCTCCGACAACGTACTGAGCTTGGTAAGCGCGAATAATCCAGAAGCTTTCGGATCCGACAGAGTTATGTCTGATCAAAGGTTGCTGTTGAATAATAGTGTGTGCCTAGTTGACAGTTGTTCAATGATGCAAAGATCCTTGGATTCGGACATATCTCCGAAGCCGGTCGAATTGTCCGAGTCTGGTTAAGTCCGACCAAAACGTGCCTTCGAAGCTTGACAGGGATACGTCGACTAAGAGGCCGCGAACTACTGTGTGCCTAATGATCGCATCTCGGTGTATTGAATAATAAGTCCGAGTCCGACGGCAAACCGACATTCATAGGCTATAGACTGACTCGGTGGTCTGCAGCCAGAGAACCTTCCTCCATTCATCCACCACTCACATCCCCTCTAATTGTAATCAACCAAGAGGTCGCGCCAATCAGAATGATTCCATTCGCGATCATGGACTGGCGTCGCACAGTCCAACCTACGTGAGAGAAAAGATCTTCGAGCGCTGACTATTCGGGGGAATGTGATTGGTCGGTATACTGGGGAACTGGATCCGTGTGTTTTGAACGAGAAGAATGTACTCCGGAGAAAGATTTCTACTAAGGGATAGTTATAAATATGGAAGAGCTAGACGCGAGAGAAAGGAAATTTCTTGACCACCTGTTTTTGCCATTCAAACGATTCATCTTCTTCGTAAGACGTCAAGCTGTTGCTGAATCTTTGCAAATAGCGGAAAGTCTAGATTGGGCCATTGATCTGACGTCACTGCCACTGTTGCTTATTTTCTTCCTTTTTAATGCAACATTAAATTTAATTTTACATTTCCGAGTACAAAAAAAGCATCTGACACTTCTACCTTCTTCCCATCCAACTGTTTCCACCCATCACTCGCCATGGCTCTCCTCTTCGTCAAACAAATCCTATTCCCGGGCAAAGACCAGCGTGCCACCAGCAAATACGGTACGCCCAGCACAGTCAAATACAGGGATAACAAAAGAAATATAAAACTAACAGCTACCAGGAAAGCCCCTACTCTCAGCAGATGAAAGAACACTACACAGCGACCAAGATGACCTCGAATCCCAACGATCCTACAGTACATTCCGCGCTCCCTCCCCCACATCAGAATCAGGAAGCACCAGCAGCTCACGATCGCGCATCAACCCCCGCATCGTATCAGACGCCATCCTAGGCCTCTCCGACGGACTGACAGTGCCATTTGCGCTTAGCGCAGGTCTCTCTGCATTCGGAAACACAAAAGTAGTCGTACTGGGCGGACTAGCCGAGCTTGCAGCCGGGGCGATATCAATGGGACTGGGCGGATATGTCGGGGCGAAGAGCGAAGCGTAATGCTCACCTTTCCTAAACTATATACTAGACTATACTACAACGAAATACTAACGGAGACGCTAAACAGAGAATCGTACGAAACAACAGTCCGCGAAACAAAAGAACTCATCGAGACCTCTCCTACCGAAACCTCTTCTATCGTCCACGAGATATTCTCCGCCTATGCTCTTCCCGAAGATGCTATCGCGCAGATTAATGCCTCCCTACACGCCTCTGACGACCGCCTCCTTGACTTCCTCATCTCCTTTCATCATAAAGAGTCCGAGCCGGATTGTAACCAGGCCTGGACTTCGGCTATTACGCTCGCGCTTGGGTATTTTGTCGGCGGGTTTATTCCGCTTATCCCGTATTTTATCTTCGATCGGGTTATCGTGGCCCTTTACTATAGTATTGGGGTTATGGCGGTTACGCTGTTGGCGTTTGGATATGTTAAGACGTGTGTGGTGCGTGGGTGGAAGGGGAGAGATAACATTGCTGCTGGCATCAAGGGTGGAGTGCAGATGTGTTTTGTCGGTGGTGTAGCGGCAGGAGCTGCTATTGCTCTGTTGAGATTGTTTGGAGCCTAAGTGTCTGGGACATCTCACTTATTTCTTTTTCCTATGTACAGGATAGACAGCGACAGGCGTTCAGGATGGGAAAACATAACGAAGGTACTCGGATCGAATAGATTCATAACGAACTAATACCACAAACTAATGATCTTCATGTCCACAACAAAGCCCATGGTAAACAATAAAAAAAAAAAAAAAAGAATCCCATTATAGACAAAACAAGATCACCCTATCTAACCTTCTAAAGCCTTCCCAACCAACGCCCTCGCCCGCTCCGACATCTCAATCTTTAATGCCAGCTCCCTCCCCTCCCCCGACATCTTCGCCCACGTCTTTCTTAGAATCCCCAACACCTTCTCCTCCTCATACCCCTTCTCAAACTCCTCAAACTGATCATCCAAAAACACCAAGCAAGCCACATCCTCCAACACCTGCGTCTCCGCATCACTCTTCAACCCCTCCTTGCGCATCAACGCCGCAACTCTCCCCGCGTCCTCCACCGAATACCCGGCTTCCAAACACATTCCCTCCGCGATCTCTGCCTGCCGCTTCTGCAGGCTGCTACGCCAGGAATGGTACCCGAGTTTAGTCATGGGGTACGAGGACCGTGGGATCTCCCAGCGCTTGAGGTGTTGGGCGCGGATGGCGAGACGGAGGGTTTCGGGTGCGGAGGGGCAGCGGAGGGAGAGGTATCTGGTCATTTTGTTGGCGTAGTGGAGTTCATAGGGGATTGGGGTGGGGTCGTTGGGAGGGGTGATGATTTTGGGGTCTTGGGCGTGCGCGGCGTCGATTAGGGTGACGGCTTTGGTGTATTTGTCCATTTTGGGTTCCAATGGTTGTGTAGGTGTAAGTACGCGATAATGTAAAGAAAGGAGTGTTTGATGGGACTGAACTGAAGTGATAAGAAATGAGTCTTTGGGGATTGGTTGGTTTTCGGTCCCGCTGCAGTAGATTTGGTCAAATCTAAGCTTTGATGCCCCACATGAACTTGATTGGTTTTTGCCACTTGCTCACGATGCTATAACCAGACCGAGGTATATACAAGCGCGTGGACGGTCACCCACGATCCCAAATACTTCCATGATCCCATGCAGTTCAAACCTGAACGTTGGATCGACCCCAACTGTACCGATGTGAAGGAAGCCAGTCAGCCGTTTTCACTAGGCCTACGCGCCTGTGTTGGTCGTAAGTGGGTAGTCACTCTGAATGATTCATATTTGATACATGCTAATACTATTCCCAGCTTCGCATTCGTGGAGATGTCGTCCATCCTGGCGAAGGTCCTCTATACCTATGACCTGGAGCTCGTGGACCAGAATCTGGACTGGGAAAACGATTCGCATTGCCATATCATGTGGTGGAAGGCCCCAGTTCATGTAGTTTTTCGCCCTAGGCTTAGCAAGGGCTCGCAGTAGCTCGCAGCAGATCCTTCAGGCAGCTGTTGCTAAATATGGCTCGGTTTCTTTCCTAATACATATATCATCCGCCCAATTTCCCATTACAGAATACGAGCGACGGCCCAATGTATCCCCCCGGTCACGAAAAATGCAGCCTGGCGTTCCAACATCAGGCAATGTAAGCGAGCGAGGCAGATTCCTGCAATTTTTTCATGGCATGCTCGCATGGGAGATGAAGGGACGCCATGTATTTATATATCTAGAGGTTGTATATGAGCAAGTTGTATTTCACATCATCTCATCCTCCATTCACTGTCTCTATTCATCTAATTCTGCAATTCAGTGATCATGCACCTGCATCATCATTCTTTGCTATCCTTCTTGGCTATTCCCCTGTTTCCGGAGATCGTCCAGGGTGCTGATATCCAGTCAGCGGCACAGGCCGGGGGTCCAGCTGCATGTAGACAGCTGTCTTCTGCGTTCCCCTCACTCCTCTTCTCTTCTGATACCGCGATCTATGCCAATCAAAGTCATCGTAAGTGACATCATCCGGTCCAGGACAGGGGTGCCATCTTAACATCGTCTACAGTTCCCTGGTCGCAGACCTGTTTGCTGTCTCCGTCATGTGTATTCCTGCCCCAGGACGCCGAGGATGTTTCCCACGCGCTGCGGATCATCAAGATGACGCGGGCCCCATTCTCGGTAATCGGTGCTGGACACATGCCTGTCCCCGGAGCTGCATCTATTGACCACGGTGTAATGATTTCCCTGCACGACCTTAAACACCGACAGCTTAGCGAGGATCTGTCCGTCGTGCAAATCGGACCGGGTCACATCTGGTAGGATGTCTTCGACTACGTCGCGCAGTACGGCCGGGCCGTCAACGGGGGTCGTTACGGCAGGTGGGCGTTGGAGGGCTGCTCCTCGGCGGTGGCATTGGGTACTTCAGCAGTCAGGTTGGCTGGGGAGCCAATTCCGTTGTGCAATATGAAGTTGTGCTGCCAGACAGCTCTATTGTGCAGGTCAATGCCGCATCCCACCCGGTCCTTTTCTGGGCTCTGAAGGGTGGCTCCAACTACTTCGGTATTGTCACTCGATTTGACATGAAGACCATACCCTTGGGCGACGCCTTCTATAGCGGCAAGATATGGACCTCCGCGTCCACTCTACCCTGGCTTGATGCCTTGAACGCATATCTAGCCTCGGGCGGCGGTGCTGAGGATGTCAAGGCTGCCATCATGCCGATGATCGCCTTGACTCCGTCCGATGGAGTCTCTGAAGTGATCAGCCTGAAGTTCTACGCCGATGCCGTTAACGAACCGAAGGCGTTCAAAAATTTCACTGCCATTGATGGACCGACTCTCTTGAACGAATCTGGTGTTGGGCCATGGACATATCTCCCTACTGCTTTGAATACCCCTGCCTACGCCGCCAAAGATAAACGGTACGTGCCATGTTGCGCTTGCATTGACCGGCTCGGCTAATACAGAGCCACTTGATAGACAGCAGTTTTGGACCATCAGCTTCAAGGCGGATCCGCGGGCCATTAGCATCGTCAATCACACAGTCTTTGATCAGGCACGCGCGACCCTACAGCATGTCACTGACCTGTCGATCAGCTTCAGCTTCCAGCCCATCTCCAAAGCATGGATTGAAGCCGCCAAGGCTCTGGGGGGTTGATGCCATGGATTTGGATCCCAACGATGCTCCATTCATCGGTAAGCCATGACCTTAATACGAACCCTTTGCAAGCCGCTCACTCAGTCGCCCAGCCGGCCTCATGTCCAGCACCTGGTTCAACGCCGCGGATGACGCCGCGGTCCGCGACTTCTCCCGTAACGCAGCCAATTCTATCAGGCAGCAGACAGCAGCTCTGGGTCTAGTCCATTCTTTCCTGTGTCTCAACGATGCAGGGGTTGGACAGACGCCATTCCGCAGCTATGGCAACGGAAGCCGTCTGAAACGCCTACAAGCCATCCAGCGGGAATACGATCGCGATGGCGTGTTCCACAACCTCCTAGCACATGGATTTCTCCTCCAATGAGCGGGAAAATACGGGATGTATTATATAGTGTATGTTCCATGATGATGGGGTGTCGCAGATACTAGCGAAGTACAATTTCACGGATTAGGGGTAGCGTGAAAAGCAATACAAGTAAAGTGTGATAGAGGCGCCTGGTGCTTACATGGGTCCAGGACATCCTTGTTTGCTTTTTTTGTCGTCTTAGACTTGACTCATATGGTAGATGTCGCTTTAAATTGCCTTACTCGGCCTGCGGATGAACATAAACCCCCTGGTAGACTGCCGATCGGGGTCGGGACAACTCAAGTGTTCGGTGACTTTCCTCTTTCGGCGAACAAAGGACGGCATCGCGAGTGTTCATTTCCCCTAATAATGGCCTGAATTCCATATCATCTGTCGACTTTACAACAATCGTCACTCCCCATTTCGCTGTTGTCAAGGCAGCTTCATCCTACGCATCATGGCTGGCGTCTCGTTCACCCCGGAGAAGGACATCCCCAACCTCTTGGGCAAGGTCATCCTGATCACTGGCGGTCTGTCCCTTATGAATCTTACCCGGAGGTATTCGTACCTTATTGGTGCTTGATTATTGACAACGCCTAGGAACGGCCGGTCTCGGAGCAGCAGCGGCCATCCACCTCGCCAAGCACTCTCCTGCGCACATCTATATCAGCGGCCGGAATGCGAAGAGTGCCGACGCCATGATCCAACAGGCGCAGAAATCAGGGACCAAGGTATCGTTTCTGGCCTGTGATCTGGCCTCCCTCGACTCGGTCAAGAAGGCGGCCGAGGCCATCCTGGCCCAGGAATCCCGCCTCGACCTGCTCATGTGCAATGCCGGGATCATGGCGGTGCCGCCGGGCAAGACGAAGGACGGCTACGAGGTCCAATTCGGAACGAACCATCTGGGCCATGCGCTGTTAATCCAGAAGTGTCTGCCGCTCCTGCAGCAGACGGCCGCACTCCCGGGTGCCGATGTGCGCGTCGTCATCCTCACCTCGTTGGGGTTCCGCATGCACCCGGGCGCAGGAATTGTCTTCTCGGACCTGAAGAGTGAGCAAAACTTCAGTGCGTTTGGGGGCTGGATCCGCTACGGCCAGAGCAAGTTGGCCAATATCCTGTATGCGCGCGAGCTGGCCCGTCGCTATCCGTCCATCACGTCCGTGTCCGTCCATCCCGGCGTCGTTGGTACAGGGTTGGTGGAGAATCTGGGCTGGGCGAACCGCGCGTTTGTCTATGTGACGAATATGGGGAAGCTGATGAAACCGGAGGAGGGCGCGTACAACCAGCTGTGGGCTTCCACCACGCCCAAGGAGAACCTGAAGAACGGGAAGTTCTACGAGCCCGTCGGGATCCTGTCGTCCAAGTTGGATAAGGTCTCGAAAGATGACGCGCTGGCGAAGCAGCTGTGGGAGTGGACGGACAAGGCGTTGGCAGACTACGTCCATTAGTGCAGTTTCTATTCTACAGACGAGGGAGTGAATTCAATGCGTCCATCTTGTTCCTTCCAACTCCTATCTCACCATCATGGATTGACAAGTCAACAGCTCTGCTTCCGCCGAATGCGGAACGGAATGGTCTCCCCGGGGGGCATGGCACCGACGCCATAGAATTTTTTGTCGGCAGAGGGCAACCATCCTGCCGGCCGGTCCACAATCTCTACGTCATAGTATGCCTTGAACACAGCTATACTTCCTATAATCTCCTGTTTGGCAAAGTGCCGTCCAGGGCACATAAAAGGGCCACCTCCGAAGGGGATGAACCCTCCGGACAGTCCATCCTGCGAGAAGGTCACGCCCCCCTGGCTGTCTTCGTTCGGCACGAGGAACCGCTCAGCCCAGAACTGGCTCAAAGGGTATTTGCCTTTTTGCGTCCGGTCTGGCCCCCAGACCGCCTCGTCGTGAGCTGCAACCTGGGTTGAGAGTACAATAAACCGGCTTTTGTCTAGCTGCCACGGTCCCAACCGGACATCGGACTGCGTGGGAGTCCGGTTCAAAATGAGGGCGATGCGCATCCGGAGAACTTCAGAGTAAACCGACTGCAGGAGAGGGGAGGAGATCAATTTAGTGAGATCGAATTGCAGCGGACCATCTTGTGCAGCATCGTGGATGATGGCCCAGTCGAACTCGGGCTGCAGGCGCTGGTTTAGGTCCGCGTCGCTGTAGATATGCAGAGCGAGCCAGACGGCACTGAGAATGGCATTGGCATTGGCACTATAATTGCTCCCAAATTTCCGAGTTAGATAGTCTATTCTGTCTTTCCGAGGGGGTTCTTGACGCATTCGACTTACGCAACCAGTAGGGCAATGTCTTCGGCTGCCAGCGCGTCGTCATCCATACACCCTGTGTCTCGGCCGAATTGCTGTCGCACCTTGAGCCAGGAAGAACCCCAGTACCCATCCCAGTCGGGGTCTTCAGGGCTATTCTGGCGGTAGTCGGAATGCGCACGGGCAAAGCGATGCCATGTTTTCACTGCTGCAAAGACACGGTCGCGGGCGCCATACGCCTTGGGCACCATCCAGCGGGGCATGCTCTTCATCAGCGTCGGCATCTCATCGACGTATTCCCAGAAGTCCTCTTCAAATGAAGGGGTCAGGGACAGCAGGTAGGGCCCACACAGCGCCTTGACCGCCGCGTGGAAGATGCGACTCTTCCAGAAGTAAATGAGATCCGGCAGCTGCACCCATTCCCCGCCAATCCGGGTATCATCGTTGATCTCCTCACTGAGTAAACGCATGAACCGCTCGGTCATTCGGCGCAAAGCCTGCCCCGTCAGGAACCGATGGGCGGACTGGTGTTGGTGGAAGTAGACCCTCTGCTCAGGTGGAACGTGCGTCCCCGGCAGTGGAGTAGGGTCGATTCCTGAGTTGTCGTTGCGATAAAGATGCATGGCATGGCTCGGAGTGCCAAACATATTCTCCATCGCCAACGCAATGAAGGGCTTCGGAGATAGGTTTCGGGGAGCTCGGAGCAGCGTGCGTACGGCGTCCGGGCCAGACACGAAATATCCGCGGATAGGTCCCAAGACGACCTGGACGGGGAGACTATTGCCATATCGTTTTCTGGTGTGGATGATTTAGCAGCGATCCATGTGGAAGGGCGTGGAGGGAGCAGACCTCACGCTGTGCACAAAGGCCCCTGTGTCTTGGAGAAAGGAAAAGGAGTGTCCCAGAAATGGGATGGTATATGGCAGGATGGGAGGAGCGCGTCCAACTCGAGAGCTGTGTAAAGCGTAGATTGACTGCACCGTCGTGAAGAGATAGTTGCAAATGAGCGAGGTCACTAGGAGCGCACCGAAGTACGCATACCAGTATTGCTGGATGGACTTGGCCGCGAGCATTGACACTTCCCTGATCATTTCGTGTCCCTGATGATTGCTTCAGCCTGTCGTGAGTCCTGTTGTAAATGTATGTGCCTATTTATGCAAGGCTGTCGGAGTGATTCGTCGATAAGTCTCGTCCATTTGCTGGTCAGCTTGCTGCTGTTGTCCTATTGCGGAATAAGACCGGGCTTTACACTAAACTGGTCCGTCCGAAACATCCCAAAAGGGCATCTCTCCGGAGTCTTGGATGTCAGATCGTTGGGTCTGATATACAGTCAGTTGGCATTGATCCTCAACGCCCTGTAGAATGTCATTCAGTCTGCCAGCTTCTTCCAAGTCAGTTCCCTCTTTCTCATACTAAAACACAACCAGAAGCGAATCCCATTACATCCACCTCAAACATGAAGAAACCTAATGGCACGAATGGAGCCTCTAGCTCTCTCAAGCCACCCCCCTCAACTTTCCAACCTCTCTGCCATCCGCTGGTGGAGGAGGTATCCAAGGAAGTGGACAACTACTTCCTCCAGCACTGGAACTTCCCCAATGAGAAGGCCCGCAAAAAGTTTGTAGCGGCAGGGTTTTCGCGGGTAACCTGCTTGTACTTTCCGAAGGCGCTGGATGACCGCATCCATTTTGCCTGCCGTCTGCTGACGGTGTTGTTCTTGATTGATGGTAAGACGCAGTTCCGCAGTTCTTGGATGGAGTTCTGTCACAACCATCGAGTTTCTGAACCCCCCTGACAGTGTCTAGATCTGCTGGAATATATGTCGTTCGAGGAAGGTTCCGCGTACAACGAGAAGCTCATCCCGATATCGCGCGGCGATGTCCTTCCGGATCGGTCCATTCCCGTGGAATACATCATCTACGATCTGTGGGAGAGCATGCGCGTCCACGATCGCGTGATGGCAGACGAGATCCTGGAGCCGGTGTTCCTGTTCATGCGGGCACAGACAGACCGCACCCGAGCCCGGCCGATGGGGTTGGGCGGTTACCTCGAGTATCATGAGCGTGATGTGGGCAAAGAGTATGTCTGAGTCGAGCCTCTCCTTGATGAATGCGCAGCACTTGACCTCCGTTGGTGCGAAACGACGATCTGAACTATTTCTGTAGGCTCCTTTCCGCTCTCATGCGCTTCTCCATGGGGCTCAAGCTGTCTGCCTCCGAGCTTCAGCGCGTGCGGGAGATCGACGCCAACTGCTCAAAACATCTCTCCGTTGTGAACGACATCTACAGCTATGAGAAGGAGCTCTACACCTCCAAGACGGCCCATAGCGAAGGAGGGGTGCTTTGCACCTCGGTGCAGATCCTGGCCCAGGAGGCAGACGTGACTGCAGAGGCTGCAAAACGGGTCCTTTTCGTTATGTGTCGTGAACGGGAGCTCCGCCACCAGTTGCTCGTTGCACGGCTGAGTGCCGAGGGTCTAGAAGCCCCTAGACTGGCGGCGTACGTAGAGGGACTCGAATATCAGATGAGTGGCAATGAGCTGTGGAGTCAGACAACGTTGCGGTATAGCGTGGTAGTTGACTAGATTGTGTCTTTTGTTCCTATTTCGGGATCCAATCCTTTTCTTTCATTATAGGTCGTCCTGCGTACAATACGAGCGAAGCGAATTCCTCTATGGTGTAAACGCAGTTTGTGGCACTGGATGATCGACAATCTGATCATTTCTTCTTCAGCCTCCCGTCCACCTCATGTCGACTTAAGTTCGTTGTCCCTAGGCAATGTTAATGATTCAGCTAATCACGAATAATTTAGAGAAGTGAAATGGGCCCCCCTTTCAGAATGGAGTTCTGGAGTGTTCGTGAGCGAGCCGGGCTCATAACCTGTCGAACACTGCTGAATAGGGTTAACAGGTAAGAAGTTGTTCTTATTCTCACCGAGGGGCAGGTGAACTGCTCCTCTAAATAATCGCACGGACCCATGTTCTTGGCAGAGTGTCACCATGATATTCAACACCGGCTGTGAAAGCACATATATCGGGTAGTGTTGTGGGATGGAAAAGATTTCCTCGGTGGTTCATAGGATCCCATCGTCTGGCAGATCCCCGAGACAGCACCTGGCTGTCGCTGGTTTGGTCGCCATCATCCCCGCACGGATAGGCAGTTAGCAACGGAACGGAGTAATCACCAGAATAGACGAATTCGCAGCAACGACCAAAGACGACTTCATTGATCTGCCCATTGATGGGAGGCTGAAATATCTCCTTTGGGAAAACACCAGCTAATGCGGCATGTATTGAAAACCGTCTTCGGTTTTTACCCATGACGAACTCGACGACCCCGGATTGCATGATCCTGGTGATGTGTTTAACTGTAAGGGACACCTGTCCCGCTGGAGGATGTTAGGACCTCACACATCATATCCAAGCATGATTTTTGCAAGCAATAATGGACCTGGAAAAGCGCTGGGAGTTGAGGATGGTACTTGGACTGGAGAAAGATATGTCTGCTGTTCAAAGAGCTTGCTCTGGTGAAATCATCGAGTGAGAAGACTGACGCGCATAGCGTTTATTATACGTCCATCTCCACAAGTAATTCCCTTTACTTTTTACAAACCTGAATAGTGCATGGTCCTAGGTAACTATGGCCGCGGCTCCTGCGCTCCCGCAGCGGTAAACCCACGACTACGGCGTTTAGATCCTAGTGGTCGAGGTGGTCATAATGTTGCCCTCAGCGCTGAGGAATCTATAATAGGGCCAGCGCCTCCTTCGGCCACAGCGAATTATGATTGGTTACCCAGAAGACCGTTATAATTGGTAGCTGTTGAGATGTCCTAATGTAACTCATGGCCCAGTGTTGAGTTGAATAAAGCTCTTCCCTCTCCCTCAGCACCTCTGCTGTGAGGGCAAGGCTATGAGTGCTATGGGTGTGAAGCACGGGCTCCTTCGCCTTCGCAGACATCAGTACTGCCGATGGGCACACTTGTGTCTAAATTTCGAATGCTAATGTCCTCTTAGGCCAGGTAGGATGAGTATCTTCTTTAAACAGTAGTCCAATCTGCGCTTATAGCTTTGATTACCGCTTACTTCTCCGGTTTGCTAGAACTCTATCCACCTGGTCCCGAAACCTGAGTATTTGTATTTGCTTGCGCTACATGGCACTAGAGACTAATATCCCAGCGGGTCGCCAATCATTCCAGTAGATTCTTCCTACTTAGGAGCGAGTAACTCTAAGAATACAAAGTGCATTTGGCAGGTACCTGAGACTAGCTATATACAGACAGGTAGATGCCAAAAGTGCCGGGGGGGGGGGGGAAGGAAGGAGTGAGGATAGATGCCATTTTATACAGTACATGGGCAATCTCATTGAATTTGAGGGAGCTGGATCTGGCTGCAGAGGAGGCCATTGTCGGCGTCGCTTCTTGTTGTGAGTTGAAACGGAGCGGATGCTCGCTGAGGGTTGGCACCTCAGGACGGTGACTAAACAGTGCTTGGCGGGTGCAGAACAGTGGCGTGTAGCACGTGCTTGAGTGCTAAAGCGGCGGCTCGCTGAGGGAACTTACAGGTGGAAATGCGGCCGTTTATGGCCTCAGTAGCGGTCATTTTCGGCGTTGCTTTCACAGGTCCTCATATTCTAGGTGTAAGTCTATCGAAGCCATGCTGCCTAGTAAATCGGAAAGGAAAACGACACATGTAGAGCCTATTTACTATTTGATGGGTTGCCGATGCCTAGTAGAAAAAATATGGCCAAAACAGATTGAAGCTGGCTCCTAACTCTTGTGAGAGCAAGAGATATCCAGGGAACACGAATTATGTTCCATTTCTGGCTTAGTCCCATCTCTTGATCGCTTGGTTATTTTCGGAATCCGAAAATACAGCGATACAGTGATTCTCGAAATCGGTCTGACCTACAAACACATATCAATTGTTTGTCGGCGCCCCTGCCAAGAACTTAGCGCAATTATATTATTGGAGCGAACTGCTTTAACTGAGGGCAGTTGTAATTTTCCTTTGATACTGTACAGTATATTATATATATATATATATATAAATAAAAAATAAAAAATAAAAAAAAAAAAGAGAGAGATCTTTTGATTTATGTGTACAGTATTTTCACTAAACTGCCTTACTAATCTCAATATGGGTGATATACACAGTACCTCATTTCAAGGTGGCTCAAGAATAACTCCAAACAACTGATGTAATGATCTACAATTAGAGGCGGCAGATTGACAGGAGAAAGAACTATCTCCATCCTGGTGCGCTCGGCAGTGGCTGAGCCCGGTGTCTTCTGGGTAAAAGCTCCTCGCTTTTGGCCATTAGGAAGATGGTAGGGTCACTTATGCTTCACATAGTTAATTATGTAAGCTTGCATAGGGCTAAAAATGGTGCACAACCACGGATCTCCATAGAAAACCATGGAACCCCACCACCGTGATCTGACGAGACCCAAAGGAACCGCCTGTTCCTGGTTCCGGGCGGATAGCATCAACCTCCCTTTCAGGAATCCTGGATATCTCTGCTTCGCCACGCATCACCGTCAATAGACGTGTAGTACATCTTATATTGTCTGATGTGGCAATATAAGACAACTGTGGATAGTTGCATCTACCAAATATCCGTTCTTCGCCCGCGGCTGTTGTTTGCCGGCAAACAACAGCTGCCGTGGCAGCGTAGGGTGTAAGGCGAGAGTTGACCAAATATTACTAACCGCAGGAGCTCTGTACTGCTTGAAGAGATGAGGTCAAACTCGTCCAGCCCTAATTATGATGATGGTATGTACCAAGTTATGCCGTGGCAATGGAACGAGTCGCCACAGTACGCACCAACCCCCGGTAACTTTGGTTATTCGCCCTCCTCGCCTTCCCACCTTAGTCTTAACTCCAACCCTCCGAATCCTGTCGAATACTCCGCTTCCCAGCTGAGCGCCTCGCAAACAGATAAGCTTCCGCTCCTACAATTTGGTGATTGGGTCGAGGGGCGGGCGTATGACGAGAATCCACCAACCTGTATTCACTATTGGATCGAATGGAAAGTTAAGCTCAACAATAGGACGGTGGTCGAAGATACAGAACAGGATCTGGTTCTTGCCCCTGGATTCTATTGGAGGCTTTTCCTCCTGCCGAAGTTAAGGGAAAAGTTATGCCGGAAATACCCCCACAAAAATATTGCATCAGATGACACATCTGTTGTGGTGTCAGTTCCTCGGCTCGAAAAAGTTACTCGGCAGTTCCCCAAGACTGACATTGATTGGCCCGATATAGAGAAACACCTGCTTGACTGGGGTCATCACTTTCTCGCTGGCAAGAGAATAAAACTCATAATATCGTTTAATTATGTAGTAGAAGACAGCCAAGGCTCCACAACCAGACACAGAACGACTGAAAAGCGGGGTACTTCTTCTGCCACTCAAGGCATGCTTCAAAATCTTGACCGGGAGGTCAACGAAGAGGAGGCATTGACTGGAGAACCTGCGGCCTGGAAGCATGTCTATGAGGTAATGCGCTGTCCTGGATCATGTGAATTAGGGCCGCACTGCTGGCAGGACCCCTACGGGAAAAAACACTATAAGCTCTACAGAGATGAACTTTTGAGCCTAGTCAGATATGTGAAAAGTGGAAAGAGATTAGAGTCCCATGAAGATGTACCTGGCATGATCCGTGAACAGATCTATAGGGCCGAGAGGCGGCGCCTTGAAGGGCAAAAGAATCATAATCGCGTTACATCAGAGTCAACATACCCCCCAATCACCATCACCAATGTCCTGCCAGCACAGACCCCGCAGCAGGCTATGTCATCATCACCACCTGCCCCGGAGAGCACGTCTACTTATTCAGCGAAGGCTTCGCGGCTTAATATAGCAGGCCTTCGTGATGCCAACGTTCAAGCATATTGTGACTGGCACCAATCACAAGTTGGGAATGAGTCGTGGAAAGTGGAGTTTCAAAAAGCGTGTGACGTGGCTCTAGATGATGGATTAGATCTGGACCAGATTGATGAACTGAATGACCCTGGGTATTTCAAGGATCGGGGTGTGAAATGGGGCATTGCGCGCCGATTCGTCAAGGATATTAGATACTGGGCAAACAACTATAATTGTAATGTGAATGGATGAAAATCGTCTATTGCTAAGACATGTGAATAATTGGTTTTGTTTTGACTCTTTCTCTGCTTTTGTACTTAATGTGATTTATGCATTCGGAGTACGCTATTTATATTCTTCAATCATGACACCTGCATGCCGAAAGTGGCCTTCGGCACTCTGTACTCTGGAACCAACAGCACTAACACACCATTCGAGAAACGCATTGAAACCTTGACCTGGGTTTTCTTCATACTCAATCCACCTCCGCTTGATGAATTGTTTCAGCTCAGCGAAGAACTCCTCAATAGGGTTTAAATCCGGGGAGTAAGGGGGCAGAAACATCACTTCAACTTCCGCATCTAGGCACATTTGTTCAATTCGCTTAGTGCGGTGAAAGGATGCATTGTCCATAATAATTATGGACTTTGGTTCCGGCCATTTGTTACAGTGCTGAAGAAGTTGCTCGATGAAATCCTCAAAAACGGCTGCATCAGTTGAGCCCTGAAACACTCGTGACAAGAGGACACCCTTTTGAGTATAGGCGGGCAAAATTTGATAGCGTTGATCTCGGTGAAACTTGGAAATCTGGACTGGTGTTACACCAAGAGGGGACCAGCCGGTTCGCCGAAAACCTGCTCTCTTATCGCAACCCGACTCATCCACGTAGACCAGTTGATATGATGAATAACGAGATAGGCGGTGCAGGTAGTAATCTCGTAGGTCTACATTTTGCTCCCTGGCGATCTGCCGAGCTGCCTTTTTCGACCATCCCACAGATGCTAGTGCTCTGCTTATGCTCTGTACGGTAACATGCTTTCCAAACTCATCCCACAAAAAGACTGCCATCTCATCCTGATATAGAGTCGGTTTTTCTTTCAAGTGCTCACAGAGGGCTTCAAGCATGGGCTGGGTGATACTACGCGGGCGTCCGACGCCGTTCCGGGGAGCTCTGACATTTCCGAACACCTCCAGGTTGCGACGAATGTAAGTTACGGCTTGTTTGCTACAGTTAGCGGCAAACGCGATTTCAGACCTGTTCAGTGATTTACTCTGAATCATATGATGAATCATTTCAAGTTGTGGGGCTTTCAGGTTTGCTGGCATCTTTATTTGACGTTAAGCGTGGCTCCGCGATAGGAAGCATGAGAAGCCACGTTGGGGTTTAGAGGGAACTACGTTGTCGCGGCCCGTTCATTAGTCCGACATATAGTTATGTAATATCACGTGGCATATCACGATCAACCGTGAACCTCCAGGTCTCTGTCTCTGCAGGCGTCAATGTCGTCGCACAGGCATCAATCATCGCTTGAGGGAGTCCTGGATTTTTCAGAACCCTTCTCACTCACTCCACAACAATCTTATTCCGCGAAGAGGCTCCTTGATATATTCATCAAGGACTATGGACTCGACCGAGCAACGGAAAGGGGCTATAAGCCTGCGAAATTAATATGCACTACGCTTGATCATATCATTGCAAAAGACACATTCTTATCTTTTTTTTTGACATATCTTCATGAAAACTTGACTGACCTAACGTCAAACATTACGTTGGCCTTATCGTACTTCGAGGATATCGTTTCTCGAGAGCCAGCTCCGCGAAGCGATGTGATGAATGCTCTTGAAGCGTTTGCAGACTACATGGTTACGCAGTTCTTCCTTCCGCGTATATTTGTCATGTCTCCTCCTTTCTATGACTCTCTAACTCAAGCGATCTAGTCAGAGCCTCGTCCGTTAAGACACCGCAGCCAACGCCTACCACCCTGTCCGCAATACAAGCATCGACCGCCGTTGGCACCAAACAGCGCATATCGTTTTTGAGACGCGACTGCCTCATCCGCGATCGCCATCGATGCGTTGTATCTCGGAAATTTGACATAACCGAAGCTAGAAGACGACTTGCTAACAACGAAAAGTGTGAAGATGACAATGGAAAGCTCCTCGAGACCGAACCACGTGATAACTTCCAGTATCTGGAAGTCGCCCATATACTGCCTCATTGCCTAACAAAGGTTGCTTCTGCAGATGGGGATCTGGTATGGATATACCCTCGCGTGTCTAGGACTTCACTAACTGGGCTTAAGACCGATTCAAAGAGGAGTGTACTCCGGATTTTAGATATGTTTGACCCTGGTATCACTCACCTCATTGATGGCCCCAACATCGACAGCCCATCCAACGCTCTCACATTAACGCTTGAGAACCACCGGCTCTTTGGTGAATTCCAAATATATTTTGAATCCACGGACAGACCTCATGAATATAAGATTTACTCCGTCGAGAGCGGTTTTCTAAGCGACCCTTTCTTCCCTGTCACTCGCGCCTTAACACGGAGCCCTAACGATACGATTAATCTGCCATCTCCTCGGCTTCTCAGCATCCACCGTGCCATCGCACATATTTTGAAACTCAGTGGCGCGGGCGAATATATAGAGAAGATTGTTCGAGACTTGGAACAGGTGACGGTGGAAGCAGATGGGTCAACCAATTTGGGTGATATAGTGAGATTACGATTTGATGGCTGGATAAGTCAATTGGCTGTTTTCTAACGAGATAAAGTCATCTGTTTTTGATTGTTTCTTTCAACTTGTGAGCCACAAATGAGACTGTTTCACATTAATTCTGCAACTCGTAGTGAATGATTGGAAAAAATTGATGCCATCCAGTGATTGCTTGCACAAGCACATCCCGCTTCATATCGTTGCGAACTCCTGAATGATAGTATATTTCGTCTTCGATATCCTCCAGGGCGTTGCTCGATCTTACTCCAGGGAAAAATCCGTTCGGAATTGTCGTGGATGCCTGATAAATAAAAGGGCATTCGAAAACGACATTACGTTCAGGCCCACCACCCTCGAAAACAGCGAGAATACGATATTCATCAGCCCGAATGCGGCCTTCAACAAGGTATTCATCACGGTGAGGCTGTAGCATTCTTTTAGGATCTAGCCCTATGTCAGAGTACCCAAGCCTACATGCAACCTCCTCTGCACTGTACACGCTTGCCAATCCCTTTGTCCAAACAGCAATCACAACAATATCCCTTGCCCCCTTATTTTCCAGATGTCTCCTTTGCGCCATAGCCCGCCTCCAATTGCCGAAGGATATGAACGGTGTGGGTTTCTCCCGCCAAGACAAATGATCATCAAATTCTTGCAGTGATGGCGGACCCCCGGAAGTCCTTCGTGCATGTAAGTAGCATTGGTCAGTGCTACGCGCGACGGCGCGAAATAGGACCCATGGCGTGGCGTCAGCTTGTAATGGATGGAAGAACATCTCAATCTAGGCCATTAGACGCAGTATTAGACGCAGTATTAGAATACGGCTATGGAGAGGAGTGAGAGTGGTGAGTAGTACGCTCCTTGGTCGCTAAGCGGCTCGCCGAAGAGAGTTTGCGGGTCAAATGATCTTATAATCACATGATCTCTCCATGCTCTGCCACGCTGTCACAACCGCTGTAGGTGGTGACACTGTGAATTGGATCATACAGAGTACATGAATGGAGTATTCTAAGGAGCAGAGGAAAAGTGTGTACCTTCAATGGCGTCGGGTATTTTCTTCCCGCGGTAGGTATAATATACGGAAGCAAAAGGCGATTCGAGCTGTTGTTGAAGAGTATAGCCCAATTGCTCTCATTTTGAATCAGCACCTGGTTGGAATCTTGAAATCTCTATTAAGCGAGAATATCTTCATCAATCCATACTCCGCACAGCGTGCCTTCCCTGAACTTTTCCCCGAAGCACAGAACAGCCAGACGGCACTGCAGACACCCACTAGAGGAACACCTCAAGATTCGTTCGGTATGGAAGGACCTTCGAGGGAATTATTGGACTCCTTTAAAATGTAGATCACTTACCCCGTGTTGTTAATTTGCCTAGGTAACGCTTAAGATACTAATGATATTCTGACCAGGCTCTACTCCAGTGGACAGTATTCTGATCTCACTATCTCCTCCAACAAGAAGGATTATCGTGTACACAGGGCCATCGTGTGCCCCCGGTCTAGCTTCTTTAGTACAGCCCTGCGCGGAGATTTTAAGGTAGGTAAAATTGTCTAGATCTATCACCGCTATGTTTTAACATTCTTTGATTAGGAGGGACATGAGGGAACAATAAGCCTTCAAGAAGATGATCCTCAAATCGTTGATATCATGATTAACTACTTTTACCACCTCGATTACAATGTATTCTCACAAGAAAATGGAATGGATAGTCAGAACCCTAGGTTAGAGATCTTTGAGGTACCACAGGCGCATTCCTCCTTAACAATCCATGCTAAGGTCTACTGCCTTGGAGAAAAGTATCTCATCAGTAGCCTTAAGGCTCTTGCACTTCAAAAGTTTAAAGCAACGGCTAGAGAGCAATGGGATGTCAATGATTTCCTTGAGGCGGCAAAGCAGGCCTACACATCTACAATAGAGACTGATCGAGGACTGAAGGATGCCGTGATAGCAGTGCTTTATGACCATTCTGAGTTACTGGACCGTGAAGAAGCACAGTTTGTGTTCAAGGAGTTGAATATGTTGACATATGACCTCCTGATGTATATACACGGAAAAGACAGGTTCTAACTCCATATATCATACAGTTTGGAATCCCACATCCCTCGCAACAGCTCCATCTACCTATCCTATTCTAATACTGTACCTTACCGAACCTAAGCAGTTGGAATGTCCAAAAAGTATCATTTTGGCATGTACTGTTATTGTCGTTGATACTCTGTTGCTATTCAGATACATCTTGGTTCAATGGGATATTCTCCAAATTCCTAAGTTGAAACTCATGAGCTTTAAGCACCGGATAAAAGCACGGCAAAGCCTTTCTATAACTTAGGGATATTCCTGATCCCTTATGTACATATCAATGGCGAGAGTAAATTTCAACCAATGCTGACACTGCTTTAGGCAATCATCACTAAGGCCACGCACTGCCTACCTACCCACCGCCTTTACACTGTCTACTCTACCCACTCTACCTTCTAGATAATCAGGCTGTGTTTAGCGGGAGGTAGGATCTGGCATAGGGCTTATGGTATACAGTGTAACGTGTACGGCCGAATTTACCCTAGTGTTGGGGTATACTGCGAATTACGGTCCCATTGGTTGATCATCAGGACTAATAACTTTAAGGCTATAAGTCATCCTTAGAAGAAAAGAATGATCCTGATAGACCTCGTGATATGCTGTAGAGGGTTGTATTGGCAAGGCGCTCGGTGTGTCATAAAACCGACGGTTCTTCATTAGCTGATACTGGATAAAAGGACACGTTGACCTAGATTACTGACGCCCTTATTACATAGCACACAGCTCAAAATATGCGAGGGGACCTTGGGAGCTATACATTGGGAAAGGGCAAGGAGGAGGGTGCGGGGAACTATAATTCTGCCCATTTTGTATTTGTGATTAGTATGATTGATTAGGAACTAGATGACCGCTTGACAGGTGACTTGGCTGACTAAACTACCACATGAAATAGTTAACTAGTTAGGTTCTGTAAGATCCAAAGTAGTGGATACAGTATAATATACAGTGTACTAAAAACAGCTCAATAACTAAAGGGCACTAAGGTCTTGGCAGTGGGGCCGACAAACAATTGATATGTGTTTGTAGGTCAGATCAATTTCGAGAATCACTGTACTGCTGGACAAATAATGCAATTATCTATTTTCATACTTGTCGGGGTTGTAGGTATACCCTGATTATACGTCGAAGGTATACATAAATAATAGCCTACGTGCTGTATAAATAGTCTCTTAAATATATGTGTCATTCGAGGGTATAGAATACTCGACACTTCTAGAGACAGTATCTCAATTATACCTCTTATTCATTGTAGATATGGACATTATACTTAGCGTATTGTATTTTAGAAGCTCTTTATGTATGATATGAATCTATAGGATACACGTGATCGCCTAGCGGCTTGGCCGGATCACCAACTCCTTTAGCCCCTGAAGGCTTTACCTATTAGTAGCCAAGAGAGAAGAAGAAGCGCTCAAGATAGTTGATACAGTCGTCCATAGAATTGAGTATCTATCAGAATGGCATCCGGTCCTCAGTAGGCTACGTACGTATAGCTGATACAGCCTCATTCAGCCCATCTTTCCCCTGAGATCACAACAAAAATAAACCGGTGTACAAGGATTAATATAATAACTTTAATAGCTAAGGATATTTATTAATATATTCTCTGAAGGTAGTCCAAGAAATGCCGCTTAGATATGACACTGGACTCACTGGTTTATATACTTCTAGAAGACCCTGGCATAAGCCTGTCCTGTAAGGGACTCTAGCTGTCTCAGATCGTATAGCGATTCGGCCTGATGAGCCTGATGACTGTACAAGATACCCTGACCCAGGTGCATAGACAATCGGCCACCGATGAGGAACATCAGGACATACGACGGTTTGGTTTTCGAGGGGGATTCAGAATCCTTTAGGCGGAGAGCCTTCCAGCTATAAATTAGCAAATCGTCAGTAGTAATAGAAGGTCAAGAATCAGTCTCCTGTCTGAATAGTATCTACCGCCTGCTTTTGATCTTTCCCTTTCCTTTAGCTTACGTATCCTTACCTAGTTGATAGGCCCTCTACCCTGAATAGTAGATACCCTTGACAACAGCTTTTACTTTATATAGAATCTGAATGGCTTTATAATTAAACAGAAAGGGCTCTTGTCCGCTGCTATACAAACACCTATGTATATTCCTCAGCTAGCTACATCTCGTAGTGAGGGATCTCACTGGCGAATTAAACGAGATCTCCAAAGCTCTTTAGGCGATCTACTAGTTATGGTCAGATCAATTGAGCGTACGATCATCAACCATCACCTTCAGATTGAGCAAGCACTTACAGATGAGCGTATTCAGGCATCTAGTGATCTACGGGCTGAACCACTATTTCACAACGTTGTTCATCATATTTCAACCTACGCGCTGAATATCGCGCTTAGCATACAAAAGCACTATCTACCAATAGGCCCAGAAAAGCCTGATTGAACATTGTACAGGAATTACTACTAAAACATTAGGGGTCCCTTATATTCATATCATCCTACATTATCGCGTATCTAGGGAGTCGCTGCCTATCTCAACCTTCCATTCTCAGTGGCTAATATTACGGGATGATCTGCCTGAACCGATTGATCTATCTATTCTAGATCCAGATCTATCAATTGAATGGCCTCATCTACTAGAACCGCTGGTTATACGGGCGCCTGGGAGGCCTAGAGGTTCTAGAAATCGAGGGATCTCAGGCTTTGAGCGGACTGAACAAGCCCTCTGGCAGCAAGTTGCTCAGGCAGGCACTCACGCAGGAAATAATCCTACATACTAGAAGATCCTTCCTAAATAGGAAAGCTCAAAAGCTTCAAAGCCATCGAGAGGCCGGCCAATATACAGTATTAGCAATACACTGTATATCACCATCCTATTATGGTTTAGCGTCTCATCCAACTAACACATCCCTAGAATAAACATTACTATTTTAGAAAGTGCTATATTACCCATCTAACTTTTATCGCAGTTGGCTTGTATATAGTATATGGTAGAAACGAATATCAGCCCTGGTATACTCCAGAGTATGTACATATATTTCCACCGCGGGATGTTTAGCCTGAGGCATCATTGCTGAGACATGGCTTCCTTCTGCGGATCCCAGGGCGGTGAGCTCTGTCGGGTGATATGATTGTAGGCTTTATTTTGCAGGGACCTGACTCACCTCATGTCACGTGCAGCTTTTTCAAGGGAAAAACTTCCGCAGTTTATCGCGAGCGGAATCACAAGCCACGTTTCTCGGGCGACATTCTCATTGCTGCGGCGAGAGAATCACGGATAATTGCAGTGTCTTGTCATACAGCTCTGCCAATATTTTTCTGACCACGAAAGCCACGCTGAAACGCCTTCCCCGAGCTGCCTAGGCCGAATTTATCCTAATTTTTCCACCCCACCATTGCCCGCGGGGCTCGTGTATATAAACAACCCGAAGAGCAAAATGGTCCATGCAACGCCAGTCCCAAGCAGTGGCTTCCAAGCTCTGATTCTCTGTGGTCCCGGTGAAAGCTTGAATACAATTTCCTCTAATCCGGAAGAGAATCCAAAATGTTTAATCCCTATCGCAGTATGTGTTTGTGAATGCCAGAGCCTGCTCCGATAACAAGAAGTCACTAAGATCAATTGATGTTCAGTTAAGGCCGATGGTGTACTACCCGTTGGATTGGTGCAAGCGCGCAGGAATAACCGGTGAGTAGAGGCAGCGCGCCTCCAGGCCATTGTGTTTTGCGGTCTTTGAATAATTACTCACTGTTCAGATATCACATTGATTACACCTCCCTCCGCTCTTACTTCTCTCAAGGCCGCCCTACAACAGAATCCTTTCCTTACCTCGCTCCCTTCACCCTCGCCCACCGTTATAGCCCCGAAGGATCTCAAAATGACGACAGGAACAGCAGAACTCCTTCGTCTACCAGAGGTACAAGCTTGCATACAATCTAATTTCTTGCTCCTAAGCTGCGATTTATTGTGCGATATCCCCGGCGAACATTTACTTGAGGCATGGTTAGTCTCACAGGGCGAGTTGGGCTCATCTGCTCAAGGAGGCTTATCCGTGTTCTATCCTGCAAAAGGCATTAAAGACGAGATCAAGAAAGAGCCAACAGATTTTATGACGATTACTTCTCTTGAGCAAGATAAGGTTCCTGCCGTCTCACGATATGAGCTCTCAAAACTAGTTATGTCCATGCCGATGGATACCTTGAAAGAGCAGATAGAGAACGATAAGAGCTTTTTGCTCCGTCATACATTGGTTGAGAAGCATGCCTCGGTCAAAATGTTGACCAGCTACCGAGACGCACATCTATACATTCTGCCGAAGTGGGTCCGATCATTTGCCCAGCACCAGGAGCGGTTCGAATCCGTCAGTGAAGACTTGATTGGATATTGGGCGAAGGCGGAGTGGCAGCGTGGGCTAGGTGAAAAGCTCGGAATGAATGAGATATTGGGCGGACGGAATGAGAGTCAAGAGGAACATGGAAGCAACGACGGCGATTTATTGGAGGACGAGATCGATCTTCAGGGCATGATCACCACCCACTCCCAGGGTTCCGAGGCCCGGAGCGCAAAGTCTTCCCTCAAAGGCCAATCCTCAGTGGAAGTACCGCCGATTTTAGCATACATGACGAAGCCGTCTAAGCAATTGATTCGGCGTGTGGACAGTGCCGCCCTGGTGTTAGCGATGTCATTGCGTCTCGCCAAGCTCGAGTCTATTGAAGAGGTTGGCCGTACTGCTGCTTCGCCATTCAGCCATGCCTCGAAGATTGCTACCCCTGAAGGAATTGCCGCGAAGTCTATTGTCACGAAAGGCGATTGTTTACTAGGATCTAACGTGACGGTAAAAGACCCAGTCTTCCGTTTGGCGCACAGTGAGCTAATGTCTTGAAAGGTGGAGGAACGGTGCGTCATAAAAGAATCGTGCGTTTCGTCTAATGCAAAAATTTGCAGCGGCGCTCGCTTGACGAGGTAAGCTCTATTTATATCCGAAAACAGCTCAATCTCTAACTTGAACCAGATGTGTAATTATGGACAACGCGGTCATCGGGCCAAAGTGTGTTCTCACAGGATGTATCGGTAAGTCGTTCACAATCCTAAAAGAGAACAGTGGTCGAGGTACTGACAAGGCTTCAGTCGGTAGATACAGTCAGGTCGGACAAGATTCTGTTCTTAAGGTGCGTGCGAATTATGCTAAGAAATTGGATCTACTACTGACCAAATTTCCTAGGACTGTGAGGTCCAAGATGGCGTTGTGGTTGAGAAGGACACCGACGCTAAGAATGAGCAATTTATGAGCTTTGAGGGTCTCGATGAGGTCGATGAGGACGATATGGATATGTAGAATGATGAGAACATGAACACAATAAAAATGATATCTTGAGGCTCAGAAGCTAGTCTGGGAACCCTCTACCACATCCTTCAAAAGAAAGTCTCTAATCTACCTATGGGGGTTACTGTAATATTGCCTCATATCTGTGAAGCTGATTGTTTTGCAGGGACAGGGCTACTATTACTATGGAAGGTTATGATCAGACGCCAGCAATATGGGATAACGATAACTGATGGTATACTATTCCGCTCAATGTAGACTATGCAAGTTCTATCGAGAAAGAGAAAGAGAACAACCCTTCTTGTATCTACAACCCCGCAAGAATGACCGTCATAAGCACAGCCATACCAGCAACAAACCAGCTGCCCTTGAGCCCTGGTGCCGAACTGTCAGATCCATCCGGAGCATCATTCGGATTTTCGTCAGTGACGATCTTGAGACAAGTCATCTGAGAAGAGGCCCGATCCACCAAGCTTCTATTGCCATCGGAATAGAACACAGTCAATACGGGCGTGACCTTATAAGCTTGTTGAGTGAGGGCATTGGCCGAATAGTTCCCCTATAACACAGAACGCAATGTTAGCAACAGCAGAACAAACGTCATTCGACAGCGTATCCACGAAATAGCACATACAAAGGCAGTCTGAACAGTAATCTCCGCCAAATTATCCGACTTAGGCAAAATAGGCCAGCACGGCGACGAGGAATTCGAGACCGCCGTTAAATTCCCAAAAGAGGTCACCGTGAAATTTCCCAACCCGCGCCCATTCCCCCCTAAATCATGACACTCGTCGAAAGACCTCTTCTTCAACTCGCGCTCTAGTGCTGCACAGGCGTCACCCTTACCATTATAGACCCCGTTGCTCGCGCGCTCCGTGAGCTTGTCGATGCATTTCTGCTCAATGACATCTGGGCAGGTCCCGTGCGCCGCGCGGGTGTCGGTACTGTTGCGGTCTTCGCCGCTGGGGTCTCGGCCGTGGACTTCGGGGCCGTCAAACCGTTTGGATGGCGGGTCGTTGAAGATGACGGCGCAGCCGGCTAGGTCTTTGGTTTTAAGTTTTGAGGGGGCGCCGAGGTAATAGACTGATCTGAAGGGGCGGGTTTGCTTGACGTTGTCTTTACCGTTTAGACCTGTTGTTACGTTGACGCCTTTGATGAGGGATAGGCCCTCGAGGGAAGAGGGGACATCTGGGATTCGGGCTAATCCGATGCCTAGAAAGCTGTGGTCGCCGACGATGCAGCGGTCATGTGCGTTGTGCTTGGTGCATGAGACTTCGTTGCAGCCTACGAGGTCGTTTGGGAGCTTGTCGTCGGCAAGGGTAGAGGTGGCCAGGGCGAGAAATAGGGCAACTGCGGTGGGTTTGAGGTAGACCATGATGCTTATAAGGTATTGAAGGGAATTGAGTGTAGGGTTTATGTGTATGTCAGGAGGGTAAAGATGGGTGTAGATTCTGATGTTAGAAGGATTGTATATACCACGCTACTAGCTAGCTGCTTTTAATATACAACATCTTTCTACACCCAGGATCCGGCACATAGATGACATCAAGGGCAACAGTTATTTTGGCCCCATCTCTACCCTAGATACTTAGCTGCAGCGGAATATCTTGGCGGCACCCGTTCGGGTAGTGGATGGCGGCGGAGTGCCGCGGAGGCCAAATCGGACAGAGTCTCACCGTCCTCGGCTGACCTCATACGTAGCATCGGGTATTGTTCGGATCAGGCACTTAAAGATATATAGGTACGCTAATGAGTATTAGATACAACACAAGTGCCGAACGCAGTCTCCATGATTCGGCTGGTTTGCTCCTTCAGGCGACTTCCTTGATTCACCCTAGCTAGTGAATATCTGATCGCACCGCTCTCATAGAGAAGCGAGTCATTAAATCAAGAAATTTATGGCATGATGCTCTTAAAAGGCCATCACATGGTCAGAAAGCGGTTAGTGAAGACGCAATCGGCAAACTGCAGTTCGCTCCGGATGGAGTCTTCAGGTTGTTGCTGACTCTGGATCCACTGGGGATTCTACCTGATGTTTGCTACCCCCAGAGTTGATTCCAATGTTGGAGCTTGAATGAACACCCCTCCACTGGAGCCTATCAGAAGCTGGATTGTGTAGTAAATTGTTGTGTTAAGCTCCCGAGCGAGGCCGCAACGAACCCAGTTTAATGTACAACACAGTTCGATATCATGGCACCAAAGGCTAGGTCCATTCGGCCGGAATGATGTAGATGCCAGACCTGACAGTTGAATCCTTCTCAGTGTCGCCAAGAACGCAAGAGCGGAATCGCAGTTCGTGTTTACTGCTTAGTTGCATGGTATCTGGGCGTCCAATTTCCTGTTGCTTGAAACATACAGACAATTTGGACAATATGACGTCAAATACGTTGGCCCCCAAGACATTCACTTTATGGTCGTTCTTGGATTGACAGAAAGGGGGCCAAATGAGCATCTAGTTGCATCGCGACAGTATACAGATGACCGAGGAGATAGACGGAAGGAGGGTCGATCCTACCTCGTCGTCTATATAAGACCAGTCGATTCCGCACCATAATGTTCTCTTTTCGCATTCAGGACTCGCAATCCCTTCGCATTGACCAAGTTCTCTATCCTTTTGTCCTCATCTGGCCTACCACGATGTCTCTGGTTGATGCTATCGGTGTCATCTCAGGCGCCCTGACCATTGTCGGATTTGGCATTGATAACTTCGGCGAAAGCTCAACTTCAGTCTCGATCATCAAGGTTGCCGTTACCCTTGATGGGACCGGTGGCACCACAGATGCTGGGGGTGACCTCCCCGACGTGTACGTGGACTTTCATTCCAGATACTTCATTCTAACTGGCCGAACTAGACGAATCTGGAACGATTTGGGAAGCTTTGTGGGCATGAAGGCCGATCCTGACCATGTTAACAATGGAAATCTTAGCGAAATATCAATAGACCACGGTAGCCAGGGTGTATACACCCTCTTCTCTACCAACAGTGATGCTATCTGCGTTGCCTGGGTGACTACTACATGGAGCGACGATCGGGGTGGTAATCAATATGCCGTCTCTGGAGACTATGGTAAAGAATGTGGCGCCAACTGGTTCGCCAGCAACATGTATAACAATAGTGAACAGGATCACCTACCTAATTGCTTCTGGATCAATGCGGACGGTGATCAACCATCGACCGGGTGAGAACAGCACTGACCCACAGAGGAAGTGTAACGGAATTGACTTCGGAGTACGAGACGAGGAAGATCCTAACACGATCAAGTACTACGTAAAGAATAAGCGAGACGCCCCTGTTCGCGCCCGTCAGCAAAAGCGCCGTCCTGCCTGGGCAGATTCTGACCTCATTATCAGCGACTCAAAGCACCACTCGGCCAAAAGTCTCGGTGAGTCAGATACCTGCTCGGGACCCGATTTCGCACATGCTGGGGAGAGCCTCTTCTGCGACATGGGCTCCAAGACCCTCTACGCGTTCTGCAGCGAGAATGGTTTAAGGCTTGCTTCGACTTTGGTTCTCAGACAGTGACCAACAGCGAAACAGTCACTACCATGAGCACCGATGATGCTGGGGCTGCTGGTCGTTACACGCGAGTTCTTGACTAGCGTAAGAACAGTACTGCAGCCTGGGTGTACACATTGTTCCCTTGAACGTGCATGCAGATATACCTTTGAGAGACCTGTCAATTTTGTCTCACGGCTTTCAACCCAAGCTTTGCTGTGGCCTGTCCCAAAAGCCTGTATATCATCTTTCCTATCTCTTGCCTTGATCATCTCTCAGAGCCTTTTGACACAATGTATAAATAATATAGAATGGTATTTTGTCAAGGTGAGATGACAAGTGATAGGTTGCGAGGAGTTTCAGGCTTGGAATAGGCAGCAGTTTCATTTAAACGCAGTCACCGTTCAACGCTATGAGCATTCTTTCTATACTAATCTTAAATGGGGTTTAAATACACAGATGCATATTCAATCAGAGATTTCTCCCACCATTGGATCTATCTCTATCATTCGCACCCAGCAAGTACCCTTGTTGTTCCCATACCTCCAGTGCCTTGATATGTAATTCCCCTTGCTCCTCCAATGTCCGGACTGGCCCTGTCTTGCCACGTCACTGACGAGATTCGGCCGTCTCAATCATTGAGATATTACCGATGCAACTGGAGGGAGCGTCGAGGTCAGATTTGCACTTTATCTGGAGCTCATACGTGCGGTACTCTACATTCGTCCAGCCAGTTGCTATCCCACGAGAATACGTCAGCCTTCACACCTGCCACGAAAGTGGAACCAGGACAGACCTTCCTCAATATAGCTATCTTCCTAATCCTTAGTCAAGAAGTGTAAAAATTCACCATGACTGACAACAACGATGTCCTTCTCTTCCCTATTGCTCAACCAACGCCTGACGGCATGGGAGCGCTCTCAAATCGCCTTGATCGTAGGTTTGTATCTGCCATCCTATAGCAAAAGGCCCGGTCAGTCTTAGTGAACCACTATATTTCCTACACAGTAAGCAATTGATCAAGTACAGAATGAGGGCCAGGAATCGACTCATTTTGCTAGTCCATGAGTCGTCAACATGGCTATAGACAATCAAGACATCCAACCCCTCCAGCTTTTCTTTCAAATTCTCAACGTCACACCCTATATCGCATGGAAAATCGCTAATCTCTTGTAGATCCGGAAGCAGGATTAATTTCTGTCCTTGTCGGAATTGTAAAACCGGAAGAAAGCCCTCCAGCGCCGAATGTACGGCATGACACAAGGGAGAGGAAACAACCAGCTCGACGTTCGAATGAAAGTGAAAGTTATTTCGCAGTTGGAGGCACTGATCTCTGCCTTTGTCCGTCAGGGGAGGGTCGATGAGAGACCAGTATGCTTGACCGAGGTTGTGTAGCCCCTGTGGTACCTATGAACATGCCTCAAATGGCCTTATCTACAGAAAGGCCCGAGGTGATCGTACCTCTGCTGTCGGACTAGATGGATTATCGGTGGCATTTTGTGCCCCACGTGCCTGAGAGTTGACTGTGTTTTCTAACGTGGTGAGTCTGCGTGTTCTGGCAAGATATCTTGGTCCAACGGCTTATGTGCCTGGTGATGGTAATAGAGAGGGACCAGAGATGGAGAGTCAGATACGGATCGGAACATGGAGATGCTGTAGGATACTCCGTCCTTTGGAAAAGAAGGCTCTCTAGGCTTGCATGGCTCAGAATTATGTTTTAGGGCTGGATGTATGGTTGGACAGCGTCAAACCTCGAAGCCACAGCGAATGAGGTGGTCATGTCTCCACCAAAACTTTAGTCTATCATCTTGGCTTCCTCATCGGGTCAAATCAGAGTACAACGTGAGACATACTGATGTTGTCTGTGATCTGTCATCCACCGTCTACGGAGTACAGGAAGAGCCATCAGTTCTTTCCCACTTGATCGGCTACGTTCTTAGTGAACTAGACTCGACCCTTAAACCAGTCTAGGCGTGTTTCTGCTACTTTCTTGTTCATTATTCTGATCATTCTTGGTTGTTTGATCACCCTATAGAAGAGCGTCTGACGTCTCCATCCCTCCATTAGTCCAATACCTTGCGACGAGCAAGATAGATGAGTAGGGAGGCATCTTTGTGGCTACGTTTAGAGACTATTGCCTAAGCCGGCCACGCAGAGCTTCTGCGAGGATCAGGCAGAGCTCCTTTGTCCAACAGCATCTTGACTACATCATAATAACCATGATGGGCGGCATAAGATAAAGGGATGTATCCCTCCCTTTCCTCTAAGTTGCAGAATTCGTGCCCCTTTCTCAACTCCTCCAGCTCCATCACCTTAAGAGATCCAAGAGCAACAGCGGGGAATATTAAGTTCTCATTAGCCATGGTGCCCAAGTCTCTGAAAGATTTCCAGTGTCGATGGTCAGCCCAACCTAGAAGAAGCCTCACTGTTCTTTTATGGAAGTAAACCGTAGCGGTATTCGGGTGCGCTGGGCCCTCGTCCGTGATCAATGGAATTGGTACCAAACCCCTCGCCTGTGATTCCTGGAAATTGTTCCAACCCTCTGTATGGTCGTGAGGTGTTCTTGCCGCAGCTTTGAACGTATTTTCAGTGACCTCAATCGGGTATCTTTGTCGGTCTAGCAGTACTGTTTATATTTCTTTATCACTCTCTGCAGCTATGGTGTTTGCGATCTGGATTTTGCCTTCTTCATCTGCCAGATTATCAGCTACAGCGATCATCCACTGTCAGCCATCTGGACCTGCGCTCCCTGCCAGTTCAAAAGGACCTTGATTTTGTTCGTATTAAAACCTTGACTGAGTCTTACCGCTGCTTTGGCGGTGATATAGATCAGTTGTCTACAGCGGGTCAGAAGCAATTCCATTCTTTTTTCACCATTAGTCGAAGGCGAGCGGCAGTATTAACCATGTCTTTGGTAATCTGGACACAGGTTTGTTGTAGATCCAGAAGTAGTTTCAATATTTGATCTCCTTTCTGTCGGTTGCCTAGTGCAGCAATAAGCATGTCCCGAGTGATCTGGATAGGCTTTCCTTCTTGTCGATTTAGGAGTAGTTCCAGGACTTTTCACTACTCTGCTTATTATCTGCTGCAGCGATAAGTATACGCTCAGTCACCGCCATTCTTGTCTCTCTATTCTCCAAGAACAGAGCTATCATATCAAGTTTTCCTCCTTCTACTAATTCTTCCTTCCAATGGTGCCACTCCGTTACTCGATTGAAACCTAGCAGCGTTTGATGTGACATACTTTGTGGCACCTGCGAATTCCAATCTGGAATATCCGTCGAGCAACGCGAAATGCTTTAGGAACACGGAATGCCCCTCTGGCTGCAATGTGCAATGGATGCTTGGGCTCGCCCTCCTGAGATTACTGTTACTGAAGGTTTGACTGGTTTGAGTCAATAGAATATCCTGAGATTCGGGGTCACCATCATCCAAGGCATCAACTATACAGTAAACTTCTCCATTTGCCGCATCATGCCCCATGTACATCAGTATCATCCACAGCCCGTCAAAGGAATCAAATACCCTCTGTTCTCGTTCTTTGTATGTAGGAAGTATAAACCTTATCCGTTGTGGGCGCTGTTTGACTAGCTGAAATAGGAGGCCCCGTAATATAGCATTGACAGTTCGCCGAGTCTCGGCGCTAGAGTCACAGAACTAGAGTCACAAAAGGAGTAGATGAGAATCTTGCTCGCCCCGGCAAAGGTAGGTTGAGATGATAGACGTTCTGCAATCGTGATTGCCATAGTTGACTTCCCAGTTCCTGGATTACCGTAGAGCCATAGAATGTTCGAGGTACCCTCAGCAACCTCTGCATGCAAACAGAGCCATCTCTTCAGTTCAGCTGTTCTCGATGAACCACTCACATGTGCCGGGAGCAGGACTTCCTTTCCTACGCTTCAGCGCATTTTTGTCTGCAGTAGGATCGGTGACGAAGAGATTCCGCAAACATTTCTTTTTTCTCCTTCTCAGTAAATCCAGCCCCTATCAGTGAGTTAGCAGACCGGTATCAGAGAGACCGGAGCGAATCACATACTGCGCATTTGTGTTCCCTTACAAGTCACAGAAACAACGGATAATAGAAATTCTGCATACGCTGTCGCCGTCAATAATGCGTAAGCTTGCCACTGCTTATGTTTATGAGAAACATAGTAGTCACAAATGCCTCGAATTTATCAGACATGGCAGCTGATCCACCAGTCCCGGCGGCCTCCATTTCAAAGCAGAAAATCTCCCGATCTCGGGCAATCTGATCTCGTCTCAGGGGTATATCCTTCATCACTGGGTTCCGAGAAGCGATCAGAACGAAAGGCTCATCGGTGGCTCGCGGCGTACGATTGACACTACTTCCGTAGAAGGGGAAGACCCCCGAAATTAAGACGACCAATGAAACACGTGTCAATAAATCCTGATATGAAACATGATCTAGAATTAAGTTTCGCATTAATAACGTTAGATGCTTACATACCCTTGTTCAATACAGCTTCACTATTTATACTAACTATTTATAATCTAGCCCTCGCTTGCCCTGCAGCCTCCACAGCAGCAGCCTTCAAAGATTTCCAATACTTGTCCTTCAAGCCCAAGACCCCGAATCCCTGCTCAGCCCACTCGTCCTCCCACGGCGGCAGCTCGTAAGCACTCGTCTCCGGCGCAGGGGGGCCCGCCAAATCACGAAGGAAATCAAAATACTCCTTAAAATCAGGCTTAATCTCATGAAACAGAGAACTTGGGCCCTTATACTTCAACCGCTCGATCTCCCACAGATCCTGCACCTGCGCACTAGGCAAGGGCTTCGCATTCCGCCCAGCGAAATACCGCGCCACAGCGACAGCCTGATACTCATAAACCCGGAAACTAATCGCCGCGCGCACCTGACCCACCAGCGCCAGCGACGGATCCCCGATCTTGAACACATGCTGGTAGAAGCCGGCTACGCGATTGTTGGGCGTGGTGGGATTGGGCCGAAGGAAGGGATACGCGAGATGAAATCCTGTGGCGAAGATGACCTTATCCACGTTCTCGACGACGCTTCCGTCGGCGAAAATCACATTAACCCCGGATCCTGTTGTCTCAATGCGTTGGATTGTTGGCTTTCCTTCGACGTTGGGGAGATCCCAGGCGGCTTGCATGGCTTCGTTCTTGCCTCGTTGGGAGAGGTATAAGGGTCCCTTGACGATGGCGTGTAGATCTGCGACCAGATCGGCGGCGGATACGCTTCCTCCGACTACGACGACTGTTTTGTCGACGTAGTCGTCGGCTGCGCGGAAGGCCTTGGAATGTTCGAATGTTGTTGGGTGAGTGTTCGACGCTTGGTCTAGACCTGCGATTTCAGGGACGAAGGGGACGTTGTAATGCCCCGAAGCGATTATCACCGCGTCGAAATGTTCTTGCCACCAGTATTCTGCTGGTTGATTGTCGGGAAGCTGGCCTGATCTACGAAGAGTCACGGTCCACTTTTCGCCGTTCTTCTCAACTTTCTCGACTGTTGTGTTGAAGGAGACAAGATGGAGATATTCCTGGAGGAGGTCTGCAAGATATGCAGACACGACCCGGAACGGACGGGAGGGATTCGACTTCCCATATTGTCTAATTGATAGGGCGGAGTTGATTTTCGGGAGCGAGGTGTGAGTGAAAGCCATGGCTGCGGCGCCGACATTGCTGTCGAGGGTGTCGTAGATGCCTGTCCGCGCGGTTGTGTCTTCGGGTACCGGGGGTGTAAACGCTGGCAGCTTGGAGGGAATCTTGATTTGTCTCACTTTTGAGGCACTAGATGTGGGAAAGAGATCAGGGACTGGATCGTAGTGCCAGAGCCCTCCGGCAAGATCTCGTCGTTCGAAAACGCGGATTGCGTCGAAGATCTTTTCATCGTTCAAGGCCTTGACGGCAGAGATACCAGATGGACCGGTGCCAATGACTGCTACGCTGCTGTATCGGGGACTCATTGCGAAGCTATTCAATATATATTTTTTTAAGTTCAATAAGAGGAATGTAATTCAGAATTCCCTAATAATAAAAATGAACTAAAGCAGAGTGTAATCATATACTGATCCGCAAACTGCTGTATTGTTTTTATTTATACTCCAGTGACACCACCACATTAGTTCTCACCGTTCCTTGCGTGAAGTTACCCCATATATTCGACATTGGAACTAAAATAATTGAATTGCTGTTACTCAATTTGTTGAGATATCTGTCTTCAAAGTGATTGGGGCTTTCCGTGTGTTGTTAGCCTGACGTGATTCGCGCTTAGTATGAGCATTGCAGATGTGGAGGAGAACTGATATCGGCAATTCAGCATACAGTTGGGAGATATGACTGGTCAATTGCGTTTAGCTAGCTTATTTAACGGGAGGAAGGATTCGTATTATTTATTTTCCTGTTGTGTACATAAAGTATTACTTACCTACTCGCACATAGACCTCGGAACCCAAGCTTCGAAACACCGTCATTCTTTCTCTCTTTTGCTTGTGTAGGTGTCTTTTGAATAGGGCAAAGCCATAGTTAGTGTAATGGGGATAATGCAGAGAGCCTAGTATCTCATGAGACAGGTATTACAGATAGTTTGCATGAATGCCTCATATTGAAGCTCTTGACCCTCTTGTCCTCCGGGCATCCCAGCGAGTGAGCAATAATATAAGCGTAACCACCACCAGTTGTGCCACAGTGGTTGCTAGATTCGAAATAAATCCTCTTCTGAAGTTCGGAGCTTCGACGGCCGGATACTGCAGTAATTGTGTCCACGCAGACATGGCCTGACCGAGAGCATTCATGCTGGCCGTCACGACTGCACGCTCCTCGGCATCGTTGGCCATTGTCACTGTTGCCCAGCTCATTGTGAGAGGGCTCATTGCTAAATAATTTTATTAGAGCGATTGAATTGCAAAAAGATGAGTAGGGAACGAGAGGGAGGCGAGTGTGAATATGCAAGGGGATTCGGTTACTCACCACCCTCAGCTCCAGTAAGAATAAAGCCCGCCAATCGCCCAGCCTCACCTATATCCCAAACAACAAGCATGATGAGGCCCACTAGAACTGGGATTGTAGTGATAACAGAAGGAAGCCAGAAATTCCTTTTCTTGTCCACCGCCGTCCCAGCGATCAAGGCAGCCACAATGGAAACTGCCGTTGCGATCGTCGGAAGGGTATTTATTCTCATGACAGAATAAGTATCTGACTTTTCCTTGAGGTAGAGACTAAAAGGTGTGGAGGAAGCCAGGAAATTCTGGTCAATGAGTATCCATTGAGTAACGAAGACATACCAATGCCATCGGCCGAGAACACGCTTGAATATGTCGCGGGAGACTTTCATCTGGCTCGGGGCTGTGAGGCCTACCAAGCGAGAATTGGCAAGTTCGTGCTCTTTCTGGGTTAAGAAGCGTGGTTTTGTACGGTGGGGGACATCAAGGAAAGCTATGTATCCTCTGTGTACGGTTAGTGTTATCTTCGAGATAGTTGGTAAGGCCTGGCGTACAATATACATATGGGTATTGTGATGATGGTGCAGACGATGAAGAGCCATCTGTAAGCTTATTAGCCTTGATGCTTACAGCTATATCAAAAAGATGGTTACCTCCACCCCGCTAGTCCATGCGCATTATCCAGGTTTGTATATGCCGCCGCCTGAAGATAACCAGCGAACATTGTCCCCAAAGGCGATGCGATGAAAAACAAAGATACCCGGCGACCGATTTCTTCAGGTTTATACCAGGACCCAATGACATAGATCACACCAGTAAAGGAACACGATTCACAGATTCCAATGAGAACCCGCATCGCGTAGATGGTGCCCGGATTCTGTGCCCATGCACATCCGAACGTGAACAGACCCCATCCGGCTTCCAATGTAGGCAGAACAATATTGATTCGGTTTCGGGTCAGATAGTAACATGCCGGAATCATAGATGCGCAGTATGCTGCCCAGAATACGGCCGTAATGTAATTGAGCTCGTTCCCGACGAGTCCAACATCTTCTCTCATTCCTCTATTTTCTGGGGTTAGCCTTTGTCAATTTGTCAGAAAATATTTTTTATCTTGTTGGCTTACGATACGTAGGCATTCGTTATGGCTTGCTGGTCTAGGTATTTGGTGAAGAACGAAAGGCAGCCAAATGTGAGGATTAACACGTCCAATTTCAGTACCAGTCGCTTCTCCAGATGGTCCATGTCCTTCGTATACCATCCCGCCCATGTTAGGAATTGAATCCATGGTCCGTCACGACCCTTGAGGGTAACCTCTTCACCTTCAGACAGTTCTCGAGTTGCATTTTGGGTAAATTCTTTTGATGTGCTCATAGTATGGTCCTGCCCTACACCGCGGATGTAAAAGTCAGGTAAGCTAGGGCTTCGGAGAAGTCAGCAACGACATAGAGGTTAAATTGAGCAACAGTCAAAGCCTGACATAAGTCACGGCGACACCTCTCCAATTGCGGAGAGTGAATGGGGTATGATAGAGCGATCTCATAGCTCTATGGTATCATTGCGATAAATCCAGAGATATCTAGAGTGATGATGGAAGGAATTTCCCATTCGGGTAAAAATGGTCGGCTTCAACGATGTTGATCATGGATGTTAGGGCTAATGTCATGGTCGGCGGTATTGACGCCATTTATTAGTGGCATTTATCAATTGTGCCATTGAAAGTCGATATTGCTACCATTCTAGCATGGTTGGTCAAGTAAAATCTCTAGCGATAACTGTATAAATAAGGAATGTAATGCTATAAATCGGTTGTTGAACGTTCTTAGTAAGTGTTCTCCTCCCGCCTTTGTAGCATTTATAGAATGAGCCCCATGCAAACCAGAATATAAACCCACTGCTGAAACCTCTAATGTTCCATTACTACCCCGCCCTAAACATCATCCGTTTATCCAATCATGGCCCACCTGGAATCACGCAAGCACATCTCCCCTGATTCGGGTTTCCCTATCACACTCCACCCCAGCTTCAACCCCAAGATCAATCAGCATGTCCCTCCGGAGCCCATCCGTGAAGCCTTCATTCCGCCAAGAGACCGGGCATTCTTTGCAGACCCTGAAAAGAAGGCTCTATTTTCTGTCGCAAAGCCCGTAGATTTAACCGAGTCAATCGGCACTCTCCTCGAAAATGTGCAGCTGTCCCAGCTGGATGAGCAACAGCTGGATGAGTTGGCTCTTTTGGTGACTGAGAGGGGAGTGGTTTTCTTCAGGGATCAGGGCTTGACGACGGAAAATCAGGTGGAGTTATTCCAGCATTACGGTAGGCAATGGGTTCCGACAGTGACGATTCTCCGTTGCTGATATTTGCCTCGTACAGGGGTCCTCGATAAGCATCCTGCGCAGAAGGTAAGAACCGAAATAGTATCCAAATAGGGCACTTCATTTAGGACTAACAAGAACCCAGGATCAGAAAGTGAGCCAGGGTGAGCCATATGATCGGCCTTTTCTAATAAATTCGATAGTTCGTGAATATCCACGGCAGCCGTGAGGATCATCGCGAAATCGCCAACTACACCCCCTGGGTAAGACCACACGTGCAACGTTTATCCAAGACAACTCAATTAACACTGCAAAAGCCAAGCGGCGAATTCCACGCAGATACCTCCTTCGAGGTTAATCGTACGTCTTGTCCTATTAGCATGCTTGAAGCACCATGTACTGACCCCCCTTTTAGCACCATCATACTCGCTCCTACGAATGGAAGAACACCCAGACGTCGGAGGCGACACAGCCTGGGTACGTTCATTGAACCACCACGACCACTCTAAGCCCTTCACCCTAACCCAGAGAACGACCAGGTCTCCCAATACGGCCTGTACGATGCCCTCAGCAAAGCATACAGGATTTTCCTCGACAGTCTCCACGCCGTCCACACTTCCAGACTCCAATGTCCGTCCGCCCCCTACCCACAATCAACCAAAATCGTCCTAACAAAGATCCAAAACAGATGACACCATCCTGGACCTCTGGGGCGTCGGTCCAAACCGGTCCCCCATCGACACCCACCACCCCGCCGTCCGAACGCACCCCGTCACCGGATTGAAAGCCCTCAACGTGAACACCGGGTTCGTGACCGGATTCGCAGAGCTCAAGAAATTAGAGTCGGGTACACATTTCTGCCTTTTTCAAGACCAATACTTGCTCGTTGGTTGTACACTGCGACGGATGCTGACGTAGTCTGCACTGTAGACAAGCTTTTGGATTTCCTGACGCATCATATCCATGCCGCTGATGATCACTATGTAAGGTGGAAGTGGGCGGTTGGGAGCGTTGCTATGTGGGATAATCGGTATGAACTCTCGTGATGGGTTGATGGCACTGTTGGAGGGTGCTTACGCTATTGATTATAGATGTACTGTTCATCGAGTGATTCCCGGCAGATATAAGGGAAATAGACGTGGGATCCGAACAACCGTCTTTGGTGAGAAGCGTGAGTATGCGACTATGTCAAACCGATGGTAGGGAGAATATATGAACTGATGGTTTGCGGGTTGCCAGCTTATTTAGATCCTGCTAGTGAGAGTCGAGACGAGCGCCAGTTGCGCCAAGTGAAGAGTGTCAATGGGGAGGTTTGACGGCAGTGTAATTGAGGTTTGGAGCTTGATTGGTGGATTACCATTATAAGCGACTCTGTTGGACCGAGAACTGAAGTTATACAAGGGCTCAGGTGGTAAACTACATTCGATTCTGTTTCATAGGTATCATTCCTACCCATCTAGTAGTATATCACGGCATCCTCGATGCCTATTGCCTGTACTGCTAATAAACATTCACTGTCCGAAGATTCAACAGACGAAAGAAATACAGTCGGACTCTGTCGCCCACTAGGCGAATATCAAACCATGCCATCTTTAATATGACTGACGGAAAAAATCACAACCTTAGTCCATCGGCAAAAGACGAAAAAGAAACAAGGCGAAATCCAACGGGATCAGATCAAATAGTCAACAAGCAAACGCATTTGAACATGAACATTAAGCTGTGGATCTCTTGCCTTCCAAGAGATGCAAATGACAAACCTGTTCCGAACGATTATTGCTCCCCGAAACGCCACCCAATTGAGAAAGCCGGGTATATCCAGCACCATGATGCAAAAATGTACGGAGAATAATAGGTGAGGACAACTGTCACGGCCGGATCTATCATATCATACCAGTAGATCCAAGACCTGGCCCCCATTTTTGAACCTGAAACCTATGCACGTAGAGATGCGGAATAAAAAGGAAGGGGAAAGCAAATCAAAATCAAAAAAGAGAAAGGGAAAAAGGAAGGAAAAGCAGGGCAAAGCGCAACTTGCTTTTGGTTTGTCAAGTTTTCACCGGTTATCTGGCCCCAATGCCATACATACCGACCCCGTAGCTTCCACCTCTTTCGGGTAGAGGAGTTGCAATCTTCGACACATGATCCTTGGGGCCAATGTTAATTAAGGTAGATCACTCTAGAAACAGATCCCGTACCTTCTTCCGTTTCTTCTTGCTAATCCCTTCGCTATTGGAATAGAATGCGCCATCATCATCGTCATCTGCGTAGCCTTCACCGTAACCAACAAAGCTGTTGTCATCATAATGCCTCTTACGCCCCCGACTGGGCCGGATCCGTTCCGATTCGGCTGTAGTAGGTGTTCCATTCGGTTGGCTAGGCGCTCGAGTGCCGTTGGAAGGTGTCGCGGTCTTTTTGCTAATATCCCCAGTGCTGGCATGTTTCGACTGCTTTTCGTGACCTAGGATATCTTCCCAGTAATCGTTGTTCTGGACTGTGCCCGGCTCCATTTTCATGGCTTTCATCTGGAGATTATGCAGCGCGGAATCGATATCAGCAACCTTGATTTCCTTCCCGAACACTTTCTGGTTTTGCCACTCTTCTTCCGGCCACAACGTCATGTGCCTCAGCCCGCCGGGAGTATTTGGGTCATGTTTCACAGGTTTATTCCTCCCTGCTAGGCCTAGACCCTTCAATTTCCCTTCGTAGGACTTCCTAAGTCTGTTGATCTTCTCCCCCGTTACTGGATCCATCCTTGCAACCGATTTCGCAACCGGACCAAGCCCGTATAAGGAGACAAGATCATAGGACGGGTCCGGACCAGTCGCAATATGGGCTGTATATTTTCATAGCACAGTGTTAACAAATCTCAATCCAAGAAGAAATGAACCAGAGTGCATTATGAAACGGCAACAGCCGCACCAAGGATTGGTATTGGGGAGCTCTTACAACTTTTGCAAAGATGAAAGGCCGACGTAAACTCTTTCTGCAGCGATTCTAGACCTGAGTCATGGTTAGATGGAGCCGCCATGTCCTTATCGATATCCATGGCACCGCCATGATCCAGCATGTCCTGGCCGCCCATGTTCCCAAAATCGCGGACTCCGGTTTGCGCTCTCGGCCCTTCCGACTGCCGCTCATGATCTGTTCGCCTGTGCTCTGCTTGTTGCATGGGTGCATTCATGTCTGCTGTAGATATCGCTCCCATTTCCTGCCCAAACGACTTTTCTGTATGTTCGCTATCATCGACAGGCGTTGCCCCCGTGAAGTGGCCACTCACACTGCTAGCTGGCGTCGGAAACGAATTCGTTGTACCTACTGTTGGCTGTTGTGAGGCTTGGGTAGACATCGGCACGGAAGAAGGCGGGGAGGAGAGGTTTGCAGGTTGTAACGTTGCCTGACCGGGTGATGTTTGCGAGGATGCGAAATTGGAGGCATAGCTCTGAGCGCTTACCGACATCAACGGAGGAGATGTCGGGGTCTGCGGAGTATGTTCGGATGAGATATATGGAGGATGGTCCGCTTTCAGAGACCCAGCGGCTGGAGACGATGGCGAAGGAGGTCCTAGTCGGAATGACGCCGAGGAGGCGCGATCGGACATGGAGTCCCGAGTGAAGGTTCGGTGAGAGAAGATTGATCAAAGCCTGAGCAGCTCTGAGTCTTGCGGCCTCAAGACGAGGACTATATCGCAGACTCTCGACTTCAGGGCAGATCAAAGTGGACCAGGGCTATGAGGGGGTGGGCTGGAAATCACGCCGGTCGAGATTCGCTCAGGCGGGCGAGCAGGACGTTCCACAGCCGTCTAATATCCACACATTCCAATGATCCAGTTCTGAGCGCTACTAGGTTGCTATCGAGTCAGTATTTCGATGAGCAAAATAAAAGAGTGGAAGGCGAAAGTCGGCGATCGTGGAGAGAGCGATGGCCCTTTGGTCCGCACTGGAGGAGAAACGGATGGGCTTTGAGATGTTGGATGACGGCAAGAGGCCGGGAGTGCACGTGATCTAGCCCTTTTTCAACGCTTGTAAGTTACAGAACCCGTCAGTACGCTTTCCACAATTTTCCGATTGTTCATTGGTGGCGCATTGTATGAAATCCACGCTTTGTACTTCACAATGATGCCATTCACTTTTTTCTCTTCACCTTTTTCTGCCCTGTCCCAATCATTGTGCCAAAATTAAGGCTTTCTTTTCTTTCTTTCTTTCTTTCTTTTTTTTTTTTTTGCAGATATAGATGGAGAGATCACACTACCTAGATCTTGGGGGTGATTTCCTTACAAAACTTAGAAACCCCAGCCACTGCCTAGTGCCAGTGATCCACCCACCTAATTCGCCTCATCTACGGATAAGTGAGAGGTAATATCATGACGGATTTTGCCCACGTCGTGGAAATATTAAACTGATTCATGGCCATAAGGGCGACTCCAAAAAAGTAGTCCGGTAGACCTGTATCCCTCCCTATCATAATAGTATATCACCTAGGTGACGAAAACCAACCAAAATTAGCTCCAAACACCGAGTGCACATATCTCATAACCCTTTTTTGAATAATCGCCTATGGGTATATCTAGATTCACGTATTCAAAACAAACATCGCTGCGTTGAAAGAACCACAAGGACTCTCGCGATAGCAAGGGTGAACAATGCACCCCAAACCAAAGATCAAGACTGGTAAAATGTCGCAGACTCCCGCACAAGTTGCGCCGACACATCGGGAATGTTTTCTTCCAACTTCGCCATCAGTTCGATCTGCTCTTGCTGACTAAGCGTTCTCTCGCGCCACGATGGAGTAGGGTACGCTCCATTGAAATATTGAGAATACTGATTCCCAATAGAGTCCATCCAGTCCATGGGATCAACGGCCGCCTCCACATACGCAAGGTGGCTCGCAGTCGTGGAGGCAAGCGTAAAATCGGGATCCCATCCTTGTAAACCAGGAACGATCGAGGGAAACTGATTGTAAGGTGTCGCCGGGTCGAACCGTCCATCCGAACAAGCGACAGTCGGTGGGGTGAATGAAGAGGCGGTATATGGGGTCGGTGTTGCGCTCGAGTTAAGCTGCCGTGGCTGGACTTGATGGTCCCACAGCGGATATGAAGCCACTTTCAGCGGTTCCGATAAAGGCGACGTGGTTGGGAATGGGAACGCCGGATCTGCGGAGTGGCCTCTTGACAATGTGCCAGAAGACAAACTGTCCGGGATGGAGGTGTTGATCCCCCGCACATTCTGCGAATGGAATGACGCTGTGGTGCTTGCAGGGCTGGAGATAGATGGCGGCGTCGCAACATCCTGCGAGGACGCTGGTGTTGTGTGGCTAGACGGAGATTGGACAACGAAGGATTCATCGGTATTGTATGCTTTGAGACACGCCGCCACGAGGCTCTTGTATAGGAGTAGGGCTGATGCAACACCCGGCCACCTCTCTGCAGCAAGGACGATAGCGTCTAATGCTACGTCAAGATGGCGTTTGACTTCATCGATGGGATGCTCCCTTCGAATTTCTGGATATGATAGAGACCAAAGGATAGTATTCAGAGCCATGAACAAGGATTGAGTAAAGATCCAGGTCAAATCGACTGATTTAGTCGCAATTTGCTCTCTTTGCATTGCCACGTTAAACACGGACGCCTCATAGCATTTCTGCGCAGCGCTGACCGAAGGCTCAGGTACCTGAGGAGAGGGCCGATACATGAAGACAATCATCGTATTGCGTCTGCCGTGGAACCTGTGATATTATAAGTAGACGAGCTAAGAAAATCCAGGATACAATATACTTACCACTTTTCACTCAAGCCGCTCCCACCGTCGTTTTTGGGACACGAGGCTACCCAATAATCAAGTTTATTGAGCATTTGCTGGAACCATGGATCTTGATCGTCAACAGGAGCATCCCGCTTATTCAGATAAAGAACCCGTCTGATCTCCAACTGTAGCAGCCGCATCTTAAAGAAATGTATCGCAATACACTTGGGTAAGATAGGTTTTCCTCCTGGAAGGATTCCGTCCGATGTGATGAACTTATCATCTATCTGCTCGAAAAAATTGACCTTGATATGGTCGTGGCTGACAGAATAGCAACTAGGCCGTCCTAGGCTATGAGATAGGCCAAATTCCATCGAAGTGACAATCCAAAAGAGCCTCCTTCGCATGTCTATCTCCAAAGGATTCAACATCTCCCCACTAGTCGACTTCGTAATTGTAGTTTCGTCAGTGAGGCCTAGGTCTTGACATAATTTGACGGCTATTCCGACAACCCAGTACGCAGCGGTTCTTGTCGGCGTTAATAAAGAATACTGGCCTATCAAAACAAGACATTGCAAAGCTTTCAGATCCATTCGTCTCAGAGATGCTTCTAGAAAGGGTAGCGCGGCTAAGTAATAACTGTCGGCCAATCCTGCGTAAGCAGTACTCATCTTTTGCATACTAATGGCAATCACCATTCGTAGCTGAAAATTCTTGCAGGGATCGTTAGATCCATTGAATACATCTTCAACCTCCTGGCGGAAAGTAGGCTCATGTAGTGTTGGGAGCATCGCTTGCGCTAGGGGAGTGTCAGCGCGCAACCACGCAATTGGTATAGGAAAGTTAACGGGGAAGGGAATAAAGAAGTCTAGCGGACAATGTAATACCTTTGACCACGAACACATCAACAAGTCTGTAAGTGACATATTTCGCTGGGAGGTTGGGTTGTGGGTTCGAGCTAATTATAGGGTAAACTTTGGAAGTTGGTTTAGAACTTTCTTGCTCAAACGCTTGCTTAATTTCCTGTGCCGTCAATTCGGGCACAACGTCTTTGATGCTCTTCGAGTCCGTATTCTGTTTGGCCATCTCCATAACCAGGCGAGTAATCGCAATACCACTCGAAGGGCCTAAGAATCTTGCCTCGTCATTTTCTTTGAATCGAATGCGACCAGCTCCGCGAACCATTAATTCTGCATCTGCTGCATGCTGGAATTCCTTTTCGGCTTGTTCCAGTTCCCTCTCCAACATACGAGCTTTCTCACGTAGTGAAACGATGTATGTCCTTGGTATGGCACACTTTCGGGCGGAATCGAAGTACACGCATTTTGCATTGCTGCGTTCACAAGGAGAGCATCTTGGTATACCGGGGTCACACCTAGATTTACGCTGCATTTGACTTAGTATGACCATCCCTACCTTAGATAGAGCAAGAGAGAGAGGGAGAGAACAGGTGAACATACTTGTCTGCACCTAGTACAGGCGGTCAATGTGTGTGCAATTCGACCATCGGGAATATCATCAGATTGACTGGACGCTTTCGATGAGGGACTCCTCCAGGGATTTGAGAACTGTGGCTTTGAATATGACGGGTTTAGCTGTGTCGCCATGGTTGGTAACGGGCCGAACAGTCCCCAACTAGGCCGACCAGAGGTTGCTTGCTATTGAGTAAAGACTATCGAAGCCAACATTCCATGCGATCACATGAGACTGAGTCTGTGCACGCGACAGGACAATTCAGACCAATCTCGAAGCGCAAAAGTTTGTGAAACAAAGGCAAAAGGTCCGGGGAAACAAGTCGTTCGACATATTCAGGATCCGTTCCAACGTGGTCTAGCTGCGAGGGAGCGTGTACGCGACAGTATCGTTGGAAGGGCGTGGTATTCGGAAAGACCAAAGTTTTCTGATTCGCCCCTCTGGCTAGTTTGCGGTTTGATATGCTACTCCATCCAGATTTAAAATCCAAAGTGGCCCATGCTGTTAATAGGAGGCTAGGAGGTAGTGGACTGAGAGGCGAAACCTCGGTCCAGTCCCGCTCTGATCGACAAGCGCGCTAAATGGATTCATGAATGACGGACTACGGAACGCGACAATGACCAGTAAGGAATAAGGACCCAGAAAATAATTTAGGGCGCTGAACACGAGGAATGCTTGCTTAGAGATTTAGCATGATTGCTTGCGGATGCATTCAATGAGAAGAGTGATTATATTATCAAGTCAATCAATATCTTTCATTGTTGTGGTTTCCTTTCTTTTTCCCATTCGGATAGCAGGAACGGCAAAAAGCACACAATTACCGGTAATTCTTTATCTATTGTTGTATTATTACAAGGAGTTCAGCTATCCGGAGTTACAACCCAACCATGATTGAAGAATGCGGCATTTGGGCGTTCGATTTAATGGAATCTGCAATGCAATAGATGTCTGGTTTAAAAATTTTATGGAGTATAGTACTTGCATAGATTCTCTTGAAAAATATGCTTCATAGGGATAGAAGGCATGTTGAAGCTCTGATATCCCTCCGTTACGAGATCGTATGTTGGATATTCCATTGCTTGGTCTGGTGGGGGAAAAGAGAGGAAAAAAGAAAAGGTGGGGTGAAAATAGTACTAAGAAGTTAGAGGGGGAGTTTGCCAATGGTAGTTTAATCGCTTTACCAGTAACGTCTTTACTTTTATCTTCCATTACCTAAGGTCCCGTACCTAACAATACTCTATTTTACTGTATTTAGTTACGTGACTGCTCCTTACGTTACCCTTCAGTTGGCCACAATACCTACCCGCCTTGCCTGATGCTCCCCTCCAATTGATCTCCCCCATTCCTCCTCCATCTACTCCGTACATGCATTATTAACCCTTAGAAGCTTTTTGACTTGACAATTTGAAAATTAGAGCCGACCGACTTCCTATTATTTTTCACTTGTGTCGGTGGCTCATCTCCGCATAAGGTATGCTGTGCCTAGTCTACATTCACTATACCCCTTGTTTCAGACTGTTTGACTGATGTCTTCATATGGCAGATTCGCTTTATGCTGATCCGCTTATGGAAGATAACTTATGAGATACCCTCTGTATATGGATTTTATAGTTGTGACTTTCCCTTAGTTCTTGATTCATGTAGGTAGTCATTTCCACCGTACATTGTAATCGCACCTGCGTTGCCAAAAATGAATACAACCTGCTGGGAGGTTGAGATATAGCTGACTTGACTATCAGGTAATATGCACCATGATGATGTCTAGTGTTTCGTTTCTGGATAAGCCATTGCTTAAGGTCAGCCGGCCAGTGGCAGCATGCTCGAGATGTCGGACAGCCAAGATCAAATGTGACGGTAAGCTTCCTGCTTGTTCCGCCTGTGAGCGAGTCGGGAAGGCGAGTACTTGTTCTGGTGCAAGTGATGAATTTGCAAGAGGGAAAGAAAGGAGCTATGTTGCTTCGCTAGAAGGTTACTGCGAAAGGCTTGAACGGAGAATCGCAGACCTCCGTCGCCATAAAGAGTCATTATCCGTTGATGAAACAGGTTTCATCCGGGAGAGCTCAATAACATCGATGTCATCTGCAGGAACTGTCGGACAGGCTCATCGAAAGGAGGTGTCTGATATTGATGACTTGGTTGGTGACTTTGGCTTTCTGTCGGTGGTTCTTGTTCCTCCACAAATGTCTTTGCTGACGATATAACTAGCTCCGTCAACGCTACCTCTAGAGACTTTCATGGGATTCAATCTGATACCTCATTTGCGAACCTACTCTTATCTCTTTCAGTTGCAGAGCCAATTCCGAAGCTATCACCGCAGCCACTGCCAGCACGCCATGAGATCACACCACTTCTGCAACATTACTTTGATAATTTGTTCACCCAAATGCCGTTTTTTAGCGAGACCAATTTCTGGACCTCTGTGGACACTGTTTACCAAGCCGGGGGACGCTTTGCCAAGCCTAGTGATCATTGGTTTCTGCGTTTGGTGTTAGCAATCGCTTCTGCATCGATGTCGCTTCAAACCGGCGATAGTAGTCATCAGAGGGCGCTCTCTTTAATTTCGGGGGCTTTGCCATCTGCCGAAGATGTCCTCCGTCCAGGATCCATTCTGGGCATCCAGGCCATACTACTGCTTGCTCAGTACTCTCTATTTGACCCTAAACATTTTCGCATGTGGTACCTTATCGGAATGGCCGCCAGGGCTTTGGTGGATTTAGGCTTACATCAGGACCCCCCTGCGGAGGTCCTGCCGGCCGATGAACAGTTGGATATGCGCCGGCGTGTATTCCACTGTGTTTATTGTCTGGACAGGTTTGTTCTTCACTGCCATTAGTAATCTTCAGGTAGTTAACTTTTTCGTGATAGGGGTGTGAGCACTGCTTTAGAGAGGACTTTCTCTTTATCAGATGACTCTGTCAATGTCGCCTTGCCATCCACATCGGGAACTACGATGACAGGAAAAGGTCATATTTTCTTGCACAGTTCCAAGCCTGCGTGGGATATAGTCGAAATTCGGGAGATTCTGTCCTCATCCTATCAGGCGAAGTACTTCTGTACAAATGGCTTATCATCGGAGTCGACGTGGGTATTATGCTCGAGAGCTCGGGAATGGTTCGATAATACGCCCAAGAATGTGCCGAACTATTTCCCCGTTCTCTATAAACTAGAACTGCTATATACAACAATTATGATACTCTCACCTACGCAGGAATATTCTAGGCTATGCGATTACGGGATTGTTCTACTGTTTGATCGCAGCATACAATACACTACTGAGCTTCATCGTATCTTGGAGACGCGCACTTGGCTGCCGCTGGTATCATCTCTTGATATCCAACGGATGTATCAAGTTAGCCGGCGGCTTGTGGATATCCTACGGCGCAATTATAAGCTCGTCCTGAGCCCGTCAGTACCTGCGCTTCCTTCCTTATTCCATGACATTCCTAAACCGCCCATGTTGGAGGTCTGTAATGGTGTCGACTGCCATGGTCGTGCTATTGAATGCCTTGATCACATCGACACCATTCTGCAGTATGGTGCGGGAAAGTGGGAACTCAACAGTCTTCTCGAAGGATTTCAACAGGACGCAGCATCTGTTTGGAAGCAACTAGTGAACACCCCGATTGCCTACCATCCAGGCCCTGGGGCTTATATGGCTGGCCCATGCACAATATTACCAGGCGGGGGAACTGTATACTCTGACATTAACCTTGGGCATTTTAATCATAATGCCCAGTGAAGGTCCAATCAAAACTTACACCATCCCCGTTAGCTACTGAGCACTGAATAAAGGTTACTGGTTTGACGGGGTTGGTTTTGAAATTGCGATTTCCTATATTCCAGTTAGCGTTGAGCCCTTTGCGTATCGTGGAAGCTCCAATGCCGGAACCAGAATTGCAACCCCAGATTAATATAACCATTCTTGTTTCTATTTCGTTCTTCTTGTTGTTTTTACCCCCAGCGACTTGTTACTAAAGGCCACAGAATTGGCAAGCTGTAGCAGGTGAAACTGGACTAGCCCTTGTGTGAAGTTCGGGCTCCTAAACCCCAGCTGACCTGCGTACCGTCGCGGTATGTTTCCACGTCAAGAATATATGGGCCTCATGGTTGTCTCCTCCCGCCTTAGTCCATTTGTCTTTTCCTCGTTTCTCCCAGTCTCTTTTGTGAGTGAGTGAGGGTGTGGGTGGGTGCCCTGAAATCTATTCCCAATCAATCAAATTACCCAGGTAGTGTCTACCGTACAAAGTGCTAATTCTACTGTGAGACCCATAGATCCGATGTGCTCCACACATAAGGCATGGCTATAGTTATGAAGCCTTGGGCAAATTCTTGTTTTGCCTTACCGAGGGTACTATTAGTACACTGTTCTTTTCCTGTAGACACAGTACCCCGAGAGTTTACACGGGTATGCTAATTCGCCAACCCAGGCGAACAGATTCAAGTGATGACACTTATCGTGCATAAGAGATCTAAGACTATGTGGGAGATGAATGTCCTACATGGCTACTAAATTGTAAGGCTGAATGCTTAAATGACGACTCCCCACTTGGACCTGAGATAGATCCCTCCGGGAAAGCCGACTGTGGAGCAAAACCTGGCGGTCTGCCCACATTTCAGTCCCCAACTGCCCAATAAATGGATGAGATGTTTGAAATGTTTTACTCTAAAAGCTTAAGCAAGGCGCGCGCCTTTAAAATAAAATATATATGCTGGTGGGTGGATGATAGGATTCATAGCTGGACCATATTTTTCCCGCAACACTTTCTTCATGTTGGCTAGGTCACTAACCTTGTACTAAATCGAAAAAAAAGGAAAAAAGAAAAATTTTGGATGTTTCGTTGCTAACTCCTGATCGTTTGATTGAACCTAGGGATCATTCCGCTATATTCCTGTGGACCATGTCACAGTCCCTGTTGGTAACTGATATTGTTGTGTTATCGTATTATTTCGTATCCATTCAATAATACGCCGTTAACCAACTGTCCAGAAATGGTGTAATGACAGAAATCAGCTACAATGCAAGATCGAGGTATTCGCCTACCTTGTTGTAGGGGCAACTAGGTCTCCAACCCATGCTACGATTCAATGGGTCAACTTGAAGTTGGGGACTATGAGGCGGGGTGGCATTCCGTTCCAAGAAGCAGAACTGGACCAGACTTTATCGTCGAGTATAAAAATGTGTTGACGACCATGGTTACGACCAAGAGGTAGTTTGCGTAGCTTCTAGGACAGTGTTAGTTCCTTGTTGAAGAGTTTCATATGTTTTGTATATTTAGTACGTCGCTGGCTCTCGATAGTACCCATATACATTCTCTAGTTGGAGAGCTTCGGAGACAAGGATCTAACATTAAGACAGGGATACTTAGGGATATATTGTTTGGAAGGGTTAAGCATTAATTTCCGTCGTGGTTTTCTTAAACTGTCTGTTATATGTACATAGTAGGTATATATACATTCCACGCCATATATCATATCTACCTTTAGACTAGAGCGAACCACGGCGCTAAGGCTGAAAATAGAAAGGGTAAGCTTATCCCGAGTCCCGAGTCCACTAGACAGGCTCCACATAAGGATACTCCAGCTCCAAGCTTAAGTATCAATGCATTGAACTCTGTGGAATCGATTTCTGACTGGTCACCAAACTGTACAGTTGTCCCCAAAATATTTAGAAACCCAAATATTCAGGGAACAAGGGGATTAAATTATTAGGTAACGAAAAGAGTCAAAAATCAAACAAAAATCAAAAACAGATGGTCAAGCTGTTCGCATGGTGACGTCACCGTGATGTGTAAGGTGGAGATTCTATTCAAGGTTCAATAAAGTTGAAAAGGGATAAAGTAAGGAAGTACTCCTTAATATGAATTAATATTCACGGGCAATTTGTTTAATCTGAATCCAATAACCGGAAATTATCCCTCAACATCTCTTTTTTAAACTGGGCGTTGGTGTCAGGTAGGGCGAATTGAAAATTGAATTGAATTTATATAATTGTCTAGGTCTAGGTCTAGGTCCAACCCTGTACAAGCTCTTGGCGTTTGCAAGGATGATTTTAGAAGTCTTTAGCTCGAGATCAGCGCCTGGTACTCCATCGTTTACCACATCACACATGGTTTAAGGTTGATGGATGACCTCATCAGCTCGGATCTCTCTGGCACTTGGGGAGAGGCGGGGGGAAGGCCTCAGGGACCAGGCATCCTCTTTTGTTCTGTTCTGTTCTTGTTCTTGTTCTTGTACCTTAAAAGGCTTAAAAACAACAGATGAAACTAAATCCACACGACACCGTGACGTCAATCGTTACACTCTCCTTCTCTTGTATTTAAAATCCAATCCTTCGCTTTTGCCTTTTCCTTATTCTTTCTTTGCTCCACTGCTGGCTGTAATTTCTTCTGCGTTGCATTCCATCCATCCTCTAATCCGTTTGCGTCCTTCATTCCGGTGATACCCCAGCGACGCGACACACCCTTATTCTCCCCCTTGTAAATCCACCTCGACTCACCTTATTCCCCCTCGATTCATTGATTGATTGTTTCGTTTCGTTGTGACACGTTTCATCTTCCTTCCGTAATCACTTTCCCACACATACACACAATCTCTCTCTCCTCTGACTTTATTAATACATCTCTGGATTCCCGTCGATCGCCGGAGACAGAAAAGCCTTCATCATGTCTTCTCGGCTGGTCAATCGTCCTCTGGATCCGAAGCAGAGGGACAAGGTGGGTGAACGCCGCATTCTTCCTCACGAGAGAAAGCTCATCGTTAACCCAAATCAATTCGCTAGGATATCAATCAAAAGCTACAACTGTATGGCATCTATCAAGGTAAGACCCTCATGTGCCACCAAATTTCGGGCAATTCGCTAACAGGAACCACGCAGCTTTCAAGAATGGCAAGCTTCCATCGGTAAGTTTGGAAACCATCCTTCCCCCCCTATGGGGACTTCCCTTCCTATCGACAGAGATTCGTCGGCTAATGAGCGATCATCCGACAGAACAAGCAATGCGACGTTGCGCTGAACAGTGCTCTCAAGTCCAAGGCTCTCACATCTCCATCTGCGGAATTGTCCGAAGAAGGGCAAAACCTCATTCAAGATCTCCGTGACGTCATTGAGCATGCGAAGCAAATGATCCTCAGCAAGAATGACGGCCAGTTGATCCAGGAGTTTATCTGGGATGCTCAGAGCATCACCGGTGATGACTTCAAGGAGAAGCCAAACGTCCCATTGAGTAGGGAATCGTCTCAGCAGGATGCTAGGGCGGCCTTGGAAGGCTTGAAGACATTAGGAAACCTCCTGATCACCAATGGAGAGTTCCGCAAGCTCTGTAAGTATATCGTGAGGCATGTTAGATGGTGTTGGCACTAACAGGTGGTAGTGAACGATGCCTGGATCATTGTCCGTGATATTGCTGGCGATGCTTCGCAGAAAGCTGCGGGCCAGGTTCGCCCGTCAGAGGAACAACTATCGCAGGTCGACGAGCCGGCCGAGGAGAATACCTGGCACGAGAAGCCCGACTATAAGAAGCACAAGGAGAACTTCACTTCCCGCTTCAGGAAGAACAAAGCTACGGTACGCCTTGATTCACCATTCCCCACCCCTCGCGCCCGTATTAACATTCACAAGGCCGAACAACAAGCGAATGAAGTGGTCGATTCTGCCACCCAGGCCACCACGGCTGGTCAACAGTCAGAGTCTGCCGAGCAAACTGACGGCCATGCTGGTGCTAACGTAGGTGCTCAGAAGACCAAGGAAAAGCTGTCCGAGAACATCCCAGAAGAGAAGAAGAGTCGTGCTCGTGATCTCTCCGGCCGGACAAAGGGCTACCTCTCGAAGAAAATGCCCAAGGAGCGCCGTGAGCAAGCGATCTGGCGTCTGAAGAAGATGGTCATTGAGATCCAAGGCCGTGCTGATTGTAAGTTGGTCTAGTTTCCATCAGGGAGCATGGACTCCTGGTAAAGGAATGGGAAGCTAACAGTCTCGTTTAGACCAAAAGGCTGTCGAGACCTTGCTATCTCTGGCCGAGAAGTATGGTAGTACCACCAGGAATTTTTCTCAACAGGGTGCTGGAGCTGTCCAGGGTACTCGTGGCACTGACAAGATCAGTAAAATGGAGAAGAACCTACGGGTATGTTGCTTCGAAGCACAAGTGCTCTATCGCCTTCTAATTGGGATCATAGGTTTTGATTGAGCGTTTTGCCAACAGCACGTCTATGGATGACCTCTTCGACTCTCTAGAAAATATTTACAGGGATGCGGACAGAGACCCTGAACTCAAGGGATGGTTTAAGAACATGGACACTTTCATTCGGTATGGACATGCCTCTAGAGTATAGGAAAAGGCGGCACTAATAGAAGCAGTAAATCTCTCCAGGAGCAAGGTTACATTACGCAAGACGACTGGGACCGCCACTATGACCAATTAGCCGACCACGGTCGATACTTGTTGCGTGAACGTTACCGGAACCACACAGACCGTATCCTGGACGAGATCAAGTTCATTGGCGATCAATTCGCCCAGGACCCCCAGAACAAGGCCTTCGGAGAATCCGTTGAGAGGCTGTTCACTGATCTCGGTCGGGACCCAAGTGGGAATGTTTCTTTCAAGCCACATCTTCTTACGGACCTTCGGGATGTCATTCTGCCTGGTATCTTTGAAAATGTCCGCTACGTCCCTATTCCTCGTATTGAGGTGTCAGACCCCATGGCTGATGTGGTGAGTTTAAGCCTACTCTGAGTGAATCCCAGAATAGCTCGTAACATATCTTAGGTCGTGGAAAATCTTGTCATCGAGAGTGATAACTTGATGCCGAATGTTGTTGAGTTTGGCAGTGACAACTACCTCCGTTGGGGGCGCAAGAAGATTAGCAGCAAGAGAGACAACAAGATCATGTTTTCTGTTTCTGGAATTCAGGCTGACTTGAGAGGTAAGTTAGATTTAATCGAATCAGGCGCATCTGTGTACTAACTCTACTTAGATGTCAGTTACTACATTAATAAGAAGCAGGGGTTCCCCGCCATCGAGGACAAAGGAATTATGGACATCTTCTTGGGTGGCGAAGGCTTTGGTTTCAAGATTGCAGCCTCCAATGCCCAAAAGGAAGACCGTCAAAACTTCGTTAAGCTGGAAAAAGTATCAGTGAAAATTGATGCATTCAGCATCAAACTGAAGAAGTCCAAGCATAAGACTCTGTTCACGATCTTCAAACCATTGCTTTTCCGCACTGTCCGTCCAGTCCTGCAAAAGGTCCTCGAGCAACAGATCCGCGATGCGTTCTCCAAGGGCGACGCCTTTGCCTACGAGATCCATAGCGAGGTCCAGCGCGCAAAGGAAGCCGCCGTCGATGATCCCGCAAACGCGCCCAACATTTACACCCGGTATCTGGACGCCATGCGCGCCAAGATGGAACAGAATAAGCAGCAGGCCCAGGCAGTCGCCCAGCGCGATACTAAGGTCCAGACAGCAACGACGCTCCATGACTCCCTTTTCCCAGAAATCCAGCTTCCGGGTGGCATCTCTACCAAGGCCACCGAATACAAGGAGCTCGCGCAGAAGGGAGAGCGCTGGGAGTCACCCATATTCACTATCGGCACTGCCCCAGAGTCTACCAATATCCCCTCTCCGGCTGATATCACCCGCAAGCCCCACACAACCACTTCAGGCCGCTTGGCGGATAGCAATGTGGCCGATGGTAGCGCAACAGCCACCGGCGCCCACGCTACCAACGGTTCCACCACTGTCGGAGCGACGAATGGTACCGCCGCCGTTGGAGGAACGAATGGAGTGACAAACGGTGCCAGTAAGACGAACGGCTACGGCGCTCCCGGATTCTCAGACCAGGTCGACAAAGCCTTCACTAGCGATGGGGGCCTCAAGACTACCCACGAAGATCCCAGCACCACCATTCCAGGCACCGAACGTGCATTTAACCCCCAGACTGCATAAAAGATCGGACTCAATCATATCAGTTCTCTTCTTCAGATGTATCCTACACGATTTTTTTGTTTTGATATCCCAGTTTCTGTTGTTGTTGGCTCCTGTTCCTGTTCCCGTTACCGTTACCCCCCTGTGTTGGACTGTATTTGGTACTGTTCACTTAATTGTCGTTATAGTCTGCGTGATGTTATTACTCCTTACACATGTTAATGCTCTATGATCGTAACTCATCAGAAGGTATTTAGTTAATCCAATGTCTAATCCACTCTTAATATCAGTATACTCCCTACAATATAACCTGCAGGTACGCGAGGTTAACCAGCATATGTTGGTAAGTTCAAAATCAAAGCACACACACATACACACAAAGACTATACCAAAAGTCATCAGATAGTAACCCCTATCAGGGAATAAAGAAATAAACCCACTAAAGACATAACATAACCACTCAAATTTCATCAGCACGTTGCACATCTATATAACCTCTATTAAACCGATTTTGCCCAATCCTTTTCACATTTGCTCAAAGTACTTTTCCCACCCAAGTTCGCGCAACTTAGTACCCTTGAAATCGAGGTTCTCAGTCTTAGCCTTCTCAGCGTAGGCCTCCACCTTACGCTGGACGGCGGGGTCAAAGGCACCCAGGATCCGAGCGGCCAGGAGAGCGGCGTTGACGCTGTTGTTGATTCCGACGGTTGCGACGGGGACACCTAGCGATGTATGTTAGTATTACTAGTACTGTTTTGTAAGGGGTTGGAGTAGGTTGGACGTTACCTCTAGGCATCTGGACGATACTGTATAGACTGTCTACGCCGTCTAAGGAGCTACCCTTGACCGGCACGCCGATAACGGGGAGGGCGGTATGCGCGGCAGCCATGCCGGGGAGATGGGCGGCACCGCCGGCAGCGGCGATGATGACCTTGATACCGCGGGCGGCGGCGCTGGCGGAGTACTCGGCCATGAACTCCGGGGTGCGGTGGGCGGAGGTGATTTCGACTGCAGGCTCGATGCCGAAGGAGTCTTTAAGGAGCTTGAGTCCCGGGACTAGGGTTTTGAGGTCGCTGTCTGAGCCCATGACGACCGCTACGGTGGGGGCAGGCTTGGAGGGGCCCGACGTCTGGGCCTTGGTCTTGACGTCACTGCGCTGGGCGCGGATCTTGTCGACTACGTCGATCAGGGGTTGGATGTGCGTCTCGGCTTCGTGCATAGTTGGCGCAGTCACGGTGATGTGGCCCATCTTGCGGCCGGGTTTGGCGGCGCCCTTGCTGTAGAGGTGGATGCTGGCGTTGGGGATTGAGAGAGCGTGCTCGGCTGCTTTTAGGTGGGTGTCTGGGGCGGCACCGCCGATGATGTTCAGCATGATGGAGGGTTGGCGGAGCTCGAGGCTTTGGGGGGGGATGGGGAGGTCGAGGATGGCGCGGAGATGGGTATCAAATTGGGACAGGGGGCATCCTTCGATGGTGTAGTGGCCGGAGTTGTGGATACGGCTGGCGATTTCGCACAGGATGAGGCTGTCATCTTCGAGGAGGAACATCTCGACGCCGAAGACACCCTTTCCATCGAAAGCTGCGACGGCCTTGCGGGCTAACTCCTGGGCTTTCTGGTTGATAGCGTCGGATACATTGCGGGCCGGAGCGTATACGAGCTTGCATACTGAGTCTTCTTGGACGGTCTCAACGGTGGGGTATGACAGGACATTATCCTTGGTTTTTACGACCATGACGGCCAATTCCTATCTCTATATTAGCACGTCTCTCTAGTGGGTGTGGCCGAGTGGAAACCAACCATCTTGAAATAGGCCCACTTCTCCGCATACAATGGTCGGTCCTTGAGCGCTTCGAGGGCCTCGGGGATGTCCTCTTTGGAATTGACACGATAGTTTCCTAAGCACAGCCATACATATTAGCTATGTAAGCAGTGATGCCGATCATCAAATCAATACTCACCGCGTCCGTCGTACGCCATAGTCTTCGACTTCAACATCAAGGGGTATCCAAGTTGTTCTCCAACCTTGGCCAATGCTTCAGGCGTGTTCTCGGGCAGCTCCTGATGATCCGCCATCGGGATACCGTATTTCCGCAGATGCTCCTTCTGGTTATACTTATTCTGGATCGTCCGAATTGCTTGCCAACTCGGCTCGATCTTAACCTGCGAGGCGATCTCCTCCAGGGCATGGGTATCCACATGTTCGATCTCCGCTGTGATAACGTCGCAAGTTTTAGCTAACTCGCGGACAGCCTCACGCTCCTTGAAAGAACCGGTAACATGGCCATCATGGTTGCTGATCTGCTTGGCCGGGGAGTTCTCCGCATCCAGCACGTTGACTTGGATGTTCAGTCGGTTGGCGGACTCGACTAGCATACGGCCCAATTGGCCTCCGCCAAGAACTCCCACCTTCTGAGAGTTCCACATCTTGAAGAGAGTTCAGAAATGGTTCGGTGAGAGTACAGAATGCAAGTATGAGACGCGGAGAGACCAAAATCCACACAATCTGGAGAAAGGGAGCAACGAGCCCCTCTTCTCCGCCTCTAAAAAATTGGCCCGATAACCGTCACGTGAACTTATTGATAAGCGGCTGCACGGACCAATTAGGCACGGTCGCTACCCGCCTCCCGCCTGCGCGTCTAAGAAAGCTCCGGCATTATCGTTTTCTTCCGTCGCATCGTATCACGATATCAGATTCACTTATCTCGCTTCGGGTTTTACGTGTTCGGGAGGATGTCCTTAGGTACGTTGTATCTCTTTAGAGAGCTGTAAACTCATTTCCTGGACGTGGGTCTCTGATTGAAGTGCACATCCCTTACAGTCCACTGCATTCACCGCCACATGCCTCAAGAAGCATCTATCTTGTTGGAGTTATAATAAGCTAACTGTTATCGTCATGCTAGACGAAGAAACCCTGGAGACAGTCGCCAATGGCGGCTTAATGGACGTGTATGTTAAACACCACGATCAGCACCCAGCTGAGTGCTGATATCCCGTTTCAGTGAGAAATGGCCGGGCATGGTCGAGCCGTTGATCGAACGATTGGAATATGTGCGCGCCTACCTCCAAATCTGTCTCAACTTATCACTACTAACTAAATCCCTACATAGATCGTCTACAATGTCTTCCCCATGCCCCAAGTGCCTCCCGAACCAACCCCTATCACCCAACAACAGTCACCTTCTAACCTCACTACCTCCTTCCTGCAAGAGCCCAATTCAATACCATCAAGCAGCAACAAAGAGAATGCCAACCCAGCAGGCGCCCAGGCATCCGCACAGTCCACAGAACCCTCAATACCACCCCCATCATCCAGCGAGCCCATCCCCAACTCCCAGCCACAGTCATCTGCAATCCCAACTCTGCCCACCCCCGTTCAGCTCCTGCTAGACTCCTCCAGATCATCACTGAGATCTCTTTTCAACACCAAGCCACCGCACACTATCCAAAGGCTCGCAGAGCTTATCATCCGCCCTAACAGACACTACAAGACACTCCCCGCTTACCTACGAGCAGTCGACCGCGTCGTGTCGGTCACTAGCACTGCGGATGTCTTCCCGCTTCAGATGCACGCCGGAACCGATAAGACGAATGGTATCTTAAATGGTGTGGAGAGCGGACCGATGTTCTCGGACCATGCGCTGGGCAGCGATGAGTCGCTGGGTGGTGCCCTTCTCACCCCCATTCCTTGGTTGAGCAGTGTCACTTCCCCAGAGGCGGAGGGTGAGACTGGAGCTTTGCTTTCGGGAGGTAATTTCTTTCTTCACTTTCGCAAATCATGGACGGAGTCTCTATCTAACATTGGCAGACCACGGCACGATGTCCGAAACACCAGCACAGCAGCAGTCTCTTCAAGAAACAACGACCGCCGAGGACGCTGCCCTCCCGACGTCATCGGCAGTAGAAAACGGAGCGATGGAAGATACTAGCCCCCAACAGACCGACACCTCGGAAGAGGTCCCCCACGCTCGTGGTCCCCGGACATTAGGGATAGAGGACATGGGCTTACAAGATGGCAAGGGCGTCGAGATGACGCTCGAGAGCGAGGGGGGCATCAACGATCCCACCGAGCAAAACGGCCAGCCTCAAAACGACGGTGGCCAAGATCCAAGCAAAGAAAATGCAGACGGAGACGGGGATATCACCTTAGACGACGCCAAGAATGCAAGTGACGAGGCGAAGGGCGAAGAGCAATCCCAATCCTAAATCTAGTTGGGACTGGAATAGCATTAGTACGAGCCAGATGAAGAGATTCTGCATAAGCAAGCGATTCGTTGTTCGTTGACTGCGCTAGCGTTGTTTCATGATTGACGATCTGAAATATGATTCGAGCGTGATGCAAGTCTTTTGTCTCCTTTAGCCATGTTTACGATATGATGTGCGCGATATGCGCTGGTATATTAAGATTGACGATATTGTGTAGTTGGTAGATAGATATTTTGAGAACTGCCTAAAGCATGATCCGTAATTATTGGTATAGGTTCCCTACATACCTACTAGGAGCAAGAACGACCTATTCCGGCGATAACGAACAGCATCCAATGCATGGAAGTGAATATCATTTCCCGAAACGCTATAAAAAGAACCAAGAGGTATCGTATCAATAAAGCAAACTGAATCGACGAGACAATTCTCAAACAGGTCGTCAGATAGCCTGAGCAAAAAAAAGCATGCTTCTAATCATGCAAAACGTAGTGTATAAACTCCTCATCGGGAACGCAACAAATAACAAATATATTACGCTTAAACAACGGGTTCAACGGTCTGCAGCGGTACGTAACCTTCATCTGAGTCCAAACGACCTGGCGGTTTACCCGTAACAAAGGACCAAGCTCTTGTTCTTTTGATCCATCGCAATGGTCCACCGCGGCCACTAGATCCACTAACGGAGAGAGCAGCCTCCCACCAGCTCTTGCGAGAACCGCGGAAGCTAAGGTTGCCCATTTCGACCTGCTTCTCGAGCTTCTCGGCATCCATCCACCGTGGTCGGCGCCAGAACTTGAGTAGGAGACTGCTCACCACAACGGAGACGCTTGACAACGCCATTGCGGCACCTGCTGCCATGGGCGGTAGCATGAATCCGCCAAAGGGTAGGAATAGGCCCATGGCGAAAGGCAGACCAATGACGTTGTATAGGCAGGCCCACACGAGATTCAGTCTGATGCGGTTGAAGACTGCCCGAGAAAGTGACAGACTTGCGGGTACAGATAGTAGGTCGTCGGGACGCATCAGGACAATGTCAGCTGCCTCCATGGCGACGTCTGTACCAGAGGCAAGCGCGATACCGATGGAAGCTGTGGCCAAGGCTGGAGAATCGTTGATTCCATCTCCAACCATAGCAACTCGTTCGCCCGATGCCTCCAGCGATGAGATTATAGATTGCTTGTCAGAGGGAGAGGCAGATGCGTGAACGGCTTCGGGCAGGATTCCGACGGCGTTTGCGATGGATAGAGCGGTAGCGCGCGTATCACCCGTGATGAGCGAGGTCGAGATACCCATGCGGTGCAAAGCCGCAACTGCTGCAACTGCGGTTACCTTGACGGTATCTCGAAGTAGGAGTGTGCCTGTGTACTGGTTGTCGATTGCCACATGAATCCGCGTAATACCAGCAAGCACCTTTGACGTCCCCATATCCGAGTCTGCAGCTTCGGCAGATTCGGGTATCGAGACATTTCTGGATCTCAAAAACGTGGCATTTCCAATGAAGACCCGGTAGCGTACACGCTCGCCGCTGGAGGCAGGTTCAACCAACGCAGAGATGCCTTTTCCAACGCAAGCATCAAAATCACCCAAGCTACCGGGCAGTCCGCCTTCACCAGGATGACCTGACTCTGCCTTAGCTGCTGAGAAGATTGCCTTGCCAATAGGATGTTCGCTATTCATTTCCGCGAGACCAACAATCAGCCACCAGAGCTGTCGGCGCCAATCATTTGAAGTCCAATGACTTTCAATCTGAGCCTCTGCCACGCTCATTTTGCCGGTGGTCAGGGTTCCAGTCTTGTCAAAAATCACATGGGTGATCTTTGTGGCGGCTTCGAGGATAGCACCACCCTTCACGAGAATACCTTGCTGGGCACCCACTCCGGTACCGACCATGACTGCCGTCGGAGTGCTAAGACCCAGGGCGCAGGGGCAGGCAAAGACAATGACCGAAATACAGAGCTTCAGGCAAACCATTACCTTTCCGCCCTGATCATCCGCTAGGAAAATCTTAGGAGGGTTTGGTAACAAGTGGCTCATGGTCATCCACCCAAAGAACGTAACCAATCCAAGACTGATAATGCCCGGGACAAAGTATCCAGCAACAGTATCGGCCATACGCTGTATAGGAGCGCGGCTTGTTTGCGCATCCTGGACAAGCTTGACGATCTGACTCAATTGCGTATCTTTGCCAGCCCGTGTGACCTTAAAGTCGATAGAACTCGTGCCGTTCACTGTTCCAGCGATCACAACACTACCCTTGCCCTTGTGAATTGGCAGAGCCTCACCAGTGATCATGCTTTCATCAACATAGCTTTCACCTCGGATAACAATACCGTCCGCCGACACTTTATCGCCAGGACGAAGAACGACAACGTCACCAACCTCAATTAGTTCTGTTGGGATAATCTGGTGTCCTGGTCCGGGCCGTTCATTATCTGATGTGGATCTCTGCTCGCCCTTGTCGGTCTTAGAAGCTTCCCACTCTTCCGCCATCTTCTCCGCCGCGATTGGGTCATCATAAATGGTGGTCATCGACGGGGCTAACGACATGAGCCGGGAGAGCGCGGCTGATGTTTGCCCCTTGGCTCTGTTCTCCAGCCACCGACCAAGTGTGATGAACGTGATGAGCATAGTACTCGTATCAAAGACGGTGCTGGGCCGTTTATGAGGCGAAATAACCAAGGCCACTACCATGGTGAATACGCTGTAGAAGAAAGCGGCGGATGTACCCATCATGACGAGGACATCCATAGTCGGTGAGCGATGTTTCAGGGACTTGAAGCTGGAGATATAAAACCGCTTTCCCACGCCAAATTGTATTGGGATAGTAAGGAAAAGACAAGCAATATCTCCAAGGTAAAGACCAGGACATAACTGTGTTTTGCCGAAGTCAAGTGCAGGAAGGTACATGGGAAGTAACATATTAATGACAAACACGGGGATGGCGAATGATACAGAGAGTAGGAAGGAGCGCTTCCATTCTTGGATCTCCTTTGTTTTAGACAGAGACTCCAGCTGGGCGTTGGTATCATCGGTATCCGCGAGTAAGGCGTTGTATCCGGCAGATTCAATAGCTACCACGATCGAGCGAACCCCGATCGCTGAACTGTCGTAGGAAACTGTTATACGCGAGGTAGCCATATCCACAGACGCTGACGAAATACCCGGCCTCTGAAGAAGAAGTTCTTCTAGCGCGCCCGCCGAGGTTGCGTCTCGCAAGCCGTGGAGGCTCAAAATGATCCGACCTTCAGTCTTCGAGATAGGTGCTTGGGGTTCCGAGGATAAAATGGTTGCTTCAAAACCAGCATCGTCAATCATATCGGCGATCCTCTTAGACGGCAGAGTCACAGGATCATGCGTGATAATAGCACGCTCAGCAAGCAAGCTTATGCTAAATTGGACCACGCCGTCCACACCAGTAAAAACGTTTTCTATACTGGACGTGCATGCGCCGCATGTCATACCATCTATAGAAACAGTAGTGACCATCAGCCACGATGTAGTTTCAGGGGGCTCCTGTGAAGCGCTGCTCTGAGGCGTCATAGTGCCCAGCACTTTAGCGCCAAAGCCGCGGTCTTCGATTATTTGCACAAGTTCATCGGGCGTAATAGTAGACGCATCGTGTTCTACAACGGCGCGCTCCGAGAGCAACGAGATATTGACCGACTTCACGCCGGACGTCTCTTTCAAACCTCCCTCGACCGCTGAGGTGCAGGCGCCACACGTCATACCTTCAATCGCTAAGGTGGTCGACACTATGGACCCCTTTTCTTTGGCCATATTTACTTCGCTCGGCTGTTCCGCTGGACTATCAGTAGATATTACCGTCGCATCAAAGCCGCAACCCTCGATTATTTCCGCGACTTTATTGGGCGGTAGCACTTTTGGATCGTGATGCACAACGGCCCTGCCCATCATCAAGCTCACCGACACTTCGCCAACCCCATCCAGGCCTTTGAAAGCACTCTCTACGGCGGACGTGCACGCACCGCATGTCATTCCCTCCACATTAACCGTTGTGGTTGCCATGTGCGCTGGTGATCGGCCGGCGCAGGAGCCATCGCCGGCGGCGGCTAACATCTTGCCTTGTCGGGGAGAAGCAACCAGGCGAAGAAAGACAGGTTTGAACCTGTCAGCGCATAAGAGCGGCTAGCCGGCCTTTTCAGTGGAATTAGATCGAATACTTTTTAGTGCCGAAGGGCAGAAAGACGTCAGCAAATGGTTCGACTAAAGGGAAATCGGAACCGGAGGATAGCGGAAGTCCGGGCGGATGAATCGTTCACTTTAGTTTAATCTAATCTTCGCCGAACTTGGACAAGAGAGAGGGAGGGGTCAGCTTTTAGCCAAAGGTGAGGGGGTTTGGCCTGGGATTTTCAATGATTTACATCTGCAAGCCAAAGAAAGAGGAAATTGCTTTATTATAAATCGATGCCAAGTAATCGCGATTATAGGGAGTGGGGAAAGAAGTATATCATAAGTACTCAGTACTGCCCGGTAACTTTACCAGCAACAGATTAGATCCGAATTAGATATAGAATAGATTGCTTGACCTGCTTCCATTTTCTTTTTTTTCCCCTTTAAATCTCTCAGAAATTCTTGGACAAACAAAATAAGCGACCAGACTCCATTCTTTTCTTTCCTTTTTCCTTGTGCTCCCTTGCATACCAGCGCGAGGAGGGGCTGGGGAATTCTCGATTGGAGCATTTGTTTTCAGCTGACCTTCAATTCCTCAGCTTTTCTACCGTTAATTGACTAATACCGTACTGTAAACCCGGGAGACCACGTAGCGATCCTCGGGGGTACGCATCCATGGATCCTCCGGACATCGACCACAAGAAACTATTTGAAAGAAGATCACGGAAAATCAACCCAAGTAGATCCTGGAAAATAGAAAAAGAACTCCAGTCTGTCAAAATGTTTTAGTCGAAACACAATTACCCACGCGGAAGAAACGGTCCGTATGAAACGGTCAAGAGCCTCTAATGTTTCATTTTAACTGCTATTACTGGATATCCTCCTTTATCAAGTTATTAAGGGTGACAATTCTCCTGAAAATATGACAAAGAATATTCTCAAAAATTTCCTGTGAATAGTTCTTTTTTTGACTTTCTGGGATGAAACCAACCCTTTCGGCTGATGATTAGTCCTTAAAAAAGAATTATATCCCACCCGGCGCCGAAGTAGGCGCTATTCCTATTATTGGGCGATATCACAAGTTCCTAGATGTTAAAAAAATGGAAAATTGAACAAGACATCTTTTCTGTTCGGTTCCACTGCTATGGTTAAATCAGTTCTATATTATACTGGGTGCAATTGATCAAAACCACACGAGAAAGAGGAGAAATGCGGCATGCATTGAGTGCTAGTGATAAGACTAATCTTCCAGAAATAGCCTAGCCTGTTAGATCACAGGTGGAGATGGCTGCCATTGTTTGCATCCTAAACAAACACCTCATACGGAGTATCATCACCATTGCTTTCATCAATCATCTATGTACCATTAGCACCGACTGAGCGATTTATCCCTCAACAGTAACAGAAGAAATATTACATGGATTAGGAAAGCCCTTGCAATAACGATCAACAACGGACACACCACCGAGAGATAACAAATACCCTGCCATTCGACACTCACCAAGCAACCACTCCAGTCCAATGGATCAAACACACGCCCGGGCCATGGAGGCCCTCCAACCCTTCGTCCATCTAGCAAACTCAAGCAGCGCTACATCACCGAAGTTCGTCGCCAATCTAATCACGAATGCCACTTCAAGTCCAAACACCTACGTCTTCGCAGAGCTACTGGAGACGCCCTCAGTCCAAGCCCTTCGGTCAGAGGACACACCCGCAGAATACCAAGGATACCTTACACTCCTAGAGATTTTCGCCTGGGGCACATGGCAGGACTATCAAAGTATGGCCCATTCCCTCCGAACTATATCCCCAGATAGCCAGGACCTAGAAAGATTAGGGGATTCAATAGAGTGGCTAACGCATTTTAAAAACAGCAACGCCGAATCTCCCCCAACTCAACAATGAACAGACCCTAAAGCTCCGCCTTCTATCGCTTCTTACCCTCTCTGCAACCATCAAGCCGCTCACATATCAGACACTCATGGATACTCTCTCGATCACGGCTCCCTCCGAGCTCGAATCGCTAGTCACAACCGCCATCTACTCATCTCTCATTACCGCCCGTCTGTCCCCGGCAACAAGCCCCCCAACCATCAACGTGACTTCCGTGGCTCCCCTGCGCGACGTGAAGCCCGAATCCTTGACAACGATGATATCAATCCTAACGCAATGGGAGACCCGCTGCGGCGACGTCATCAGCGACATCGAGACTGAGATCGCCAAGATCAAAACCGACTCGGCGAACCGGCGGGCTAAGGAACATGCCAAGGCTGTGTTGATTGAGAAGACAATGCAAAGCTGGGGCTCGGACGGGAATGATATAATCTCCCGGCCACTAGGACCCAGAAAGCAGGGCTGGCACGGAGGCATGAGGGGCGGGGTCTCAGGGTTCGTGGGCAATAAGCGCGAATTCAGCGCGGATGACTTTGACGACGGATACTGGGATAATGGAGCTGATGGGGCTTTTGATGCACAATTCGCTGCCTCGAGGATGGATATTGATCAGGGCGCAGGAGCGTCTTTAATGGGGTCATCTGGTGTTGGGACTAGACACGCTAAGCGTTTTCTTGGGAGGAAATCCTAATGTGATGAGATGCACTCGAAAGATTATGAAACATCCTAGGTCTTTCAGCTAGCAGGTAACTTACCTTTGAAGCTAAGGCGAGCATGACAAACGAACGAAACATCAACGACTCTCCTAGACCCGTATGATTTCTTACTCGTATAACCTGTGCATTTCGCGCCTCGGACTTGATTCCTCGCATTACTTATGTCACATTGTATAGCCTAATTATCATGCATCTAACACTAAACCAAAAGACTCGCTGAAAAATGTTTAACAGACAAGTTTAGCAGAAATGGGGTATTCGGAGAATGTAAATGGACAGGAAAGGAATCAAAAAGAGGAGAAAAAAAAAGACCCCATGTTGACAAAATCGAGGGATGAACACGAACCCCTATGACCGGAGGCTGAGCCATTACGGATCCGTGGAAACGAGCTTACCATGTCGCCTTGCCACATGGGTTCAATATCTCGACGATGGAAGAGAAGAAAAACACTTCTTTCACATATTTAGGCATCCAATTTAGAGCAGCACGTTCTCAGTTGTCATGAAACTGAATGGACGAAGCCAAGGCGACATCGTGGTCTTGTATGCCGGGCTTCGTAGCGTATGATCAAAAATGGCCGGCTGTATAAAGCCGGATATCATGTCCGCAGTAAGCTTCCGATAAGGGTAATAAAGTGAATGCTAGCGAGATGTGGGACTTGGTGGATTCTGGCAGATGTAACGCCAGCGAGCTTAGAGCATGGTGCCAGGAACGAAGATGAACAGGATACTGAGAGCGGCAGCGACGAAAGCAGCGATTAATAAGGTTGCTGTAGAGCGTTTGTTCAACAACTTCCGCACATAAGGCTCCCGGATTTGTGACCAGTTCATAAAGGTGTATTCACTGTATCCGAGAAACGCCATGACAGGATCGATCTTATACTGGTATGAGACAATAAAATAGGAGGCAACAAGAAACGGTAATATCAACTGCATAAACGTTAGTGTTAGAGTGGAGCGGAACTAGGCAAACGACCATATCATACCCAGCAACGGATGTGCCTTGGCTTGTCACGAAGGACAACATAAAATGCACCCCAGAAACCGCCCCCGAAACTTATAAGAGCAAAGGCGAGGCGTGCAACTATACTCAGTGGGACAAGATTGCCCAGGGCCTTCGCCTGCAAAAACCCTGGGAATGCATCGCGTTCCATCGCCTGGAAAACGTAGTCTTTTGCTGGATCGAATACTTCTGGGTCATCTCTACCATCATCTTCAACCAGGCTAATGATTGTAGATACCATGTCCTCGGGCAGCACGATTTCTCTTTCCGCGCCGGGGAGCAGGTAGGTATACAGAATCTTCTCTGCGCTTGCGCGAATATCAGCCCGTGCCACAGTGTGACCAGGCGACGTCGAATCATTCCGCGTTCCAGAGCTTGCGCGAGGTAGCTGTTCATTTGATGGTGTACGGGCGGCATTCTGCGAACCAATGCTATTTTGAGGTGAATGCCCGGAATTATGGCCATCGGAGCGCAGGAACGCCGACAATCTCTGATCAGCGTCTTGATCATCCGGCTCATGGTTACCATGGCGCAAACCAGAGGGACCAGCTTCCACTAGGGGAATGTCACCGAAGTTATCGAGGTTCCCTAACGCATCAGAAGAGCCTTTGCTATCCGCTTTCTCCAAATCGGGTGTAGCTACTAGAACCGATCGGCGTAACTCTCGAACATAATGACGACACAAGGACATATGCTGCGAAACATCAAGCCTAGGTCAAATACTGGTTAGAAATATGTCAAGCGACGGAACAAAGTATAAGGAGCGCGTTTATCGTACCAAAAGTCCAGATAGTCTACAGATCGCTGTTGGTCCCGCATGTAAATGTAAAACGAAAAAAGATCGACGGGAGCAAGAGTGCGACGGCTAAGGACTTCGAAAAGGGTCGGGAGGCGATTCCGCTGTTCCAAGTCCGTAAGTGAAGGCGACGCCATCTTTACTAAATGATCGTATGTCGAAGGAAAAAAATTGCTCTAAGAAAAGGGGAATGAATGTCGAGGTCGGGTAGCGTGGGCGATTAGTTGTAGATAAACCGCAAGAGTCCAATTAAGATTATGATTGCTGTAATGAAGAATACTGGCAAGCGAATCGAGTAATGAGCGACTAGGGATAATGATTTGGGTGTGGAAATTGGAAGAAAGAGTATCGTGAGTAGTCAAGAAATTTCGAAGCCCGTCCGAAACAGGAGCCCCTGGGGGAGGGGAGTAGAGGAGAGTAAACAAACAGCCACCGGGTTGCAGCTGAAACCCCGATATCAAACACAACCCATTCAAAATCCAGCAAGGAATTCAGGCTGCAGAAGAAGCAGAGAAAGAATTGTAGAAACAGAAGCCCAGCCTTCAGGTAAAGCCTCCAAGAGACTTGGTGGTGGTACCTTTCTGCACGGCACGGCTGGCAGCCCGCTAAAGCTAAGCCAACGAACGGCCCGCCTGAACGTTGATCCGAAATTGACTTGGACCCACGGCTGATGATCACCTCCACGTTCTCGACAGCTTACGGCAAGGGATGCTTTCATCCATGGGTTCATTCCCATATTAAGGATCGTCAATCGTGACAAGTCACAAGAAAACAAGCATTTAGGGGGAAGATCTGCGAAAATTAAAAGCCAAAAAAAGTGACCATGCAGCGGATTGCCACTTGGATGGTTTTAAAAAATTATAGAAAGAAGGAGAGAAAAGCATACCACGATAGGAATAGGAGTACCGTACCAATACCCTTAGAAATTTTTATCTCCTAAAAATATAAATAATATAAAAAGACCAAAATGCTCCATGCTTCACTTGGGTATTTGCTCATTACACTTCAAAAACAAAACGCCTTCATCCGAAACTCCTACCTCTCCAAACTCATGTAATCGTTCAGTTGATTAGTGGCCATCCGCCAGATGCTATAAAAACAATCAGTATTCTAGGATTCCGAGTACCAAGCGATGATTGCAATGGAAGACTCACCGACCACTCGGGGATGTTTCGAATCTGCTGCCACATAAACTTCTCCAACTTATTTGCACTCTTTGCATATGGGGTGTTCTCGTTGTTGTATCTTCGGCAATTATCAAAGATCAACATGGCGTCTTTGACAAAATCTTGTGGCGTCGGATACATGTCCTTCTCGTGTTTCTCTTCCATGGTTGACAAGTCCATTGGTTCCTTGATCACCTCATAATAATCGGGAACCTCGTCGCGATTGACCGGTTGCGTAAAGGGCCACGCGGCACTATGGTTTTGCATGTCGTTTAGTAGATGCAGTAACTGGTTGTAGTTTGGACCATGGCGTGGTTGACGCGCTAATTCATCCATATCGGGCGACCATCCTGATTGCTTAATTGCCGGGATGTTCAATGGATCGATTTTGCAAGCTCCGTTTTTCCATTCCTTCGGTGGGGCGTGGATAATATGCGATCGGCTGAAGGCACGAATCTTCGCGTGTACTGCTTCTTTCTGTTTCAGCAGCATACGGCCAATCTCAAGATACCGTATTTTAGGAAGCATTGTACATTGCATGATGGTTCCTCCCTCATAATCCTTAATGTACCCCATCCATATAGATTTATCCAGCGTGATTTCTTTAGTGAAACCTTGCTTCTTGAAATATCCAATCGCATAGTTGTCCGCATATGTCAGAAAATGCATGATGTCTGATGTCGCTTTCACGTAATCCTGTATAGGGCTTAGCACTCCCTGTGCAGCGCAAAGTGTTGAGGCCGCGTACCTTCAAGTGGGACATCAAGTGCGCACCGTAACCCTTGACTTGCTGATCGGAAGAGATGGCACAGAAAACGATCTCAGCAAACCTGCGACTGTTGAACGGTCGGTATGTGATTCCTCTGCGCACCATTAGCAAGAGCGCATGTCAGGCTTCCGAAATATCATGCGCATATACCCTACAACTTCCAATGGATGCTTAACAATAGCGATAGATAAATGTGACCTATCGTAGACCAGTCGAGCAATGTAATCTTTTGGCATCTTCGGGAGTTGCTTTTGGAAAATGCACTTCAGCCCCGTGAGGACGACAAAGCTATCACGCGAACCATCGTTATTGACCACTCGAAATTCGATCTCTCCGCGACGCTCTTCCAGTACGGCGGGCTAGCGGTATGCAGGCATCAGCATGGTCCACATGAAGCGATTAAAGCAGGGCGGCTTACCTTCTCCGGGAAGGGAACGATCCTCAGTGACGGCTTTCCCAATGGTCCATCTTCAGGCTTTAAAGACATATTGTCAGCATAACCCAGGGACAATAGTTTTGCAGGCAAGAAACAGACCTTCGGTTCTTTCTCCGGGGAATCGGTGCGCGCTTTCTTACTCTGTTGTTGGGAATCTGGGGAAAGGGCTTCCTCCGAGGCTTTCCGTTTATTATCTAGACACTCGTTTAGCAAATAAACAGTAATCGCATCCCGAGGTCGCCGACTCACTTTCAGATGCCATTTCCGTCAGATGCGCAAATAATTAGGTTCGAACACTTGCTTGTCAGCTCCTTAGTCGCGATCTCCACGTTTGGCGGATGCTAATATGGGGGGCGGTGCCGGGAGTATAATGATCCGGCGCCATTATGCCAGATAACTACTTCTTCTTGGAGCTTGAGGGAGCTTCAATAAATTCCAATTCACTAGTCGTGCTGTCCTTTTTCTAATCACAACTTGTTGGTTTCAATTAGACTAACACATCCCCATGTCGTTGAACGAAGTTTGGGAGGCAGCCTCCGCAAGCCCTTACACTCCTCTGATTTCCAAAGATAGCCAGTTCTCCGTCGGTTTCACCCTCTTGCTATCTGGTAAGACGGATTTGCGCTACATGTCTATGAATCAACTATGCTGACTTGTGTTGCAGCATTCATCCTGACTGGTCTCTTTGGACTGAGTTAGTCTGACTAGTTATAGTGATTTGTTCTTCGTCTAACATAAATGCAGATCGTTCTTTCTTAAGTATCGTTTCGTTTGGCGTCCCGGCCTCATTGGCATTCGGGTAAGACTAAAGTAACTCATTCTAGGCGACTACTCTTTCTAACATTTCTGTCCAGCTTCGGAGCCGTATACATGATCTGCGCTGTTGGGGTCTACGTTTAGGGAGACTTCGTGACCTTTCCATGTACCATATACCCAATTGAATGAAAAGCAGAAGGGTTGTACCGTTAGAACCGTCGAAGCTCTTCTACACTGCAGACTCTCTCATAATCTAATTCTTCGGAATTTTTTTTCCCAGTCTTTCCCGCTCTTTTGTACATCCAGCCATGGCCGACGTGGAGCCCATTTTCTCTGCTGTTTCCAGCAATGCCCACCACCTCTATACTTTACTACAGTGCATTGGCTTTGTACCCAAAGCTACCGTGCATATTACCCCAGACGGGATCCGCATTTCTGTGGAGGAAAGCCGAGTGATACAAGGGCTCGCATTCCTTGACAAAGCACTTTTTACCAGCTACACCTTCAACCCACCAGCGGCGTCGAATAATATATCAAGGGACTCGGAGGGCGATGATACCTCTCCAGACGCCACTTATAATCCATGTTTTGTTATATCGCTCTCCGCCCTCCTTGAAACGTTGAAAATCTTCGGCACAAATGATCCATCAAACACCGGGGCCAATAAGGCGATCAGCGCCCAACCGTCGAATCTTTCATCCTCTAATGCCTTCACCACGCCTGCCTTGCTTTTTGATCGCTCATGCACCCTGCAATACTTTCAGAATGGTTCTCCTTTGAGCATCACTTTATCTGAGACAGGGGTCAAAACCACTTGCGAACTGACAACCTACGAGCCCGATGGCGGCGAAGTTGACATTCCTCTCCAACGTGACGCCATCATCATGAAGGTCATCATGCGTTCTGCATGGCTACACAATGCAGTTGCGGAGCTCGGCGCGACTAACCCAAATGTGTTGAAAATATCCGCCTCCGCGATTCAGGAACCTTTCTTCTCTTTGTCCGGTTCGGGTGGTCCTTTCAGCGAATCTTCTATAGAGTTCTCAATAGAAGAGCAAAACCAAGATAATGGGGCATCGTCTCAGTCTCGCAAGTTGTTAACCGATGACGGTACATCCAGGTCCCGAGCTAAGAGGGCCAAGCTTGCACCTACTGTCACCGAGACCTTTCTTGTTAGCCCGCCCTCTTCAATGGGTTCTCGCATCAAGCAAGATTATCGGTTTTCTCTTATCCAGAAGGCCTCTCGCGCCATGGCTGTGGCTAACAAGGTAAGTATCCGAGGTGACCGACAAGGTGTCCTAAGTCTTCAATTCATGATTGAATTCGATACAAACGGGCCCAGCGGCACGGGCGGTGGCGCAAGACCGTCTGGGGGAGGGTTAGAGCCTACTGTGACATTTGTAGATTTCCGCTTTGTGCCGCTACTAGATGACGAAAGCGCGGCTGATGAGGGAGGCGCAGGTGGCTTTGATTAACGTCCATTGATGGAGGAACGGTGCTGAACCAGCTTACCTGTCAGCAGTCAGTTATCCTTTGATAATCGGCCATTACACATTGCTTGCTCTATACTGAATGGCCATAGCCCTGCGCAGACAGGCTTTGTCGTAGTTGTATCTTGCACTCCACCGCAGAACAGAGTCATGTTCAGTTTTGCATCGTCTCATAGTTGGTCACGCGATTCGTTTATACTAAGATATGAGTGTCCTGTTGGTCAAATATCTTCTCTCCGCCGCGAACGCCTAGAGCTCGTTGTCCATTCGGTTATATATATAATATATATGTATGTGTGTGTGCCCTGCTTATACATGTATGAAATACAATTCTTAACCGGGGTAAACTCACGCTGCTCACCTCAGAACCACTCTAGTAATGTGCCGACTAACGGCGAGAGGGAATTACTGCATCGCATACTGTCTTATCTATGCCTTTCCGCTGCTACCCATAATGTCCATCCATCGCTCCATTGATCGCGCGAGGACCTTGATTCCCTCGTCAGTCACCTGTGTCATGGGTTTATTGATATTGCCTCAGATATAATCATTCCACGGGTCCAAGACAAGCTTATTGACGTTAAACTTGGTGACCCCTGCTCGAATGCACGCTTTCGCTAACTCCGGGGAAGAGTCGTTCGTTCCGTGCAACACTAAACGGGCACGTCCGTTGAGTGCTTGGGAAACCCCTTGAAGCCTGAGGCAATTATTAAGTTTAGCGACGTCCTATGTGACGTACGTCTTATGGCTAGTCTTACCGGTCCATATCTAGTTGCGGCCCTTCTAGGGCTATAATCACCGTGAAGGTTGCCGGCGCTTGGAGCTAGATAGTCAACACCGGCACTTAAGAAGTCTTCTACATCTTCTGGGCTGGTCAAGATTGTCAAGATTCTGGTCGACACAGCATTAAACTGCGATCTTCGGGTTCCACAGTCGAACCACTTAACCTTCTAAGTCTCCCGTGTCCATAATTCCATCCTCACCACCTTCGATCCGCCCGGTCTCTGCCTCTGCCGATATCCACCTGGCGTGACAATATTCGCGCAAAGCCGCCGCTCTTTCTAGGTTTTCCTCCTTCTCATAATGGCTCATATCTGCCATGATTGAATCAAATGGTAAATTATCCGCTATATGTTTAATTTGATCGTAGTTCTGCGCATGATCTAGGTGAAGGGAAATGGAAACAGAGGCTGCCTTTGCTGCAGCTGCAGCTGCGTGAACAAGCGATGATGCTTGAATCAATGCCAAGGGGGAAAATTGAATGATTAACGGCAACCTTCTACTTTCTGCTGCATGAACAAAGACTGTGATGTGTTCGACGTTATAGCTTTGCTTGTTTACTCTCAGCCTCAGGAGAGAGAGCGAGCACTCCAACTTACGCAATTGCTGCTAGAATGCCATATCGAGCCTTTTCCGCACCTTCAAGAATTTGTAGTGTTTTATTTGTCGTGCGCCAGCTCATTTTAGAATAGGCTCGAGTCTGTTGCTTTGAGGAATACCGGTCTAATGAACGCATTGTTGGCTTTATCAGCGAGACATCTGGCGCTTCTTAATGAAACCCCTGGGGATCGCAGCAATTCTGATCCATTATCTTCAGTCGATCGCAACGACGCCATTCAGTACTACTATGAAACGCGACGTTACTTGAACTAAGCTATGCGCTACCAAACATATACTGGGAGCCAGGAATTGATCGCCACGGCACTCTTGATTAGCACCTATGAGATGGTTGATGGCTCTAACCGAGACTGGGAGCGGCACCTCAAAGGGGTGTTTTAGATACAGCGATATCAGAATAACGACGGTGAATGCGGAGGGCTTCGTCAAGCAGTGGTGGGCCTGGCTCAGACAGGATGCCTGAGTTGCTATGCGTGAGCGACGTCGTGTCTTCAGTTTCTGGCGACTAAAAAAGCATAGCTCAACACTTACAATACCGGAGCTATCAACCCGTGCGATCTACCTACTCGCACCGTTCATCAACTATGCCTCACGGGAGGAGTCACAGTCAACAGACATGGAACAACGTTTGGAACGAGGGAGCGAATTGATCTATATGCTACAGGAATGGCAAGACAGTCTTCCGCGAGAATTCTCTCCCCTCCCAGTCCCTTCGAATTCCGATGTCTTCCCCCCTCCCTCCCCAAATTGGGTCAACCCCCTCCTTGTGCGGCTGCCTTGCAATTGCATAGTCTAGCTCGGATTATGGTTATTCTACATTGTCCCTCTATCGGTGGGCTTCAGGACTACCGAGCTGCCAAAAAGCTTCTTACCTCTTCTGTTAGCACCATTTGTGGAAATGCCCGCTTGGTTGATGAAAATGATAAAGCGGCTTGAAGTGTGTCGCTTCAGTGTTTATTTGGAGGTACATAACTTTCCACCCTATGCTTTGCTACGGGCCAATTCCTAACTTGTTTTCAGCGGGCCTCAGTGTTCATACGCCTCATGAGCGAATTGCATTACTTGGTCTCATAGACATGTCTCAATAACGGATACGCTGGCCTTCGAACTCCTTGACCAAAGAGCTTGAAGTCGAATACCAGAAGGATGGGCTCTCTGTGTTCGCAAAATGTGCTAACATTTGGCGTATTATTATTCAACAAATTAGTATAGTCACAACATTTGAGGCCAACACCTCAACACAGGGTTAAAGAACCCTGCGGTAGTGACCAGAACCGTTAAAGAAGCTTCCATTTTGCGCTATTACGAGAGTCAATACAACCGCAGACTCTCTTCTTACGTCCTCAAGCTCAGATCCTTCTGGTTGAGACAACGACCTGTGGTACTATGCATTTACAGCCATGCACGAAGTAATATCTCTCAGGCTAGTATAAATTCACTAAGGAAATCATTATAGAAGCACATGTCCGTTATTTGCATCAAGGTTCTACGACCACTGCTGCCATTGCCCATCACCGTGCGCTAAGTGGTTAACCTTGTGTTTATCACTGCCAAATGAGATGGCGCGTACCTTTCAAGTCGAAGCTTGAATTTTGGTGCCTCACAATTGATTTAGCTTTGCGACGGATCTAAACATGCAAGATAATGAAGACTACCACACCAACTGCCAGCATGGCTGAGATCACAGCGAAACCCATAATACACTTAGGACCATCCGAATCCGGAAATAGATACTAGGAATAACGTTAGCTTCTCTTAGCCTGTGAATTGGTGCTAGTATACACACAGAACCATAGATCTGGGCCAGGTTTCCTAGTGCGTTCACCACTTACCTGCGGTTGCATGTTCGCGAAGGCTGAGGAAGCATAAGCAAGCGTACCTCCATTGGTTTCCCATAGCCCGGCCGCCATGAGGACAAGGAGGGCATATCGAGAAGTATAGTCGTATACCCCACAGACGGCAATCGAGCACGCAAGGGAGAACACCGGCCAACCGGCGATGACGACATCACGCCACAAAAGGGATCTTGTCACTGAAATATGCCGTGACTCCCGTGCAGACAAATGCTACTGCATAGATGGGTATTGTGAGGAAATTAATCCTCACAGGGAGGCGTCCCCGAAAGGCCTTTCACTAGTGTTGAGTAGAAGTAGGAAAGTGTGCTGGTACCAACAATGACCTAAAGATCCGTCAGTACCGCGCAGGGAAAGTAAGGAGCATAATTCCTAATACTATGTATCCGACAACGAACATCCACGTCCGTCAGTCCTTTACGGACACTAAGACAGCCTGCCACGGGCTCAACCGTTCAGCATTCTCTGTCATAGCCGTGACATTGTCTGATTGCAATTGGGCAACCGCGGTGTACCGCTGCCTTTCAGATAAGCGCTTGGTTGTTGCGGGGAAATCAGGAAGTATAAAGACGGCAAATAATGCAAACCCTACCGTAGTAGCTCCCTCAACAATAAATAACCATCGCCATCCTCTAATATCGTGTGCACCTTCCAGTCCGTCAACGATACCAGCAGCTGTCAATCCCCTGAACGCACCAGACAACTCGGCGGCAGAGATATAGGTGCCGAACCGTTTTGATTGTTCGGTCTTCTTATACCATGATGAAATGACTAGTATACCTGGTGCAAAAACCAGACTCAATACAACCTGTTACTGTTAGCATATGGCCTTCTCATTGAAGGGTTCACTGGCGACAGCTTTCATACCTATTAACGCTCGCAGTATAACAAGGTGCTTAAAGTCTTTTCACAACTGCCATAACACATATCAACAAAACCCCCCCAAAGCACCATAATACTAGAAAGGAACGGCGAAGGCCATGTTCAACTGAGATTGAGACTAAAGGGTTCATAATAGATTGGCACATAGTAGACCTGAGACGAGGGGGCATTACTCACTTGCTAGGAACCTCAAGGACAACGTATCCGATAAAGAAGACTCCCAGACAGGTCGAGTACTGGTCTGAAGTCAGGTTCAGATCTTCCTGCATCCCTGAGATTTTTGTGTTTCCGATACTATATGCAATGGTATTAGAATACAGTTCTTTTAGGTTCTGGGCTTTGAGTAGCGACGTCAACATACTTTGTTCGATCCATGTACGACAGAAGATACATTATCCACATTGTAGGCCGAAGCATTATGTCAGTCCTTCGCACAAGGGCAGCCTCTTCTTTAGGCGAGTACGATGGTGCAGCATCATCAGCAGCATTCTCGATTTCCATTGAGAGATCTCCTTTGGTTTCAATTTCCAGATGACTTGCCATTGTGTCGCACCAACTACCCCTACGAACAAAAGAAGGCCAGAAATAATGAAGACAGAAGGAAACCCACTCAATAGGGTGGTCAGGCTTTTCATACCCACGGCAAATTATGCTGCGCCTGTCGAACTTATTACCGATATTTATAATCCCCTAACTTGTTGGCTGTCGCGTAACAAAGTCAAACCAGCCACAGCGAAGCGTCCCAGTCAGGCCGTCAACGAGTAGATAGAGACACGGTGGCCATCGGCAATCTAACAACGATGCCTCTAAGACTGAGACTGAACCCACACCCGCAAAAAGACGTGGGTTCCCCGCACACTTTGTTTTATGAGAGAAAGCGCTGGTGCTTCGGTATATATATGGTTCCGGGTGCCTCACACCGAGGCAGGTAAAGGCCCACCTTAGGAATGCTCCAGGTGATATATGTTAGACAGGGGAGTTGTCAAGGCTGCTAATTGCATGACCACATTATTCAATGACGTCAAATCCTGTATCCTGATCAAGGAACTGGTATTAGTCAATGCTACACGAGCCGAGATGCCTCGAACCGAAGTCAAATACAATGATATACTTGCATCCCACCTTCGGGGCATGGCCGTTCTAGGGACATTGATCTGAGGGCATTAAGAACAATTGGCTTTTAATCCTCTCCTCATTCCTCTTTGCAACTATTAGAGGACTTGATCCTCACACAGTCATTGAAGTTGCGTTGCTTCCTTAGTTTATCAATATATGTAGCGTCCCGTGTGGCTGTCCGTTCCCTCACAATACTACACACGAGTTTGTTCTATCCAAACTGGTCCTCCCATACCCGAACCATAGTCGCCATCATGCCGCCCGCCGCGACGGAAAATGTTGCAGCTACCAAGGTTGAAGCAGAGCCATGTCTCAACACAATGCCTCCCTCAAGCTTCAGTTGGCAAATCACCCTCGCGGATAAAGCAATCGCAATTACGGGCGCTAACTGCGGAATCGGCCTGGGAATTGCGGAAGTATGCCTCGCGAACTCAGCAAAGTTCATATACTACCTGGACCTGATGGAACCTGGTGAGGACTTTGCAGCACTACGGAAGCGATGCAGCAACCTACGGTACATTCAACCCGATGTGACAAGCGAGGGAAGTATTAAGAAGGCTATCAATCAAGTTGTTGAGGAGGCGGGTCGGATAGATGGCTTGGTGGCTAACGCTGGTATGACCAAGCATCAGCCTGCGCTCAAGTTTGATCGTGAGCAGTTGGACCAACTATTCAATCTTAATGTGTGTGCTTTCGGAAGACTCGTTTTTTCGGGATCTAATGGTTTCAGGTATTTGGTGCATACTTCTGTGCTCAGATCGTCGCACGCAAATTTATCGAGCTCGGAGTCAAGGGGTCGATTGTCATGACTTCTAGTACGACATTCTTATCGGCCAAATAGGGTGCGTTCGGCTCGGGCTCAATTTTTCCAGCAAAGAATACTGGTAATCACTACTTTCAGGCTGCTCCTTCTGCCCCATACGGTGCAACCAAAGCTGCAGGTCCGTATAAACCACCCTGATTCATATCCTACCCAAACAGTTCTTAACCTTCCTCCCCAGTTCGTAATATGTGCCACACTCTGGCCATGGAGTGGAGCAAACATGGTATTCGCGTCAACAGCATTTCTCCAGGCTTCGTTCGAACCGCAATGGCATACTATGTTGCGAAGTCCCCAGACTGGGATCTCAAGATGCAATACTACGGCGGTATGCCTTGTCTAGCTGATCCGAAGGAGCTTGGTGGTGCGTACGCGTATCTACTCAGCGACTCCAGCTCCTACACAACTGGAATTGACATTCCGATCGCTGGTCTTGTGGGAGCTTGGTGATGGCGATTCTCCGACGGTGGCTGTATATGGTCACCTTACCGAGACCCGGGTCATGCATTATATATATATATATATATATATATATATATATCCAATTAACTATTGCGGGCGGCGTTGAGTTTAAACAATAAAATGTTCGATTTGGAAGGATAACCATTTGGAGTTTTCACATTTTCTCATCTACTGTTTGAGTTCTGGAAAAGGTGTCCAATGTAATTCAAAGTCGATGAATGATTTCTTCCGAGCTCGCGGGAATGAGGCGACGGGGCTACCGAAGGCAGAAATGACTTTTATAGGAAGGAGTCTAAATCATAAACGTTAAGCCAAGAGCGCCACGCTTTATCGATCTAAAAACGGAATGAAAATTCCAGTTGACGCTACACGAAGGGATGAAGCATTACGTGGAAATACTACGTAAGATATAACCGTAAGCTTCGTGTCCTAGTCCCTGAAAAGCTGCAGTTGATAAGTTTGACGACTCTGCTATCGACTCGAAGTACGTAGGTTATCTCCTTCGCATGATACTGAATGTAGGCCAGAAGGGGGGGGGGTTGGCTTATCGAGGTACATGCATTGAGAGCAGAAGTCAGTTGTTGGAATTAGGATCAAAGCTGTTCTTTACGAAGTTGAGGTCACTTGTCCTCCACACCCCCAACGGCAGGTGCCTGTGGGAGCCCGTCAGCCCACTACCATGTATGATCAGTATGGTGAGGGGATGCACCAGATCGAGAGCATGATTTAAACGCCCATGGGTATTTAATTGAAAGCCCACTGGAGACTTTGTCCAATGAGCCCCTCGCTCACCCTAGTGGATCAGTAACTGCAGACATGATTAGTCGGTATCATACATTGGCCTGTGTTAGTGTTCTTTTGGGTATGAGGTTGCCTGGCTTGGGTTCAGCCACAGGGTTACGGAGAGGGGAGGCTTGAGTATTAGTTGGACTGAATGTGTGGCTTCGGATTGACCTTGGTATGTGCGGTTCTTGCTTCGTCTTGTTTTCAATCTGACATGTCATTGATCGAGTGAGCATCCAACGGGGGGGTTCTCATCACTTTCTGACCGTAACCGGAAATGCAACGGAAGGTCTGGAAATACATATCACCGAGACTCTTTTGGATATGACGCTAGTATCTTGAAAGTTGGGGTGAGTAGAGGGGTGGGGCCCGATAAAATACGCGATTGGTCGGAAAATACATATTCTTATCATGCCCGCTGTTTCCACGTGGTTCCGCAGTAGCGTGATTTCCAATATAATACCACTCTGTACCGATGAAAGCATGGAGGCGGTAATCTGTATCATGAGACCGTAATCGAATTACCGATCTTTTTGGGTTGGGCGGTCAGAATTGAAGTTTCCTACGACTAAGCCTAGCCAAGATCCAAACAGAACATACTAACTGTGACCTGGGATCTAATTTCGGTTCCTGGGTTTGGTGGTGCCCTGAGACAAAGCGCTTCACTAACAGACGCTGTAGGGAGGCCGGTTCATATCACGTATTATCGCCCTTTCCTCCCTAGGACTACCTCAAAAACCCATTATTACGAACTATCGCTATGACCTCCATTCAGTGACGCCGTTGAGATTTTCAAGTTGGACAAGAGGATCACCATGGTGGCTGACAGCAATGTCACCTTTACCCTTCGGCTGATTCGGTCCCTGTTGTACAGAGGTAGAACCGCAAGAGTCTTAAGGGAGAGAGCCAAGCCATCGCCAAAGGGCTGGCGACGAATAATATTCCTGGTAATCGACTTTCCGAATCTTGTCGATGCAACCCTGGCCACGGTAATAATGGAAGTCGCTATTAATAATGGGCAGCTATATGCGTGCTTTACAGCGGAGGCGTTCCAACCTCCCAGTGTTGACCAGCTGTTCTTTCGGCTCGTTAAGTTTGGGTTGCGCTTGAAAATGCCGCATGGCCATACATGACTTGCACTGGTTGTAGGGCGGATTCCATCCGATCGCAGTGCCTGTTTCGGAACGGGCACTTGATCCCCCGGCCACGTCTTGTATCCAAGGTCGCTGTAGTTCTAGAAAACTCTCTGGTTGTGGAGGATACCATTAATTTACGACCATAAGCAACAACGTAGTTGCTCCTTCACACTGCAATCAAGTTCCAGAGTGGACCAGGAATGCTGGCCCTTTTTTTTTGTCGGTCGTCAAGCTTGCAGGATTCCCTTAACATGATTCAATCTCTAAGAGTAATAATGGTCGTGGAGCAATGGGTGTGACCTCCAGATATACTCCGTACATACATACGAAGGCAGAAACCTAGTACGCCCAAGGCTTTACATCCAGTAATACAGAATTCGATACATACAAACCTCTCGAGAACAGGAACTTCCAGGAACCGAACCCAATATGAATGCAGATTTTTCCCTTCATGGATTCATTCCCTTTGGACAATGCCTATGAAGCCAGAGCAGAGAGATAGTAACTTATATTAATAAGAGGAATATTGAGTTTGATTTTTATCCCTCAAGAATTTCCCCCTCATTTTCTCCTTCCCCAACCGCCAATCCACACAGCCGTCTATCACTCGCCCCAAATGGCTTGGGGCCCGCGCACTATCCGTCATAACCTGAACAGTAAGTAATCTTTTTTAACTCCGTCACTACCGATCTGAGTTAACTAACCATTTCTCAACATCTGAGCCTTTCTCCTCACACAAAGCCGCCCCTCCCCTTCGTCTCTCTTCCCCCTCTCTTTCTATTGCCTTTTTTCTTACCCTGGTCGTTCGGTCTCACTTTTCTAGAATTCTAGACCTAGACTCTAGAATTGGTTCCTTTGTTTGTTCGCTTGTTAAGGTTCAAGCTTAGCCTGAATTCCCCTGCGTATTTACGGGGGCGCCCCCACAGCGTTCGATTCCGCCGCCCGTTCACATTCCGCCCCATTCCTCGTTCACACCTCCAACGCTGCTTTCACCTCGTCGGCTCCGCGGACCCTCGAAACCTTATGCCTCACGTCGCTCCTTATCACCTTACGTAGTGGTTACGGGCATACCGACCAAATTCAACCCAATTGTTCGTTTCCCCTCCTTGTCTGCTCACCTGTCGCTGTCGCATCGTCGGTTCGTTTGCGCGTTGTCTGACCAACGCTTGTTCGGCCCCTCCAGCGGCCCTCCTATATCGGCTTCGGTTCAAAGCTCTCAGATGAAGCTTGACATTGCGAGTACAGATTTCTCGTGAAAGATGGGGTCGTTTTTGAGGAGTCTTCGGAGAGATGTGGTGAGTGGTCATATCGTTTGCCTCGCGGTCTTTGTCACATCCACATTTTGCCTTTGTGACATGGGCTTTTCTTTATAGCGAAGGATACCTCGAGAGGAGAGAAAGGAAAAGAGAGGAAGAGAGAGACAGAGGAGGAAGGAAACTCTATCATGCTCTGTTCTATCAGGTTTCTAATTGCTTATCCTCATCTCTAGGGCCCTCCTACACCTTCGGTTGGGCCGACTCCCACAAAGAAAGAGCCTCTAGTGCCCCCGATGACCCCTTTAGAGAAGATGCTTCAGGATATGGGCGCGATCCGAGAGGATGGTAGCGATAAGTTCTTTGGGATGGAAAACGTGAGTCCCTGGCCGTGTCGCGGTGACTGCAAGGCCCTGTACAATGGTGCTAATGTTTTCTTCTATTTTTAGTACGGTAACACCTGGTAAGTCGACGTGTGCTTGATATCAGGCAGCTTGTAGTTACAGAACGAGCGGAACGGAGCAGATCACTGACAATCAGATCGCTAGTTATTGTAATTCCATCTTACAATGTCTATACTATTCAGTCCCCTTTCGAGAGGCCGTCGTTAACTATCCGACACGGACTCCCATAGAGAGCCTAGAGGCGGCACTTGCAAAGACTCTCCGCTATCAAAACCCTGTCGCTAACTTGGAAGCCGAGGCGCAGGCTGAGAAACAGAAAGCTGCCAATGCTCAGCGTCCTGGGGCGCCCCCGAGTCAACCACCAAAACCAGAGGACAAAGACTCGCCCGAATATAAGAAGAAGATGGCATTACAAACGCTACCGCTCTTAGAGACCAAAAACAACGCGACCAGCTATGGAATGTCGGAGTCACTCTTCACGTCACTGAAAGACCTATTCGAGTCTGTTGTTGCAAGCCAGTCGCGGATAGGCATAATCCGACCGCAGCACTTCTTGGATGTTCTTCGACGCGAACATGAAATGTTTCGTACTGCCATGCACCAAGATGCTCATGAGTTTTTGAACCTCTTGCTTAATGAAGTTGTTGCAAACGTGGAGGCTGAGGCATCCAAACAGCCTTCGTCAGAGAAGAGTCTTCCATCAGCCGAAGGCACTGACTCTACTGAGCTATCGGGGAGTTCAGGCTCTAAAACACCCAACACCACTCGTTGGGTGCATGAATTATTTGAAGGAACTTTAACATCAGAGACACAGTGTTTAACCTGTGAGAAGGTTTCACAACGCGACGAAGTTTTCTTGGACCTGTCGGTAGATCTTGAACAGCATTCCTCGGTTACGTCGTGTCTAAGGAAGTTCTCTGCGGAGGAAATGCTTTGTGAAAGAAACAAGTTCCACTGCGACAATTGCGGGGGCCTTCAAGAGGCAGAGAAGAGAATGAAAATTAAGCGCCTCCCTCGGATTCTAGCCCTGCACCTCAAGCGGTTTAAGTATACCGAAGACCTTCAACGGCTTCAAAAGCTATTCCATAGAGTTGTATATCCCTATCACCTCCGCCTTTTCAATACGACGGACGACGCGGAGGATCCGGATCGCCTGTATGAGCTCTACGCTGTGGTGGTGCACATCGGTGGCGGACCATATCACGGACACTACGTCGCGATTATTAAGACGCAGGATCGCGGATGGCTACTGTTCGACGATGAGATGGTGGAACCTGTGGACAAAAACTATGTCCGTAACTTCTTTGGCGACAGGCCGGGTCTGGCCTGCGCCTACGTCCTGTTCTATCAAGAAACCACGCTTGAGGCTGTCTTAAAGGAACAGGAACAGGAGAATATGGATTTGAATACAATCGCCACTGATATGAACGACTCCACCCTGAAGCACAACGGCTACCCCCTGTCTCCAGGGTTGGCCCATGTACACAGCACGTCTCAGATACCTTCGCACAACGAACCCCCTCGATTCAGCAACCTCTACCGGGCCCCTACTGCACCGCTTTTGTCCCCTCACCTGGAACATTCAGAGCCTGAGAGCTCTTTCCCGGATCCTTTGACTGCCGTACCACCTGTCCCCCCCATACCAGACACGCATTCGCCACTACCTTTGAGCCCGAAGAAGAGTGATTCTCATTTCAAAAAGGAACGAGCCAAGGAGGAAAAAGAACGAAAAGCAACAGAGAAAGAAAAAGAGAAACAGCGCCGAAAGGAACAGGAGGCGAGATTTAGAGAGAATCAGCGACGAGAGGAGGCAGAACTGAGAGCTGCGCTTGAGGCGAGTAAGGTTTCCAAGGCTGATGAAGATCGTCGACACTCCCCTGATGCCGGTAAAGAGCACGACTCGAAGAAACTAGGCGGTGGCTTGAGCCGCCTGAAGCGAGGTAGCAAAAGCATCAGCCATCGGCTTGGTAAAGATAAAGAGAACCGAGTTTCGTCATCAAGCCATCCAACAACACCTATTGCGGAACATACACCGCCAAGCAATGGGCCATCTGATTCACAACAGCACCTACCAAATGGCCAATCACCAGGTTGGCACAGCTTGAATAGGCATACAGAACAGGACGAAGAGCGGGATGTGCTCAAAGACCCCAAACACGACAGAAGCGGACATCATGGCAAGTGGAGAAGTTTCAGTCTCAGGAAGAAGTCATTTAGCATTCTTTCATGAGCCTACCTTCTCATTTCAGTATCTCGGCCACATATATCGGCGATAGCTTTTTGCACATAGAATGCGCGTTTCCCCGTACATATTTCGATGTATCATCACCTTTACCTTCATATCGGTTCCATGGATCTTGCAGCGGTACACTTGACAGTCCTATGGAGTCTTGTGGCAGAGATACCGTCGGACCGGTTATGTTTTATTTCTCCATGCGACTTTTTCTCTCCGCATACGATGCATTCTGTTTACTTGTTTGTTTTAGCCACCACTCTATCTTCTCGATTCATCAACCTTGTGATACCCGTGCCTGGGTCACATAGCTGGGCAAACGAGGCGTTTGGCGAGTTCATTTCTGTTTTATAATTTTTCAAATGAGCTGGTAATCTATGGAAAGGGGTTAAGGTCTGTTCGGGTTGTGGGGATATCCGAAGAAAAACAAAACAAAAAAAAAAAGCAACAACGGCAGAGCATTACTGTAGGTAGGATGGGCCTGTAGTCCATCCTTTCGCCATGGATACTGTGTTCTATTACTCCAGAAAAAGCCCACCGACCGACTCATATAGACAGTGTTATATTAAAACAATAGTGCAAAATAGAAAAAACAGACATGCACAGAGTTACTCAAGCATAGAACTCATTCAGCCAACCCGACGCATGCATACAAGTATACTTAAATAGTATATCATTCAAGAGCTTTAAGTAGCCCGTGGATCCACGCTAACAACAAACGATAAAAGAAAAGAGGGTGTCTTTTCTATAAAAACAAAAATTTACTCACATATTCACATCGCAATGAATACCACATGAAAATATACCGCGTCTAGACCTAGCCCACTAGGAACAAAAGCATCCCTATTCTCAGGGCGTAGTCCGCCGCGACCTTTTCCCCATCGCTCAGCTGCCAATAACCCCATATATGCGTCTTTCAATGTGAACCCAGATCGAGGCCCGCGTGCTCGTGTCTCTGTCCTCGTGTAGTTGGCATTGCGAGAGATGCCCCGAGTCGGCATTCGGACAAAGTCGAGTAATAGTAACGGACTGCCCTCTTCTTTAGCTAACTGGCTAGTCGATCGATCGACGACCAGACAAACAATCAAGAACTCCGCGGAATCCCCCGAAACAAAAACGGCCGGTCGCTCATCCCAGAATAATCGAATATATAATGATTATAGTATTAATCACGATCAGGGGTACTAGCGCGAAGGCAAATCATTAGCGTTCGTTCTGTTTATCCCCCCCAAAAAGCCGAATCCACCGGATGCGATCAAAGGGCATGGGCCTTGGAGGGTAGAGAAAGGTGCGGGTTCAACGTACTTCGCATAACTGTCCGGACGCTGGCGATTAGATCTACCGTCTTAGCCTTGACGCTGGTACTATCGTGGGAAGAGCCGAAGGAGGGATCGGCTTGTGAGCGACCCCATCCGACTATTGGTACGAGTTATTGGTTAGTTGGTTTTCTTTTTGGGGGTTTGGAGTTGGAGGGAGGACGTACTTCTGGCGAGGAAGCGGTCTTCGCTTAGGATTGCGATTGCGTTTGTTATTAGGACGGCGACGTAGACGAGGCGTCCGAGGCCGAAGAGGAACATTTTCGATGGGGGGTTTATGGTGGTGGTGCGGAGGTGGGTTAAGTTGGAGAAAGTGAGATGTGTACAGCGTAAAGGGTAAGGTCGATAACGATAAATGTCCGTGGACACGGGACTTCCTATCGGATAACGGCCAAGACTACTTTTTCAGTAATTTAGCCTTTTCAACCTATCACCAACCCTTATCCTTCTTTTGATGGAATACTATATTCTACGATAGGCTCCGTGGAATGTTTTATTTTTCTTTAGCTTTTGTAGTTATGTCTGTCATTCGACAATTGGGATTATGGTTCATCCTGGACGACTTGTTTCATATCTACACAAGATCCTACTCTATATAGATCAAGTTGAGCCATCACCGGCGGTAGGATGATAGGATCTCGTAAACGCCGCCAGGTTCTAGCCTTGTTGGAGCTAGCACACTGTGCGGTGGAGAAGAACTCAAGATTTGCCAGAGTCTCTAGGTTCTTTCTAATGACCCCAGGGTGAATATTCTCTGCATTTTCTGGCTTCTGCATCCCGAAGCTTAGCTGTGACTGTAACATCGCCAGCAAAGGCCGGAAAGAGTGACTTTCACTTGCAGTGTCCAGAAAGCGACCTGCAGCTTGTGTCCAGGCTTCTGCGGTCACAGACACCAGTTTGACTCTCAACATCTCTTTTAACAATGTCCCAGAAATGGGAGACTCTAATGCCAGCTTCAACCTCCAGGATGGAGGGGGCAGCGGTTTGATTGAGGGAGCTAAATGTGGATGTGAGAATGCTAGTTGCCACCTCTTCAACATCCGCCACGGATAGCCACAGATAGCCACAGATCATTCGTAGGGTATCTTCCCATTTGGAGACGTATTTGTACGAGCTTCCATAGAAATCGTCTGCATTGGGAATGCCTTCTGTCTCAGTGCCAATTATTCGGCCTGACCGGACGATACAGATGTGACGTGTTGACTGTCCTCCTCCGCAGGGGAAAAAGCCAACTGGGAGACATGATGAATGACACGCGTCCAAGATAGCCTTGGTCAACTATTGGCCCTTCTATCAATAACTCCCCAACCGACCCAATAGGCGCCAGCCGATCAGGGTTCACTGGATCAACTAGCCAGCAGACGGCGGCCAGACCCCTTCCAATATTTGCGGAACTGGAGGTGTCGTGGGCTGTAAGATGCGATGTACTGTGGACAGTATACTCGCTAGGGCCATACGCACTGAATAACTGAACAAGCTCGGTCCACATGGCAGTATCAAGTAGCTTTGCAGACTCGCTACCTATTAGTAGCACTGTCAAACCTGGTACAGCTTCAGGGCCTAGTGTTCGGGCCACAGAAGCAGTGAGAAATGCCCAGTTTGTCTGGAGCTCATTCATTGCCTGGGCTAGACCACTCCGACTTGCTCCCCCTTCGGGAATACACACACACACACACACTCCACAAGCCAAAGTGAAGAGATAATCGGATATAGTTAGATCAAAAGCACCGGATGAAAATTGAAACACGCGAGACTGCTTGTTGAGCAAAAGAGCAGGCCCAACGATAGTTGCGTTGGTAGCCGAAGCTCCATTTTGGCTTTCCTGTCGAGCCAGATGTATACACGACATATACTGCATGACTAGGCTGCACTGTCAGAAGACAGCGGTCCCTACATTTCGAAGATCTTGCCCCTTGCTTACCTCCATGGCGCCAGGCTGGCTGCCAGGCGCGATGATTGATCCTCGAGTTCCTCATATGTAAATTCCCCGTCCCAAGCAGCAATTGCGGAAGCAGCAATTGCGGCTGCATTCGCCTGTGATACACTATGCTGCTGGATCAAATCATGGATGCAGAGGGAGCTGGTTGATGGCACTTGGCCATTCCAAGCCTGGTGTTGTTGGATATCCTCTGGGCTCATGCTGTCGACATCACCCACCAATTGGTTGGAGGACTGAGTCGTCTGTGTGAGAGTGTGTAAAAAAGGTGTCATGACCCTTCGCAGCTGCATCTTTGGAATCACCGTCGCATCGTAGACCGCTTCCACATAGACCGACTCGTTGCTGGCCGGGGTGCAGAGCAATGTCAACGCATACGTATCCCAGATCGGTTGGACGTCGACACCTGTGAAGCTTCTAAGTATGCTAACGTAAGGTTCAGCAGTAGCTGCTGAACTACAGTCTTTGGAACTTGCAGGCCCTCGCAGCATCTTCTCCCAGTTGGCTTATGTACGGCAGGCCGTACTGCTCAAAAGAAAGGGCCAAAATCAAATTGCTCTTGGAGTGCCTGGAGCTCCTCTTGAAGGGAAGTGTTTGGTCTCAGCTGGATTCGTAGAGAAAAGGTTGCAATTGTTGGGCCCGCCAATTTATCGATTCCTGGCACGGGGGACGCCGCGGCCAGAGACTGTCACCCCGCATACAACGTCGTGCAAACCTGTATAGCCGTGCGACGGTCAACGTACACGCCAGCCGAATACAGTTAGACAGGGTGGTAACATTGGTGCCATTAGTAAGGGGAAGTGTCACACCTAGGTGCTCTGATACAGTCGCAGTGGGTTTATATGTCTGGTATGATAATGATGGAAACCGCTCGCCTTCTAGACTAGAGAACTCAGCTTCCCAGTACTTCCTGGCGTTCTCGGTCGACTGTCTCACATAGTTGACAAACAGACTGAACGGGCGTGGGATCCAGGGAGGTCCCATGATAAGCGAGGTCAACTTGTTCCAAGAGCTGGGAGATTGACCAAGCATCATAGATGCAGTGGTGCAACCCTGAGAACACACAGGCTCGAGCTCCCTAATGAGCTATGAATCATGGCCAATCGTGCCAGAGGGCATCCCAGCGTCATCGGCTGGGCTTTATCTTGCCGTAGATATTCTCTCAAATCGTCGTGAATGGGGAAGTCGACCTGTTCGTACACGATGACTTGGAAGGTCTCTCCATCTAATGATTATACGATCCGAGTCCGCAAAGAAGGGTTGGCCTGAAAGGTTGCCTTCCAGGCCGATTTCAAGGCAGAGATGCTCACATCATCTCACAGCTCGTAGACTCGCTGTGATACATACCTGCCCGGCCGCACAGTGGCCAGAAAGATTGTGCCCTGCCGCATGGGCGTGGTCGGGTAGACATCCTCAATCTGCGACTCAAGCATAGCGCGTTCTTTCGCAAATCTAACGACCTCCTGTTCCTTTGCTTCTTCCACTACTAAGACAAATCGATAGAAGTGGTAACTTGGCTGTTCTGCTGCTCTAGCACACGAGCTCAGCCTGTGCAGACAACGTCGGGTGAGGAAAGATGTTGGCCGCCATGGAATCGCCTCCTCTCCGGAAAAATTGATCTTGTCTCCCAATAGGCGAGTCTACGGTGTCTAAGACTTTTGACCACAACGCCCGCAGGCTAAGCTCCGTCTCCGTCTGTGGGGCTTCAAGAGTAAGGCCTATTCCTGTACAGGAAGCAACCTCTTCGGTTGTCATGTCCAATACGACACGACGCAGTGTCTGACGACCCCCCCCCCCCCCCCCCCGACCGGTTCAAGCGTATATATCGTACTGGGACGACAAGTGCTGGGATCATACACCGTGGTACAACATCTGTTAGGGGCGACTCTAGCTCCCTCAAATAGGCCGAGGCGCAGTTGAATGATCCCCGGCTTATTTCATCACCGGTCGTCTGAATAATTTGGGCTCAACCCTACGAATGCAGTCAACTTCGCTTCGTTGGGGCTGAGCAGCTGGGTCAAGTCCACGACCACATCATAAACTTCTGCATTATCTATTTCGGCTAGGCAAGAGCTAACGTGGCATTCCACTTCCTCTAATTCCGGCCGCTGGCCGTTAACTTTAACGGCAATGTCCTTCCGGCCCAGGAAACGAACCGTCCATCTTCTGTGAACTGGGCCAGATCCCCAGTCTTGTACAGTCGCGGCCGCGGGACCTAAGGCGAAACCGTCTCAGCCAGGCTGTATCATGGAGGAACTGTTGTTGGGTCTTCTTAGGGTTGTTGATATATCCTCGCACGATGGCTATTCCCTCGATAATTAGTTCTCCGATGGCTATCACTGGAACAAGCCTATCAAGGTCGTTGGGGGTCATCCAGCCATATTGTAGATCCAATTCCATGTCCAATATTCATTCGGTCTGATTCAACGGTTGGGTTTTCCTCAGCAAGGAGATGCTGACACATTCAGACTGCCCACAGCCATATGTCAGGTTTATCTTATCAGTCCAGGTATTGAGATTAGCGCGGGACATAGGCTCGCCAGTAAAGACCAATGTCTGCAGATCTGGGACTTTCTCTGGGGTGAGTAAAGCAGCTACAGAGGGGGTTATAGTGGCCCAATTGACACGATACTCCATCATAAACCGTTCTAAGTTGTTGACACGGTCTTCCTCAGGCGGTACACTGATGCATGCCCCAGACATAAGTGTAAGCAGGACATCGCGGTGAACAACGAGGAATGCATGACTGGAAAATTGAAGCACTCGGGAATGCCTGTCTAGGCATAATGATTGCCCCGTGGTCCTAGCCTCATGAATTCTAGAAGCGGACCCGAGGGCTCTGACTGGCTAGCCTACATGGTTTATATAAATTGTGATCTCTAAAACATTGTTAATGCCACGACAAGGCTAAGACACACTTATACCTCAAGCCTGAACTCCGAGGCCGCGAGGACCTCCTCCTTATTCCTCCGTGTCTGTATAAATACCCAATTCTTTTCTACTCTCCTTCTCATTTGATTCACCAACGATGGCGGTCGGCTGTAATGATTCAGACTGCCTGAACAACAGTGCCACTGACCATAAACATGGCGACATGAGGGACTACATAGCCCCATCACTTTTCCAGCCTCATCGTGTTCGCCTGGCCATCCGAGACGCTCACGAAAAGAAGATCCCGCCGTTGATCGGCTACTATGCCGGCCCCCCAGCAGTGTCCATCACCCACTGGCTCGCACCGATGGGCTTCGACTATGTATGGATCGACTGGGAGTACAATGCAACGAACATCGAGACCATGACCACAGTCCGTCTGTCTATGTCACAAACACCATATAAATACGAGACTGACCTCCCGGCATACAAATGGTCCACGAGACGGCCTTCATGAGCAGTGCCAAAACCATTCCCTTCGTCCGGTAGGCCACACAAGCAACAACGCGCTCAACTCACTATATACCTAACCTACGCAGGGTACCCGGGCACGACGCATCCATCATAGGGTACGCCCTCAACGCAGGCGCATCAATCATAGTTCCTCACGTGGATATGGTAGAGGAAGCCAAACACGTAGTCAGCGCAGTTAAGCTGACCGAAAGCAAAATGGTACCCGCTCCACGCCGCCATTCCGATACGCGCGCAACCTGACAGATACCGCTCTAGAGCCAGAGAAGGGCCTCTGACAGAGCTTGAACAACCAGACGGCGCTGATGATTCAAATCGAGTCGCTCGAGGGTATCCACAATCTCGATGCTATCCTGACGAAGGTGCCGGAGATTGACATCGTCTGGTTTGGAACCATAGATGCTCGGATGAGTATGGGGCTTGCGGCGGGGTTTGGCGTGCGTGGTTCAGAGCCTAAGTGGCTTGGGGCTTGTGACTTGTTCCACGCGACGTTCAGGAAATACAAAAAGCCTCATGCAGGCTTTAGTTTTGTAGAGGGTGAGGAGTTGCGAAAGGCTACCTCGGATATGGCGATTGTGTATAATTGCGGCTGATACGCACAAACTAACGGAGGTGATGGGGCAGTTGAATGCTGCGAATGAGACGCTTGCATGTAAGGGAGCTTAGGAATCTAATTTTTTTTCTCATTTTCCATTATATTCGGTGTATTGATTTGATGCGGCAAGACTCAAAAGCGGTTCGGCCAGTATGGAAATGTTGGTGAGTACTTAGACATCATACTATTGAGGTGCTAGACCGGGATCGCCCAACTGAGAGCCTCCCTCTCCACGCTGACTAAAGTACCTTTCAGAGAAGAAACTTTGCTTGAATGGGAGAGCTAGGGAAGAAATTCAATGGAAAACAACAGAAAAGCATAGTTAGATACTGTTATGAATACGATGAAATAAAGTACAACGAAGTCATTGTTACATGTGCTCTCCACGCAGATCTAGCGATGTTCCCGGATGGGGACCAAACAGAGATTGGCGAGCGTGGCAACACCATCTCAGGGGGTCAAAAGCAGCGTCTGAATATTGGTAGAGCCATCTATTCTGGCTCTGATATCGTTCTTATGGATAAAAGCAATCTGTGGCCTTCTAAAGCCTCGGTGCAGAGCGCTGGCAACACACCAACTCCATGTTCTTGGCTGCTGTGGCCGGAATATATTGATGGACGAAGGTCATATCGTAGCTATCGACATATTTGCAAACCTCATGCGTACTGATCAACTTTTTCAAAACTTGAAGCTGGCCAAGCCCCGGCAGGGCGACTCGAACCAGAAGGCTGCTGCTAGTGAGACAAGCATCGAAATACAGCCGGCAAATGCCATCTCTAGTGAAATCAACGCGAAGAAACGATGCACTCCTTTGATGCAAAAGGAAGAGAGGGCAATAGGTTCCATGAGATGGGATGTTTGGAAATCATACCTTACTTTCATCGCCTAGGTCCTCTCTCGGATTCTTTGTAGCCTTTATCATGGCGTCATATCCACCGGTGGTATCATCATGAGCGGACTATGGCTGTCATTCTGGACATCTAACAAGTTTCCAGAGTTGAGCAGAGGCCAGTATATGGGAATATATGCGGATATCTTCTTTGACCAGACGGTTGCATTGTACTCGTTCTCAGTTCTGCTAACAGCTGCTTGTGCCAACGCCAGCAAGAACCTGTTCGAGTGTGCTATGCATCGAACCCTTCGAGCGCCCATGTCCTTCTTCGATACCACACCGCTGGGGCACATTATCAATCAATTTTCACATCCAGGTATCAGGCAATGATCTCGTGGACTCTGGCCAGAAGAGACGGATAAGGATGAGAACAACATGTAAATAGTATCTTTTTGACTATCCTTTTGTTTGATGTTTCTGCATATCATCTTATCATCTGGCAGATTCATTTGAACACTCTAAAGTTACATCATCCAATCGTGTGACTTTTGCATGGCCCAGATTTCAGGCTGTAGTTCCGCGTACTTAGCGATTTTTTATCGGATTAAAAAGCTGTATAAATTGAATTGCTATAGTACCGTTATACTGAGTACTTTTTGGGAGAGATATAATTGGTGCAGTATCCGAGGCTGTGGGAGAAGGACCGCCTTCCTATCTCAGCTCCGCCTTCTTAATCGGACATAGTACAGATCTATAAACGCTAAGCCCAGGTTAGTAGGCGGTTCCTGATATAAATCCACACCAATTTGAGACCTCATGGACCTTACGTTCAGAAATGAGGCTTCTGGGCTTTTATTTCAGACGACCGGTATTCCCGTCAGGAACCCTTTTTTGGTATTTTTGAAAACACTCAGATATTTCATCATATGATTCAAACATTCCATTGTGTTTTGTGCCAGTAACTTTTTGCTCATGGCGTAACAAGCCTGAAATACTAGTCCAGCAAAGATACACTATCCAATGCACCAGATGAGATAGTGTTCAATTTATTCTGCCGGTTTGAATTGGTCAGCCCGTTTTGATTAGCCTACGTATGCTTCTCACTGGAATGCTTTGACCTTTCGACAACTTTAACTACAGCGACGGTGACACGATGGGGAGAGTTGATGTTGGTATGAATTGCTTTACTTCCTTTAATGTGTATATAAATGCTCACAAGTATCCTTCACTTATGTGTCAGTCTTCATACTGCTACTTGTCGCAATCCCAGCTCTCGTACTGTTTCACCTCTACCTAGCCCCCTACACCAAGGTAGAGGAGTCCTTCCACGTCCAAGCCATTCATGACATCCTTTCATACGGAATTCCCACTCAAAATGTTGCTGAATATCTCAGCGCTCAATATGACCATTTCACATTCCCCGGTGCTGTGCCCCGGACGTTTGTCGGAGCTGTCGTCCTATCTACGCTCTCGCAGCCATTCATCTGGTTAAATGACACTATTGATAGGCAATTACTAGGTACAAATATCTTCGTATATATTTACTATACGCAGCACTCTAATAAGTAGTACTTTTACAGCTCGAGCCATTCTTGGCCTGTTTAATGCTCTGTCTCTGCTCTCCTTCGCATTCGGCTTGCGACGGGCTTTCGGGAAGACTACAGCGATCTGGTACCTACTCTACCAGGCAAGCCAATTCCATGTTCTTTACTATGCATCCCGGACACTGTCGAACACGTTCGCTTTCGGATTATCTACCCTGGCGATGCGGTACCTTCTTCAGGAGAATTCCCAACAAGTAAACTCCGTGGTATATAGAAGCCGGTGTCGGTTGTCCCTGTGCCTGTTGACAATAGCTGGTATCATATTCCGTTCGGAACTGGCACTCTTCCTTGCCACAAACACCGTCTTTCTTTTCCTTACAAGACGTATCGGTATCCAACGTGATATAATCCCAGCCGGATTATTGGGACTATTCCTCGGTCTGGCCTCTACTGTACTCGTGGACTCATTTTTCTGGCAAGAGTACCCCCTCTGGCCAGAGCTGTCAGCCTTCATATTCAACGTTATCAACGGTCAAGCATCGGCCTGGGGTACACATCCGTGGCACTTCTATTTCACCAATGCCATCCCGCGTCTCTTGTTGAACCCTCTTGTCTATCTAATCGGGCTTCCATTCGCCCTATCCCAGCCATCAACCCGCTCCGCGGCAACATGCCTACTCATCCCCTCACTTACCTACATAGCTATCTATAGCATCATACCACACAAAGAATGGCGCTTCATCGTATACACTGTCCCCCCACTAACCGCCGCCTCCGCCCTGGGAGCATCTTATATCTGGACGCACCGGACCAAATCCCTCCTCTACCGTCTCCTCTCCCTAGCCATGGCTCTATCAACCCTCGCCTCATTCCTCTTCTCCACCCTCGTCCTCCTCCCCGCATCCTCCGCAAACTACCCAGGAGCATACGCCCTCCAATCCCTCCACGCCCACGCCCCCAACACCAAACCCCTCATCTCCGTCCACCTAGGCAACCTCGCCTGCCAAACAGGCGTAACCCGTTTCCTAGAAACCCCCACATCACCCAGCCAAAACTCAACCTGGAAATACGACAAAACCGAAAACGAAACCCTCAAGGCCACGTCATCTTTCTGGTCTCAATTCGACTACCTCCTCATCGAACCTGGAGAAGAGGAATCGAAGATTCGCTCTTTATCTGGCCCTGGTCACTGGGAAGACGTGGATGTGATTGAGGGATTCGCGGGACTGAGGATCGTCCGGCCTGGTGATGGGGCTGTGGGTGCAGTTGAGGAGCGGGTTCTTCGGAGGTTTGTTGGTGAGGATGGGACTCGGGCTTGGAGGGAAGGGAGAGATTTTGCTCGACGGTTGGTTACTCGTGGTTGGTGGGTTGAGGTGAGGATGGAGCCGAAGATTAAGATCTTGGGGAGGGCTAGATGATCTCCTTTTTTTGATCTTTTGGCCTTTTTCATCTTCTTTGTATGAGTAGGAGTAGTTATGGAGTTTGTGTTTATATATGTATATCTAATCTTGTATCTTAATAAGTAGATGGAAGATGTAGGTATGGTACTTGTATCTGAAATAAATAGATCCAACTGTGTATGACCTGCTCCTGGATATCATCTTTCATGAAATGAATGCGTCCAAGGGAAATAGAAAAGTGTACAACAAGCATCCATTAGCTTCCTTTATGCAAAGTATGAACATGAACTAGCTTCTCAAAACAAAAACGTGGGTATTTCCATCATTCTTAGCAAGGCCCTCAAGCAATCACGCCTGTTTGTTCTCCAAACGATCCATTCTACCTTCCAAATCACGGACCCAGGGCTCAACCAGCGCAATGTTGCTCTTCAGAGCCGCCTCCCCCTGGGTCATCTTCTCTTCGACAACCTGCAGCCCCTCGCGCCATTGGTCAATCTCCCGCGCCATATCCGCCTGGCGTCTTTCCAGCTCGTCCAGTGATTCAGAGGCTTGTGCAGCACCTGCGTGGATGGCGCGTAGGGAGCGGAGTCGTTCCAAGACACTAGGGAGGATCGGGTGGAGGGATTGAATGGTCGGTAGGGTGGCGTAGAGAGCTTGAATCTTGGTGGCTTGCTCATCGCGTTGGGTAGCTGCGGGGTCGACTTCTGTGGCTGATGAGGAGGATACAGACATATCGGATGGTTCGAGAGCTGCTGTGGCAATGCGGGCATTTTGCGCGGCTTTGGCTGCATCTACGGCGCGCTTGCGGGCGGACGCCAAGGCTTCGGTATCAGCGGTTAGCTTTCTGACGCGTGCAGACAAGTTTTCAAGATGGGAGGTGGACACAGTCGCCGAGGGTGGAGCGGTGCCTATTGTCGGTACAGCCGAGACAGGGGCCGGGCCGACAAGAATGTTCATTAGAGTGATCAGTCGGGACGTAAGGTGGTCTAAAGCCGGCAGGACGGGTTGGAGTGGCACATCCGAGCTTCCATCGGCGATAAAGGGGTTGGAGGAGCTGGAGATACCCATAGCAGCCTCGACGAGTGCTAGCCGGCCGTCAAAGGCCGCTGCGTGGGCCAAAACGCCGGAAGATGGGGCAGTAGAAGGAGTCTCCGTCTCCGTCTTCTCAGTCGGTTTGTCCGGCTTGTCAGGGTCATCAGGTCCTGGTTCAGAGATCCTCTTGGATACTACCGCGGCTGCCGAGTGCGGCCCAGATGCTTTCCGAGAGGAGGCATAGAGGTTGTCCAAAGCCCGGCTCAACTCGAGCACCCCGTCGTCCAGTCCTTCCTTGCGTTCTCCCTGGTTTCCATTGGGCTCTGACTCAGCTTGGCGGGATGCCATCTCATCCTTCAGCTCCTCGACTTCTCTCCGGAGGCGAGCAAGCTTTCTCTCAAAGCCTTCCTCTTCACTATCACTGAATTCGCCGACTTCTTCCAATCCATCGTCTATTCTGCGGCGTCGGCGACTCTTGCTCCTATATGCCTTCCGTTTCGTAGCAATACTATCAGAGAAATTGGCTTCGCGCGCATCAACGGTAGCCCCGAGAAAGTGAGCGCGCGCCTCATCCGCATTGATGGCTTGACGGTCGATATCGGGGTTGGAGCCGGCATCATCATCTGCATTGGAAGTGGTGCGGATTGTTGCAGTCTGTTGGAGGTAGAAAACAGCTATATGATCAGAAATCACAATGTTCCAAAGAATCCGACGTGGTGACTAACCGGGACGGTGGATGCTTCATCGGTCAGATCGGGGGTCTCATAGATATCGGGCGAGGGATCCTAAGCCCCAAGCAATGGGTCAATCGGACTGTTGATAAGAAAGCAATGCGATTTACGCGTGGGAGATTGATTCACCAGATCTGGGAGACCCGCATACTTCTTATTGAATGCCATCATGCACCTTTGCAATGACTGGGGTAATTGGCGGGGTGCGTGTTACGAGTGTTTAGTCTAGTTGGAGCATCTCCGAAGGTGTGAATGTAAACTGTCTCCGCGTTGGCACGTGAAAGGGGCCTTTAAATATGATGCCTGAGGCATTAAAATAACCTGTCTCCGGTCAAGTTCTGTAGTGTAAGGATGTACATCATTGTAAAGGTACATACGAGTTAACAATCCTATTAGTAATTGCTATGATGACATTCCCAGTTCACATGATGTATTTACCATAAACCCCATTCAATGAGAGACAAAATGATCAACTATATGCACCGCTACAAGGGGCATACTCCGGCCTGAAACGGGTCGCTCTGTTTCGGTCCTGGTTTAGCATTTGGCGCCAAGCAAGTTCCTCCCACATCAATAGGAACAGCCACAAGGGGAATTGCAGCCATGGCGTGTATAATGGCAGGATTGGATTGGTTCCCTTTTGCAGTGGTGAACACATGCACGTGGTAACAGCCTCGGAGGTTGGCAACCTCAGGCGGTTCATTCCTAATGTGGTAGTTTGTGGAGAGGCGTGACTGGAAGTCCCCGGAAAAGCACATGAATGTGACAGTAACCCTCCCAAACATTTATTTAAACACCCCTTCTGGTGCTCTTCCACCTGAACCTGCTACTACTACTATTATTATTATTCTCCTCATACTCATTGTCAGCACTAGCTGCCCTTCATTCATCCTCTACCTAGACACCCTCCTATCTCTTATCTAACCTACCCCGCATCACCATGGCAGCCCCCGCAGACATCACCATCAAGGACCTCAGTGGTGAGTGGACGATGGTATGTAGAGTTCCTTTTCTAATGCCTTGGAAATCCTCGGCTTGAGGGAAATCCGTCGACATGAGCTAACTTGGAACTGTGTGTCTGCAGGATAAAACCCTCTCCAACCCCACTGAGCCAATTCTGGCACTGGTAAGTCAATTCATCGGGAAAGACGCATAGCCCTTGCTAATGCTAACCGCTTGTCCCATTAATAGCAAGGCATGGGCTGGTTAAAGCGCAAAGCTCTCAATGTCGCAACCGTCACCCTTAGTGTCCACCAATTTGCGGACGAAAAGGACCCTAAGGTCCTCCACGTCAACATCGACCAAACGGTCACTGGAGGAATTCCTGGCACAAGTGAGAAGCGTATCTCAGACTGGGAACCACGAGAGCACGAAGACCACGTCTTTGGCAAGGTCAGAGGTCAAACCCGGTTGATCCGTGGCTCCAAGGGCGAGGATGGAAAATTCCGCCCTAATGTGGAAATCGCTACCAAGACCGATGACGAGAAGGTGAAGAAGTTTTTGAAGGGAGAGATCCTCGCTGATGGAAAGGATACGGATGGATTCGTTGCGGACAACGTCGGCGAGGAGTATGGAGAAGGCGAGAGCCTTTTCCTTCAGAGTTTCGTGCAGAACCTGGACAGTGCCGGCGGCTGGACTGCTGAACAAGTGCGTATTTCTAATTGTCTCCCCTCTTTCGCCAGTGCAAGTCCGAGGGGGATGCTAACCTTGAATTCTTAGATCTGGGGTTTCGAAGTGATCGATGGAAAGCGGTACTACACTCGCCGTGTTGTTGTTGCCAAAGACGGTAAATATGAAATGGCTCGGTTTGTGTACACCTTCATCAAGCGCCGGGAAGCTTAGAGATCCTTGACATTAGCAATAAATGAAGTACATTTTTTAGCTTTCAGATGTCTAGACTAAATCGGAAAAGTCCTCGTAAACCCTGGTTCTATCCAGATCCACTTGAAGATCAACTGTACATGTACATCCAAAAAGGGAAAGGTCATCATATAGATCTAGGCTGGTTCGCTACGGCAGAGTACGGAATACCTAACGCGGTTTATAGGTAGATGTACATTGATATCATTTTGCATGGTCACCCGCAACACAGGCACTGGTTGAAATCATCCGGAAACCAAAATACTCATGATGCTTCTGGGTATATATGTTATCGTTAAGTGAGAATAGAAGGACAACAATGACAATTTGCCTTCAAGTGGTAGGAGACACGACTGACAGACAAGAAACCCTTATAATCAATAAACTTCATTGTTTTTGTATCTCGACTTCAATTTAGTGGTGGGTCGGCATCACAACATGCGCCTTGGTGCTGACGGCATCCTCAGCCCGCCAGTGACTTGTCACAGTCTTCTGCTGGGTGTAGAACTGCAGACCAGGTTTGCCGTAGAAAGTGTTAGCTCCACCGCCAGCGATACTCTTCTTGTTGCCAGTGAAAGAGAACATGGGAAGAGGGACAGGGATGGGGACATTGATGCCAATCTGTCCGGCTTCGATATCCTTCTGGAAACGAGATGCCGTAGAACCAGAGCGAGTAAAGATGGCGGCTCCGTTCCCGTATTCGTTCTTGTTGATGAGGTCAATCGCATCCTCAAGAGTGGGGACGCTCAGGCAGACCAGAACTGGACCGAAGATTTCTTCCTTATAGCAGGTCATCTCGGGGGTGACGTTCGTAATAATAGTGGGACCGACCTTAAAAGAACGCATAGTAGGTTAGCAAGATTATGATTCATGAATCTTGGGAGGAAATAACGCTTACAAAGTTGCCATTGGGGTACTTCTCAGGCTTGAATCCCCTTCCGTCCAATAAAATCTTAGCGCCCTCTTTCTCGGCACTGGCAATCAAATCTTCAATACGCTTCTTGCTCTCCGGGCTGATCACGGGGCCGAGATCGGCTCCCTCTTCAAAACCCCCGTTCACCTTTAAGGCCTTAGCACGTTCTGCGATCTCCGGGAGCCATTCCTCGGTCTCGCCAACCATGACCACAGTACTCAAGGCCATGCAGCGCTGGCCAGCGGCGCCAAAAGCTGCTCCCACGATGGCATTCAAGGTGTGGTTCTTGTTACAGTCGGGAAGGACAGCGGCATGGTTCTTGGCCCCCAGGTTGGCCTGCACACGTTTGCCATTGGCAGAGCCCCGAGTGTAAATGTACTCACCAGCACGGTTGCTACCGACAAAGCTAATAGCCTTGATGGCAGGCTCGTCAAGGATGAAGTCAACGGTCTTGGCGGAGCCATGGACAATGTTGATGACACCAGCAGGGAAGCCAGCTTCCTTAGCCAGTTCCGCCAAAATCATGGCGGCACCCGGATCACGCTCCGAAGGTTTAAGGACCAGGCAGTTGCCGGTAATGGTAGCCACTGGAATGCACCAAAGAGGGATCATTGCGGGGAAGTCTGTGGGGAGCGGTTAGCCTCGGGGAGACGGTCGGGTGGGTCTTCTTGATACAAGGGGTGTCTTACTGAAAGGGCAGATGGCTGCAACAACACCCAGAGGCTCCCTGTAGCTTCTGGTCTCCATGTCTTTAGCGACTTCCAGCACTTCGCCTGTAAGCTGCGTAGTAATGCCACAAGCAGTCTCGGCGACCTGCAGACCACGTAGAACATCACCCTTGGCATCGGCGAAAGTCTTGCCTTGCTCCAGTGTAATAGATGCAGCGAGACGGTCCCAGTTGGCACGAATCAAACTAACAAACTTGAACATGATCTGCTGTCTGGCAATCACACTCGTTGCCCGCCATGCTGGGAATGCCTTCTCAGCGGACCTGACCGCCGCCCGCAGCTCCTCATCTGTGCTTTGAGGCACCCGAGTAACAAGGTTGTTCGTAGCGGGGTCATGGAGGTCAATCCATGTAGTGGCCTTCGACGCAACAAATTCGTTATCCAGAAAGTTGGCCGTATCGATGGGGTTGGCGATCTGCTTGTGGTCCGTCGGGTACTCGGTAGCGGTACTAGCCGCGGAAGTGGTTGCGGGGACCATCTGTTGGGCGGTGGCGTGCAGTCTGCGCGCAGCAACGTTGGGAGAAGAAGAAGTTACAGAAGCAGTTCGTTGACCAGCAAGTGCTGAAGAAGAACTCCTGGTTGAAGTCATTAAAGAGCGCGATGCTGCTGACCTGGCAGATGATGCGTTGGCAAAGCTCGTGCGGGGAGATGCAGCGCGGAGTGTGGGGAGAGAACGGGCAAGGGACCGACGGGCGGCCATTGTGAAGGGGAGAAGAGATGAAAGGGAGTAAGTATATATGTTGGTTGTTTACAGAGAAATAAAGGGAAGAACAAATCAGTGACCAGGAGAGCAGAAAGAAAGGAGGTTACTTGGATAGAATATAAATAGAGAATCGGTTTGGCAAGGAGGAAAGATATATGGAGTAATGAAGTGAAGTTAATAAACCAAATGGTGCAAACGCTTCCCAATACAATCGCCGAGGACAACCGATAACGCTACTCGGCGTTGCCGGCCAATCATGGCACCCAGTCGGAGCGACTTTCTAGATTCAAATATGGATAGATGGGAATGGTTCCGAGTCCCGCTGTTGTTCAACTCTCTCCTATATCAATTCACTTCCGAGCTTGGGCTTCTTCTATGTTTGTCTTCTTCAGTTGGGTTAATTGACTATCGTCTCCTCTTTCCCTAGCTAAAGCATTGGTGTATTTCTTTTCTTTTTATGCATATATAGGTCTCTAAAGCAAGTAGTATAAGAGATGGCTTACAATTGTATCCGACGAATATTGAAATGCACTGAGGCAGAAAGCCAATCAATCAATTCCTAATTCAGGTGACAATGATACGGCGCAGACGATTTAAAAGGCAGCCGTAGGACGGGTTTTCAAGGCAAATATCAAACGCTACTTTACAAGCTTCAGAAACAGTTCCCTCCCTATCTGTATGCTCTCATATCTCATCAAGAATGGCAGCAGTCCCTCAACCTTGACTATAGGAGACCATTGATTGACCGCGCAATACACGTCATGATATCGAATTTGAAAATCTGGTTTAAGTTTATTTGTCTCTTCCTACACTCGACTTCACTCTTTTGGGTATAATGGCATATGGTTTACTGCGCAGACGAACGAGTGTTACGCTTGGTAGCGCCGCCCTTGCCCGTATCCGCGGCGCTGCTGACAGCCTCGCTGGCCTTCTCCTTGGCAGCACCTGCGGCCTCCTTGCCCTTCTTGGCGGCAGGAGCAGGTGCTGGGCTGCTGGCCTTGATGGCGCCCACAATGATGAGGACCATGGACAGAAGCAGGGCTCCCAAAGTACCGGCGACTTCGGGAGCTTGCTTCACGGCGTTAACGGGATCTGCCTTGGCAAGGCCAACGAAGCGGTCAACCTTCTCGCGGATGAAAGTGACAGGGTCTTCCTTGAAGCTGACGCTGGTGGCGGGGGCAGTCTCCTCCTTCTTGGGCTTGGAGGCCTCCTCCTCGGCCACTTCAACAGGGTGCTTGACATCAAATGTCTCCCGGCGGAGCTTCTCGGCATCCTCGGGGGAGTGACCAATGTAGATGTTGTCGAACAGGATGTCGTTCTGCATGGTCCAGATCTCAAAGCCAATCTATAGATTCATTAGTTAAGCTGCTAAGATCAGAACAAACCGACAAAGATAGAAACTTACAGCGCCCATAGGCTCGAAGTTGGCAGGAGCCTTATCCTCAAAGTAGGCCGGGTTGGCGATCTTGCGGGGAGCCCAGGGGCCCTTGTAGGCGGGGTTGTCAATCATAGGAGCAGTCCACTTGCCCTTGTAGGCAGGGTTCTTCTTCATCGGGGCAGACCAGGGGCCACATCCAGAGACATCACTGCACTTGGGGTTAGGAACAGTGGGAGGGATCCAGTCACCATCCTCCTCATCATCCCAGTCCTCTGGCTTCTCAGCCTCGGGGTCGGGAATGGTTTCAGGCTCCTCCTCGAGCCAGTCCTCAGGCTTGGTGGCTTCCTCGTCAACAATCTCGAAGGGGGCCTCCTCATCCCAATCCTCGGGCTTTGTGGCCTCAGGGTCGGGGATCTTGACATCATCAACCCAGTCGGCGGGCTTCTTATCCTTCGGGTCATCGATCTCCTTCTCCGGATTGACAGGAGGGTTGAAATCCTCGAGCAGGGTGCCTTCCTTGACAGACTCCCCATCAATAAGGATCTGGAAAGTCTGGTCGGGACGGACAATCAGGGTGTACAAGGAAGTGACCTTGTTGGTGCGAGCGGCAGGTGGCGCTTTGAGATGCTTCTCTTCATACTCGCCAGTCTTGGGGTTCTTGTGGCGGAAGATGAAGTGAACCTAATAATATATAAGCGGCAGCTCGAGGAGGGTAGACGTAGAAGCTTGTCCTAGTACGTACCTTGTTAGTAGCACCGCACTTGTCGGGGCCGAACATGATCACGTAGGGAGTGGCATTAGAGAACTCCTCGGCGTGAAGCTTCTTGTTCTCTTGAAGGAGCTTGAGGTAGGCGCCACCGCACACAAGGGAGTCTGTCAATGTATAGCTTAGTATACCGTATGCCGAATATCTGTGGAGACAGGCTTACTCTGTGGCTTGACCTCGTACTGGACAACCAAGGTCTTGCCCTTGTTATCGATCTTCTTGGGGAATTTCGCCGAGATGGCGTGGTGGGCGGCAGGATTCTTCACGACGAGACCCTTGTCTCCGTCGATGCCTTTGAAGACAGTGGGTTCCTCAACAGACCATTCACCGACATAGGCCCAGTCCTCTTCCGTCTTGGAGTCATCCTTCTTCGCATGAGACGGCGTCCACCGAGATTCCCAGTCATCGGTGAATTGCTCGAGGAAGGGAGCTTTGAGGGTGGTCGGCTGGGGTGCTGTTAGCAAAGGCCGGAGCGCCAACACCTGGTAGATAACGTACAGTGAAAGTTGGCTTCTCTACAACGGAAGTAGCATCGGGGTTCTTCTCAGCTTCCTCAGCATGAGCGTAGCCCATGAGAGTGGCCGAGGAGACCAAAGCGGAGGCAACAGCTGCGTTGATACGCATGATGAAAGTAAGAAGCCCGACTCGGTCGTAGCTTTAGGAAACAAACAAATAAGCAAATGTGTCCAACAATGGGCCTCCGGAGAGGTTTAAGGGGAAAAGAATGTCAAGCTAAAAGCGTACCACAAACTAGCCGATAGAAGAGATGAGGGCGAGAGAAAATGAGGAGGAAAGAAGACCGGTGTTCGGGGAGGTTGATTATATGTTGCGCATGAAGCTGGGAAGGTAGCTTAAGTTCAATCTGGCCTCTTCCGCTGCCGCTTACCCCTTGGGGTAAAGTTCCACCGGGCCCCCTTTGGGATTAGTGGTAGATTCTCCAATGTTCTGTTTGATTGATTGTACTTTCTAGAGAACCGTTTCATTGCTTTTTTTTAAAGTTCCCGTCATCTGTTTTTACTCTTTCTTACCCAGTAGTACTAGTAGTACTAGCACTAGTTGGTAGTTCTTCCAGTCCTTTCCTTGGCATGACCATCTGTCTACATTCAATACAGAAAAAATAAAACCACAATGCTCTCAAATTTTAAACTAACCCAGTCTATCCAAAGAAATTATATCAAACCCATTTCATGTCATACTAGATCCTAAAAGATGACTCCGATTGCGCGATCTTCTTCCCGCTAGTTAATTGATCCAGATCCGGAAGGGAAAAATTATATTGGAGACCTTCAAACTTGCCCCTCTTTTTTCTTCGTTTCGTTCTTTTCGACTCCCTTTGATTTACAAAATCTCAGACAACGCCGTTTGAGTTTACAAAAATCGCCCTTCCTTTCTCTTTCTTCTCTTGGGCGGCGCTTGGTTCATTCTCGCCTTCGCTCTTTGTTCCTTACATCCCTAAACTACTACCCTTTCGATCATTGGAACCCCACTTCACCAATCGGTCCATCATGGCCCAAGCAGTCAAGGACAACAATGACCATCTGGTCCAATCTTCTGATCCGCAACACCCCTCCAACCTGATTCCAGAACTCTGTCGCAAGTTCTATAACTGGGGATGGGTCACTGGCACTGGTGGTGGGGTAAGAGAATTGATCGCATCTGCTCTTGAAGCCGTCCATGAAAGCTAACTCGACATAGACGTCGATCCGGCGCGGAGATCATATTTTTATTGCGCCATCCGGTGTGCAGAAGGAATTAATGCAACCGGAGAACATCTTCGTTCTCCAGTTCCCAACTCCTAAATATCCCCCCTCCGATCGCAAATATATCCGCAAGCCACTCGATCTGAAGCCATCGGCCTGTACCCCTTTGTTCCTCGCAGCCTTCGAGCGTGGTGCGGGCTGCTGTATCCATACTCACTCCCAGTGGGCCGTCCTGGTGACGCTTCTAGTAGAGCGTGAGAAAGGCCCCGGAGCCTACTTCGAGATCAGCAATATTGAACAGATCAAGGGTATCCCTCGCGGTAAGGGTAAGGGTATGCTGGGCTTCTTTGATACTCTCAGGATCCCGATTATTGAGAACACTGCATTCGAGGAGGATCTCACCGGAAGCTTGGAGAAGGCCATGGAGGAAAACCCCGACACTTACGCGGTCCTCGTAAGAAGGCACGGAATGTGAGTATTCGCTGTTTCTTATTTTGGAGGTTCTGGAGATCTAATAAACCGTGTAGTTACGTCTGGGGAGATGATGTTGCCAAGGCTAAGACGCAGTGCGAGAGCTTGGATTATTTGTTCCAGCTTGCCGTGGAGATGCACAAGCTCGGTATTCCTTGGGTTAAGGAATAGATGACCTTTATATGCGCGAGCCGATCTTAGTACAAAAGACTCCTGTCATTGAAGACCTTGAAGGAAGTTAGTAGATCGAGTCGCTATATCTTAAGGATACCACTATTATGATGATGATTTGATAGGTTGAATGAAGAGTACATAGGCATTCAAAGCGCATTGTGTTTTTTGACAAGTATATTGGAATATATAGTAGTAGAGCATACCCTTAGAGGCGAATTAGAGATATATTCGGAGTATGTATATTAGCTAGCATAATGAGACCCTAGTTTGACTACTGGTTAAGTCCCGCCGGAATGGCATGTAAATCTGATTAGTACCTAACGCGATTGCTTCCCCCGACAATATGTTAACATGTACGGAGTACTACTTCCATAAAATTATTATCTAGACTTGGAATGGGCTAAGCGGGTGGATTCAGGCATTCCCTGGGGCGGGGACTGCCTTAATTCCGGACGGGTGACGAAGTTGGCCTTTTTTCGACGGCGCGGATCATCTGTCCAACTTAAACTTAGTCGCTTCGCCGAACCCATTAACAGGATTACTGCGCGCCTCCTTTAGGACAACACCGTCACGTCCTTGCTTCCCCCTCCCCGCCACTAACGACCTCTTGTTCACTTTTCAAGTCATACCCACATCCTTTGACCTGTCTAACCAATTGCAACTAATCCTTTCTTTCTCTCATGGATCTGGACAACGGTGACTCCCCGTGGGGCGGTAAGCAGGCAGTCACGGACTGGACAAGCGCATCATATTTGGCATGTGTCTAACTTACTTCACCACAGACGTCCCCTCGCAGTCGGTCGGCACCCACGGTACGCCACAATCGGAAAGCGAAGATGCTAGTATGTTTCTTCACCTTGTATCTGGATCACTGTAGCAACCCACCTCCTAACCGCATCCTCCCGCAGCCCGGGAACAATCGTCACAACAAGCCAGTTCGAACACTCCCCGCTCTCCAGTACGGCGAGTTCCGCGAGGCTCCCGCAAGATCAGCGCACAAGCGACAAAATTAGAAGCAGTTGATGACACCCTTGATCCGTTGGGCCCGCTCGGGGGCAAGGCCGATGAAAGTAGCCCTACGGCAACCGAGCAAGCACCCATACCACCTCAGAAGGAAGCATTTACTGGGCGCAATGTTCGGCCCACATCATCTGCATCTCAGACATCAAGTGCTGCTGGAATGGCCGATTCGGTGAACCTCGAAGAAGATGGTGCGGGGTTTAGGGGCCCCCCCCCGGTACAACCACCAAGCGACGCAGATAGCTCGAAGAGATTGTCAGAACCTAGTATTAGTGTCGAGAAGGCAGCAAAACCGACCTTTGAGATCACCGTCGGTGACCCACACAAAGTGGGAGATCTGACGAGCAGTCACATTGTTTACCAAGTCCGAACAAAGGTGAACCGCCTCTACTTGTGAATTGGCATTTCATCGATATGCTAACGTTGGAACCAGACAACGTCCAAGGCCTACCGCCAACCAGAATTTACTGTTAGTCGCCGATACCGCGACTTCCTTTGGCTTTACAATTCAATGCATAATAACAACCCTGGCGTTGTCGTCCCCCCTCCTCCGGAGAAGCAAGCAGTTGGCCGTTTCGATACTAATTTCGTCGAGTCCAGAAGGGCTGCATTGGAGCGCATGCTCAACAAAATTGCTACGCATCCGATCCTTCAGCATGATGGAGACCTTAAGATCTTCCTGGAGAGCGAAACATTCAATCTAGATGTGAAGAACAAGGAGAACAGGGAGCCGGATTTAGGTCAGAGCAAGGGCATGTTTAGCTCCTTTGGTATCAACGTTGGTGGAGGGTCCAAATTTGTCGAGCATGACGATGTAAGTCCGTCTTTGCTAGGTGCTGTGAAGCCTCTCGGTTAACGATCACACAAGTGGTTCCATGATCGGAAGATTTACTTGGATGCTTTGGAGAACCAGCTGAAGGCTCTGATGAAATCAATTGACACTGTAGTCGCACAGCGGAAGGGGTTAGCAGAAGCTGCTGGGGACTTTTCCGCGTCTCTTCACGCGCTGGCAGCTGTTGAACTGTCTCCCGCTCTCTCCAGCCCTCTCGACGGGCTTTCGGATCTACAGTTACGCATCAAGGAATTATACGAACGCCAGGCTCAGCAAGATGTTCTCACGCTAGGTATCACTATTGACGAATATCTCCGCCTGATCGGAAGCGTTAAGACAGCATTCTCGCAGCGGCAGAAGGCTTTCCACAGCTGGCATACGGCCGAGTCCGAAATGCAGAAACGCAAGCACACTCAGGAGAAACTTCTCCGACAAGGAAAGACACAGCAGGACCGCCTAAACCAGGTCAATGCCGACGTGGCCGATGCGGAACGCAAGGTCCATCAGGCGCGATTGTTGTTTGAAGATATGGGAAGGCTGATGCGGAATGAACTGCAGCGGTTTGAAAAGGAGAAAGTGGAAGATTTCAAGTCTGGCGTGGAAACATTTTTGGAAAGCGCAGTCGAAGCCCAGAAGGAGGTATGTAAATGTAGTTTGAATACTCTGGTTCTCGGTTACTAATACCTTTTCACAGCTTATCGAGCTCTGGGAAACCTTTCTATTGCAATTAGACGCAGGCGAAGAAGGCAACCTCTTCTACGCCCCTCCTGTTGCAGAGGGTGCTCCCACAGAGTCGGTGCCCGAGAGAACTACTCAAGCCGCTCCAGCCGCCCCGGCCGAGGAAGCATAAATGTTTGCATATCCCCCCTATGACCCTTTTATCGCTCTGTACAAAAGGAAGGCCACCGTCCCTTGCATCCCTCATTTGTCACGTTTATCGATCAAACAACGCATGTCAGTCATTATTATAACAATGTATGGTGTGGGGGTGGTGCAAGACTTTTACCTGAATTTATGGCTGTTTTATGCATCTTGCAGTCGGAATTAGCTACGTTGACAGTGTATTGATACCAGTAACTCGGAATTAATTCGAAATGACCTCTCTCCTTTGCTGCTGATCTCTCGCCTGGCTTCTTCGGTAAGAGGTCTATGGCGGATAATATATGGCAATTTGCACTGGTTCCAACTCCGCTAGAAGTTACCAAGGCCTTTCAAACAAGTAGAAGAGGCAATCTGGAGGCATGGACTCTCAATGCTGGAATTCCAACCAAATGGTATGATGTACTGTACATGAAAGCTTCGAAAGATGTAGACCGTAAACAATGAGTAGATTATACAGAGATACCCCACAATCCCGACAAAACTCAGTTCTTCTTCTTCCCAGATGCCTGCTCTTCCTGTCCAAACGAACTGATCAGATCCAGCAGATTATCGTCTTCTTCTTCGGCAGCTCTTGCTTCAGCTGCGGCCTCTTCACTCGTCTGCTCAGCCTTCTTGTTTAATTCTTCCTCGGTAGGGGTATTCGCATCCCAGCTCCGTCCAAATTTGGCTCTGAATGCTGCCAGTCGACCGGCTTCGTCTTCCTCGACATTCATCAACTTGCTCGATGATGGGTTCCATAGGAGAGAATTGCGCGTATCACGGGTAGAGCGGTAGACAGGAGCGGGGGACGTCGTGCGGTGAGTGAAGGTACTGCCGTCCGAGAGAGTGACGAGCTGAGTGAAGGTGTAGGGACGCTTAGGGCGTCGAAGGAGTGTCGCATGGCGGCATTGCGAGCAGATGAAAGTGGTGGAGGTCTGGACTCGTGCGGTGGAGACCGCGCTGCGGCGGAGAGTGAGGGTGAATGACATTGGGACGCGGAGAAAATAGACAGATTGGATCGAAGACCGGAAGGAAAGGGATCAAGTCGGGTTCGAATCAGTCTGTTCGGCGGGATAAGTTTATCGGAGGTTCTCGAGAAATTTGGCGGATCGGGATCCCCTTACGTAAGCATCGACAAGAATGCCTTTTTCTTCGGGAGATCTAAATCACTATCGATTCACTCTAGTGGTCTGGTCACGCATTTTGCAAAAATGCTCCTCAATTAAAACCCATTTTAGGATACTGTTCTCTGGAGATTCAGGATGACTCTAGAGGATTTCCATGGTTCTGTCGCTAGTATATCTCCTGCTTTGTTACCCGTCGTTCCTTAAGCCCTTGTGCTTGTCCGCCGCTCTTCTCCCGGCGGAATGAAGCTTCCATACTCACGGCCTGTGGTTTCCATCAACCGGATTGTGGGCCAACTTAAAGGTTAGACTCGAGTATCTTCTTGTTCGGACTATCTGTTCCTAAGCATTTTTCTACGGTTCAGGTTTCCAAGGTGGCTCTGCTACTTATTTGCCTCTCCAAGCGCAACAATGGCATATTCGCAATACAATTAGCAGCGCTGAAGCGACGTCTCTGAGTACCGCCATTCCACGGCCTCAAACTAGCAGATCAAATGATATCCATAATACCCAGAATGGCGCTCTCTCCCTCTCGGACCAAGTCCGCCTGCTGATGAGACGAGTACCTTACCCCGTTGCCATCATCACGGCCACCGACCCCCACGAACCCCTCGATCAAGCTTTCCGCGGCATGACAGTCTCATCGTTCAATACTGTATCACTATACCCAGAACCGGCCATCTCATTCAACGTGCGGCGACCATCCGAGACCCTCAGCGCGCTTCAATCTTCAAAGCGATTCCTCGTTCATCTATTAGCTCCCAATCGGACGACAGCAGCTCTTGCCCGGGACTTTTCCAAAGGCAACCATAATCTGACTATCGTGAGTGGTAAAGGTGATTTTGAATTTACACCGCATCCTTCTGCGTCCGGTGAGGAGGCGACCAGGCCGCTGCCTCTGCTTCGGAGGAAGCAAATTGCGGATGCACCAGAGGGAAACTCCCTCTCGGACATTCCTTTTGTATTTGAATGTCAACTTCATCCGCAGGAGATCGAAGTCAACGACCACACGATTGTGGTGGGGACCGTTGTAAAGGTCCTCTCGGATCATCTGACGAGTCCGGAGGCAATCGCCAATGCGCACTCCGTCACCGATCTATGTTTAACATACGCCAATACCCGGTTTTGGGAAATGGGCCACGAGATTTAGGCTTGCTGTTTGTATACCCTACTCTTCTTTACCTCAGCTCTATATGTACTATATTCGCTTGAAACGTGTGCTCGTGTATATCTACATGGCCTTTCTACCTGTAACTTAAGGATTCGAACTTCAAAAATAACTCAAGCATCGATAATGACGTCATATCTCTATAGAACCCATTTGTATAGTGAAAAGCTTCAACTTCTTTCATAAGTATCTGATCCTATCGCGTAAGGCGATTAGAGCCAAATGAGAATGAGGCAGTCTGGATAAATCCGTCTACTAGTTATAATCTCTCCGAAATGATGGTTCTCGAGCTGCGACGCATCCCTCTTGGATTAGCTATTCACGCCGAAGCTATGTCTCTTCCACAACAAATAGGTTAGGGATGCTATGTGTGACATTCAAGGTCGTATACTACTTCCCTCCCAAAAAAAGACGCTGATAGTCCTTCGGGCATTTATCGCGCCTCCGGATAAAAGGACCTGCCTAGTCGACTGCTACCCTAGCATATGGACTATGGCACCCGCTTGCTTGAGACCCTCCCCTGGCGTGTTACCCATGGCGTCCTTATCCTCCAGAAGAGAGCAAATAGCGGCCTTTTTATCAAGGATCTCAACTTCTTGACCTGCTGGAGCACCTTGTACAGCCAGCAGGCTGGATATTCATTAGTAGCGCTTATACTAAGAGGGGGTAGCCAGACCGGACTCATAGAGCACAGTGTCAGAATTAGCTATTCGTGGAGGACAGTAATCTTGTAGACAGTTTCTTTGTCCATAGCTGTTGGCTGACCTCATTTGCTAGTAGGTATTGGTTAAAGATCATACAAAGACGAGAGCATACGATGGCCCTTTGATTGAGACGAATGTTTCTTTGTTCGATTCAAGATTGAAATTGTATCAAGGGGTTGTATCGCTTTTGCAACCACCGCGTGATATTTTACGTATCACAGGAGGATACAAATGGAGTTCATAACCGCCAGTCTTGCCGCTGGCACCTATACAGAAGCCAGTTATTGCAGGCATTTGTTTCCCTCACCAGGGAATTGCGGCCCCCTTAAGGCAGCACTGCATCACTTGCCCTACCTTCCTTGATCCTTGAGACAAATTTGACGTGGCAAATTGTGATTAATCGCAAGTATCCAGATCCTTAATCTAGTTCGTAGCTTGATGATGGGGTACACACCTTCCACCAGCCAAGCCATAGTTTTTCTGTAGCTTTGCAATAACATACACATTCCTACTGTGTAGGTGCAGTTCTTGCGATGTCAGGAACAAGTGAAATGTTGACTTATCAAGTATGCCTCTACTCTCCTTATGATAGCGCATGCCCACTTCAACTAGGATGTGGTAGAGAAGTTAAAAGTCCATGCAATCAGGTCTCTAAGCCTTAGAGGAACGGAGACGGCTGGGCAAGAGATTAGACGGTTCAGCCACAGAGCAGATGCGGCAGTGGGTTAGTCGCCTGGGCTACAATATAAACACATCAGGTGGTTCAAGGACAAGGCTCACTCCAGCGATATGTTAGGTCCGTGAGCTCAACCGTCTGAACATCATCCATATCGCCTGCACCAAAGGCAAGGACACCACGTGTGCCTTTGTCGGCTCTATCCTTTAATGCTACGGCAAATCGGCCCGGCCGCCGTGTAAGATTGGCCTTTACACCTTGCCTCACCTTATAGCGGTCTGCGAGAGCATTCATATCAACTCGGAGCCAATCTCTATAGAACAGTTCACGAGATATTCCTTCGAGCTCTAGGATGCTCTAGAATCACCGGCCCTCAGGGAGGGCCTTGACCCGGAGATTAAACCAAAGTATTTCCGATTGCTGACCCTAATGTCGTTTCATGTTTTCATAAGGGAAGCAGCAGATATCGGTGTCTACGAGGTTGGTGGTATGCTCATGTTGAATTCACAGGTAATTTCTTAGCTTACCATCGTCTGTAACCCGAGAAGAGGCTTTTTGGAAGGCCAGATATCGAAATTTACGGTCCCTGTTGTGCTTTGAGGTCAACTACAACGCATTGGCCATGGAGGAGAATTAGACTCCACCAATGTCGTCGACCAGCTTGCTGTAACTGGTGTCACTACCCTCGGGATGGACCATATAAAGACTCTCGGTGATGCCATTGAAAAGATAGCGTGGCATAAGGCTGGGATATTTAAGCCTAGATGTCCCGCTTTCACAGTTGAACAGGTGCCGGATGCCATGAAGGTCCTCAAACAAAAATAGTTCGAGAAAAAGGGTTCAGCTTACCGCAGTTGCCATTATTCCAGCACTCCAAAATGTTGATGTCAAGCCCGCAGAAGATTTTCACAGGAAGAACGCTTTTTTCGCCATTTCCCTCGCTCACACTGCCCTGGAAAAGTTCCGAGTCCCGTCCAAATACAAACCGGAAAGTCTCCCTAACTCATTTGTTCAAGGTCTCGAAACCGTTGTGTGGAGAGGAAGGTGCGAGACCTTCACTAGTGGCCAACTTCATTGGCATCTCGATGGAGCACATACGGAAAACAGCCTTGAAGTAGCCTGCTCTTGATTTGGACTAGTTATAACGGTAAAAGTCCGTTGCCTCCCTAGGGCCATCACTATCAGTAGGTCCTTCGCGAGCCTAGTCTAACCTTGCCAATACTCTAGAGGGTTCCCTCGTGTATTCATTTTTAACCAACAATCAACAAGGGATACTATTTCGCTTCTTAAATTTGTCCATCGTACTGTATTGATGAATTTCGAGCGACGTTTCACTATGCAGTATTCTGTACAAACATTACCTATAAAAGCTGTTCATATAAACCTGGTGAGTAGCCAAGGGTCCAACAGTCTATTCCTGGCGATAACCTGCCAGAGGTTCGGTCAAAGATTTCGTTAATCGGAACGTTAATCTAGATGCACTTCGGAATCTCACGTTACAGGAAAAGCTGGCAGCTGTTTGGCATGAACTGGATCCAAGTACGGTGGTGGCAACGCCTCATTCAATCGGAGAAGCAATCGAGTATGTGAAGAGCGTAAGTAAGTTGGTAGGTTTGGGAAGATGCAGATTTTAGTCACTGGAGGTTTTCATCTCGCTGAGGCATGTTATCTATTTTAGAGGGAGATAACCAGGCAGGGCCACATCGAATTTAAAGGGCGGTAGCATCGGTTAATGTATGCTCATCATACATGTAGAATCAAACTGACTTGCGGGAAAGGGGATTCGGTCACAGTTGCGCAGAACTACTGTAATAACTTGCGAGTGATGACGAACGCAATAAGGCAGATCTTACACAGGACACAGGATTTTATTGATCACAGGCGAAATAAAACCAGGATAAGGGCTAGATACACCTAGGATGGCCTGGGAAATCCAAGAAGATTTCAGCGCCACGTCGGAAGATCAACACTAGCAGAAAAGGAGAACACAAGCACCTAAAAGCTAGGAGCAGCATATCGACTACATTGAAGGGATCTGACAGCCTAGTTGACCTTTCCGGCTGCAGAGCTGGGACTGCCACTGCCGCTACCACTTCCACCACTTCCACTTGCACGGCTACCTGCCCTTGGGAACGGACTGGAGATCGGTCTCAACCCTAGGTTAGGAACATTGCTCTCAGAGCCCGAACTGCTTCTCTTATCGGTAACCTTCTCAGACAGATCAAACTGAAAGGGAGGGCGACGGCTCGAATCCAGGAAATCGGAGCCATAGAGGCTGCTGTGGCCCGATCGATTAGAGAAGGATCGGTCACGATGGATGAAATCCGATTCGAAGAGAGAGGCGGTGTTAGCGAGAGGCGAGGTCGGGAAATGCTGTAGGTAAGACGGCGCCTGTATTGGACTAGTCGGGTGAGACGAGGTGGCACCAATAGGGGACGACGCATGCTGCAGAGGGCTAGACTTCAATGGCGGAAAGCTAAGTCCAAGCAATGATCGGTTGCTGGAAGCGCTCGTCGTCAAAGCGGCTAGAGACATGGTGGGCGCCTCGCTGAGGGGCTTAGTACCAGGTAAATTGCCCTCGGGAGTCAGTGGAACCGAGTCCATGAGAATCTGCTGTTGCTGCTGCCGGAGAACTTGCTCAATAGCCACACATTGCTGCCAAAGTTGATTGGTGCGCAACTGGTACTCCTGCACTGACTGGCTAATGCTCGCAAACTGTTCATTGAAATTCGCCTCGAGTTTGGCCTGGTCCTGCTCTCGAGCAAACTGTTCCGCAGCGCGACGCTCTCTTTCGTTGAGCCCTTGTGCGTTAGCAGAGACGATGCGCTCGTACTGTTCGTTAACCCTAGTGCGGCGACCCTGCAGTCGTTCCCGTCTTTGGATCGCGGAGGTCAAATCCGACTCCAGTTGTGATACCTCACGGGCAACGGCCGATCGTGCAGAAACCACATCTTCCTTAGCTGAATTAAGAAGCTCAAGTTCATGGTCGTACTTGGCTTTTTCTGCCGACCATTCTTTGAGTTCCTCCTCCGGAATGTTCTCTAGGCTATCCAACTGAACCTCCAAAACGGCGGTAGCTTCTTCCGTTTGCTTGATGTTCCTCTCCAGTTGCAACGAGCGCTGTTTCTGTCGATTTTCATCCGTGCCGCTGTGAAGACGATGGTTATAATTGTCCAACTCCTTCCTGATCTTCGAAACGACGAGCTTGTGATCATTCTTGGCCTTTCTCAACCGTGCACGCTTCTCGTTCAGTTTCAATTCAGCGTTAACAATGGAGTTTTTTAATGTGGTCGTTGGGGAGGATGGTCGATAGGACGGCTGTGGCGGAGTGGCTACCGAGGAGACTACTGGGGAGGAAATGTTAGACTAATGGATGCTTTCAAGGCGAACTGGGGCCTGTCTCACCTTGCTCTGTGTCGTTTGCGACCGGTGTCTTGACACTCATGACGCAAATCTCCTCCTCCGTGTCACTTCGCACAAAAGAGCAAGTGTACGCACAATTGGGAGCGAGACCAGAAATCTCGCCACGCCAATGCACTGCACTTGAGCCTTTGGGTGCATCCTGGACTTTACAAATCGTGACTGTCGCCCAAAGTGCACCATTGACACAGACATAGAAAGGTTCCATATCCTCACCCAAGCGTCCAGTTTCACAAGAGCCGGAAACGCCAGTATCATCTGAAATGAGATCACCCGCCGCAAACTTTATAGAGGAGCTATCGATATCGGTAATCCAAACAAGGCCATCATCCAAAGAAACACCCTGAAGATCCCCCTCTGTCATAGTGAGGCCCCGAGCAGTTTTCGACAAGGCCCTGGAATGTTCGTACTCTCTCATAACCGTCACCTTCGTGCTTGCGAGCGCAGCCCAGAACGGCTGGCGATTCCGGACCTGGTTTGCCTGTCTCCTGCGCTTCTTCGCCGAAATCAATCGATCCCTACCATCCTTGTGCGTTGCGGGCGTAACCAGTTGACCATCGGCACCGATATAAGAAGACACACTGGTCCCGGACTCGAACGCAGAATCAATTTGCGTTTGTGAGCCGGCGGATGCTTCGGTATCAACACGTTTTCCAGTTCGAGGAGGAGCCGGTGCCCTATTTTTAGCCATTGAACGTCTAGCCATCGCAGTACCTGCTTGCGCTAAGATGTGAACCGCAAGAAGACTCCGGATCCAGCTCGGAGAAGATTGCGGTTCAGAGCGCCGAAATTCGGGAGGCATAAGATGAGAGTATTGCGACAGTATATCGGGGCTAATGATTTTGGCGGAAAGCAGATGACCTATGACAAAATCCTGTATACCTTTACTTCGAATGAGATGCAAAACAAGAACAATACCGACACAGAGGGTATTAACCCCTCCGTTTTTCCCCGACCCTCCTCCACCCAGGGTTATGGCGACCTGGACATGGGCTAAATCGAGAGCGAAGTTTTGCGCCCAGGTCCACATGAAAAGACCCCAGAAGAGTAGGAAGAATCCATCCATTGCAATCATCGTACCGAGGGATGGCGTTCCGGCCGGACCCTGAAAGATATCGAAATTGGATGTCAGAGATCCAGCAGACGCACCGCCAGGTGGCATGAACGTCAGGGAAGCGAACAAGAACTGCACCAGCGTAAGGACCATGGGCGGTAGCTGAAGGAGGAAGATCAGGATGGCGATAGTGTCGTACATCGGACAGGATTTGAGGATAGTCGAAGCCAGTTGAAGTGGATTGATCGAGGTATTCGAGCCTGGCCGCTTGGAACTCTCCGTACGACGCGACGCCTGGCCAGTAAGGCCACCATTCTGCGGCACTGCGCCATTCGCCTGTCCGTAAGACATGTCCGTGTTGCCCTTAGCGTATCCATTCAGACCACGTCCGTTACCATCCGCCTTCGAGCAATCCGTCGTACCGTTAGCCTTCGTTGCCGCCGCTACCGTGGAAGTAATTGCCGTGTCGCTGTTGGAGCGAGACGAGGGCCAGTCGACTTGAGATGATGGTCCAGAACTTAGTGTAGAGCTACCGTTGGCATTCCCATTCAGTTGTCCGTTCGATCTTTGCTTGTTCACTTTCTTTCCGGAGCCGGCGACGCCATTCTCATGTCGATTGCTATGACTCTTCCTAGCCGTAGCCGATGAACGTGGCATGGACAAGGGAGCCTAACACCCAGGTCCGAGTCAGCTTGGCAAATGGCAGCCAAGGACTTGGACCAGGCGGGGAGTGAAGACGAGACAGTATCAAATACACGGGTAAAGAAGGGGAAGAGAGCGAGGGAGGGGAGACGATGCAGGAAGTGTGCAGGAAAAGGAATGACGGGAGGGGTCTAAAAGCGGTAGAAGAGGAATGGTTGCGGTTAAGAAAGGAAAGGAAAGGAAGAAGGGAAGGAAGAAGAGAATATGGAATTGAATATGGAGAAGAGAGGGTAAGAAGGCGTGGCGCGGGGGGGGGGAGGGGGTAAGAAAGAGAAGGGAAAAATGAATGAGGTTTGGTAGACTTTTGGGTCTGGATAGACGAGGCGGGAAAAAGACGAAACGAAAGGTTAGAACTGATCGTCAGAAAGAGAATAAGGCAGTAAGGCCACCATAACACTTGTCGCTGCCTTAGGAATTGCCTTCCCGCCTTTACAAAACACGCCTAATAAGGCCCAGTATGTAAGGTATGTATTGAGCGCTTGTAAGTATTGAAACAAAGAGAACCTTACCATACAGTAACACTTTAGCCACTTCATCCACTGTGGTTTAATTTTTGGTCTTCCCTATATTTCAGGTGTTTATGGAATCTCGCAACAAAGCATGGAAAATAACGAACCACGCGGATATCTACTAGTACTGTTGAAAGTAACGCCGTCACTGGAATCAAAGTCTCCAAAGATCATTATAGCATCGTTCGCAGCCCTCCAATTTCTACAGAGTAGTATCACTTCTGGTACACTTTACATAGGTACTTCATCTCGCAGGTCTCTGTAACCTGAGCTAATAAATACCTTTTGAACTCTTTCATATCGGTAGAAGCTCGCTTTACAAGGGATGTAGCACCAACTGTCAAGCAAAAGAGACTTGTCTAGACTTCTGCATCAACTTCAGCGGATCTATGACAACGAAGCCCGGTTTACACATCAATCAAGATGCATGGAAAGTACTTTGAACATCCACCACGCCGTTAGCCCATCTCACTCAAATGCTCGCCGGCATCCGACTTTCCCAGAGTCTAGGAGCATAGCCGCTACGGTTAACAAATCGCTGCCGGCCAGTATCTATTTTGAAGATCCCCAGGCTTACTGAGCTCAGAGCCATCTTACTCTATCTGAAGGTGGATTCGTAAGCCGGATGCTACGTGTACAATTTACCGTCATGTTGACACCAATAATATAAGCTGAAACGGCACCTCACCCTTCTGATTGCTTCGTCTTAACCCCTCAATCCTTTATGCGTATTTACCATCCATCTCCTATCCATCCGAACACGGATGGTGGCATAGCTAGCTAGGATGATCTGATGATCTCCTCCTTTGGTGCCTGCGGGGTTGGATATCATACAATCTCCCGATAGTCGGTGGACAGCTTACACTAGGATGATAAAAGCCTCCAACGCCGTTCAGGAATCTCATTTGTGGCGAGGCAGCTCAACTAGCCTCTTAGCCTTCTGATCAATGCATAGTAAGCTGCGAAAGCCTTTCTTTTTTCTTTTTCTCTTTCCTTTTTATTTTTATTTTTTATTTTCTAGGCGCTCTACTCTGTACGTTAGTGCTTTTCATGGGTAGCAAGAGTACTGTACTTCACATGCGGAATGCTCGGCTAACTTACGGTCTCGGCAGGCAAGATCGATAGGTCAGTCTTGGCCAGTAGTATAGTCTTAGGGGGTATACAGACATAAGCAAGGACAGGAAGATATACGAGGTTCTTTTGGAAGTGTATTTTGACTACCCAAGTCCATACGTTCGCAAATATGGCAGTTTTGTAGATAAATACTATTTCATACAAAAATCAGCAATACTATATATTATTGCATTTTGTTTGGTGAAAGTTTCCGGCATAGCTCCCCAGCCTAGTACAGAATAAACTTTATTATATAGTTGGTCCGTTGTAGGTGATCATTCCTTATATCATTCCTCATTGGTATTCAACGGTTCCCATTCAGTGGCACATATCATTTGGCCAAGAAAAACCGCCATAGAATTGAGCATTAACTGTTAAGATCGCCATCCCATATACTTTTCTATCTGAAACCCTATATCACTCTAAACTACCAACTTCCTTCTATACAAGAGAATTTTTATGCAATATATACTCCGTAAATAATTTTGCTCTAAGTATTCTCCTGTACCATACACCAACACCATACAAACAATGCAATCGGCAAACCGTCGGGTTCCACCTACAATAGCGTCTTCACTCTTTCTATCATCTGTAAGGGTGAATGCAATATGATAATGCTCTTTTAAAATTACATCTGTTCCCCACAGCTCATGTCTATGTGGTCATTCCCATAACTTCCTCCTTGCCTTATAGGGAGAGTCCTGCATGCAGCATGTCAGGTGAAGCATCTGAGGGAAGTCTTGATGTCTTTGCTATTCGTTAGATGAGGCTGGAAATCAGAGGATGATCGACGTTCTATACCCAGAAGGGGATTCTCACTCCAGTTTCCACCAATAGCCTGTGCGATTGGGCAATTACGCCCCGCACACATGGGTCTACGGCAGCGTCAGATGATACTTACTGATACCGCTATGTTTTATGACCGGAGTAATTAACCCAGTTTTGCGTCGCATTACCTTCTTGGATATACGGGAATACAGCGATATCTACCAGTAGAGTACGGGCTGTTATCCTTGCAGAGCGACCTTGCTAAGCTTCTTTTGCGTAGTGAATCTATCATAATATACTTGCGTAGGTAGTTTTGTTTAGGAAGTACAAGCTGTATAGAGCCCAACAACTCTTCCGCAAGCTCTGTGATATAGCCATTCTCCTGCATCTCTATGTTCCTCTCAGACCATCCAATCTCATTTTATAGTAGGCTATGGTATAATATGCCGTCGTCCTCTATCTAAAGCACGAACCATGGTATCATCCCTATGTCTATCGATGCGTGACTCTCTAATGCTATACAGGATACGAACCATACTTGGCGCGAATAAGTCCAAAGCGAGCAACTTAGCTATTTATGACTGTTCGTTGTTCATTGATCGGCCTATGCAGCGCCCTTGCTACTTCCGGTGCGGAAACTAACATCAATTGTGTGCTTCGATGGGCTGTGTTACGGACTTGAAAGAAAACCGAGGTGACGAGGATATACAGTATCGAGCCATGAATCGGGGTTCTTTAATAATCCTACCCTCCCAGGGAAATCTCCTTGTTGTTAGTATAACGTGAGAAAGTGGCTATTAAGAAGCGATCTTGACATGAAGCCTTGGATCGATATTTCACGTATTTATTTCAAATATTGGTTCTTTCAAGGTCCCTAAACTATAGATTCCATATCCCCTATCTTGATGTCTCGAGCAAAATACCAAACATACGATATAAAAATCTGTACTCAATTAGTGAGGGGTAATCGGGACTATCTTGTATACACACTTCTCTCTAGTCTAGGTTTCGGATATAGAACAATAAGAATCATGAAGACACACATAACACAGAAACCCTTAAAAAAAACAACCTACTAATCCATATACATCCGAACCCCCCTTTCTCAGGAACATATGCCAAAAATCGACATTTCAGCCCACTCCGTTACAATAATGGAGACGGGCGAAACCACAAAAAAACAGACCACGACAACATTCCATGCCCATGTGAAATGCCAAGAAACCGACATTTGTTTTGGGCCGGGAGGCCAATTTATTGTTTTGACTTTTCTCTAACAACTAAGGTAGGTTTAAACCGTCGATCATTTTACATTTTCAGGGCCAGGAAACCCTGGCTCATGATCACGTTTCCAACAACCCCTCTCAAAAAAGCCCTGCAACATTGACCACCCTAATCGAGTACTACTACTACTACTACCACCACCACCACCATACGATGCACAAAGGTGCCTTTCAGGTATTGGTGATCAATCAATGCCCTGCCATTGACACATGTCGACGCTATTAGATAAATTTTCGCCTAGTGGGGCCAATCAATGGGCGTCCCGGGTGGGAAAAAAGGGTCTTTATTCGGGTTGGGCCCGAGCCAAGGGCCGGGGCTGGACCGAACGCTAGTATTCTAGTGTTTTCGATGTGAGAGGCGAAAGTACGTAAAAGGAACCGCTAAAAGAAGGGGGATATGGTTCTGGGAGGGAGCTTTTTATACCACGTTTTTGAGATGTTATTCCTACTGGATTGGCTCGGTACAGGGACCTGGAATACCGAGGCCTAATGACTGGGCCACTTTGGTGAGCAAGCTTTTCTTGGCTCCGAACGAACACCGCCACCTGAAGAAGATAGACTACGGGTCTGGTATCGTGGTAATTGTTTCCGCTGATTACCTGCGATGGACTTGTATGTACAATACGGTACAGCGTTACGGTACCGATGATGTAGGCCGGACCCATATGTAGAGCGGTTGCGGACATACATATATATACAGCTGCTAGAGCATAGGTAAGGTACCGTGGGAGGCGCTCAATTAGACGTATTTTCATCTCCACATTAAGCCAGGAGACACTTCATTTCTTTGCGGAGCCTATATCCTCGACTGCATCATCGCGATCCCAGCTCTCTACTTCTAATGTTCGCACCCTTGCCTCGATTTCAAGGATCCGTTGCTGCCAGAATTTCTTCGCCTTCTCTTGGAGCTGCCAGGTGGATCTGAACTGCTCCAGGATGAATGGCGGCATATCGGTCTTCTTTCCCTGCCTGTAATCGTATAGGACTATGTCTTCGGAGACACGGGCGGCGGGTCGTTGCCGCGCCTCTGAGATGATCACGGCTTGCAGATGAAAGGCGTCTTTGTGTGAATGAGACGCTGGGTCCTGTACTAGCTTATGATAAACAGTGACCTCATCGGGGTATGTCATCGGCTGCAGGGGAAAGCATTGTCAGCGAACATGATGTCGCACTCAAGGCTAAGCAAGAGGGTAGTACAAATTTGTAATCGATCTTGATGCTCCTGAGAATGAGACCGATCCCGGTCGAGCCGACAATATTCATCCACTCTTTCTTATGGTCCGGATCTATATGCGTAGCAAAATTGCGAGTCAAGTATACCCGCGCAGTTTCGGCGTATCGGGCATAAGTGACATTATTAACATGACCTAAGCAAGGACAGTAAGAGTTAGGAACTGCGATCGGATATGGCACCATTCAGGCTCAGTCAATAGGAGGCTTGTATATACCCTTAGTCAGAGGTTAGTTGGATGAACCGCGCACTGGAATGGTTTCGAATATGGATTCCGTCAGCTTACCATGGTATCCTATGGTCCATGCAAATGTCCCGTATTAGTACCAGTAGGTTATGCTGAGTATAAATAGGTACACCCTACCATCTCCCCCCAAGCGACGCTCTGCCGAAACAACCCCCTTCTTGTCGCATCTGTCAAGTAACCTTCGCTTCCAGCAACCAATTCACGCCAATCCCTCGCAATTTGCTGTAGTATCTCTCCCGCTTCCTGGATTTGCCCCGGCTTCAGCCCAAACATGATGCATCTACCCAGTCTTCTCTTTGTCATGGTGAGCCATCGGGGACCGATACTGTGGGGTTGCGGCGCGGCAGTCTTGGATGAATCGGCATTTCGCGCGGCAGAGGCAGGGGTCGATAAGGCACGAGAACTAAAAAGTAAGTACTTTGTAGTAGCTGTGGTAAGGCGCTGCCTTCGTAATGCATGAATCGAGGTCATCGTTGAGCAATCGTGCGCTGGTATGTCGTTGTTGGAGATGTTTGGAGATGCTCTGGCTACAAGTCCGGCTATAGGAGGAGTGGAGTAAACCTAGGTTGGGTGGATCTTCGACCGGGGTATAATCTTTTTTAACCCATGTTTCTGTTCCTCCAACTCCTAATTAATATTAACTGTTGTCTATTACATTCATTCCACACGGTTAAATCACCTTCCTTCTAGGATTTCTTTCCGGGACAGGAGCCCGCTGAAAAGAATGCATTGGAATAATTATTCTAAAGATAGCTAGATTATCTTTTGTTCCTCTCAACATACCTCCTACTCCAACATGCTAAATAGATAGGGTTTCAAAAAGAGAAGCAACGTAATGACTTCTGAATTACAATTACTCTGTTGTTATTAGAGCTAGGAAGTAATTTTCTGATGACATGTATTAAAGCGAAAGACGATTGTTGGACATGTTTACCAAGTATGAAGTCAAGATATCGGTCAACGGTTTACATCTAAAGATGACGACCGGTTTCACCAACTTTAAAGGAACGATTTGAGAGAATACCTTTCACTCTTCACTTTTAATTCGCCGCCACCTTTGTCACGGCCACATTCGCTCCTTATGGTATATGTAGGATTTCCACTATTATTGGTACTGAGCCTTATCTGCCCCCGTTCTGTTACCCATCATCCTCTTCACCCAATACTCTCGCTGTATCTTCCTCCTCGTGTCTCCTGGTCTCCTAGATAAATATCGACAGCTTTCCACATCGCTGATGTGATTGTAAGATTACGCCAAGGCGAGAGGGACCATTTGGTCCTGGAGGTGCGTCGCAGCAGTCATTCCTTCTTCTCTGCCTACGGCTATACTAACCACCTCTCTCTAGATGGACGATGACGCGGGGGTGTGGACACTCCTGAATCGCGCAACTAGTCTCTCCGAAGCCAGTGCTCTAGAGGTGTACCAGAGAACGACCCTTTTAGAGAATAATAGGAAGTTGGCGTCATACGTGGTTTCTGATCAGATAATTAATTCTTGACGTGGAGCTGACAGTCTCTAAAGACAACTTGTTGAAACACGCGCGACTACTGAAGCTCGCCCCCAAAAAACCTCCTATTACGGTAACGCTCGGCCAGAAGAGAAGCCAACGTACTCTTTCTCTATCGCAGTATATGGAGCCTGCTATTCAGCTTCTCAAGCCAGCAGGCCCATTGCCCAAAGTTGTAAAGGTATGAGACGAGGGTGCGGCTTACCGGCCAAGGCTAATGCATAGAGTAGATGACGTCCGAAGGAAGTTCAATGGTACGTCGGCAGTCTACCTTCAATATCACACGCAGCGAGAAGAAATGGGAGATTGGTGACGATCATACCTGGACCGATATACCTCTGGCAACCAGTATGTACTTCCTTGTCCTAGCTATTACGCAATGGTGAGCTGATCCAGATATTATCTCAACGTGTAGCACACATGCTGTATGCAATTTTTAAAGCCCAGCTATCAATGGAAAGCGAGCCCGCGTGCCGTACGACGATTGATGCTTTCCTGACTCTCGCTATAGCGACTGTCAATAATAATATACCGGACTACTGCACCACTGGAATCCGGACTTTATCCTTTCAGAATCAATGAACCCGGGATCGTTCAGCCTATTGCCGGAAACAATTATAACCGCCCAGTTCACAACTACGATTATTAGTGGCGGGCCTATACGATTTGAAATCAACGGCTGGTGTGACTGGGCCGTGGGTCACTGCAGGTTCAACAACTCTACTCAGGACGCTGTATTTCTTGTCACCGAAGCCAAGTCCTACCTCAAATACGGTAGGGCTCTGGCGGAGCTGCTTCAGCACATGGGTGCTTTATGGATGCACTGCCGACAGATAAAGCAGGAAAGTGATCTCTTTGGCTTCTGCAGTGATGGAATACGTTATGAGTTTGTTGTCTTACACTCGGATGGAGTTTTGAGACGTTGAGAGAATTCACAGCGAGGTCCTCCACCACCCGGCATGAGGTCTTCAACTTCCTGGTGTACCTTATCCGACTGGCCAAGAAGGAAACTAATGCAAGCCGCCGAGGCGTTCAAATGGCTCCGATGTTTTGCAACAATAAGGCTGCAGCAGGACCCATCGGTAGTTTCTACCAATCCTCGTTTCACGTTTAACAACATGCACTGACAGCAAGCGGGAGAAGATGAAGACGGATATGAGACATGAGACGAAGCAGTAGATGAAGACAGGAGCGACGAGAGGATGCCCACTGTGGATCCTGTCACTCAGGTGGCTTCTACCAAACAAATGCAACGAAAGGAAAGACTATACGATAATGATGAATGAATGAATGACAATGGCTGCTCTCTATTTGACAATGGCAGAGTTGAGGATCAATTGGCTCTTATAGTACTCATCCTAACTTACAAGCCAATCTTGTCTAAGTTAGTACATACTGTTGCTTTTGAAGTCCTGAGATTTTCTAATTTGCCAGGAAGGGAAACATTGTCCAACATCTGTTTGATAACTGGCCCGTCGTACATGTAGACAGTTAACTCTATTATGTTAAGATATCGAGAGAGAAAGAATTTGATATGAGAAGTAGTTTATAATATAGCAAGGCAGGTGGGGGATGAGGTAGGTGCTCGTAGTGGTTAGAAACGGTAAGATTTCGGGGTAAGCAAACCTCTAAGTAGTGAGATTGTGTAGTTTGTGTGCCCTTGTTTTCCTACATCTTTCCGGCGAGAAGGGGAGGTTTGTGTTAACTAAGTTATCCGATACTCTCCTGTATGTTCAGGCTTGGCAGCAAGCTTTATTTGCCTCGTGAATACGTTCAGAAAATTATTTTAGGGAGTACACCCCATTCCACTCTTCCCCAGCATGTTTCATGCTTCCATCGGGCAAGATTTAAGGGTCATATAGACATAATAGATGACTTACACGAGTATATATGTCAAGGAATCGAAGACGGTGTCTCTCGAATCAATATCAACTGGGCCTGACGTCCAGGTACGATTGTATTAACTGAGTAAAGTAACTGTCATCACAATAACAACTTACTGCCAGGTAATCACTTTCACATGTTGCGAATAGTTAGATAGGTAGGTAAATAGATATAAATCTCTGAGAATGGAGCAGTTGAGAGAGCTACATAAGATCTGGAAGATAAGATAGATTGTTTTGTGATCCGTGCCACGACGTCACCGGTTAACCTCGGCCAAGCAAGCGGTACCTCATAAATGCATGTCCAGTCCATTCCATCCCGCATCCTCGCACACTTTCCATATTGGAAACCCCTTTCCCTTCTACTACATTGTAATATATAGTCCGTTGGGACTCAAGTGCGTGAACAATGACAAATCCTGAACTTCGTCGGCAAGTAATCAATATCTACAAAGGTGTGTATGGCCTCGTCTTGGATCTCTTAACTCAATGCTGAACCGCGCTGATTTGGTGGGCGCCAGAGCTACTCTTTCTCGGACGTAATTACCCTCTGGGTTATGAATACTTCAGAACTAGACTGCATAAGGCGTTTGCCAGTCAGGCACATCTAAAGGATGACGACCAGATACGAAAGGGTATAGCACGGGCGGATTTTGTGAAGAAAGGTACGAATATGTCTACAAAGAGGCCGACTGCTTGAATCTACCGCTTATCCACTGAACTACAGAGATCGAAGCACTGTGAGTTTCGCGCCTACTTTATGTCACCCCTGTCTTCAATCCTTGGAGCTTCAACACCATACACTCTACAGCCATAGACTATCTTCCTTAAAATTCCAGTTTCAGTCGGGTTTCCACTCAATTATTCATTATTCATATATCATGCAATTGCCAAGAGGAGCATCGATCGTCTATGCTAATGAAAAACGACCAGGTACTACTTGAAGCGATATCGCACACTGAAACAGCGCTATGAAAACAATTAGGTCCAGCAAGGCAGTTGGACATCAAGCCTTGACAAAAATGAATTATACATCAGGAAAAATCAACATAAATGGGGTATCACCAATAGGAAGTGAGCAATAAGCTGCTCTGCTTTTTCTGCTTTTTCTCTGCTCGTCCATCCAAGAACCAGACGCGTCTATGACTTCTGCATGCTAGGGCGTTTCTTTTGACCCCACCAAGCACTCACTTCCAAACATTCGCCGTTTGCGAGCCCCCCTTTCTGGAACACATCGGCCATCATAGCCGTCCACCACCTATCCCATTCGTCTCTACTCTTCCCGCTGGCCTCCATGAGGATGGGTTCCATTCCCTCAATCATTTGGATAACTGTTAGAAGCGCCGTGCGCCGGATGGACATTTGATCAGCCGTTAATTGCTTGCGCGCTCCACCACTCAAGTCCTTGCTTTCTCGTTCCCACCGTAAGTCGCCTAGTGGTATAGCAATTCGGCGGCTATCAACCTTCTCTAGAACATCCACCTCGGAGTTGAAAGAAAGTCCAATTGTGGCGCATGGTAGTGCAGTGAGCTTGCGCTGGTCGAATGCTTTCTCAACCCAAGAGTTGTAGTCTTGAAGGAATTTGTTCTGCACTCGCGTGAATGGCGTGGCGGGCGAAAATGTGTACGTCGCGGTCGCATCCGCAACTTCTTGTTCCTTCGATGCTAATTTACGGGCGGGTGCAGGATTAGGGAGCAAGGACCGGAACACCGAGTCGGAATCCCATACCTCCAGAACACCGCCCGGTTTGAGGACGCGCAACGGCTCGCTCAAGCCGGAGGCCTCCTGCGCGGGACTGGAGGGACACATGGACGCATCTTTAATGAAGACGAAATCGAAATAATCATCTGGGAAAGGCAAGCGGGACTTTCGTAGATCATGTCGCTTAAATTGCCAATTGACGCCCTTCTTACGCAGGTCGGGCGCTAGGGAAACGAGATCAATACCATGGAAAGCAACATTGCTCGCGCCGCGACGGGCGAAGTAGTCATGAGATAAACTCGACCAGAGACCTGATCCACATGCGATCTCAAGAACTCTTTGGGGAGGACGATCGGCAAAATATGGGTTGCAGAGAGGGCCGCCGAAAACGCGCAGCAGCATTAAGGAGCGCAAGGTCTGGCGATGGATCTCTGGAAGGTCGCACGGTAAAGGGTACAAACTCTCGGGATCGCGCAGGTATGTGCGATCACCCTGGCGGATCAGGGGGTAGTTCGTGTAGTCAGTCAGGGAGTTGAGCGAGGATGTGGACGTCGCTGCCCTGGTAGGACCGGTTGAACTGAGGATCGAATGTAAGTCGGAGCCAGAAGCTGCAGCGGGGGCGAACGCCGCCGTGCTCACTGACATCATATCCATTTCTGAAACAAAATTCCCGTTCTCATCGGTCGAGCGTCAAGGTGGATCTGCCAGGGATTGTTTGCATTCTCGTGCGCACCAGGAGTTGGTAGTTCAAAGCATTGTACAATTGTTATTATGAAACGGATCCGAGAGCGCTTTTAGAAACGGGAAGGAGAGAGGTTATAAGGAGGGAAAGGAAGAAATGAATTATGTCAGGACGCAGTCCGACACGACCCTTGACCCATGGAAATATGAGAGAGAAGAGAGAATAGGAAAGAAGGAGAGGGGGCAAGAAAAATAGAACATCGTGACAGAAAAACCACGGCCAAGTCCCGTCCCACGACCCCTAAAAGACGGCCTGTCCACTCCACTACGACGGAGCCTACTTAAAACTACTCTATATTGGGCTACGGAAGGTCTCGGTCTTTGGCGTTTCTTCTGCTTTAAGGATTTCTTTCGGAAGCGGTCAACCAACGTGAGTACCAACTCTTATTGACTGACTGGTCTTTTTTTTTTGGGCCTCGCACGACGAATACAACTGTTACAGACGGAGAAAAGCGATGCTCCGTCGACTAGTGGCGGAAATCCTGCATAATGTCTTCCTGCAAAGCCGGTCCCCCACCCGCCGCCACCACCCTCTGAATGGATCACCGGGTGTCTTGTTGTTTACGACTGGCAATTCGTCTTTCATTTCAGCTCTTAAGCCCCCTTGGGTTATGATCAGTCTTTGAGTTCTAGAGCCACGGCGTACACCGGTCAGGTAATACGAAAAAATGGGATGCTCGAAAAGCCCGATTGAAAATCGGTAGCAGTGGAACCATCACACCAATTACTCGAGACGAAATTTTCAACCTTGACACACCCAACCACCGTTGGAGGTCTGGAAGCTAACGTAGGTACAGACTTTGATAGTGGCTACTAACTCATTACAGCTACTCCGATTAGCTGTGGAGAATCCTTAGGCAGGAAGAGGCAGGAGAAGAACACACAACACAAAGTACACACAACGCACACAAAAAGCCAGACAAGAGTCAGAACGGGGGGTGAGGAAATAGTCAACCCTTCACAATTCCAAATGTATTTCTTTTTTGAATTACTTAATCTTATGATTTCATTGACCTTCGCCGAGATCTCTTAATGATGTTACTCAAGAACTGGTACAGTCTATGACAACATTCCCCATACAAATGATGATCCTCATTGGACTTCCACGCTATGGGGAATTTCGGGTGGCGGTCCGGTCTCGAAAAGCAAAGCATGCACGTGCCGGCACGGGTCACTGAGTGGCCTGAGGCCCCCCTGGGTACTAGGGATCTGGGCTAGTCATTGTTTCAAGGAGCACTATAGCATGAAATGAGGGGCAATTGGGAAGATCAATGGTTAGCCCTGTCTTCCTTCCATTGACTTTAAGGCAGCCGAAGAGAAGGAAAAGAAAAACAAGTGTTTACTCCCGGCTATAATCCTCGTATACCGTCTTGCCAAACTCTTGGCATCAAGCTGTAATTCTTGACTCGGCACTAAACCCTCTTAAAAGTAAGGCAAACCGAAAGCTTTACGGAGTACTAAATGGATTTGGATAATTTTGCTAAGACAGTCTTCATTGAGAGTATCATGATGTTGCATGCGGCGTGCGTGACCATAAAGCTCCAACTTCGGTAATTACGGGCATTGCTGACTGGAACGATGTGGTTGGAGGTATAAAGGAAAGATCGTGATGATTGTGTTGTTGTGACATGTTACTTAGTTCCTTGGATGAAAACCCCCTACATTCTTATGATTTGCATAGGTGGACCTTGGATGACTGGAGGGTACGATTATCTATTGCGCGAATATCATAGGGTGTATTCTTTACTGCAAATCTGGTATGAAGCTATAGATCCAATAGTAAAATATATAGGTCATGAGCTGATTGTGGAACCGTTTCCAACTCAACTGCATTTGCAGACGTGGAATTCTTGGCCCTATGTCCGTGGTTTGTCTGTAACATGAAATGCAGGAACATGGAATAACACTAAATATAGACAGGTACTTTGTAGATCTCCGACATGGAGATAATCTGCCTCTCGTATAATTATCAAAATAAAGGGCGAACCAATCTCAAAGGCAACTAGGTCCCACGAACAAAGGGGTATGCCTATTTACTGGCCCTATGTATCATGCGAGTGTTCGAGAATTACTGAATTAGGTGTTTACCTTGAAAGAAAAGGTCACACAATGTAGTAGCAGTTGACCCCGTCCTTTGTTTGGAGACGAAGATAAACCATCGCGTTTGATGACTACTCCACGCCAGTCAAACGCACGACAGTCTAAGCTCTCTTCTGAAACCTCCCACTTGCTATTGTGAATATGATGTTGCAGCATTGGCTTGCATGAAAGAATCGGATGATACCGAGTAGGAGGGGGTACGCAGCTACATACTCCGTTCCACCTGACTACTGTGGTCGGAGTGGATAACATAAACACGGCAGCGTGAACAAAGGTCATTGTTCAAAGGTGATATTCTGTCAATGATTAGTGTGAATAAAAACTCCATATAAGTTATCGCTTATATTGAGAGTAACGGGGGTAAATAAGGTCCATTTGGCTAGAAATGACTATATAGTGTGGTCGACCTCATCCCCCTTTGGGAGTGGATATTGGCTGAAAGCGACTAGAGAGAGCTGGCAATCAAGCCCAACGAAGAACAGAATCCGGGCGTCTTAAAGCGGTCTTGGCTGATCGGCGGCGGCGAATCACGCCCTTTGATGCCGAACCACGTGACCGCAGCACTCCCGCCTTCGATGCAAAGCACTTCGCAGCGTCAGTGACGAGGGAGGACTCATCTCGACAAGCCTTTGGCGCCTCAGCTACATCCTTTGACCAGAATACACGCGCCGTTCGTCTAATTTGCTAGACCCCATTGTCTTTGGGGCCGTTGTTTATCTCCGCTTCAGGCCTCTCGCTAGACCGCCTCCCCCACTTGTTACTGTGGCTCGTTCATCCGACCCCGGCCCCTATCGTTCGACCGTCCGCCACTTATCAGACCTCAAAACCCTTCAGTTGCGGCTGACATTGACAGCAGACAATCTGTAGCGGAATTGCTGCGGTTGTCATTTCTTGAACCACCTTCATTCGGGGGCGGTTCCGCTTCAGGACCCCATGTTGAGAAGAAGGAGAGAACGAACCCGAACCCCGACTCTTTCACCTGCTACTGCTTTGTCTCCGGCGGCGTTGACTGTCACTTTCTCCAAAAACCCCCCTCAAGCAAATAACTCACGGTCTCATCTGCCACGTTAAATGGCAGATGGTACCTACAGGTTCCAGCAGCCTGGGGCCGGGCAATTCTTCTTTCAAACGCAACAACAACAACAACCTTCTCATCAACGACACCTTGTCCGGAACGGAACGAATTCTCCGACTGGAAGATTGAAATTTAGTCACGATACACCGTCCCCTTCACGATCTCCCCCCCTTGGTCAGGCAGCTGCGCTCAATCCATTCACCATGTATAGCCAGACGCACCAAGGGCAGCATGTCATGATGAATGGCGGCCAAGCCCACCAACGCTTCGGCATTCAGATGCCGAAGTTTCAATCTCAGAGCCACCATCCCCACCCTGCACAGCAAGCTCACCATCACACACACCACAACCAAGCCTCTCACAATATCAACCACCAGCACAACTTCTCCAGCGGGGCGTTGGCTGCCGCTACTCCCCACTTTACCCCGAGCCACATGCAGAATGGGGCTCATGCTAACGTTGACGAAGATATTGATGAATCTATGAATGAACATTGGCAACAACAGCTTCAGTTGGCCGCTGAATCGCGGCAGGCGAGCTCCCCGCACTATTATGCCCGGGCCGTCGCTCAGCAGACCAAGGGCATTCAGATCGCTCCCAGTCAGCCTGAACCCCAGGAAAACGGAAGTGATGTGAAAAATGGGCTGACAAAGATAAAAGCATCCGCGAGACAAGGCTGGTATGCCCTCGATTTCGGCGGGCAAGGACTACGGGCACTTTCTACATCGTTGTTCAGTTACGAATTTCTGAAAGAACTGTACCTAAACCACAACAAATTAAAGGCGCTTCCTCCGACGATTGGCCGCCTGCGCAAATTGGAACACCTGGATCTCTCGGGCAACGACCTCACTGAACTTCCCGAGGAGATCGGCATGCTTACGAGCCTGAAGAAGCTCTACCTGTTCGACAACAACATCCGCACGCTCCCTTATGAAATGGGCTATCTCTATCGGTTGGAAACTCTAGGCATTGAAGGCAACCCATTGAACGACATTCTGAAGTCTCAAATCATGAAGGAGGGCACCAAGGCTCTGATCAGGTATCTGAGGGAGGAAATGCCAGGTTTGTTAAATCATTTGACCCAGTATAAGGGAATCGCTGTTTTTTTTTTCTCGATGCTAACGGGGAGAATTCTAGAAAACCCCCCTCCCCCGGACAGAGATTGGGTTATTCTTGATGAGACCGCAGGCGCATCCACCGAGAAAATCACCGTCCTTTCCCACAACGCGCTATGCGACTCCTCTGCAACACAGTCCCACTTCGGATATACTCCATCTCGTGCTCTGTCATGGGAATTCAGAAGAGATCTCATTCTCAGCGAGCTAAGATCCCATGACTCAGACATTGTTTGCCTTCAGGAGGTAGACCAGGGAAGTTATAATGGGTATTTCAGAGAACAGTTGGCCTACAATGGCTACAAGGGTGTATATTGGCCTCGTGGAAGAGCTATGGGCATGCAGGAGGAAGATGCCAAGTGTGTTGATGGCTGTGCCACTTTCTTCAAGGGAACCAAATTCATTCTTCTTGACAAGCAGCTGATCAACTTTGGCCAGACGGCAGTACGACGGCCCGATGCTAAAGGCCAGGATGACATTTACAACAGATTATGGCAGAAGGATCATATTGCGGTTGTCGTATTCCTTGAAAACAGGCTCACAGGCTCGCGGTTTATTGTCGTAAATGCCCATCTCTACTGGGATCCGGCCTTCAAGGATGTCAAGTTGATCCAGACAGCCATTTTGATGGAAGAAATTACGAAGCTCTCTGAGACGTACGCAAAGTGGCCTGCGTGTACCGACAAGGCGGCATTCCGCTTCTCGGAAGCGGAAGGTGGTGAAGCGCAAACTCCACCGGAACCCTCTCCATCCATGGAGTATGCCAGTGGTGATCAAATCCCTCTTTTCATGTGCGGAGATTTCAACTCATCTCCTGGCTCGGCGGCGTATAATCTGGTTGCGCATGGACGGCTAACGGAAGAGCATCCGGATCTCGAGAAACGACTTTATGGCAACCTGAGCCGGGTTGGTATGACCCACCCGTTCAAGTTGAAATCCGCATACAACTCGATCGGCGAGTTGAGCTTTACGAATTATACACCTGATTTTAAGGATATCCTGGATTATATCTGGTTTTCATCAAATACGCTTCATGTTTCGGCGTTACTCGGAGAGGTGGACAAGGACTATCTGCTGAAGGTGCCCGGGTTCCCTAACTTTCATTTTCCTAGTGATCATATCGCATTATTTGCGGAGTTTGTTGTTAAAGGGAAAAAGGGAAAGGTGGTAGAGGCGGATTTTGGACCGCAACGGAATTGAGGGATGGTGCATGCTGAATCTTACGAGACTGGTGTTTGTGTAGCCGGTTTATCTTATTATCTCGGAATCTTTGGGGGTTTTTTTCCGCGTGTCTGTGGTGTTCGTCGCTTGTTTTTGCATTCTTTTTTTACCTGTCCATTTCCTCTTTTAACATACTTGTGAGTCTTATCTGTTGTCATTGCTGTCGCCAGAGGGCGTTCGCGCAATTGAACCTGCGTATCATTTTCTTGGAAAGTAGTTTTCAACGGCGCGGCAGTCATATCTTTCCTTTACGTGTTAGGATCTCATTACTCTTTTCCTGATGTTAAATTTCCTACATCTGTGACTGTTTCTTCCATACTTGGTGTTGAGGGCCGGAAGGTCACCTGGCTTGGAGTAGTTGGGTCCTGAAGAGGTTTCTTTTCTTCCTTTGTTATCATATATTCTTAGGCGAATGGGGGTTCTTCATCTTTTGTCGCTTGTTTTCATTCAGCTCTGAGACGTCTTCCGTCAGGCGAGTAGAGGATTGACTTCATGTGTACTCTTGATGTTCGATATTGAGGTAAATTTCCGTGATATATCAAAGTATGACCTGTCTGATATTCGAGTTGTGAATCAAGTGTTGAGAGAAGAATATATGTTAGCTGAAGTAGATATATCGATTTATACATGGCTCTTTGATATAGTACAGTAGTGGTAGGTGTTACACCTGGGGGTATCCAAACTAAAAGCAATTCAGTGCTTCTGCGAATCCTCTATCCGTCTCCATATTCCAACGAATCCTCCTCCTACGATGCGGGCTCCAACCTTTGGCCGGCAAACGAGGACACTATCCCCTTCTTTGGGCGCCTCCTCAGGGGCAGAGACACTCTCCACGGAACCCTCATCAACAGCCTCCTGATCCTGCTGGACAGCCCCTTCACCCGCCTCAGAGGATTCACTCCACGAAGCAGGATCTGCACGAGACTTCTTCACTGCAAACCGAACGTCCCACTGCCGTCCGCTACTGATCCCAGCGCCCAATTCAACGACCTTCTCCAGGGAAAACGGCAATTTCTGTCGACGGATCAGATCCACGCAATCGCCGATCTGGGTTATACTGGGCATGAAGACAGCTAGAACACCGTTCTCTTTTAGTATCGGGGCCACGTGGGTGATGCGCTGGTGCGCAGATGGCATATCCAGGATTGCGTATGAGAGGAACGGATCGGCCGTTTTCTGCGTCAGGGGCAGAAGGCTGGTGGGTGTTCGGAGTCGTTTCTGTTCTGCTATCCAGTTCTCCACGTGGCCGACGTAGAAATCGACATTGCCGGCGTAAAGGCCCCGTCGGAAGCCGCGGACTATTTTCTCCGCGTGCGCGGAGAATTTGGGTGAGACGTCTACGGTGTGGATTACTGCTTTGCGTTGAGAGCGCCAGGCGTCCCATTGTTGTTGCGTTGTGCCGACAGTTGCTGGTTCGTCCTTCGATGTGTCTTCCTTCTTCTCTTCTGTTTCCTCCCCCGGTCTTATAGGTCGGCCTTGCAGGTGGTGGATCTGGGACTGGGCTGGTAGTAGTGGAGGGGTCGAGTTTGCCGCTTGGATTGCGCGCGCTAAGTGGAGTGTGAGGGAGCCATGGCCTGTCCCGGACTCGAGGATTTCTAGAGGTTGGGTGTGTTCTTGTCCTTCGGATGCTGGCGCAACGTGGATATCGAGTAAGGAGACGATTAAGTTCGCGTCTGCGGCGTAGATCTATTGGCTCGAGATTAATCTTCTAAGCTAGAGTGGCGGTGTCAATGGATCGCAGTCATACCGGTGTTACCAAGCGAGGTGTCAAGGAGACATATTCGTCAAGTGAAGGAAGGGTTAGTCGATAATCGGGGCCTGTCGGTGGTGAGGTTAGAATTTCTTCTGCCAAATATTATTCGGCCATTCGAGATTATGTATGCCAACCTTTTTGCGCCTGAAATCGCTCGCGTACTCGCCGGCCGATGACGGTGTCGTGTTGTAGGTATCCGCGCCGCAGGTCTGTTTTTTGACCCTTTCGCAGTGGTTTCGTTAACGATGGGGTTTTGCCATGGATAATGGCTCGGTCTCCCTCTGATTAATTTATTTCTGTTATCATGGACGAATACAACAATGCGACGGTAGTGTGGAGAAAGGCAACGTACCTCGAAAGACGGAGAAGTCTGTATCGATAGACCGACGGAAGGTAGGGACTGGGCTGGGAGAACTCAGTCCCAAGACTCGCCGCAGCGATTGAAGCATACGAGCCATTCAATTGAGGTTCAATCTAATTGTATGACGTGGGAAGATCTTGTAGAGAGTCTTCTCCGGGAACTTGATCTTCGGTTCGGCTAACTTGAAAAAAAAAAAAAAAAAAAAAAATAAGAAAGGCCCCATAATTCCGATAGCGTGATATCACAGATTACATCAATAATTAAATCAATTAATTTCTCTTTTCTCCGCATTGGGTCCCAGAAACTGGTTTAGTGCCGTTTGTTCCGTCGTTGGAACTACCGCTCAGGCACATTCATTCGTGCAATCAGGCAACGGGCTTCCCCCATACTAATCGCTATGGCTTATCTACTAAACAGATCGAGTATAGCGACACCGCCGGGTTCCTGTCCCTCGTTCTCTTTCGTCTCTCCTTCACCGGTGGGATGCCATTGAATCTTTCAGTTTACACCCATTTCAAACATTTCTTTTACTCCTATCTACTCGGTCTCTACACCATTTTCACTGCCATTACTAAATACTCGCTGTTCTTTCTGTGATCACTGTCATTGACCGCCACCATGAGTGCCTCAAGCCTCCCTTATATGAAGTCCAACCCCAAGATCATCTTCTTTACGGACTTTGATGGGACCATCACGCTCCAGGACAGCAATGATTTCTTGGTAATCGCCTACCCAGAGCTGGACGCAAGAATTCTCGCTGACTGGCCTCGTCTCAGACAGATAATCTCGGTTATGGACAAGGAAAACGTCGCCAAGGGAACATCGACGTCCTTGAAAATAGGGCTAGCTTTCGGTATGGCTCACATCGTCTTGACCTCGAATCGTACAGTCCATTAACCCACCCGCTGTTAGTGATGCCTTCCGCGATATGCTCGATAGTGTCAAGACCCCCTTCAATGAGTGCATCGAGCAGCTAAAGAGGAACATGAAGCTGGATCCTTACTTCGTCGAATTCTACAACTGGGCCAAGGAGAACAACGTGCCCATTGTAGTATTGTCATCCGGCATGACACCGATCATCAGCGCATTGTTTGAGGCTCTGCTAGGACATAAGCCCGATGAACACCTCCAAATCGTCGCGAATGATGTCGAAAGCCGCGATGGCAAGGATATCAATACTGAGGGTGGTTGGCAGATCAAATATCATGACGATAGTCACTTTGGCCACGACAAGTCCTTGGAGATTAAGCCCTACGCCGCCCTGCCGGACAATGTACGCCCGACTCTGCTGTATGCGGGAGACGGTGTCTCCGATTTGTCGGCTGCTTCGGAGACCGATCTTTTGTTCGCTAAAAAGGGCAGGGGTACGTGTTCTAAGGGTTGAAGTAGTATTTTGTTCGTTCCGATGAGCTGACCATTTTCAGACCTAGTGACCTACTGTGAGCGTCAGGGAACCCCGTTCACTGTTTTCGAGAGCTGGTCCTCAATCCTTGCCACGACGAAAGATATCCTGAGTGGCAAAGTCACCATCAAGAAAGTGGCCCAAGAGGGACTTGAAACCGTCCACAAAGAGAAAAACTAAACATGGAAGTTCACTAGTGCTAAGGGCAAGAGTCCTTAGATTCATGAATTTATATAGAGCGAGCCCCATAGATTCTAAATATACCGTTGTAGAAACATGAGATAGTGTGCACCCTGATTCATAGTAATTTACTGATGATAGACATCTGGCCACTGATGACATGCCACGGCCCCACAGGGCTTGACCGGCCCAGTCACGTTGAATGTGACCGCCTTCCAGACTTGGCGGGATTTGCGGCGACCTTCAAAATACGGGGGAAATTCGGGACCCAGCTGCATTTACTTTATCCTCCACTTCACGGCCCCTTGAGATGACCTAGCGCTAGGTCTTCTCTGCGGCGAGCCCCAACTGTTCTTTCTGCGGCTTGCTGTACTTCACCATGCTTCAGTGCTCGGCAGGTCTTCATCTATTTGGAACTTGCCAGTGGTTTTCACTACCAACATGACACGCCGATTTGTATGGTCCCTTGCATCTCATCTAGTAACGTCTTTGTGATGTGTTGGTCTCTGACATATCATTCTATATAGGTTCGCGCGGGTGTACAGCTCGCAATATTTGCTATTTTTATACTTGTTCTCGTCGTGACCCTAGATAACCGGTTTCGGGTCCTACCTGCCTCTATCCATGGCCATCTGCCTTCGCACTATTCCGGACTCGTCGTTACAGATGTGACTATAAAGACATGCTCGTCCATCAATCCCTTCTCAAAATGCAAACCCATCTCGCCGTCGTGGACTCAAGTCGACAAGGATCTTTATCTGCGCACTGGTTGGACCTCCACCGCCTTTGTCCAGTTCGAACGGAAAAAGGAGGAAGAATTGCTTCCTACGGACAAAGTCGTGATTGATTTGAAGATTAGTCGACTTATTCCGGATTCCACCGATGAAGTCAAGGATGGGGAAAAGGACGAAGCCGCGTGGTGGGAGCCGCGTCCGGGTGGCATTTGGGTGAGACGAACATCCAAGCGCCACGCAAGTGATTCGCAGAAAGCGATCACAATGGTCGATGTTCTTTTCGGCGCAGATGCAGTGGATCCACGGATTGGATGGGAGGTTAGAGATACTCCGCTGCTGCTGGATAGTCGGACGGAGGAATTGGAGGCCCGCATCAGTATCCAGAGGGGCGATCCTCAGAAAATGAAAAAACCAGTCCCTAGGATCAATGAACACGGTCGCTTCAAGATTATGCAGCTGGCAGATTTGCATTTGAGTACTGGCCTTGGTGCGTGTCGTGACCCTATCCCAGCTGAACCTGTTCCGGGACAGAAATGCGAGGCCGACCCGCGGACGCTTGAGTTCGTGGAAAGGCTCTTAGATGAAGAGAAACCCGATATGGTGGTCCTTACTGGTGATCAAGTCAACGGTGAAACTTCTCCGGATGCACAGAGTGCACTGTTTAAGTCTGTCAAACTGCTCGTGGATCGCAAGATCCCTTACGCAGCTATCTTTGGTAATCATGATGATGAGGGCAATCTCAACCGGTCAGAACTTATGGCCATGTTAGAGGGTCTACCTTATTCAATGTCGTCGGCGGGCCCCCAAGAACTTGACGGTGTTGGTAACTATATCGTTGAAGTTCTGGGTCGTGGCAGTACGACACATTCAGCATTGACTCTGTATCTCCTTGATTCCCATTCGTATTCGCCCGATGAACGACAATTCCGAGGTTATGACTGGATCAAACCCAGTCAGATTCGTTGGTTCAAGAACACTGCTCAAGGCCTGAAGAGAAAAAACCATGAATATGCGTACATGCACATGAACCTGGCATTTATTCATATCCCATTGCCTGAGTACCGTGATCCGAATAACCAGTTCGTCGGTAATTGGGATGAAGCTCCAACAGCTCCCGGGTTCAATTCAGGCTTCAAAGATGCACTCGAAGAGGAGGGCATCCTCTTTGTCAGCTGTGGACAGTAAGTCAACAATGACCTGCTTAAGTTGCGACATTTTCTGTTACTAATCCACTTGTAGTGACCATGTCAATGACTACTGCATGATTAATAAAGACAAAGACGAGAAGCCGTCGCTCTGGATGTGCTATGGAGGAGGTGTTGGATTCGGAGGCTATGGAGGCTATAAAGATTACGTCCGGCGCGTGAGGTTCTTTGACTTTGACATGAATGCCGGACGGGTCGTGACATACAAGCGACTTGAGTATGGTGAAACAGAGGCCAAAATCGATGAGCAGATGATCGTCGACGGTGGTGCGGTGAAGGGATTATAATGCGTCCGCTTACATCCTGATTTTGAAACAGACCTGGTGTCCCTCAGCAAAAGCCTTCTTCGACTAGGTGACTTGAGACCTTCTTTATAACGTATTGTTATCAATGCGGGCATCTTTTCTACTTCTTCCTCTCTTTCTCTCCCTTTTTTTTGCATTCTAGCCATGTGATGGTTATATTATCCTGTATAGTGCGAAAAGTCAACATATGCTGGGTCTGGAGGGCGTCGGCTGTGGAGTTTTCATTCATGGGAAACGGGATTGAAGGTATTAAAAAATGCTAATTTTCTGTTTGTTGCTTGCGTATTCATACATACCTCCATTGTTATCCATGCAACTAGGGAATTTTGTAAGCTTTTCTCGATGTCAATGTACCTATGGGGCATGACTACATGATTGTAGTTTGAAAGGCATCTTTCCAAAACAATATGTTTAGTACAGATGAACCATCACCACCATTTCTCGAAGAAAACACGCTCGCCCCCATCTCCCATGAGCCCACGAAGACTAGGGACAAACTCATCAGTCATCGCAGGCGGACCACACATATAACAGACTGTCTCCTCAGGTTTAATGTCCCCATTCGGTCCAGTGAGTGCCGCGCGCAGGTCATCCTGGTTAATTCTTCGTGCATAGATAGTCAGATCACTAGGCTGTTCACGTAGAGGTGAAGACGAAGAATCTCGTAGACCAGTAACAAAGAGACCCAGCGATATCCGCAGCCGATGAGACTGCGACTGGGAGCGAATGATTTGACGAAGACGGGAAAGAAAGAGGATTTGATCTAAGACGGACTCGGAAGATGCAATAGTTTCCTGCGATGGGAGTTTAGTGGAGTAGAGAAAGTGGATGTTGAAGGGGTGGTGTGATGCTGGGGTTTCATCTGCATTGTTATTCAGGTGAGAGAGAATGGAGATTAATGGGCTTGATTTTTTGTTAGCGTGTCGATCTCCACTGTTGAATCATAATGGGTATTCTATATGGGAACTTACTTTATACCGACCCCCCCAGCGATAAGGACTACGTTCTTGACCTTTTCATAATTTATGCCTGATGGAGGTGGCCATACGAAGCTGCCTCCGACTCGGATGCAGAGTTCCTTTCCAAGGATTTCATCTTTCGGTTTCCAGAGCCATGCGCTGGCGGGATTGGAAAGGGCCTTTTGGACCGCTAGTTCCACGTACGGCGCTCTACCCCTTGGGTCTACGGGGGGAAGACCTGTTTCCTCGTCTTCCACGGCAAGTGACTCAGTCGTGGGCTGGAGAGAGGGGAGCGCTTCGGCATCTGCTGGTGTTGAAGTGATGCTGAAGCCCCCGGCGTCGGAAATAGACGGGATGTGGACATCTAGCCATTGACCGGGGGAAAACGTGAATGGCTGAGATTGGTCGGGCTGTTAGGGTGTCAGTATACCTAGTTCTAGTAGTACTTTGCACTGTGTTTGTAGGGTGTTGAGTGAACATGGGTATATTTAGCTCATAGTCCAATAACGAGGAGCCATTGGAGAAGTAAATGATGTTACCAAAACAAAGAATTAATTGACTCTACTATACCTCTTCGTCATCCTGGTTTTGTTCCTCTAGAGCTTGTACCCGCGGAGGGATGGCTAGGTGAAGCAGGCGTACTGTAGGATTGACCTCTTCGATGTGTGATATTCGCACATTGTACAGGGTATTTTGCCGGGGTTCTGCAGCTGTACGTAACTTGTGAGGCACCGATGCCTTTTTACTGGCCAGGGAACTCATTTCGTGTCGAGTCACCGACGAACGGCGCTTATGCAACAGGGTGAGGTTGGGGGGTGGCTTATAGAGTTGGCGGCAACGCAAGAGTGGGAGGGGTCGCATATGGTAGTAGTGATAATAGTAGAGAACCCACTATGGGTGCTGATTGGCACTTTAGCAATTAAGCTCCTCTTTTTAAATTCCTTGGAGTGAAGTGTGATGAGAGAGAGACGTGTGGAATGATGGTGAATGGATTAATTAATTAATTCATTAATTGAGAAGAGGATAGGAAAGATATCTATGACGTCTGTTACTAATTCCCCCTCTACCATAAATAAATTTATATAATTGATTTGTTTGTTTACTCTTTCCTCCACTTCTCATCTTTTCATATGCTAATACACTCCTCAATGTACAGTATATTAGAAGTAACATTAAAACTATAAGCTACATCCATTTTCAAAAAAAAGAAGCGATGTGATGGTTATCTCTGGGCAACCTCTCCCCTCACGGCTAACTGTGCTATGCAGGTGCGGTCACAGAAGCACGCTCGTTGATTCCCCACTTGAGCGCTTTGCTCTCTGACAGGATAGTTTAGATAAACTATGAATATCTGCGGAATCGCGAACGGCTCCAGTCGTGACAGTCTTTTGCTCAACCATGCAGATCAGTCTCACCATCACACGGCCTAGCGTGTGACGGCCGGCAGCCAATCTTCAACTTCTGCCGTCTCATTGGTGATAACCACTTGGGCCCCGGCTGATGCTGGCGCTTCCCTGGCGGCAAGCATTGGCCAACTGCATCTCTGGGAAACATCCATTCAAGCCTTTCTCTGCATTTTTGTCGCCAGAGGAATTGCCCCTCACGCTATGGGCCATGGAGGTTGGCCCTCCCCGATCCTGGAGCGATCTACTCCATATTTACGGCTTCTTCCCGGCGGATCTCCCAAGCTTTTCTGATAACTGTTTCTCTCTTTTCCGTTCTTTGCGATCTATGCTTTTGGCCGTCCGATGCGAGTGAGTTGAATGCCCAGCCAGCCGGTCTGGCCACAGCGCAGCGGATCGAGTAAATAAGCTTACGGCGCAGGATACTTAAGTGACGTTGTATCTTCTACCTACTTGCCAATCACGGCCTTCACGAGAACATATACAGAACCGGCACCATGGTTTACTTTCCACGGAATTGGCGCAAGCATAATTTATTCTATATCTTGATGGCGCTTGAGTTTCCCATTACAATTGTCATTCTGACATTCACTGGGATTGCATCCCACGATCTATACCGGACCAAGTTATGGCAAGACGGGGCAGACAATGGCTTCAACAGTTCGCCGGATGAGGTTCTCTATGCTGCAGCCAACTATAGGCCCTATAAAGTTCCTATGGTCTGGGGTTCATTGTATGTATTCATTTCATGTCCTTCCTTCAACGATCGATCAGATGTAAAACAGAAGACAGTGGCTAATGACATTCTAGTATAACGGATTACAACCTAGTCCTGGGCGTTTTGAGCACCTTCATATTGATAACAAAACTGCCTGTCCATATTCTGCGGGTATTCTACCCACCTGTGTCGGTGTTCGTCCATGTTGGCTTGTTCGTGGTGTATATCGTGTCGGCTGCATACCAAGCTGGCTCTGATACGTCGGATCCCAAGCACCCACAGCGAGGCCTGCCGTGGTACATTACGAAGTCATGCAGCGTGGCTTCGAATAAAAATAACGTCGGCTATTGCCAACAAGCCAAGGCACTCTTCGCCTTTAGTATCATTATCATGTGGGTGGCACCTGACAGTCCATAGTCCCTACTCTAACTGACATCATCACACCCACAGTGTTCTCTACTTTGTCGAAATTGTTGTGAGCATCCACTCCTGCTTCTTGACAGAGGAGGAGAAAGCAGAGCGCGAGGAACGCCGTGAGGAAAAGAGAACCATGAAGGAATACGAAGACATGGTCCTCAAGACACCCCGGGGGTTTCCCATGTCCCCAGCGTTGCCTACAGGGGGTACGCAGGGCAAGCCTACAATGTCCTCATGCAGCCCTGCCTTCAGTACATTTGGAAATGGATCCTCAGATCTTCCGCTCCGGGACCATTTTAGCACCCCGAACACTCGTCAACCAACACAGCAAGAGTCGTCAGAGACTTTGGCACCGGGGAACCAACCCCAAATGTACTTCCCGCCGCCTCCTAAGAAGGCGGCTAAGGTGTGAATGTACGCAGAATTCTAAGAATGGTCTTCGAAACCTAATATCCACATGGCTGTATGGGAACCTAAATACGAAGGTATCTTACATGTCGACTTCTCTCCACGTTTAGCGATGGATTTGCTTGAACCGGGTGTTTTGGCTTCCTCATCGAGACACTTGCAAGAGGGACTTGAGGAAACTCACGGTTTTATATTTTGGGATTTATTTCTTTTCTTTTCTTCTTTTTTCACCTGTTATTTGTTCAATATACCATTATCACGACACGAGAAACCGCAATGACTCACTGGCTAATTGTGCTCAATCCCAAACTGGTTGAATACAAAAGAAATAATAAACCGGAAAAGAACCTTATTTATCCATAAACCCCATAAGTTCCAAAACAAGGACCATATAAAATTCTGTCACAGCGCAACTGCTGCAAAGAACCTCACTGTCATCATTTAAGAATGCGAAAATAGAAAAATTGCTCTCGAAAACGATATTAAGACGGAGCAGAATTCACGGGGGTATCGCCGCAGGAACATGTTTCACAATGCAGGAATGAGGGGTGAAAGTTGCAAGTGTTGCTGGTTCCATCCAGAGCCGGTGGTTAAATGTGATCTTGCCTCTTTTTCTCCTTTTTGGCCCAGCGTACTAGGTTCGCTGTTAGTCAGAAATTCTTGCTACTGACGGGGAAAATCGGTGCAAGGAGTGACTCACATCCGCAAGCATTACACAAAGTCTTCGGTCCCTCAGGGCCCTTTCTCCATTCAGGAGAGTCCGAGGTTCCACAATCGGTACACATGTATTCGCCCTTTTGTCTTTTCTTTCTATCACTGTCCTGGATGATCCGGGTCTGCTGGTCTAGCTTGGCCGATTCCATGTCAAAGTGGATGAGGCGACCCTGGCGAACACCAGTGCTGAGTCCCTGCGAACGTTCACCCTCACCGTAGTGTAGACCAGTCAACATCTCGATCCCGTCAATATGGGACATGTCCTCCTCCTGGGATAGTGTGTCGGCGACGTTTGCAGAGAATGACTGGGCATCGGGATCATCGATTGTTAGCGTGTCGGATGATTCGTTCTCTTCCCCGAAAGCAGCGGCATCGGGAAGGGAGGATTGATTGGAATTGATTCGGCCTGAATGAGCAGAATTGTGACGGGAAGAAGGTTCTCCCGCAGAGTCGCTAGGATACGATTGTTGGTATGTTGCCAAGTCCTCCTCCTCTTCCTCTCTTAGCTGTGCAATCCGATGGTTGAGTCGCACGTTCTCGATTTTATGTTCCAGGAATGAGTCGATGAGCTGAGAGCTCCTAGTGGGATAAGGCCGGCACAGAAGAATGATACCGATGCAGCCCCCATCTCGGTTTTCAGGGCTTTCGCTCGGAGTTCCTGTTTTCATATGTGGGTGGCCATATGCCTCCAATATGCAAGATGTATTGTTATTGTTATCTTTCGTACAGAACCGAAAGTGGCACTGCACTGGCTGAATTCTGGTCATACACTCGTTCATTTCCTCGGAAAACATGTCCTGGTCGTCACTGTGGATAAAGCGCGCCAAAGCGTTCTGCTCTAGTTGGCTTGCATCGTAACCGGTGATAGATTTGCAGGATGGCGCTGCATACAGAACATTGCCCTCGGAGCTAAGAAGTAGTAGCATATCTTTCATCTCGTTCAGTACGAGCTGCGGCCAACCCTGCTCATCCGCCGCGCTGGGCGAGTTCTGCGCAGCCGCATTTCCGGTTGGTGGTGATAGAAATCTTTGAACTTCTCTTGGAATCGAATCATGCCGTTCGTCTAGCATTCTGTGCTGAGTCTGTATTACCCCACTCTCGTGCTCGGTAGCAACCCAATCCATCGTTGGTATCAGGGCAACCAACGAGGTTTTTGCAGAGAGGAAATGTTCTCTCGGACATGAGGAATGGACACCGTGGGATTGCAAGATACACGAGCCACTAACGCTGCGATAGAGCTGTCAATTCCGGTGCTGTATAACAAGGCCGGGAGGGCCCACTCGCCGCGCCAATGAGATATTGTCCACTGTTTAACAGGACCGGGACTTTTCGTCCAATGCTGGACCTCAGGGGTGAGCATTGAAGGTGGATTCAATTGGCGCAAATCAGCTGAATTACTTTCGCCACAGCCGAATGAAAGGATACCATGATAAGTTATTGTGGTTGGATGGAATTTCCAGTAGTTACTGGACCGGGTAAGAGGTACCTGAGCACATGACGGCCGCTACCATTAGGGAAGTGCAAAAGTACATATCCAAATCAACACTTTCCCATTTAATTTCCGACTTTAGACACCTCGCCCACGTGATCTCGCGCCACTTCCCCGCGTCGTTCCTTAGTGCCCGGCACGCGGAGCAAGTACCGATGGCTAAGGTGATCCTTTCTCTCGTCCTTCATTAAACCACCAAAGGCTTTCAAACAAGGACGAGGTCATCGAGAAGCTTTAGCGGGAGACCTCGTATTGCTGAACCTCATTTCTCTCGCTCATGCGCCCGACTGCGCGTACCTCTCAAGATGTGAGTTCGGATGTGTTTGGTTCCTTAACTCCCGCGTCTTGCACTGACAAGCCAGCAGGTGTAAGTTCGTGCGGAGATCGACTGCGGAGCGAGGAATCGGAGATACTGACCCAATCCAGCCAAGATTGATAAGCTGTCGATTCTAGGGTAAGTCTATACTTTCTTCAATCTATGCTCGTCATTGCTGATTCCCAGCTTGTCATTCGTAGTGTTCGCTCCTTCGACAACACTCGCAGCGAAACCATTCAGTTCCACACCCCTCTGACTCTCATCGTCGGTTATAATGGATCGGGAAAGACAGTACGGAATGTCCAGCCAGATTAAAGCAGCCCCGTCCCCGCTAATCGGAGCCTAGACAATCATCGAATGTCTCAAGTATGCTACCACCGGCGACCTCCCGCCAAACAGCAAGGGCGGCGCGTTCATACATGACCCAAAGTTATGCGGAGAGAAAGAAGTCTTGGCCCAAGTGAAGCTATCGTTCAAAGGAACATCCGGTGCTAAGATGGTAGCTACGCGAAGTTTACAACTCACAGTGAAGAAAACCACCCGGCAGCAGAAAACACTAGAAGGTCAGCTGCTGATGGTCAAGGATGGCGAGAGGACGGCTATCTCTTCCCGAGTTGCTGAACTAGATCAGATCATGCCCCAGTATCTCGGGGTGTCCAAAGCCATTTTGGATTCTGTTATTTTCTGCCACCAGGATGAGAGCTTATGGCCCATGAGCGAACCGTCAGTCCTGAAGAAGAAGTTCGATGAAATCTTTGAAGCGATGAAGTACACAAAGGCCATTGACAACATCAAATCTTTGAGAAAGAAGCAGAACGAGGAGCTTGCCAAATACAAGATCATGGAACAACACGCTAAGGAAGACAAGGAGAAGGCAGACCGAGCGGAAAAGCGCTCAATCAAGCTCCAAGAAGAAATAGAGGCCTTGCGTGATGAGACGCATCAGCTGTCCCAGGAGATGCGACGTGTTGCTGAGTTAGCTGATAAAGCATGGAGAGAGTCAGAAAGCTACGCCCAGGTCCTTGGTACTCTGGAAGGGAAGCGAATCGAGGCAAAGAGTGTTCAATCGACGATCCACAACCTAAAACGGCATCTTGTCGAGCTTGATGATTCGGATGAATGGTTACAGTCAAATCTGGAACAATTCGAGTCTAAGCAGCTTCAGTATCAACAGCAGGAAGAATCTCAAAAGGAGAGCTACATGGAGATTAAAGAGCAAATAGAGCGGACTCGACACAAGCTAGGTGTCAAGCAGGCCGAATACGGCAAGTTTGAGAATGACAAGGCCAACTTTGAACGGCAGGTTGAGCGCAGACAAAGGATGACTAAAGACATCGCACGTAGCAATAACATCCGGGGATTCGATAACATCCAAGATCAGGGCGATTTCGATGAATTTATGAAAAAGGTTCGAAAATTGCTGAAAGACCAAAATCAGGCGCTAGATCGGCTTAAACGAGAGGCGCAAAGTGAGCTGCGGGAAGTGCAGACAACTCTAAATGATATAGCTCAGAGAAAGTCCGCATTGCAGGAGACCAAAATTGCTGCTAAGCGACAGATAGCCCTGAATGATAAGGAAACCGCTATCTATCAGGGAAAGCTCAACGAGATAAACGTGGATGAAGGCGTTCAAGCTGCGCTTGAGGCCAATATTGAAGACATTCAGTCGCATCTAAATCAAGCCAAGGAGCGGGCAAAGTCTGCTTCGTGGGACAAGGAGATACAGGAAATCAACTCGGAGATTCGTGGCCTTGAAGATGAAAGTTCGCGCCTAAACTCGGAACTCATCGATGCAACTAAACGAGCTGGTGACCTGGCACGATTAGACCATCTAAAGAAGGAGTTGAAGGAGCGGGAGCGTAGCCTGGATACTATGAAGGGTGCCCACGGCGAGCGCCTATCAAAACTTGTCAGTCCAGACTGGAAGCCCGATACACTGGAGCAAGAATTCCAGAATGCGCTGGAAGAACAATCGAAGCAAGAGTCACGCGCTGAACACGGACGGGATGGTGTCAGCAGGGAATTGGAACAAGTGGAATTCAAACTCATGAATGCCAAAAAGACCTTGGCTCAACGACAGAAGACACTCAAAGACTGTGTCGAGGAAATTCGTGAAGCTATCAGTGATGAACCCGAGGAATTCCCAGAAGTTCTCAAGCAACGACAGGCACAGCTTGATATTGCAAGAAAAGATGCTGAGCAGTATGCTGGAATTGGGGAGTATATGGCAACCTGCCTAGAAACTGTGAAACAGTCAAAAGTATGTAGGTTGTGTCATCGAGGGTTCAAAAATGAAGCCGAGTTACAAGCATTCAGGAACAAATTGGAAAATCTGGTTAAGAAGGCCAAAAGAGATGCCGAAGACGAGGATGTGAAGAACCTAGAAGAGGATCTCGATGCTGCACGCGCAGCCAGCACCGCTTATGATATATGGTCTCGTTTACAGCAAACGGAAATCCCTGAGTTGGAGAAAGAAGAGGATCAATACGTGTTGCAGCGGGATGAGCTTCTGAATCAGTTGGAGAACCATGACAAAGTTGTCAGTGAGAAGACCGAAAAGAAAAGAGATGTCGAAGCTCTCTCCAAAACTGTCAATACGATTGTCCGATATGACGGAGAAATCAAATCTATCCGGTCACAAATTGAGGACCTTTCCTCAAAGCAACAGGATACCACCTCTGCACGTACGCTCGAGGATATCCAAGATGAAATAGCGGCGATAGGCGAAAAATCCAGGGCTTTGAAGAAGAACTTATCGAAGCTCACGCACGACAAAGAGCAAACACAATCCGAGATCAACAACCTGGAACTGCAGTTAAGAGACGTGAAGAGCAACCTTGACAACGCAAAGTTTCAGCTAGAAAGGAAGGCCGACCTGTTCGCTCGCATCGAAGAATACAAAAATCTCAATAACCAACAGCGTGAGGCAATTGCAAAAGCCGATAAAGATGTTGAGACCTTGACCCCGGAGCTTCTCAAGGTCCAGGCCCAGTACGACGATATAAGCCAGCGGAATGAGACGCGCGAAAGAGAAATGCAGCAAAATATCTCTCAGTTATCGGAAAATGTGCATCAACTAGAGCTGGCAAATGAAGAGATTGATGCGTATAATGAACGGGGCGGGCCGACTCAACTAGAGCGCAGCAGGCGTGAACTTGAGAACATTGAGAAGGAGATCGGCCAGCTGGAAGCCGAACAGACGAATATCACAAAAGAAATCAATAGAATATCGTCCCAGCTCAAGGATAGCGAGAATACTAAACGCCAATATGCAGACAATCTCACATACCGCCAGGCTACTAGGGCGCTTGATACGGTCACGCAAGAGATCGAACAATTAGCAGCCCAAAATGCAGAAGTTGACCGGAGCCGATTCAAAGACGAATCAGAACGCCGAACCCGCGAGCATAACGCATTGGCTGCAAAGCAAGCCAGCAAGATGGGTGAGATGAAATCCAAAGATGACCAGTTGATGCAGCTTTTAGCAGACTGGAATACTGATTATAAAGATGCGGCGTCCAAATACAAAGAAGCACACATCAAGGTAGAGACCACGAAAGCCGCGGTCGAAGACTTGGCTCGCTATGGCGGAGCCCTGGATAAAGCCATCATGAAATACCACGGCTTGAAGATGGAAGAGATTAATGCCATCATCGGAGAACTCTGGCAGAAAACATACAGAGGCACCGATGTTGACACTATCCTTATACGGTCCGACAATGAAAATGCCAAAGGTAACCGGTCTTACAATTACCGGGTCTGTATGGTCAAGCAAGGTGCGGAAATGGACATGCGTGGGCGCTGCAGCGCAGGACAAAAGGTGCTCGCGAGTATCATCATCCGTTTGGCTCTCGCAGAGTGTTTTGGCGTAAACTGTGGTCTCATCGCACTTGACGAGCCGACGACGAACCTTGATCGGGATAATATCCGATCTTTGGCTGAGTCACTTCATGATATTATCCGCACTCGCCAGGCGCAGAGCAACTTCCAGCTCATCGTTATCACCCACGACGAAGAATTCCTGCGCTACATGCAGTGCGGAGACTTTAGCGATTACTATTATCGGGTGTCTCGAAATGAGAAGCAGAAGTCTATCATTGAGAGACAGTCAATCGCAGAGGTACGCAGGGTTCTTATTGGCTTTTTTAAACTCTCATGCTAATGCATCCCAGGTTATGTGATTCTCAGCTTCATGACGCAGTCGGGGTGGACAGACAACGTGCCTTGGTTCTGCAGGATCTCCATCTATAGAGCTTTTGAGGCGCGGTCTACCGCGTGGATTTTCTTTCTATGTACATCGTAATATGGAATTCGAAACATGTATTTATCAAGTAATTGAAACCTTTTGGGGCTGAGAAATAGAGCCATGAAAGGAAGAGATATGCCATGTGACTTGCCCTGGATGGCAGCCCTAATTTCCGGATTCAGAAAGGCATCGGAATCGGAAAAATATACTGGATACGGCCGGATATCAAATTAAAAAACAGAAACGGAGGGCAGGGTCCAATCACAGGCTCGGACCAGAAAGTCGATTTGACTCATATTTTAAGGGTATCATTTAATAGAGTCAAACTACATTCAAACCGTCGTGGATGAAGACCACTCTCTCATACAGCCTTTTGCGCTCAGCACGACGAGCAATTGCCGACCCGGTTGTCGTCTCCCTCCGTCGTCGGGCCCTGACAGCGACAGCGGCCGTCCGCCCAACAGCCCTCAAGAATATTATTTGTACTAGCATTCACGACCCCACCATCCCCCACTACCGCCACTCTTCCTCCTCCTCCTACAATCCCAGTTCGTCGCGCCCGGTAGACACGATGCCTAAGGAAAAGAGCACATTCAATCTCAAGACCCCTAAGGGTACCAAGGATTGGTCTGGGTCCGATGCCCTCCTCCGCGATCGCATCTTCACCACCATCGCCGATGTCTTCAAGCGTCACGGCGGCACGGCGCTGGACACGCCTGTCTTCGAGTTGCGGGAGATTCTCGCTGGAAAATATGGCGAAGATTCTAAGCTCATCTACGATCTGCAAGACCAGGGTGGTGAGATTTGCTCCCTCCGCTACGATTTGACCGTCCCCTTTGCCCGTTGGCTCGCCATGAACCCGGACGTGCGCAGCATGAAGCGCTATCACATTGCCAAGGTGTATCGACGGGATCAGCCGGCCGTCAGCAAGGGCCGCATGAGGGAGTTCTATCAGTGTGACTTCGATATCGCTGGTACCTTTGACCCCATGGTTCCCGATGCCGAGGTCTTGAAAATTGTCACTGAAGTGTTCGAGGAGCTTGGATGGAAGGGTCGGTATAACATCAAGATTAACCACCGCAAGATTCTGGACGGCGTTTTCGAGGTGTGCGGTGTGCCGGCGGAGAAGATCCGTCCTATCTCTAGTGCGGTGGACAAGCTGGATAAGATGCCCTGGGCCGATGTGCGGAAGGAGATGGTCGATGAGAAGGGTCTTGACCCTACCGTGGCAGACAAGATTGAGACATATGTTGTCCAGAAGGGAGGACGGGACCTTCTCGCGACCCTCTTAAAGGATGAGTCCCTTCTGGCGAATGCCTCCGCTAAGGCTGGTCTGGAGGATATGGGTGCGCTTATGGACTACTTGGAAGCTTTCGGGGTTCTCGACCGTATTTCTTTCGATATGAGCCTTGCTCGTGGATTAGATTATGTTAGTTTCTTGCCCATATTTATCATGATCGAACTTTTACTAAATTGGCTGATAGTATACTGGTGTCATCTACGAAGTCGTTACCGAGGGCTCCGCACCAGCAATCTCATCCTCTGCCCCCGAAGCGCAAAATCTGCAGAAGTCAGGAAAGAAGAGCAAGTCTAAGGGCGCCAACGCCGATGATGATGACAGGTCGAATGACCCTACTCTAGGAGTGGGAAGTGTTGCCGCCGGTGGCCGCTATGACAACTTGGTGGGCATGTTTTTGCCCAAGGCTCAGATCCCCTGTGTCGGTGTCTCATTCGGTGTCGACCGCATCTTCTCCATCACCAAGGCCCGTCTCGAGCGTGAACAGAGCACCCAGGCCCTACGCAGCAGCGAAGTGGACGTGTTCGTCATGGCCTTCGGCGGCAAGGGCTTCACTGGCATGTTGAAAGAGCGCATGAATGTCTGCCAGACCTTGTGGAATGCTGGCATCAAGGTAAGCTTGATTCTCCGTTGAGTTTGTTGGATCGTTCAAATAACAGGAATCTAACCCTGGAAAAAACAGGCCGAATTCTCCTACAAGCTTAAGCCCAAGCTCCCGCAACAGTTCAAGGCTGCCGAACAGGGCGGCGTTCCCTTCGCCGTCATCTTGGGTGAGGACGAACTCGCCGCCGGCAAAGTCCGCATCAAGGAAATGGGTCTCGAGGAAGGCCACCCCGAGAAGGAAGGTGTGCTGGTGGACCTAGCCACTCTGACCACCGAGGTAAAAGCCCGCGTGGCTAAGAAGCAGGATCAAGCGTCCGCTGTAACACAACAGCTCGAGGCTCTTAAAGTCGATGCCCCGACAAATTAGATATACAAATTAGTGAAGATGAAAAGAAACGCCAATACCCGATTTAGAGTTCATGTTTATTGTTTGGACCAGTAAAAGTAGAAGTATTTTCAAAAGATTTTAATTTGTGATAATATACATATTGCAGATATTACCTCGTACAAGCGTTCCTGTACAAAGCATTTGAATATAGGTAGGTAATACACGGCGGAAGGAGACCAAACCCTGATGGGAGTAGGGAAGCCAATAAACCATCAAGGTAGACACACCCATTACAACTTCAACCCTCAGCATTCTTCATCAAGAATCCCTTAACAAAAGGCAACCGGTCAATAACCTCCAAACCCAGACTGCGACCCCATGCAACTGGTCCTTGACCAGGAACATTGTAAATCTTATGCAACATGTCACAGACACCGCCGATCTTAGCATTAACGGCCCACCGTTCAGCGGTGTACCGTTCCAAAGTGAGAAGATCACCGACGTCCATACCGTGGGTTACTGCGTATTCGATCGTCTTAGAGAGGGATGCCACATCGCCTATTCCGAGATTGAGACCTTGTCCGGCGAGCGGATGGATCACATGGGCGGCGTCACCGACCAGAGCCACGCGCGGTGAGATATAGGTTGATGCATGGCGGAAGCGGAGAGGGAAGGAGGCTACACTGCCTTCCTGCACGCCGTTGACCATGGGCGGAACGTGGGCGGCTTGCGGGGTATGTTGCAGGCGCCAGGTCAGTTCACTCTCGTGGGAATCTTCGTAGTCCGATGCGGGGGTTGCGGGGCGCTCCATGCGCATCATGTACTTGAGGTCTGCGCTGGAGAGACGGAATGCGGCGTTGACCATGGCGATGAACGCTTTTGGGGAAAGAGACTTGAGATACGCGGCGTTTTCTACCGTCGTGGACCAGACTAAGGTTGCGTGGTTGTTGGGGAGAGGTAGCAGGGCAATTGGACCGCCGAGGACAGGCAGGAAGCGCTGGTAAGCGGTTCTCGTGCCGATGGGGAACGAAGGTGAATCTGGGTCGGCGAGGGAAAGAGTCGCGACAACGCCGTGGCGATTGTAGTCCCAGCCCTCGGTTGCGATGTCGGCAAACCGGCGGACAGGGCTGTTGATACCGTCGGCTCCGACTAGGAGACGTGCGGCGATCCGAGTGGGGGATTGCGACTGTGAGGAGTTGGTTGGAGCAAGGGAGAGGACCGGCCAAGCTGATAGATCCGGACCGTCCGGCTGGCTCGTACCATTTTCGATAGATGAGACGGTTGTGTTCGAGAAGATTGAGAGATTCTCGTCTCCGGATGCAGCGATGCGCGACAGAAGCCCGCGAACGAGGTTGGTGTTTTCTGTCATTGTCGCGACTGTGGGAAGGTCCTCAAACGGGGAGGTTTCTGTGGACCAGTCGAAGGTTATGCGCGAACCCGTTTCGCCATCCCATACTTGCATCTCCTGGTATTGCTGCGCTCGGTCCGTGTCAAGATGTTCCCAAGCACCAATCTTCTGCAGGAATGACACGGACGAGGGAGTTAGGCTGCTGACTCTGTTCGAGAAATGCTGTGCATCGAGGTTCCAGGCGCGGGCTTTTTGAAGGTCCTGGGTCTCGACGAGGGCGACCCTGAGCTTTGATGTGACGGGCGAAGCTCCTATAGGCAATTGTTAGGCTTACGCCTATGGACTTGAGTGAATTGGAAGCGAGACAAGAAGAGGATGTCTTACGCAAAGCTGCTAGTAACCCTAGACCTGCAGGACCACCTCCGACGCACACCACATCGTAGACATCGGGGGCTTGGTCGGATTTGGACCCGAATCTTCTACGGCCTGAAAAGCTACTAGACCGACAGGACGGGCAGACATAAGGCCGGAGTGCCGACCGAGTAATTGGCCGCATTATGAGCATGCGTCTGGATACAGGACAGTGAAGTCGAATCTTCGGAGAAGGCAGTCGGCGATATGGGGTGATGAGGTGCAAACAGCGCAAACAGACATGGCTTTATATGCCTCTTTATGTCTTAACGGAGACCTCTCCCTATCCCAGAGTGTCATGATTTACGTCAAACCAGTCCATACATTGTATTGAACTTTAGAAAACTTAAATAGACGTCCTAACTCTCAGGTCTTACGGTATTAGTATGGTGGTATGCAATAGAGGTATATGTACATGAGTATGGCTAGGGTTCGGTGAATCCTACCGGGATAAATATATTCTGCTGTCCAATCACCCTTAGAATACACACGATTAGTTCATGGGTTCACCTATTCATATAATATCACTACTCCGTACACCGTACGCTAGCTACTAGTTGAGCTTTCATTTAATGTTAGCTATATACCTAGGGCTCTTTACAAACAAAGTACATGCACACCAATGCCTACTTCATTATGTAGCAGTAGCCTGCGGGTGTAAATCATCCGTCTCCTCTCCTCTCTTCTCTTTTTCCGTCTTCGTTTCACCTTTGTCTCTTCAAATAATATGCTCTATATAGAATTGTGCCAGTTGCCGAAAGCGAATATGATCAAAAGGAAAGTGAAGAACAATTCAAATGCATCCAGCAGAAATCCAGAGAAACCGTACTCCGCACGAGTGTCAATAAGCAAGTACATTAAGACCCCGCTCGGAAAGCCCTATAAGGAACGTCCAGGTTGTTATAAAAGCGGGAGCTCTTAAGATTTCGCGGTGATGGGAGTATATTACGAAGTATCCTGGTGCTTAAGAATGGACCCAAGACACTCTCCTCTCTTAGGCAGGATTGGCCTTCTGGGCGGTACTAGTATACCTCCTTGATGTGTCGGTTTGATTGACCTACCAATAAATGCCGTGCACCGTCTAATTTAACATTAAGTGGAAGAAGGCTTGATCGAAATTTCTCTAGAATGGCTGTTCCTTTCTGTAGGTTGAGGGAGCATATGGAGGTATCAATTCTCAGGGGTCGGTCACCAGCATCTCAAGTAACACAATAGTTAACTCGTCTCATATATCTGTACTCGACTGCGGTGGATTTTGCTATTGCTCCGATCGTCTATCAAACGCGCTATTGCCTGTAAGTTTAATAAGTATTGACTGAGATTATGGGCGTTGTTAATCTTCCAAAACCTGTTACATTCGCTGGTCCTTGCTTGCACAAAACCTTTTCACATTACATAGATAATCGAAAGCTAAAAAGCAAAGTCTTTTGAATGGATAGACTTGACCTTGACTTGGTTGATTCTCTTCTAATTGTAAGAACCGAGAAATTACTTCGTAGATTATTGACACAGTCAGCTACTCGACAACGTGAATGTTTACCACAGGTTCATCCACCAGGGATGGTCTTGTTGCTATGAACCAACCCTCCTCAACCCTGTGCTCGGCGATTATATTTTTCAGCATCCTTCTAGCCTTCAGGAGTTTCTATCACCTTTACCTGGGACCATAGTAGACATTATGCTTAATAAACTGCTTGACACCTCGGTGTAGCTAACAATAACACACACACAGACTCTCCGGTTATAAGGATCGGGCCACAACACGTCCATGTGAATAGCCCTGCATACTACGAAATGTATTTAGAGCATGATCGACGAATACTATCTATTTGATTATAATGACTAACATATACTTAGAGTCATCACACGCGGCACTAAATACCGTCAAGGTCCTCCATTCTATAACGAGTGAGGAGGCATAGTTGGCATGACTGAACCCCCGAAGCACTGTGTCTATGAGAGCCATATATTATCTTTGTTTTCCGTTCAATCAACTCCTGCCGTAGTACCTAGGCTTCTCCAGGAACTGTAGAAGGTTGCGGCTCCCTTCGCGTTAAAAGCAGGACAAATTGCAGCTATGAATGTCTAGAAACTCATGCACACACTGACCGTGAGTGGCAAAGGCAAACCTGGGCCTTGCGTGTTCTATCCGACTTTAAGTCTGATCAGACACATATAGTAGAATATGGCGTTATATACACTGTTTACCCCAGAGACTGACCTATTCAACACTCAGTATGAGTATCATCCTCTTTTAGAGTCCCTGAATTTCCTCAACAAGGGAATTTTGCTATTTAAGCTCGCTACATATGATATACGTCCAGGGAGTAGGAAGTACTAAGATCAATGTTCGCCTATCGAGTCTTCCTGTTCCCATCTATAGTAAATCTTTTGCCCCAATGGGTTTCATCGTCCAATTCAAACCGCACACCACCTTCTGTACCGTATAACCCATGGAGGAAAGTCCCTAGTTTTACAAAGCTGTTTAGTCTTTGCTAACTTGGTCCGAATCATAGCAATGTAATAAGTACTACTAGAAAGAAGTCTAATTCTGGTATTCTACCAGAATGGGAATCCTTTTTACACTGCTATCACAACTTTGAAAAGGCCGGCACTAGGAATAATATGAACATGCCCCATCCCACGAGTCAGCATGTTCAACATCCTCATCACAGGAAGCGATATCTCTGCGTATTCAAACTCTAGGTCTCTGTGCCATATTCTGAACACTCCTAAGGTCATACATAAACGAAAGGCAGAATTGGATGAGGCGACTCCACTAATCCGCGATACGTTTGACCACAGAAGAATTCAAGCTCCATACCTGGTGAGTAGGCTTTCACGTTGCGATTGACAGGAAATGTTCTAGGAAACCAAACACAGTAAACACTGACAGAGAGAAACGCTCGCAGACTGCCGTGATCAAAGAGAGCCTTCAAATTTCAAGTGCTATTTCCGGATCTCTCCTACATGAACCATATCTATACACTGGCAGGCACAAGACAATGACACTATCCATCAGCAGCGCGGTTATTCAACATGATGACACTTTATTCCCCAAGCCTAACGGATTTATTCCTAAGAGATAGCTCGGAGAAAAGGGCAAGGCATTGGGCGAAATGGAACCTCGCATTTAGCAATGGTCCTCGCCAAATGTATTGGAATAAAGTACGTCGTTACTTGCCGAATCCCTGGTCGAGCATGACCATATGCATGTCCGAGCTATTTGTTACGCACACAGGAACAAATCGGCGTTTTTATTTAGTTTGGCTTATGTTGAGTTGCACTGCTGCCTCGCTTATCTGTTATCCCACTTCGAGTTTGTATTGGCTAGTCAGCAAGGTCGTCAATTGGAGTGGGCGGATCTTGTTATCGCTCGGAATTTAGAGGATATCAAGGTGAAAGTGGTTCGAGATCGTTGGACTTTGTGATGTAGCTTCCGGGCTAAGGCATCATGTGGATATCGTAAAGGAGGCTTTACCGGCTCATGGTACTAATACATTATAGCCCCGTCAATAGTATACAACAGCGCTTGTTGGAAATGGCTTGGTTTTTGAATAGCTCAATGCCAGTCGCCAAATCTATTTATCACCTTATATGCGTTCATGCAAGTATAGCTAGGATCTTGAGGCCTGTGATCCACTGTCTTTTGTCTCCAGGGGCAGATATCTTGGTTATAGGGCAGGATTATGCTCATATGGCCGAGGTTCTTAGCTAAATCGGCAAAATCACAACACTGTTGAACAACTCCGCCCCCGTCGACCTGCAGATGAAACGACTCCAAAAGGGAACCGAGTATGGAATGTTACTATAAATACGCCAGGACAGGACACTATACAAGAAGCGACGTCTCCCCGTAAGCAGGGGCAAGGGCCGTAAGATTTATTATCGAAGTGTGAAGCCGCATCCGTATAACGAACGATTCATACAATGGGGGAACACATGGCGACAACTTCTTATTCTATGCTGGACCTTGTTGAGACGCAACAATGTAACTTGAACCCTTAGTGGACGCTATATATAGATTTTATCAGCCACGAAGAAAAAAGAAAAACCCACCAGGAATTCTTCACAAACAAAAGTGTGCAGTACTGTTTTCCATACCATAATAATATAATATCAAAAGGACCAAACCCCCTGGGCTGAAAGTCTCACCCGAAAATAAGGAATAATCCCCTATATTTCCCAACGTTAATATTGTAATATATTCATTTCTCAAAAAGAAACCAAATGCAATCCTTGCCACGTAACCAAATAATCCCCCATTACTTAACTGCTCTCAGGTGATTAAAAATGATGCCTATTTCCCCATTCAATCTATACACAGCCTCAATTACCTTTTTGTTTGCCCTCCCAATTATGCATCGCATCGCGTCGCATCGCCCTCACTTTACTTACTTACTCCCTCTCTTCCACCGTCTACATACTCCTCTACTTAATCTCAAGCGGTCAACTAACACCCATACCCAACACCTCAACCCCCTCTAGACAAAAACAAGAATAACAAAAGAAAACAAACATGACAACCACCACATCAACATCAACAACAACAACAACAACCCCAGCCAAAAAGCCCAAGACCAAACCCCAAACATCCCAACCCGAAACCCCCTTAGACCTCAGCGCTAACTTCGCCAACAACCGCAAAGTCCCCGTGGGCTACGACCATGAAGTCTACCTCCAGTTAACGGCAGGAAGGAACGCCGAAAAGACGCAAAATCAAGTGTATCGGGAGGTAAGGCTTTTTTTTTTTTTTTTGTTGAATTCTCTTACTTTCTTTTCTTTTCTTTTCATCGACGACTGTGATGTTCGTTTGTGCCCTCCATGGAGATTGATTGAACTTTGATGTTCTTTGGTGCCAATAGGAACGGGTTCGGCAGTGGACGACGAGGGCTTTGGATCCGGCGATTTTGGATCCGCAGGGGGAGCCTGGGCCGGTGGATTTTGAGTGTGCGGAGCATGAAGGGGTGAAGGAGAGGTTGAGGTGATTTTAAGTCGGTTTTGAAAAGGGTTGGTATTGGTTTTATAGGGAGGGGAGTTGAATGCATTGCTGTTGGGAGTTTTCTTCTCCTTATCTTTAAGGTGTTTTGTGGGGGTGTTGGCTTATGGTAAAACTTATATGCAAGGAAGATAATGCTATAATGGCGGGTTTTGTAAGCTACAAGATCAACATTGTAAATTGCCATGTGGAAGAAAACATTAAATTCACTTGTTCATTTCACATCAAAGGCAGAGACACACACACACATAACACACACATAACACACACATAACACACACATGCTTATCGTGCTGCAACACTTTCCTGCAGGATCCCTTCGTGATTCTCATCTAAATCACCTTCCATCTCCGCGACAAACCTCTCCCATGTATTCAGCACCCCTTGGTAGAATTCAATGTGCTTCTCCGCCAGCGCACCGAGAGTGTCTCGGAACTCAACCGCCTTGATTCGTTCGAAATCGGCAACTTCGCGGACGACCTCCTCGTCGAACATCTCGGACGTGGTCTTAGCAGATTCCACTTCGCGGGTCAGTTCGTCGATGCGAAGTTCCAATTTCCGGACCCGCTCTCGCCGTGACTGCTCATGGTCCACTCCGCGCATGTCTTCCATCTTGGAGCGGATGAATGAGGCAGGCGATGAGGTCAAGGGGTTGGAGGCGTAATAGGACGAAGGGTTAGTGGCGAGCGAGTCGCGCTCGCTCACGGCTTTGTTGCGGTAGTCCACCAAGGCTTCAAAGTCAAGTTGCTTCTGCTCGCGGGTTTTGAGAAGCGCTTTGAGGGACACAATGTAAGCTTCCATATCTCGGAGCGAGCCCAGGTAGTTCTGGTCCGTGTGATCTTTAAGGACTTTGAGCCCCCGCCCTGTCTCTTCCACCGACGCCGCGAATACCTGTAAAGGAACCTCGACGTTTGGCTCCAGAGGCACCAGTTTACGGAACTGTGTCGCGAGCTCATTGTAGTCGGTCTCCAAGTCAGTCTCGCGCCGAGCAACCCGGGCGACAATCTTCTCTACATGGTTGAGATCCTCGTCCAACTTATCCGCTTTCTCCCGAACCTCAATGAACCGACGATCTGGCTTATGTACTTTCGTGAATGCATTGACAAAGGTATCGGTGAAGTTATCGAAGATGCCTGGGACGCCGCTAGCGTCCGACGAGCTGGTTGATGTGCGGGAGGCGTGAAGCCGCATGTGCGCATTCCAGTCGGGGGATTCTAGGAAGATGGCAAGCAAAGGAGCCCGGCGGAGCACCGGGTGTAACGTCAAGCGCTTCAAAAATCGATCTAGAGACCAGGCACGTCGAGTAGTGAATTCGGGTCCAAACCGATCCCCCCGTACGTACTCCATTTTATGCTTGTCTGGTAGTGGCGGGACTGCGCAGGCGGGGTACTCCCGGTAAAGCGTCTTGTATAGAAAGAAGAAATCCGTAAATCGTCGGCGTACGGTAAATTCTGACCTCTGAAATGATTTGAAATCGGTCTGCGATACCCCTCCGGTCAGTACCTCAGACTGCTTGCTAGGCAACCGGGAATGGCCTACGGCCAGATCATGGCAGGCCGGAGATTATCGCCGGACAGCAAGAGTAACTCACTTGCGTTGTAACTAAGTAAGAGATATATGCGTCTTTAGTGCCGTCGTTTTCCTTCAGTGGCGAATCCACATGGCATTCTAACACCCCATCCCCAATACCTGCTAGATCGACCGCATCCGCTAGTGCCCCGGCTTGCGGTTCTTCGTGAGCTGAGCTCATTCTTCGCTTGCCATTGGTATCGTGACTAACTGCAAGCGACTCTTCAGCATCGGTCCCCGATGTGGTAGGACGAGAGATATCGCTCTCTGGTTCGTGTCTCCAAGAGACGCTGTCAAAGTCATCGTGCTGATCCATCGAGGGGTTGCCGAATAGGAAGCAGTAATGTTTAACGCCGGTATTTATACCGATCAAGTAGCTCGCAAACAACTAATAAAACCAGAGAGATTAGAGATAATGAAAGTTGGGGGATATGAGGAGCTATGGTGAGAGTAAGTCGATAATATTGGGGAGGTTGAGAGGTTGCGGAGGCAGCGTGGAGCAGCAAGCAATTGGAGAAGCGGCCGCACCAGCGTCATCGTCCGAAATGCCAAGACCGGCTTATCCAGAAACCCTATATTTCATACTTCCAAGTCACGTAAATGTCTATGTCCTTATGGGGGTCTATTTGGTCAGAACACAAGCTTATGTACAAACAGCCTTCATTCAACATCAGGATCCGTGAAACGAAAATCTTCCCATATAACGTGAAGTGCGCCCGACAAGTATCATCACAGGATAAGCAGCTAACCATCAAAAGCAAAATAATAGTCTAATCCAAATTATTGCCGAGCATGATCTCCACCCGTGCTTCCTCGCCGCTCGCGATCATCACTAAGGGTATGATCTCTATAAGGTTCATCCTCATCATCACTAAACAAAGGCTCCTCATCACTTTCCCCTGCGAAAGCATTATAGAGCTCGCCGCCTCGGCGTTGCGTATGGCCAGAACGCCCGTTCATGGCTTGCGTTTCATCCTCATCCTCGATCATTTCGAAATCGTAGTCATCACGGGGATCGTTGCGCAGACGTTTCCGTCGCTGAACGTGGAAGTAGGCCCCAAGTCCGATACAGAACACAATGATGGAGCCAATCGCAGCGTAAATCCAAGCTTGAGTCCTTTTAGACGCACCGAAAGTGGGGAAGAAAGACGGCAGAAAGCTGTCGGCTGAAGAAGTAGTAGAAGGCGACTCGGTAGCACTGGGTTTTGTTGGGGCGGGAGCACCAGAGGTCTCCTCGGCGGGAGCCTCTGAAGGCGTTGGTGGTTGAAAGGTTGGCTTTGGTTTCACAGGACGATCAACGGCATCGGTTGGCATGGACGGAGGCTCCGTCTTAGTTGGGCCCGGTTGAACGCTAGTAGTAGCGACAATGGCATCCTCGATTGAATGGTCGTCATCATGCTCATCGGGCATAGGATGAAGGGGCTGGCTGGATCCATCGATGGACAATCCCCAGAGGTTGAGCCGCCAATCGATGAACTCTCCGACATGTTCATTGACCTTGGTATCCTTGACGATAACTGTCCATTTTCCGACACCGGACTCACCCCTAAATGAAGGCATTAGAGGACACAGCCTGGGAGCTAAAACACGGGGACAAATACTTACCAGTGAGCCACACTCATGAATGTCCAATCCTCATAGCCAGCCTTTACATTATCAGACCTTCGCGCCGTACTAAGGTGACTGACGATGCCTTCGGGACTACGCAATTCCACGCTGATATCGCCTCGGCGTGTGTGGTTGACATTCATGGTCACAGTGACATGCTCCAGTTTCTCTACATTAGCCTGATACATCATGTCCTTGGTAACTTCGTATGAGCTGGCGAGGCCCTGGTCACCTTGGGGGATCTCATGCTTCACTCGTAGCCATGGTGAGTGGAGCCACGCTTGCGGTTTCACCAGCTCCCACGTCTTTGCCAGCTGGACCAGTGAATATGCATCTACCTTCCCGAAACCCCAATCATGGCTGAACTTCTTTCCCTCTTTGGTGACCTGCCAGCTCCCGTCATCTTCGTGGACGGGAACCGCAGTCTCGACCATCAAATACTGGGCATCACGCCATGTTAGTTCCGGTCGGGCACTAAGGGCGAGTGCTATTGTTCCCGCAGCTAGCGGACCTGCGGCAGAAGTTCCGCCGTGAAGAGAATAGCACTTGTCGGTTCCCACATCAGTGGTATGAATCGCATCACTCGAGCCACTGCTATAAGCGACAACCAACTGGGCAGAGCATGATTCTGAGTAGCTGGGGTGTTTGCCCTCTCGATCAATAGCCCCGACGGTGATGCTATAAATACTGTTTGTGTAACCGTCAAAATTGCAATTATCATCGTATCCGGCACCGTTTCCAGCGGCAAAAACAAATATGGAACCTTTGCCGCCCCGACCATTCTGGATACCGTTAACCATAGCCCGTTTAATTAGAATCCCGGGTGCCTCCATCGTGGCGCCATCGTCCGGGGGTCCCCAAGAGCATGAATAGATATCATTGCGCTGAAATCCGTAGTTAATGGCAGCAGCCTCATCCACATCGTCAATGGGTGCCGACAAAATCCGAATTCCCGCAATCTGACTGTCATATGCAACCCCCACTCCACAAACATCATTCCTAGCTGCCCCAATCTCACCAGCGCATCTGGTGCCATGCCTATCATCACTGAGTCGTGGTTTAGGCTCCGGGACCATGTCGTTAAAATCGTAGGAGCCCTCGGCAAAGTAGTTTGGTTTGAGGTCATTGCTGTACATATCTAGACCATCATCGATTATAGCAGTAATAACGCCCTTCCCTGTAATCCCTTCTAACCAAACGTCGGAAACATTGAGATCATGGCCAACTTGTACGGTATTGTAAAGATGCCACTGGCCGCCGAAGATGGGGTCCGCAATCCCAAGTGATGAGGCAACTTGCTTCTTAGCTTGGACAGCGACGGGGTCCTCCTCTTTCCTAGGCGCCCTCGAGACGATGTCCACTGGAGGAGCCCTCTTTACTAGTCGCTTCTTAGGGGCTAATTTTTGGGACCAAAGTATACCATGCAAATTCCTATCCTTCTCGTCCAATGTTTTGTCGTGTTCGTCTCCGGCACGAGGTGATTTCCTTCTACCCCGTACATGTTCCAGCAGTGCATCTAGGTCTGCACTGTTTTCCTTCGGTATGGAGAAAGTGTGGTGCTGGTTGAGTTCCCCCACTTGCCCCTCGTGGCGTGCACCGAGCTGTCGAGCGATTTCATCTGGGGAGGCGGATTCGTCGAGATGAAGAGCGAAGAAGTCGCGCGTCTCATAGGAGCGGCGAGGATGGAGGGATGCCGTCGCGGCACAAAGAAGGCCAAAGGCTACCGTTGCACTTTCCGATAGACGCATAATGGGAGGGACCGCAAATCGAAATACCCGCCTATCAGTACTAGGGCGAGATGAGGACAGATACGATAGTTGCCATCAATAAGAACAGTACCAGACTTCTCAATGAATGGCTCGTGGTTGGATGAACAGCTTTGGGGAGGAAGAGTCTAATAAGTAAGTACAAGAAGCACAGCAATATAAACAGATATGGGATGTAAGGAGTGGGTGTTTATGCGATGAGCACTGCTCGAGGGTTGTTGCGGAGGTGGAGTTCGAGAAGGTGTTCACTTCGGAGAAACAGCGGAACCATGTGCCTCAGGCAACGAGTTTTAATGGCTTTTAGCTTCACACGATTCTCCACCGACTGATAATTTTAGTACTTCAAGTCTTCAGATAGCATTCAATGGGGGCTTGAATTTTTTTTTTTTTTTTTTTTTTTTAATTGAATAGATGCTCTAGATAATTATGGTTACCTTGTCTCAAGTTCTTCGACTTGTAATTTCTCCCTTTTCTTACGATCCCTCACCTACTGTATATGACTCTCCTCTCCGATCATCAATCAGGGTGAATTTAAACTCCTTACTGCACCCCCTCAGCCTTACCGAAGAGGTGAGAAATAAGTAGATAATAAAAGGAGCGGGGGAAGGTTATTCAACCTTGGTTGACTTTCTTTCTTTCCTTCTTGCTTTCTTTAATGAAAACATATATAAAATTCCAGAATCTCTATTGTGAAAACAGAACATGTACACCGGTAATTTTCAAAAAGACAGCACCGCCTCGGGCCCTGGGCAGGTATTGCAACAGGGTATGATATAATTAATCTATGTACAGTCCATCTTCAAATACAAGATTATTCATTGCCCCAGCTGACAGGCAATTCGATAGAAAACGTGTCTCAAGATCAATAATGCGATTATCTTCCTTGAACAGGAAAAAGGGAATACCTAATTGGTGGGTTCCGAGGGAGTCACTGTTAGTGGATGCGCGTCCAGTCAGTGAGCTGCAACATGGATGGATTATCTACTTACAGTACTTGTACTACTATCTATACACATACACTGAATACTCTCTTTTCTTCGCCTTCTCTTTTTCTTCAGGACCCCCCTTCATACCTTAACCTCTCCAAATTTCCTTGGACAGCCACTTGATTTTCTATGAAAAGGAGAAGGGAAATGAGAACGATCCGTGCCTGGCGGGATCTTGTTAACTTTGATGCAGATTGACTTAATTGACGAGTCAGCCCCGCATGAAAGATGCGTTGCCAGCCACCGACTTAATCTCATTAGCTAGCACAATGAGATTAATTCGTCACTCCATTTTAATCCTGTTGGACACGGCGCCTCTTGATTTTCTGTCATCTCATTTTGAGAATATTTTTTACCCTCGATCTCTTTCTCTTCCTGTCAAATTCGCGGTATTCAGTTACCCGACATTTCACTTATACTGTACATTGTTCCAATCTATATACACAGCTTGTATACTGCGCAACTCTCAGCGCCGTGAATTGGGCCACAACTCGTTACTGCAGCCTCATCAAAATGTACTAACACCAACTGGCTTTATCTAGATCTGTCACCTCTTATCGTTACAAGCTTGGATACAAATTGATCCTTTCAGCGACCTTGATTAGTGTCGCGACCCTTCCCTAATTTCGCCGCGTCGCGCTTTTCCCCAAGGGATCAAATACAGCCTTCTAGGTGGTGTCGCATAGACACTCGAAGCTTGAAGCATGGCTACAACAACCTCCCAGAGGCCTACTAATGGAGACTCAGTGCCTCCCCAACCCATATCTTCCAATGGTGTGCTACGCGCACCATCACACGGACGGCAGCAGCCTTACAGCATGAAACCTACCGCAATGAATTACGAAAACGACAGTGATCAGACTTACGGAACCCTCGATATCCCACGCACTCGATCAGTTTCCTACCGGAATAACCCGACTGTAGTTCGTGGTCATCAAGCTTCTCGCTCGTTCTCTGCAAGGACCAAGGACTTGTCCCACGAAGGGCATCCGAGCTGGATGGATAAACCACTCCCACCAGAGCCATACGCCTCAGTTGATGAATTCGCTACCTCACGAGGCAGTAGGGGCGGTTCCAGGCATTCAATCTCGAGTTCAGTAAAGCGAGATGATTCTCATGTACCGCCATCGCCTTCACATAGTCAGCCATCGCCATTGAGTCGCTCTAACACCGTACGCTCTACAGCCGAGCAACGGCATGATTGGGCGGCAGATCGGTCGCCTCTTCAAAAGCTGGAGGTGGCCCTGGGCGGGATTAGCAAAGAGGAGAAACGAGCACGGGCTTTAGAAGCTGAGATGAAATTGAAAGAACGGATGGCGCGTCAACAAAGTGAAAGCGACGGTCGCGCGCCTGCTCCTGTACAGTCTCATCAAGGAACTGTGCCACGAGACACTTCGAGCCCATTAACCGAGGTCTCTGAACGGACAGAGCATGAGCAGCCAGCTATATCACACCAACGTCCGACTCAAGTTCCTTCGGACAGGGCGATTCTCACTCGCGCTCGAGCTCCCTCGGCACAACATCCTAAACCATTGCCTGCCAAAGTGCCGCAACAGGCAAGGGGTCATCCCCCGACTATGGGCGCTGTCAGGACAGGTAGTGCTCCCAGGCGATCCGTGTCTGTGAGCCATCAAGCAGGAAGTGATCGTATGGGCTCGCAGCCAATGAACCCGGCCATGCCGCGAGATCATAGTGCCCCTTTCACTACCGCTACTTCCCAGACCCGCCAGCCTCCCGGCCGTCCTCGAATGACTGGGCAAGGCCAACATAATACCGAACCAGCGAGACAAGCGCCGTATCTGAGTCCTGCGGCATCACAACCCAGACCAGGGCCACAAGCTGTTAGAAGGGAAGAACTACCCGCGGCGGCCATTGCCCCCCAGCAAGCGGACCTGAGTGCTCACTCTGCTAAAACTGGGTTTACCCCTAGCGCTGCACCTGCAAACTCCGACTCAAGTCGCGAGCTAGGTGGAAATGCTACAGTGACTTCTCAAAGCCTCGAGAGTGAGCCCACGTCGCACCCTAAGCCCAAACGACAGACTGTCTCGTTCAACGTCCCGCCACCAACGCCTCCACCTTTGTCTGAGTGGAGAACAGCACCGGTGGCAAGGCTGGGTGCTTCCGACTTTGACTATCAGAATTTCGACATGGATAGAAGTAAGGCATGGTGGGAAGGCGGTGGAACTAACCGTAGAAAGAGTCGGGCTTTGCCAATTAACTACCAGAAGACCGCAAACCCAAAGCCAATGTGTAGGTCCTGTCCCTTGATTCGCTATCCGTAAATTGCGGATTTCTGTGAGTGATACTGAACGTGCCATAGTGAATAAGCGCTTTCAGCCACAGCTATTTCTGAAATGCGGCCCTTTGCTTCGTTACGGAGGGCTGAAGCGGGTACGAATCGATGGGCCGAATGGACCGTTCGACAAGGAAACGTGGAGAGGGAGTGTGTTGATTGTGACAAGGGATTCGCTTTCCTCGTATGATCCACCGCCTACCCTAAGGTTATTTCCTCAACCAATGGATCTCCTTCCTCCTCCTCCAACCGAAGTGAATGGAGAGGATGCTAAGTTGGCTCCTGAATATATTGACCCGACAGCTGGACTCATGAAATTTGGACGAGATGGCCGACCCCTCTATGTTAAACCGGTGGATCATACAGAAGAGGAGGTGGATCTCTCATTCATTGAGAACGATGACGGCATTTATGAGCAGTCCCCCAGCATCATTGACTACAGCAACGAGGGTGTTAAACAACCGATCCCAGCTAACAGAGTACATTCGATGGACGGAGAAACCGCTGGGTTCTACAAAGAAATTGCAGGTGCCCGCCTCTATGCCGACCCAGGAAGAGATGTTACTTTCTGGAGATTCAATTTGGAGATCGAATTAGGACAAACGCAGCAGCGAATCGCGTATCGCCTCAATCAGGGACCAGCTTTGGGATTCTGGGTGCCAGCAAGAGGACAATCGATGAATATAATGTATCACACGTGCAATGGCTTTAGTCCAGGTGTCGACTCTAACAAACTGTGTGGGCCAGACCCTTTATGGCGAGACGTGCTCAATGAGCACCAGACTCGCCCATTCCATCTCATGATTGGTGGAGGGGACCAGATATTCAATGACAAGATCACAGCGGAGTCACCCTATTTCCAAGAATGGGTCAAGATAAAGGATGTCCATGAGAAGTATGACGCGCCACTCCACATGGAATTCAAAGCAGAATTAGAAAACGCCTTCCTTGAACACTATTCACGATGGTTTTCACAAGGGCTTTACTCCTTAGCGAACTCACAGATACCCATGGTCAACATCTGGAATGATCATGAGATCCTCGAAGGCTTCGGTTCTTACCCGCATGAGTTCATGAGCACGCCTGTAATCTCAGGGCTGGGAAACATCGCATTCAAATACTATCTGTTATTCCAGCACCACAGCGTCCCGGAAGAGACTGACGCAGATGAACCTAGCTGGATGCTTGGCGCTTACCCAGGACCGTATATCAACCAACGAAGCCGACATTTGTTCATGTCTCTGGGCGGTGGCGTGGCTTTACTTGGACTGGACTGCCGGACTGAACGGATGGTGAGATTGTGGAATCCGTGTGGTAGTATAAAGACTATGCTAACATGATATCCTAGAATGATGAGATCCTTAGCGAACAGACATGTGATATAATCTGGGACCGATGTCATAGTGAAATTGTTCGGGGAGAGACAAAGCACTTGTTAGTGTTGCTGAGCATTCCAATTGCGTATCCTAGGGTGGTGCGTTTTTAAACGCTGACTACAATACCTATGGTCCTGTTGTTTCTAACTTTCTTACAGGCGATGGTGAAGAATATCTTAAACAGCCGGAAGTCGCTCGGGAAGGCGGGCCTATTTGGTGGTTTTGTGAATAAGAGCGGCAGCAAGGTCGAGATCTTCGATGACCACTGGACAGCTAAACACCATAAGTCCGAGCGCAAGTACTTGATCGAAGATCTCCAGGACTTAGCAGCAGACAAATCCGTCCGTATAACCATTTTGAGGTAAGCAACCATACTCTGCCGTCTCGTGGGACCGGTTTAATGATTATATTTTTATAGTGGCGATGTGCATTTGGCCGCAATTGGCGAATTCTACTCAAATCCGAGATTAAACCTGCCCAAAGACAAAGACTATCGTTACATGCCGAACGTTATCTCCTCAGCGATCGCAGACATGCCAGAGACGGTGATGGTCTCGGACACGCTCAACAAACGCAATCATATCCATCATCTGGACACCAATACCGACGAAGATATGATCCCTATATTCATGAACGATGTGAATAATAAGCCACGGAATAACAAGCGGTTGCTACCACGCCGAGCTTGGTGCTCCATCCGTGCATATCAACCGGGTTAGTGCAAACCTCATTGACTAGTTGGCTCCTCAGTTGTACATACATTGCTAACGACACATAGGTTTTACCCCACAAGGAACACCGGGGCCTGAATCGCCGCCGCTGCCAGTGGAGGAACCCCGACCAGGCAAGTTGCAAAGGACATTGTCCTTAACGCGCGGGGACAGACCCCAGAGTAGCGGTGGTCTTCTGCGTCGACTTTCGTTGCGTGGACGACCACCGACCAAGGACTTTAATCTTGGAGGAAACCCGGCTGGGCGGCGCATGAGTATGGATGGTCCATTTCCGCCCGCGGAGACAGGCGATAGCTACTTTCCACCACCACCTTCGGAATTCCGCCCGGGACCTTTCCTTCGGCGACCTACGAATCTGAGCCGGAAGGCATCTAAAAAGGCCGCAAAGCAGGCAGACGATGGTGTTGGCGCCTATGTCAATTTAGAAGGGGGGTTGGCCGTTACCTTGAATTTGGAGTTGAACCCGAAAGATCCATCGGGTATTACGATCCCATACAAGTTACTCGTACCGATGTTGCGGTATGAAGGGAATGAGTACGACCCTCCCCCGGAACCAGTGACCAAAGGCTGGAAGCGGTGGCTGAGTGTACGGAAGAAGAAGCGGGAAAAGCAGCATGTGGAGGACACCGACGTAGAAGATGGATTTAGCGATGAGGGGGAGGTGGATGAGTATGATCGCTACGAGAACGATGCGCCTCCCGAGACACTAGTCCCGGTAGCTAGTCCAGGTGGACCAGAGCATGGTGGTGTTGCCGAAACGTCGAGGCGAAAGAAGTGGTTTGGCCGAGGAGCTACTTGATCGGATCTAATGGGATCTTGATCTGATATGATTGTGATGATTGATGATGGTGATGGTGATGATGATGATGATGATGATGACTGACCATGACGATTATGAATGTAAGATCTACGTACTTGATAGTATTATTATATTATTTCTAAGCGTGTATAAAGTGGTATCTCTTCTGATATTTTGTTTTTGTTATTTCCCTGTGATAAGTCGGTCTATAATACTTACCTGTATACTCACTAAATACTAAGTACTAGGATAGGGAAAGGCCGGTGATTGATCCGAGATAAAGCGGTGATCGATAATCAGTCACGGTCTCGGCCCGTGACTGCTTTCTAAGCGCCACCCCACGTGATACGGTCTCGCCGACGCGAAATGCGTAATAATTTTCTTTCTTGTGAATTCGCAAGTTCTTTCTGTCCCATTCTTTGTCTGTTATTCATCGTCTCCACTCCCCGTCTTTGCAGTGAGTTAAGACTAGTTCCTTAGTCAAAATATCCCCTTGGCTGCGAACGTTTAGCTAATCTTGGGCCTTCCAGCCCTTTTTTCGTCAGTCCGTCCCCACCACCCGGCAATTAAAGCCCCTCCTCGCCGTTTGCCCTGAACGCCCATAATTAAACCCGCCGCTCTCCCTACCCGACTTTCTTTCTCCCCTTTCTTCCCCCAACACCGTCAAGCTGTTTTCCTTCGCTTTTCGACGACTTCCCTTTCCCTCTCTTCGCTCATCCGTCGGATTGACGGCCGCTGCTGCATCGTCTTTGCACCAGAAATCTTCCCCGTCTGCTTCAATCCTATCAAATAATCTCTCGACGCCACTGCGCGTCAGTCAAAGTTCAGCATCCAGGATGGTGCACACCAAGGTAGTTAGTGAGTACCCCTTATTCCTTTGTCTACCGTGTCGCCGGGATTAGTTGAGGATATTAACCGATTCCCGGTGTAGTCATTGGCTCCGGCCCCGCTGCACACACCGCCGCAATCTATCTCTCGCGTGCGGAGCTCAAGCCTGTCCTCTATGAAGGCATGCTCGCTAATGGCACCGCTGCTGGTGGCCAGCTCACCACTACCACCGACATTGAGAACTTCCCCGGCTTCCCTGATGGTATCGGTGGTGCGGAGCTCATGGAGAATATGCGCAAGCAGTCCGTTCGGTTCGGAACTGAGGTGATCACTGAGACTATCTCGAGAGTGGATTTCTCACAAAGGCCGTTCAAGCTGTGGACAGAGTGGAACGACGGTCCCGACAACGAGCCCGCTCACACTGCCGATGCCGTCATCATCGCCACAGGTGCCAATGCCCGCCGTCTCGATTTGCCCGGTGAGCAGAAATATTGGCAAAACGGAATCAGTGCCTGTGCCGTCTGTGATGGTGCCGTGCCGATCTTCCGCAACAAGCCCCTCTATGTGATCGGTGGTGGTGATTCGGCTGCCGAAGAGGCCATGTTCCTGGCGAAGTATGGCAGCAGTGTCACTGTTCTAGTCCGTCGTGACAAGCTCCGTGCCAGCAAGGCCATGGCCAGCCGTCTCCTGGCCCACCCGAAGGTGACCGTCCGCTTCAACACCGTTGCTGTCGAGGTTCTGGGTGAGGAAAAGCCAATGGGCTTGATGACCAACCTGAGAGTCAAGGACACCGTCACCGGCAAGGAAGAGACTGTTGAGGCTAACGGTCTTTTCTACGCTGTTGGTCACGACCCCGCCAACGGCTTGGTCAAGGGCCAGATTGACCTCGATGAGGACGGATACATCATCACCAAGCCTGGCACCAGCCTCACGAGCCTGGAGGGTGTGTTTGCTTGCGGTGACGTCCAGGACAAGCGCTACCGCCAGGCCATCACCAGTGCCGGTACGGCATCCCTTATCATTCCCCAATCAAGTGCAAGATTTACATACTAACAACCATGAACAGGTTCCGGCTGCATTGCTGCTCTCGAGGCAGAGAAGTTCATCTCCGAGTCCGAGTCCCCTGAGGAAGCTCCCGTCAACGAGACCAAGCAAGACACCCAGGGTACCGGCGCGGAGTACAAGTCCAACCCTCTCCTCTAAACGTCTCTTCGTTCCGCCATACCTCATCCATAGAATCTTCTTCATCACCTTTGCTTCAAACATAGATCTGCCTACACCGGCTGACTATAATGTTTCATGTCCTACGGATATATCCCATTTCCCCCTATCTTGATGGTTGCTTATATTAGACTTCAGCGTTTTGGTCATTTTGCTCGGTTCGTGATGGGAAGTTCAATACACTTTCTGGTTCCTTCGATGATACTCATGGCGCGCATGTTTCATGGGTCGCTGACTGATAAATTTCAATACACATAGAGTAGAATTATAGAGTAATTCTCGAGGATCATTCATTTGACTCTGGTTTCTGTGCTAGTACGGCAATTGATCGTTAAAAGCTTCTATCTCTAATAATGCATCAACTCTTATGCGAATTCATGATAGAAGCAAAACTGTCCACACAGAGTGCACCAACTATTCATGTATTGGAGTTATGCATCGAGTCGTTCACAACTATCCCAGGACCAATAGGCGTAGCAGTTGTTGCTCCATGGCCCCGATCGCTTGTAGACAGCCCCAGTGAAGGAAAAGACGAGGAATCAGAAGCAGAAGCAGAAGCAGAAGCAACTCTCACACCAGTCGACATACCAGGTGTCAGCGTTATCATCGCAGAATCCAAACCCCAGCTTTCAAACGGATGAGCCGCACACCATTTCACCTTCAACGCCTCCGCCTTCTTCTCCCACTCGGCCATTTGCTGCTTCCACCGACTGCACAATTCGGCGTTGGTCTGTCGATTGACCTCTGACTGCTCGATATACGGGCGTTTTTCCTCCTCGCTGGCCTCCCGCCACATCTGCCCGAGCGCCTGCTGGACCTCGTGGTGAGCAGCCCGGACGTTGAGGTCATTCCTTAGGGCTTGGTAAGTTTCGTCGCATTGTGCGCGGCACATGCTCCGGTGGTCTTTCTGGTAGAGGAGGAAGGGGTTTATGCCTACTCTTGTGGGACGGGGCAATGGAGGTCCTATTTCGGATTGGATGAAGACCCACATTGCTTGTTCGTAGGCTTGTTGACGGGGTGATGTGGTTGGTTTCGCTGGATTGGGGACGGATGGTGCTGCAGGTGTGTGTGGTTCCTTTCGCTTTTGCCCTGCTGCTGTTGCTGCCGGGATGACGGGCTCTGATTTCCCCTTCCGTGGTACGAGGGGATTTGGTAGCTCTATGGGGCCTAGGATGGATTCGATCACCTCTGAGGCTGCTCGCAGTCCGGATATATATGCGCCATGGACGGTGGCTGGGTGAGTGCCACATGTTGCTTCTCCTGCAAAATGTAGGTTGCCAATTGGCTTAGCCATCAGGTCGTAATCGCCTGGACGTGCCTGTGCCGCCACGTAGGAGTATGTGCCCCTAGTGAACTTGTCCGACTTCCATCGGGTAACTATGGTCTCAAGGGGATCGGGAACGGCTGTGTCTTTGAAAACGTTGCGGAGCTGGCTAGTCACCTCAGCGATTATTTCATGGTCGGGTGTGCTTTCTGCTTGAAGAGCGGAATCTCCAGCCATGAGACCAATCAGGACGGGGAGTCCGGTGGTTTTCAGACAATTCCAGAAAAGATAGAATCTACCCCGGTTAGCAGCGTAATCATCTTGGTTTGTGCTATCTTGGTTTGGCGGTTCCTGCAGAAGCCCAAACATATCCCGGTCAGTGTCCCAGAAGGGCTGGTCAAACACCAGAATCACCTTATTCAGCACTCCGAAGCCGAGGCGATCGATGGCCCCGCGTTTCCATTCGGGAAGCGGAGGTTCAAACTGTACAGATTCATGCTTCAAAACGCCCAAGGAGCCGGTGAAGATCACCTTGTCTGCTGCAAATGTCTCGCCATCTTCGCAGTGGATAACTGCGAACTGCCTTCCTGAATCGGTAGGGTCGTATGATATCTTAGACACAATCTTGTTCGTTCGAACGTCCAGTTTCGTGGGTAATGAGAACAGTCCGTACGGCACTTGCTGATATCCACCTACTACCTGCGCATGTTCGCCTTCAAATTCATTTCCTATATCTTGGTCCCACCCAGAGAGGCTAAGATTACGGACGTTTGTCGCATTCGCATATTCCAAATTGGCAAAGTGCCAGTTGATCAACCGCATATCTTTCGGAGTCAGCGGGAGCATCCGCTGGTATTGCCGAATGCCATCGTCTAGCACAGCACCTAGTGTTTGCGAGGACGATGCTTTAGCGACAGGATCCAGGTTTAAAGTGTCATTCATCGAGACGCCGTTGTTTAACCTCCAGCCGTTCGTCTGACACATGAAAGCTGCTGGATGCTCCTCTGGGCGTGTACTATCTGCGCCCGGAACACCAGGAGCCGTAATATCTGCAGTTTTATGACCTACGCCTCGGCGGACACGCTTTGTAGGAAGCAATAAGCCGATGGTACCGGAAGCCCTTGCTTCTTCGTATTGTCTTACTGTAACACCATCGCTTGTTGACAGGTCGCGACCGGAGTCAATCAATGACCGATCGCCTTCCGCAGAAGGAACGACAGTGGGTTTAAGTCGATAAAACCCGGAACGCTCAAGGACATCATCATATAGCCTCTCATCCATTGCATCCTGCATTTCTTCCACCGGTGAACCGTCTATGTCATAGATCGTCGAGACGTCGCGTAATAAATGATATGGAAGGGCCAACTGGCTCCGAATAATTGGATCTAACGGATTACCATGGTCGAAGCCAACAACTATGTGCGCACCCATCTCGGCCTTAGGGACTAGTCCGGAGCCTAATTTAGACGACTGAAGGCTTCGCAAAGGGTGCGAGTATATACGACCTCCGATTCTGCGCCTTCCTTCTAATAAGATGACCCTAGGGGATGTAGACGCGTCGCGATAATGACGGAATAGACCCTCCAAGTGCCGTGCGCAACCTAATCCTGCCATCCCCGCTCCAATCACGACTATCACGGGTCCGTGCTTGCGCCGGCCTACCTTTGGGGTCACGAAGCGCATCGGTATCTCGACACAGCCAAAGTTGATATATCCATTTCGCACCAGCCATTCATACGCAAAAGAGGCCAGGTTCATCCAACGGTAGTCCTTCGCACACCCAAGGGCTTCCTCCTTGGTAACGCTTACCATGGGATTTCGTGTCCAGAGTCGAAGTATACCATTTCGTATGTTCAAGTATACCGTAACGTGCAGATGACACAGGTGGTCCTGGAGCGCTTCCTGCTCTTTGACGTGTAGCGCGTACGGATTGAGTCTGGACGCATAAGCTGCCGCAACACATTGCTGAGCGTAAACGCCAGTTGGGAGTCCTAAAGGTATCGATGATCTTGGGCGATATTTTGCGAATCCATTCCCACTATCTGCGCTTTTAGTGTCTGTAGCGGAAGAAGATGCAGAGAGTGTGTTATTCATAGTTAACGGAAACGTTGATTTGCTTTGACTTGATTGAGGCGTGAACGAAGCAGTCGTGACTGAACTGTTCGAACTACCATAGACCGCATTAGCAGAAGCATCCAGAGACACGTCTGTACTTTGTGAACTAGAGTCAGCGCCCTCCAAAGCCGATCTATCTTCCCGAAAGTCTGCATTCGAATTTCCATTTGGGAGAGAATACAATTTTGAGACATTGATTTGATTACGGTCGTTATTGAAATGCGAGCCATAAACCTTCTTTATGGTAGCGTTCAGCTGTAGACCGGACTTCGGCAGGGCCTGGTTTGATGGCAGCAATGTGACATGTCTCCTACCATTGAATCCGAAGTTCGTTGGGATATATTGGTCTAAATGAGTGGTGGGCTCATAAAGATGGCCATTTAGGCCCTGCGTTGTCAAGGAAGCCGCGGCTTCCATACTGCTGGCAAGGGGCGTCACTTCCTCGCTGGGGTGCGTTGTAGCAACAAGGTCGACTTTTGGCCAATCCAGTAAAGGTAATTAAAATATACTGAGCCTGTTGGTACACGCAACACTTCCATCACTTGGGAATATAAAAGTCTCAAATCTCAACTTTTCATCCCATTGTGGGTCCACTCATCGGGAGCCGTTGGTAGTAGGAAGGAAAGAAGCTTGATGGGGATGTACGATGTCCTTGAGAAATGTTAGAATCGGCTACATAGTTATATAAGGACTTTTAAAGGTACGAGGATAAAACATATCATGGAGAGTAGAGATATATTGACTTACCTGAGATGTAGTTCGAGGGGTTATTGGGGGCAAGGAAGATACTTAGTGTCCGACCCCATCACTTTCCTTTCACATTTGGTGTAACCCTAGAGGACATAGCCCTGGACTAGGTAGTAGAGCGACTGTCAATTAGGGCCAACTGGAAATCAACTCAAGAACATGAGGGCCAGGAAAAAGGGTGAAGGGCAAGGAGATGTGAGACCTGAACTCTTTTTTGAGGCCATCGCTGGCCATTTGGTACTGCGGACAAGACCCCATGCGTATTTCTCAGTCCGAACCCAATGAATGCCACATTCTGCAGGCTCGTTTCCTGTTCCCTCCCTCAGTCTCTCATACTAACTCATTCGCTCTCCCTTGTTATAATATTATGCTTGACAGCATTATGACTGACAACACAGCTGCTTCCCGGGAAATATCCTCCGTAACCCTGTGAACTCATGCAAGGATTCCCTCCTGGCATGCACGCTGAATGTCCCGACTTGCAGTCTTCCCGCCGCAACGGCAGCGAAAGTGCATGATTCCCCGAAGCGCAACGCCTCCAGTATTACGCCTAGTTCTCTATATATTAGCGATACGGCGGCGTGACAATTATGGATATCTAGCTCTTCTACGCCGAGTCATACATACTCCGTATACCTACCTTTTTTGTTTGCTTTTTTTATTTTTTGGATATTTAAGGGGTCTGGCTTCTCCTACTGGCTCCTACACGGTCAAGATTTGTTTTCAACCTGATAAATTTACAGAGGGGGGATGGGGATATAGTGTTGAAAGATCAAGAACGCCAAACGCCCATAAATCTTTCAGTATCGCACAAATGATCCACACAACCGGCAGGAAATTTGTAGGACATGAATCGTGGCAGTTATCTCTATCCCAAGTAGTGTATCGAATGCAAATGCAGCTCCGAGATTCAGCTCTTCCGCAGGTGTGTGTGCAGGCCGTATATTTCCCCCTCTCCACCGTCTCCATCCTTGAAGATGTCGGAATCATTATCGGTAAATTCATCCCGATATGGGCCCCGGGGTAGACGTTTGGGCGAGCGCTCACCGCCGCTCTCATCGTCGATGGCCAGGTCGACGTTATCGTCATCAAAATCATGGAACCCAAGACGCTCCTCCTCGTCACGAGCGAGAGTCGTGGCGGCCGCGTTGACATCGGGGTCCTCGGAAAAGGCCTGATGAGGGCGATGGCCAGCATGGTCTTCCTGCAGAGATTGACGTATATCGGCCCTTTCTTGGGCTTCTAACTCTTTAGCTCGCGCCATGGTCCTAACCACAAGATATCAGCTTCCGAATGTAGCCAGGTTAAATCCCTAGTGAGCCCCACCTTCTATATATGTACCAACCGGTGAAAATTCCGATCGCCACGGTGATGATGATGCTGCAGATATTCACAGCTTTGGAGCCTGCGCTCATCTCCTCTCCCTTCTCGGAGAGTAAACGGATCCGGCTGCCAACAAAAGCCGGAACAAGAAGTTTAGGTGTAACAATTGCCGTTGCGAGTCCATACGTCAGTGGTTGAACAGTCGGGAAAGTTGAAACAGCACCATTGCATACGGAGTATGGCAAAGGACAAAGACGGATCATGCACAGTAGCTTCAGCCCATCATACTTTAGCGTTAAAGCAAGAGCTGCAAATCGTTTATCCCGTTCCATCATTCGGTTGACGAACTTAGACAGGACAGTGCGGGAGACAATGAAAGAGCAGGTAGATCCAAGCACAGTCGCAGTGGCATAGAGGAGCCATCTATCAAGGCGTCAGTTGGCTAGTAAATGACGGGTTAATAACGACAATCTTACCCTTTCCATACACCAAAGATGTAGCCGGACATGGTACCAAAGGTAGACCACCCCACCAAGGGTGGAAAGGAGACAAAGAATACACATAGCCAAAGGACAAAGTATGCCCCCGTTGACTGCTCCCATCTCTCAGCCACCGGGCCCAGCCATATGAATACCTTGCTCGTGAAAACCAGAAATCCAATTCCTAGGAGGTTGGCAAGTAAAGCAGCTGCTACCGCACCTACTTTTTGCCAAAAGTTCATTCTCCGCCATATAGCCTCGATTTGTCGTGATGTTTTAGACACCCGGCGGGTGACCTGCTTCCAGACAGTCGTGGGTTCAGAGGGGGTGGTGGAATTGCTCCTGCTAGATGCCAAATGACTCCATGGTGGGTAGTGCTCGTCTGCTGGTGACAGTGATTCTGTAGGCGAGGTCGGGAGGGAAAGAGCTCGGGCGGTGGATGTGTAGTCTGCAGGCATCTTTAAGTAATATATAAAGAGCAGTACTAGTATGACAGGTGTTCAAAAAGCTGGAGAGACTGTGACTGGCGAACCAATGGAGTTCAACGATTGTACACGGAAGCGTGACGGGGTCACACCAGCGATTCTTTATTGGTGATAGTGGACTTGGGAGTTTGGTTCCCGATCGATCGTCAAAATTCCTGACTGTTGATCAATTAGCGAGGGCGTTCATATGCCCTCGGCGTAGGCTGATACATGGGATGCTGAAAAGGGATCGGAGTTACGGCTGGAAGGCATTTCTGAATTGTTTTTTGGGGGAGGGGAAAGGAAGAACAACTTACCAGGTGAAAGTTAAGCAGCCATGATGAACCTTCAGTTACAACCAAAGGTAGATAAGTGCATATGTTGGTAGGTGAAACGTGGCATAGAACCCCCTATATCTCGACAATGACAGTTTATCTGCCTAAGAGTGAAACGACGGGGGGGTGTTTGAAGGCAGTGCTTACTAGTAGTGGTTTTGTTCATGGTAGCGGCTGACTGTACCGTATGAAGTCACTCCATTACTGAATTACCCTCCGATACGGTAATTCCGGACCTGTTTCCTTCCGCCCTACCAGATTGATAGTATATGTACGTATCGGCAGATCGACCAGTGATCCCTTGGAGGGAGTTATCGCCCGTGCCAAGATCCTGAGTTGCCCTCAAGTCTAGATCACAGCATGTCAACTGGTGTTCTTTTCCCCCCACATTCATACTCAATGGTTTTCTTTGGGACGGAAAGGATGACTAAAAAGGTTAAAAGGCTACATCTAATTTAGCATAGATATAAAACTGTATGTATTGAGCGATCAGCTAGACACAATAGGAACAATTCAATAGAAGAAAAAGGGGCGGGAGCTAGTATGTTCATGAATAATATATGCTCAATATCAAGTTCTCAAACTTTCACATACTCTCTTTTTCTTCCCCCCATAAATATAAGGATATAATAATAACGCCTGTTTCAATCGTATTTACAGAGTAGTAGCGCTTCACTTAATCGGGTGGGAGGATCAAGGGAGACGAATTGGTGGCGCAGCTTCAGGTTGGAGAACAAATAAAATAACTAAGGGCGATAGGCTGATTGTGTTCAAGCTCTCGATAAATTCCCCCCATTGACCTTGGCTTGGTCTAAGTAGTACTAAAACTAACCTGTCCCGTAACCGTCCCCGACTTCCTACTTTAGTTTACACCCTACTCCCTCATCTTCCCCCCTCTTTCACTCCCTAGTCTTTTCATCGCATGTTTTTCTTCTTCTTCTTTCTCCTGCCCTTTCCTCAGTTGAATTGCTTCTCTGTTTCTTGAATGTTCTCCTTTCTTCTTTTCTGATCGATCGTGCCCTAGACAGCGATGCGATCACCCGTGGTCTTCACCCTGCTAACATCTCTCTCATTTGACGTCTCGTATCATCCATGATTATATACTAGTTTTCCTCTTTTTTGCAGGGAACGATGATGTTTGAATGCTAAAACTTCCTTTCCAGCCGGCGGTGTTGTTGCACAATCTCATTCTTGTCGTATAATCAACTTGCTGTCTTACCCCTCATTTCTCTCCGCCCCCTTTACACCACATATCTCACCCTCTTATCAACACCCCTCAGCTGCATGACCACCTCCACCCATCATGATATCAGAAGAGCTTCTTGAGGACTGTCTCCAGGGCCTTCAGGGCCAAGAATTTGACGAGGAGGAACAGGCGGAGAAAGCTGAAGACTTCCTGCGCGAGAAGACCTCCTTGTCGGGGGCATCCTTAGAGAATGCCGTGCTAGATGTCCTTTGGAGACATCGAAATCGCACTCTTCCAGGATCCTCCCCTCCGCCTCCTCGACATACAGTCATTCGCCGCTCATCACCCGCCCCCTGGCAGATGGCCCGTTCGTCAACCCCGTTGTCACCCCATTCGAATCTTGGAACCAGTCCGGGGAGCACCTCTTGGCTTCCGAACTCGCGAGGCGGCTTTTCGCGACCGCCATTGTCCTCGACTGTATCGCCATTTACTTCCCCGCGCCCGTCTCCCCGACTCGCTCTTGCTCAACCGATTCCTCACTCCCCTAATCTAAACGCATACGAATTCTCCGACCAGAGCCAAGTGTCTGATTTCTACGGGGACTTTGGTAGCGACAGCAATGTGGACTGGCTAGTAGCAGACGATGCAAATAGTACTACCTCTTCTGTGGGAACATACAGCCTCGCAGCTGGACTCAGCGCTACGGCCCCTGAGTTTGTTCCGGATATGAGTCCTCATGATATCTTGCGCACCGTGCTCGGGGATAAGAGGACGAACGAAGAAATAGAGACTGCGTTGGAAGCAAATAGTTACGATTTAGGCGCTACCATTGCGTCGCTATCTCAAGGTCACGATGCGGATGCGATTGTGCATCATACCGACGACGGTCGCGTGGTTGTCGGAAAATCGATGGCAATGGAACAAGCAAAACCTGGTAGTAGTTCTCCAGGGCAAATCCGTAGCCCGGTGGTCTGCAAGTATTGGCTATCTACAGGCCAATGCCTTCGCGCCGACTGCCGGTTTAGCCACGACCTAACCAATCATCTTTGCAAGTGAGTCTGACGGAAGTTTTATGAAGATGTGTTCCAATGGATAGTAGTACTGACGGCCTTATCCTCATTTTTATAGGTACTGGGTCATGGGAAATTGTCTTGCAGGTGACGGGTGCCCTTTTTCGCACGACCCTTCCGCGCTCGTCGCGAATCTCAGCATGACAGATGGTGGTCACCAAAGCTCGACTGGTCCGCAATTCCACGTAGATAGTGCCTCGGAGGCATTCCCTCCTTTGCAATCCACTCTAGGAGTCGGCGACCAATGGGCCAGCCAATACCTTGGCAAATATCCAGCTCATTTATCCGGTCTCATGGGAGGCAAGGGCGTCCCACAGGCGATGCAACTTGTCACGGGCAAGCGAAATGGAAGTTCAACACACGGGTCTCGCTCTCATTCCCGGCCCGGTAGCAGGCACCAGAATCGTGAACTAAATCCGACCGCACCATCTGTGGATGATCCAGACGCATTTCCTACCCTTGCTGCTGTCAGCGCCAAAAATAAGAAGCATCATGGTAAACGCGGCGCACATAATCGTGAAACTAATTCAAATAAAGATAGTCTGCCTACGTCACTAGCAGATGTCGTACGCATGTCTCCTTCTCCCGCGGCTGGCAAGGGGAAAACCACATCTAGAAACAAAGAAGGAGCCAAAGGCCGTGAAAACAGTGCTGCTGCCCAGTCTATCCCGCCGCCGCAAAACATCCCTTGGCTTGAGACGGGCTCGCGAGCCAACCAGCAATATATCAAGTACCGTACGGAAGCCATTCGCCATGGCACAGTAAGGAACAAGTTTCTCCAAAGGTAAGGATTTCAAGATGTACCTTCGCCCCGAGTAAGCTGACCGTCTCTCTTAAGTGCGGCCCAAGCTTGGAATCGTAATGATGCTAGAGCAGCAAAAGCTTTGTCTTTGCGGGGTCAGGCGGAGAATGAGGCCATGCGTAAGTGCCATCGAGAAGCCGCGCGGCAATTATACGAGGAGCGAAATAAGCATATACTCCATGCCGGTCTGGACGACTCCTTGGAAGAGCTCTATGTGGACTTGCACGGTCTACACCCCGAGGAGGCAATTGAGTACCTAGAGAAGATACTCCTCAAGCATGCTCATGAAGACCGACGTGTTGTGTACGCCATCACGGGTACAGGCCACCATTCTAAGAATGGGAAAGACAAGATAGGGAAGGCAGTCAAGGCTTGGCTGAACGAGTGGAAATACCTATTCCGTGAGTTTAGTGTACCTGGAGAAAGGGGCGGGTACGTAGGTGGGATCCTAGGAATCGACCCCACGAGTTACGATAAATCTCTAGCCAAAAGTCTAGAAGATAGCGCCGATACAACAATAATCGCTGACGGAAACCAGCCCGTCCTGGCAATGGGCAAAATTCAACTACTAAAGCGTGAGGACTTGGAACCGAAACATACCTAAACACAGGTTTTCCAACCCGTGACATGGTGGAAAGGAATAACCCTTGTGCTGCAAGTTCCCTTTACGGTCCGTTATGGTATCCATGGAGCGCTTGCAACCGACGGACCGCTTTTCTGCTTTTCTCGGTATGTGAAGCAAGTTCCGAGATTGGAGCATCGGTTCCAGCTAAGTCCATGCATACATGCAGAAATCCAGGAATGAAATAGATCAATCTTCTATCTTCTTTTTCTATGCATAGCATCTAGTTTCTTCTAGCGTCTTGCCTGCTTGTCACTTTTTTCCTGCCGCCAACACCCAGGGAGGCTAGCTAGGAGTGAATATATAGTTCAAGAAGCACACGGTATCTTCTAGTAATTTGTTTCAAGAGCAGATAAAGGAATTAGTAGTAGCTAAAGCCTACCGTACATAAAACTAAGCACAGCAGTTATGATGTTTACTCCGGCTCTTGATCCCGCCATTTCTCCCGCAACTCTTCTACATTGAAGCCGCACGCGGCAGCCTTCTTGACAATGGCTCTCGCCTTTTCTGCAACGGGAACATCGATCATCTTCCCGTCCAGCGTCCAAGCACCCCGACCAGCCACCGCCGCCTTCTCATCTGCAATAGTCACCCGCACAGCCCACTGAACCTCCTCCGAATCCGGGCCAAAGATCGCCTGTACAGTCGATACCTGAGACGGGTGGATACACTGCTTCCCATTGAAGCCCAGCTGCCTCCCCCCACGGCACTCCTCTTCCAAGACGGCCGGCGGCGAACCATCACCCTTAGTCGACTTGTACGTCGTACAAACCAGATCAATCGTCGAAGGTAGATTCGCCGCCCTAGCAGCAGTGGTAATCATCGACCGAGCGAAGAGAAACTCACTCAGTGAGGGAGTCCGCGTTAAGCTGAGGTCGAGGGCAAAATCCTCCGCCGCGAAGATCAGACCCTGGAGGAGGGGCGTGGAGGCACAGATCTGGGTTAGGTTCGTTAGGGATTTCGCCGACTCGACCAGAGCCAGGAGGGAGATGGGCGGTCGGGAAGATGCATCTTGGGACTGGGACTGGGGCCGTTGGGAGAGCGTGTGGTTGATGACGTCCGTGACGAATGTGAGGTCGGACGCGGAGTTGACTTTCGGGATGACGATTGTGCTGAGGTTTGGGGATTGGAGCTGGGTATTGGTGTTAGTTGGTACTCAATATGGATAATGTTGGGGGGGGGGGGGGGGTTTCAATACCACTTCTGTTAGGTCTGCGAGGGCTAGGCCGCTGTCTACGGAGTTGATGCGGACTGCTCGTTCGCGGATGCCTGGGGGTGTGGCTTGGTCGAGGGCTCTCCGCACCAGGGAGCGGGCTTCCGCTTTCTTGTGCGGAGTTACGCTGTCTTCTAGGTCATAGGCTACGCAGTCGGCGGTTAGGGCGCGTGATTTGTCGATGAAGCGCTGCGATGAGCCCGGGACTGGGTTGGTAGGTAGTTAGTCACTGTTGTCTCCGTGTGGAAACGATGGAGTGCGCTGATGTTCTTCATGGTCTTTGTAAGGATGATATATGAAATGCGGGGAAGAGCTGGACGTACTGTAGAGAAGTGCGCGACGGAGCATATTCCTGGATGCCATCGTCGCAGGGTGGTTAGCGGTACAGAAATTGTTTGGATGGATCTCCTTTCTCTCGGCCCGGAGTTGAGAGTGAAGAGGAGAATGACAGCTGGCGGTAGCTGAGAAGTAATCCTTATGGTCCCTCGGCAATGAGGGCATAAAGGCTTCTCCGGAATTTAGATTTCACATTATGGGGACTTGCATAAGCTTATTTCGGATAGATACGATGTATCCCGTTCAATTCATTTGACAATACACGCCACGTGGGAGGTTCCACCAGGCAACCGTGATTGAATAGCAGGGCATCTTATCAAGGAATCATCGTCGTAAGCTCGTTGCATTGAGAAGGAAATGAATAACCGCATATCAATCCAGGGCTCCACCGCCCCGTATTCTGCCTGCATCCACCGCCCGGACATGGAGACACGCAGCATCATCGCATTCATTCCGCCTCATCGACCGCTCTTTCTGGGAAGCAAACTACAAAAGCGAGCGTTATTGCTCCTCCTGCTATCGCCAACTTCCTTTCTCGACCTGCCTCCCCTCCATCGCCATGGAGCAACAGCCCCTTAACCCCCAACCCCAGCAAGGGGATCTCAACTGGCGCCTGAGTGCGCATCCGATTACGTTGCTTTGTTTCCTGGGCTTCCGCATCGGTGCCTTACTGATGTACCTATTTGGCGTTCTATTCATTAAGAATTTGTATGTATCATAACATTGTTTCTCTTTCCGTACCCTCCGTGGGCGATCTCGGAGATTTCTCCCCTCTGAACATATGTCCGACCCAGTCTAACCTGATTCAACAGTATCTTGGTCTTCATCCTCACCCTACTCCTCCTCGCAGCAGACTTCTATTATCTAAAAAACATTGCCGGACGTCGCCTGGTTGGACTTCGCTGGTGGAACGAAGTGAATACGGCGAGCGGCGACTCGCATTGGGTGTTTGAATCCTCGGACCCGACGACTCGTACGATCACGGCCACAGATAAGCGATTCTTCTGGCTTAGCTTGTATGTGGCGCCTGCGCTTTGGGTTGGACTGGCGGTTCTAGCCATCATCAAACTGAGCAGTGTCATTTGGTTGAGCCTGGTTGGTAAGTAACGTCCAGCCTGGTGTCACGCTGGGTATTTGACACTGACCGATATAGCCATTGCCCTCGTCTTGACCATCACCAACACCCTTGCCTTCTCGCGGTGCGACCGCTTCAGTCAAGCATCCACCTTCGCGAACAGGGCACTGTCGGGGGGGATTGTGAACAGTATCGCAGGGGGTCTGCTGGGCAGACTCTTCAAGTAAGCAAGCAAGTCTTGAAATTTAGGCACTGTATGTGCAGTGCTTGTTTTCTTCCCCTCTTTGCATTATACATCTGGATGTATATCTTACCAATCACGTGCACTCTATGTATGCTCCTCAGATTTAGTTGACTTCACATTATAAAATATGAATGCAACATGTTCTTTAGTTCTCATCATTTTCTTCTTTTTTATCTCTTTTTCTCCCCCCCCCTCCCCCCAAATACTCCTCTTAGTCACTTTTTTTCCGCGGGGGGGGTTTGGGGTTTGGGGTTTGCAAACCTTAAGATCTGCCTCAGATCATTGGTCCACGTCTCTCATCAAGTACTACATACTATTCACGAAATCTCGTGAACAAGCTATGTCAACCTCGACCCGACATGTCTTGTGAGACTTGCAAAAGGGGGTGTTCTACGCAGCAGATTGCTTAGCTTGAATGGGCTCTTCCTATTGGACTTTTCCTTGCTATTAGCAACTTCTCCCTCCTGAGGGTGGGCACGGTTCTCAGAACTAAGCCCCCTCTATTTGCAATATTAAAATGCCTCTAATGTGTTGGAAAATCAATGTCCCAACAGAACAGTACTTTGCAACCCACAGCCAATATTGTTGAAGGCAATGCACCCACTCACTCCATTTACTAAGAAGCCACAGCCATGTTTTCGGACAGGGAATGGAATCTTAAGGAGAGGCAGTGCCGCAGGACATTAGCCTGGGTGCTCAACAAAGCCCGGCACAGCCCACCGACAGGGTTTAAATCGACTGTTGTAACAACACACTAAGGCTCCAGAAAACTACTACTCTGATAAGGGAGAAAATAAACAAACAGACTGCAGTGTACATACCTTCATGCATGCATTGCACTGTAAGCAAGGTCAACAGTTCCATTGTCCATACGTTTATCGTAGATTACTCAAATAGCACAAATAGCAAAAGTAAAAGCCCCGCAAACCATGAGCAAAACCCTCAAAGGCTAATTGCATGCTCTCGCCGCAAGCCCTAACCGCCCATCTCAACACCCTTGTACTTCCTCCCCCATACCCAACCTCAACACCAACCCACAAAGCGAAAAAAAAATTCCTCCCCGGAAGCCTATCTGCACAAAGCCCAAAATAGACCAACTAACACACCCTCAGGTGTGGGTATTTTCTAGAGCAACCTATCTAGTCTAGTTCTTCGCCTGGTCGGTCTCCAGGTATCAGTTTCCCCTGGCGCGAATAGAACGACGTCCTGCTATTCGCCGTGGCCCTGCCCACTTCTGCCTCCTAGTCAAATCTTATTTTCCGTGCTTTTGCTGCAGTGAACCCTGGTGACATGGGTAGATAGGCTGGGACGGTATTCGCAAGGCAAGGCTGTAGGCAACCGTTGTCGAAATCCTTGTGTATTCGTTGATTTACTGTATCGCACAGACATTTCTTGCTCAGGGGGCTTTGTCTTTGCAGGGGTCTGGCATATACCCTTGTACACTGGAGAGAGTAATATCAGGATTTTAGCAAGGAGGGTGTGTTGACCAGAAGATTCTTTGCTAAAAAAAAAGGTATGAAAAAGAAAAAAGAAGAAAAGAAAAGAAAAAAGTAAACACAGGGGAATGGAATTAAGGAAAGAGAGAGAGAGATATAGGAATGCATAACATAGCGTGAACATAACGTGAGGTCTCCAAAAAAGGGAAAGTCCCTTCCTGGGTGGCACAGATACCCTAGCAGTATATAACCCATCTCCATCTCAGGCTAACCTCAGTCTTGGATTCTGTTTGATATTTTCTTCTTTCCAGATGAAGACCAAGAGAAGACGTTTGAGTCGCGGTGGTCGCTGGACGGAAGACGAACGACGCCGGCTGTGGCGACTACGTACACTTAACGAACATCTTAACTGGGATCAGTTCCAGAGGGTGAGTTCGTCATCATTGTTGTCTCCTCTGAGTTACTTGCTGATCGCATTACTTGGGTGAAAAGTTGTACTTTCCTGAACGGAGTTATATGGCCTTGACGAAGGCTTATTCTGTGAGTTTCTTTTCTTCTTCCTCTTCCTCCTCCTCTTCTTCTTTCTTTAGCCTCTCTTTGTTGCTATGCTTTTGTTGGTTCGAGTTCAAGATGCATGGCTGACCAGGTATGCATGTACAAGGATATGAGAATGAGACGGTATGCCACGATGGTGCGTGCAGACTATTCCTTGGTGCCGACATGAAAGGAGCGTGTACTTATTGCCCTGTCACGTCAGAACAGTAATGTCAGCAACGGGACAACTTTACCATCCAAGACCAGCAGGTCAAACAAGCGTCCAAATGCCGACGGTCCGTCTGTCAACGAGCGAGCCAGTAAACAAACCAAGACAGCCGAGAAGGATTCGGCCTACATACCCGATGGAGATAGTGATGAGACCGACTTAGAAACAGAGGTAATGGATTACCAATTTGATGGTCGCGTTACTGTGGTACATGACCACTCCTCATTCAGTTTGATCGCAGGTTCGCTAACCAACATAAAGTCGGATCTTGTGAAAGGTCCGACCAGAAGTTCAGCAGATTCAGCGGCCACCAACCAGCCCCAGAAAAATGGGAGAGTACCTGTGCCTCAATGGCCTAAGAACGGTACGAGCTTAGGAGCGGGTGCGTCCAACAAGACAACTGCTCAACCTCCTGAGCCTCCTGGCCGAGCGGGTCCATCTGGAAAATCCAGAGGCACTGAGAAGGCCCTGGGCCCTGTTATCGCTAGCAAGCCTGTCCCAGCGGCTACATCGGCGCAAAGTACTCTTCAACCCAGAGTCAATCATGGCGCTCTCCCGTCTAAGGGTTCTGAGCCGAGCCAGGGTAGTATGCAGATACGAAGCCCAGCTTCAGACACAGTACATGGGACCATACCTAGCCTTGTGGAGCCAATCAGTGACCACAAGCATGAGCCGGTACCAAAGAACCCCAAGATGCCAAGAACCAAGATCTTAAAGGAGACCCTGCGCGAGCTGTTGTTGGAAGCTGATTCCTACCAGTCAGAGCGGCTGATTAACGAAAAACATACGGAAGAACTCAAGGAACTCAGGTCCCAAAATGCTACCCAGAAAAATCATATAGAAATCCTTGAGGCAGAGCTCTCCGAAGCACGCAGCAACTTAAGTCAACAATCCAAATCAGGCCAACCTTCAAAGTGCGAAGATTGCCCGAGGCTGCGGGAGCAGATTACGGCTCTGGAAAAGGACAAGGAATGTTATGAATTCGTGAAAAAGCATTTTATCTCCGGCTTAGAAGGAAAATAGCACAATCCTAACTCGTCGGCGTCTGCCACTGCGGTGTCTGGTTGAATTGTAGGCTACCAGCCTTCGTCAACCGATTTTGAACCAAGGAGTCCAAATGAAGGGTGATGGTGTTGTTGATTAGTCTATATATGGGCGACAGATTGAGCATTACAGGCGTTACTTTACAAATCTCCTATTTTATTGTCCTATTTAGTTTTGCGTATGACGATACTATGGCTCGCTCTTATAAGGAATATACCATGAAGGTTTTTATGTACTATAGAGATCCCATCTCTCCTGCCCAAACTGCAGGAATATGTAATTTTGCTTTATTTAACATCAAGGTTACTCATTTGTGAATATTCCAGATATAAGGATTCTCTTGGCAAACTACTGTACAATATTTAGCCCTCACTATATATTATACTACCTCTGCTAACAACTACTTGTAAGCTTTTGTGTCAGACTATTTAATTTACGGTATTTAGGCAGAAATTTGATACAATATCTAGCCTAACAATATTCATTCTTAACCTATACCAGTATTACTAGGATAGAAAGGAATGGTCACATATTATTTCACTGAACAATATGCACAAAAATGGAGCACTAGGGCTTGTCAAGATGTGTTAACCCTTTCTAGAAACAGCTTTCTTACAGGTATTCCGTCCTATATATAAGCCTCCATCCCTCACAAGTTGCCTATAGTTACATACTCACTAGAGACCATTGTAAAAATATGACTGTGGCTGCTTCAGATGGGGAAAAAAAAACCTAAAGGAGACATACTAAGACATACTATTTCCATATCTTTCATAATTACAGGACGTGAAGCGTGCTTTTGCGAACAAACAACTCAGGCTTGAGTCTAGTCTTCTGTCTTCAGTACAAACCTACCATATACATATACCAGCTCTAGCTAGCCTGTATTAATCTTGTTTGTCGGTCCTATCACTTCTTATTTTCAGTAGTCCTTAACATTAGCAATGAGTGCTGTATGGGACCAAAACATCCACTTACACACTCTACAAGGCCAGCAAAAACCTCAAAAGAAACAAGCTATACCGCTACCACTTCCCCATTACTCTCCCCCCGCTTCCTCTCCTTCTTCTGCTTAGGATCCGCCAGCCCATATTCCGTCTCCAGGTCAGTCCGCAACTTGATCTCCTTCTGAAACCACACAAGAAGAAACCCCATCCCCGCAAAAGCAATCGACACCTGCCACACCAGCAGCAAAGCATCAGAGTACACACCAACAACCTCCCCCCTTACCCGGGGCTCCAACGCCTTAATAAAAGCCGCCGAAACATGCGAATAAGCCTGCCCCCGCGCCAGCTGAGCCGCCACGGCCGGGTCCTCAATGCGCGCCGACAATTTCCCGAACTGTGTGTTGAACACGGCAGCCGGAATAGATATCCCCCAGATGGCACCGTAGCTGCGCATAAACGCCCAGGTTGCCGTGGCCAGGCCGACATCTTTCTCGGCCAGATCGGCCTGCACCGCTGCCAGGGTCGTGGTCAATAGACACCCGAGGCCGATGGCCGTGAGGATTTGGAAAACGATCCACTCGGCCGCGCTGGATGCAGCGCCGAGGAGGGTGAATAGGCCTAGGCCCAGCGTGACGAGCGCCATGCCGACGGCGTGGATGGGTCTGTAGCGGCCCCATTTTGTCAGCGCCATGCCTGCGAGGACGGCTGTTGGAACGGCTAGGATGACGCTGGGGAGAAACTGCACGCCTGCGCGAGCCGAGCTGGACAGTTTGACGGATTGGAAGTATACGGGCATGAAGTAGACGACCCAGAAGGTGAGCATCATGTGGAGAAAGGCTAGGACCATTGCTGTGGCGGTGGTGCGGTTGGTGAAGAGGTGCGGGGGCATCATGGGCTCGCGGCAGTAGGGGCTTGCTTCGTAGACGTGGAAGGTGATCATGCCGATGAAGCCGAGAACGAGACATATGATGATGCGCCAGTTTGACCAGGGGTAGGTTGTGCCGCCCCAGGTGAGGGCTAGGAGGATGACCACGATGGATGTCATTAGCAGGGCGTTTCCTGTGTAGTCGACACGTTTGATTTTGTTTTGCCAGGGCTCGCGCTGGTAGTTCACGTGTAGAAATAGGAAGAGGCAGACTAGCGCTGCGCCGCCGATGGGTAAGTTGATGTAAAATACCCATCTCCAGGAGCTGTATTGTACGATTGCTCCGCCGATGAAAGGCCCGAGGGAGGTGCCGATGGAGAAGATGGCGAATATCAGGCCCATGAAGTTTCCTCTCTCGCGCAGCGGGACTAGGTCGCTGACAATCATATCTATCATTACGTTGATTCCGCCGCCGCCGATGCCTTGGATGGCGCGGCCAGCAATCATCATGTTGGAATTTGTGGCACCGCCGCTGATGCCACTGCCCAGCACAAAGATGGCCACGGCACCAATCATCAACCATCGCCGGCCAAAAAGGTTCGCACACTGTCCAAACAGGGGCTGGAAGCAGGCACTATGGGAAGGTGGAGAATTTTAAAGTCAGAAAGGACCTTCCTCGACGTGAAAGCTCTAGCGGACATACCTAGTGAGGAAGAAGGAATTAACAAACCATACAAAGTCTTCGCCCGCCTGTAGTTGGTCGGAAATGAAGGGCAGCGCGATGGATGTCACGGTGGACTCAACGGCTGCCAGAAGAATGGACACACTTAGAGAGAGGTAGATAGCCCAGAATCGCCATCCTTTGCTCTTTAACTTAGCTGAAGTCGGGATTGAAGAATCTGAAGCGTCGCTTGGCATCTTTGATAGTGTCATAGTATTTCATGCGGTCTCTCAAGATGCCCCCTTGGTAGCATCTTTCTCATGCTTGCTTAAGTACCTAAGTAGAACCAGTGAAGCCATGGTAAGCAAAAAGAAGAATAGTAATTGATTTCTAAGAATCAGCGGTCTGTTTGTCAACATTACCGAAGCTCGTTCGGCGATCTTGAATTGATCAGGGCTTCAAGTATATCGTGACATCCCAAGGGCTAGCCCGGTTTGGGTTAGTGTGTTTCTACACTTTCCAACGGTTGGCTGAAGATCACCGATTCTCTATCGTTAAAACCCCTGGTTGGCTGGAAGATCACCGATTCAGGGCTGGAATAACGTGGATAAAAGGTACCTATATAGTATATAATGATAATGATACTCCCTCTCATTTATCTAACCTCTCCCCATGATCGGCTAGTTTTGTACGTGTCAATTAGCTAGTACTAGATAGAATTACTAGTTTACCAGGAAGACCATATGTAAGCCTGATTAAACACAGCTTGTGGATAATAATCAATATGCTAATTGCTAGATAATATTGATTTAAAAAAACGAATAAAAGATAGACCAAACCTTGCGAGCTCATGTAATCAAGAGGTATTATGTACCTATACTTGGATTAGTTCCTTGCAACTAGAGGCTTCTCTCATACTCCTTGTGCCTAGTGCAAAGGATCTCTTGAGGCTTACTAGCACAGGAAGGGTTTGACAGGTGTCGTGACATTTGCCCTCAGCCACAACCTCCTCTCAGAGCCCCTCTATTTAAACCCCTCCTTCCGGCCTAATAAGAATGGACAAGCAACCTTCACGACAGGCCTGCGACCGCTGCCACGACCTGAAGCTGCGATGTCACCGCGCACCCAACGGAGGGGATTGCAGTCGCTGTGTCAAGGCCGGGGCAACATGTGTCTTCAGCCCATCGAATCGGGGGCGTCGACCCACCAGCCTTCACAATAAGACAACACCCTCTGCAAGAACGGGGCAACTCAAACTAGCTCCACGCCTGCCCACCCCCAATGTACCTATGCCCAACTCTACCGTCGCCAACATAGACCCAAGCCTAGTCGACGACCTACACCGAAACATACTTGATATACAACCACCACCCCTACCATATGGATATCCAGATACATCCACTTTCCCACTGACCGACTTCCCTCTCTCCGATACGCTCTCAACATGGACACCTCCCCACGAACCAAGGTGTCCCACACTATCTCCGTTGGGAGAAAACCATGACCCCTTCCCCACGAGATTCCACCACCCGCCCGACCCAAACCCCAGTCCAACCCATACCCAATCCCTAGTCCAATTCACACGCGATCTCCTAAACCTCGACTCAGACCTCATCCACCACATCCACGAAGACCCAGTCACGCACACCCCACCAACACCAACCCTAGGCTCCACCACCGCCTGCGCAATCGACCACACCCTATCCCTCACCCAACGCCTAATCCGACTCCTCCACGACCACCCACCAGCCCTCGACCAAGTCTCCCTAATGCACACCCTATCAACCTACATCCGCCTCCTCGAAGCCTACAACATAACCTTCACCCACACGATCCGCAAATACGGCCGCCCAGCCGTGAATAGCCAAGCGCGGATCCCTCTCCCCCCGCTGCAAATCGGCGGGTTCGCCGTCGATGATCCCGCCGCGCAGCTGGCGCTGGTCTTCCGGTCCGCGATGCAGTTGCTGGATCGGCTTAGGGAGCTGGTGAGGCAGGTTGCGGATCCGTTTGTGATAGAGGCGACTACTAGTAATGGTAATGCGGGCCCTGGTGGTGTGATCGGGGCTATGATGGTGGCTGTTCGGGGGCATGAAGGCCGGATGTTGCTGAGGGCGGAGGAGTTGCGGGAGTCGTGTTGTGAGTTTCGGGGGTGATGGGGGTGGGGGTTGTTCGTTCCCTTGCTATGCGATGCGATAGATAGATTACTTAGACTGTTGGGGCTTTGTCTGTCCGGGAAATTCTTGGCGTTGGTTAGTTTTGTTCGATCTGTACCTGTATAGATTTTTGTCAGGATTTGGAGGAGATATTGGTTTAGGGGGGAGGCTGCTAACGAGATAGAAAGGGTCATGGCCGATTTGGAGGGTCGTTGGATGGGTGGACTCGCCCTGTATACTCGTGTCAGTATCTGTAAGCTTGGTGATAAATATTATGGTATAACATGGGTCTTGCCGTATCGGATATCGCAGTGACAGAAGGAGAAACGAAGGCAAAGGAATGGAATGGATGGAGTATGGAGTCAATTTCAAGTTGATTGCATAGACCTCGACCAAGGCTTCATCCTATAGAGAGGGGACACTCAGTAAACTACAGCTTGGGCTACCCGGTCAAAGTAGTGACATGCAAGTAACCAAAGGTATTTCGGCATGAAAAGCTCTTGTACTATTCTCTCGAAACCATGCAAGACCCTATAGAACGTGAATTACCTAGAATGGCAGTAATTTTCCACTATTATTACCAAAAGTATGTAATGAGAAGACAAAAGAAATGGTCTTGCGATTCCCCTCAGATTGCCACAATATAGTGGTAGGCCATGGTGAGCCACCCACTACTCCTCGGGCTCCTCCTCGCCATATTCCAATCCCTCACCGTCGGAGATGGAGGCTTCTTGGTACTGCTGGTACTCCGACACCAGATCATTCATATTACTTTCGGCTTCGGTGAACTCCATCTCGTCCATACCCTCACCGGTATACCAATGCAAGAACGCCTTGCGACGGAACATGCTAGTGAACTGGTTCCCGATACGCTGGAACAACTCCTGGATAGACGTCGAATTACCAATGAAAGTCGAAGACATCTTCAGGCCCTTGGGTGGTACGGAGCAAACGGTGGTTTGGATATTGTTCGGGATCCATTCGACGAAGTAGCCGCTGTTCTTAGTCTGAATGCCACGCATTTGATCTTCAACCTCCTTCGTGGAGACTTTTCCGCGGCTGAATCCTAGTTAGCCTTTGTGATTATAAAGGATTAAGGAGACATACAAGATTGCGGAGCAAGTCAAAAAGCGGCCATTGTGGAAATTAGCAGCAGCCATCATATTTCTCGTGTCAAACATCTGTTGTGTCAATTCAGGAACAGAAACTGCGCGGAACGAGGAGGATCCCCGGCTGGTTAGTGGTGCAAAGCCCACCATGAAGAAATGAAGTCGAGGGAAGGGCACCATGTTCACGGCGAGTTTCCGCAAGTCGGAATTGAGCTGACCAGGGAACCGAAGACTGACGGTAATTCCAGACATGACGGCCGAGACAAGATGGTTAAGGTCGCCATAGGAAGGAGAAGACAACTTCAACGTGCGGTGGCAGATATCGTAGAGAGCCTATACTTGTCAGAACAGTTGTGACTAGCGAAAGTCGTGTGTTCACACCTCATTATCAATGCAGAAAGTCTCGTCAGAATGCTCCACCAATTGGTGAACGGACAATGTCGCATTGTAGGGCTCAACCACAGTATCCGAGACCTTGGGGGAAGGCGCCACGGAGAATGTGGCCATCATGCGATCAGGGAATTCCTCGCGAATCTTAGAGATCAAAAGAGTTCCCATACCAGACCCAGTACCACCTCCCAGGGAGTGAGTGATCTGGAATCCTTGCAGACAGTCACAGCTTTCGGCTTCACGACGAACCACATCAACCACGGAATCAACCAACTCAGCACCTTCCGTATAGTGTCCCTTCGCCCAGTTATTTCCTGCGCTTGACTGGCCGAAGACGAAATTATCAGGGCGGAAAAGTTGACCAAAGGGGCCAGCACGGACGGCGTCCATGGTGCCGGGTTCCAAGTCTACGAGGACCGCACGGGGGACATATTTCTTGTTGTCGACCTAGTACATTGGTGAGCGAAATCAGTCTACTTGTTTGAAAGGAGACTATTAACCTCATTGAAATAAACATTCATCCGCTCCAACTCTTGGTCATCAGTGCCTTGGTATCTAGGAATCGGTTAGGAGGTATCTGTCATGCCAAGCCTCATAATATGGCACTCACACTCCCGACGCATCGAGACCATGTTCGCCGGAGATGATTTGCCTAGATACCATCAATATATTGTCCCATTGTGGGAATCTTGCTTGGTGAGCAATGGGAAGGACTTACCAGAAGGCGGTACCAACTTGGTTACCCTGCAAAGGAGCATCATAGCTTAGTTAAAATTGCTGTAAGTATCGCAAGTGATTTACTTACACACTGGCCAGTTTGAAGGTGCACCTTTGGAGAGTTAGCATTGTCATGTTGTCAACATCGGAGACGGAGCGAGCGTGGGGAGAGAGTGGGGAAGGAAGAGCTCCGTGGCCGTCCCAAACAAACTTACGATCTCACGCATGGTGGATTAGAAGGACGAACGTGTGGTGGAGTACAAAGAAAAACTTCCAAAGAGGAAAGGGAAGGTAAATTGAAAAGGGAGAGATATAATTGAGACACAAGAGAGAGAGGGAGGGAGGTTAGCGGTGATGTTGGGCAACGAAGAGGAAGCGGGAGGATTTATTGGGAGCGAGGGAGGAGAAAAATAAGGAAAATAAAAAATAAAAATAAAAAAAAAAAACGAAAAAAAAAAAAAAAAACGCGGTTGTCTGTCAGGCGACAAGTTCGAGCTGTGTTGTTGTTTTTCTTGTACAGTACAGTAAGCAGTGCATTAGTGACACCTCTTTGGGTGAGCGAATTGCCCTGGGCCTATGGATTCATCTAGACTACTGCTCAATGTATACTAGCCCCAACTTTCCCTTTCATGGTTCCTTATAAGGGAAAGGGGTAATAAATTGGATACCAGTAGTGATACAATCCTTTCCGGGTACAATAATCCCTATCCAGTACGTGAGTATTTCGTTCAATTATACGAAAACAAGAACTGTACATAATGTCCTTCACCGCTCCATCTTGACTTGAGTTGTTGAAACGATCAGTAGGATTCGCATTCGGACTTGGTGGTTCCATAAATTTTTGACAAGGCATCCGCGGGTAAAACAATACCGTAAGTTCTCTAGCCCTAAATTGATGATAGCTTCTACACTAACCCCATCATGGCTTTAAGACCACTCCGTACAGCCGGCATCGCCAGTAAACCGTTCCTTAAATTTATCGAATCCATAGAGGTTACTTTTTATAACTTGTATGACTTTACAAGCGATTTTCCAGGGGGCTATTCTGTAGAAGTGTCACCATCAAACTATTAGTAGTGCTCCTGGAAGAAGCTTCTGGTAATTGACCTATCCTAGATCTGAACAAAGCAGACCATTGCTACTAGATAGGGGTTAAAGCCAAGAGTAGGTGGGATCCAGGGGAAAGCCTCTTCAAGGCCTAGGGTGTATGCGTAGGACCGTCATTGTTAGATATCTATGTCTGGTAGATTCGTTAACTGTACCTCTGGATCTGATACGCTTGGGGATATGGGCTGGGGGGTCATCGGAAATAAGATAAACGACGAACCCTACATATGATACTGCTTTGTCAGTATCCTCAACCAACTAGGTCAATGCCCAAATGATAAATCATTCGCTCCAAGTCTCGGGTATCATAGATAATTCTATGCACAATTGAATCACATACGGAATAATCCGAATTAAGGACATAACGCTTACTGCCACTTGAGCTCACCGGACCTGACATGACTACCAAATTACCCCATTCTATCACTCATTTCCACACTTCGGGGTACATAGCACTTCGTATCCTCTGCTAATCCCATTGACTATCGCGCTCTTGCATAATTATCCAATGCAGAAACCTGGTGATTAAGGATCGAGAAATTTTTTATGACAGTTGGGCTCAGGGTCAAAAAGTGAAAATTCTGAACTACCATGACCTGAGTGCTGAGGTAATAGCTCCATCTCAGTGGATAAAGGCAATAAAATAAGGGGGCGAGGTTAATACGACGAGTGAGTGTCATCAAGCTGTCCTGTCTAGCTACCAGGGCAATAATAAGTTGATAAGTAAATATGTTGTTGATTGCATGGAGTTAAAAGACGAAAATGGTTCCCACATCTAAATCTTATCAAAGTCACCTGGACACAGCCCTACCTGGGTCCGAATTGGGGTAAATCAACGTTTTACCCTTCATCTTGTTGTTTACACGGCCATATCCGTTTTCGTCTGACTTATCTTTTTCTTTTCATGTTTTGCAAATATGACAATTCCTCAGGACTACCCTAATGAGAACATATCTATCACTGCCCCGATCAATAATGACTCAGTGATGACCGGGTAAACAGATATGATAGAAATAGATCAAATCTCCCAACCTGTGCCCCGTGAAGTAGACATGGATCGATGGGATCAACTCATTGCATTACCTTTAGCCTAAGGAGTTACCAGGACAAGATAATTCAAGGGAAGATCAGCAGGCAAAGACATATAGTATGAGTGAGCTTGAAGCTCCGGCTATCTAAAGCTAAGAGCTCCACAAATGTCGTGTTTTATACTGCCCCTTTTCAACAAATCATCATCATCCCAACTTCGCGAAAGCCTTTTCAAAGGCTTCCACCAATGGAGAAATATGCTCCTCCTGAAGATAAGCATCGGACGCAGTCGGATAGTCGATACACCACAGCTTCCAATATTGATCCCAAGATTGCGCATTTCCTTCAGCAAGGTACTGGAATTAGGCGTATCGAAGGCAAGATAAGTTCCTCGTCCCTTGCCGCGGAGATTCTGGATGAACTGAGGGTATTGGGTAGCTAGAATAGCAAGTCTCTTATGAAGGACTTCGCCAACATGAGCCTGAAATGATTAGTTTGTTTTCAAATCAATTCTAGAAGATAGGGGATTTACCGTTTTCTCTACCAGATTTTCACCCAGTATCTCATCGATTACTGCATTGGACATGATAACGCGTGCAGCATCACCTATCCACCTGAGAAATGCCTCAGTCAGTTCCTTTGACCAAACTATACTAAGCGAAACCCTTTCTTACGTGTTAAACTGGCGGTAAGCTTTGTCCGGGCAAAGCGAGCTATCACTGAAAAAGTAGCCCGCGGTCTGTGCCTTCTTGGAGAAAGTCACAATATCGGCTGGGGCTGGCAAATTCCAATGTTCATGGCCCCAGAATTTGCCCGTATCACCAAAGCCCGTCTGGACCTCATCGACAATCAAACAGATTCCATAAGCCTTTGTGATAGCCTGCAAGTACTGGAAGAACTCCGGTGAGGCATGGTTGTCTCCACCTTCACTTTGAATCGGTTCAACGATGATACCGGCTACAGGACAGTGCCAGGATTCAATAATGTGTTTGATTTCCTGCAGACAGTGCTTCTCTTCGTGACGGTTCTCCTGCTAGTGCTCTTCCAGCGGGTATTTCAGCTGAGGAAATGTGGCCTGAGGCCACTTGAAAGACGGAATGTCGATTTTGTGTACTGGCTTGGAGCGAGTAGCCGACAGACTACCGAATCCGCGACCGTGGAAAGAGTTCTTGAAACTGAGGATAGCCAGGTCAGGGGGACCCAGGAGCTTGGTTCTTCATGGAGGTCTCCTGTTCATGGTTGGACCAAGATGCATCACCTCTTTGATTGCGGCGATAGGCCATGAAGGCAGCCTTAAAGGCCAACTCGTTGGCCTCGGATCCTGATTGCGCGGTGACAACCTGGGTGCATCCACGCGGGGCTACGCGCATGAGGCCATCGCGCAAGAGATTGAGCCACCGCTGGGAGGGGAAGTTGCCGATTGCTGGGCGATTGACCAGTGCTGAAACCATGGCGGGCGACTGTGCAGCTTTTACCAGGGTTGGGTTGTTATATCCCACAGGGATTGAGGCGATCTGAGCGTACACATCAAGGTACGTGTTACCATCTACGTCGACCAAGCTGAGGGGTGTAAGACGCAATTTAGGTGGCAGATTCTCGAGCAGGGAACTTACTAGTTTCCAGAACTCTTGTCGTAGTCAATGACCATTTGCGTAGTGCGGGCATCAAAGATAATATCTAGTTCCGACTTGGTAGCAGTAGTCAACGGACCAGGAATGGCCGTCTGCATAGAAGGTATGGAGGGCTCAGGGATGACAGTCATCTTGAGATTTAAAGTCCCAGAAATATGCGTAAATTGGCGATTTGCTTGGACTCCTCCCCAGCCGTCGTGTATACACCGGCTTTTAAAGGGATTAGCCCTAACGGCTTTCTGGGTGCTTCTCTTCACCCGGACCGGGATCTGCTTACAAGGGAAGAACCGGCTACGAAAATAAATACGAAATGGTTCTTTTAGGAGTCGACATCCGAACCGAGAGTTAAGTTGAAGAAATTAGCCGTGTGAGGGATTCCGGCCGGGTAACTGCTCCCGAGTAGAGACTACAACAACCAACCCCATCATAAATTATACATATAAGCTCCGACCACCAAAAGAATAACAAGAAGCTATCATACAACTCTTACATTGACCTCTAACTACCCCTCCCTAAGATCTGAGAAATCTAAAAGAAGCATCCACCATGTCGCAACTCACCAACTACCGCCTCCTCTCCTTCGACGTCTACGGAACCCTAATCGATTGGGAAACGGGCGTCTGGAACGCAATTCAACCAATCCTAACCGCAAACAACGCTCAAATAAGCCGAGGCACCTTCCTTAAGATCTATCACGAGCTTGAAAAAGCCCAACAGTCCCAGACCCCGGGCATGCCATACTCGCAACTCCTCGCTACAATCCATCCCCAACTCGCCTCCCGCCTTGGCCTGAACCGACCCAGAGAGGAAGAGAGCTACCAATTCGGCGAATCAGTCGGTCACTGGCCCGCATTCCCGGATACTGTGGAGGCACTAAAGCGTCTGGCAACGCACTACAAGCTAGTCGTTCTTTCAAATGTAGACCGGGAGTCGTTCCAGAAGACCAACGAGGGGAGTCTGCAGGGATTTCCGTTTGATTTAGTGATTACGGCTCAGGATGTGGGAGCTTATAAGCCAAATCTGGCTAACTTCGAGTATATGTTGAAGGCTGTGAAGGAGCAGTTTGGAGTTGAGGCGGGGCAGGTGCTTCAGACTGCGCAGAGTCAGTTCCATGATCATCATCCTGCGAAAAAGATGGGACTGCAGTCTGTTTGGATTGAGAGGCCTGGGGCTTTTATGGGGAATTTGAAGGATACGGTTTACGACTGGAGATTTGATACACTCGGGGATATGGCCGATGTTGTTGAGAGGGAGTTGTAGATTGGTTCGTTTGATGATGTTTTTTTATTTGTGCAAAGGTGAGCTTCTTAAATTAGTGCACAAAACAGAAGCGAGTTTCTATCAGTTGGCTCTAATTAACTTTGTAGCTGAATATTAGATATAACTGTGTATGATATATTCCGATCTGACGACGCTATCAGCTGAAAATCCTCTTTTGGGCATCTCTATCCTTAAATTATTTAGGCTCTTGTTAGGTTTTGAGAGCTGCTTAGCCATCAGGAAATATCATACTAGCCTTCTCATGTTCGCCTCTGCATCGCTGCCGTGTGGTATCGCTAGACTATGAAAAGTGCTCTCTAGAGATCTATTAGTTATACTGCAATTATCGCTGGCTCCAGATCATCCGTACTGCATGGTTTGGCATGGACCACCAAATAAATGGCCACAGTAGCCGCTGCCGTCATTATAGCCTCTACAGTTGGTTGAACTTGGGTATCTATCACCTACCAGAGGACTCCGATACCAGGCAGACTCTAGGTCGTAGAGATCTACTTGTATCCAACATAATCGTTTTGGGATTCCGTGGTCCTTTTGTCTGTACCCAACCCTTGCAAGTCATATATGCCCAGTACAAAACATAACCTCTTCTCGAACCGTTGTAAGTCAGGATAAATTACAAAGAATGGACCAATAAGAGTACATTTGACTCTAGATCAAGCGGTTGTTCGTTTGACCTACATTCTCTCACCTCTATCCATCTGCATCTATCTTTTTCTCGGGTACATGCACCCAGGCCCGAGCCGTACTTTTACATCCGTGTTCATGACGAAGACCTATATCACATAGCTATTTTGAAGAGATAAAAAAAAAAGAGAGAGAGAGAGACAGATATGTAATATAAAATCTAGGAAGCCAAACACCATAAGCGGAGGCAGAGATAGATGTCTACATACCGACTGTATATCTCTCTACCGGAACGATCAATACTCTATCCCGAAGTCAAGCATCCGGGTATAGAGATCCATTTCCGATGATACATTCGGACACAGGACCTTCAATTCAAAAGTCAACACGGACCGAATACCTTCCCCGGGCCGAGTGATCAACAACCAGGTAATCTAGAATATAAGCCCTATAGCCTCGACCATCACCAGATATGGGAAAAAAGCAGCATACTAACCAACTACAATCATCCCACTCACAAGCCCCCTTCCGGACTGAGTCCAACAAGACCACCACCATGGCTCATACCATTCCCGAAGTAAGTGAAGCTATAGCTAACAAACCTCCCTTCTCAAAGCCCAACTAACCCATCCCAATCCAACACCTGTTAAACGACCCAACTCTCTTCATAGGAAAAAGCTACATAAATGGCCAATGGACAACCTCATCCTCCAACCAAACCTTCCCCGCCTACAGTAACCCTACGAAACCAAACACCACTCCTCTCCAACTCCAACCTTAACTAACCAAACCCCCCAGACCCATCAACAACAACCCAAATCGGCACCTCCGACCTCACCCCCACAGACACCACTAACGCCATAACCGCCGCCCAAAAAGCCTTCCAAACCTACCGACACACCCCCGTCCACACACGCGCCCACCACCTCCGCACCTGGCACTCCCTCCTCCTCACCCACAAAACCGACCTAGCAACACTCCTCACCCTCGAGAACGGCAAACCCTACGCGGAAGCCCTCGCCGAAATAACCTACGCTGCGTCCTTCCTCGCCTGGTTCGCCGAAGAAGCACCCCGGACTTACGGCGACACCATCCCCGTCTCCGTACCAGGAACAATGGTCCTCACGGTCCGCGAACCAGTCGGCGTCTGCGGCCTCATCACACCCTGGAACTTCCCCGCGGCGATGGTAGCCCGGAAGATTGGGCCCGCGCTCGCGGCGGGGTGTAGCGTTGTGGTGAAGAGTGCGGCTGAGACGCCGTTTACGGCGAATGCAATGGTGGAGTTAGCATCTAGGGCTGGGATTCCGGACGGTGTGGTGAATGTTGTTACGGCGGGGGTGAATACGGTGGGTGTCGGGCGGGTTCTTGCTAGCCATGACGATGTGCGGAAGGTGTCGTTTACGGGGTCGACGGGGGTGGGAAAGGTGCTTATGGGATTGGCGGCGGGGGGTATGAAGCGGGGGTCGTGGGAGCTGGGGGGCATTGCGCCGTTTATTGTGTTTGGGGACGTGGGGGGGGTTGGAGGAGGCGGTTGAGGGGCTTGTTGCGTCGAAGTTTAGGGGGGGGTGGGCAGACTTGTGTTTGTGCGAATCGGGTTTATGTGCAGCGCGGGGTTTATGGGGAGTTTGCGGAGAGGTTGGTGGAGAGGATTAAGGGGTTGAGGGTGGGGGATGGGTTTGGGGAAGGGGTGACAATTGAGCCGTTGGTTCATGGGCGGGCGGTTGAGAAGGTTATGGCGCATGTTGAAGATGCGAAGGCGAAGGGGGCGAGGGTTTTGTTTGGTGGTAGGAGGATGGAAGAGTTGGGTCCGAATTTTGTGCAGCCTACGGTCTTGGTGGATATGACGGGCGATATGAGGCTGGCATCGGAGGAGACGTTTGGTCCTGTTGCGGCTCTTTTCCCCTTTGACTCGGAGGAGGAGGTTATCCGCGAGGCAAATCGGTGTGAGGTTGGTTTGGCGGCGTATATCTATACGGGGAGTACGAGCAGACTCTTCCGGGTGGCTGAGGCGCTGGAGGTTGGGATGGTGGGTGCTAATACGGGCATCATTAGCAATGTGGCAGCTCCGTCAGTGATCATCTATACACTTCAACTCAGATGAACTCTTGCTAATCAGGTTAAATAGGTTCGGTGGAGTCAAGGAGAGCGGGTTTGGAAGAGAGGGTAGTAAGTATGGCATAGACGAGTTTACTCACATCAAAACTATTACGATTGGGGGTCTCGCATAGTCAGTCCTCCTCGAAACAAGAATCTTACTACCCAGTGCTTAGACTGAAAGTGAAATCGAACAGCCTTGAAAATTGGCACATAGCAGTTCATTGACTCAAGTAGATGATGTTTCACAGTCGAGAACATAACAGTTGCATACTTCGCAGCAGAAATCTCTCCCAGCAACCTATAATTTCTTATACTCATCCAACAGCCCAGTTAGTCCATCAATGGAACTACGACACACCCTACCATCCTTAATGACCAACCGTATCTCCGTCTCCCATCGCTCCAGCACCGTAATGTCCTCCAGCGGGTTATGATCAAGCACCAACAAATCCGCAAAGAACCCCTCCTTAACCTGCCCCAACTTGGGCTGCTTCATCATGCGGGCCGGGTTAATTGTCGCACTCCTCAAGATATCCAAAGGCGTAAGCACCTGAGCCCTAATCCCAAACTCCCGGCTCTGGTACTGACCCAACGGCCCCAGCAAGTCCGACCCATAGCACAACGTCACGCCATGCTCCTTAGCAAGCTTAAGGGCGCCAAGCCCCATCTCCAGAACACGGACATTCTTCTCCGCAGAATCAGGAGGCAAGAACCCGGAGACGGCGGCATCACCCATAGCATGATAAGTAACCAGCGTCGGAGTCATATAGACGCCCTTCTCAGCCATGAGCTTAGCCGTCGGTGGGTCAATGAGATTCCCATGTTCGATGCCCTGGACACCATTCTCAATGGCAATCTGGATCGACTCCGGACTATACGCGTGACAAGTCACATAGGTCTTATTATTCGTCGCGCATCGCACAATCGCCCGGATCTCCTCCGGCGAGAACTGGTGATGCTCGAGATAATCCGTCGGACTGATGACGCCGCCGCTGCCCATGATCTTGATGAAGTCCGCCCCGCTGCGCAGTTCGTCACGCGCGACGGCCAGACAAGCCGGGACGCCGTCGCAGACGCGGCCGATGCCGGAGACAAAGCCGGAGGTGCACAGGTGGTGGTCATGCTTTGCACGGAAGTCGCCGTGGCCGCCTGTTTGACTTAATGCGTGGCCGCTGATGAAGAGGCGGGGGCCCGGGACGAGCCACTCCTCGCATGCCTCTTTCAGGGAACTTGGGGCGCCGCCGCAGTCTCGGGCGCTGGTGAAGCCACGCCAGAGCATGTCGCGGACGACGCCGACCATGCGGAGGAGTCCAATTGATTCAGGGGTTGATGTGACTAGGCGGAAGTCCATCTCGCCGGGTACGGCGGAGATGTGGACGTGGGAGTCGATTAGGCCCGGGCAGATGTAGCGGCCTTCGAGGTCGATAGTGGTTGTGCTTTTGGGGACGTTGAGGAGTGCGTTGTCGAGTGACACGCCTTTTATCACGCCTTCGCTGACGTGCACGGAGACGTTTGAATGGACCTTGCCCTCGACTGGGTCAATCAATTGGGCGTTGGATAGTAAGATGGAAGGAGATTCCTTCTTAGGGAGCCAGGGTTTGAGAAAGTTGGCAGAAACCGACATGTTGACGAACAAGATTGCGATAGCAACTGAGATATGAGAGATATTGTTCTCAGGAGGTTCAGACACACGAAGAGAACCAAATCGCACACAACTCAGAACCAGATGTACCGCATCCTCTCGCGCCTTTTATAACAGCCATATCGACCGTGGTTCATAGGCTTATCCCGCCAGTGGTAGCACAAAGAACCTTTCCTATCTCGCAGAGAACCAATATTGTGCCTCCTTTGCCGCGGGGATAATGACATAGTACATGTCATTGTCGAGGAAGAGTGACTCGGATCGAGATCCGAGGTTGCAACAAAGAGTATGTGACGAAGCTACCACCGCTCGGGTACGTGCACCCGAATTGCCTCTTGTTCTCCATTCGCTCCTCTTGCATCCTCGAAGGCCCGTGAACAGATGACTCGAAGGTAACAGTTACTTCCTTATCTAGTCTTCCAATTATGGAGCCTGTTTTCATGATAAGCTCTCCGCGGGGAATTCAGTTTCAAACACCGATCCTGGAAGGGTTCGACGAGTGACTTCATATTTGTATCTAGTCCACAATGCCGTCCGGCAATATCGTGGTTAACAAACATTCTCTAAACACAGTAAGGAAAACGCCTTAAAGGGCGCTGAATCTCTTCCATTTTCGTGACTGACCGTTTTTAGTCATGTAAAGATTTACCTTGGAACCAGCTGTTCGGTTCAGAATGCTTGATACATGCATCTCGAGGCTCTATTTCCTGTATTTCGATCCATTATGCTACAAGTATTCTGATGGGCTTCATAGACCCACCAAAGAATAGCGTTTCACCATAATCTATCTGTGTTGTCAAGTCTATTGCCTGCATATTCCACTTTTATCTTCTCCCCAAAACCAAAAGATTCCGACTAGTAAACTGCAATCTTCCCCGGACACTCGTTACTCTGGAGTCATTACAAGCCACAGTCTGGCTAGCATCGGCATTTGCTATATCGCTTCTCTATTCGCCAGCGTGATTCGTACACATCTTATATACGTGATTGAAGGTCCAACCGTTGCGAACCACGTCAAGTCGGTCTCAATGATCCCATTCTTCCTAGCTTGTACACAAAACAGTTTTTTGACATTGCCCATGCCAGCCGATGCATTTAGAGTCCTTGGGTGCGAACAAATCGAAGGTTCTGCTCCGCTTGAAACGTTGAACATCTCTCCATTCAGGTAAATGCCTCCTCTAGGAATTATCTAGACGCTAGATGAGATGAGAGAACTCATATTTCTGGTAGTTGCAGTGTGTTTTGTCACAGCTATGCAACAAGACACGAGCTCAACAGCACCTGGCCCTCTATGATAGGGGACACGGAGCCGTACCAAAATGGAGATCATTACGTGAAGTGTCTCCAGGTGAAGGCCTAGAACCTTGAAGCGTCCTCATAAGGCGCCGTCAAGTCGGGGAGTCCGGGTTTGGAACAAACGCGGGCAGTGATAACTCATCAGGCCAAAGCATAGTCGGCAAGTTTTCACCGAACTGCGCCCCTACTTCCGGAAAGGATGCAAAAGCCCCAAGCTCTTGGGGAAAGGAAGAAAAGAAACCGTCAAATGAAGCAGCTGGCAACTGAGAACTTTCGAGGCCAATAGGCTCGGACTCGATCCCCACGCTGGCCGACGGAGGCTCGGATTGCCACAGCATAGCCCAACGCCTAAACTGGCTGTATTCCGTGCTCGTTTCACCCGAGCGTGTGTCTTCATTCTCGGTTCGGCTGTCCAAACGTTGTGCTGCGCGCTCAAGTGCCTCAATAACTGCTACTTCTGAACGAGCCGACTGAAGGCCAACACACATTCGACGGATCAAGACCATCCCTTGTGTAAGAGCTCCACGTAAACGCTCCGTTCGCGTGTTCAGGCTCTGAGCGATAATCGCTAATAGCGCCGCGCGGCATGAGCTGAATTCGGTATACGACACCCGAGCTACACCGACGGCATCCTGTAGTAATTGACACAATTCGACAATCCGGAGAGCAGCTTGCACGCAGTCGGTACACAACATTACACTGGCATCTACGGTCGAACCGGAGTCGCCCTCGTCAGAGACCGACGAATTTGGTGTTCCGGCAAGAATCAGTGGACGACCCATGTACATGATTATCATAGCGTACGTTAGTTCCAGGTGAACATTATAGCGGAAAAGCGGCTTGGAAGGGTCAAGGTCACGGCAGTGCACATCTTGGGGTAAAGTCTCCCACCAGCTCCTAAGTTCATCGCGTACGTGTAGAAGTTGCTTGAGATAAATCGAATGTAACTCCCCCGGACAATTTCGCAGCCGGGATCTGAATTCCCATCAGATACCATTAGTAGAAGAAATCACAGTCACAAAGTAGAATTCCTTACATAATGGGTGCAACCTTCGCAAGCTGCTCAGTCAGTTGGATAGTAGCGGTGATATTGGGTAAATTCGTGATGCGACCAGAAGGACGCAAGTCAGGCAAGTCTTTAGGCATGTCACAGTCTATCTCGGTTGGGGACACGGAAACCGGGCGCCCATGAAGAATGCTGATTCGTCTATATATGGCTGACGGTTAGATAAAGATACTAGCAAGCATTGTTACATACCCACCTGTCGAGTGTGTACGCGGACCACCAAAGACGGTTCCGCAACTCGATTGTGCGCGCATCTAGACCTTCCTCCCCAAACCGACGATGCATGCCGTTCTGAATAGCCATCTTTATAGCAAGCCCGAGATAAGTATAAGCAAGACCGGAGGTATCAATTGGCATGGTATAAACCCCGAAGAGTAAAAAAGCTTGGACAGTTTCGACGGAAGCGGTAGTAATAAGGTCAGGGATCAGACGACAAGAAAACCTGTAGAGCGCCAGCCCGATAGTATCATCTGGTAGATGTCCTTCACCCGACATACTATGCAAGTATGGTGATCGGCTAGCATGCATATAGGCAAACTGGGTCCCAGAGGCGAACGTCATGAACAGGGTGCAAATCCAGCCCGCATCGTTGATATCCAAGTATCTGTCCTCGGTGTAATAGTAGTCTAGCTTTTGCCGAAATTCCGTTTCGTCAAAATAGTAATAATTGGTCTGCGTATACTCAAGAAACGTATCCAACAAGAATTCCGCAATGTGTCGCGGCGGGAAATACGTTCTTGATGAAGCAACAATCGAGCTAGAAGACTGAAGGCCAGTTGCACGAAATGGATCATTAGCTATGTGGGAGTCTCCCGTCTGATAACGGTAGTTAGCATAGATCCATAGATATAAATCAAAGGGCAGTACCATGCTATCGTCGGGATCATTTCCAAGGCTCTGCAGTTTTCGGCGAATCATACGTGAAAAGTTCCAGTGAGAAAATTCCCCAGAATAAACTGTGCACGGCGATTCAGGTAAGATATTTGGCAGCTAGAGAGTAAAGGCTACGCCCACCCATGACTTACGCATCGTACTCGTGGAAAGCGGATGAATGGAATAGAGCTCGCTCGACCCCGGTGCCAGAGCCGACGGGTTCCTTGGGCTCACTCGGTCCCTCTGCAAAGCATCCGCGACAAATTGCAAGTTTGACGGTTCAAATGATATGTCACCCATGAAATGCCGTACTATTTGTTCGAGATATCGTTCTTTTTCTGATGCCTGTTGCGGGGAGGCGCTAGCTCTATAGTATTGTGAGTTAAGGTTCCTAGCATTCTTCTAAAAAGGCGATGCTTCATCATACCTCGCAGCGTCACTACTCGCTGCTGGGGCAGGGGCCTGACTGTACTGACAGTTCCGCTTGTATCGTTGGCACCGCAGACAAGGCACTCCACCCTGACCTAGAGCCATCAGTAAGTGTTACAAAAAGGAGATACTAGGTAATATCAATACATTTCTCTTTGTGATACCTGCATGGATTACATCTGACATACGTGACAGATTGTTAGTCTTTGGGACTTGAGTATGAAAGGCCGTTCGCTAGAACCTCGACAAATACTCACGCTCGGGCGGCCCTCTTCCGCAAAGCGTCGGGGACTTTCGGTCGCCTCTGGCGACCAACCGGCTTGCTATTCTGGGGCCCTGTCATGACTTGAGATAAGAATAGTAGCCCGACCCATGAGATAGGGCGTGAGCGGCGCCTTGAAACATTGCGAAGGGAAGAGTAGTACGGAGGATAGAAGAGAAGCGACGATGATGTGGGGAAAGCACTGGACCAAGGCTCATTGCCCTCTCGGGGTTAGCGGAGTTTCACATTCAGCGACTGATTGCCAACTGGTCACGCACCACCTTGGACTGGACTATTAGTTGGATTACTATTGTCAGTACTTCCTGACTCTATGAAGAATTCTAGTATCAAGGGCTAAAGAGACAGATCTAAAGAACATGTCCTATTGAGTCTACTTCTCAGCCCTAACTTTCCTGGGACTCCCGTCGCATTACGCACTGTTGCCCATAAGATAGGATAGAGTGGAGTAGGCAGCTGTGTGGGTTCCTTGCAGGAGATTATGCACCCCGGTCTTATTCACTTAATATCGGATCAGGGTGAGTCAGTAGGCCCACAGAATAATCGGCAAGTGTTCAACAGACGAAAGCTGTATTACAAGCTTCAACAAATCTAATTACACAAGATATGGGTATATGATTCATGCAGAGCATCATTTCTGAACATCCAGAATGTGGCCCCGTCAAAGACAAACAACAAAAAAGCCTTATATCATCAAAGCATAGAGAAGGAGAAGTGAAATCAGGCTCATGCCTTCTCCGTGCTGATATCCCCAGAGCTGTTATCCTTCTCCAACTCCTTGTGAGTGTGGCTCAGCACGCTAGCGCGGCGCACAGCTTCATCTTCCACATCGTCCAGCGTATGCAGGAGCTCGCCGTGCTTGCCATACATGTGGGGCTCCTTATTGGCAATACGCACGACCGAGAAGATGCTCTTAGTCTTGCGGAAGATACGGTCCATTTCTTCCAACGACCGATGGGTCGTCTCCGGGTAGAAGAAAAATACAACCGGAACGATGAACGCGTTACTGTGACTGGTCAATACAGGGGGTCTCTTGGGCAGAAACTGCTGCGAAAACTTACATGACAGCGAAGATAATGTAGGTTTGGTAGTCAATGTTATCAAAAGCCACCGGGGTAATCATAACCACCATGAAGTTGAAGATCCAATTCGACGACGTGGCCAGGGCGTTCGCTGGAGCACGGATCTTCAGGGGTACGATCTCTGCCGGATACAGCCAAGTCATCCCCAGCCAACCGATAGCGAAGAAGGTGTTGAACACGAAAAGGAAGACGATGCAGGCAATGTTGGCCTCCGGAGTTTTGAGACTTGCCGTGATAGCAAGAATAATCATCGAGATCGACATACCCGCCGCACCGAACAGCATCAGCGTACGGCGACCGAATTGCTCGATGGTGAACACTGCAATCCAAGAGGCGATGAAATACTCGGTTCCATTGCACGCCGCGATCAGCCGAGAGTTGATGAGGGTCATCCCCATCTGCTGTTCCAACACAACCGGGATATAATATGTAATCAGATTGATGCCGGAAATCTGCTGGAACATCTGGTTGACATAGGCCAACACGGTACGGTGGAAGTGACGATCCTCGCCCATGGTGAACATATCCTTGAACGAACCCTTCGCCATCTCCAACACGGTCGCCTTAATCGCAGTGAACTCGGTTTGCAAGAATGTCGGATCGGTTCCATCTCCCAACAGGGCCCCCAGGACTTCTTTCGCTTCATCCTCCCGGCCCTTCAGCACCAGCCAGCGGGGAGACTCGGGCAGGAACATGACGAAAGCCAGGATAATGGCGGCAAAGAAGATCTGGAAAGCCAGTGGAAAACGCCACGCAACCTCACTGGGGTCGGCAAAGAGCAACCCAAAGTCGATCCAGTAACTAATCGTGATACCGCAGGTGATCATAGCGCCCTCGATCATGACCAGCTTGCCACGGTGATTAGACTTGCAGCACTCCGATTGCCAAGTAGGCACGGTGGATGTGTTCATGCCGTTTCCTATTGATCCCAAGTTAGCTGCGCACCATTTTCTCCCGCGCATCTTGCTACTCACCGAAACCAGTCACCAGTCGTCCAACGATCAGCTGGGGCAGGTGGTACGCCGTACACTGCAATAGAGCTCCAATGACCATGATGAAGGATCCGAAGAAAATGGTCTTACGTCGACCCAGCCAATTTCCAACCCAGATGGTCGGGATGGACCCGGCGAAACATCCCAAGTTGTAAGCGGCGACGACAATACCTGAGGGTTGTGGCCATTAGCATCCAGAGGTTGCGTATCTTAAAAGGAGATGAGGGCATCACTTACCTTGGCGAGTAGACTGAGCACTCCTTTGCTCGTGGTTTAGACTTTCATAGTAATCACCCGTGAGGGCAATGGTGGGGAAATATTTGATAAAGGACTGCAGGGTCAAAAGGCCTCCTGTGACACCTTGATCGTAACCGAAGAGTAAAAAGTCCATACCAGCAATAATACTGATGGCAATTTGCAGGGCGTTGCCCTGAAGGCCCAAGTACCTGCGAGCCATCTTGGGAAGATTTTAGTGTTCTTTTTTTTTTCTCTTTTGTCCCGGTTCCTTGTAAACAAATTCAACTAGATTCCCCTAACGGCACGAGACTCCTTTCAGGTGAACAACCACAAGAAATAGTAGTTTCATGCGACAGTGTGAGGAGAGGGTTCAAAGAAGGGAAGTCAAGGAAAGAAGGAAGGATGCATTGACACACGAGAGGAATCGGAGGGGAAAAGAATAAAAGAAAGACCAGCGGAAAAGTGACAGTAGAGGAATGGACGGGGGTTTATAAAAGCGAGCCTAAGGATGTTTGAGAGGGAAGGCGATTGGAGTGAATAAAAATAATTAAGAAAAAAAAAAGAATTTATAATATTACGATGGATTGATGGATGGATTTCATAATTTTGTTTTTATTAGAGTTCTCCCGGGCATCAGACGATTAATTCCATGGACTTGACCCGAAACAGAGAAGTGAGAGAAGTGATGATTGAAACCTCTTGCTGTTACTTTCCATCCGACTGGGGAAGGATGCATGGGTTTGGTATCGCAAACGATCAAAGAGTCCTTGATGATTGGGCTGCAGGGATTGGCTAGGGAACAGAATCTCCACCAGGTGCCAATCTCTCTCCTTGTAATCGAGGTAGTAGCGCGAGTACAGTAACAATTTCCCCATCTTTTCTCTCCCCCGGCTGTCTGGCCTCACTATCTCCATCTCCCGCAAGGTCACTCCATTGGTTGAACCGGAGGCTCCAAAGAACAGGGAACTGGATCCGAATCCCCACATAGGATGACTCTCAGGCACCTTCACGGCGGCCTCAACGTCGGATTTTTCTCTCACACCATCACGTCGAACTTATGACGAGGGTAGTCGGGCGACACTCCACCACCGAATCGATCGGCGGGGACTAAATGGGGGGGAAAGGACAAATGGGTTGAATGGAGAAGAAACGGACGCTTTTGCCCAATGCCGTCATGCTTCCTGTCTAGCCCGTTCTGGATAATCCGACGGGATACCAGTCTCTTTCCTTTTTTAATTCCCATATATGCATTTTTATTTTTATTTTTATTTTAATTTTATTGTACATTTTTAAATTTCCACAACTTTGATACTGATTACTTTGGAGTTCTCCCCATGGATAATAATAATAATAACAACAAAGAGACCGGTTGGGTGATTCAAATCTCCGGCAGAATGATCGCCACTGTTCTTTTTCTTTTCCTTTTTCCATGTCAAGTCCAATGCCCGTCTCGGCTTCGGGGTCCCTTGTCTTGCGCGCATCTCTAGTACCCTACAGTATTCATGGATTGGATTTCGCATGGCTCGCGTGGTTCGAGAAACAAGACACAGAAAAAGAAAGAGATAAGTGGAGGGCTCCGAGAAAGAGGGACCCGTCCATCGTCATCGCTCACTTGACCTCGCTCGGCCGATTACTCAGGAATCTGGGGAGTTTGGAGTCTCCGGATTTTGCAAAAAGAGGGGCTGACTACTTCGGCCCTATCCGCCAACTCATGCCCTTACCGTGGCGCCTCAATCGGCTCCGGTTCTAATCTTACAGTAATGGAAATTGTGGCGCTTCTGGTTCATCTTTTTATTTCTTGACTTTGTTAATCCTTATCTAGAGCTTCTACCTTACTTCCCCATCAGGCGAGGGGCTGGTTTGTCGATGTAACTCCATAATATTATCGTTGGATGGGGAATCTTTTGCTTCCGTCGCAGTGGTTAGTGGTACTTTGTCCAAGTTGGTTCTAGTAGCCTCGTGAATCATAGGAAAAACATCCCCTCCTATTCTCCATTGCTACCTCGCTAAGTCATGCAATCCAATCAGGTTGGTCCGATGAAATAGTCCCCACTCTCTAACATCAAATATTGAAATGATTGAATGAAACCTCGAAGACTGTGCAAAATGGGTATTGATCAATGGAGATAATCTGAAATTCTCATGCATGTTGGCTGAGTCTTTTTGTTCTTTTTTTTTTCTCTTATTTTTCCTTCTCTTTTGTCCGGAGCGATACGAAGGCCGAAGCCTGCCGAAAGCATCTCAACTTTAAATCAGCCCGGGCCGGAGAAACCCTTTCCGGGCTCACGCCGAGAGACACCGAAGCATCGGACCAAGACCGCCACGACAAGCTAACACCAATACCAACAGTCTCGGCGCGCACTTAAGCCATTTGCACAAGAGATCAAGCGAAATCCTGGCCAAAGTCAATACCACCCAAGCAACACAAGACTTGTATATCCCTGCTTCCAAGAAAAGCAAAGCATTACTCAAAATTACTCTCTGTAGACGACTGCCTAGGCTGAGAATCGATGGATGGATCTCGTATAAAAGTTTGCATCCTCTTCCGCCGCCATTCTAGCCCTAAAGTTCCGCCGGTCGGCCATCGCATTCATAAAGGCGTTCAACCCGTGCACCTCACTGGACGATCCACAATGGAGCATCGTGGTTGAGAGACTTTTTCCTGTCTCTCTAAACCAGATAGGGTTTAGTCGTTCTTGCCCGCCGGACTCCACTCCATCCCCCATTTTCCCTCCTCGTTTTCTGCTTTTGCCCCCCGTGAAACGTGCACTGCCTCTCCACAGCTTGCCTTTCGGCTGTGTCCGAAACTGCTTTTTTAACTTCGTCCAGACGTCAAACAGATCATATGGATGCCTTTCTCGGATTGCCTATTCTGGTCGTTCCGGTCGTCCCATGCTCATACCGTGGGAGATTATATCCCTGAGAAGGGACCGGAGCAGGCATATCAATGGCCACCTCGAGTCTAGTTCAGAGGTGTTACCCCAGAATCTTCATCTATCACGGGGCCCCGGATCTATTCCCATTTACCTTGAATTTTTTTTTTCACTTTCTCTTCCCTAATATATCCCGGAATATGAACAGAGAGGAAGATATTTCCAGATTTCTTGAGACGATCCCACAACCCGCCTGACTCGGACCCTCGAATTAAATCTGACATGCCGATCATAGATCACAACGGGATGCGTCGCACACGCGGCACGGTAGGGCAACTGTAAGAATCCTCGTCCCGACATATTAGTCCTCTCGACCACACGGCCAAGATCTCGAATCCTCGCTGCCTGGTTGCATCTATTGCACACCATTTCGGGTGGATCAACTCAATACGGAATCAGCTCATACCTGCATGCACAGAGGAACAGACCGGTTCGAAATCCAATCAGCGCCATGGATGCATCAATCGGGGGATAGAACGACTCATAATGTCCAGTAACAGATGCCGCCGGTGGGGCTGGTCGCGAGTCCGACTAAGCTAGAGAACAAGCCAAGGTCCCTTTGGCGCGGACTTCTTAACCGGCATAAGGGTTTATGTTACTCAGGAAAGATCTGTAGCTGTAACATATTATTAACTATTTTATTTTACCCCCTGTGTCGGGATGCGCACAGAGCTTTGGGGCAAATCCCTTGCGAAGCACGAACCTCAGCTCTGCAGTGCGGTTGCCTGTGAAGGTAATTCCTACAGGGCGGACGGCAGGCTTGCTTTAGTATATGGACAGTAAACTCAATTTCTTATTAGTATTAGGATGGGTACTGGTCAAGGGCTTGGCCTCCAAATATTTGGGCGTTTGTCCGAGGCATTTTATTTCAAGATTCAACTTGCTAAATTGATCAATGACGTGACGTACATCTATAATGTTGTTATGGTCGGCAGGCAGATAGAGGTATAATCAAACTAATTGAATTATTAGAATGTACATGAATATGCATCGACGTCAACGAAGCAAGGGCATCGAAGAGACTGTTGTCAGATTGAACTCAACATCTAACCACAGAACCACCATATATGTTCATCAACACGATCCCCTCAACCGAATACATACTCAATAAATCAATGTAGCACCTGACAACGCAAAACCCAACTCCTCACCGCTTTCCAGAACTCCAACAAGTCAGAAATAAATGGTAAAAGAACCCGTCAAAATGATATTCCACCGCATGAGTCCAGACAACAAAAAAGCGCCCCTTGTATGTATACACATCCCCACTACTAGTAATATGTATGTAGTATGTGCATATAACTGATAGCACACCGTACAACAACTCACAGCCATGTATAATCGACAATTCCAAAAATAAGCTCATATATCTCTCTACCCAATCATATATATTAAATCCACCAACCACCCTATACACAGTAGTCCTCATAAACCCTCAATTAATCAAACTACACTAATTCATGCACAGACTCATAACTTCATAGTCCTAAACTTAATCAATCAATAATCAATAATATATCAATCCACCGTAAAACCCCCATGCCCAACCCCAAAACAAAAGTTTAGAAGCACCCCCCTCCCCCCACCCTCTTCTTCCCAAAGAAAAAAAAAAGCACCCCTTACATACCGCCTATCTCACATTCCGATCCGACGCTGATCTGATCCCAGTGGAGCAAGATCCCAATCAATCCTATTAGATTTCCGCATACATAAATAGGTGGTATGTACTGTACACGTTCATCCCACGTTGCCTGGATCGCCCGATTCGAAGAATGTTCTCGGGATGCCTAAATGCGGCGTTTTAAGGGGGAAGGGACTTTTGTCGCTTTGTTTTCGGGTTGCCTTAGTCCGGTCTTGTGTTGTATTCGTTGCCAAGGTTGGGTATGGGCTTGGCGTGGTATTTCCTTCTGTGTTGTGTTTATTCTAGAGAGGGGGTTCTTTTTAAGCGTATTACTTTTTTGGGTCAAGGTAATATCGGTTTTTTATAGGGATATTGTGTGGTCTTCTGGGTGAGAAGTTTGGGATTGTTTCATGGGGATACTCTGTACTTGGTTTCAGGGTTATTTCTCTTTGTGTTGGTAGTGTTGAGGCCTAAAAGGTTCGGGGCAATGCCTGATTGAATGTCGCGCGTAAGTTTTGCCGGTCATGGTATTTCCTTTGAACTACCACTAAGGTAGGTGGTTGGTTCTCTACGAAGCATAAAATGACTACACAGTATGATATCCCAACGCCAATACCCACATACAAATGCATACGCCTTTTAATGATGGCCTGACTTTTATGTCACGAAACTTCCGAAGACCAATGATGGAGACGAACAATCATGTAGCGGTGCATTCGAATTCCACTAGCCCGAGGCAAACAGAGAATGGAATCATTCCATCGTGAGACAGGAGTGGTTCCTTTTTCTGATTGTATCTCGGTCCGTGCGAAAGACTCCTCTTTCCCGGTCCCGCCGGCCAAAAGTAGCGCAGCTACCGTGCTCCTCTGGATTAAACTAAAACTGGTCAAGGCTCATGCGAAAAACTTGGGGACGAATAATATACGGGCAATGACATCTGATATCGTGCTAAATGGTCACTCCCACTTACGCCATGCTGTGACCGCACGCTCTACGCCTACCAATCCGCTTTCATTCCGTCTTCCTCGGTAGGCTGTGCTTCCGTCTGTTTGGCCATCCCGGTGTTATCGGTATCCCAGTTGTCATTCGCAGCCGTGTTTTGATTGTCATTGTCGCCCATACCACTATCATTGACTATGGCGCTAGGGCAGCGTCTGACGGTGTGGCCCACTCAAAACCCAGTATTAACATGACAATTTCAAGATAATAGCACCGACCAACTTACTTTCACCACATTTGTTACACTTGACTTTGGACCAATCTCTCTTCTTGGGACAATCGCGACTGAAATGGCCCACTAGCAATCGTCATCAGCTTTATGTCCTGTCACAATCTGGACCATTGATTCTTACTTTCGTCACAGTTACGGCAGGTCACGGTGGAAACATCACGAGGCTTATCACAGTCTTTCACGATATGATCCTCAGACCTGTCCTGTCAGATCATAGATACAGGCCAAGAGCCAAAAGAAACTAGAGTAGGATCTATGCTTACCCGCAGTTACGGCAGGTTCTGGGAGCAGGGGCCTGTGGGCAGTCCTTCACAAAATGACCGACTACATATACGCATCAGCATTCAAGCGCATATAACACTGGGGTTGAATAGCATTACCCTCGTTGCAACGCTTACACTCGACACCTTCTGCAGAGCGAGGGTTAGGGCAGTCGGATGCTTTATGATCAGAAACTCTTTTGAAGGTCAGCGGCACAGTCATACATTCCAGGCTAGTGAGGGCGTACCCGCAGTTACGGCAAGCAAATCTATCGCGGCGAGCCTCGGTGCAGTCACGGGCACGGTGTCCGACGGCGTTGCAGTTGACACACTTCACTTCAACACGTTCGTGAACAGCACGCTCCTCCTTGCAGCCGCGCGCAGTATGACCCATTTCTTCGATGCTTCATCAGCTATCTATTCCTAGAAGCCAAAGGGTGTGATTTACCTCCACAGTTCGAGCACTTTGGAACCTCTCGATCGTAAGGGATACCGGCATTCTCTAGACGCTCGAGGTTTTCTTCAACCGATTCGGGCCAACGTTCTCTGAGATTGGCGCGCTGAGGCTTCGCGCTGTAGTAAAGCCCAACTACATACTTGCAGTCCAACTTGCCTTGGAGGTTGATAACACTCATACAATCACCCACTGGCTTCTCCTGTTCTCAGGCATGCAATTAGTACTGGAGAAAGGATAAGCGTAGCAGCAATCAGCGCCACTAACCATGGCAATAAAGTAAAAGCGGAAGTTTTCCTGGCGCATCTTTTTTTCAATATCAACGAAAGTAGCATCAGGGACCGCCTTGGAATAGATTTTTAGAGCCTGTCTTCTTGTCAATACCCGTACTATAGAAGACCGAGAGGAAATGCCGAACGGATTAAATGAGCCTGTAGATACGTGCCTCGCGGAAGTCCTCAAGGTCTTTCTCCTCACTAGCCTTCTGCATGGCAGCCCAGGCCTCCTCTGGAACCTTGTCTGGAATATTGTTCAAATCGAACTTGCGATTTCCCTTGCAATCCATGGTCCGATGGCCTTTGGACATTAACTTAGCATGTCTCATGTAAGGAACTGTATATCCTCTTTTTACCTTCCATCTTGCAGTTTCTGCACACATCAGGGGCTTTGTCAGGGCATTCAGCGGCGCGATGGCCTTCCTGGCTGCAGATACGGCAAGTGCCCTTAAAAACATGAGGCTTGGTGCATTCCGCTTTGTTGTGACTAAAGCACTTCTCAGCCAGAGGTAGTCAGCTATCCACGGTGTCACTTACCCTTCTTCACCGCAGTTGAAACAGGTCATACCCTTACGGGGCTCAAGGCAATTACGTGCGAAATGATCATCGGCCCCACAGCTGTACATGGATCAGAAGAGAGGAAACCCAAGCCATAGGAGCTGACTTACTTGCGGCACCTATTGTCGACACTCTGGTCATTACCAGTGGGCTCAGAGACACCGGCACCATAACCATCCTCTTTGAAGTTGCTAGATGGGTTGATGTTCTCATCTTTATAGTTCGCTATTTATATATTAGCGCTCAGGCAGTAGTAGGCATGGGGCCGGGTGGGGGTATGGGGTGAACTAATCACAGATAATGGGCAAACCACAAAGCATGAGCTGAACTATGACAGTTGTGATATGCACCTACCATTGTCAGAAGCATTCTCCCATCCAGCCGCTCCACCGTCAGCACTCCATGTAGCCGCTCCGTCATCAGCAACCCAGCCACCCATCTTGTTCGTCTGGGAACACTTGTCGCTGTGAAGGGCTAGAAGCTATAAGGAGAGGATATTATTTCAAGTATAAAGAGTGAAGGACCAAATGGGAGACGATATGCGTGAACACGTGTAAATCACCGGTGAATATCTGTAGTGAAGGGTTTATTGCTTGGACAACTAAGGGAAACACATGAGACATTTAGAACTATACTCACCTGAAAATCGTTCTTGATGAAGAGTAGTAGCATCCAAAGACTTGACAGTCTCAAGAGAGATAGAGATAAGGTATTGGGGATGGAGAGTAGAAGGAGGATACAGGACGGGAGAGAAAGAGAAGGTGGAGGGGATTCGAAGGATACAAATAGAAAAGGTCTCTTACAACAAACAGCAGAAATCATTCACTGCCACTTTCCCACAGGTCACATGTCCTTCTTCTCTTCCATGAACAAGTACACTCTCTATTTGTGGACGCAACTTGGTCTTGATCTGTTTTATCCTAGATTAAACACAACTATGCAGTATCTCAATAGTTTCCATGTCATTATATTATGTACGACTGAGGTATTTACTTGCTCTACTACGTACCCGATTCTATCTGGCTAGGTTATAAGCTTCAGCGTATACCTTCTCTTATACCAAAGACGTACACCTCTCCTAGCAACCTGTTCCTGCTTGGCTCGATAGAGCAAGGATCCTGTGTACTTGAAGCACTGCAGACTCATTCCGCAGTAGCTTTACCCAAGAAAGCTCGGAGGAAGCATCATACACGTGCACAAAGCTTAGGGAGCCCCATCAAGAGCGCTGTCGCTCCATCGAGGGCGGCATTACACTTGCCGAGCTCTAGCGAAAACCAACCTGAAGTGCTACATCAACCACAAGCCCCGAATTAGCCGGTAAGCCGGTCAGTTCAAGATAGGACGCCTACATATAATTTCTCGGGCCATTGAGAATATCTATACCACACGAATATCTACGCAGATGGCAAACCGATCACCCACTAAACGCCCATCAATAACTAAGCCAAAACAGGAAGACAGCTTTTCCATTGGCAACGGAATCGAATCAGCGATACAATCAAGATCAATCAAAACCGGAAAGCAACAGGGAGTAGAACATAGGGATGGGGCACACAAATCAGCCTCCCCTTCCACTCTTATACAACAGATAGGCAAGGTGTATGGAAACCCCATACAATAGAAAATCTACTGAATCAACACGATAATAGAGAGCGGGGGCTTATGGCACGCTTATCCAAACCGCCTGCATATTCGGCCTCCCTGCGGCATTTCTATACTTGCGGAAGGGAAGCAAGTTGGCTAGACCTTCATTCGATCTATCTTTAGGTGGCGTATATAGTGAACATTAAGTTACCTCATATCATTTCGAACGACAGAGAGATATGAGAATATCTACACAATGGCAGACAATGAAGGACGAACAACGGTTCTTGACTGCAGTAGGTACGAACAGGCACTGCTCTGAAGTGCTGATTTTCAAGATACTGACAATATACTAATTAGTATCGCGACACACCTCCACTGAAACACGGTTAGAATGGCCACAAGTCTTGTTATCTCTAGCACCCATTTGCGATTGGTCTACGGACATTGTCCTATAAAGAATCACAAATTGTTGGATAGAAATGTTGTATACCCTGACTGTTGGTTAACCTTGCTCTCGCCGGAAATTTGATAGATACTATTGTTTGCCGTAACAACAAGCCTCCAGCGTGTTCATTGAACGTGAACTATACTAGGCGAACTTACTTCATACAAATGATCTTGAATTTCAGATAGCCGATAGCCGGGGAATATAACGCCCCCGATCAGTATAAATTACGCACAAAACTACTATGACTCTATTGCAAAGATCCACGACAGCTTAGATTGCCACAGCCCGGAGCAGTCATGGCAAGACGCCCAAGAGCGAGTCGAGATAGGGACTCTTGATAGCGCCACAGTCACATAACACTTTCCTGCATTGTTTGTTAATCTCCCGGAGAGAATAGCTAAACTCTATTCAAATAAGAGAAACGAAAATTTTTCCTCGATGGGTTTGTTCACCGGTCCAGCTCACCGATTGCCCCGTCTTGTCACTATCATCACTTGGCAGCCGAGGATAAGATCTGGATAATGAGTGACCCGAGATCGGATTGAATCTATTCGAATGAGTCATTCAGGCCACTGAGACTTCTTATATATGTCTATAATTCGACATTGTTTGGTGCAAAGCTACTTTCAAGCCCATTGAACACCGTTCCAAAACTGATCTGCATCTCTAGCCTCTGATTGGCTAGACTGCTTTTTTTCCCTTAATTTTTTTCCGCCGACCATCGGATTGCGAGAAACTTTGCCTTTCGAAGGTTTATGCCTAGTTTTGAGGTCTTGTACCTCCCTCCTGGTTTTGATTCTCTCTCGAATTCCACTGATAGAAAGACCCTTAGCCCGGTAGAGGCAAGAGCCGGAGATTTCCAGTTAAATCCATTGTTTCCCCGCAAACGGAACGTCGGATTAAAGTTGGATATTAAAAACTATCTACCGAGCTATAGATAATCATTTACCCCTCCGATTAATCAATCCAGTCCACCCAACAGTCCGATCGGAGGCAATATCCGCAATGGCTCTATCCCTTCAGGTATGTTTTCTTTGCATCGATTGAGTTACTCGGGGGCGTGGTAGGACCTTCACAATGGCCGAGGATATGCGAAAGCTCTCGGAGTTATCCGTTTCTTTAAATCCTTCTGCAGAATTCCCAAAATTGCTAGCAGGAATGGCCCATGGCATGCTAATTGCATCTCTAGGCCTGATTTTCAAAACAAACCAAGCAAGCACCCCGGTGGATAATCCGATCTAGCCGATCAAATTCCTTTCTTGTCGACGTGCGGGGCTGTCAGATGTTCCTGTGGAGTCTTTAAAATATTTCTCTCAGTGCTGCAAGTTCGACTTCGGTTTTTCTACAACCGTTCTTTAAGGCGTCCCATTTTGTCTTAATCAAGACAGGGCCTCCTTTCCGTGGCGTCGGTAGCGCTGCAGTGTTCCATTGCACGGGCGTCTCAAAGGCCAGCCGTATTTGAGCCGGGACACCATCATGTCTTTAATACATCCACAACCCCAGCCCGAGGACATAGGTAAACATGCCGACGGTCAAGATGTGTATGTGCCGTTTCGCGACAGTCGCGACGATGGGGAATCCGGCAGTGAGCCAGATATCGCCGATATCGAGCGCATTTACAGGTATGCGTTCATCTCTTGTCGACAGAAAAAGCGATAAAAGATAGGAAAGAAAGAAACAACTGACAGAATACTAGGAAACTGGATTTGCGCATCATCCCTGCCTTCTGGGTTCTGTACTTTCTTTGTGCAGCCGTCCGATCCAACGTTTCACTGGCGCAAACGATGAATCCAGATACTAACCACACTATTTTTGATGTTCTGCATGTAGACGATCACCAAGTCTCGACCGCTCTCGCCTTATTCTACGTGTGCTATGTCATCTTCGATCTACCATCGAATCTAATCATGTCCAGACTGAGCCCGCACGTCTGGATGAGTCGCATTGTTATCAGCGTCGGCGTCATTGGCACTTGCATGACCGCCATGAAAGCCGCATGGAGTTTCTAGTATGCCCCCGACTCCCCCAAAAGAGCTCACCCATCGATACTCCCAACACATAGGATTATCTACCACGCAGTAACTAACCCACGCCAGCCTCCTCCGTCTACTCCTGGGTATTGTCATCGCAGGCATGTGGCCTGGGATGGCCTACTACCTCACCCTCTTCTATCCTCCGTCTCGAACAGGGAAGCGAATCGGCCAATACTACACAGCAGCGCAGCTTTCCGCCGCAGCCGTCGGCCTCGTCTCAGCCGGATTCCAAAAGATGGATGGCATCCACGGCTACGTTGGCTTCCAGTGGATGTTCCTGGTCTGGGGCGTCATAACAATCGCCGTCGGCATCCTCCTCCTCTGGTGGCTCCCGGACCGGCCCACGCCCCCCGGCGAAGAACCGCCCAAGAAGAAATACCTACGCTGGTTTCCCCGCAGCCCGCCCGCGCTGACCGGCCGCGACGCCGAAATCCACTACCACGATCTTAGGCGCGTATACCACCGCCCAGCATGGACGCTCCAGGACCTCCTCCGCGTCTTCCTCGACTGGCGACTCTGGCCCCTCCTGATCATGTACTTCGGCGTCGTAGGCGTGGGCATCGGTGTGCAAAGCTACGCAACAGTCATCATAAAAGCCATCAACCCCACGCTCAGCGGAATAGACCTCAGTCTCCTCTCTGCCCCAATCTGGCTCGTAAGTCCCGCCCAACCACAATCCCATCCATGATATATCCTCCCCCCTCCCCCACCCACAACTAACCAAAAACACAGATGGACCTAGCCGCCATCCTCCTCGTAACCCCCTTCTCCGACCGCTTCCACCACCACCGCGCCGTCTTCTTCTCCATCCCCGTCCTCCTCCAAATCATCGGCCTTCTCCTCACCACCTACGCCGGCTCCAACTCCAACTCCTGGCCCCGCTACGGCGGCCTCCTAATCGTCGGCTTTGGCCTCGGCCCCACAGTCCCCATAACCATGACCTGGACCACGGAGATCTTCCAACCGCGCCACGGCGAAGTCGGCGTCGCAGCCGCCTCCGCCGTCGTCTCCGGCCTCGGGAATCTAGGCAGTATCGTAACGACCTACGCGCTGTACAACGGATGGGACGAGGATAGGTCGGCGCCAGGCCGGCTCAAGTTCCGGAAGAGTAATCTGGTGATGGTGGGGATTCTGTGCGGGAGTATTCTTGCGGCGGTGGTGATGCAGGTTCTTGTCCGTGTTGTTGATGGGGGGAGGGTTGGTGATCAGGATAAGATTGTGGATGGGGCTGCGAGGCGGGAGGCGCGGCAGAGGGGTTTGGATGGGTTGGGGTCGAGTGTTTTGGGACTGTTTAGGAAGAAGAGGGGGCCGAGGTGATGCGTATTATACTTATAGACATTGTGGTGGTTTGTTGTGGGTGGGGATGGATGCGTTCATTGTGTCAGTTGGGTTGTGTGGGCTTGCATATGCTCCCGTTCTTAATACATGTATTTATACTATGGTTTCTCTATGATAGATATTGAGGGGGGGTAGAGGAGATCTTCTTAGATTAATAGGTAGTTTGTGCAATTATCCACGATACAAATCTTGGAATCTTGGCTTCGTAGATTTAAATACTGCTTTCTGTACAATTTATTCACAGTGGGCAATAGGAAACGAACGTGGTAGACAGATGAGCCATCCATGATTGATTCGGTCCAGCCAAATTCGACTAGCCATGGCGAACTGAGGCCTCAGGCTGAGATACCTCTGGATCAGTTGTTCCCACACAGGCACACAATTTACGGCCTGAGGCGGACCTTGTCGATAATGGTCAGGGCTCAATGGAGTGGGAGGACGATGACGTTTCAATACGCAATGATATGGAACCAGGCTCAAAGAGTGTTTGGTTGTATTTTGATACACTATATTACTAAGACAGTTGGTGACTCCTTTCCTCCTGTCGCCTCAACAGCTATTTCATTCCTAGTGACTGTCCAATTCACTGCGATCCTTCTATGTTGTTGACGTAACACATAACCCACATAACAATAACGAAAGAGAAAACAAAAATTAATGTAAACGGCACACGGGTAATGAACGCAAAGGCAGGCTCTGGCATCGGAGTAAAAAGAAAACTTGAAATACCATCGTGAGAAGGAAAAAAAAAAATCTATATGTGCTTCACACTGCCAGGCTGCTCTCCTAGTTCGATCCCAACTGACGCCGGAGGGTATACGAGCGCTAAGAGGAAAAGAAAAGTCTTCACGTTTTTATTGGATAGTTAAGGTATCTAGTTGCCACCGCAAAGCTGCATGACGCAATCCGTTAGTAAATCAGGTCCCCACTTGGTTTGATTCGAGATTCTGGAATGGAACTTACAGTCTCAACGATGATACCAGTGATCTGGTAAGGGCAGGCGTTACTAGCGGGGCGACGATCCTCGAAGTAACCCTTGCCATCCTTAGCCACCTGGCGAGGAATACGAATGCTGCCACCACGGTCGGCAACACCGTAGCTGAACTTGTCGATGTTACCAGTTTCGTGACGACCGGTGAGACGCTCCTCGTTGCCTTCACCGTAGACGGCGATGTGCTCAACGTGACGGGCCTCAAGCTTCTTCATGTAACCCTCAATGGCCTTCATGCCGCCCTCAGCACGGGTGGCGGCGTTCGAGACGTTGGTATGGAGACCGGCTCCGTTCCACTCACCCTTGATGGGCTTGGGCTCGAAGGAGATACGAACGCCGAACTCTTCAGCGACGCGGTGGAGGAGGAAACGGGACATCCAGAGCTGGTCACCCACTATTCCAGAATGTTAGAACTGGAAGCAACTAGGGCGAGTCTAAATGAAAAGGGAGAGGTATGAAACTTACTCTCAATGCCACTGCAGGGGCCAACCTGGTACTCCCACTGGGAAGGCATGACCTCGGCGTTGATACCAGAGATTTTGATACCGGCGTACAAGCAGGCACGGTAGTGGGCCTCAACAATATCACGGCAGTAAACCTTGCCAGTACCAACACCGCAGTAGTAAGGACCCTGGGCACCGGGGAAACCGCCCTTGGGCCATCCGTAGGGCCAACCATCGTTACCGAGGAGAGTGTACTCCTGTTCTAGACCGAACCAGAACTCTTCCTTGGCGTGGACCTCCATCTGGCGGTTGGCGTCATGACGGTAGTTGAACTTGTTGGGGGTACCATCCGAATCCCATGTCTCGCACAGGACGAGGATGTTGTCACCGAGACGGAAAGGATCGGGGTAGATGGCAACGGGACGCAGGTAGACATCGGAGTTGTCACCGGGGGCCTGACCGGTGGAGGAACCGTCGAAGTTCCATTCGGGGAGTTCGTCGACGGACTTGACAGCCTTGGAAAGAGTCTAGCGAAGTGGAGTCGATGGTCAGCAATCTCAGCCTCCTCCTAAGACGATCACGTGCAGCGGGTAGGCGCAGGAGCAGGATCACCGTGCGCAGAGCTTATCGGCCAAGGAAAGGTTTGAGATATCAACTCTATGCGTCTGTGCGCCGATGCTCCAAGCCCATCCATTGTCTCCCGGTGCGCGATCGTAAAAATAGAAATTAAGAATATGTGAACATACCTTGGTCTTACTGCGGCAGCCACCGACGGCGTCGATCCAGACGTACTCGGCCTGAACGCTTCCGCGCTGGTCGAGGTTCATGTACTTCATGAGCTGTTGCCAGCGCAAGTCAGTATGATTGTTCCCTCAAAGCCGAAAAAACGGCTGAAGAAAGCATAGGTATCAATTGAGAAGTGTAACGCACATTCTCCGTGTTGGAGATGGTGGTTGATTCAGCCTGTGGCGATAAGTCATGGAGTCAGCGCTCGTCCGATCAAGAATACAAGAGAAGGAAGAGAAAGGGATCGATACGTACCATGATGAATTATGTGTGTGTGAAGAATATAGACAATAAAGTTTTTCTTTTCGAGATATCTCGGGCTTTGCAACAATGATGCAGAGCACAACCCAGACTTCCAACTGCTTTAAATCAAGCTTGTTCCTGTAGTATAACGGACGAATTCGGAAGGACAATCGGAAGGATCGATTGGAAGCAAGCGAAAGGATGAGGAAAGGATGCAGAGAGTAGACAACAGGAAGGGAAGGGAAGGGAGACGGATAAAGTATACGAAGCAAGAAGGATGGGGAAGTAATGTGACAGTGGTTCAGAGTGAGTGGGGAGGCGATGCTTTTAAATTTAAGAGAAACGAGCAGGAGAGACTGGATGGATTTGATTGAATTAGTTGTAGCTTTTTTTGGTTGGCTTTGGGGAGGGGGGCAAATCCCTCCCGATCGGGCATGGGGCGGTTTCGGCTTGAAAATTACCGTACGGCGCCGTCGACGGTCTCGGTTGCTGGGCACCGGAAATTTTCATTTTCATTTTTTCTTTTTGGATATTCTTTCATTTCGAGATTTTGATCTGCCCGGCCTCCCATTCCCTCGTTCTTTTTGGTTGGTGTGATTCTTAAAATTTTCCCCATTTTAATGAACCCCAGAACCCTACTGAACTTCTCCAACATGTCTACATCTTCTTTGGGGAGATGATTGGAATGGAATGAAAATCTATTTTGGATTTTAATTAAATACACAAGTGGATGCGGTGGTTGCGCTGTTTCAGAAAATTCAAAACTATAAAATAAAAAATGATAAAATTAAAAATGAAAAGAAAATAAAATCATGGTAAAAAAAAAGAAAAGAAAAAAGGGCGCACATACCCACTCATTTGTGCGTTGAGTGTCTGGACACTGAACCGATGCGGCAAGGCTGCAATTGAGACCAGGGTTGTTGCTCCGCCATCCGTATTTCACAGTAATATAATCCCATACCCATATCATATCATACGGGAGCATAGCTTAAGATATCTATCTATAGTATCTATAGTATCTATAGTATCTATAGTAGTATCTCGCTTTCTATCTGAAAATATAGTAAGTCGATAACAGCAGATAGCCACAGCCTAGATGCTTCGATCTTGTTAATCCAGGTGGAAAGGGATTACGAGGTTCATGGCCCGACTCAGGCACTCAATAATACTACCTATTTCGGCCAATCGATGGCGTGGAAACCACAAAAAAAATGACTCCCCCTTTCCTCGAAATAATAAATATATATTAAAATAAAAGAAAAAGGCTGCAGGTAATGCAGGAAAGTCTGCATCAAGTCTGGAATCACCGGAATCTCCCTTGACATGTCTATCTTTCTTTTGTGTGCCTCTCTCCCTCTTTCCCCAGATAATCGCACCCCACGCCACGGTGATCTCTCTGATTGATGTTTAATTATACTTCGTCGACAGGACTCCCATGCATGATGACCTACCTTCCTTCTCGACCAGCTGACCTCCCACCGCGGGGTTGTCCGACTTGAGGCATCCAGATAGCAGGAAAAGTGGTTGCTAACAGGTATTATCAATAGGTATCAACCAAGAACCACATATCAGCTGCAGGACCCAAATATCGATCCATTAGTTTGAACGTTGCATACAACTAAGCGCCCTGGACCGTCATCCCATTGGTAGACCTTCTATCAGAGCAAGTGCAATGGATTAGATATGATTCGTTCCCTTGATCTCTTTTGGCTCTTTCTTCTTTTTCTTTTTCCCTTTTTTCCACGTTGGAGTCCGTGTTCAACTCAATAGGTGCCTTGTCATATTCATTTCAATCTTACGGGGCACCAGTCAGAGTTTCATGGGGGGAAGCTAACAGGAATAGTTGTGATAGGATAATAAGGCAGTACCTGCGACTTATCAGAAAGGATTCCTTATCAATGCCCCTCAAACGAGGCCACCCCGCCATAGTAGTCGCGCAGGTGGATCAGAGCGCGTTTGCCGTGATTCAATGAATAGGTTTTTCCTTCTTGTTCTTTTAGATCCCCCTCAATCCATGAAAGAAGCAAATCAAAACGAAGCAAAGAAAAGAATCAGCGCTTTATCTATTGGACAATAATGATCCTTCTCATTGTATGAAAGCAAATGAGCGGCAATATTACGGTAATTTACCGACTCAGAAAATCATACTCCGTCTTGAATAACAAACTCTCCACGAGTGGGGGGGCGTGGCAAAGAAATTCTCGAAAGGAGAAAAAAACCCGCGGACTCCCCGAGACCGGCCCAGATGGTTAGTCAGAGGGTTTATTCTTAGAGAGAAATTAGGCGAGGAGATTGGTCCAACCGCGGCCGTTGCACCGCCTCGAAGGGCGTGGTCGACGAAGGGGGAAGACCTTGGGTTGTCAGGATTAAGTCACTCCCAGGTCTCAATAACCGGGTTTGGGGTACAGACAAGGATTCTCCAGAGTGACGATCTCTTCTCTTTGTACATCATTCTTCCGACTGTGTCAGGTACCGGGAGCAAATCACAGGCGATCAAGGTCGGGAGAATCAGGAATCCGGAATGCACTTGCAGTGGCTGGAGAGGAGTAACAAAGAGAGGTTTCTCGGTTCAGCCCTGTGGATGAACATCCACTCGCAGGGGAGAGAGGATGTACCTCGGTGTATTCTTAGTACATACATATACTATATCTGGATATGTATTCCCGGGAATAAGAATAGTATGTATGATTGTAAGACCAGGCTGAGTTATTATTAGATGTGTGGTGGAACGGGCAAAAAAAAAAAGCAATAGAAATCTAGATTCTATGTAATGCATTGGAATAGAAGTCTAGATAGATATTATGTACTATGTACTAGTAGTCGACTAGTAATTGTCAATGATATGCATGGCAGGCCGCTCTTGCCCACCGTAAGCCAAGTCAACGAGAATAGAACATGTGGCGCAGTCCCCGCTAAGCCGGGACCGGGTTAGCCGGAACGTGCAAGAGATGGATGCGTCATGACACCTGAAAGCGCACCTGATACTCGTTCCCTCGGATAAGATGGCCTGAAATTCAATACCTAACACTTACTACTACCTCCGTACCTCACCGACATCCAGGGAAAGGAGTCATCGTCCAATGACTGCAATATCAATCTCCTAGAGCCTGATAATGAGTAATGAGATCAATCGCCTACCATGTTTTCCCATTGAGATGCTCCGCAGAAAGACGGTCCCTTATCGGGGCGCCCTGATTGGTCCCTGCCGCACCCTCATGACAAACGGTGCTGACTGAGACGAGTCGGCCCGAATCGTGAATGCATGCCTCAGGTTTCGGTTAAGGTGATGATTACGAAGCCGATCACATTCTGTATCACTTTAAAGTTGGTAGAATTCCGGGGTAAAGGAAGACAAAAAAAGGGATAAAGGGGGAAAACAATTGAAATACTCATTTTTCTGCAAAATTCTATTTCCATTTCCATTTCAATTGAAAAGTACTTTGTAGCCTAGGAATTTCCCATTGATTTAATGCCGCATAACCCCCGTACAAACGCATGCAGCAAATCTTTAAATGAGGTATTGTCCGGGATGGTAATTCGCGCAGTTGATCATGGAAGTTTCTTCTTCCAGCCTTTGATTTTTTGATTTATTTAATTTATTGTAATTTTTTAGCTAGTATTCTCTAGTTCTTTTAGTTCTCTTTTTTTTTTTTCACTGTGGATTCTTTTTGACTATCATTTTGAACTTTTTCCACATCATAGGATAACCTATATTTTGGGATTTCTCTGCATACACACTTGACAGATCAATTCTCTGGATGAATTATTCCCTCATGATTTAGATAATGGAAAAGCACCAAACGGTCTCCTTGCAGTTGAACTGCGCTTTTCCCATAAATCCCTCAGCCCTGGAGTAAGGCAGCCAGGCAGGACTAGCTGCCTCCACCGCCATTTCCCGCTTGGGTATTGAACAATCAGGCATCGCTTCTTCAATGGGCTGGACATGTATGCAGATGTCTCAACCCACCGTTACACTTTTACCCTCCTCATCCTGTGTTTCCTGTTCTACTTCCTCTTCACCCATGGCTGCCTGTTGTTGAGTTGTCATCATTGTACATTTCCCATTACTTCATCACTAACGGCGTACGGACGGGAACATTAAGAGTAGCGAGCGAATCTAAATTCCGGAGGAAAGCAGTGGTTGTAGTCGTCGTAGTCAAAAGAGAATCCGGCGCGGATGATGGATCGATAGAGACAGGGCATGGAATCCATGCAGGTACAGCATCAATGCCTGAGCTAGACCCGGACAGGGAGATGGGTCCCCCCCCGACCTCATCTGCAGAGCCGCAAGTGAAGATCTGATCAACTTCCCACTCTGATCCAGACAGCGGTTACGGTGATCGAGACAATAACCCGCTCCACTCAGCGGCAGCGGTAGCCGCGGCTACCCAACCAATCCCCTTATCAACGGCCCTTACGCTGTTGCACCCATCGGAGGATCCATTCAACCAGCGTCCCGATGTCTTGGGATATCTCCAGCACCCGGGCGATCTGGTTTTGTAACGCGATTACTTCGCTCTTCTGGCCCTCGCTCATTGGCTCCTCCGTGTCGCCAGGCTCATCGAGTAAGCCGATCATATCTACGACCGAAACGCGGCCGTTCAATCCAACTTCCAGGCTAACGGAGGCCTTATTCAGTACGGTTTCTTCCTTGGCTGGATCGTTGACCGTGAAAAGCAACATAATTACCGGCGCTTGACCGAGCTGGGTCCGCAATGTAACATCTACTTTAACCTCGTTGGCATCGTCGTCGACACCGGCAGATTTCCCTTTCTCGTTGAGCCCATCCTCCGTGGTTCCAAATCCCTTCAACAACCGGTCAAGCTTTTTCTCATTAGGATTGTCGTTGCTCAAGACAATCATATTTTTCTTTGGTTTTCCCGGTTCGCTAAACTTCAGCTGACTAGTTGTGCTCTTCGGTGTATCGGTAGGGACATCATTGTTGTCGATGCTTTTAGATGGAGGACTAAAGATATTACGGATCATGTTTGCCAAGAACGCATATTGTCGCAGAGTCTGGGGGAAAAGATATCAGTAACCTCTTTCATGAGTAGTGTGGCACTTTAACTCACCGGAAGAATATCTGCGAGCTGCCGTGGGTGCGCAAAGGGAATGTCACGCATCGTTCGCCCAGCCACAGATTCAAAAGGCTGAAAAGTGTAGCTGTGTTGCTTGGTGCAGGGCTTGCCATCCTGATCAACAGTCTGGACAGCCATTCTGCGCCTCCTCCGACCCAGTTGAGATGCTTCCTCCGGCCCGAGACCCATAGCGCCTGCGGCTGCTAAGGGTGACCAGCCCGGTGCTAAGAGCCCATCGTAGGTCACCATCTTGAACTCTTGCTGAATCTGAATGCCTAGGTGTCTGTAGATGTCTGAAGCTGCCAAAGTTGGCAGTTCGAGTGGTGGTTCCATTCTAGCGACAAACCGCCGATTCGGTGCGGGACCGATCATACCTGAATTGAGTGCCATCGCGCCTTGTTGGCCTTGAGGGGGAAGAGTCGCCGGTGGATCGGACCAGTTCACAACCGCAACATCAGATCCTCCGATCCCGTTGGATGATGATGGCTCGTTCGTGTTGTTGACGACAGTAAAGACCTCCGAGTTCACCCATTCTTTAGACACACGAAGCGACGGATATCCCTCTTCACATTCAATGATGATTTTCCATTTACCGTTGTAGTTCCCTGGTTCATCACCCACCGATGAAGCAGACGGTTGGTCTATAACCATATCATCAGGGGAAACCTTCTTTTGCTTAGCATCCAGGACCCGCGCTTGATGTACCCAGTAATCTAAGCTGAGTCCGACCCGGCCTCCTTGGTGTAGACAGGGCTTGCCAACCCAACCACTGCAGAGGTGATCATGGACACCGGAAAACTTGCGATGGTTTCCCTCCTCATCCCACACGCGTTTCAGACTTTCATAGAGACCTTCAATAGCCTCAAAGCAGTTAACCTCTTGACTCAGTCTGTCATGCTTGGCAAGCCATTGTAGATTCTCGTGGAAGTTATTCAAAGTCTTCCAAGAGCCCCGCCTGGCATCTTCAGGCGTTTCTATCAAGTCTCGCTTCAAAACCGCCGTAGCCTCCCGGCGTTCACCGTCCGTGGCTTCTGGGGTTGCGATATTCAAGCTGACATCCTTCACGGCATTCTGCGCACGGTAGAAATCAATCTCGAGATCTACAAAGTTCCCCGCAATATTAAGGCTATCCCCCTGCCAGATCGACTCAAAGCCTTCGAGGTCACCCAGTCGCTCAATGCCCTCTCTGCACACCCCTCTTCCCGCAACTCTCGCCCGTAAAAGCTGGACGACATCGTCAATATGTCTCCTCCGCTCCTCATCACTATCTCGCGCACTTCCAAGTTTCAGACCTTGCATTCCTAGCGCCTGGATGTCATTGTCATGCATACCAGGTGCTACTAAAGCGTCATGGATCGCGGGAGACGGGCTGATCCCACCGTAGCCACCGAGTGCGAGAAGAGCCGCCGGAGAGCTGAGAGCGACGGGATCATCAGCCCCAGTGGTCGCAGCAAGAGGCGTGGCATGCTGATGCGCCGAAGTAGGTTGAAGACCATGAGCGTGTCCCGAAGCTGACGGGGTCCTTGTTGATGGCGATTTCTGCGATATCGGTCGAGTCATAGGTCCAGATGGGCGTGGAGAAGACGTCAAATGAGTCGGTGTTGCACCGGGGTTTTGCTTGGACGATGGGGTTGCCATTGTAGCTGCTCAATACAACAAATTCAAAAGGGGAACGAATCGATATTAAATTCTATTGCGTAGTATCGCGCATACAGCGATGGCAGTGATTCAATTTAGGTTCCTTCTCAATTAGTTCTGCTCTGCACCGTTGCGCAAATCATGTCTTCTATCTGACGGAGAACACCAACGACCGGCGCGCAATTGTGAACACTCACTATACAGTCAGAAGCATCGCTAAGTTACTAACGTATGGGATATTGTTTGAAAGGACGGAAGGAAAGCGAAAGGATTGTTTATCAACCAAAACTCCACCCAACTCCATGGATTTCCCTCGAGAGGAACTATTGATGCGGAGTGGCTTGCGGCCGCAACATGGAGTCACATGAGTTTGCTTTGTTTGTCTTCTTCGTCATAGGTCCTGGACATCAAGATCAAATCAACGCTTTCGTCTTCAGCTTCTCCAACGAATTCCAACCTTTCAATATGTTGGCTTTGAGAACTTTTGCCCGTAATACGTCTAGGTTTTCAAAATGGTCACAGTTCCGGAGTGTGTCGACATTAGAAGGCCATCCTCACATTGTATGTTTCCATTGGGACATCCTTGCTATTACAGCGCTCACATTTTATTTAGTATGTTTTCCCATCTAATGGAAACAATGTCCTGTCATTACTGCCGTCAGAGCCACCAAACCCCAGATTGTCTATCGGTGTCACGTCCAAACTGCCTCCTACGACAGACTCCTTCAGGGAGAACCCAGAATTCCTGAAAATCCTACAGGACGTGGTCGCCGAGTATGGCCACCAGGACCCTGAGGCTATCTCCCAAGCCCAGGTGATGGTGTCTACATCTGGCGCTAACCTCAGCTCCGGCGGTGTCCTGCTGACGGGTGGGCGTGCCAAAAGACGACGCGATGCGGCAGATTCCAGCGGTGGAGCGAGCGGCCAAGGTGGTGCTGGATCCGCTGGCCGGGGAGGTTGGATACATCTTTCCGATAACCGCCGGCCACCTGAATATGGTCGTATTGCATGGCCCGAGGATATCTTTGGGAGCCTTGAGGTCGATGGTGAGGGTAGCTTTGTGGGAAGCAACGGAAATTATCAGCCAAGCGGTATGGTGTCTCTGTACGGGACGTTCCAGTGGGCCTAAGCTGACTTGGACAGGCACTTATCGGATTGTGACCCGGGACGGAATGTAAGTCTCGATCCTTCAGATGAAGCAGAACGGTGTTGACAATTGGTTTAGTCTTGGTTTGAGTCCATTCTTAAGAGAAAAACTAGTTCAAAGGCTCCGCCAGCAGGAAAACCATTAGCAGTTGCATTGAGGGTTTTGTACATTATTCGGCTGTATTATATGTGACTTGATCATAATTTCCGTTAAACTGCTGGCCAGTTTGGCTTCAATCGCACCTAGTACTGAAACATGGAAAACTAACATCTCCAGGTCCAGCCCAGAAAACACACATGCATGCCATTCGTAGATACAAGCGAACTAACCTTATTTTGAGAAAAACTTTGTGATCCGTTGGGATCCATCAGCTGGCGACTTCTGGTCTGCCTTTTTCACGGGCTTTTCATTATGGGTGGCACTTCGCGTCTTTCCCCCGACATGGGTAGCGTGCTGCTTCGATAGTGAGCTATGCTCCGCGGTCTTTTTTGATGACGGGGTGTTAGGCTCTGTCTTTGGTTTCTTCATCCCTTCCTCAACTACCTCTCCAGGTCTCTCAGGAGTATGCTCTCGTTTGACTCCCGCTGCTGGCTTGGGGGCATTATCCTCACTCCATTCATCGTCCACCGTTGGATGCGGATCCTCTTCATCCTTGTATACGTTCAGATCCGTAGTGCCCTTTACTTCTTTGCTCTCAGCTTCGACCTTGACACCAGGCTCCGTCTTTTTCTTTGCATTTGCAAAGAAATTGGCGATGTTACTCTTGTTTTCTTTACTATTTACCGGCACAATAAAGTCGGGGGAATTATTGCCAACTTTCCCGACCTCTTTAGGAACGGGATAGCATTCCAATTCGCCTTCGTACGGCTTCAGCACTGACTGTAGTTCCTTCGACCATGTCGTCCGATTCGGGTCCAGCCAGATCTTCATTTCCTCGCTATTCGGGTCGAGAATCACCGGCATCCGGTCATGAAGGAACTTCAAGTATGGATTTGAGGATGTCGTGATAACCGTATAGGTGTAGAGCTTTTCATCCGATCCTTCACATACAGTCAGCCAGCCGCCCCAATTAAACTGAATACCCGATCCAAAATATAAAAAAAAAAAAAAATGAAGATCTCACCTTCGTAAGAAACACAATCCCACAGTCCCGCAAAAAGCATCAGCTCCCCATCTTTCCTCTTCACAAAATGCGGCACCTTCTCCTTCCCTCCGGGCCCTTTCTTCAACCACTCATAAAACCCTTGACAAACCACGATGCACCTCTTCTTCCGCTTCATGGATGTCCACATCCCCCGGTCGTCGACTAACGAGTCATCCCGGCAATTGATCGTGCGCATCAACGACCCGTAGTCCGGTTTCCGCTTCGTCCAGAACGGAACTAGTCCCCATTTCATACTCTGGATTTTATATTTGAGCTGCGGGCGGTTTTCTTGATCTGTGTCTTCAGCTCTGTCCTGGATCGGCGCACGGTGAGATTCAGTATCGTTTTTCTCGTGTTCCTCGATGCGATATATATCCGCGCGGTAAACGGCACCGTAGTTTCCCGGGGCGAAGTTATATGTCTCTCTCACGTCGTCATCAGGGGATGCTTCATCAACCTGAAGACCTTGTTCTTGAAGACGGCGCCGTATGAAGGCCATGCGCTGTTCTTGTTAGATATCTATCTCGTGTCTGCCTGTCTAGTGCAGGTAGCGATGTGGTTGGTGTAGGACATACCACGCCGAGGGCATATCGGCCACACATAGTAAACCAACCAAGAAAAGATAGTCACAAGCAAAGGAAACCGGGAATTTCCAATTGAAGTAGGGCGATAATATATATCTACAGAATATCTGTACCGTGGAAGATACGTAAAGGGAGCAAAAGGAGAATATGAACATTGACGTTACGACGTCATACAGTGATGGGAGAGCTCCGACCAATGGAAACGATTCCTCCCGAATCTCTTTAAGGTCTTCACTTTCTCTCTCACAACTATCATCTCACACACTATATCCTCTTCAACCAACCCAACCCAACCCAATTACCCGAATTACGGCACACCAATAAATTACCAATGACCGACTCGAACTAGCATCAACACCAACACCGACACCAACACCCACCAACCAATAACCCCAAACGCAAACGCAATGTTCACAACCCGCCTCCCCACAAGAACGCTCCCCAAAACCCTCGCCAGCAGAACATTCACAACCCTCCCCAGAACTCTCCCAAGAGCCCTCCCCAAAATCCACCATGGCCCCCAACTCCTCCAGAGACGCCCTCTAACAACCCTCCAAAAACTCTCCCGCCACATCTCCCAATCCCGCAAAAACATCCTCCGCAAAAACCCCATCCTCTTCCCGCTCGCCCTCTTCTCCCTCGCAACAGCCACCGCCATCTTCACCTACATCGCCTACATAGAATACACCACCGTTGCGCCCCAATATCACAAGTTCCCGCCCCCGGTTGCCGACGCCCTCCGCACAGCCGTGTATTATACCGAAGTGGACCTGAACCCGCCCAAGGCGCTGCAGGCGTACAAGGAGGCGCTACGGGTGGCGATTGAGATGGGGGTGCATCCGTTCTCGGATGAGGTGGTGGGGATTAAGTTGCAAGTTGCGCATATGCTTGAGAAGGCCGGGTTGGTGAAGGCTGCTGTGGAGGTTTTGGAGAGGACTAAGGGGGAGATTTTGGGGTTTGTGGAGAAGGGATCTAGTTCTAAGGGATCTGGGTCTAAGGGGTTGGTGCAGAAGGGGGGTTCTGAAGGCGGGGAGGGAGATTTGGAGGAGAAGAAGAAGCAGCAAGAAATGGCGGAGTATGAGGATCGGCAGCGGGACAGGGTGCTGAAGAAGGCCGTTGGGATTGAGATGAAGCTTGCGGAGCTGTACGCGAGCGATTACATGCAGGACGACAAGAAGGCGGAGGCGGCGCAGGTTGCAGCTGTGGAGCTGTGTCTGAAAGAGATGAACCGGCGGCAGAGTCTGGGGCTCCCTGTTGGTGGGGGGTCGGAGGAGGCGTGGTTGAATGTTACGGAAATTGCGACAGCGTTGTCGGATCTTGCGGGACGGTATACCGAGAGCGAGAAGTATGAGCTTGCTATGCCGCTTTATTTGCGCGCGTTGGACCTCCTGCGGGTTGAGGAGGGGGAGGCGCCGTCGTGTAAACAGGTTGTGCTGCTGAATGATGTTGCGAGTGCCATGGCTGGGCAGGCGCAGAGTCCGATACGCGCGCCGGATCCGGCGAAGGCGAGGGAGCAGCTTGTTGATGCGGCTAGGCAGTGGGCACAGAAGTCGATTGATATGGCTGCTAGGATTCAGCCCCCCGTTCGGGACCAGGACTGTGATACTTCTTGCGTTGCGGCTACGTATAATCTTGGGGAGTTGGCGGAATTTCAGGGGAAGGGGAAGGAGGCTGAGAGGCTTTACAGGGAGGCCAAGTCGTTGGCGGAGGGCCTGGGTTTTGAAGAGGGCGTCGCTATGACCGATAGCGCGTTGAAGAGGGTCACAAAGAAATGAACGGAGACCTCTTACTATGGAGGATGACTTGTATCATATGATATAGCCAGGATGTGTATGTATTAGACGGATAGGAACAGACCAACGGGATATGAACAGAAATTTCTACTCGTACAGCTATGGGTGTGATATACAGTATACGATCACCTTACCCTATTGCGCGGCAGTTGCTGTTTTTAAGTTTATTTTTTGTCTTTGAAACTGTATTAGAACATGGCATGTCTTTCCTTTACAAGATCCCAGACAGTCGGATTTATGAATCGAGTAAGCTAAGACATGTTTAGAAAAACCCCGGGCCCAGTTAAGGGACACCGGGGTGCTTCATTGCTCGTGGCTCATACATCCCAACCAATGCCTGCCCTTTTTTGTTAAGGAAAAATAAAAAACAAAATAGTTATCTTCCTCTCATATCCCTCACCGATGGGTATTCATTTATGCCCTCGACATGACACCCCAGGCACGGATCTTGTTGTCAGTGTAACCAGCGAAGAGAGTCTGGCCATCAGCGCTCCAGGCCAAGCTGATACACTCGGGCTCACGGCTCTTCTTGCCCTTCTCGATGTACTCGGGCTTGAGCTCATCAACCTTGCTCTTCTTCTCGAGGTCGAAGATGGTGATGCTGCTGGCGGTGGCAGCGCAGAGCCAGTAGCGGTTGGGGGAGAAGACGAGAGCATGGATCTCATCGCCAGCGTGGAGGGAGTAGAGGTGCTTGGACTCGTTAAGATCCCAGAGCATAGTGGTACCGTCCTTGCCACCGGAGGCGCAGAGGGATCCATCGGGGGAGATGGTGACGGTGTTGATGTAGCCAGAGTGACCGATGTGGTCAGTCTGGAGGCGGCAGGAGGCGAGCTCCCAAACCTAGAAGCCAGTTTGAATTAGCTACGGGTCCAACTGTTTTCAAAATGCAGAAAATTGACATCGAATTGTGTGTTGTTCATCAGGGCATTGGTGATTGTTGGTCTCATGGCCGTGAGGCTCTGAAGTAGCAAATACGTTTTATGCAAAAACATCCTTTGAACGAGGTCGAATCCAGGTGATACAATGAAAAGAGAGCAAGACAACTGTCTGGAGCGTACCTTGACGAGCTTGTCCCAGCCAGCGGAGACGATGACGGGGTTCTGGGGGTTGGGGCTGAAGCGAACGCAGGAGACCCAGTCGGTGTGGCCCTTCTCGGTGATGGTGAACTTGCAGTCACCAAGGGTGTTCCAGAGCTTGATGCTGCGGTCACGAGAAGCGGAGACAATCTGACGGTTGTCGGCGGAGAAAGAGACGGAGAGGACGTCGTTGGTGTGGCCAACGAAGGTACGGGTGGTCTCGCCGGTGGAGAGCTCCCAGAGGCGGAGAGACTTATCCCAGGAGGCGGACAGAGCATAGGCACCGTCGGAGGAGATCACCTATTGGATTCGCAATCCACATGTCAGCCGATCGTCCTTTCGCATTGTTCATCCCCCCCGCGATATCCACGGTTCATTGAGAGAGAGAGAGTTCGGTGATATGCATACACAGTCAGAGACGATGTGAGAGTGACCCTCAAGGCTGCGCTTGGGGTAACCGTAGGCCTGCTCGTCACGGGTAAGGTTCCAGATGATCAGGGTCTTGTCGCGAGAGCTGGAAAGCAGCATGTTGGGGCTAGAGTCGGAGAAAGAAGAATAAAGTCAGAAACCATTTTTTATCCAGAATCAACCAATGCCATGTCTCAAAAAAATTTCTTCATTACTGAAGTATTTTGCTTCATTTGTATGGCTTCAAGAATTTTTTCTCATTTGTGATTTTTGATATCGGATCCGGAATGCCCTTACTTCTCCAAAGAGGTGGCAAGGGAAGTAACCCAGCCATTGTGACCCTCGAGGGTACCACGAAGGACCAGCTGCTCAGCCATGATGACGATGGAAGGGAACCGCGAGAGGGAGAGAGGATGAACGCGGGCGGAGCAATTGTCGTTGACTCTCTGGAGGTAAAATCCCAGCGTTCGAAGATGGAGGAGCAGAGAGTCGCGCCTAAGCCCTAACTCCCTTACCGCCCTCTGTGTGCGGCAAGTCACATGGAACCCTAACATAAGCGAGTCACGTGCGTATCACCTGGTTTTCTAACTTCCGACGGCCTGATGTCATTCGTTGATCCATTCTTGCCTAATCAGTCCATGTATACATCCTTCCAATCTGATTGTATACTCAACTTTCCCCCATTCTCTACCCATCAACTATGGTAGATGTTTCTCATCCTCAAGGTAACACTCCAACACCTCATACCCTAGTTCTCTATAGAAGAAAGAAAGAACCCAACACAAAACAATACATAAATTGTTCACCCGAGACCATCTACATATAATACAAGCCCAACTCATATACAAACCATGCTTTTATACAAAAATCATCCCATCCGTCCACCTAAAAATCAAGAATCAAACACCTGAACATTCGGCATCCGACCAAGTCCCGCGCCGCCTGTCTTCTTACTCTTAGCAGCATGGAACCCAGTAGCACTGTTATCCTGCACATGCTGTCTCAAAAGCCGCAAGACCTCCGACTCGGCCCAACGAGACGGAACGGGCCGATAAGCAGCCTTGTAGGCACCGACAGTCTGGGCCCATTCGCCGCTCTTGGCTCCGGTGCGCTTCCAGGTCTCGGTGGGGGTATCCTGCGAGGCATTGGCATCCGTCCCTTCTGCAGGGGGGTCCTGTGTCGCCCAGTAGTAGATATCCCAGTCATTCTCATCCAGGAACCGGTCATACTCCTGCAGCTGCTCCTTGTCCATCTTGGACAGGTAGACGTCGGCGAATGTAGAAAGTAACAGATCGGATTCGAGGATACCTCGCTTCCTGCTCTGATCTGTTCCCAGTATACAGATTAGCATTCATATACATAACCCTCACCCCCAAAGTACTCAAATACCAGCAAGAGACACGACGACCAGGATGGTTGGTTAATACTCACACAACAACCTCGCCCTCATAGTCGAAGCATCCTCCCCAGCACGCTTCAACGGTTCAACTTTGAACGTAATCCCCTCCATCTCACCAACCCCCAGCTCCGGCTTCTGCGCCCCCGTCTCCTGGCGCCCTCCCGTAAAGTGCTCGACCTTGCCGGGGTAGGGATCCGTCGGCTTGTAGTTCGGGTCGACCGAGCTCAAAAGCTCCGGAGGCGCGGGCTTCTCCCCGACCTTGGGGAAGTCCTTAGTCATGGTGGATGTTGTGTTAGGAACATGCTGATTGGGAGGCCTGGAGGTCTGGTATTCGCGGTGCTCTGGTGCTGTCGAGCGGGCGTTGTCGTCTTTGACTCGAATTGCCGAGCTGCCGAAGGTACGACGGGCGAGGGTTGTTCTGAAGAGGGTTGTCGACGTGGAAGGTCGCGCGATGTACTGAATGAGTCTTGGGGCGGACATGATGGCTCGACTGGTTTGAATTTACAGAAGAGCTTCAGTGAGAGAATTGTTTTGGTGAGTGTGGTCGGAATTGTTCTTCGTTCAGCATGACGGGATTGACATCATCCGGTGATTTGGTTGTTTGTTGTGTTTGCATGCTCTAAACACTGGGCCAACCGAGGGATACGCATTTCAAACGGCATACAGGGCGGTCATGCAAAAGGTACATAGTACATAGATCGTACTGATCGACTTGCAGTTCCAAGTTGGAGTCATCCATTACATCAAGTCTAACGCTATCGTAGGATCATAAAAGTATTCTAACAGTAGACCGTGAGATATATCCGAGACTACATAAAGTTCGAAACCGCACTCAACAGATGCATAGAACTCCATATTTTGCCATGAAAACAAAGAAACTACGTAAAAGTACCCTTTCGGCCAGTTCAGGCACTCCAAAATAAAACCCGTCTAGATAAGATGCTTGGATCTGCAGGGAGGAAACGTGGTTAGTCGAGTTGTAGTCGTCACTGTTTGGCACCACTGATACATACCTGAAGTAAGCCCTCAGATAAATGACCTGCCAAACACCCAGTCCAATCAGCATTCCCATTGTGCCGAATGCAAACCATTTCACACGCTCGTTAGTGCTCTCGTTGGTGTCGCGCAGCTTCTGCTCACGGGCACGGAGGTATTCCATTTCGCTGACGATCTCTTGCACCATCTCCTCAATACGACGGAGGTCGGTTTCGATGGGCTTGAGCTTCTCCTGGGCCTGAATGCTAGACCAGTCACGGGCATCGGCACCAATATCGATATCAAGCTCAACCGACCGATAGGGGTTCGCAACATTGTCTGCTCAAAAGACATCAGAAAATAATCCAACCAATATTTCGATAGAAATCCAAGGTAGTGATAGATAATTTTCGAGGAGAGGAAAACCAGAGGCCACATACTCCTTCCCTCGAGCTTGTTCTCGAAGCAAACATCGAAAGCCGTATCCGCGGCGGAGGTAAACGCCTGACGAGTCTCTCCCACAACATCCTTCGGACGACCATGATCATTGCCCAGGGCATCCTTGATCTGAATTCCAAGAAGAAGAAGAAGAAAACAATTAGCGACACCGTATCAATTAGACTCGATTAGCACCAATTCTAGTGAATGTACTTCACATCCACCGCAAATCGCCATTAACGGAGAGTTGGGAGCGCAACGCGACGTACATGCATGTTGACTTTCTGTCCATCACCCTTATACCCGCCCACAATAGCTGTCACGACGACGAGTTGGTCCTTAAAGACGAAGTTGCGGATGCATCGCTCGTTCTTTCCGCTCGCGGCGGGCAAATCGAATTTCAGCGCGGCGGAAATCTGGACCAGACACAGGAATAAGACGCCGAGGATGGACTTCATTGTAGGTTGGGACGCCCCCATTGTCGAAGCTAGCCGTCGCAGTGGTCGACAGTGAGGTCTTGGAAATTAAACAACAAAGCTCGGGAGCTGCTGCCATTGATGCCACGCCGCGCTCAAGGGCTTCCGAGCGGTCGGGAGAACAATGTTCCGCGCTCTATGCTTCAGGACCGAAACTGATCTACACTAGCCCTGGATTCTAAAAAAATTCTTAAAATCCTATGTTGCACACAAGTTCTATGAATATGGCAGTCACTACTGTAGAGTGGATTGGGGTCCAAATAACTAATTGTTATATGGTCATTAGATGGTTGCCTCCTAGTAATTTCACATGCTCCGAATTTGGAATATGATAGTAAACACATAAATCCAACTTCCCAGGGGAATAGTACGTGGTTAGAAAAAAGAAAAGAGAAATATCCAGATGTCCTAGAAATGGAAAGGTTTGAAAACAAGATGTCATTCATATCAAATTCCCATTAGGGTAGAACACAACTGGGTTAAAAATTCAATAAGACAAAGTGGTATAATGAGAAGTAAAAAAGTGTAACAGGTGTTGTTCCAGGGCAACAAGTGAACATAAGGAAAAGTAGATAGAAGGGAACTCGTTCATCAAAGGCCAAGGGATCGTGACTATGAGGTTTTTGACTCATAGATCAACAAAATAGTGAGAAAAGTAAGGTGTAGAACCTGTATTAGGAACACAAGATAGATCATCACATGGCTCGAAGCGCCCCAAAAAAAGAGAAGAGGGAAAGTAAAGGCATATCTAACGGGTGCATAGGCCAAAAGACCAAAGGAAAGCGGCCAAATAGAGAATGGAGAATAAAAATAATGTGTGTGTGTGTGTGAGTGAGAGAGAGGGAGAGAGGGTGAGAGGCTGTGTCTGTGTAGGGAGAGGTAGGTAGTCAGATAAAGTAAGGTCACATTAGATATCGACTTTCTTCCGACGTCCGAAAAAGCGGGACAGGCTATTTCCCCCGGAGTCTTTACCCTTCGAAGCGAGCGATGAGGTGGCTCGAGGTGTAGGAGGCTCAGGAGGCCCGGTGGTCCGAAGAAATTCAGCTAGTGCACTAGTCTCGGTTTGCCGGTCTGTGACGGAGGGAAGACCACTAGTGCCATACATTCCGCTTAGACTCCTCTCTGCGTTCACTTTGACTGAATAGTTGGATGGCGCCGTGGCATAGTTGTCCTGTTGTGGCCGTAACGAGGATTTGGAGATTTTGGTGGTAGGCACCTTGTCCCCGGACGCGTTGCGTAGAAGCCGTGCCTTCATTCCAAACGCACCAGATGAACCTTTAGAGGGCAATGTGTTGACTTTCAGAGGCTGGGGGGTGGGCTCCGACTCCGGGGGAGGAACGTTACGCAAGAAATCTATCAAGCTTTCCTCCTCGCGATTGGGTTTTGGACCGTCCATGAGCTCAGCTAGATCTTCGTCATCATCCGAGTCAATGGCATAAGGATCCCGCACCCTGCGCTGTTTTCGCAGAGGATGAGGGCTATCCGATGGAGCGGTGGGTATCTGCCTGGAGGCGCTTGACTGTGCGGTAGTTCGGTTACTCGATTCTAGTAATCCAGTACGCGACCCGATGGAAGTCAGTATTGAGCCATCTTGCGTACTTGATATCGATAGCGCATTATTTTCCGTATCGCCAGTCTCGAGAGAATTCAGCTCGTCCGAGTCCATTGTGTCTCGGAATGGTGCAACTGTACGAGGGATGCGGCGGGCTCCTGCAGTTGGTGGACCTTCTCGAATGAAATCGATTAACTCAGACGTCTGGTCTTGTTCTGCTTTTGATGTCACTGCAGGACGGGCTTGCAGCTTAGGACCACTGCGGATTGTGCTCGAAGGGGAACGTGGAGATTGGGCTTCTTGGGCACTAAGAGGACTGCTTGGACCGGTTGAGCCACTACCTGATTTCGCATTGGCAACTTCTGCCAGGCTTGATGTCTGCTGAAGAGTCGATCCCGGAGGTATTTCGATGGGCTTGTATTTAGGCGTGTTGATAGTACCTCTAGAAGATGTGTTGGAGGTACTAGGACGTGGAACGTCCTCCCCGGAAGGGGTACTGTTCTTCAGGAAGTCGGCTAGGTCCGCCGTGTCTGATCTGACTCTCCACCGGGGTGAATCAGGTTCCTAGGGTATTTGTCAATGGCCCGAGTTCATCAAAAAATATTATGAACAGTCAGTCATACCTCGATTTCCCTCATATTTCTCGGCGTTAGCGTATAATGAAGAGTTTCCTCACTGCGGATCAATTCATCCAAGCCAGACTTGTCGTCATACGGCTCTCCAACGAGAGCAGACAACCGATTGGTCTCGGAGGAGTTGCGCAGACGGAGTGAAGCAGAGTCACCCTGAAACCCGATCAGACCCTTGAGTCTGCTTGACACCTGAGACGTGGTCGAGCCGGCAGTCACAGGGCGTTTATCACGCTGGCTACTAAAACTGCCGGAGCGACGCGGTTTGGAGTAGACGGAAGAGGCTGCTGAAGTCGACGGTCGCATTACTCGCTGAACCGCTGCACGTTCAGTTCCCGAACTAATCGAGGATACCCCTGGACTTGAGCGCCCGTACCGATGGTGACTTACCCCCGCCAAAGGGCTTGGTCTGGGTCGAGTCCGCGAACGGTCAGAATGTCCACTCTCGCCAGAAGTCGAGGAGGGACGAGAGGACTTTTCTTCCAGTTCAGTGGATGGCCGAGTCTGAGACTCCGATGAAAATGTATTCGTATCAAAATCTTTCGGAGCATCATCGTGATTGACGGCGGGATGCGCCGGGGTGGAGTCTCCCCCTTGCGTTTGCGGCGGATCATCGGCCACTGTTGGCAACCCTCGTTCGCTGGTCACTCGGGTAGCGGGAGTCGACCTATCATCTTCGCGCGTCGTGTCCTTGCTACAGACACGTTTCGGTCGCTGCACCGGAGTCTTTTTAGGTTTTTCACACATCCCTTGCCCTTCAATAACCTCCGAATCGGAATCTGTTTGGAGTCGATCGCTCAGGGACGTTGACGAGCCACGAGTACTACTTGCTTGACTGGTCTCTAGTTCCACTGACACCGCAGACTGTGACGATGTAGCCGCCTTCTCCTGATCAACTGATTCCTCAGGAAAAGCATCTGTCTCTTTCTTCTTTGGCTCCGGCTCGGCCTTGGGTGCTACATCATCTTCATCATGCTCGTACATAGTCTCCAATCGCCTTTGCTCTTCTGATGCAGTGGGAGATGGCCGATCAACCATCTGGTCAACTTCTGGCGCTTCCGAAGGGGATGCGCCGGGCAACGACCTCGAGCGGCCATGGCGAGTGAACTTGGCGCTCTGTGGAGTGATGGGTGACCCTCCCATGGATGTGGGCGATCGCGGAGACGGCAAGGTGAGCACCATGAGGCTATGGGGCCGCACCTTGTGAGCCACTACTGCCTCCATCGTCTGGATCATTTCGGCTCCTTCAGCATCAGACGCGAACCCTTCGATCTCCTCGATGTCGTGGTCACCCATCGGAAGTGCAACCAACGCAGGGTCGATTTCTTTCGGGATCTCGATGGCTGGTCTCGGCGGATACTCATCAATAGTTACCGCACTGCCCCTTCGACCAGTGGAAGGACCAACAGTTGAACGACGTCGAATAGATTCTCTCGAAACTGCGCGGGACGATACGGGGGATCGAGTCTGTCGGCGCCACGTCCGCCAAAGACGACCCAGAGTCGGATTCAACGCTAGTTTCTCCATATCCAACTCCTCCACAACTAACCGGTTGATGGTGCCTCGTTCCGTGCCCGACTCAGCCTCCTCAGGCCCGTCACTCGGCTTGGCCGACAGTCGTGATCGCGCCGTCTCGCCCGCTATCACCAAGGCCTGTTCGCCGAGATGCTCGATGATGGAAGTCAGAAAGATGGCGGCCGCCGGCGTGATATTGCCCACATGACTGGAGAACCGCGGCGAGACACCCCCTTCATCCCCCAGCCCGTTCTGTGCGATGTATTCCTCCTCGTCATCCTCTTCCATATCTCCTAGCCGGGTATATACCATACAACGCAGACGAGTCAATTTCCAGGAACGTACCAGGTCGAAGTCACTGCCCGGCGACTGACCCCCACGAAATTGAAGTTGTTCATCTTCCGGACCCCCCATATACTCGCTCAGCTCCTCATCTGCCGCCGAAACCACTTCCTTTGCGAGTCGGGGTTTTAACACATCCGCCACCGCTGGTCGAATACAGGTGAGTTGGGTTGACTTGGCCGCCGCCAGGATATTGAAGAGAAGATGGTCCAAGAATCCATTCAAGGCGGAGAGCGCTTCGGGAGTGATCATTGCTCTGGCATCGGAGTCGTCGGCCTCCTCGGGCACAAAATCCGCCGTGTTGAATTCCTGATCGGTGGTGATGATCTGCGCGGCGGCGGAGGATGCGATAAAGGAGGGCGGGGGTTTTGCGGGTGGCAGGGTCAGATGGATGCGTGGAAAAGTATCACTAGACATGCTGGTACTGCGAGAGCGTGAGGCCGTCCTTCCCAAGTCGGACTCGGGGCCTTTGATGTGGTGCATTGTCGATATGAGGGATCACATATAACTGGCGGGGAGTGGACCGAAGGCGTCGTGGTGACGTATATTATGTCTTTTTTTTGTTCTTCTTTCTCTATATCGTTATCGAACCAGGGAAACGTGGATCATCCTGGAATTGTAAACGTATGAGCACCGTCAGCTCAGATGTCAAGGACACCGCCCACCTTTGGGGCCAATTTTGCAAAGATTGATATGCAAGATGGATCTGACGACATCAGGCGTTACATGGGGGCGCCGTGACGAACCTCAGCCCAGAAAAAAAGAAAAGAAAAGAAAAAGCCCGCTAAGCGGTGGATGCGGTGCTAAGACATACCCGTGTAACAATTTCAAGAGCTCTCCACGTTCATTTCGTTCGTGTACCGTTGGGGATATCTCCAAGGAAAAGATTCCTGAAAGATCATTAGACAGCCGAACCGTAGTCGACTGATGGTATGTTCTTGGATTATGGAATTGAAGAGAGGGGGAGGGAAGGAAGTAAAAGAGAGAGGAAGCAGAATGAGAGAATAGTTCATTCACTCCGGAGGTAGATCAGGAGTATGGTAGAAAGAGGTACAACGCAGTAGAACGAAGAAGTGACTTGTCCCAGAATGTATTAGAATGGATACGATACGCCGTCTAAGAATTCTTTATTATTACCTTTCGGGAGAGGGGGCTAATAATAATGTCATCTGATTTGTTGGATAATTAGGATTTTGAATTTTGGAATTAATTATACTTATAATTATTTGATTATTACTACTACTCGGATCCAGTTTTTATTTAATTTAATTTTTTTAATAGATTATTATTTTTCATCTTTTAGCGGGCATAGTAAGGTTAACGGATTAGAGCCTGCAGGATCAGGAGAGGGAGGGAAGGAAAATGTGGAGCAAGCACGATCCTTTTTGGGATGGATTATGAAGTTTGATCCGTTGGGTGGAGTCAAAAAGGGAAAAGTACCTGAACCACTACTCATCTTTAGTTCCACTGGCTGTGACTCTGACAAAGATGTCTCTCCCCATTCAACCTTGACCAGAGAGAGTTATCACTCCAATCCCGTGTCGACCTTAGCCCCAAACACTGACTCCAGACCTATACGAGGAAAAGATCAACCACATTGATTTTGTTGCCACTCAACGGGATAGTATGCTATCTACTACCCGAACATTGGGTGTGTTCTGATAAGCAACGAGGTGTTCCACGGTTCTTCTGGTCGTCATTATCAGAAAACAGGATCCAGAAGGGAAAGCCCTGCGAAGAGAAGAAGCCGAAAAGAAGAGACGGCCACGGAAACGATCTCCATTCCGAAGAAAACTAACGAAAGAGTGGTCCCCACTTGGTCGAATGGGAGGTTTGAACCGTCCCAGCTTCTAGGGTTCAGGGGCAACGAAACAAAGGGAACGACCGGGATTTTTGTTTGGTAACTGTACGTAAGGTGCATCATGTGGTCCGTATTTCTTTCTTCTTTCTTATACGGAGTCAAGACTGAAGACGGATCATCATGCTTCAAGTTGCTTTTTCTGGTCGTTTTTCTTCTTTTAACAAGGCTGATGTGAGAATCTCCCGAACCCAGCACGAGCTGACTTCACCTCGTGTCCTGGAAAACCCAGAGTATTCACTCTTTTCCTGCCCTTCTCCGAATTCTCCATTTTAAACTCAGTTTTCCCGACTATGAGAGTTAATCCAATCGTGTCCGCTTTCCACTTGTTGAAGAATAGAGGCTGATCCACCTAACACTATTTAACATCTCGTCCAGAGTGATTATCTGATTGGACTACCGCTCCATCAATAATCACTCTTGAAATCTTCTCCTTTTTTTTTTAATGGGGATTTTTTTTCTTTTCTTACTCCTACCAAAACCCACCCAACAGTCATATCAATCCACCGCAGAGGCAAAAATCCACGAAAATTCCATAATCACAAGAAATACTCCATACCTCCTTCATGCACGGCCTAAGGCCAAACGGTCGATCATGACCGGGCACTGTCAACGGGGCACGAGTCAACTCTACTCTACCCCATACCCATACCAGGCGCAGAGCTTCCCCCAAAGGTAATAACACCAGATAATATAGACTACAAAATATGTCTGAAAAGCACGGCATAATGGAAGTGAATTCTCCCATTCAATCCTAACAGTGGAAATCCACTTATAAACTGTCCTGTGCCACGATATCGCTGGATCTCATTCGGCAGTGACGTGCTTTCGGGACAAACCAGGGGATTCCCCAAAATCCATGGCGGTTCATGATTTGCTTTCGGCAGCGGGGGGAATCGAGTCAAATCCATGGCAATGGTAGACCACATGTTCCCCCCTAAATGACTACGGATACGGAGTATCCTAGGGCTGTGATTGGTTTGTGATTTGACTTCCCTATTCACCAGAATTTCCATCTCAGCTGAAATCAGCTCAGCCTACAGACTCAAGAGTTAGGCATGGTTGTTCTGGCAATACTTTAATCCTTATGCGCGGTGAGCTGGACGATCATTCTATCGCACTAGTCGATAGTCTGAATCGGCTGGACGGAGTACTCCGTGGCTTACTTACATGACTCGTGACGAGGATCTCCAGAGCCAATTTCCCAGGGACCAATATAATATCATATCAGTTCTCCCTCATTTATACACACCTGATTATGCACGTATTATATTGCACATACATATATATATGTCCATCCACATATAGGTAACCCGATAATACCCACAGGCACAGAAAAGGACAGGGTAGTATTCCGCCTGATGCAAAACGCGTCTGAATCAGCCCACCTCGTCTCGGAATCGACTAGGATACCGGATACTTGCATACGGGCGTTGCTCCACCTTCCTCAGATAATACTAGAATCGAATCCCGAGAAAAAAAAAAGAAAAAAAAAAAAAAAAAAAAAAAAGAAAAAAAAAAAAAAAAAAGGCAATCATGTTAATTGCTTACTTCCCGGGCTGCCCAGCCTAGCCCTAGCTTTTCCCTTTGCTTTTGGGACAGAACATCTAGAGTCGGCGTCGAAACACACCGGGCTGCAGATTAGCCTTCTAGTAAAACTACCGAGTCCGGCTTATGCCGGGCTAGAACTATTGGAAATTTGTGGCGTTCATGATAGAGGAGTAGTCCGTTCTTGTCATAACCTCATCAGCTAAGACTTAAGCACTGTACCTATGTCCACTGTTATGAAACAGGTCGGGACAAATATGAGTTATTCTGTATCAGCGTGTTTGGCCTTGGTCCTGTTTTGAGTGGCTGGGAGGACTTGGATTCCCATGTGGAGAACTAGTAGATAATGATGTGGATGGGTGTGCCTGTTAAGGAGACTTAACGTCGGCAGTGCTCTATTGGGATCATTTGGGAAATCTAATAGTTGGTTGATCGTGTCGTGCTCCGGGCCCACATTTCTGTCAGCTTATGACCATATTTTTAAACCTCGTTTTGGCATGGTACTGGCCCCATCTTTTGGCAGGTGGAAAGACCTCAGAGCATCTTGGGTCGGGAAATAAACCCCCAGACAAGGGGACCGTCGTCATTTCCGGTTCAGACGGAGGATGTATCATCGCTGTTCTTTTTTATGTTGATGATGGTGAACATGTATGGCTGGACTACGTAACTGAGAACTGGATAAATTTCAATACTGAGTATCAATTATCACCCCGCTAGATAAAGCTTTTTGTAAATCGCTAAGTAAATATCGTATATTCTTTCCCTGTTCCCAAGCCATACCTTTTTGGTTCTACGTTGGCTTCATGTTCCTTTTGCACTGAAGCCTTGGGGTTACTCATAAAAGCATTTCAATGGACCCAATAGGGTTTCCAGTTATCTAGGGCATACGCAACCCCACCTGCGAAAAAGCTCAATTCGTCTGGTCCGATGTTGACATCACTGGCTAATCTTTCGGAGAGGAGGCCCTCAATTTTCTCCATTAAGCTCCGATTGAGACTTGCACGGACTTCGGGTGGCTGCTGCAGCGCCCCCTTTTCTTTGCTGAGACTGAGGAGTTCCTCAAACTCCTGTTTGGCGACTAGGTTTGGGAAAGTCCCAATCACATGGTTGAGGGCATGATCGAGATATACCCCATCGGCATTCTCGGCTTCCAAGTACGGGGATTTCACACGACCCATTTTGATGTCGCCGACCCGCGCGTGAAGACGCGACTTGTACCCGGGATCAGCGATCCCATTAATGCCATTCATATAAGCAAGGAAAAGTCGCTTGTCTAGGTCCACAACATCGCTGGTATGTTCTTCAGGCAGTTGCTTGATGGACTCGCTGATACCGCCATGTTCGGCGTCGTCGAAATCGTCACCGATATCGTTGTCCTCCTGAAAATGGAGGTTGCCAGATGCTCTTGCCATCTCCATTAGCTCATGGCAGGTCAACTCAGTGCAGGGTGTTTCATCGTCTTGAAGATCTGGCGCTTCAATATACAGCACGTTGGTATCAAACCTAACGTTGGACCCAAATGAGATGAATGAGCCATCGGCAGAGCCATCATCATAGTCATCATCATCATCGCTATATTCAGATAAAGTGTCTGATGCGTCTTCCCAGCATGTGACGTAGTACACATCATCATCTTCTTCGTCATCATCAGACGTCTCGTCTTCTGACAAAAATTCGTATTCGTGTTCAGAGACACCGGATGCATAGCCCGACTCAGATTCTTCGTCTTCTGCGATCTCCGCGTACCGTCTCTTCAGGATCGGTTTCAAATACGGAGGCTGTGACGTTACTTTGGTGGGTGCAGCGGTTGAAATAACCGACGAATTGATGGTGGTCGGATTAGTTGAAGCGACAGAAACCTCATCAGATGCGTAGCAGCTGTCCTGAGAGAGAGATATTTCAAGGCCAGAAAACGTCGAGGAAAGGGACTCCCAGGACTTTTTGTTCATGGTTTGGTTGCTCATCTTGACAACCTGTAATCCGTGTTCTGAACACCTTTGCCAAGTACCAAAATGCAGGTATGTTGCGACCCAAGGCCTTAGCAACAGGTGATGAATGGTTTGTTTGAGAAAGATCGGTAGTAGTTTTTTGATTTTGATAATTCTTGGCTTCGAAGGCCTCCGAAAATCCGGTAGGAATCCATGGTGAAGCACAGGTGTGAATCAAGGTATTCACCTAGTGGAGGTTGAGGAGGACATCCCCGGCAAAAATAATGTTGCAGTACATATTGGTGATTACTTCGAGATCCGTGAATTTTTAAAGGTAAAAAACATGCACTTCTGGTGCTGCTGAAGGTTCCCGGCACTAGACTCCGCTTTGAGTCCTCTCGTCGTTTCCGAAATAGGGTTGATTTTGATAGACTCTGCGTTGATATACATATAGACTGTAGGATGGTGTAATCGAAGCCTCAGGCTCAGTCTTCTGAGATATTCGTTCAGCCCACGACGCGTTGCGTGGCCTTGACAAGAGGGGTTGAGAGTGTACAAGGAAGCGCGACTTCCTCGACTAAGTTGAAAGTGTTTTCGCGTATTTGTACAAGGAAGGATGAGTAGAAACCTGGGCTTCTAGATTCACGCCACTTTCCGTGGGTGATTGTGTGAGATTGGGCGGGGGCGAGGGGTAACAATCGAAGATAGTTAGATTGCCCCAGTGAAAGGTCAGAGGTACATTAATGTATACCTGCGCAACGAAATAGATGTTATAATGTCGATAGTGGTGATAATAGAACAGCACAGAGTGCCTGTGGAAGGAAGGTCAAGGAAAGGCGACCGTCGTTGACAGTCTTGATTTGGGGGAGTCAGATTTCCGTCACCACCACCTGACCATTTGCGGCTGTTTGCCCCCTTCCCTCTCGGCCCGACTACGGAACGCCCAAAGGCGGTATAGCTCTATTTGGCTCCCGCTTGTTTTCCAACAAATGAAATCATCACGACCACTTTCGGGTCAAGAATTAATCCGTCCGGAGTTAGGGCTTCAGGCCTGATGTATTCCGCGTACTCCCGGACTGTACGGAGGACTCCCGAGTCCTATCCTAGATACTAGTAGATATCCATGTAGTACTAGTAAGTATCGGAGTAATGAGGGACGCCTTCATTGATCATGAAACATCTGAAAAGCCCGAGGTCTGACAATTGAGATGAGGTAAATACCTACCGCTTTTGTAGGACTAGCTAAATGTTACTTCTAATTACCACAGAAGTACTCATCACAAGTGCAAATTAAAGGAGATCCCTTTAATCTGACAGGCAGGTTGTGTACCCGGATGTACTACACTCGAGCGTACTATGTCTCTCGGACTCTTCAGCCCGATCCGTAACTTGTTTGATGATGATCATTCTTTGGGTTAAGCATTCCAATCTCAAAATAGGTCCATCGTTCGGGAACACAAGGGATGCAGGTGCTACGATCTTATCTGTGCGTCTACCAGTAGTAGTTCGCGCATTCTTCCATATGGCTTGCTTCCCTCCCGCTCCTCGAACCTGGACTAAGGTTTGAGGAATTGGTCCTTTGTTTGAATCGCATACTTTGTATCCAATTTGATTGAGCCTTGCGATGTAATCTCCTCGATATCTTAGCGGCCCAATATCATCGTTTGTTTGTCGCACAATAACTGCTTTCTGGGTAACTACAAGGGGGGAATGTTTTTGAACAAAGGAAGAAACGCACTTCCGAGTCCTGCGTAACGTAGTCTTCGCGTGGCTTTTTAGTGGAAGTGATACCTTACGAGATCGTATGACCAAAGAAAGACGACGACACCCATTGATCTGCTAGGAAATCAGTCCATGACACATCTTTTCACGCTCTGGAACACGCTTAATCTTGTTGATCTCCAAGATGAGAAAAGCTGAATGCGAACAATTAGTGATATGTCAAAGGACGCTGTTACGTGTAAAAGGGAATAATTATAGAAACCTCAATAGAGCAGATGAACACCAGTGCACATCTTTTGTCCAGAACTTCTTTCAAGCGAAATGACCAATTGCAACACATTACCAGTTTGCAACTTGGGAAATGATTTCCCTTGAATGTCGAGCACCTGTTCCGAGCATGGTTCATGGGGGCGCGCATTCCTCTCACAGGTTCAGCATTCCGGCGTACATTCCAACGGGGCTTTATCCACGCTGGAGCATTGGACCGCTGGGGAGCTCCTGCTCCACTGGAGTAAAGAATCCCATTGAACATGTTTCGGCGAGAGTGGAGGAGTGGAGGATCTTCCCGGGGACCCGTTCAAGCTCTGGGCTTAATCCATGAGGTAGTATCATGACGCTTACATTGGTACGTCATTTCCCCATTGTGGGTGCTTCCTATTAGGGATATATGTTCTTCTCCCGCTGAAGACGAGCCTATCTCCGTGGACAGGTGGACCAGTAGTTCCTCCCATTGATAATGATCGATTCTCGCCATCTTTGGTGCGCATCGGATGATTCCTCTCGGGGGCTCGTGTATGTCTGTCCTGCTGATACAAACACCCTCTGCTTCTGGTATAGTGAGGGTTGCATTCCACCGGGTGGCTAATGGAGGGGGACCCGAGCATTCTCTCTGTCAATGAATGTGGACAGACTTTGAGGTATCCAATCAGCCACCCAGATTTCCAGCCTCTGTGATTGGTGGAGTATTGTCTAGAAGACTATCCAAGCATTCAGGTCAAGCAATGGGCCCAGTCGTGGTCCATTTTGGAGAGCTCCCCATCCACTCTGGCGCATTCCTTACCCATCTTTAGAGTAGCAGGAATGTGCGTCGAATCCCAGAGGCTGGGTACTTGTCGCGACAATTCAAATACAGCCCTCTGTCTGTTGTTTGTTTGCTTTGTCTCCTTTGCATGTTCTGCACTGTTTTCTTTGATTGTCAAGCCATCAAACCAATCCTACACACCAAACATTCCATCTTGTTCTTGTTTGAAGCTCTTGAACGGATCGCCGGCTAGACTTCCGCAGTTCCTTCGACCCAGATTCTAGCAGTCACCAATCAGATCGGAGTCTGTGAACCGTTTTGTTGGTTAACGTTCTCTTTGACAGTTCTGTTTTACCCCATCGCCGCAAACGGAAGGCAGTTCCCTCCCCGGCAAGATGTTTGCACCACCTTTCGACCATTCCTTCACTGATTTATTTGACGAGTACGTCAATATGGAGGCATCGAGTGCCGACAGCAACAAAGATGTTTCATTTCCCAGCGACTTTGACCAAATATTCTCCCTGGACTCATTGTCAAGTGATTGTGGCGACCAATCACCAATCCCTACCTCCAAACAAACCCATCCTTCACCACAGTGGGCGAAGGACTTCTGGGGCCTGCCAGACGCATCCTCCTCATTAGGCCAGGGCCCCCTTGCTTTTCAAGACACCGTTCATCCTTCTGCTGTTTCAGATCTAAGTGTCAAACTTGAAGCTTCTTCGACGACCCGCCCTGCAGAGACCCGCTCATCGCCGGCCACTCCTCCGGAAACTCCAAGCCGTAAATCAAAAAGTGCATTAGTCACACCGAAGTCTATCCATCGTCATCGCGAACCTAATGGTCGTCGTGGTGTGCAGCGCAAACAAAGCTTCTCCCCCAGCTTGACCCGCTCCTCGCACTTGCCAAAAGGAAGAATGGCGTATCCGGAAGCGTGGGCGCAGCGACTTCAGAGCTTCAATTTCCTCCGTAGTTCTGATGATCGACTCCCATTGTCACCGCCGCCTTCGGAATATCTGGTGCAGCAAGAGAATATGGCGGCCGACAACAGCGCCATACACATGGGCCATTCGGGAGACTCAGGCGAGATGCATCACCATTTTGACTCGAGCATTTTCAACCAATCCCCCGCGATCTCTATGCCATCCCCATCGGCTCAGGTATTGCAAAGGCAGCAAGCCCAGTATTTAAGCCATTCCAATAACTCCGCCGTCACGCCGAGTCCCCCTTCAGCAGATGATATCTTTCCCTCCCCACATTCCTCGGATCCTCAATCCATGTCCTCGTGGAATTCTGATACGCTCGGAACCCCCGGGCTTCCTTTCACGCCTGATCTCCCAAGCCACGATGCTCAGGCCTGGTGGCCGCCGATGAACGCTCGGGTTCCCCCGCGCCAACCGTCCTATCAACAAATAGTCACCTCGCCATCCCCACAGCGGCCAATCCAAAACACCACCCATCAGCATGAACTGGCCAGCCACCAACATGACATGCTGCAAGGGGGGCTGATGATTCAGATGGACCCCTCATCATACGACATGGCAGCCACTGCTAGTTCGTCCTATTCCTCGACTACCATGCCTCCGGCTCCCAACCCGCAGGAGAACCGCGCTTATAACCACATGCCTCCTGCTCACCAGAAATACGTCGATGCATCTTCATTTGCCACTCCCCAACTTCAGCCCCAATCACGCTCCCCATCTATATCTCCACGAGGAGAAGGATCACCCAAGGACGGGTCTGTCATGCATCACAGCATCACCATGAAAACTGCGCGCCGCAACCTGGGCCGAAAGTTATCCTCCAACTGTATGAATAGCACTCCCAAGCCCGTCAAGGGTCTCCATGGATCGGGGAGTCCGAAGGGGATGAACAAGTCTTCGGTTACTGTATCATTTGTAAACTTTACCCCAAGTGACAGTCAAAAGATCTTGACCGGAGTTGCTCCCAGTGGCAGCTCCAAAACCAAAGCTCGTCGGGAACAAGAGGCCCGGGACCGACGTCGCAAGTTGAGTGAAGCGGCATTGAATGCCGTGCGAAAAGCCGGTGGAGACGTGGAGGCTCTCGAGGCTGTGCTATGCTAAAAAAGGAAATAGTACCGTTGCTTATTTTTCGGTCTTGATCTTTTATTTTTATTTTGTGACAGCTTTCATTAGCTCTGCTATATACCTTTTGGGCTTCGTTTATTTCAGTGGTCGGTTCGGTGTTCTGGTGGATTTCGGAGTCCAAAAACATCTCGGTTTAGAATTGGTTGTGAGCGTTAGATTAATCTTGTTTACATTCTAGTTATTTAGCCCATCATACTTATTTATTCTCTTAAAATCTAATCTGGCATAATCTCTCTCTAATACATCTGTACATAGCCCTCAAAAAGTTTCATCCACACCAGTATCATCCCTCTTTCAATTTATTTTTGCTCTGATTATTTATTTGTTTATTAGTATCTTATGTAATCAAATCTCATGCATCCACATATGAAAAAAAAAACCCCCAGCATATCTATTGTACATACACCGACAAGAAATAGGTCAGAGATCTCATATAATACATGTATAGAGCACGGAGCCAATGATTGGATATCGTCCAAATCTCTAATAAGCGCAATAGCACCCAAAAGGACCAAAAGGCTTTCATAGCCATCATAGACATCCCTAAACTCCGCCCGTGACATCGCGCCTCAAGTTCCAGACGGCCAAAAAGCGCCATTCAACTTGCAACGAAGCTACCCAAGCCTATAACAAGCCCCACACAGAGTAAACCGATCCCCAAAAAAACCGACGGCGCTCAATCGCAAAACACGACAGCCATGACCCCCGACCCGCCCAAAGAGCGCAGATAATCCACCGCCGAGATAAAGATCGACAACCATAATTTCTATCCCGTCCTCTTTCATCTCTGCGACGTCGTCGGAGACCAGGCTTTCGGCTGCCAGCCTTCGCTGGGAGTTGCTGCTGCTGCGGCCCAGGGGTCCTTTTTCGCGGTTGGTACTTCGTCACGGCCTACTTCTTTTGCATCGGGGGTATCGGCTTGGGCGTTATTGGCCTGCGAGGATGAATTTGAGGTCGCATCGGCAGATTGAGTCGCGGGCTTCGGTTGCTGAGTTTGCGGCATGTCGAGGTAGGAGGGTTTGCTGGCCCAGCGTTCATCGGCTAGTTTGGCGAGTTGTTTGATTTGGAGTTGGCGGATGATGTCTTGTTGTTGTTCTTCAACGGATGGAGGTTCGGCGCGGACGTAACGCAGCCATTGGTGCCATTGTGCTGGAGGGGGGTTGCGGGTTAGTTTTATAGGATTGTTGATGTATCGGGGGAGAGGATATTATAAGCTTACGGCTGACTTGGACATCAGCGTAGTGAGTTTTGGGGTTGAATTTGACGATTCGTCGGTAGCGCGTAGCGTTCAGGGCGTCCTTGAATTCCCAGAAGGTGTTTCCGGATAGATCCGATCCTATTTATTGCGATCATGTTTAGTTATGAAGATGGGGGAGTAACGGGGAGGGTGGTTGAACATACCGACGAGGAAGGATTTTCGCCACGGTAATCGAAGGCTCTTCCACTTGAACCAGAGACTGTTCACCGGACTCATTTGGGCCGAAAGAATTACGACGATCGAGGGAAGAAATTAGGCGACTATGAAAAGACCGGAAGAAAATTAAAAATGGGGAAATCGAAGAGAATAATCCAACTGGGGCTTAGACTTCGTGTTTTAAGGCAGCGAAGATTCAGAACGTCATCGGGCAGAATGAGGGCTATGATAGGTCACGGTATTTCTTCTAGACTACAGCATTCCATTCCTTTTCCTTCCCGGTTTCCTTATGAACAGGAACATTATTCGTACTTTGTGTCAATTCAGTAAATTCGCTATATTTACCCCTTTTCTTCTTCTTTTCTTTCTTCCCCTTACCTCCGTGCACTGTATATAACCCACCGGACTATTCGATTCGCCCTCTTTCTATATCAGGAGCACCGCCTCCTATTCAACTCGGTCCCCCTGTTCCGAACCACGGTTCATGCCAACGGGCTGGCAGCATAAACAGACGATTTCCATCCGTGAGAGCGTCTGAAGACTTCCCCCGACAGACCGACCGTTTCATATAACTCAGAATCTCAAACATGGCCTCTGTTACGTCACTGGATAAGGATTTGCGCAGTCTGCGGCTGTCCCGCTATACCCCGCAGGCTGCCGCAGAAGTCCGCGACTGGATTGAAGAAGTCCTCCGCGAGAGACTACCAGCCGGGGATCTTCTGGATGCGCTCAAAGATGGCGTCGCTTTGTGCAGGTAAGAACTGCACATTTCTCGCCTACTCACGCAATCCGAATTACCCGATCAGCCGCTAACATAGCCCTAGACTGGTCAACCTGGCCGTTTCCCCCGGCGTCAAGTATAAGCAGTCATCGATGCCCTTTGTACAGATGGAAAACATCTCACACTTCCTTCGCGCGTGCCAAATCCCGCCCCTGGGTCTTCCCCCGCATGATGTCTTCCTTACCGTCGATCTCTACGAGGCTAAGGATCCCGCACAAGTTCTTCAGTGTTTGGTCGCCTTCAGTAGAAGAGCTAATGCTCTCCAACCCGGCAAATTCCCTCGTTCGATTGGTCCGCAGAGTAAGGTCAGCACTTTGAGCCCGAATGCGACCGGCTCGAGTCAGGGGACCCATACACCCTCTAGACCGCGGGGACTTAGTAACGCGACCTCCAGCGCTTCTGGATACTCGAGTCCGGCGAAGTCTCCGGGCCCGGTGAGCAGTTGGAGCAAGAAGACGGATGAGCATACGACAATGCCAGCTTGGAATATTCACCAATACGGTTATATGGGCGGTGCCAGTCAGGGCAATCAAGGGGTCGCGTTCGGTGCTCGTCGACAGATCACAACTGCTGGGCCACATGTGCCAAGTCTAGCTGAAAAGGAGAAGCGCAGACGGGAAGAAGAAGACCGCCGCCGCTTGGAGGTCGAGGAAGCAGAGCGCAAACGCCAACAAGAGCGGGAAGCCGAGGAAGCCCGTGCTCGAGCGGAGGAAGAGCGCCTGTGGGAGGAGGAAACTAACCGCCAGAGGGAGCAAGAGCGACTCCAGGTCGAGGAAGAGCGAAAGCGATGGAATGACGAACAGCGGCAGTGGGAACAGGACGAGGAGCGGCGTCAGCGAGAGGAGAAAGAGGCCGAAGAGAGGCTGGAGAGTGAGAGACTGCGTCGTCGGGAAGTTAACGATAGTCGCCTCAATGGACAGTTCCTCAGTCAATACCAAGCAAGTCAAGCTGGAGCTAGCCAAGCTGCTCCCGAGCCTTCCGAGAGTCGGCGCATAAGAGAACTTGAGCGAGAGCTGGAGTCCGCAAAACAAAGAGAGGCGGAATATCAGCGTGAACGCAAGGAAATGCTAGAGAAACAGGCAGCACCTGCTGCGACTCGCGCTCCTCGCCCAGTACGGGTACCTCCCAAGCCTAGCTACGATTTGTCTTCCCTCGAGCAGGAGAGGCGACTCCTTCGCAAGGAATGGAGCAACCATCAGACTGAAGAGCCGATTGCTGAAGCGGCCAGCCCTCCTTCTCTACCGCCCCGGCCGCTCCCCGAGTCAGCCGCTACTTCGCCCCGACCCCTTCCTGACCCATCGCTCTACGCTCCAAAAAGCCCTATCCAGGAAAGTCGTGTAGACCGTTTCCTCGCATCCAATCGACCTCCCGTTGTATCCAAGCCAGCCACCCATCGCCCACAGGATTACACAACAACGGCTGAAGTCGACGCGGAAAACAGCCGCCGAGTGGCAGCACAACAAAAGACCAAGGCAGGCGGATGGGCCTCCAAGTCCCTGCTCGAACGTGAAATGGAGCGTGAGCGCGAGCGCCAGCGTGAGTGGGAAGAGAGCCAGAAGCAAACACAAGAAGCAGCCGCCAAAGGTCTAAAGGACGGTTCCCTCGGAGTCGGACCCGGACAAGGAGCTTGGGATGTGCACCAGTACGGCTTTATGGGCGGCGACAACCAGAACCGGGGCGGCCATGGACTAGGAGTTGGAGGCGCAAGGAGACAGATCATTGGACCTCGTCCTCCTCCGTGATCAAACATGGCGAATTAAGGGTGGTATGGTATCTTAGTCAAAATGTGTTCATCCACATTTGAGGGCCGTACGGGGGAGGAGTCGAGCTGTCTCATGGAGGATTGATTCTATTACCCAGCGTATTCTTCCGTCTATCGATATTTTCTTTTCTTGTTAACGGCGGTTCTTCGTGCTTTTTATAATTGATTCCAGACATTGTTTCAAATATTGGTGGTTAGCTGTAGATAAGCTATACGCAAGCTAAATAGGTTTATCTAATCAGGATATAAAAAAAGTGAAGCACCTCAGAAGCAACCTAACATGCTAAACGCAAGATATACATATATATATATATATATATAAAGGGACAAGAAAGGGTATCTATACGACAGATTCGAGCATCTCAAGCCAAGCCAATAACTCCACAACATCCTCACTAACAAATCAATCAATCAATCACTCATCCTCATCTTCCGCACGCGGAAGAATCTCCTCAACAAGGAACCTCAACCGCTCCCCACTCTCAAGCAGCCAACACCACTCTGTATCCTCTGATTTGCGCACACTCTGGCTCTTCTTAGTCTCGGTTTGCGCCCTCTCCGCACGGCGCTGTATGCCAGCTTCGACTGCTTCTTGTAGTTTGGGCGTCACACGCAGCATGTCGTTGTTGGCGAGGAGTATTACGAGCGTTTCGAGGAGGATCGAAATTTTGGTGTTGTCGACTAGACTGGTTGTGCTTGCTGCATAGGGGAGGAAGCATTCCTCTAGTTTTGTTTGGTTGAGGTACTCGTCGTCTGTATCAGGGGCGGCGCTTTCGCGGATGCGGAAGAGGAGGAACTCACAGAGGGTTGTGCAGGCTTCTGGCGAGAGGTGGGGGAGGGTGGTTGGAGCGATGAGAGCCTGGAAGACGGGAAGGGGGAGGTGGCGGATGTTCTCGACGAAGAGGTGGTACAGGTCTTCGAGGGGGATGAAGGAGTCGGGGAGAGACTCGGAGACGACAGAGAGGAGGTTGAGGAGGCGTTGGCGGAGGGCGAGGGACTGGAAGCCGCCGTGGGAGGAGAGGTCGCTCACAGCGAAAGTTGAGGGGTAGGTGTCGAGGGCGTCGGTGGATTTGGCGTCTTTAGACCGCGTGCCTCGTCTGGGCCGTTTGGATTGTCGGGACGGCCGTTTCGCAGCCGGGTCCGCGTCGTTGTCGGACGATTCGTCGTCGTTGATTAGGTAGTCGCCGTATTGGTCTTCGTTGATGTTGACATGCACTTCGCGTTTCCGGGCGTTCTTGTCCTGCTGTTTGGGCTTTTTCAGCTCGTGGTGGAAGACTTCTCGGAACTCGTTGGCGGAGGTTGAGCCCCCGTCTGCGAAGATCGCGCGGAGGATTCGTCGATTATGTCCGTAGCCTGCCGAGGCTTGGCTGATGTACTGGAATACCAGGCTGTCTTTGAGGATTTGCGAGTGGTCGGTCTTTGCGATCGGGTTCGCGCTCAGCCTTTTTCGCTCGTTCCAGTCGTCTTCCAGGACTTCGCACATGTATTCGAGCCACACCTGCCATTGCTCCCATCGGTCCCGGTGGAGGACGGAGCAGTTGAACGCCCATCCGACCGCGTGCCAGAAATCCTCTGCGCGAGACCATACGGACGCAGACTGGGCCAAGTCGAGGTTCAGTGGTTTCGTGTCATCGTCGGGTAAACGCTCGTCTTCAGCGCGCCGGCGACGCCCATGGCGGGAGGATTCGAAGTGTGTGAAGGAAAACGCGACGCCGAGTTTAGCGGATAACGGCCCAGCGAGGGTATTTGTGAGGCGTAGTAATCGCAAAGAGACATTGGGCACCTCTTCTTCATCGGCGGTCTTTGCCCGGGTGGTGGTTGAGGGGTGGACGAGGAATGTCGCCGCTAGGGCGAGATGCTGCGGTGGCGGGGCATAGACCGGTGTTGGAGGGTTTGTGCCGGTTGTGATGATTGTTAGGAGAAGGTTTAGGGCTTGTTTGTCTAAGAAGATGTCAGTTTTGGGATAGAATGATTGCAGGTGGTGTGAGACGGACAGAGCTTCTCTTCGAAGAAAATGCCTACATGCTGGACCAGTTCAAAGGGGAGGGGTCTGACAGGGCGATAGAGAGGCCAGGACGCCTCTTCCTCTGTTACCGCCATTGACTTTCCGTTGAAAGACGTGATGTTGGAGCAAGATGGAGAATCGCGGTGTCGCGAGGCTTATCGATATGCGACACACACGTGGGATTCAACAATCATGCTTACATACTTACATGCTTATCACCCCTAATCAATATATATACATATTTATGTGACTCTCTGTCGCTACATATCTACCGACAAACTTTATGGAGGAAGTTCTAGGTTGTTTTCATGGTAATTCAATCCGATCTTTGCTATCTGATCTAGAGTGGATAGTATCCTTTTCATAGCACTTGGTATATAAATCACTTAAATGTCTAAGTATTCACCAACTCAAGGTGCCGTAGTGTAGTGGTTATCATGCGACGTTGTGGTTTGTCCCACAGTCCCGTCTCGACCTGGGTTCGATTCCCAGCGGCGCCAATTGGCGTCAGATACTTGATTGGTTCTTTTTTTTTTTTCTTGTTAAACTACTTCTAACTCTCCATATCTTACTCATCCCCCTTTTTTTCTTTGTTTCATATGCTATCCATATAAGGGGTAAAAAGTAGAGCTAAACCCCCAAAATAACCTCTGAACTTTTTTCATTTCCAATCGGTCATATGTCCCTACTGATGAACTACTTTACTAACCTAACCTAAACTAGCTTCTAAGGTCGGGTGTACCAATACTCCTATTGGTCCACATCCATCCAGATCGGGGCCACCATATATATATATATATACATGTCCAGTTTGTTGTACTCCGTCCACAAAGTCCAAGGTGGGCTGTACTACGACTACCCTCTCGATGCCCACGCCTGCCGCATAGAGGCAATACGATGTGCGTTATTTAGTACGTAACAGATCCCATACTTGGCGCGAAGGGGCAAGCAACATACCAATTACCAACAGTCCCATGACACCACAAACTCCAGATGGGCGTACATGAAGACGGACGAAGTCCGCTAACCAAACCAACCCCACAACGAGCGACTCACCGGCCCGGACTTATCGTCTAGCGAGCCAAATAGTAAACGGTACAATGGCTGGCCTGATTAGGCACTCTTGGTATGGGCCCTAATCGTATAGTATGGTATAGAGTAGCATTTCGATGGCGTTGAAGTTGACTTATGACCAAACTCCCCCGAAGAGGTATACATGCATATACGGGGTACTTATTGGACGAACCGACGAACCTAAGAACCAGGCCGAGGTTCTAGAAGAAAGCTAATTGGTATAATTAACATAGGGTTTAGTTGATTGTCGGAATAGGATCTATACTCGGGGTCTCATGTGACCTGGCAGAGCATGACTGCATGACCTAGATTGACCCTAATGCATTAGACGTAATCTCGGCGTGAGCCAAGACAAGATTTGTCTCACGAACGTTTTGGAAACCTATCTGTTGCATACTAGCAGTAGGATGAATATGCGAGAGTATGTCCCAATCGATAGGTAAGAAAGCCATATACACCGTAAGATGCAAGTAATGAATAGTATACCCTTATTTCTAGACACGTGTCTTGTCCTCTATCACAGCTGCCGCGACCCCATATTCTATTAAATTTGTGTTCGACATTTTGTTTTTTTCTTTCTGCTCTCCTTCATTTTTGATGCCTCCTGTACCCCATGCTATCACTTCAGCCCGTTTCCCAGCAAACAAAAGTATTCGACAGGGTAGAGTAGCAGAGTTCGGGCCAATTTCAGATCGGGGGAGTAGAGTAGCCCCTGAAACATGAAACAATTATTACAAGACAGAGAAGGGAAGGGTAATAAGCGCCAAGTGGAGAATATTATCAAGAAAAAAAAATGACTTCAGAAAAGAAAAGAGAAGAAAGAGGATCGTTTACTCCTCCAGTTCCGAGGAGAAAAGACCTATCCGCAGTCGGTGTGACTGTATCCGAGTTAGCAAGGCATACATATAGATGTTGCCGGTATAAAGGGGGAACGAAACGTACGAATGGAAGTTTCGGAATGACCACCCCCAAAGTGGCTAGGAAATTGATCGTGAAATATGTCAAGTCGTAGTGGGTATAATGCGTGCTGAGAAGGAAAAGGCAGATGGGCACGCAGAGTAAGAACTTTTTCGTCGGGGTATATTGATCTCCGTTGTCGATTTGCTCCCACATGTTGAGATTATCATAGGCACCCGCGTTGAATTCGAAAGGGATGCCCCGCACCCAGTGGAACATGAGAAACGAGCCGAACATGTAACTGATATTGGTAAGGGTCCATGACGTTTCCTGCGAGACGCCGGGGATGATGTCGTAGAAGATCTTCAAGGCAATAATCAGAACGAAATGGATGGTCCAGGCACCTATCATCACGGAGGCTCCGGTTAGCTATCCCGGAAAGAGAAGAACATACAAAAAGCCCACATATCTGCACTCACCCTTAGCATTGACCCAGTTCGCATTCAGATTGGGCAAGGCAGCTTGATCGCTGGTATGCTCAATGGACTCCGGCGGCTCCTGATAGATGATGCTGCTTGACCGTCTCCTCCGTCCACCCTTGCTCTGGGACATGCTAGAATCCGGACTCAACCGGTGCGGTTGAGTATCCACCCCCGGGGGGAAGGAAATGGTACGGGGAACTGCGAGGGAAGACACTTTGGCGGTATTGACCGGGGTAGATGTGGGATTGAGGAGGGATGTCGGGAGACGAGACGAGGAGGATTGACCAAGAAGAGGATCGGAAAAAAAGAACGGCCAAGAAGGTCTCGGTTCGGTGGGATCGAATTTGCTGCTAGTTAAGAAGGTTGTTTGCTAATGCAGAAGAAGTAGAGGATCTGATCCGTCTCTCGCTTTCACTTCCGACCGTCAGATTGGATGATCGGCAGCTGTTTGGGTCACGGGATGTTCACCAATCCGAAGGGGGCAAAATGAATGGGGGTGTTTTTAGGAGGCGTAAAATAGGTATCACTAAAATGAAAAATGAAAAGAAAAAGTAAAGAGTGTAACTATTATATTAGATAATTCTATACACAAGTATAGGCTTCCGGGAAGAGAAGAAAAAAAGAAAATAAAAGCAACGGAGGGAAATCTAACAAAATATATGAAAATGTAGGGAATTCAGTCACACGAAGAGGGGAGGAGAAAAAGGGAAAATCCTCAGCAATAAATGACCACAATAATACCAATACTAAGGTAAGGTACGGAAGAAGCCAATACCTACTAATAATAAATAGTCCGAAACGGTCCAGAAGCGGCGGAAGAACGAGTAAATGAGTTAATTCTGATTTATCTTCTCTTTGGCGAAATATTAATAGAATGATCGAGACTTAGTTTAACTTCTATAACTTGTATACTCAGGATTGTTTTAGCCAAGAAGTTTCATATCTTCAATGTCAAGCATTCCCATTCCTCGGGGCAAAACTTCTGTTATCTATGAATACTTTATAGCGTCTTGTCCCTTTAAAATAGAAGGACCTGGCAGAATAGCCAAGTGCATACTATGAGTACTTACATCTATTTACACACTGCCAAAGTACTGTACGTACCGGATGGAAGTTCTTATCTCCGACACTTGCACTTATGGTCACTATCCACTGCCGTAAATTTTAAGAAACTAAACACTCCACTACAGACATCCTTCTCCGATTTCAAGCGTCTTTCTGTGATCGGTAATGCCGTTAATAAATTGTCACAGCATGTCTGACTCACTAGGCGATGACAATAACGATTCGAGAACCGCCTCAGTTGGTACGCAACGTAATCGCGCCATCAGCGCCAATGGGTCGCGACAGAGCTCCATAGACAGCAATCTGCACCCCAGGAAAAGACAACGAAGAAATGAAAAGGCGGGCCCTACCGATGCACGCGACTTTGTCCCTCAAGGTGCTACTTTCAGCGCAAACTCTTTAGAGGTTGACCCGGATAGTACGTCCAGCTCGGGTTCCTCAGACAGCGACAATGAATCCGATTCTTCGGACGATGGGAACGAGACTTCTTCACAGGCTGGTCCTCAATCCGCAGCGGCTCCTAATTGGAATAAAGCCAGTAAAAGTACGATCCGGACGTCATTGAGCAAAGGAGGAAGCCAGACAAATGAAGGCAAACAGGATTCCCGGTTTGATGCGGTCAATGGTAAATACTGGCGCAGTCGTAGCGAATCAATCTCGACTGGCGGTGACAACGATAGTAGTGATGATGGTTCAGAAGAGGGAGAAGTGCAGGAAGATGATTTGGCCGACTCTAGCCAAATGCATCTATCTGGAGATTCCGACGACTCATCTCTGGACTCAGAGGCCGACGACTCGATACTGTTGAATATTGGCTCTCGTGATCAGACACAGAATTCTAGCCTGAAACAAAACGGGAGGCCGCCGCTAGAAAATGATGATTATGATCCAGAGTCTCTCTCGGTTTCTCGGGGCCATGCTAACGGGCAAACTATGGATGGGGCTGCACCAAACACGTCAAAGGAAGAGGCATTCCGTCACTTCGCTCGAAAATACCCAACAAATCCCTCAACCCTGGCTGATCTTAATCGTGAAGATATGGAAGTCCAAGCCAAGGTTATCTTCTACGACCGTGATATTAATGACATCGACCTTCAATTGCCCGTGGCCTGCACTGAATGCACGCGGGAGGGTCACCTTGCTGAAATGTGCCCATCAAAGGAGGTGCGTTTTGAAGCTCGCCGGTCCACTTCGTTGAAGCGATCATCCCATTACTTTAGATACTACGAGTACTGACGGATTGCAGTGTGTGCATTGCGGCGCCTGGAATAAACATCAGAGCAGTTTCTGTCCTTCATGGAGAAGGTGTCAAAAGTGTCGAGAACGTGGCCACGATCAGCAGAATTGTCAATCACCTCTCAAAGGATCCGCATCCGAGATACCCTGTGATCTCTGTGGATCTTCGACTCATTTGGAGCTCGAGTGCGATTTTGTGTGGAAAACTCAGCAAGAGCCGCCATCAGGGCCTGTGCTTGTATCTATATCTTGCTCTCATTGCACTAGCAACCGCCATCTAGTCGGCGACTGTCCATCTCTGCCGCAGCCTTTGGAGTCATCGTCTTGGACACTGAGAGGGATTGACCCGCATATGGTCACCAATATTAATTCGGTGGTCAGCGGGAGGAGAGGAGACCACTCATCTAGAGGCCGAGGTGGTATGAAAATCAGGGGTCGTGCGGATGTACACTCTTCTCCCGATGATAGTGATGACTTAATGGTCAGGCGACCTCCCGTTGGTCGTGGCGGAAACCGAGGTAATATCCGCATTGGCAGTGGGATCGGGAAGAATAAGAACCTGGTCCCGGCTGGCCCACGAGGCCCAGATATGGATTCGCGCCAGTTTTATAGGGACCGCCAGGATTTCCCTTCGGGCAACGCACGACAACGCTCTTTGTCTCCTAATCCTCGCCGTGGAAGAGGCAAGGATAGTTGGCAGGCCAGGCCTCGTTCACCTCCACGAGACCAGTCTCGGCCTCCCCCTCGTGGAGGAAGAGGCGGGGGGCGTGGACGTGGCGGACGTGGTAATGGGAACAAACGAGGGGGTAACGGTGACGCCTATCGTCCAATGCCGAGTTCCGCTAAGAAAGCCTGGGATAAGTACAGGCTCTGATTTGAGGATAACTAATGCAACGTAGGTAATTGTTGGACTGGTAGTATACTATCTGCGAATGTTTACTCATGATCGGCCCTTGTAGAAACCTGGGCTGGTACAGGATACCCTTGACTAAACATATTTCTTGTGTTGATGGGATTTGTGATACGCCAGCGTCGTCATCTGTTGTATTTACGACATCACACAAGACCTTTGGTTAGTGCTTTTATCTACTGAGCCAATGGCATCTGTACATGATCCACGAAGACCGTGAGAAATGACCCGCAACATGCTATGTGAATTATCCGAGTCGAGAGGGGGCGAAACTTCTTGTCTAATCTAGACTCTAAACATGCCAATGGGCGTCAAGCATCAGTGACAGGGTGAGATATATCCCAACGCACTAGTCACTGGTAGGGACTTTGTGCCCTCCACGGTGTCCGACAAAGCCTTCGTCTAGGATGCCGATAAGCTCATCTAGCCGCTCAATGTACAGATCGGTATGAGTGTGCTCTTTTAGATGACCATTATGATCATTCAATAGCAAGACAGTCGCGGCACCTGCTGTGTGCCCAGCAGTCATATCATCGATACTGTCACCAACCTGACATCACATCAGTTCCCCGAACAAGAGAAACTCTACTGGAAATGCAAAGAAACCCACCATAATCAGATTCTCTCCTCGATTACCGAGTCCCCATTCATTAGCAATATGCAAAATTCCCGCTGGATCGGGTTTAGGCAATAGTCCTGGTGTCTCTCTCGTAATGATGGGTAGAAACACATGAGCCGGAAGATGGTTATCTAAAAGATGTCGTACCGGTGTTCTGCCATAAACTGTATCAACCCACGCCACAGCCTAGACTACCTACCAAAAGCCACGGGGAGAGAGAACGGAGATTGACGAAAGTAGACGCCTTACTCAAAATTCCGCGTACAAAGCGCTCTTTTAATCCCTCGTTTTTGGAGATAATCCATCAGCTCCACGAGTCCCGGCTGAGGTTCCTGGTTCCGCATCGCCTCGCGCTCAATGTTCTTAATCTTATTCGCGGCCTCGAGTTGCGCCTCGCGCGTCGGAAGCCGGCTAATGTGGTGCAAGATATCGACCTTTTTATCGATGCCCAGAGCCTCTCTGCATCGCATTTAGCGTACAATGGATGTAAAACAATATCGGAGATTAGATTAGACCCATACCGCATCTGCCCAAACATGTAATTCTGAGGAAGACTATTTTACATATCAATCAATACATCGGCTGTCCGAGCGAAATCTCCGGGAGACATGGAAGTACCATAACGTTCCGTCTACGTCGAAAACGATCCCCTTCAACGGTGGCGCATTAGATGCCTTGTTCATTTCTGAGCTCAGGGGCGCGAATCGTCGCTGGCGGAGGGGATAGCTTTGAGCTGAAGCCATGATTCGGGCGACTTGCGGCGGGGTCTGTGGGGTGAACATGGGCATTGGTGGGGGATTTTATGTTGGAGGTTTGAGGTTGTATGATTTCATGTGGTGTGATTCGATGGCGCTCGCGATAAGATTGATAAGGCGGAGATTTCGGAAATACCCTACCTAGATCGTGAGAGCCTCTTATGATCGTGTTTCTAAGACATCTTTCCTTCCTTTCCTTCCTAGATCTCATGTCACTAATGAAATTACCGCCAGAGAGTGACATGATAATCTTATATACATCTCATTATTGAAGAATACGTGCTAAAGGGCGCAGAGCTATCAGAAGCATGGTGCTGTAGGGCATTCTGAATAAGTTTATCTTTTGTATATTATCCTCTTTATCTTTGGGTAATGCATCATCTCTTTCATATTTACTGAAAGACTGGCCTATATTTCCAATGCCGCCCTTTCCATTGACTGCCACCATTAAAGCACTGTGTGATGTACGACATTTCTTTAGTAAGGGAAGGGTGTATACTGTCCCTCAGTGGCTCTTTCCTTACTACCGGAATGGATAAATGTCTCGACTTACGATGATTCTCAAGTGAGGACAGTCTTTCTCTTCAATTGTATCAGCCTACCCGACATTCTTTCTGGTATACGTCCTCTCTTCTAGCGATACCTGGCCGATCATGGCAGCCAACAATGTCCAAGAGCCGGCTCTTCCTCCCAACAATCCCATCACAATCAGCACCGGCCAAATTCTCTCTCTTCTGGGAGCTCTCATAGCCCTCAAATTTTTCCAGGCAGTGACATACATCTTCCGTCTCGACAAAAGTCGGAAACGGCTGCTGAGAAGCCCAGTCGCCCGAGCGATTGTGCGCAAAGAGCAACTTATCATCGATATTTTCTTGTCCATCATGCCCGAAGGAGTCTTCCGTTCGCCTGCAAGCTCAGCCACCATAGAACTGACGCCTTTATCATCCATGGATGTCAACCGCAATGTCCCTGAAGACGATGACCGGACCTCGTCTGACGTCCAGAGCCCTCTTATTCACACCGCACCCGGTATGCCAACTGCCCTCCGTCTCTGGCAATGTGGATCGGGTTGCGGCGGCTTGAAACTTTTCACAATGAACCCCCAAAACCCAGGATTACCACTCCCAACAAGCAAAGGCAATACAGTGCGGCTATATCGTGCCAGCGATGGGGTAGAAGGAAAAAGTATAGGTGTCATTCATACTTGGTCCCCTAGTGCAAACCAGGAGAGTATACTTGCTTTGAATCAGGGATCCGCTGCGTCCAGAGTTGAGAGACAGCAATTTAGTCCCATCGTTCGGCCGTGGTCCGTTGACTCGGCTGCGTTGCCTTTGACGAACGACTCGCATGCGATCTTAGAGATGGAGGAGGGCGCGAAGACATCTCGGTCGGCGGAGAGTTTTCCAGGGAAGTTTCCTATCAGCGAGGGATCGGATGCCCAAAATTTGTCTACGATGCCGCAGTGTATGAGAGGTCGAGGTGTGACTTCTGTGAGGCCATTTTCGGACCTATGATTTTAGTGTATTCGCAGTAAAGATGTGGTTATCCGATTAATGTGTTTATATTATTAACCCGTAGACTGGGCTACTGAATATGGGTAGCATGCATTGTTTCCTCTACCAGTCTTCGCAAACAGTTTTGTATATGCAGACAAAATCAATTCAGAGACACTGTTCTTCATGAATAGCATGGTCAGGATGTCCCACGGATTTAACAAAGATCTTAGCACTCTCCAATACTCGCTTCTTACAATCACTGTTGACATTCGTACCCGTAAAGCCACCACGAATACTGTCAAAATCCATATCCTTGACAGCCTTTTAAATACGGTGCATTTCCTCCGGTGGAAGCGGTATCTGCAAGTCAATTAGCCAACAACCTCCAAAACGAAGCAGGAAAAACCAGGACAGACCATATTCGGATAAGGCCACATAAAAGTAAACGACAGCGTCCCCGGCAGCCTCTTAATATGATAAATCCCACTGGGCACCACCCCAATCGAATCGGCCACCAACAACAACCCCAAACGTTTCCACCACAGCACCGAACTTCCAGGGAAATGGCCCCCGTCTTCACAGCCATCAGATCATAATCAACCACTCCCGGGGAACGGTAACTGCGACCAGTCCCAGAGTACCTGTTTCTCCCCCATGCGCACTACCCACTCTTTATCCTCCCGAGCCAGGTAAACGGGACAGTCAAAGATCTCTGCCCAGTGCAGGTGCGTGGTATAAAAGTGCGGATGTGAGATGACTATCGCTTTGATACCGCCTAAATCCTTGATCTTGGCCACGGTTTCATCGTCGATATAGGTGATGCAGTCCCAGAGGAGATTGCCGGAGGGTGTACGACGGAGAAGCGCACGTTGCCCGATGGCTACTCTGGGAACAGTATGGTCGATATCAGGGCATCTTGGTGGACGCTGTCGGAGCTGAATTCGTTGTGGTATGTGTTGGAATCTTGTAGGGTGCGGAGTGTTGTCCAGGCTTGTCTTGGGGTGGGGGGTTGTGATGGTTAGTATTGGACTTTCTTGGTGGGGGGGAGGGGGGGATAGGGGGTTATTTTGTGCTACAGATAAGGCTCATGGCTCTTTCTTTTGGTTCTGTCGTCGGTGGTTTTTGTTCATGGAGATTTATGGAAGAAGGGGAGGTGGTTAGTTACCCTGTTGGGGGGATGAATTGTCTTGGATCGTCGCAGATCTTACAAGATGATTCGGATGTTGTGGCACATTGTGTTCCGCAGGCTGAACAGATGGTTAGGTCTAGGGAGTTGATCATTTTATTCAGTGATGATAGAATGGAATATGTAGTAGGTGGTGGTGAAGACACGTAGTTATACACATGTAGGGTCTATTGGTTGAGGGAAAGATGGGAAGTATCCAAGGAACGGAGAAATAAGGAAACCATGGGTGATCGACGAGATGGAATGTGTCATTAGACGAACTACGCTATTGTAACCGATGTATAAATTTCTCTTATTCGATCTTGCCTCAAGCATACATCTAACAACACCTAGTAAACGCCTATGTTGCCATGCTTGCACCTTTCTACCAGAGGAAGTCCAAAAGATAGGGCCCTTTACATCATCTAACCCCATAATCAACTTCACCCCTCACCACCGTTACCACCACAGCCACCTCTCCTCCAAAAGTAAATGGACAATAAATAAATTAACCTAATAAACCTACTCCCACAACCGATAAACTAACCTCCCACTAACCTTCCCTGCTGCCATGTGCCGAAACCCCTCCTCTAGCTCCCCAAACCCTCTCATCTCCACCACAGGCCTAATATCCCCAGTCGCAGCAGCGATCTCAAGACACTCCGCCAACTCCTGCCGCGACCCCTGATTCGTCGCCACGAGCGACAGATCTCGCGTTACCATCTCCAGCAGATTGACCGGGACAGTGTCTTTCGAGACGCCGACGGCGATGACGCGGCCGTGCGTGGCGGTGAGGGGGAATGCGAGCTCATATGCGGCTGGAGAGCCCGATGCGACGATTGTCGCGCGGGCTTGCAGGGCTTTGGTCTGGGCCTTGTCTTTGGGGGAGAGCTGGTCGGAGCGGTGGGTTTCGAAGGCGCCCGAATGTGTGGCGAGGGAGAGTTTGTCGGGGGATATGTCGACTGGTTTTTTAGGGTTTAGCTTCAGATTTGGTATTGTAAGGAGGCATGAAAGTGGGAAGTAAGCATTTCCGGAGGATATGGCTCCGAACGAACAAAGATGAATAATACTGGAGGAGTGTGAAGAGTGAGAGGTAAGAGATAAGAGATAGTATGAGCAACTAAACTTACATCCACGGACCCGATATCCCATCGCCTTGGCATACTGAATAACCAGATGCCCAACGCCACCACAGCCGATGACGTTCAGAGTCATCCCGCCGGGGACGACGACGGCGGCTTTCTTGATGGCACCGTATGCGGTGACGCCGGCGCAGAGGAGTGGTGCGGCCCTGGTTGAAGTGAGGGTTAACCAGGAGTGATCCTGGATGCAGAGATGGTGGAGTAAGCAAATCCCGAGGAGGGGGCGTACCATTCATCCTTTAGTCCATCCGGGAGCTTGACGGTTGATATGGGGTCAGCTAGACAGTATTGACTGAAGCCACCCCATGGGACGTGGAAGCCGACGCAGGTCTTCTTCTCGCAATAACGGTGCTGTCCGCTCACACATTCGGGGCACTCCACTACCGCTAGATTAGCATGTCCCGGGACTCGGCTTTGAAAGGGGATGCAGAGGATAAAGGGACAGCTTATTACATACTGCAGGTCTGCGAATGCGGCATGAATCCCACCCGGTCGCCTGGCTGGAACCCCCGGGTAGCACTTCCTACGCTCTCAATGATTCCCACCGCTGTATTCTAGACCATTAGCGGACCGGTTCCTGAGGAATTAGGGCTTCTTCGTTACGCACGCTCGTGTCCAGGACAGTATGGTGTTCTGGCCCCAACATGACCAAGCCACGCGGCCAGATCTGAGTTGCACAGCGATGAACTGGTGACCTTGACGAGTAGCTGATCTGCTGCTGGTGAAGGGACTGGTTGGGTAACTATCTGTACTGGTTTCTGGAACTCAGATATGACGGCAGCTTTCATGTTTTGGGGAGATTCTGCTGAGCCCATCTTGGTGACTTTGTTATGTTTCTCAACTTTGTTGATGTGTGTGACCTAGGGTATCGCTTGCTATGGAAAAAAGATGGATGAATGATTGATTTCTCAATTTTTTATAACTGTCCTACCTGATTGTCAGTTGGATTTCCGGCGAACCAGTGACCCGTTTCTACTCTGTCCGAAGCCGAGGAGAGCCGACTACGACTTCCCTTGCAGATCTAGGCAAGGGATGATAAATGTCCCAGAAGTAATAACATCATATTCCCTTGTGCATGTACTACGCCTCGAGCTGAGAGCAAAATACATGCGCCCCTCCCATATCCTCTCGCAGGCTTTCAGTCAATGACCCGCGGACGTTTCGATAGCCCCGGATGCATCAAAGCAAGTAAACCCTAATGTATTTAGAAAAGAAAAGTTCAAGTTGGCGAAATTGACGTGGCACAATCAGGAAAAGCCAAGGACAGCCGTGTTGCCAAACCAGGGTCCCTATGTAGCATTAGATTGAATACCAGAAAAACGCAAAGACTGGGCAATGCCGCACCGCCTGATGATTAGTTCGTTTGATGATTCTCCATTCACCCGTTTCGGGGTTCTTGATCCATTCATCATCATATGTGGCCCATGTCCAGAGTGCCTATGAATGAGACATCCACGGTGGTTCCCAGCGTCAGTGTCTCCTACAACTTATGCTTTTACAAAGATATAACAATAAAACGGAGCGCCTCACCTGTCCGAAATATTTCCCCTTTCCCCAATGCGTAGCAAGATAGTAAGTCAACGAGTGCGCAGTCAGACCGTCCGGCGCGACGTCGATGACCTGCGTACTGAGGGCATGCTGGGACGTGACGTGGGCTAGCGCACGCTTCAGGGCCGCTTCTACGTTGTCGATCCCTTGCAGAATTCCTACATAGCTGCTATAATTAGCCCAAATGTCAGGATGAAGCACGCGGCCCAGCTGATCCCATTCTCCGCTGTCGATGATAAATGGGTACAGGCTCAAGGTTTGCTGGATGGCTGTCGTGTCTTGTGGATGAAGTCCGAGGTTGACCGTGTTTGACAAGCCTGACACACCTGGCGAAAAGCCAGCTGGACGTGATAGCGGGTCTGGGGGAGCAGAAAGGATGGAGCGGAATGAAGGGATATTCCACGCAACTGCGAATAGCGAGGTCACTAGGACGGTTTCCACCAACATGACTGGCTTCATTCTTGAAGTAGTACGTTGTTGGGTAGCTCAAGGTATGTATACTTGAATTCCCAGTGGATCAAGAGCTTTATGTAGATAGGGTTGTCCTTCCTTTTCTGATCCCGCCGTGGGATGGGCCGGGTTTTCGGGTTTAAGTGCGGCTGAAGAAGATTTGGATTCTCAGATGCATTGCTTCCTTGCTGATTGTAGCTCTGGTAGATATTCTAGCCAGTTGTATGTACATGCTCATTCGCCAGACTTCCCCCTCATATCGATAATCGTGGTTATTGCCTTGCAGGTGGCTGAACTGGTTACTGAAAAGGGCCTATTCTGCATGTATATTCAGAATCGGCCCGCACAATCTCGATGGAATAAGAAGGAAGGGGTCGTAAATGCCTGTACCTACACAGACTCTACAGTTAATTGCCTTCCTTGTTTTGGTTTGATCTTCATTTTTCTTTGAACGGTGTGTTGTTTTTTTTTATTTCCCATCGCTCTACTGTATCCTCGAAGATAGGTTCACACAAGACATTACAGATATACCATGGGCAGGTAATTAGTGAATCTCTGCTACACAACACAGGAATGTGATAACTGACCTCTTTTTTTTAGCGCTGCAGTAGAAGAAAAGTTTATTGCCCTAACTCGATCCTCGAGCCCCATCACGGAGGCCGAAGTGGAAGCGGTATTCAACCAGCTGAAGCCCATTCAACCAGAGGATCTAATCGGAGAATGGGACGGTGGTAGCCTGGATACGGGCCATCCAAGCCACCAGAAGTTACAGGCCATGCGGTGGGCCGGTAAGGTGTTCCGATCTGTCGACGATGCGGATCCGATTGTTGTTCACGACGAGAATGGTCATCGAGTGTTAATGAGTGACTTTGGGCATTCGTCGGTAAGCTTCACGGTCGAAATGTCTTTTTTTGTTTTATTTTTACTAACGGAGGCCTATAATGACTAGGTCCGCCAAATGGTTTTTCGGGGAGTTGTGTCCGCAGCCATGATTTACGACCAGAAGCCGATCTTCGACCATTTTCGCTATGTGAGCGATGAGATGGTGGCTGGGGCGATGGAAGCTCCCAAACTGATGGGCCCGACGGGGACATACTACTTCTATCTCGTCCGCCGGAAGGAGTCGTCAAAGTAGGATGAGATGGGTCGCGAGTTTTTGTCCAATATTCATATATTCCAAGCGTAAAACGCTGTATGCACAGAGCCGACTCTTACTTTGAAATTACAATAAGCTTCATTTTTCAATGGTAAATATAAATTTCCTTTGTCCAATACAAGGGTATAGTACTACTACACAATGGCTAAGCTCGTGCTGGGTCTATTGAATCAGGGCCTCTCTCTCTCTCTTTGCCGTCGCGAGTCCATGCGTCTCATACGACATGCCCCTTTTGCCTCGTGCGCATTTCTCACGGAGGCACGAGAGAACCTAGAATTACAGAACGAGCAGCGCAATCGATCGTTTTCGCCCGATTGCTCTCGTTGATGTCGAATCAGGTTGCTGCGATTAGAGAAGAGTCGTCCGCCGCAACAGGCGTCCCAGCAGCGATACTCCGGTCGGCGCTCCTGGGAGCGAGAGGCTGACTCGAGTCGGGAGCGAGGGATGGCTTGTGTAAGCATATCGATGCTGCTATTGAGCTGAATGATTCGTTGGGTATCAGTTTCGTTGTCGAGGAGACTGCGCACTACCTGATCAGCAGATCGGCCTTCTATTATGGGCATGACTGACTCACTCACGTGGAGGTATGTTGGAGCATCTGGAGCTGCTCGCGTAGATTCGTGAGGCATTGACGCGCTGCCGAGGCCGAGTCGAATAGGTCGTGCTGGAGGACAGGGTCTCTCGCTGTGGACATCAATGTAGAGAACTCGTTGCTCGATGATGAGATGGAAGTAGTGGGAGACGGTTGCGTATTGACCGTGCCTCTTTCGGTAGCATATGAAGTATTTTCGACCTCGGGGTCAGAGAGGAGGAGAGCCCAAGCCTCTCTGCCGTTAGCTGTTAGCGACAATAAATCACGGCCTTCTGGAGAAGTAGGCCTTACGCGAATGTACATGACATGTTGTAAGTCACTGGAGAAGAAAGAATTCACTTCTAGGTGATGCTTAAACTATCCTTAGCATATCAAATTATATATAGGTTCCCTTTATATGGTCTTTACCCTCGTTATAATCCGCGCCCTTATCCGCGACCTGCATCTGAGACTACCTATGCCCTGGACATGATCTCGGCATTTCAACTCTAGTCCTGGCTTTGGGGAACCACTGCTAATAGCGTGCCTGCATGGGGGCAAAAAGGGGAATTGCTTCTCATCTTCTTTGTGCCTCTCCCTTGCAGTATTCGATGTCGGCTATCGGAGATCATGCAATATGATCCCTCCGTCTCAGCATTCTTCGGTGAACGCGCAGTATCAGCTTACCACACGAGCTGCAGCTGACGCCGGAGCCCTTCACAACTGATACGGCGGATATCTCTCATAACCCAGCTATCTGACTGAAGGGGAGCTTGTATCCGTTGAATGAAGCACCGAAATTCCAGCCTTTATTTACCCTTCACTGCTAAAACGTAATTGATGGTCGTTTGCACTAGTTCCAAAATGAGTAGCACAAGCGATAGCAGTAGTGTGGTCGCCTCGCCCACTTCGAGAGACTCATCCGAAACAAGTTGGCAAACGGGCGACCTAATGCCATACATTGCGGATTTTGGTGATGTCCCCAATAGCTGGAGCGAGCAGGAGCAGAATGTAAGCATCTCTGATACATCCCGAATAAAGCATATCGACAGGGTGGAAGCAAGACCACAACAATAAAGAGAAATGGCTGTGCTAACAGCTGTTGAACACAAAAAGATAGTCAAAAAGCCGTACACATACATCCTCTCGCACAAGGGAAAGGGATTCCGCACACAATTTCTCCAGGCTTTAAATGTCTGGCTGAATGTCGACGCCAAATCCTGCGCCGTCATCGACGACACAATTTCCATGCTGCACAATAGTTCACTGCTGTACGTTGATTCCAATCTAACTCTACTTCCTCCACGCGGGTGCACTTGCTATACCCTTTTCTCAGGTCTGCAGGCTAAGTATTCGTTTCAATGAAACCGAGCAGAATCGACGACATTCAAGACGAGTCGAAATATCGCCGCGGTGCACTAGCCGCCCATGAGGTATACGGAACAGCACAGACAATCAACGCTGCCAACTACGTATACTTCGAGGCACAACAGGGGCTGCGCCAGTTAGAATGCTGGCCCCAGCTGTTCCTCATCTTCAACGAGGAGCTCCTCCAACTGCACCGCGGCCAGGGCATGGAGCTCTTCTGGCGCGAGACCATGCAACCCCCGAGCATCGACGAGTATCTGCGCCTTATCTCCAACAAGACAGGGGGACTATTTCGACTGGCACTGCGATTGATGCAGGAGCTGAGTGACTGCGATTACAACATCTACCCGCTCGTCGACTTACTAGGCCTGATGTTCCAGATCGTGGACGACTACAAGAACCTGAAAGACGCAAAGGTAGCCCTTCCATCACTATAACAACGCAAATGATCGCTAACAAGGGATCCCCGCTGCCAGATGAACTCCCAAAAGGGCTACTGTGAAGACATCACAGAAGGCAAATTCTCCTTCCTGATCAGCCACGCCGTATGGATCAACGACTCCAAGCGCGGCGATATCCTGCGCATCCTCAAGATGCGGACCCTAGACAACGACCTCAAGGCCTTCGTCGTCCAGTGTCTAGAAGAATCGGGCAGTTTCGAATACACCCGACAGACAGTCTACCAATTGCGCGACCGCGCAAAACAGCTGCTGGCCAACATCCCGCAGCCTAACCCGGCTATTGAGGGGCTGCTTGATACCTTGACTGCGGGATTGTGAGATGCCTCTATATGAATTTCTTTTCTTGTTTTGGTGTGTTCTTTTTTCTTTTGAACGGCATATCGGAAGTTTCGGAAGTTTGGGATTCTTTTTGTCTTTTTGTCTTTGGTTTTGGGCGTTTACTTTATAGATAGAGGGTCCGTTGGACCAAACTGAGGCTATTAAATTGATTATTACTTGTAGGGCTTGGCCTTGACAACGTGCCTTGACCGATAGGTATGCACAGTTAGATAGTGTAACAAGTTGAGAACGACGTCTATCATGACTGGACAGTTGATCAAAGATAGTAAACTAAGTGAAATAGTTACGACAGAAAGAGAAAGAAAAATTTTATGTAAACAGTTTCTAGCCCAATTCACCCTGCGACAGCGCCGGAGAGCTCCAATTTCTCCCATTTCATCGCGAGACCCATCAGTACCACCAACGCCCCGGCCACGATCGACAAGATATATGCCCGATCTAGACCGTAGACGATCGCATCAATCACCTTCCCTTGTGTCTCGGGGTCCAGACTCTGCACGAGAGTTGATCCTGCGCCGCTAATAGTAGATACGATGCGTTCGTGAGACTCGTTGGGGAGAACCCATTGGATGTCTGATTGTGAGGATTGAATTTAGTAGTCTGTCCAAGATACTTGAGTGCTAGATTACAAGTGACTCACGTTTGATGGCTTCATTTAGGAACACACATTGCGCCAGCGAAAGGGCAAAGGTCATCCCGTTTAGCTGCGCGGTGGTGGTGAAAGCCACGGCGGCCGGAAGTTGGTGAACAGGGGTTTTGGCTTGCGCAACGGAGTGACCGAGCTGGCTGTACATGCCCGATCCCAAGCCCAGGATAGCAGAATAGCCGTAGATGGCCCCCGCGCTTGTACCGGCGCGGACGGTAAACATGAGCGCGGATCCGATGAGGCAGAGGGCGCCGCCCACCAGGAACCACGGTTTGTAGTAGGGAAGGACCGATACCATGTAGCCGCCAGCAACGGAAGAGAAGACGAGAAGGCAGACGAAGGGTAACAGACGCACAGCGGCCTGCAACGACCCATCGGCCGAGACGAATTGGAAGTGGAGGGGAATCATGTACGTGGGCACGGTGAGACAGACGGTTGCACAGCAACCGCAAACAAAGACCATCACCATGAGGGGCTGACGCCACGAGACCATCTCGACGGGGAACAGGCGAGTCTCAGGGGTGGTAAGGATGCAGTACACCTGTTGGAAGCCGAACGCAATGAATGCGACGCCGCTGAGCACCAGCGCCACGATAATTCCTGGTGCGCTCCAAGCATACTCGACCCCCGCAAAATTCACGCCGATGATACCGGCAACAAAAGCTCCGATCAACAGGAAGGAGCCGAGGAAATCAATCCGCGCAAATCGCTGCTTGAGTGGGGTACCTCGCGGTTGAGGGTCCAACGATGGGAGCAGGAAGAGGTAGACGGGTGCAAAGAGGCCGCCGATACAGAGGTTGATATAGAAAGACCACCGCCAGCCGGCACTGCTGTCAGTGAAGGCGCCGCCTAGGATGGGACCCAGGACTGTTCCCGCACCCCAGGTGATGCCGATGGCGCCAATATAGATAGGCCGTTCCTTCATCGTAGTCAACCGTGGCATGAAGTTCATCACGCCAATATACTGGCCGACTCCTCCGACACCGCAGATAATGCGACCACCGATCATAGCGTTCATGGTCGGGGCAGCGCCACACACCGCAGAGCCGATTTCGAAGATGGCGATCGAGATAATGTACATCCACTTGATGTTGAACTGGCTGAATAACTGCAAAATAGTGAGGAGGGTGGCACTGGAGGCCATCAAGAAGGCCACGCCGACCCAGGCGATCTTGTCGACTCCATCCAGCGCGTGAACGATGGCGGGTTGGATGTTGGCAACGATTGTGTTGTCCAGCGCGTACAGGAAGGTTGAGCTGTAGATGGCCAACACAAGCAGGAACCAGGCCACGCCGTGAACTTTGCGCGGTGGTTCGCTGACTGCGACCGAATACTCGGAGGGAGTGGATTTTTCCTCGTCGTGAATCCTAGGAGGCGACCATTCGTCGACTGTCTCGCCCATTTTCACTCAAAAGAAGCAGTGTTGCTGCAAAGGAGGGTATGGAGGAAACCGCAGAGATGAAAGAGTTGCAAGGAGAGAGAGAGGGAGAGCGAGAAGATTCAAGAACGGGGGAATCTAGACGGTAATATGGCAATAATTGTAATTTTATACATGTCTATGCGATCTTCTTTGTACATCCCGGTCTAAGTATAATCTTAGAGCTCATGGCGAATGAGCTGCGTGTAGATGGCATGCTTCTATCCCATTTTGCTTCCCGACGTCGCATTCAAATTTAATGTCATCCATTTTTCTTCCGTTCCAGGGTTGGGGGTGGAGGATGATCAACGACCCGTTCCACGGGTGGCTTGACGGCCCAAAATCACAGCGTCAAATAACCGTGTTTAGCCCTTTAATGATAAGGGACTCCGTGTTGCTACGGTGATCCTGATCGAATCGCATTCTCTTGGTCTCCTTCTGTCTCACTCTCTTGAGTCAAGGGTCCGGCAAGGGGGAACATTCTTCTTATTCAGGGAGCCGATCTCATGCAAGATACTCGATTCTTGATTCTTGATCGTCGCTTGTAGACTAGGCTTAAATTTGCATATCATTGTTGGCCGGCAAAGTGGATCCTGTCTCACGACTACACCGTTGGTTACTATGGTTAGGGCTTAAATTTGAGTTACATAGTCAGAATGACTCATTCTCGCGTCACTTTGGTAGAGAACTTAAGAACCATGGATCTGGCCTTTACCTTTATAAATTGTATAAAAGTTATGGCGAGAGGAGACTTGGTTAGGAAAGAGACTCTCTAACACGGTGGAGACTCGGTGGGCCTACTCCGTACTTAAAATCCTTCAAGGCCGATGAACCCTAGCAGGAGACCGGTTCCTTGGCCGCTTCTCTTATCCGTAATCTGGATACGGAGGAGAAACCAAGCAAAGTAAATAGAGCAGTGAAAGACGACATAGATCTACTAGTGCTCCATCTGCGTGTTCTTCACGTTTTGATTTCTCTGCTTCTAATCATATACCAAATTGAGAATATAGGTACCCTCACTAGTCCTTATGACTATCAGACCTTGTAACCTCCAGGGTTGCACAGTACAAGGCTGATGGGGTGTACAATCGGGCCGTGAATATATAGAGAAATAGCTCGACAGAGGGTCAGCTCCCGCGCAACCATTGCTACAGATTTAAGAAGTGATCCACCAGAGATGCCAATAATCTGAAGAAGATGACTATATCGCAACCGATAATCGAATCATGAATGGATTGAAACTGAATTGTGATGGCTCCAGTTCTAGGTAGTTCCTGTTTAGGGCGGCGTGTCTATGGATAGGGCTCAGTGGGCACGGGATCAGCGACAACGATCCAGTGAGCTCCACTCCATGCGTTTCTAATGTCTTCATGTTCTCATCTAATTTGCCTGATCGTTCCATCTCCAATTTTATTGGGCTGAGTGGAGTGGGTCAAGAGGTCTAATCCATTACTGGATTCACTGCATCGAGATTCTTCCATTTACACTAGAATCTCGGTACTACCTTGCTCAACATGGCAGGAATTGGCCGACTTCAACTTGTTTTTCTTTGAACAATTGACTTCGTCGTCACTGCGCTTTTGGGTCAAACATGGGTCGACTGGCTCGTCATCCTCCGTCCGCAAGTACCAGCTGAGGTCTCCGCCTGGTCGCGCTTCTGCCGAGCTCGATCCGTTGCCCAAGAAAGCCCAGGGGTTGGAGTCTGCATCCGCCGTCCAGATCCAGTCTTCGTAGCGCGGCTGCTGCGTCGCCTCCAGGTAGTGCAAGGTCGAGCCGGGCCATAGGGCCACTACCCGGTCCGATCGGCCGCCTCCATGATACCAACTCCGGCAGCCACTCGTCCACACCGTGTGCTGCATAAAAGAGTCCTTCCAGGCATTGAAGGTCCTGGTCGCCTCTTCACTGACCTCACAGGCCCGCCGGTTTTCCTTCTGTAGCTTGGCCAACATCTGGATGATGTATGAAACTTGTTGCTCAATCACGATCAGCACCGGCCCGTTCCCCACAGGGCAGTTGGGCCCCAAAATGTTGAAGTAGTTAGGAAACCCCGGCACGGCCAGACCTAAATATCCGGAGACCTCGCCATCCTCCCAGAGTTTCTGGCCTTTTTGACCGACGACGGGAAAGCGAGGAACGTACGAGGTGTTAAATCCCGTTGCACAGACGATGGCATCGACCTCATACGAACGCCCGTCATCGAGGATCATGCTATCTTCGGTCACCTGGGAAATCGCCGCCCCTGAAATGACCTGCACTTTGGGATCTGTTAGCGCCTGTAAGTATCCAGGGCCAGGTGTCGGACGCCGACAGCCAAAGGGGAAATTTGGGATGAGTGTATCCTGTAGCTGCTCGTGACCGACAAGCTGCTGCTCCATGGCGGTCCGAACTGCATGCTGGAAATATTTCTGATGATCGGATCCATGGATGAACATGGGGAAGGCGCTGTTCATACGCTGTTCAATGCGGCGCCTCTCGGCCAGGAGCGCCGCCGGATCAGACACGAACCGATCGATCTCGCTTTGGCTGTATTGACGGTACCCGTCCTCGACCGGAGGGGAAATCCATGCCGGCTGTCGAATGAAGTGGACTATCTTGTGGACAGAGGGAAGAATGGCCGGTAACACTTGAATACCTGATGACCTGAGATGCCAGATGAGTATAATGGTGCATACGCCAAGAGAATCATAGAAGAGTAGACAAACTCACCCGTTCCCAATGACTGCCACGGTTTTGTCTTTCAACCGAACGGAATGGTCCCATACAGCAGTATGTACGACTGCACCTTTGAATGAAGACAAGCCTTCGATCGCCGGCCATCTGGGTCGATTCAAGATGCCGGTAGCATCAACAACGATGTCGGCTGTGTGCTGCGCGTCCTCGCCCCTCTGGAGATCTCGTACATCCACCGCCCATTGGGATTTATCAGCTTGCCACTCTGCTCGGGTTACTTCGTGCTGCAGACGAATATACTTGGATAAGCCATGGCGATCGCAAAAGTGGGTAAAATACTGGCGAATTTCCTGTGAGCCGGCATATGTAGCTGACCATCGTGGGTTCGGCTCAAAGGACCATGTGTAACCTATTGTAAGTATGTCAACGCATGGCCGATCACCTTTGCAGGCGGAAGTATCACTGACAGTGAGACGGGACGTCGCAGGCACATCCTGGGTACGTGTTTTCAAACCATGTCCCCGCGACTGCTGGGTTCTTCTCAAAGACGAGCAAGTCCAATTGGTCAAAATGCCGCTGTAGTTTATAGGCTAGCAGGAGGCCTGAAGCACCAGCACCAATGACCAGCACCCGCAGTCGCCTCTGGGGCTCATATATCGGATAGGAGGGGAAACCGCCCGAGAGTCCGCGTGTCATGGCGTTTGGAATTGGTAGTAGGAATAGGGGCCGAGTGCCTCACGCGTGGATATCTTCTACTACTAAATAGAGACGGTGCTCGGTCGGTTCTGGACACACTGGACCACCATGCGGACCCGTTACATCACAGCATGCATGGTGCTGAAGCGTTATCTACCTCGCCCCTGGTGGATACATTCGTCGGTGCTGAATATGGCCCTCGGTGATCCGTCGGGGGAGCAGGGATGCAATGCAGGAAGCAAGGGGTAGCCAAGAGGTTTTACATAAAAATAATCACTGAAGCAACAGACGGGGATGGAAGAACATAATATTCACGTGCACCACGCCGAGGTTATTTTTCTTCTCTTTTACTTTTGCTTTGATTTACAGTCGACCAGATTCAGGATGCTTCCCAGCTTTGTTGACAGCATCTGCTGGTTCACTGGGGGCTGGCTGATTTACGTAAGAATATCCCATGGGTTGGAACTAATCCTGGCTTAAATGCTAACGATCTTATCAGCTTCTTCTGTCTACTGTTTTTCGCGCTGCCTACAATCTGTGGCTACATCCTGCGCGGAAATTCCCTGGACCGCGCTCCTGGGCTGCCTTCCATATCTTCAAAGACCTGACTTGTGCTCAGGGCAACATTGATAGTCGGCTCTGTGAACTTCACGCCCAGTACGGTCCAGTGGTTCGCATATCTCCCGATGAACTGTCATTCGTCGACGAACGGGCCTGGAGAGACATCTATGCGCACCCCAATTACTTAGCCAAATGGCCGCGCTTTGCCTTCGTCCACAACAAGCCAGACACACCGGCGGATATTATCAATTCTACACACGCTGACCATGCACGCATTCGCCGGCAGCTTTCACACGCCTTCTCTGATAAGGCCCTGCGTGAACAGGAAGGTTTAATCACAGGTTATATTGACCTGCTGATCGCAAAACTCTCTGATATTGCGGTCAGCGGTGCATCCGTCAACATGGTCAAGTGGTATAACCTTACAACTTTCGATGTTGTCAGTGACCTGGCCTTTGGACAATCATTCTCCTCTCTGAGTGAGGGTGAGTACCATCCATGGGTGGCATCCGTCTTCAAAAACATCCGCGCTTTCAATGTAGTCCGATCATTCGCCACCTACCCTGGGGCTAAAGCCATCATTGGGCTGCTAGCCTCGTCTGATCTACGACGGGCGCGTGAAATCCACAAGGAATACAGTGTTAACACTGTGAAAAAACGTCTGGCAAAAGGAGTCATGGAAGAGCGTCGTGATTTCATCGCCTATACACTCAAACACAAGGATGAGGCCGGTACTGGTCAGGGAATGACCGAAGGCGAGATCATCCGCACGGCTAGCACGCTAATAATGGCCGGGTCTGAAACGACAGCAACCGTCCTGTCTGGTCTCACTTACTTCCTGACCTCGAATCCAGATGCGCTCCGTAAGGTAATTATAGGCTTTCCTCCCGGCTTAATGTAGATGATTAATGGAGGTCGCACATATCATAGGCCACAGACGAAGTCCGCAATGCATTCCAGAGTGAAAGCGAGATCAACTTCACAAATGCCTCCACGCGTCTGCCGTACTTGCTGGCCTGCTTTGACGAGACGCTACGCATGTATCCACCAGTGCCCTTTCTCTCGCCTCGACTCACTCCTCCCGGCGTGACCTATATCGCTGGACACGAGGTCCCTGGCGGCGTAAGTATTTCATTGGTCCTGCTTCCTCACACACTCGGCCGCCATTTCTAATTTTGATTAGATGGGAGTTGGAGTCGCCCGCTTTGCTACTACACAAGACCCTAGTATGTTCTTCGAGAGCGATCGCTTTCACCCCGAGCGCTGGTTTGAATCTGCCAAGGACCCGAGCTCGCCTTTCTACCACGATGCCCGCGGCTGCTTCCAGTCCTTCTTAGTTGGGCCAGGTGCCTGCCTGGGCCGGAACCTCGCGTACCATGAGATGCGAACCATTATGGCGCGGATCCTGTGGCGATTCGACCTCGAACTCTGCTCAGAGAGCAAGGGCTGGGTAAAGGGACAGAAGAGCTACGTGATTTGGGACAAGCCACAGTTGATGTGCCGACTGTCGCTTCGCAAATGAGAACTCTGTGATGCAAGATAGGAATCGTAAAAAGAGATATGGATACAAATGGACCATTTATCCACAGATCATGTTATAAAACATAGTTAAATCTAAATAGCATCTCCCCAAGGACTAGGAGCATCCGAGCAAGTCAAATTCCGCCGTATAACAGCTATATCCGACTCAGTCAACCCACAAAACCGCCTCACGTACTCACTCATACCCCCATAATCCCTCCTCACCATCTGCAGCGTCTCCCACATATTCTCAAACGGCGCCCCAGCAACCATCTCCGCCAACTCCTGCGACCCTTGCATCTCAGGCTTGCTTAACAAATACTTCACAATAAACGCCTTGCGAGACCCCAACCCTACCTCCGTCAACGCATACTCCCGCGCCACCACCTCATCCTCGCAACCCGCCAACTTCATCAGTACGGCCACGACCACCCCCGTCCGATCCTTACCCGCACTACAATGAACAGCAAACGGCTCCCCTGCCCGATCCCGAACATGCAAGAGCACCCTCCGGATAGCCCCATGTCCCCGCTCCAGCATCTCACGGTACGCCTCCGCGTACCCGGCTCCAGGCGGGGCATCCCGTTGGGCATACCGAAGATACCGCATGCCAGCGGCCTCGGGGCTCCAATTCTCATGGGCGAAGATGGGGGTTTCGTGCCGCGTGATATTGGGACCCAGAGGTGAGTTGGTTAGGTCCGTGATCACGGCGCGGCCGTGTGCGTCTTGGGCCTTTTTGCCCTCGTCCAGGGAGCGGAGGTCATATACGGCGGTTATTCCCAGGGATTGGAGGGTTGCGCGTCCGGCGTCGGTGACTTTGATGAGGTCGGCGCAGCGGTAGAAGAAGTCTTGGCGGGTGGAGATGGAGAGGGGTTCGTTGCATTCGGGGGTTGGGTAGCCGCCTAGGGTGCGGACGTTGCTTACCCCGTCCACGAAGATGAAGGGGAGGGGGAGGTCCATGGTTGGTTATGGGCTGGGGGTTTTGGTTCCTTGGTTTCGGATTTGTGGGGTGAGTGAGGCTATACTAGGGCTCTAGTTGTGGAGGTCTACTTGGTTGTTCTGGGGTGATCTGCGGAGTTTGGGTCATGAGGAGGGATTAGAGCTGGAGGCTATACGCCAGATTACGCCGAATTCTTTGCTGTCCGGTAGAAAACATTGATCTGCAGGCACCAGGGAAGGGGGAGGCCGGGTGATCGGGGGGTTGGATCAGTGGTATCCCGGGGAATTGCCGAGCATGCAGCATGCATAATCCAGTAGCTTTAGCTAATACCACCAGAATAGTAGAGCAATATAAGTCGTAGCTTACAGTAAATCTAGATGTCGGACACCTATTTTGGAAAAGAGTTCGGTAGTGGTAGCTAAATCTAATCAGATACGCAAAAATGCAGCCGAGTCATTTTGATTGCAAGCGCCTGGATGGGCTCCTGTCGCGTCTCAAAGTGGACGAAGGTGACTTTGGATACATGAGCTGCGCTGTGTACGATACTGCTTGGGTTTCTATGGTTGCTAAGCCTACGGATAACGGCAAGGTTTGGCTCTTCCCTGAGTGCTTTCGATTTGTGCTGGATACACAGCAAGCGGATGGGAGCTGGCCCACGTACTCCGCGCCTGTGGATGGCATCCTGAACACAGCGGCCTCTCTTTTGTCCATCAAGGCGCATCAGGCCAATTCCTACCAGCTAAAAGAGTACTCTTTTGCCTTGCTGGAAGAGCGGGTGACGAAGGGTGCGGTAGCGCTGGGAAAGTTGTTGCAAGCTTGGGACGTTGAAAACTGCGACCATGTGGGCTTTGAAATCCTGGTGCCGCGCATGCTCTTTTTGCTTGAGGAGGAGGGCTTTCGGTTTGATTTCCCCGGAAAGAGCGCTCTTACAAAACTTAACAAGCTGAAACTGGCTCGGTTTGACCCGGCATATCTCTATGCTCCGGTCAAGCTGACAGCGGTACACTCTCTCGAAGCCTTTATCGGACAGATTGATTTTGATCGTGTCCGTCATCACAAGACCAATGGCGGGTATATGGGCTCGCCCTCGTCAACTGCTGCATGCCTGATGTATGCCTCGACGTGGGATGAGGAATCAGAAGACTTCCTGCGTTGGGTATTCAAGGCCGGCAGTGGGCAAGGCTCTGGTGGAATGCCCAGTGCCTTTCCTTCAACGTACTTTGAATTGACTTGGGTAAGTCGCTTGTCACATCACCGTTCTAAAATCATTGTCTTTAGGTATACTGATCTTTGAGTAGGTGCTTACTACTCTGCTCGAGGGCGGGTTTACTGTCAACGATATTGGAAAGGATCGCGCAGATAGATTCGCCTCATTTCTGCGACGGGCAATAGACGCCCAGAGTGGTCGCCTGGGCTTCGGTATGCTTTCTGTGCTCTCCACCCCTTGCGGCAAATCAGTGTGGCTGATATGTATTTGCAGCATCGGGCATGGAAGTCGATGTAGATGATACAGCCAAATCTCTCCTGACACTCAGTTTGCTCGGTCATCCAGCATCGCATGATGGCTTGTTGAAGACCTTTGAAGGCGAGACCCACTTCCGGACATACAAGAATGAGCGCAACCCGAGCTTATCAGCAAATTGCAATACCTTGGTGGCTCTACTTCACCAGCCGGATGTTGGTGCCCTAACACCGCAGATAATGAAGGCCGCCTCCTTTATCAGTCGGGCCTGGTGGGATGGCAACCTCCAAGATAAATGGGTACGTCTGATCCTGTCTTAAGCTAGTCCCCGGATCTAATTGGGCCACGAGCAGAATACATCCGAGTTCTACCCTATGACACTGATTGCGGAGGCCTTTGGCAGTCTCCTCCGAGTCTGGGATCGAGGCGATCTTCCTGCCCTGCCCGTGACATTTATTACAGACTCTGTGCTGATCACACTCTATCAAATTGTCGCGAGCATCGTTATGTGCCAAAACGCTAATGGCTCATGGGGCCCGGAGCATTCTAACGAAGTCACAGCCTACGCCATGTTGGCTCTGTGGAAGGCCTCGATTGTCCCAGGCGCCAGCGAGCTGACGCAGCAGATCCAGCGTGCTTTAATTAATGGCCGAAAGCACATCCTGGCCACTACCTTGTGCGCTGATTCCGCAACCGAGGCTGCCTATCACTGGATTGAAAAGGTGAGCTATCGGTCGGTAGCACTCCTAGAATCGTACGTGCTAGCGGCACTCAACCTGTCCTCTCAAGACCGACCGTTGCCGGAACTATCAAAGCGTGGGCAAGAATTATCTCCAGTCCGACCCGTAGATGCCCACCAGCTCAGCCTCGACTGCTTCGATGCCCCGTTGTTTGGACCAGCGGATGCGTGGAAACTCCAAGCGGCGTACATCGAGAGTCGTCTGTTTGCTCCCTACCTGCGCCGCATAGCTAACGAAATTGTCCCCGGAATGATTGAGAATGATCCTGCGTTGGAGATTATCCCGTTCATCTACACGGCCTGCAACTACGCATCACGCCAGCCGTGCCACACATTTGTCCTGCGTCAGCAAATCGGAGCTTTGCTGATCCAGTCACTCCTTGAGCGATCGGCCTGTCAGGCGGCCTTCAGGGTTAGCATGGCAGAGATCCAGAACCAGACGATGCAGGCTTTGACTCGTGCGAAATCTAAGGGGTTGATGACTCCCGCAACGCGGTCTAACCAGCAAGTGGTATAAGTGAGGATGTACTAGAGATGATGAATTTGGCATGACTGCATTTCTGATGTTTGTAGCAAGAGTTGGCTAGTGGTGAGCTTAAGGATCTGCCCACTCATTTAACCATTAGACATGATTGAGCAGTCCGGGACAGATAGAACTAATAGATGACCTAGGTTTCTTAAGGAATAGCATGTATTATTTAATTAGCTAGTCGAGTAGTAATAGAATGAGATATTTTGTTGTTGTGCTGTGACAGATGGTTCTATATTAATCCTCAGCTCTTGGATCGACGCAACACTCCGGATGGATGTAAGTATAGTTCAAGACGCAAGGATGGCAGTATTAGATTCGGTAAGCAAACGAGATCTTTACACCGCTAGTTCTTCAAAACGGGTCAAATAGCAGACTTCGCCCCAGTGCCAGACGGGGCTCATCCATACAACCCGATAAATCGTTAGCCACTCTTTCCCCTATCCTGGTGCATGATGGCTTTTCGCCGGGAGCACCTCACTCCCATCATCCGGGACATCATACTTGGGATGCTCACCTGCGCAGCTTTTACAGCTCACGTCCCTGGTACTCTGACTTATCTGCTTCCGGATGGATTCTTTTCTAACTACCAAAGCTTCCTGGGGCACACATCGACATCAGATCCCAATATCCAAGCCATCTTCTCCACTGCAGCAGACTCTGTCGCTACCTGCTATACTCCGTTCACTGCACCGTTCTGCGAGACCGTTCTCAAGCCGCAGCTCGTGGCTGACTGGCCGGGAAGTGGCGCGTTTTTCGAAGGAGGAATCTATATTCCTCGGCTACACGAAGTGTGGTTTACAAGCTCATATGCCAAGTATGTCTCCAATTGTAAAGACTAAATCTCATCTATTCAAACCAAGAGAGATTTGAAGAGGACAAGCAAGCTTGTAAAGTATACAAAAAGGGGATATGTTAACATAAGGAACAGATATCCCACCCCGGGCTACATAACCGCGTATAACCTATCCACCAGCACCTTCCGCCACATCCCCCAAATAGGCTACGGCGCAGGAGGCATATACAACCCCAACGACGATAAAGTATACATCGGCGCAATCCCCCCTACCCCAGGCGTGATCGCCATCGACCCAGAGACCCTATCAACAACCACCATCTTCAACTCCTATTTCGGGCTGGAGTTCAGCTGCGCCGACGACCTGGTGTGGGTGACACAGCCTGACCCGACAGACGGCGAAAGAAACAATACCACCAGCAGGGGAGGGAGATCATACATGTTCTTCACCCATTTCTACACGCCGCTCGAGCCCGACGGGCCCGTCGTCCCCATCAACCGTCCCGTGCAACTCCCCAACGGTGTCTGGCGCTGGGATCCCGCAGAGAAGACCCTCCGTCCTGTCATCAGTCGACTGGATATCCCGATCCCCAATGGAATACGTGTCTCGCCTGATCATCGTACGCTGTACATTACGGATAGTCTGAGCATCGAGGCAGGTGGGTCGGCGCATGGAAGCTCCGGGTATGCCCCGACTGCAGGTCCGAATGTTTACGCCTACGATCTTGACGACGAGATGCTCCCCGTGAACCGGCGGGTGTTTTCTATTGCGCGGTCTGGTTATCCGGATGGGATTCATATCGACGACGAAGGACGGGTCTGGACAGCGGAAGGGGAGGGGATTGTGGTTCGGAGTCCGCGCGGGACAACACTGGCGCTGTTCTCACAGCGAGCATTTGGTATGGAAGAAGGACAGATAGCGAACTTTGGTTTGGCGAATGATAGTCTCCTCGTGGCGGCGATGGATCGGTTATACGTTGTGCGGTTAGGGATGGTAGTTGCGAAGGGCCAGACCTGATTGGTGCATTGTTGTTTGTTTCCCATAACGATGAACGATATAAAATGGCATCTATACAAGACCAAGACACTTTCCCCAAGGAACATAAACATAAACAAGAATAAACCCACAGCATGACAAAATCCACATAGAACTCCGTCCACTCTAGCACCCCACCTCTCCTCAACTCTTCATCTCAACGCCCCATAGCTGTCACAAACGCGTCCACATCTGGCGTCAGTTCCATCTACTCGAAGCTCCGCTCTCGTACCGCATCTCGCCAGTGCATGACTACCTAGAACACTTTACACACCTCGGCCATCCGTTCCACCACGGTTGTCCTTCTCCCCGGCAACCCCATCCGCCGTCCACAATGGAGCCATCCACCCACCAGCACCCTGGATTGAGCTCGAAAGACTTGGCCAAGTATGCCTGCTAGGTCTATGGACCACAGGCGAACAGTCGGAGGGATATAGAGACAATTATCGTAGTATTTGAGGGACAGAGTATGAGTGGACTAACATTTGGATCATCTTCCGCTATATGACAGACCTAGGATCCAGAGTCGGAGAATAATATTGGCGAACAGGCTACACGTACCCTTTAGGGATTTAGGGATCCAACTGCTCAAATATCTTTTGAGGGTAATCTATTAGTTCCAGAGAGATTTACGATCTTTCAACGCCTGTAGTAATCTATATTGAATCCACTATTTCTATAGCTGCAATAGTATATTCCACGAGAGACACAGCACTCAGATTCTACAGAAATGCAATTTGAGAGTATCAACTAGAATGCAGTAAGATTAGCAATAAACGTATAAATTCGGTCAAGGGATTAATTAGGATTAAATCTAGTTATTATCTCCTAGGTTCATAACGTCAAATCAAGTTTGCTCTCTACTCTTCGGGGCGATTTTGCATTGCCAACGCAAATCAACACAGCATCCGCCTGCATGATAGCCCTGCTAGTATTTCACTGGTGCCACGCATTCCCGTAATACCCCGTATATGTTCAGCCAGTTAACGATTTGCCTCTGTCGGACTATACTTGACGTGATTAGCTGCCGCACAACATATATTTAATGAAATAATGGCGCTTTTTCTACGGCCATGACTCCCTCAATTATACGCTCCCATCGGATATTGTAATGGAGCCCTTGGCCGCGCTAGGGTTGGCGGGAAACATTCTTCAATCCATCTAATTTACTTCCGAACTGGTTGTCAAAGGCTCTGGAGTGTACAGTTCGATCAGCGGCGCGGCTGCGACAACGATAGAGTTGGAGAAGGTTTATGAGCGGCTTTGGACATTCAGCTCAAACCTCCATAGTTCAGGAACAACCGATGTGGGCTCCCCCCCGAGCGCGCGAGGATTTCGAAAGCCACCAGAGGCCGGAGCGTATATAGATAGTTTGAAAGACTTGGCAAGGGATTGCAAAGCACTCTGCGACCAGCTTCTCCAGATAACATAGAATCTCATGTGAAGGATGGCCGATGGCGGCGAGTCAGAAGCTTATCACTGCTCTGAGGACTGTTTGGGACAGCAACAAGATTGCCGACCTGGAAAGGCGACTGGATCGATATCAGAGGCTCCTTTTGCTTCACCTTTTTCCAGTTCTGAGGTACTTTACCACAGTGGGATGTTAATGTAGCGGGTACTGACAAGCTTCGCTATAATAGTCGTACTGACAAGCTTCGCTATAGTAGTCAACAGTCCTGCTTGGAAGAAATCGCCATGGGTTTGAGGCAGGATAGCCTTAATCTTAGGCTTGATCAGAATCCCAAGCTCGACGCGATATGGAGTACGCTGAAGGAGATACGTTCCACAGCGGACAACCTGCATGATGCGATTTCAGCGAGCCAGTCGAGCTTTATGGGACCGTCAAGGGGAGAAAGATCGTCGGCAGCGTTTCGTGACGTTTTCAACAATAGTCAATCTGCATTGTTTAGTGTAGATCAAGTTGACACTCTCTCCGAGGGAATTGCAAAACTCTCTTGTGCCGAGCAGGAACTGGGACACCTTGCCAGCGAGCAGGCTGTATTGAAAAGTCTCAACTTCCCTTCTCGCCCGGTGCGCAATGAAAATATTCCACTTGCTCATAAGAAAACATTCTTGTGGACTATCACTTCGCCCGAAGGGATGAAAGAAGATCCCGATGAACAGCTGCGAGTCTGGTTGAGGAGCGGCGACGGAATCATTTGGGTGTCTGGAAAAGCGGGCTCCGGAAAGTCAACTCTCATGAAGTTCCTTGCCGACCACAATCTGACCAGGTCCTTGCTTGGAGAATGGGCTGAGCAGGCGGATCTGGTGATTGCGGCGCATTATTTCTGGAGCGTAGGTACCCCCAATGCAAAAGTCCCATGCAGGACTCGATCTGACACTGCTATACGAGGTCTTTCGCAAATGCCCCGGACTGATCCCACATGTGTGTCATCATCGTTGGACACAGACGAAGCTTATATGGGAGGAGAGTACTGAATGGTCGACCTCCGAGTTACGTGGCACGTTGAAAGCTCTCTCAGAGCGGGCAGATCTGCCAACTCGGCACTGTTTCTTCATAGACGGCCTTGATGAATTTGATGGAGACCACTCCGAGCTCTGTGAAATACTCAGCGACCTATCTCAGTCCCCGAATATCAAGCTGTGTCTTTCCAGTCGACCGTGGAACATCTTCGTTGATATGTTTAGCAATGATCCCTTGCGGAAGATCTGTATGGAAGACCTGACACGGAACGACATATTACGATTCACAGAGAGTCATTTGACGAGCCACCCCGTTGAAATCTCTGCCAGTTTCCACAGATAGATAAGCGATCTATCGTTGACAACATCACCACCAAAGCGCAGGGGGTGATTTTATGGGTCTTTTTTGTGACAAAATCCCTCCGAGATGGCCTGGCCAATGGAGATACAATGTTCGAACTGTGCAACCGGTTGGAGAGCCTTCCTGCCGACCTTGAACGGTTCTTCAAACATATGTTGGAGGGTGTCGATCCTATCTATCATGAGAAGATGGCAGCTTTTCTGAGCATAGCACGAAACGCGAAACAGCCGTTGCACTTATCTACAACATGTATGAGGAGGAGTACGATGATGTCAACTATGCGCTGAACATGGTCTCTAGCCCCATATCTGACGAGGAGATGGATGAGCTCCAGGACCAGTGTAGGCGACGTATCAACGCGAGATGTGGAGGTTTGTTGGAGGTGAAGGGTAGCTCAGTTCAGTTTCTCCATCAAACAGTGCGAGACTTTCTACTTACTAGTGAGATAAGCGACTTCCTGAGTGTGAAGGCGAAGGCTGGCTTCTCAGTCGATCTCTCCACTCTAAGGGCATTTGTAGCGAGGCAAAAACGGATTCCTCATTCTGCAACGGATGCCCAGGGCTCTACGCCACTAGTCGTCCTAGATGAATCGCTTCAGTATGCGAGCGACGCACTGGAAGATTCGCCAATGTTAGTAACGGAGCTACTCGACGATCTAGAGAGTCTCTTTCAGCTTCTCCCAGGAGGTGAGATTCTGCCTGAGCTCAAGCTTATCAGCGAATCGGACGCCGGTTATTTTAATAGCAACACGAACTTCTATTGCAACTCCCCGGATTTCCTGTTTCGAAATGAATTGCCTAGGGTGGGAGTCAGCCAGTATGTCTCCAAAAAGCTCAAGGAAAGCCCGAATTACTTCGATGACTTGAATGAGCCGCCTCTCAGTGTAGTCTTTAAACTACCAAACTTGACACCAAGACATGTGCAAATGGTCAGCGATCTCTTGGAATCCGGCCAGGAACTTTATGATGGAGGGAGATCGAATCTCTCGTCGATGTGGAACAGTTTCATTTTACGAACGTGCCAAGGAGAAGAAGCAACCGAGAGATTTCACGCTGCGATGAAAGCGGTCTATTTTCGTTGCTTCTGCGCTACAGTGGACATAACAGTGTAGGAAATGGTGGGATGGTACATGTCTCGGAAACGATGTGGAGTTATTTTCTCGAAGTATTCTTCGCGAGATATCCGAAAAATCCTGAAGAGTCTCTCAAGCTGCTCGATGCGTTTCTGGGTTTGCCAGTTTGCGCAAGGCTTCGCTGTACCATTTTAAGCGCACTGCAGAAGGAGCTCAACCAGATGGATCCCAAAGTAACACGGATGGAAAAGCTGAGGTTCATTGCAAAGAGTGCTGAGATGGTTGTTCAAACTGGGGCTTCGCTGGGTTGGGAAATGGCAATTCTATCGTTTGATATAAGCAGAGTGCTCCCTAGATCTCTCGGCGCGAAAATATTGGATTCTATAGATGGAGCAGGATCATATCAGGCAACCTGTCGTAAGAGAAAAGCCGTGGATGACTTGGATCTGCGTGCTCATTCGTACAGAATGATCTGAGCTTGATATGTATATAAGGTGTATAATTATACATTTTGGGTTACAGACAGGTTATATGAAGGCGATGGTAGATGCGATGCTCCTCAAGGTTGATTGAGTAACAAAGGATTACTAGATGCCTTTTATCGCGGTGATCTGCTGCCTTGAGGGCAACAAGGAATTTGGTGCCTTTAGGGCTATATAAAATGTTGTAGCCAACATCTACCTATCTATTCATAGTCCATCTCAAAAACGAAATGGCCTACAAACAAATTCACTTTCCGTACACCAATGTTTCCTACTATTTCTCTACAATTGCTTATTTCCTTAAGGAAGTGTTGTTATTATTGAATGGTCCGCTAGGGTTCGTTATTAAACCGCGATATACCACAAGAGCCTATTCTGAAACCTTTACAAACGTGTCTGATTTGACCCTCTTCCTCCATTCCAGCTTGAGTGTTTGATCTGCTGTCCGAAACCACCCATACCAGGTTGCTTTGGGTTCCGCCTGCCCGGCTGGATAGCGAACATCGTACTCCAATAGCACTTGAGAGAGCAGCATCTTCATCTCCGCAGATGCAAAAAATCTCCCGGGGCAGGCATATCTGCCATATCTGATACAATGTTGAGCGGCAGGTACACACGTGTCAATAAATTGGAGGACTTACCCGAAATGCAGATAGGCTGGAGTGCAATGCACAAATGTATGCTTAGGGGTGAGATCTGTGCGCATGTCGGAAAAGCGAAAGGCATTGAATTGATCGGCATCTGGTCCGTATATGTCCTTATCAAACATCATAGACAGATGAGGTAAGCTCAGATGCGTGCCCTTTGTGATCACACTACCATCGCTTAAGGTAAAGTCTACCATGGCATTTCGTTCGAGTGAACCTGGTTGATGGAGTTTGAATTTCTAAACTACACCGACAAAGGGAGAAGGGAAATGCCTTACCACTTGAGAATGGCCGGTGGCGACTGCTTTCCTTGATAAAACTGTCTAGCTTGATCATCCGGCTGAGCGTATTCAAGGACCATCCTCCTTCCTGGGCCAATACCGTTTGGATTTCCTCCCGCAACTCTTCTATTACTTCTGGGTGGAGCGTGAGATCATATAGGAGGTCAAGGAAGGTCTGGCTGCTGGTATGCACGGCTGAGACTACAACGTGTAACATGCGGGCAATGAGAAGGTCGATATCGTTGTACTCTTTTGGGGGGGCAATATCAAGAACCCATTGCACTGGGTCCCGTATTAGCTAGTATATCTGGGTCTGTCTGTCTTGAGGCAAAGTGTTACGAACCAACATCAAAGGGCTTTTCATGTTTGAACTGCTCTTCGCAACCCGTCCGACGAGCGTCCTGCATCCGAAGGATCCTGTCCTTCAGCATTGGCCCCAGCAGTCGCTTCGCTAGCGCTCTGTTTTGGACGACATTGGTTTGCCGGCGGAGAATGAAAGGACGAAGACAGTGGGGATACTGGTCAATAATGCGGGCTCCACCAAACACTACGTAGGCGAAATTAGATGCTAGCCGGGTGAACTCGTCATTGTTTGCTATCTCCTTGCCGAAGAAGCTTCGGTTGGTCGTCTGAGTGACGATTTGTAAACAAGCTGGCCACATATGAACTGCCGCCCACTCTGGTGGCATACATTAGTTTGGTAAATCAGTGCTGTCTAGGATGGACTCCTACCCTGCGGCGAGCCAATCTCCCGGGCTGTGGAAATTTGGATCTGATCCGCCAGATCCGGCAACGCCGGGCCTACCCGATGGTCAGAGTGATCCGAGTGATGGGAAATATATAAAAGACTAACCGAGATTGCGAGTTATATCTGTGTGTATCACGCGAAATTCATACCAGTCATGATCGAGGGTAGGATGCAGTGTGTACTTGACTTGTAAGATTTGATTGTTCGAGTCCATAGCCGACAATAGTGTTTCGGGGGCCTTGCGAATCTCTTCGATAAACTGGGGAGCGACTATGAAATAAAAGCCCTTTGGAGTACGAAGAAGGAAGTGCTTCCCTTTCTTAGAATACTAGGATGGTGTTAGCGACGATAGGGTTAACGTCTCATCGAATAACTCACCAGCTCGTACCCATGCTGGATAACTTCGGATGCATTTCTTTGGAAAGCCTCAAGATCCTCCTGTTCCCCACGTTTTCCAGGAAGAGAACTGACTCGCAGGATCGGAATATTGGGAGGCACTCGCGGCTTACTGTTCCATAGAGTGAGGAAGACATAAAGCACAACCAGCCCTAAAGCTGGTACCACTGCGGATTGCGTATGCCTAAGGGTATCTTCAGCCACCGATATCATAATGAGCATGAAATGACCCCCGAGTTCTTCTGTCAAAGAAGGAATGCAAGCTATTTTTGAATATTGGCTCTTCCTACCTCGGGCTCCTCACGGTGTATCATCTATTTTCAGATCGGACCGTGGGATCAAAACTTCGGCGGGATTACGGAATAAGGGAGCAAGGGGAGAAGCACGGATGTATCGGCACATAGTTTGGAACACAATGACAACAGGAGATTAAATGGTCAACGAACTGCGCCAGGGACGGGAGAGTGAGTGTTGCTTACTCGGTACTTATCGCTATAGCATCTCTGACAATGACGCCGCTAATAGAGCTTTTGCTGCGAACCTACCTGAAGACGCCGCTGTTGCTCTCCACCGGTGTTATTGCATGTCTAGTAAGTCTAGTCATACTCCTCGCTATACAGTGAAGGTTTACATAATGATATCTGCAGGTGATAGCCTATTCTCTGGTATGGGTCATTTATAACCTCTATTTCCACCCGCTGCGACACTTTCCAGGCCCACTTGAAGCGCGAGCGACGCGCATCTGGTATTGCCGAAAGCTGTTGTCAGGTAAAGTATCTTTTGAGATTGGGAAGGTCCATGCAAAATATGGGGATGTCGTGCGGATTGCCCCTGACGAGCTCTCTTTCAATGACCCGAACGCATGGAATGATATCTACGGCTACCGACAAGGTAAAGGCGAGTTCGATAAAGACCCTGTTTTCTACAGTGTCACTTCGTCCGGCCGTCTCAGCATCGTCGGTGCGCCCACGAAGCGCCATGGGGAGCTCCGTCGTATGATGGCCCATGGGTTCTCGGATAGGTCCCTGCGCGAGCAGGTGCCTATTATCAAGAGCTACGGAGATAAGTTTTTTAATCGCCTGCATGAACTCAGTCGAACTGGCAAGCCTGTGGATATGGTCAAGTGGTATAATGTAAGTCGTGGGTTGTGCAAGAGAGCCTATTCGGACCGCTGAGTTGCTGATGATAATACACCAGTTCCTTACTTTTGACGTGATCGGAGATCTAGCCTTTGGTAGTAGCTTTGACTGCCTTGAAACCTCTCAGTACCACTCCTGGATCAGTATCGTGTTCGACAACATCAAACTGAGCGCCTACCTTCGCTGCACGCTGTACTATCCGCGCTTCTTGCGGCCGATCCTTCGTCAGTTCATTCCGAGCCATCTCACTAGACACCGGGAGAAGCATATGCGCCTGACTCGAGAGAAAGCAATGGCCCGTTGGAATCTCAAAAATGGGCGTCCTGACCTGCTGGACCGCCTGACGAAGCCGAACAGCGGGATTTCTGAGGCCGAATTTATCCAAAACTGTGCTACCGTAGTTGTCGCCGGCAGCGATACGACGGCGAACGTCCTTGCCGGCACCACCCATTTCCTCTCCCAGAATCGGCGATGCTATGATAAGCTTGCTCATGAGGTGCGATCGCGCTTCAAATCTGAGGACGAGATTACTTTAGATGCTGTGTGTCAATTGGAATACTTGACAGCGTGCCTGACTGAGGGCATGAGACGCTATCCTCCGACTCCAGCCCATCTGCCCCGTCGAACCAATATGAATGATAACCTTAGCGGGCGACTGGTCCCTAAGAATGTAAGATTGACAACTTTATTTAAGTGCACTCACTAACATACCACACCGCTAGACTACCGTGTCTCTTACTCAAGTGGTTATGTATCACACCGAGAAGTACTTTCACCGACCGTATGACTTTTGTCCAGAACGTTGGCTTGGAGATCCCGAGTTTGCATCAGATCGGCGGGAGGCCTTACAGGCATTCAGCTACGGTCCTCGAGGCTGCATTGGCCGCAAGTAAGTTGTTGATCGCTCGATCGGAGTTTTTCTTCATCTAGTGGCAACGTGCATAACAGCTGACCGCTTCGTCTCAACTAGTTTGGCTATGATTGAGCTACGATTGACCATTGCACGGCTTATGTGGAACTTCGACTTTGATCCTATCCCAGGCTATGAGAACTGGCATAATCAGAACATCTACCTCGGTTGGCAGAAGGTCCCTCTTCCCATCCAGTTGCGGCCGCGGGCGTATATTGCGAAAGATGTCAATGGACCTATCAGTGCACAGTAAGCCTATAAGACCAAGCGGGAAAGTACATGGCAAATTAAGGGGTGGCCTGAACTGCTGTGATCTGTTCCATCCTTTATCTCAAAGAGGCATATCCGTCGAGTAGGATCGTTGAATTATGGATCTGCCAGGGAATAATCGTCTAGTATCTGGAAATAGTAAGAGATAGTTAGGCTGACGAATAGATGAACCTCCGGATTATCTTCTGCAGCAGTACAAGGTTAGGGGTACGCTTTGAAGTAATGATTCGTGGACTGCTATCTTGACCTCCCTGGAGCAAGGGACTGACTAGCGCATACCGGAGCCTTGTTAACATCCCTGGCATGACTCGTAATCGCTACAGCACAGACAGATGCAATCATTGGTCTATCTATTATTCGAACGTAATGTTACTGCTGAGTGGCAGAGGCGCTTGATAGCACATTATGTCTTCTGAGTTTGGTGTCTTTCGCCATCGACACGAACGACCTCTCCGGCGTCATGTTAGGATTTTGCCTATTTATCTTCGCATAGGGCCCTCTGTTTTGGGTACTCTACATAACCTGTACAGCTTAAGTTTGCCCGTATATTTGCAACTGTAATGAGCGATGGAAGTTCAGATTAACCATTGTCGGTCCTCAGCTCTACCTCCAAGGTACTGAGTCTCCGCCAGGTTCCCGCCGACCTTCGTTCCACCCGCCGTCCATGTTTGATATCGTTCTCAAGCTGATGTAGTCGGCAGTATATCCGATGATACCATATCTGACGGGGCCCGTGTGAGGGCCTGCGAGGCCTGCCGTTTGTCTAAGGTCCGGTGCGAGAAACCTCATCCAGGCCAACCCTGCAGTCGCTGCGCTAAAGCCTGGCGAGTATGTGTGCCAGCGTCTCAGAACCGGACGCATCGTAAGCGGTCCCCTTATCACCATCAACTGAATGCGTTAGAGGACCATGTTCGTCGCTTAGTCAACACTATGGGGGCCAACCTTGCTCGGGGAGGAGAAACAGCAACTGAAGGCCGCAAGAGTGACAAGAATTATGAGTACGATGCAAGCCGAAACTCTCAAATCGCTCCTTTTAGTATTGGTAGCACAGCTGGCGATGCAGAAAGGGAGTCTGTCAGAACCGCGTTCAGGCCCATGGGCAATCTGGCTCTTTCCTTGACTATCCAGTCCCTGCAGGGTATGTACGTCTATTCTCAGTAGCTGTACGGAGGAGGCGCAGGCCATTGATGGCCATTGATACTTAACTAGACCTCTGTAGGTATCGGAAGAGACAATGCTCATTCAGCTGGGGCCTTCATTGATGCTACCCTTCGCCGCATCCTCGACACTGACGAGGCTGAGAAGAGGTTCCAATACTATTGCTCCCAGCTAGCTCCGACGTTTCCGGCTGTCGTCTTTGAGCCACCAACAACGGCGCAAGAAGCTCGGTCAACAACTCCTATATTGTTTTTAGCGGCCATCACCGTGGCTCGTATATATGGGGTAGAGAGCCAGCGCCAGCTGGATGACCTCCTGTCCCACGTTATTGAGCATTGCTACCTGCGTCGCAGTACCTATAGTCTGGAGCTGGTGCAGGCCGTTGTCCTCGCTGCTCTGTGGCATAAACCTAGTTACTCTTCTGAGCGAGAGGGTATGGACTTGCAACAACTGAGCCATGCCGCTTCTAGTATTGCCACACTCGTCGGCTTGGGTCGCACGACTGCTATCAATGGAACCCCAGGCAGTGGGCCTGCTCTCACAGCTCGACGAACATGGGTGGCATGCTATCATATCTGTGTCAAGTAAGTAGAACACTAGCACAGCGGCTGATCAAGTGTTAATATAGTCTTCAGCACTGCCCTGAAAACGGCGGAAAGTAGCTCAATTAGTTGGGGTCCATATATGGAGGAGTGTTTGGATGTGCTAGAGACTTCGCTCCTTCCCTCCGACGCAACGTTCAGCCGGTATACACGGCTAGAGCAGATCTCAGTCGAGTATCGGCAACTTCTTCGGGGTTCTCAGGCGTTGTCAACTCCAACTGATACTCTTCAAGCTTATCAACAGCAAATAGGCCTACAGAAACAATGGAGGTCCCAACATGGTACTGGCCACAGTCCCCCATAACGCGTTAGGCCTTGACTGACATGATTGGCGAGCAAAATTAGATAGCTTATCCGTTGAAAGAATTCTCTACCATGCCACGGCGCTGAGTGTATACGAGGCTGCTGTGGAGAAGGATGAGCGGCTAGCAGGCATATTCGACAATAGCAAGGTCCAGGCTGGGGCATCCCATTCCCTTTGCACAGTATCACAACCGAACTCCATACTGACCACCTGTATGGACTCAGCTCGCGCAGTTCTTTGCGAATTTGTATCGGTTCCTCAGAACACACTGTGTGCACTTCCTACTATCGTGCACCTTCGCGTAATGCATGCCACCGTCCTATTGACAAATGCTACCAGCTACTTACCTCAAACTTGCCCTTCGGCCTGGTGTCCCATGGCCCGGATCGAGGAACTTCATACCGATCGTCACTTAGACGAATTGATCAATGTGTTCGCCTCCTGTCGAGATGACTGGCTAACCGGTCAGTGGATCCGCGCTATCCTCAAACTTCGTGCAAAAATGCGTCAGCAACAGGAACAATCGACACGCACGAAAAGGCAGCGCAGTGGTAGTATTAGGGCGACGATGATATGTCCATCGACCTTGGCTGCCAACATGTACCCTTTTACACCAACGCCGACGGTGAACTTGCAGGACGTCCCCTCGCCACCCTCTCGTCAAGGACTCTCGTATGAGCCACCGGTGAGCACGACCGACGTGCTCGGGCTGACTGAGAGAGACTGGTATGGTTTGACAAAGCCTGACTCGACTGGGGAAAGAGAGGCTACTGGCAATATCCAATCACCGCCGATTCTAGAAGAGTATTTCTCACTCGAAAGCACAGGCTTCGGAGGATCGGACGGATTCTTTACTCCTAGCATTGGTTAGTAGATCTCGTGCATCGATATAGATTGTCACTAACCGGTCGATGCAAAAGGTGCGGTGTTAGACATGGGCTTCTTTCCTGCGAAGGATGTCGCCTACTCAAATTAGGCATTAAGACACAATTGTAAGAAATATTTCTCTAGTTTATTTTACATAGATAATGCGGAGGCCCACACGACTCCAATATAGCCTCAACTATTGTGTTGCAAGGGGGCGGGTTCTAGGCTATCCCCGTGGCTTCATTTGCCGTCCTAGATCCTACGACTCTAACGGTGGCTTGGGGCGCAATTTCCCCGCTGAGAATAAGAAACGAGATGATGAGATATCCTTTTGAACTCTATATTCCTTCTCCTTGTTGCTATAACCCTGAAGGCCCCCTTTAACTGTTATAAATATCTCATTGAAGGGCTGGCTGGTCGAGATATGGATAATATTTAGTGATTTTATGACCTGGTTCCCACTGGGTGTATGCGTTCAGGTGGTACTTCGATATGTGACTCCAATATCAGATATAGTCATCTGCTGCTCCAGACTTTACACTCTAAATGGTCTACTGAGGTTCTGTGACAAAAGTGACGAGGGACGAAGAGCGATCTAGAAAGACAAACTCGAACGGCCTGTACGACTGAAACTAGCACTCCCATATCTCAATTAGCCCCAAAGGCAGATCACGGAAGATAGCCCGCGACCCTTTACTATTATCAACCTGTCTAATGCGTTAGGTTCCTACCGATAGGCTATTCGCGGCCATCAAATCAAAGTGTTAGCTTCGACTAGTCGGTATGTACAGAATCTCGCCGATCAAGGTTTGCTTTAAAGCAAGGGGTATCTGTACTAGTGTCTAGAAGTAGTCGAGCAAATGTGGACCAATACGAACTGCATGATCTACCAGGTATTACGAAAGCTGACGTTTAAACTGTCATGCACGAGGGGACGCACAGTCCACCGAGTCTCGGTGATCCCATGGAATGAGAGACAAACGTCGGCCGACAGTACGGATCCCATTCTTGTTCCTAGGATATGGATGGGCCATACCAGTGCAGTACACCTTATAGCAGCCCTTGCATTGACATCTCACACCGTCCGGACCAATACCAAGTTGTTGAGCCACATACAGATGCCTCGTAAGAATAAGATGGCTGGCCTTATCCGGGCCAGATCCTCAGTGTCCGTTCCTTGAGCTCGAATAATAATTCAACTCGGCCATTCAGGGAGGAAACAAGCTTCCACGCCGCATTTGTCAAGGGCATTCATTCTAAATTCGGCCGCAACGTAAAGCAAGCAAAACGAAGTCATCATGGGTTTCCTCACGGCCCTAGCAAATACAGACGGCGAGTACCTCCTCTTTGGGGGTGCCGTTACCCTAGTGGTGGTGTTCACCACGCTTATGTACCCCAGTGTCGTGGATGAGCTCTGCTATCGCCAGTTCCCTCTGGTGGGAAAGCATCCATGGGAGCTTTTCAATGGCCCAGCCAGAGCACGCTGGGCGAAGTCGGCGGAAGATCTCATCATCTACGGGTGTCAGCAGGTTTGGTTCCCTATTCTTCACACTCTTACACCTTCATAGAGCAATCTCCAGTAATTGTGGGTATATATGGCGACTGACGCGGCTTCTAGGGCTACAAAGTGTTTCAGGTAATGACAGGAATAACGGCCTTCTTGATTCTAGACCCATGCTTCGCGGATGAGGTTAAGAACCATCCGGATCTCAGCTTCGTGGAGAATGTGAAACAGGTATTTTCTTAATGTCAAATACGTGATTTTATATGCGGATATTGATTTCACCAGGTGTTCTTCTCTGATAAACCTGGATTTCGAGGGTTTAGCGTTGTCTCTCACGATAACCTATTTATGGATGTCGTGCAGGGAAAGCTGACACAAGCGACAAGTAAAACCCTCCCCTAAAACCGGGTTCTATTCCTTCGGAGAGAAATCATTGACGATAGAATTTGTGTTCTAGATAAGCAAGTTGGCGCCTTGTCCAAGAAAGCTGCTGAGGTGGTGGAGACACAGTTCCCTCCGTCAGACGGTATGTCGACATAGTCAATCCCTGGCTTCCATTACCTTCAAGCATGTAAGACTGATTTAGTTCACTGAGGAGGGATACAGAATGGATACCCTTTTACATCAATAGAATGGGAACACCGACGGTTGCCATGTTGGCCGCCTTCACCTTTCTCGGTGACCGCATCTCCCGTTCCGGGGAATGGTTGAACGTTGTCATCAACTACACTGTCGATGCTCACGCCGCGGTCCAAGTGCTTAGATTCTGGCCATCATTCCTGCGTCCCCTGGCATTACGCTTTCATCCGGCTCCGCAGAAACCCAAGAAACATATGGAGAATGCACGCCGGATCATTTTCCGTGAACTCGAAGACCGGAAGAAGGACCCGAAGTATAGTCCCGAATCAGGTTTCGAGGATACGCTAGATTGGTTCCGCGATGCTTCTGCTGGAAGGGAGTGGGATGTTCCAACTATTGAGGTCGGACTGTCCTTGGTGTCAACACATACGACTGGCCAGCTATTCGTCAACACGATGATGGACCTGGCCGCGTATCCAGAATACCAAGAGGCGCTGCGTGAGGAGGTTATAGCGGTGCTTAAGGAAGACGGATGCTTGAAACAGTCTGGCTTGGCCAAATTAAAGCTGATGGATAGTGTGATCAAGGAGACACAACGGTTGAATCCGGGCGAAGTTGGTAAGTCTCCCTGCCCTTCCATTTGTGTTGGTTCCTCAACTAATGGCTCGTTTATCAAAGCCTCCATGCATCGCGTTGCCACAAAGAACATCAAACTATCCGATGGCACTATCATTCCAAAGGGTGCCAATCTGATGGTCTCCTCGCATCGGAGGAAAGACCCGGCGTACTACGAGAACCCGGAGGAGTACGATGGCTATCGATACTTGAGAATGCGCCAGCAGCAGGGCGAGGAATCGCGGCACCAGCTGACTACCACGAGTCCGGAGAATCTGGGCTTTGGGCATGGGATCCACGCCTGTCCTGGACGATTTATCGCAGGGACCCTCATCAAGATTTTCCTCTCACATCTACTCCTCAAGTATGACTGGAAGTTGCCGGAAGGAGAAAAGCGGCCACCGTCGATCCCTATGGGCCCTGACTTGCTTTTGGATAAGTCGGTTCAAATTGAGATGAAATCACGAGAGTGTGATGCTGAGTTGATTAAGCTTCTTGTTGCTTAGACTACATTTTTGCGCTCTGAGGAAGTTGATTCTTCATGATTTGATGGTGTCAGGCTATGTCTACGTAGAACGCTGCGATAGAAATTTACACATTTAAGGTCTTACAAAGCAAAGTACATTCTAACTATATCTTATAGACAGACTAATAGCACCGGGGAAGCTGGGTGTATCTGAATATGGACCGAAGGAACAGTTTACACGCTAGGCACCTGGTACTACTCAGACTCGTAAACAGTTTGCTTCGTCCATGGTGTGGGCTATATGTATCATTACATTGCGTCTATGCAAGGAGGATTGGCCGGTCATCCATTATCTGGATCGGTATCAACTATCGGACTTTGGATGAGATGGAACATCCACGCCCGAAGGGAGATATCAAACATGCTACCCGAACCCGAGCAACCGATGGACCTTTGCTATAGTTACCCTGCATAGGACTTAGTAGCAAGACCTCTCCGCCTGTTTATCTGTCACCCAACTTCGTCCCCTTAGTAGTCATGGCTTGGACACCATATCTCTACCAGTGCCATCCATACTCATTCAAAGCATCTCTATCTATCAACCTACACACTCACAACCCCATACAAGCATAATCATGACCCTCTCCTTTTCTCCCACTAATCTCCCCACCCAAATCTTCCTCAACAATGAACACGTCCCATCCCAAAGCCAACGCACCTTCTCCGTCTCCAACCCAACAGATGGCACCACAGTCTGCGACATAGTCCCCATTTCCGACGAAACCGACGTAAACACCGCCGTCAACAACGCCCAAGCCGCATTTCCCAGCTGGAAAAAGCTCCCCGGCACCTCCCGCCAGGCCATCCTCCTCCGCTTCGCCTCCCTCATCGACCAACACGCCGAAACCCTCGGCCACCTCAACCGCCTCACACTGGGCGCCCCCTACAAAGCCTTCGGCGAGCTCGAGATCAAGAAAGCAGCCGACGCCTTTCGCTACTACGCAGGCTGGATCGACAAGTTCGCCGGCGAGACCTTCCCCCCCGAAAATGGCTTCATGCTGATCACCCGCCACGAGCCACTAGGCGTAACGGCGGGGATCGTGCCCTGGAACGGACCGATGGGGATCATGGGGGTGAAGGCCGCGCCGGCACTAGCAACGGGGAACTGCTTTATTCTGAAGCCCTCGGAGAAGACGCCGTTTTCGGCGCTGGCGTTGGGGGAGTTGATTCGGGAGGCAGGGTTTCCGCCGGGTGTGTTTCAGGTTTTGTCCGGGGATGGGAGCACGGGGGCATTGTTAGCGAGGCATATGAAGATTCGGAAGGTTAGTTTTACGGGGTCTGTGGAGACGGGGAGGAAGATTCAGAGGATGGCTGCGGAGTCAAATTTGAAGCGGGTTACGCTGGAGCTTGGGGGGAAGTCGCCGGCTGTTGTGTTTGATGATTGTGATTTGGGGAATGCGGTGTCTTGGTGCGTGAATGCTATTACGATGAATTCTGGGCAGACTTGTATTGCTGCTTCGCGCGTGTATGTGCAAGAGGGGGTTTGGGGGCGTTTTATCGAGATGTATAAGGCTGCGTTGGAGGAGAGGGCGTGGTTGATTGGGGATCCGGAGTTGGAGACCACGCGCATGGGGCCTTTGGTTGATGAGGCGCAGTTTAATCGGGTTACTGAGTTTATCGCTCAGGGCTGTGAAGATCCGCAGGCGACCTTGTTGACTGGGGGGAAGAGGGTTGGTGAGAAGGGTTTCTATGTTGAGCCGACGGCGTTTGTGGGTGTGCAGCCTGAGTCGAGGTTGTACCAGGAGGAGGTCTTTGGTCCGGTGGCTATTGTTAATTCGTTTCGGACCGAGGAGGAGGCTATTCAGAGGGCCAATGCTACTGAATATGGGCTTATGGCTGGGGTGTTTACGCAGGATATCAGCAAGGCGATGCGTGTTGCTGGTGAGTTCGAGTCGGGCATGGTTGGTATCAACTGTGTTAGTCTTAACTTCCTCAAGACTCCCTTCGGGGGCTGTAAGCAGAGTGGGATGGGTCGTGAGTGTGGCAGGAGTGCTTTGGAGTCTTATACGGAGCCGAAGACGATCATGGTCAACCTTAACTCTTCATTGTAACTCTTCTTCATGGTGGATGGCGTTATCAGGCCGTGATCTGAAGCAAAGCACTATTAACCGGTCACTTATATGCAACTGAGGCGCGTATGGTCATAGACTAGCGGATTGGGCAAGCAACCACACGCATGATGGAGTTAATCTAGTTCTAACTTCATAATGGTAGATCCAAGTCAATAATGTGTTTTCTGTCTCCTACCTTGTAAAGGTGATATATCATGTGAATTGCCCAATTCCATTGGTACACGTGTGTTAGAGCAAACCTCTTGACTTAATGCAAGGAGGGATGCCCTTCTGTTGCTCACAAAAGAGGAGGTTGATATTGGACTTATATACACCTCATCCAACCGCCTGATTCTGAATTGAGGCTTAGCTCCTAGTACAAGATTGTCCTTTCTACCTTGGCCTTATCTCTTTTCTTTCCTTAACCGTGTAATCCCTTTCCTCTCAAAAGAGCAAGATGCCCACCCCAGTATCCAGCTTCCTCGACGTCGAGCTGGCCACAGCCCTCTCCAAACTCCCGTTTCCACCACGTTACACGCGCGAACTAATTCCAGCTGCACGAGAGATGACAGCACTCAAATACAACCCTGCCCTCTTACTAACGCTCTTCCCAACTGTAACCCACGAAGAACGAATGATCCCCGGCCCTGGCGGGGACATACCAATCTCCATACTCCGACAATTACACTCCACAGACAAAGAGAGCACCAAAAGACCATGTATCATCTACCTGCACAGCGGAGGTATGATAATGGGCAACCGCTTCACGGGAGCGACGATCCCGGCCGCCTGGGTGCCTGAGTACGGCGCTGTCTGCGTGCTAGTGGAGTACCGACTTGCCCCAGAACATCCCGCGCCGGCTCAGGTGGAGGACTGCTACGCCGCGCTGGAGTGGGCGAGTCTGAATGCGGAGTTCCTCGGCATTGATCCTACCCGTGTCATCATTGCGGGTCTCTCCGCGGGGGGTGGGCTCGCGGCTGGGACGGTTCTTCTGGCGCGGGACCGGGGCGGTCCGGAGGTCAGGGCGCAGATGCTTCTTGCCCCTATGCTGGACGACCGTGACGAGACGGTTTCGTCTACGCAGTGTGGGGACCAGATACCATGGACGCGTGCGAGTAATGAGATGGCGTGGGAGTGTATTCTTGGTGGGAAGGGTGGTAGAGATGGGAGGGTCAGCGTCTACACTGTTCCTGGACGTGCGGAGGATCTGTCGAATCTGCCGCCGACGTATGTTGATGTTGGATCGACTGAGGTTTTTCGGGATGAGGGGATTGCGTATGCGTCTCGTCTGTTGGCTGCTGGGAGTTTGGCTGAGTTGCATGTTTGGCCGGGTGCTTTTCATACGTCGGATATGTTTGTTCCTGGGGCTGCTGTTTCGAAGGCTGCGGCTAAGGCGAGGGCTGATTGGATTGGCCGTATGATATAGCTCTCTTCTAGATGTTGAACTTGGGTTGTGGGAATCTACAAACTCTCCGTATCAAGGTTTTTTGTAAGTTGGCAATGAACCTTTAGCACCACGTATAGCCTAGATAAAGTAGACAGTGAAGAGATAGCATAATACGCGACTATAAGTGAATTGTAGAACTACTATATTCAGTGATACAAGCAATTGCTTTCTTATAAGAACCTCTCTTGAAGAGGTACTGACAACTTATGTCTGAGTACACCAACAGGTATCCACTCTCGACAAACGATCGGCATTCGGTGGCGGCGATAGTAGTTGTACCAAGTCGTCATAAAAGGGGATGTTTTGTAAATGAGGTTGTCGAGGAGGCACTGGCATCTTTTCATTTCGTAATACTCCAACATTTAAATATGCACCCTCAAAGATTTGATCCGGCATTCGGTGTTTGTACATATGTTGGAGTGTAGACGAGACAAGATATCTAATGCCTTAGTCAAGAGGCAAGGTCTAGCATGAAGCTAATCGTGAAAACGCCATGTAAAGAACCAACCAGGATGGCGTAGTTGACACCGTTCATTATAAATAGACATCCTGTAATCCTGTACTTCTAATCTCTGTATAAACAACACAATCGAGTGCTTTTGATTCGAATTATGTAGGAGAGAGCATCAATAATCAACACGATATGCGGAAGAGAAGGGAATCGCTATTGGACATCGCAATGGGTACATGGTATTTGTAAGGAGAAAGAAAACCAAAATTTACAGCCTCATCCATCCTTTGTCCGGTAATAAACATGGTAGTAAAATCAAGTCATCGTGCGTATGCAAGGACGCTAGGCAAAACATACGTAGAATCGTAAGAAAGAAAAATGACGAATGGCACAAGTCGTAATGTCGTAAGGAAGATTTGGCATCAACTCATCAAGAGAGACTAGTAAAGAGATTCCTCGTCGACCTGATCAGGGCTTGCGCGGTATTGACTTCGCTTCCTCCGTCCAGGACTGCTATACTGGCTGCCTGAGTTCAGCGGACGAGGCCCGGTAGGTTTACGGGGAGGCGGTGTGCTGCGCGGAGAGGAGCGCATTGCAGAACTCTAATTCTTCGGTCAGCCTCTCTTTCATGCTGAGCTCAACAAAACTCAAGACTTACCCGTGAAGCGACACGATTCACGTACGATCGTTCATCGTCCTCCTTGACCTTTGGCGGTCGCTCGGGGATCAACGGACCATCATCCTTGATCTTTGGGGGTCTCGGTGGACCAGTATGCCGAGAGCTGGCTTCCGAGTAGCCCGTGTCGGAGATAGGAGAGAGACGGCTGGCGCCGCTGCTGCGTCGCACATTGGGGGTCACGCCCGATAAGCTCGGGTTTGAACCCCATTGGTCTGAGGGGGCACCGGATGGCATCCCGTAGATCTGAGCTTGCGTTTCCAGCTGCGATTGATATCGCCCAGTCGGCCCCTGGCGTGGCTGAGGATGTTGAAGATCGAGGCTCTCCCGATGAGCTCTGTATTTCGGAGCTTCAGAAACCTGGGACGGAACTAAAGGTGATGGAGGTCGGTTCTCCTGCTGTCGGTCCTCTAGGGTGAACGTTGACCGTAATCTGTCGTCGCCCTGCGGGTCGTACCAGTCAGCAGCCTTGTATGGTCCCTGGACATCGGACCCCGAGCGTGAAGCGTCGAAAGATGGGCGCTCCTTGCGACCCGGCTGAATGCTATTGCGGATGTTGTCGCCCATTGAGGACGCGGTAGTTTTCGACCAACGAGAGATCTTGGGAAAGAACGAAGAGCTGCTTGACTTGTGCTTCTTGGCCTTCTCGTTTGTCTTCGGGGACGTCTCATTACTGAGAGCCCCAGACGCCATGGGTGCCCGAGGAGGGGTCGAGGCCGAAGGGGGTCCAGCCCTGTCTTGTCGGGCGTCTGCATTGTCGAAAGTTGCTAAGTTCGGGCTCAAGAACTCTCCACGTTCGTTGATGTCCATCTCCTCATCGGCCTCGGGGACAGTACTGACGCGGTGCTCAGAATCTCTCCGCAGCCCGTTCCCACGAGGTTCAGGTATCGGACGAGAAGAGGTTGGCAGCAGATATCCGGAATGATCGGGGGAAGAAGTCCCTGCGTGTCCTTCAGGTTCGTAGCCTTCTGGGTCTACACTGGCAGTCCGAGTTGCGCTGCGGCCCAGCCTCTCGTCTTGACCGTCACGCAGGGCCTCAACCTCATCGAGCAGCTGCTCCAACATGTCTTCAATCCTAGACAGGTCGTTGGATGACTTGAGACTAAGACCTTTGAGTGCACGTTTGAAGACGTTCTTACGCTTCGAGCGTAGGTCCTCGCCATCATCTACGGAGGGCTGGCGCGCGCTTCTCGTGCTTGTTGGCAAAGGACGTGGCCCCCCAAGAGCGCGATACGTCCGATCATGCTGCCTATCACTGGCTTCCATGAGCATCCCATCCTGTTGGGCAATGAACTTCTTCATCTCTTCGAAAGAATTGCGCATTTCTGCTGCGCTTCTAACTAGAGTCACCAGGATCTCCGTATCCCGCGCGTTCCGCTGGGCATCGCGAACGGTGAGCTGTACAAGAGTTAGAATACGGTCACATATTTTGCCATGCTTACCGAATACTTACGTGGTCCATAAGCGCGACGATATCTTTGGATTGAATCCGGTCAATACCCTTCCCAGTGGCACTATCGTACAGAGGTGAGCCAGCACCATGGGAGTAGCCACTGAGTTGCCGTTGGTGACCAGGAACGAACTGATCGTCCGCTCCAGTAGGGCTATCGAAGAGGCCCATACCCTTAGTGTCCATACCACCAAATCCATTATCCATGGGCTCCGGGGTGTCGACACCTGGTGAAAGAGGGTTGGCGGCTGACACGTAACCCTCGTCTTTGGCTCCGGGTGGCGTATCCAATAGTTGACCCCTGGAGTACTGATGGTCAAAGTAGTCATCAGGGCGATAGTCGTTCGTGGCATAGTAGTCATGGCCGTAATCAAGCTGGTCCATTGGTCCTAGGCCCAGGTCTGTGTTGCCAGCAGCGGAACGGGTATTGTCAAAGAGGGGCGATTGGCCACGATTGTCTGGTGTCTGTTCATACGCCCAGTTGCCTCCACCTCCAATTGGTCCTTGAATAATCGATGGGTTCGTGTTGATCTCCGATTCAGAATCCGGGCTTCGGTCAGCTTCGGGGCTGGGGCTCTCCCGGTCATGGATGTCTTCAGAAAACATGTGTGTCGGGTCGGCCTGGTCTTCCAGGGACTGCGTGACACTCTGGGGAGGTGATGTGGCACCCATGCGTCTAGGGAAGGAGGTCGCATCCGGACTGGAGGCGTCCTGGCGTTGCTTCAGAGGGCTTCCTTGGCGAGATCCGTGGGGCGTTTGGTTTGCCTTTTCCACTGCTGGCTTGGGGGTTTGGTTGTCCAGCCGCTGGGAGAGATCCGTCTGCGAGTGATTCACTGCAGATTGATTGGACTTCGCCTCCACAATTGACGGGTCAAGGATCGAGGCGACCGCGGATTCGACGGCCACGGGATGGATAAACTGGGGGTTGGCACCGATTCCCGCCACGGGCTGACGTTGGTTCACCTTTTCAATATAGCTCACCTCACTGTCGTCCGTAAAACCGGTCATCCTTTTGGGGTCAGTACTTGCGGTCTCCGTCATCGATCGTGGTGACATGGCGGGGGATGATTCATACCCAAGTTCAGGCCCGTTTTTGTGATTATGTCGTAGGATATCCTTTTGACTTGCAGGGCTAATACCATGAGGCCGTGTGGATCTTGCGAGGTTGGTGCTTGGGGCTGATGAAAGCGAATCTATCGAGAGACGCTGTTCCATTCCCTTCTCCATCCCCGAAAACTCATGTTCAACAGGTTGGGCTGAGTCCTGTTTAATGTGTGACTCGCTCTGATTGCTAGCCACGCTCTGAATTGGACTCAGGGTGCGCCGACGATCCGTGAATTTCGAGCCGTGCCGCCCGGAATGTTCATCCAGGAGATTGGCCGCTGCGGCGGCTGCAATAGCTCCCGCGGCAGCATCCCCCACTGGGGAAAAGCTTTGTTCACGATCATCTTGTTCTAAAGGATCGTGAAGTGACAAGTCGTGGCTAGAGAAGTTGCTGTGTTTAAGCTCATATGGCGAACCCAGGGAATCTTGACTCCGGTACCGGCTATCGTGAAGGACGGAGTCTTCACGAGCGGTCTGTTCTGAAAGAAGAGAGTCTCTCGTGATGTCCGACTCAATCGCACTCCGCAGCGGCATGGGAGCCACGTTATGTTTCTGGAATGCGAGTTCTGTCTCGTTGTAACTGCCGTTACGACTCCTCGGGCCATTCGGTCTTCGTCGTTCGGATTTATCAATGCTGGACCGCGAATCATGGTGCTTGAGGGCAGCCGCCGTCAGAGCCGACCCAACCCTGGCGGCCTTTTCGGCGTCACGCAGCCCCTTGCTCCTCTGTCGACGTAGCTTTTCATGGTCGGTCAATTCCGGACGAAGGCCCCATTTGACGTAGCTCGTTTCTGATGGTGCATCACTGCCTTTGCTGGGCCTGCGTTCCGGTTGTGACGGAGCGGGCTCACCTGAAAGAACGATCCCCTCGTCTTGGCCATCCTTGTTCAGGACAACTGTTGGCCGTTTCACATCGGGTGCGCTGGCATGCTTCGAGAGACGTCTACCAAGCTCGTCTCGCGACGGCGTGCTTGCCGACGAGTAGGACGCATTCATATCCCGTTCAAATTTGGACGTGTTCGAAATCACCTTTTGGTCCTTTTTGAGCTCTTTCAGCTCGGGTAAGATCAATCTCCGGATGGCATCCTCGACCGTCTCGAGGAGTTTGGGGTTATTGATGGAGGACTTGGAAGTTCCCGACCGGAAGGAATACTGATCCCCGGATTTGCGATGGGCAGACAGCGCCGACGCGCTGAGCAAACTGGGGTCCGGACTCATGTCTTCGTCTGGGTACGCCGACAGGCGAGATCGAGAGGACTTGGGATCGGTTTCAGGGAACTCGGCGACGTCGCCCCGATTCCGTTGACCTTTAGTATGCTCCCGGGGATCGTTACTCAGCTTCTCTGCGACTCGATGAGCGATCCGTTCCGTACTCAGACTGCGGCTCCTTTGTCGTCGAGGCGTTTGGAGATAGTCTTTATATTCCGGGCTGTGTTCGCGTTCCCGCGATGTACTCTGGCTGCGTTTTCGTCGTACACCAGAAGATGAGGCTTCTAGCATGCTATCCGCGGGCATCGACGAGATGTCCGAGGTGGGTTGGAAGTATCTAGCGTCGCTAGAGATCTCACTGCTCTGATCGCGATTCACCAGCTCGATCTCTACGGGGGTATGACCAGAAGGCTGCTGGTTCTCATCGGTACCTGAGTTGAAGGAGCAGATGCTATAATCATCACTGGACTTGTTCTTGGACGGTGAGCTGAAGGAAATCCGGCGGGAGTATACGGGCTTGCGGTTCCCGTGGGATTCAGTGACCTGGATATGGTCCTTGGAATCCTTACGCTTCCGGGAGGAAGAAGGAGTGACTCGAACTCGGACACTGGGTCGGGAGATTAAAGAGCCAGAACCCTTCCCGCCCTCGAAATACTCGATGAGCAGGGAGGTCTGGGAGTGCTGCGCTGAGCGGGACAGCTTGGAGTCGTCCCTGTGGGTACGGTGCTTGCGCCGAGTGGAGATAGTTACGGGACTGCCGTCGTCCGGAACGGAGTAAGATGATTTGTCTGTGCGTCGAGATACGTCAGTTGCCAAATCAGTCCCTGTTACGCTACCTCCAGTGGTGGTAGTGTCGACAATAGATTCAGTGGGTGCAGGTAAGATCGGTCTGCGGGTGTCGACACCCATGATGAAGGAACAAGAAGGGTCTCCTTTCAATCAGGCCCGATCATCACCCTGTCGGGTTAATTTTGTTTACTTCTTTTTTTGCTTCCCCTTGTATTTCTTTCCTTTTTCGGGAGTGGGACCTTTTGTTTGGGGGCAGGAAGCGTGCAAGGGAAGAGAGGCTGGTAGAGTGACAAGCAATCTGGGAGTGAATCCACACTGCTTGCAGACTGAAGGTCACTACAGATTGGACATTGGATGTGCAGATGTGCAGCGATTGAGGGAGGCAGGAGGTGTTGATGATGTTGGGAGAGAGGGAGTGTTGGGGGGGGGGGGGGGGGGATGTAGTATAATCGTGGGTCGGGGAAGAAGTGAGGAGGGAGATGGTCTGATATCACACAGGAGAAAGGAAATGAAGCGTACCAGCGCAGTAATTATGAGCGACGTAGCATGTATGGGGGTAGGAGGAGGAAAGGCCAGTGAAACGAGAATAGAAGAGAAGAAGATAGGCAGGGAATGGATGGAGCTGAGCGGCTGATCCCTCACTTGGGGATTAAAGATGAGATAACAACCGGTGTAGCTTATTCGGCCCGGAAATTTAAAGGCATATGCCTAACATTCTATACCGCCAGAAGGGGTGTAGAAAATTCATTGGATGCGAGTATCAAGTAAGGAAGAGAAGAAGAAAAAAATCAATCAGATTCAAAAAGGTGGGAAATTATCCAAACGACCAGAGTGGTTGTACGAGGAAAAAGAGGGAGGGCCAAAAAAAAAAAAAAATTAAAATGGAATGAAATAAAAAAGGCGAGGCTGGTAGTTCAGAGGGGGGTATTGGGAAGTGGTATAAAGACAGAGAGACAGGACCAGTGAATCAGTAATAATCATGGACAGTTGGCGGACTGAAAAACACGGTTTAGCGGCGACAACAAATCCTGCCCCATCAGGAAAATAAAATTAAAATAAAGAAGAAAAAGAGTTAAACCAACGGTTGATCTTCTTCCCAGCCTTGCTTTTTATTGTTTTCCATTCGGCAAAAGATTTAATGCTTTCTTTCATTTGCTCAGTTTCTCTCTCTTTTTTCTGTAACTCTACCCATTCTCTCAATGGTCGTTCAAACCGGCATTCTCGCCCAATGATCCCCACGCAAGGCGGACACTACATATACGTGGACAGCCTCTCCATAACTAAGAGAGAGAGATATTGAAGAAAAAGGAAAAACGAGACTCGACATGGACACTTCCATCGCCTTTTTAAACATTTCTATAAAATACCAGGAAACCTTCTCCATCGCTTCTGCCTCCCTTCCATTCCTTCGTGAATTCTTCGATTCCATTCCAGAGATCGGGGGCCATGTCTCTGTCAACGTAGTGCGACCGGAATGTGATCTGTACTCTGTGTCCCGGTGGACAGTCTACAAGAGCCTTACCCAATGGCCCTATGACCATTGCACAGGTGTGTCGTCTCTTTGGCTCCCACAGTGGAGGATGAAAGGAGAGAACCGCAAGCAAAACAAAGCTTTACTTCCCCCCATAGACGATGAAGTGGCATGAAACGGTTCTTTTATGCCCGTCAATTGCCCCTCCAAACACGAGATCCAGGAACAAATCACAAAGAATGCAGCCTAATAAGCAGCAGCATCGCATCATTTTTGCAACCCTATCTATGCTATGCTACTCCCCAAGTGGAGTCTTTGAAGGCCAAGGCAGACCCGCCACAAGAACAGGTACATACTTACTGGACTAACACCCACACGGACCCTATTTTATTCTTTTTCTCCTTTTTTTCTCCCGGTCTCCAGGACGACCCCGCCTCCACTTTCCATTGGCCATCTCACTGCCAACTCATCACATCCTGCTACTTAGCAGTAGTGCTCTCCCTCGGGGTGACAAAATGTCCGACTGTCCAGCCCACTGATTGGTCACAATGTCAATATTCACTCCTGCCTAAGGATCACTGCCTTAATTCTTTCAGTTCCAATAGTCCCTGTTACTGTTACTACTCGAAGTAGTATCTAAGGGATAAACCCAACTAATTCTATCATTCATCCATTCCTTCACTCGCCTGACTAGAAGAAAGTTTGCTTTGCCGTTGGATCAACATCCCCAGCCACCGGACCAGCCACCGGCTCTGACTCCGTCTTTCACCACTAAGAACTAATTTTTCCGGTCTGACCAAATCAACCCCCAGAACCTCATCGCCCGAGGTTATACTTAGACATGTTGTTTATCGGCTGACTGGAACCGTGGAACGAGGGGCGGTCTACCCTTGGATCCGGGGGACCCTTCACATCGGTCGCCGGGAGTTGCAAATCCGTATATAACTTGTTAATCCACCAACGTTATCTCTTTTCTCCTCCCGATATGTTCTAATCTCCCGATCTCCGTTCCCTCAATTAGTCAATTGCTCAAAGCATGAACTCAGTGAGAACGTTCAGAGACAATCGACCAAAACCCCCTCGTTTTAAAACCGTGATCAATCTCTTCTTATTACGGGGGGGTTATGGGGTATGGGGGCAAAAGTACAGAAATAGATTGGGTTGCTGACCCTGCAGCCGCGGTCGGATTGCAAATCTTACTACCTAAGTCATCAAGGGTGTACGCTGACAGGGGGGGGGGGTGGGGGGTGGAGTTGAACACGGTTATTTATGGTATTCCATGGGGAGGGATGGGGAAAAAAAGGGGACGTATCTAGATACAATTTCATACAATCAAATGTATGAAAGCGAAGTACAGTAGAATATGCCATGAAAAAGAAAATGACTAGATTGAGGAAAAAGAAAAGAAAAAAAAAGATGATCCATGTGAAACTCCAGGCCAACGGACACAAAAAAAAAATGCAAGACATTTGCTTTTTATCCCTCTACTAGATTGAATCAGTCGTCATTATGCTTCCGCTTGAATCGGCCCTTGTTCCCGGGCTGGCTGCCGTAGTTCCGGCGGCCTTGTGGTTGCTTGTCTTTGAGGCTGGAGCCGAGTGTGATGTCGATGCGGGGAGGTGTCGAGAATCCGAAGCCCTTGGCTACCTTCACTAGGTCGAGCTTGTGCACATCGAAGACAGAGCGGAGAGAGTGAGAGGCATATGCCTGGAGGTAGGAGCGGTATCCTTCTTTGGCGGACTGGGGGGAGACGGATTAGTATCAGGATATGGAAACCAATGTCTGACATCAGGAGCAAAGCTTACCTTGTTCAAATAGTAGTTCTGGCCAATGAGCTTCTCCAGTTGAGACTGGACGTTGACAATCTTCTGGGCCGGGAAGTCAAACTCCACGACGGGCACGCGAGCCTCCTTCAGATGCTTCAAGAATCCGACTTCGGATGGTTGGAGGAACATCAGACTGCGACCCTTACCATTGGATCCACGGGCGGTACGGCCGACACGATGAATGTAGTCACGAGGGTCATCTGGGGGGTCGAACTGGATGATCCAGTCCACAGCGGGAATCTTGAACGACAGTTAGAGACATGTAAAAAAGACAAAGCGGGGAAAAAGACCAAAAGGCAGCCAACATACATCTAGGCCTCGGGCGGCAACGTCGGTACAGATCAAGGTACCCTGCTTAGCATTGCAGAATTCGAAGAATGTGTTGGTCCGTTTCTGCTGCTTCTGCTTTCCGTGTAACTCAAGCACTGGGAGATCAATGTACTATAGTCCCATAGTTGTTAGCTACCCATTTCCCTTTGGGCAAAAAAGCGGGTAAACCTACGTTGAGAAGTTCGCCGTAATACTTGACAGAGTTACAGCTGCTCAGGAAGACAATGATCTTCTTCTTGAGGTTGCGCTTGAGAAAAGAGAAGAGGAGCAGGAAACGCTTATCGGCCTCACAAATGACATAGCCTTGCTCCAATCCCTCAACTGTACTGTGCTCCTTGCGATGATCCACATTGATGTAGAGAGGGCCAGGTCGGAGAGAAATCCGGGCCAAATCTTCAACCTTGGTAGTCTGAGTCGCGGAGAACAACATGGTCTGTCTGTTCTCAGAAGGAAGGATCTTGGCGATTTGGCGCATTTCGTCCTCGAAACCAACTTCCAGAATACGATCCGCCTCGTCAACTGCCACCAAAGTCAGTCACTGCTTAAGTCGTAGAGGGAAAGAACCATCATACTAATGAGTGTGCGCAAGTTCTTAAACACAAATCCTTGTGTATTCTGCAGGTGATCGAGCAGACGTCCAGGTGTTGCCACAAGAAGGTTGACACCCTTCATGAGCTTCTCCGCCTCCGCTCTCCGGTTTGCCCCTCCAATAACAATACCATAAGTCTGGCTGTGATGGGCCAAAAGCTCTCTGACCTGGCCGAAAATCTGAAGAGCAAGCTCACGAGTAGGACTGACAATAACAACACCAGTACCTATACAGGATGCTCGAGTTAGTATACATCCTGCAGGAGTACATAGATGAACATAGCACATACCGTTTCTGGGCTTGAATCGCAAAGCACTCAGCATTTCAATGGCAGGAATCAAGAAAGCTAAAGTCTTTCCGGAACCAGTCTTCGCAGCACCGAGAACATCGCGACCAGCAAGCAGCGGAGGAATTGTACGCCGCTGGACTTCCGTCATGGTCGTGAATCCCATCCCTTCAATACCCTTCATAGTCTTCTCCGACAAATCCAACTCCGAAAACTTCACAGGTTCGCCATCCGGCTGAGGCAAACGGATCGTATCAGCTGAAGGAAGGTCAGCACCATCGGCGGCATCTTCAGCATCGTTTTCCTCATCGCCGGCGGGAGCATCCTGTTCCGACTCCTCCACATCATCCTTCTCCACATCGCTAGACGCATGTTCCACCTTCTGCTTCTTAGACTTCTCCTTCTTCTCCTTCTTCTTGTCGACGGTAACTTCCTCCTCGGGGAGATCGGTCACAGTTTCAGTCTCAGCCGGGAGAGCAACTTCCTCCTTGCGCGCACTTCCAGCATGCTTTCTCTTGCGCTTTTTCGAGATAGATTGAGCGGTATCCACGGGGATCGGCATTTTGGCTAGTATTTCTCCAGGGAGTCTTTTCCTGGAAAGCTGGCCAAGTGAGAAAAATATAAGAAGCGGAAACCGTTTTTCTTTTTTTTTTTTCCCTCTCCCGGCGGAAGATAATTTTTTTGCGGAGCGAAAATATTGCCTGGACAAACCTTCCGCATCACGTGCTGATAGTTCCTGATAACTGGGCGGTCTGAGAATGAGTGCCAGTTTCATAAGGCAATAACTGTCCCTAGGTAGATAAGGCGTTTTGCCGCATAAAGAACCTTGAAGTAGAACCCATGATACGCATACCCCCTATGGAAGTATGAGTGTTGATTCTCCTAAAGGTGGGGCAAAACGAAGAAGCGCTTGGGCTTCCTTTGATTTAGGTTATAGATAAGGCTCTTTTAGGCGCATCCGGATAGTTAGATATATCCGGTTGCTTTCTATACTTCAGAAATATCACTAGTGCCCCGAGAACCCATTCAGCATTATGCGATCAATGATGGAAAGGTGTCGCGATTAGCCTATCCATGCCAATCGCATGATGCGCATCATCTGCGTAGGAGCAGGGTCTTCAGGACTATATCTTGTGTATATGCTTTAGGACATCAGTCAGAGGTTATATGCAAGAAGTATAATGAAAAGAATGAAGACGTCGGAGGAACAGGGTCCGAAAATCGATATCCCCGCTGTGAGTATATATTTTCCGACGAAGTGAACCGTAGAGCCTAACAACGAAGTCCAGGTGCGTGTTATGTCCCATCGGGAGTAGATCCGAAGCTTCCTTTATGAGAAGAGTGTACTCATTAAAAAAACATATGTACACTTACTCCTTCGAACCTAAATGAGACTGGTCAGCTAGTTATGTGTCAGCGCGGGAGATCCATCGCTATTTCTCAGGGTTTGCAGACAAAACTGGTCTTCGCGAGTGTATCAAATGCAATCATCGGGCGGTGGGTGCTACTTTGGATGATGTGACTTCGCAATGGATGGTTCGAATTAGAAATTTGAATGAAGGAGTCTCAGAAAGAAGGTGCGATTTCCTCATCAATGCCTCTGATTACTTGGACTCCTGGCGCTGGTCTTCTATAGCAGGTCTTAAATCGTTCAATGGGGGCTACTCCATACTGCAAACTGGGATGAACCCTTGATTTTGGAAGGAAAGCTGTGTCGGTTTGATTGGAAACGGGTAATTTTGATTGCGATCTGCTCTTCCATGCTAATAGTTGCTGAGCTTCTCAGGTCGTCTGGTATACAATTGCTTCCTGAACTCCAAAGGCAAGTTGACCACTCCTGTAAAACACGTCTCCAATAGCCATCATGAAGAACTGCCAAACATATCTTGGCCTTTATGCGCGGACCGACTTATGTAGTCTCGGAAACGAGAAAATCGATTGTACACAGATAACGAGAAACACACGTTCCAAGACAATCCCAGCAAACTACACAATCTACGGAGAGCCCTCGAGGTCCACTATGCGATGCTCCTGCCTGCCCCTTTTGCTTGAAGGCACGATAACCCAAGAAACAGCCGCCCAAAGTTCCAGACAGTTAATGAGCGAAGCGATTGATGATGACAGTCTTGCGGAAAAGCTGATTCCAGAGTATTAGTTTGGACGTCGTTGTCTGACGATCTGGCAACCCACCTCGCCCGCACAGCATCTTACTGACGGTATTTTAGCCCAGTATGAACTATCTAGGCAGCCTTAAGAAGCCCAACATTGCCTCTGTCTCCGGGAATATCTAGGAAATAATACCGTCCGGCTGCGTCAAGTCGGACGGTAGAGAGTATGCATTCGACGTGCTGATCTTCGCTACCAGCTTCCAGCCAGCATTTCCTTTAGTAGGTCGCAATAGCAACGAACTTTTCCCGGGCATGGGAAAAGGAACTGCGAAGGGCTCCCTGGGAGTTGCGGCTCACGGTTCCCCGAACTACTTTTATGTTCCTTGGTCCCAACAGTCCTCTTACGAACTCACCGCTCATTATCCGCATGGAGGCACAGGGATATTATATCGCCAGTTTTCTCAACCAGTGGCAGAAGGAAGACATCCGCCCCTTTGAGCCCAAAGTAGCCGCTGTTGACGGCTTCATGGTGCAGAAGGACTTATTCATGAAGAGCATGATCTGGGAGAGTGACTGTCGGTCCTGGTTTAAAAACGCCAACACCGGCAAGATCAGTGGGCTATGGCCCGGGAGTAGACTGAGTTATATCGAGGCTCTGGCCATGCAGCGATTCGAAGATTTCCATGTCACATACGCAACCAAGAATCGCTTCGTGTATTTAGAGAAATGGGTTCAGCCAGACGCACTTCCGACCTGGGCGCGATCTCACATATTATGTGCACAACGAGGATCGCGGTGAATCGGTCTTTTCTGAGTTGATGAGTACTGGTAATGCCAAGAACTCGGCCAGCTTTCTGACTGCACAACAAGCGACAAAATTGTCGTTCTAGGCGCCTTGAGGGAATCCTTTTAGGTAGATATAATAATCGTTGTCCACTTTTCGGTTCAATCTGAAACCAAGCCCTGAGCCACTCATATATACGAGTAGGAGGCACATTTTTACCTAGATTAATATGGGACGGGTCTGAAACAAGACACCAATAAGGAAAGTGGTGGCTAGTGGCTTGAGACATTTTTATTTGAAGTCCCCGTCCTAAAAATAGGAGACGCCTTGTCTACCGCCCATGGTTCGGAAACGACGGGATTTCAAGGTCTCGACATTACGGATCATGATTCATGATTCATGCTTTTTTTTTTGTTGCTCTCTTTTTCTCTCTTTCAACAAAATCGGAGAGATCACCAGGAATGTTATGGTGGTCAAGACGTCATAGCGCGCATTCCGATGATGGCAAAGACTCCCATGATCATTTGCGGATCCCTGTTCAGGGATGGACATTGGAGCATAGTACATACTGTATTCCGTGCTGAGGTAGAATTAATTCGGGGGTTTATCCAGTCTCTTACAGACTCAAATAAACACAATGGATCAATTGAGGTCAATTGATAATCCCCCCCCCAAAATAGGCAATTTAATTAAAAGGTTTCTTTCTCTAAATTTTGGAAGTAATTGAAGAGACATGTTTTTGATTGCCTTTGTTTTAAACTAGAGGGGCTGTGCATCGCAGACTAACTTGATAGATGAATAGTTATGGTAATATAGTAACCTTCTCCAACACTAGTCGAGAGTAATTAGATACATGGAGAAAAGAAGGAAAGAAAAGTACACGAACACGCCACCGACAGTCAAAAAAGTCAAAGCCCACCTTCATCCGCTTAGTTTATGGGATCCTCTCTCCTAAACGCAGGTCACATTCAACGGACATGGAGATCACCATGATGTGCGCATAATTGATAGCATGTTGAGGATATGGGGTACTGGAGGACATATGTAATAGTCTGATCTATTCCATATTCCATGCCTTCTCTCGCAGATCAGGAGTGTGATCTGTGGGCCCAGTAGCAGATACATACATGCATACCTATATACATACTATGGCACACATTTGCTAGAGATCGTGGGATATCATGCCGTCGGTTATTAATAGAATCCCGTAAAGCAGGAGCCGCCCAGCCCTTGGGGGATTGGCAACAGTCAAGGAGAAAAAGAAGAAGGAAAGAAAAATTTCATCGCCAAGTACTATAGTTAATGTGTTCATGACGGGATGGATCTGAGTGGCGGTTATTCTCAGCGTCCAAACGCAAGAGGGTAGGATAAGATGAGCGGCAAGAAGATCCACAGATCATAGTCGTTGGCGTTTTCTTTTTCTTTTTCTCTGCACTGTCGTAGTTATCTGGGGGAAGGTACTCCACCGGGCAGAAGTGACAGTAATTTCGCCTTTCTCAGGTGGTCTTGGGACCATTCCCAGCCCTTTTTTGCAGGCGCTAAGTAAGTTCCCTTGGCCATTCGGGGAGCAAATCAGAGGTATGAACCATGGGCAATGAGCATAACCATCCGCATGCGGGCCCAGAACCCAACCCCCCCCCCCCTGAGACGCGCGTGCACCAACTAGAACTGAAGTAATAATTAAAAAAAAAAATAAAAAAAAAGGAAAGGAAAGGAAAAGCCCCAGCACGAGAATGAGTTGAAGTTCAACTGGCTGCTCAATGTAAAAACCGAGTTCATTAGTAGGTTAAGATGGCAACTTTTGTCTGCAGGGTGGTAATAATTCGTAGTTTTTCTAGGTTGGCATCATTCCTCATTCCTTGGTTGTCATTTTTCCCCGTTTCCTTTATTTTTTAGTTATTTTCCCATTCTCCTTTGGTCCCTTCCCTTCCCTTCTTCCCCCATCTTTCACCCCTTCGAATCCTGTTAGTCAACGAGCTGTTGTTCATGTTCAAAGTCTTCAATACATGAAGACATACATTAGTAGTGGGCTTAGTTAAAAGGGAGAGAAAGGAAAACCACATGATTGGGTCCTCCCCCGTGCTGAGTCAGGTGTTTCACGCGCATTCCCGACCATCTAGTCTCTCTTACAACCGGGGCTGAGCAGCTTCGTTTCCTCCCCTGAAGAAATATCGTCGCCTGAAGGAAGGTGAGAAAAAAAGAAACAAGAGAGAAGGACATCTTCATCTCTTCATCTTCGCTTTCTTTTCCCCCCTCTTCCTCTTTTCCTTCCCCTTCTTTCTTCTCTCCCATTCGCTCGTTCCCCCACAAACTCCTCTCGAGTGAGAACGGCGTTCCTGGGAGACTCAGGCAACCATCCGTCTCCCCCCTTCCGGCCATACTGTGTGTCGCCGTCCCGCTCGCTTTAAACCAATTCAACTACTACTATTATTCGACAACTGCCCCCCGGTCTATATCTGACTCTCATTAACTTGTTCCATTCTTTGTCATTCGCTACTTTCATGCTCTTTTTTCCCCCCCAATTTTATTCATTATTATCTTTGGTCTCACCCCTAGTCCTTCCCTTTGACGAACAATCGCCGTGGTCATCGATCTGTCGCTCGGTGATTCAATGACGTTTGTGAAATTGTGACCAGCATAGACAGTTACTTGACGATAATTTCTACTTTTCCCGCCTTCTTGAATCCCTCCTTCCTCGCTCTCGTTTTTGGACGACTTGGCACAAAAATACGACCCAGTCTACCTTGAGACTTCCGCATCCGGCCGGTCCCAAGCTGGTGCTCTGGAGTACCACCTTCTATTCTCTCTCGCCCCTGGCGTCGTCTGATTCCTTCGCTCATAACCCTAAACAACTACATTCGCTATCTATCGGAGGAGTTCAAAGTCGGTAATTCTACAACGAAAATGCGGTTAAAGTCGCTTCTTTTCACTTTTCTCCTCGCCTGCCTCGGCGCACCGCTAGTAGCTGCCGTCGATCTGATCGAATCCAATGCGCTTAACCTCTGTCAGGACAGCTCCAACTTTACGGCCACCCTGTTTAAAGTAACATTCACGCCGAACAATAGATCCCTCGTCTTCAGCTTCGATGGAGTGGCTGCGATTTCGGGTAAAGTGAAGGCGACACTCATCCTCGATGCCTATGGCTACCAGGCGATTAGAGAAGAATTGGATCCCTGTGAGATGAACATCGGCGGTCTATGCCCCATGAGTGCTGGGCCGATCGATGTCCCCAAGGCGCAGATCGATGTCCCGCAAGATGTAGTGGATAAGATTCCAGGTGGGTGAAGACGCAATATGAATTCGGCCCAGCTATGGTTGCTAATGAGGTCACGTAGGCATTGCATATACAGTTCCTGACCTTGATGCTTCGGTTCGAATCTACATCAACTCCACGGAGACCGGTGAAAGTATCGCGTGCGTCGAGGCGTCTCTATCGAATGGCAAGACGGTCTACCAAAAGGGGGTGGGCTGGGCGACAGCCGTCATCTCCGGTTTAGGTTTGGCCGCTTCCGCTATCACTTCTGGCTTAGGACATTCAAACACTGCCGCACATGTAGCGGCCAATGCTCTGTCCCTTTTCAGCTTCATGCAATCTCAGGCCATGATTGGTATGACATCCGTTCACATGCCCCCGATCGTTGAGGCGTGGACCCAGAACTTCCAGTGGAGCATGGGTATCATCCATATTGGGTTCCTGGAAAGCATCTGTACCTGGTACCAGAGATCGACCGGAGGAACGCCTTCGACCACCCTTTCCGAGCTCTCGACAACGTCAGTACAGGTGCTCAAAAAGCGAGCCCTCGACGAGGCGACAGGCCTTGTCAAGAGAGCGACGGATATATTTAGACGCTCCGGTGCCGAATCCGAGACCGCCAACACATCGAATCTTGTCGTGCGCGGTATCAAACGAGTTGGATTCAAGGCGAGGATTGAGGCGACGAACATTTTCCTGACTGGTCTTATCTTCTTCGTTTTCTTCGTGGCTATAGTGATGATCCTCGTCTCACTGTTCAAAGGAGTCTGTGAGCTCCTCGCGAAGAATGGGAGAATGAAGACCGATAAGTTCCAGGATTTCCGTAATGGTTGGAAGGTTGTCGCGCGTGGTATCTTGTTCCGACTGACTTTGATCGGCTTCCCTCAAATGACGGTCCTTTGTTTGTGGGAATTCACCCAGCATGATTCTGCAGCTGAGGTGGTACTCGCTGTGATTATGTTCTTTTCCATCGTTGCGGCTTTGGGATGGGCTGCCTTCAAGGTCATCGCTTTGGCAAAACGATCCATTACCATGCATAAAAATCCTGCATACATACTTTACTCTGACCCGACCTGCCTGAACAAGTGGGGATTCTTATACGTCCAGTACCGTGCAACGGCATACTACTTTGTTATTCCCGTTCTTGGTTACATCCTTGTCAAAGGCATGTTTATCGGTCTGAGTCAAGAAGCCCCAGTGGTGATGACTGTTGCTTTGGTTATTCTGGAGGCGGGTATGTTGATTGCAGTCAGCGTTCTACGACCATGGATGGACAAGAAAACCAACATCTATAACATCTCCATCGCGGCGGTGAACTTCCTCAACGTCATCTTCCTTCTCTTCTTCTCTGACGTTTTCAACCAACCGGGCCTTGTGACAGGTGTCATGGGTGTTGTCTTCTTTGTGATCAACGCAGTGTTCGCTCTCATCCTCTTGCTCCTCGTGCTGATCGCTTCTATCTACGCCATTGTATCAAAGAACCCGGATATGCGCTACCAACCCATGCGTGACGACCGTGGCTCTTTCATCAAGTCACAGGGCCAGCTCACAACGGAATTGGACGCCCTGGGTGCCGCCGCTCGTGGCGACGTCAAGACTGGCTCCTACAAATCTAGCCCATTTGATGACGACAACGGCTCCTTCTCAAGCGGTAATGGAGCCAGTATCAACCGTCAAAATCTCGGTGTACACGACCACTCGGGAGGTGCTCGTCAATCTCCCGTTTCACCAGTTGATCCGTCCGTGCCACTGTTCCCCAGCGATGCTTCAACAGGACAAGCCCCCCCAGGCTACAACATGCGATCGCCATCACCAGTTCCGCGGGGTTATACTGCATCCCCACTCAACAATCCCAATGCTTATAGGCAACAGAACAACCCTAGTCCATGGCAGAGAGGAGCAGGGTACGAGCACTAAAGGAATACAATGCATGCCTTCTCGCTCTGCTGGAGATGAATTATGGCTCAGCGTGGGAAATGGATTGGGTCTTCCTACCATCCTAATTTCACTTTGCCCCTGCACCTGGTGCATTTTGTTTCCCTTCCCCCTTTTATACTTTGCTACCTGCTCTTCTTTTCGCCACAGTTTCTTTTCCGTATACTGCGATATACTGAAATAAAACTTTTTCCCTGTTTTCTTTTTCTTCTATCTAACCTCTTGCCCTCTTTGTCACCTTACCAGGACTTTTCTTTTTTTGTTCTTACACGGCGTTCTAAAGCATTGGATTTGGAGATTCCGGACTTGGGTTTTGCAGTCGATGTGATCTATATATCTTGAGACAGGGGACTATACTCGGCCCGAGCCGATGTCTCTGTATTATTTGTGATTTCATGTATGGAAGGAAATCATAATGGTAATGCCCATGTCGGCTGACGTGTGGTATTCAGAATTCCAGCTGATATCAAAACCGTGATGCTGTATCTGCTAACACAGCCATGGCAGCTCACACCATGGCTCCTGGAAACACTTGATACAACTCTGTCCATCCTAATATTCGATAGACAGACACATACATGTACACCTATACCATAATGATGAATGATGAAATCCTTTCAAGATATACCCATAATACTGTTTCCGATTCACTTACACTCTCCCAGACAAGTTTTCTTAAAACACCAAATACCGAAGTAAGTCCCACGCCGGAAACAAAACTCTAGTTAAATACTTTAAAAAAAGAGAAAACAAAACAAAACAAAATGCAATAAAAAAAAGAGAGAGAAAACACCAGTCCTTTAAGGTATAGTTTAGAAAACTCAGACCCGAATCCAACAGTAACAACCCAGTCCCACTCCCCACTCAACGACCATCACCCAATCCCGGCGGCGGACCAGGCAGACTCGCTGACCCGGCTCCAGGCGGTGGCGCATACCCACCCTCTTGACCTGGTGGGCCGGACATGCCGGGGCCAGGACTTGGGCTGAAGCCCGGGGCGCCGGGCATGGGGGGGAAGCCGGGAGCGCCGGGGGCGGGGAGTTGGAAGTTCGGGGGGAACCCCCCGGGGGGAGGGGGGAAGGGGGCGGCTCCAGCGGGCATGTTGGGGAGTGGGGGAAGGCTGCCTGGGGCGCCGTTTGCTGGAGGGAATGGGGGTGGGAAGGGGAGGCCTTTTGCTCCTGGGGCTGGTGGGATTTGGTTAGTATGTGATTTGATAGAGTTGGGGGTTGACATACGAGGAGGCATTCCTGGGGCACCGTTTGCTCCTCCTGGGGGAGGGAAGCCGAAGGGAGGAGGGGGGAGCTGGCCTGGACGTCCTGGGATATTGTATCAGTTTTCTGTTTTATTTTATTTTATTTTTTTTTTTTTTTTTGAGGTGGGATTGGGGAGCGTGGAGGCGTACCGGGGAATGGGAATGGGGGAGGGAAAGCGCCTGGGGGAGCCATTGCAGGGTTGGGTACGGCCTGGCCTTCGGCAGCATAGGACGAGGTGATGGAGTCGATGACAGATTGGGCTTTCTCCTGGCCGATTTCTAGCATTCTGGTGAGTTATTCGATTCGATGGTTGATGATCGTGGGCATGGACGTGGACGTACGTTGGTAGTATTCCAGCACGTTTCTTAAGTGGTTTCTTCCCGAATTATGGGCCTTGCGCACGCTCATCGAGTCGTGTGTTAGGTACACATCGCAATAGTCACCTATAAAGGTAGGTCCTGGAGTCAGCGAAAGGTGTGGCTGGTGACGGTGCTATCGATACGCAACTGCACTTGCTCGATAGCGAGCTTGGTGAATGAGGTAGACGTTCGACCGGGGGGCATAAACCTACAGAAGAGTGCACAAATAGTTAGCCTTTAGCATTATCATAGCTTGAAAGGGAGTTACTTATATTTTGGCATCTTGAAAATGTGAACTGGTAAGGCTTTTTGAACGGTGGAGGCGAAACTTAAACTCGGCGGCGCTCAAATGGCGCGTTGCGCGTGGTTGTTGACTTGGTCACGGGTCAAAGTAACACTGTTGATGAATACAGTACAGTATGTTGAATTATACGAGTCTTCCAGGAAGGTGATCTGGCTTGACAGTCGCTCAGATGGTCATAGACAAGAATTGTATCGAAATTGGATGTTGAAGCGGAGTTCCAATGCGCCGGAGATATAATGGCGGTAGCACACGGCAGAATAGGACAGGTCCAGTTAGTGCCTCAGGCATTATATCGGTCAGTCCTTTTGAAGTACATAAGGAGTAGTTCAAAGTGAGTACATTCACTACATTATGTAGGGGGGCTTTTAGAACATGAATACGTTAGAGCTTATCGTCTAAGAGGATGAAGCGGATCCTATGCTAAGCAATCAGGGAACTTCGTCGCGCAACCACCACTGCGCCGCCCTCACCGACAGCCATTCTCAAGTACTAATGCATCTAGCAGAGTCTTTCTTCATAACGTACAGTATTGACATTGAATATTATTCCTTGTTCTTCTTCTATGGTCAGTGCCTCATGTACAATAATCAGGAAGCGGATGGTCTTCGATCATTACTGAGGGCTACGTACTGTACTTCGCTATAGGTCAAGAAAAGAGCGAAGCTTCTAAAATTTCATCTCATCACCAAAGGGGGCAAAGAGACTAGAGAAGTCTAATTCAGGGTCCTAGTCAAGTCAGCAAGTGTTTCATTTGACGGCCGGCGTTCAACTATACCATAAAGTCAAAATCAAGCTCGAATGGGGATTCGGTACAGACCAACGTATCGATTGAATCTTGTGGTGTATTGATGGATTGAGATGCACGGAGCGCTATACAGCAGTCCTTTACACTCTCTTGGGCAGCTCTGATCAGCAATGGTCTGAAGTTATTTCTACCAGACTCCAACGCTTCTATTTGACACAGTACGGTTGAGAGAAAGATGTATCGCTTAAACCTCGGAATGCCGAGTGCAACAACCTGAAGCAGCTGATCTTTGATATGTTTTAGGATCCGAATAACAGGCTCTCGCTGAGCTCTGGTCATTGCGCCCAGCGGGTCGATAATGAGCTGGCCAGTCTCCGATGGCCCTGTGCCTATCTCTTTGAGCTGGGTGGTTACCTCTAGACCGAGAACTGTAAGGATGTCGAGATGGAGAGCACCACAAAATGGGCCCGTACTCATTATCATCAGGCGTGACAGGTCATCGAGGTCGTCGGAAGGGAGCTTGATGCTCTCAGCATACGACGCAATGATCATGGCAGACTCTCCGCAGATCTTCCGAGAGAGGTAGAATCGCGGATCCTGGTGGGCCTGTAGCATATAGGGTCGGTGAAGCAGGAGGATATAGCGTCGCAATTGCATGTCGAGGAAAGTTCTATGAAACCCCATATTGCCTAAGGGCTGTGGCCAGTGCATCTGGAAGTGAGCTGCGAGATCACGGCAGGCCCTTTGTAAGTCTGTGGCCAGTTGAAGTGCAGTATTGTAGGGCTGCTCTGGATTAAGGTTATTAACCAGTTTAGTCGCTTCCATCCGGATTGATAAAGATTTTCTCATCAATAATTGAACAGAGGAGTCTGTGTATTGTTTCAGGGGCTCTGAAGTAAGGGGCTCTTTGGCTTCAGGATCAAGGTCAACATCATTGATGTTCCGAGGCACATGGTCATCGAAGTCCTGAGCCGAGATCGTTAACGGCATTGACGACGAATCAACAGATTCAAGTACAACTAGTTCCAGGATTGTTGTCCAAAGCCGAGTTCGCATTTCTGCCTGAAAGGGCGTTAGGTTTGGAAAGCCTCGAGGATCTCGATGTAACCCCATGGTCATGGCCATCCGTAGCAAAGAACCTGTAGATAGCCAGGGCGATGATCCAATGAGATTTGTTTTTCGCGACACTAGCAGGAGACAGAAAACTTGGATACCATCCAAGTTTCTCGTTGATTTTTCAGAAGGCCCTACCAACCACCACTGAGCAGCATAGATCCAACTTTGAGCCAAGCGACGTAGACGCTCCGATTCACTAAGGATGGGGTAGAAAGTCGCTCCAACAGCGAAGACAAGGCCTAGTTTGATCAGAAATGGCGTTGATACCAAGTGTGGTTCCTCCCAGAACATATAGTATTCCTTCCAGAAAGAAGGGATATGGATAATGCGATATAATTGTTCAAACGTTCGCATATAAGCGCCCACTAACTCATCACAGACATGCCTTTCAGGAAAGGTGCTCGAGAGATCAGGAACAGGATTGTTCAGGTACAGGGTTTGCTGGCTTTTTGCGGATTTTCGCAAGTTTCGGCATTCTTTGATCATGTCTGCCAGATCTGCTTTCACGTCGACGATGCTGAGTTCCATGTCTTGGGGGTCGATTTGGCTGCAATCGATCTGTAAACCGTCAGCCACTAAGATGTTCTTTTCGGACTCCCGAGACACCAACCTTCTCAGCAGTGTACATCCAATGGCTCGGCCCAAAGAGTTTCGTCTTTTCTGTGGTATTTCGCAGGCGAGGTGCTATGACAGGGATGGTCAAGTCTCCGCTCGCATGAGAGGATTGTCGAATCCGCGAGAGTTCGGACAATTGCTGCTCGGCTTTACGAAGACGGTTCGCCAATTCCTGCAGCGAAGTACCACTCAGCTCTATCTCTGGGTGTACTGCATCCTGCGGATCTGAGTGAGTTGAAGGGAAACCTCCAAAATCTCGAAGATGTTGCTGAGACAGGATCGACAGGCTTTGGTCCTGTGGTGCCCCCTCCGCGAAATTTGACGCACGTATTTCCGGGCTACCCGAGTCGTCCCAAACATCGGTCTTGGAGGATCTTAATCGCGGAGATTCTCTATACGTGCAAGTCAAGGTCTCCCGAGATTGCCGGCAAGCCTTGCAGGGTAATTGGAGGTCGCAGCGGACCTTGCGCCGGCGACATTGTTCGCACGATTTGGCGGGACGCCGGCGTTTACGAGACGTTATTGTCGAGCCTGTCTGATTATGCTTAACCATTTGGAGTCAGTGATAAGAGATAGTAAGTAATATGAGAGGCCAAAAGAAGTGTGAAGGGTATCTGTTTAGTTCAATTCCCCGAACACCGGGGATTTGCTGGAAATACCCCGAAGTTCGGCCTAACGTTTCTGTTAACTCCGTTACTACCCTATATCAAAATTCCAAATTCAGTAACATTCTGATCTCGACCAGTTCAGTTCGATTAGCCCTGTTTCTTGTCACATCCTATGAGGTGTTGCTATCAGATTGGCTGCCTTACAGGAGACGCTGTGCAATGATCTGTGTACATGGATATATTTGATTATGGACCATCTACTCCATACCCACGTGGGACATACCATGCAGAACTGTCAGACATAAATGATAATAGCGAGATAGTAATTAGGGGAAATAAATTCATACTTAGTTTAGTCAGTTTATCAGAAGTAGTATACCCCCCCCC